CTACGGGTCTACTAAAGTTTTCCCCATACTATATCAGATACGACACCACTGCACTCTCACACTCACATCCCCATTCGACCCGAACAACCGCTGTCCACCAGATGCTAGTAAACGCGACATGAGGTCATAATGTCTCAAGCGTAAACTTTCCTTTAACAGCTCTGGTGCAGTTGGGGTGACCCCAAAAAAACCATTACACATAAGTGGATATTCCGAGTGGAGTCTGACTAGTATCCGTCCCTGAACGTGGCGATTGGAGAGCTGCGAAAGGCCACTCCGAGCAGGACCTCCCAAGCCCGAATGCTACCATGCGGGGGGTAGAAGCATAAAGTGTTTGGCTCTTTTTGTGCAAAGCCTCTTTTTTCCCGCACGATCAAAAGTAGAAAGAAGACAACTCGCCATTGCATTCACGCCATTACTCAGATCACTTTAAACGATCAAGAGCAGTTATCACTTTGCGATGATAGGGGAATGTGGATCCATAAACCGGCACCACCAAAGGAACGATGCTATTTTTAACCCATGTGGATGGATGTTAGCTGGTGGTCACGAAAACCACCCCCAAAAAATCAACTCATGAGCTCGAGTCAAATGCATTCGCATTTTGTTTTTTAAAAGCAAACTTCTCGTCAGTGCGGGCGGGCGGGCAGCAGCAAAGACAGCGAGGACAGCGAGGACAGCAGACAACAGACAGCGGGAAGTCAGAGCGAGCCCTCGTCTCTTTTTTCCTTCGAATGCTCAAGCTTTTTTCTTTTCTTTCTGCCAAAAAAGCTCAGAAGGACCTTTTGGGAAGTAGACGTGGGTACATGTAACATATACAACACGATGTTATTCGGGACCAGGGATCATTTTGGGTTGTTGAGACGAAACAGGCCCTTGAACGAGTAGGTTGTGGATATATGTCCCCGGTCTGCTTGTTGAAGCTTTTACCTTTTACTCCACAAGATTGTTCGAATGCACACAGGATTCCTGGTTCAAAAGACGATTAGGCGATGCTTATTTCATCAAAAAAAGTCACGCTTGTTAGTAATAAGTCTAGATAGCTGGTCCGACGGCTGGCTGGCTGGCCTCCCTCCGGGTGTCTGGAACCACCTATCTAACTACCAAACGGCGGGTATATTCAAAGGGAAGAGTTTCATGGTCGTCTTTATTGAGTAAGGTACGTGTGGGCAGAGGTACTATACCGGTACAGGTACAGGTACAAAGTTACATTGAACCGAAAGGTGAGCACTCTGCATTCTGCTTCAAGCACGTTTACGCATGCTTGCATTCCCCATAGACCGGAACCAAGCCGGTACCTTTTCCGGAGGTATAAGTAACTAACCCGAGCTATAGCACTAGTACGAAGACTTTTTTCAACCTCCTCTTTATGCAAGTGAGTATCTCGTCTCGATATACGTAGACGCTCTTCCCTCGCCTCCTCCTCTCGATATTTTCTTCCGCTTGGCTGTCAAAAAAATCATGAGCATATTTTCACACCTCGGCCCAGTTGAGATCTTCGTCACGGAGGAAGAGAGGGAAAAAACGGCCGCCACTTCCTTTCGAGTACAAGTAACGTGAGCGAGTGAGGAGAGAAAGAAAAAATAATTAACGTGGATATAAATAGAATCCTCATCCCGCGTACATGCACTGACAACATTCCTGGCATCGTTATCACGGGAGTATTCCGATGATTGGATATTGTGTCTTTTGTGAATAATCACTTGCCTTCCTCGAAGGAAGTCAGGAAGGAAGGGGGTTCGTATAACTTCACACCCCCCATGATCAAAGACCATTATTCATGCCACAGTAGCTACGTGGACCCCCCTATGGCTTCAAACCCACAAAGGATTATATCGGTGCATAGCCCTAAAGTGAAAAAGCAGTTATTCCTTTAGCCTTTTGACACAAAGGGCCCAACATTGATCATCATAACAACAAAATTAAGGTCTTGGATAGATTTGTTTCATTAGGTTGTATCGATCCTTTCCTCAACCCCCCAAAAGACGGATCGATCCGCCAACTTGCTCAGGAATTCCCCCGCGGGCCCGTTGTCAGACATTTTCACTTTGACGGACTCCGCGGTTGGCGAAGCTAAGCTCGTCGGGCGCAGAGTTGGCGGACCCAGAAAGTGGAGAATGTTTTTAGTTTTTTTATTCTCTTTTCAGCTTTTCAGCTTTTGTTTTGCGCGATTATAACTAGCTACTAGCTCGACAGGATGATAGTACATACTATGGTAATATATAGGTACGTACTAATTCCTGAAGTACTTTTTAAGTACTTAGTTTATATATACTAAGTATATATATAGAAATCAATGGCTTACTCGTACAATTGTGGGATTTTAAGCTTGACAAGTGGAGCTTTTAATAAAAGCTAATTGCTTCTAATATTGGGCGGCCATTAATTGATATCTGCCAGGTTGTTGTTTAGGGCGATTACTGTTTAAGAGGCTTAAGCCGATTACCGCTATTAGACTTAGACTTAGACTTAGACAGATATAACGGACCCTGAAAGATTGTGTGAGACCAATGAGGTTATTGGTCTTAAAAAGAAGTTAACTTAAGTTAACAATGAGAAACTGTCTGGGATGTCCGTAAAAGCTTATGATGTTTATATCAACAGACAGGCCCAGACACCACCACCACCAATACGTCAAACCGAAACCAAACACACAGACGTCGAACTAAACTCTAGCTCTAGCTCTTGCCATCACGCTTCGACTCTAACGGTATAGATTACTAATCCCTGTCACCGCAGAGCTCACAATTTTTTTTTCCGTAGCGGCAATTGATTGCAAAAAGGTAAAACAAAAACCCAGTGACCCAAAGAAACAAGGAATCAAAAGGCAATGACGAGAACAAAACAAACCAAACCAAAAAGTCAAAGGGTTTCATTCAACTCAGAAAAAGAGCCGGAAAGTCGCGAAAGCTAGGGGGAGGTTGGTAGAACCCGTACCAGACCCATTCGAATGGAATAGATTGTCTGCCTAGAATTTGAGCCGGGACGGCCGTGCGGGATGTCTTACAGTCTGCAATGGTTGCGTTGTTCTTCCCCGACGGTAGCGATTGCAGTGCAGCGTCGAAGGTTAAGTTTTGACGGATCTTGCTCAAGCTCACAATATGGTGCACAAGTTATTGCATGACAGTCGCGCAAAGTCCACCCGATTTCCGGCTTCACAGCCCCTTGCTTCCTACGGCCTCCTCCAGACGCCCCATGCAAGAGCTTCCAAGAAACGAAACCAAGGAAAAGGGACGCGCATGCAAACAGGTCACAAGCGGCAAGGCTGCTTTGACATCAGGATAATATAACACAAATCGTACTACAGAATCTTATTCAGAAAAAACACAATCCCAGCCGTATCTTAGACATATCCCATTCTATGTAGACGACGGCATTTGCAATTGTTCTCGCCTTAGAATTTCGAGTTCCAGCCTTTTCCGCACGACCCCTATCCAATCGGAAAAAATAGCAAAAATGGCCAAGGCTTACGCGGCTTACATACTGCATCTCACCCCTTACAAAGGTTCCTCGAGTCCCTGACCACTGTGAACCCCTGGTTAACGTTGTATCGGTACCTACATACATTAAAGTGACGACCCGAGAGTCAACCAAGAAGGCAAGCCTTCGAATACGGGCCTTCGAGGGGGAGGAATAGTCATAGAGGGGGATTGGGGGGCCATTGGGGGGCCATTGGGCTGAAAGGGCACGCCGTAGACTAGCCAGATGCATTTCGGATCCGGATGATTCTTTAGGTGCAATTAATTGATGCTTCCAGTTTTTTTTTTGTCAGCCCAGTCATTTGATTGGATCATGGAAGATGCTAGTTCATGAATCTATTATCAGATTCTGTGGTAAATTTGCAATTGGGCGGGTCTTGTGTTTTGTTTTTCAAATGTCTATATCAGGGAGGATAGTATGGTATCTTCGATGGTTATCTCAGCCCTCGCCGAACTGCTTATTCTGGAGACATTCGAGAAGGCCTATGTCGCATGAACTGGCATATTAGAGTTATATTGGCCGCATCATTATAGATTAATAACTTCAGTTAAGCTTTGTGCCTTTAAACGGTAAGGAGATATGTCACCTCGACGAGTCATCAATCAATTCGTTGATATTGCTTTAAACACTATATCAATCAGCCACAACCAATATAGTATCAACAACGGCTAAGCAAAATAAACACTTCCCCCTAGACATCTCGACGTGGATACTCCCACATAATGGCATTAATTAATTAATTAATTGGACAAAAATTCTATCAACGGAATAATTTTTTCCTTCCTACAATGGTTGGTTTCTTCATGATAAGTGCTTAGTAGCTTCGGAGACAACAAGACCATTCCTCGGGCCTGCCGCCCCAATGCAACATCGCAATATTGATATAAAAAGACACGGCTCACAACAATTAAAACCATTGGACGCGGTCGCCAGATCTTCCCTTCATTGAGGATATTAACATAATATTGTACTATGCATGGCGCACGGGATCTATCTATAGGCTATACTAGTGATAATGAGGGTATAGCCTGGAGACACTCGTCGAACGAACCGGCCATTAAGCTTTTGCAACGATGATCGATGAACATATCCACAAAATCCAAACTCAGGGGATCATGTGAAGAAGGGAACGACATGGCCCCGGCACTCGCGATACAATTCATGCATGTCAGCTCTTGGAATGAGTAACGATTGTAGACTGGTGAACAACAAGAACGCTAAAAATAGGAAACTTTGAAGGGGTAAAGGTTTGAATATGGTGACTATAGTACTAGAGAGGATCAAATGACTTGGTTCTTTTGTGCGAGTCACTGGATCCATGGAGAGGTCCGTGGGGATGTGAAGAGAATCGCATTGTAACATCATGCAGGGCTATCCCTAAGTGTAACAGAATAACGGTAGACGAAGGGGCATTAACGTTAGAACACCATTAGATAGATTAGTATTGAAAGAACAAAAGAAGTGTATTCGCTAAAATGAGAAAACTTTGAAGTCGTACAATGCACCTAGCCCCTAAGCCCTTAATCCTTTTGTTCAAACTTCTCAACAGACTGGGTCTCATCAGAAAACTTCAGATCTTCCTCGGCGGATACGTGCTCTTGAATTCGAAGGAAGATAACAGGGGCAGCAACTACCAAACTACCAAGAAGGAGTCCCCATGTGCTACCGAACATTCGGATGTATGGAACCTTCAAAGAGTCAAGGCGGAAAGTAATGGCAGATCCGGCGCTCTGGATGCCCTTATAGAAACCAGCATAGATGGCAAGCTTTCTGGAATTGTTGGAGAGAGAGCCCATAACCCAATAGACGTAAGTTTGCCAAATCGCATCATAGAGACCGTAACACATATACAAGACTAGGGGGCCACCGTATCCGCTATCGTGCCAATCGATCTTAGGGATGATCTCAGCGGTCTCGCGATTGTATTGTCTTTGGAAGGCATAACCGCCACCCCAGATACCGAGGGTGAGGATGAAAACGAAGGCGAATCCAACTCTAGCACGAGTGATACGAGTCAGACGTTGCGTGTCGAGCGCAAACCCCATGATCCCAGCGCCGATGATCTGGGAGAGCCAGTAGAGCAAGGAGTTGAGAGAACGGGTTCTAGTCGTGAATCTGGCGAGATTGTAGGCGTTGAATTGGTAGCTGTAGAAGTAGTTCGAGGAAAAAAACATGGGAAATAGTGCGAGGATCCATGGCTCGGAGATGAGAACTTCCCAGAGACCTAGAAGCTCGGATTTCCAGGATGGATGTTGAACACTGATGACCTTAGAACCATCTTTACGGATAATCTTGTTGGAGTCGAGAAGGAACAGAGCGAGAATTGCGCCTCCACCCATGAGAACCAAGAAGCCAATGTAAGTACCGTCACCCACGTTGCCATGTTTATTCTTGATGTTGTCGACAAGAGGAACCTTATATCTCATATCAGTACCCCGCTAATCCGTAATTGTCAGATTTATACTCACCAAACTGCCAATAACAGCTCCAAGATTGAAAATCATCCAGAAGATACTGATATACCTTCCCTTCGACTTCTCAGGAGGATACGACATCTATCATGCTTAGTTAGACATCATTCCGAATAACGGTTATACACCTTGAAACTGGGCTAATAACTTACCATAATAGTACCTTGAGCGCACCATAGCAGGCCAGCACAAACGCCGAGCAATGCCTAAAGCTTTGTTAGCCCCAGACGCTGCTCTTTGTGACGTCTGGGAACGAGACCACCCCAGACCCATTAATTCCTTTTTGTCAGACGTGTAGGGAACTTACGCCAGCGAAAATGACGAATCCACGGTTGCCAGTATGGTTGTAACAGAGGAAGGAAGCGGAATACAGTGCGTAACCGAAGCCGCCAAAGGAAAGGGTAGCCTTGACGCCAATCTTGTTGCAAATAGATCCGGAGAAGAATGCAACGGATGCGAATGTAGCATACAGAGCGACTGTCGAATCATCGGCGACGGTAGGATCGAGCTGGCCGGCACCTCCAAGCCCCGACAAGGCATTATACATACCGGGGCAGAGGAACTAGATTTTTATGACGTCACAGGTCAGTCGCATTCTTTCGAGAATTTTCAAGGGAAAATATTTTTCCCGAATTTTCTTATCTGAAATTTTTGGTTGTGGAAGAGCCTTACGCAAACGAAAGCTACAATAAGCAGCTGAGAAATTGGGGACGCATAGTAGGGAAGTGTGATCGGTCCGAGTTTTCGTTCACGATAGAGCCAGCCGGTTGGTGGCTCATTGAATTCCGGGTGCCCCTTTTCCGAATCATGTTCTACTGCCGCGCCGACTGGAAGACCAGTCTTCTCCGAAACGTGAGCTTCAGTGCTCATTATGATAACCGATTGTTGATTGGGGCGCTATTGCAAGGATGTTGATGGATTCACAATGTCAATGTCAATGCCAAGGAGAGGCTCCGAGACTCTTCTTTGGAAAGATGAAAGTGTCTACGGAGAGAAGAAAAGACGACGAAGGAGGGAAGGATGAGGATCTTATGTAGAACCCGAGGGAGGAGGCGAGTGGGGAAGGTAGTTATGAAGCAGAACCCTGGCGATGTCTGAGCAAGGGCACATGGAATTCCATAGTGTAAGTACTCTATTGCTGTTGGATATGCAAGATACGGTCTCTGTGACACCAACTAAGGGAAGAAGAAACCAGAAATTGATAATTGAAACGGCACAAGACCGGATGCCGTGCATGGTTAGTTCCTTATTTGGTGTGTCGCTGCTACTATCTCAGATTAGTATCAGTGGGAGTGGTCATAATCGTAACTGGTTGGGCTCAGAGTAGCAAAGATTGATTGGCTTATTTGGTGGTACGCCGGTCAATCGCGCATATCAATATTACACACCGTCAGCGGATCAAGTGCCACGCAGAATCTTAATTTTTCTAGCTTCGAAAACGAAAGCTTTGATCAGCAAGACAGTACTCGCATTCCATGGACTGTACTGTCGCAACCCTCCGAAAAAGTAAATTCGCATGCATGCATGTGCAGGGACCCTGGAATTGGCTTCCGGACCCCGGTATTCGCTGCCAATTAGACCTTCAACGCTCGGGTATCTCCAAGAAATATTCATGCAGAGCAAGCTCGAGCTTCATGATATCGTGTGCTTCGGTCGAGGGGATAAGATACCAAATCACGGTCTGTGTGACCTGGTTCTTGTTATTGTTTGTAATATAAACCTGCTTCTTTGTCGCGTGTGCAGTTTTCTTTGTTTCATCCGGCGTGCAATGCAACTATTCCAACTCTCTGAAGGGTTCAAGAGCCCCACTGACTCGGTATGGTAGCTTGTGGAGACGAATGGCCATGCTTTCCCCCTCATTTTCTACCGATCCCAGGCGAGCGGTTACCCCAATATTCCGTTCTCCACAGATAAAGCGAGAGACACCATCGATGTTACTTTTAAGATAAGCATCTAGAGATGCCCTTCCATCATGCTCGCGACAGAGTGCTGTGGGGGCCAAGGAAAGCCTCGAATGGTGAATCTGTCAAATGCTTGTCCTGGCAGGACTCGCTTATGCTCAAACTCTTCGCAAATGGTGGATATCCATGCTAGTTTCAGTAAAGAATGTACGGAATGGGACCGTAGGCAGAAATCTTGGCGGGTTTTTCTGCATGTGACGAAATTGATGACAGGGCTCGACCACCGTATTTGGGTAACGGTTACATTGGCTTGCCGTTGAGTGGGTCCACCCGAAGCAACCTTGTTTTTTTCTTTCGCTGTTCGGTACCTGTTCTGTGCAGAGGACTTGGCACGCCGTCCGCTGCTAGCCTGCTGCTGGTACTGTTGCTGATGGGAGGTGCAGCTGGTATGTATTCTGGATATCTCATGATAATGGGGCTTCTTAGCCAGGCAATGTATCTCGGACGGAGTGACATGCCCAGGTCCAACATTTCAAGTCGAGGCTGGTTAGTGGCAAGGTAGCACAGAGATGTTGCTGTTTGTACGTAGCTTGCTTGTGGAGTCGACTTCCAATGCACTTGCTTTCGCCAATCCAATGGCCCAACTCCGCATCTTGGCCAAAGCTGAACGTTGATGTTGGACCACAGCCGAACTGGTCAGCCACCTGGAATATTTTCGCATCGTCATAGTCGACTGAGAGTTATCTTCGTCTACATGAGTTCAATCATTTAATTAAGCGGTTTATCCCGGCATTCCGATCGTGCCGTTCCAGAAAATTGGCACAGAACCCCCGGCTTGTTATCGGTCTGGCCTCGAACTTAGACGGGCCTGCGATATCCGATATCAAGAACCCTCCCGGCTTACTTTTAATCTGCCTCTACTTCTTTGATCCCAATCATCCTGATAACAAACAAAATGTAAGTCTAGTCGATGTTCCATTGGTAGCTTGGCTTTCGCTCACGTTCTTGTAGGCGGCTCATCATTCGGGAGACTAAAAATCAAACCTCCCAGTGGGTTGCTGAATACATTGTTCGTATGTGGCACAGTCCATGGATTCAACTTCGGTACAATGTATTGTTGGAGATAAATATACTTAATATCTTGAAATACAGACCGAATCAATGAGTTCCGGCCGACAAAAGACCGGCCATTCGTTCTTGGCCTACCCACAGGCTCGAGCCCCGAGCAAATCTATGCAAACATCGTGGATATGTACAGAAGTGGCAAAGTTAGTTTTAAAAATGTTGTGACTTTCAATATGGTATGATTCATGATCTAAAACTAAATCAGTTGCTTCCAACTCTCGTTTACTCCTTCAACATTCATTAATCAATATATTAGGATGAATATGTTGGTATCCCAACATCACACCCTCAGTCATACCACTCGTTCATGTTCAAGCATCTATTCCAGCACGTGGATATACCGCCTAACCAAATTCATTTGCCGTCTTTGGAGAACTATGGCGAGTATGATAACATGATCGCTAAACACGGTGGCATCGAGTTGTTCCTTTGCGGGGTCGGCTCGGATGGCCATATCGCGTTTAACGAGCCGGGGTCGTCGTTGGCTTCGAAGACGAGGGTTAAGACATTAACCAATGATACAATTGTGGCAAACGCAAGGTTTTTTAATGGGGATATTAATGCTGTCCCCAAAAGTGCAGTAACTGTCGGTGTCAAAACGGTTCTGGATGCCAGAGAGGTGATATTGATTGCAGACGGTAGAGCGAAGGCAGAAGCTGTTAGGCAAGCTGTGGAAGGGAGCATAAGCCATGTCTGGACCGTGACTGCTCTGCAGATGCATCCAAAGTTCATCATGGCCGTAGATGAAGCTGCAACAGAGGAGCTGCGGGTAAAAACTGTCAAGGTATGTCCTGCCTTTTGAACTGCCTTTTGAACATTCTACTGGGTGATATGGATACTAATACGAAGTCACCGCATCTAGTATTTCAAGGATATTGAGGGGACACCCGCTAGGATAGGAAAACTCGGGCCTAAGCTATAAGCTAGTAAGCACAGCATTGATCTAAATGAACGTACGAACAGGATTCTAAACTCCTATTCACCCCTCTTGAGGAAAACGATTGGTGTCGGGCATATCACAACATACCAGTCTGATATAATTAAGGTAACACGAGATTTGCAATTTGGGTGTTCTCATGATGTCATGGATTTCAGCTATTGTCGTTGTAAAATCCGAGAAATTACATTACTCTAGACTAGTCTCGGAGCCTCATTGTACACGTAGATAGAATAATAATAAGTCAACCTAGCGCATTGACATTTATTCATGTTTGTTTATCAGTATAATCTGCCTCGGGTGTCCGGATTCGAGGCTATAACAGCTAAATCTACGATCTTGGCCTGAGTGTACATGCAATAGCTGAGGAAACCTCAATGGCATCATGATTCGTCCTAAGTGATACACAACCATAGTATATTATCACCATGGCCAAAACTCCATATAAAATGCTGTAGAAAGAAGTACCCTCTTACCAGTACGGTATTTACAGAGTCTTGGGAACATATATTCAGCCGCGTGCCAAAGCGTTTTAATACAAGACTACTTAGTAGATACTAAGTACTTAGATATGTGGTTAGAGCTATAGAGCTGAGCTGCGCCCTAAAAGACATGTCAGTTTTGTAAGTTTTGTAGAGAGTGTCAATGTGTTGATGCGTTGACCCGAAACTTGGGTTTCACAAAGATCCCAAAACGTCACCCCTGCACCCGCCTACCGCGAGAAGATGCCGCATAGTGACATCACACTTAATATTGCAACAGCTTAGACCTGCGTATTAGGCACTGACCTCGACATGACGTCGCTTGGGACTCCTAAATTCACGTCATCCTTTTAGCAATACATATTCACCCCATGCCCCTCCTAATTCCAGTAGCCGACCTTTTCTAAATTACTATCCCTCTAGGACGTGTACAGGATCGAATATCGAATGCTGCAATGTCGACCATGTTAGACCACCCGAGGACAGGCGATCGCGAGCCTCTGCTGCCCCAACATCGGGACCATATCGCTCCTGATGTAGTCACAGGCCATCAACGGAGTTTAGACAAGAAGTTACATACGTACCTCCTCCTCCGAGCCCTAGCGAGGGGGTATCTTCCATCCACAGAACAATCGATCGTACTGCTTCGAAAATTGCTTGCATCTGACCTCCTAGCGCCGGATAATCAGAATCTAACTTACGATGGGCGGAAATTTATTACTTTAAATCGACGTCTTGTGAAGCAGTTGATTGAATTGATACAGGCAAAGAATTCTGGTGATGAGGTTCAGAACTTCCTCTGGGCTGTGCGAAATGCGAAGTTGCATGTTGACTTGCAAGGTGTCACTGAGGCGGCCACCGATTTCAAAACCGCTAATTACAAGGCTGGTCAGTATTATGAATGATTTTGATTAATTGCTTGTTAAAGAATTAATGTTAACATTGAGTACAGCATACTCAAGTCTTTCCACAATATCTTCTTTAATATTCCAAAACCCGGATTTCAACAAATTGTTCACGGATATCGTTACGGTACTCCGACAAGCTCTTTCAAGCGGTGTAAATACCGCTGCAGAAACAATCGAACAAGTTGCGGACGAGATAGAACCGCCAGATACACTTGTCGATATTATTGGAGAAGCGCCCGACACGGATCAGCCCCGAGTCGACAAAGAAACGAAAAAAACAGCTCAAGAAATTGGCGAGACTCTTGAAGAAGGTATGAAGAAGGCTGTCAAGGATGCGAAAGATACAATTGACGAAGAAATTACGCCCGAGAGAAAGAAGGCTATGAAAAAACGGGTTCAACAAGCAGTTCTTAACCTCAAAAGAAACGCAGACTACGATACTTCTGTCTCAACGGTTACCTTACTATTAAAAAATTATCTTATTACGTATAGTACGGCTGTGGAAGAAGCTATTGATGAGGCTACTGAAGATGTGAGACCAAATAAGGCTCTTCTTCAAGCCGGGGAGTTGTTCTGGAAATTCATTTCATCATTCGGTGAACGCCAACAATGGGAAATCCTGAAAGAAAAGTTTAAAATACTTCTGGAACATAAGGATAGAGATCCGGATTTCGAAAATGTTATCAACGTAGTGGTTGATTCCCTCAGACGTCTTCTTACTGATCCGGACTATCTTTTTACCGACGAGGAAGAAATCAAGGCGCGGTACGATGAGTTGAAGAATAAAGTAGGCAGTTCTGGCGGGAACAAACTTCGAGAGGATGTAGACGGAGTAATTAAACAACTCCACCGAGTTGTATCCTCAGTTCACAACGATAAGCAAATTACATCTGTCAGAGGCACTGCCTACTCAATCGCGGACCTCGCCTTAACGAACTCGGGAGGTTACGAGCTCAATTCTAATCTGATTTCGGATGTCGGCAACGTCTTGGTCCCACTCGCATTAGAAACAATCCAGTATGTCCCAATCCCTAGGCTCACGCTTGTCTCGCCGGATATCGACGTCCTGCTCGAGCCAATCATATTCGAACCGGGCAGAACCGTAAACCAGTCTTCCTTTTTACCTTACCGGGTAGCAGTTGTCACAACCAACGAGCTGGATGTATTCAAGGGATGGAGAAGAACCGAGACCCACAAGTCCTCCGAAGCTAGGATCAAAATCGAAGGGTTTACATTCAAAGCCGAGGATGTGGGTTACATTATGAAAGTTCACCGGAATTGGCTGGTTAACTTTACCGACAAAGGCATTGCATCTGTAAGGCTGGACGAAAAAGGTATAGACATATACCTTGACGTTGAATTTACCAAAAGTTCTATCGACGAGCTAGTTATTCTCAAGGGCGTATCCGTCAAGCTGCACAAAGTCGACTTTGCGCTTCGACAGAGCAAGTTTTCGTTTCTGGCTTGGCTATTCAAGCCAATTATTAAATCAATGCTGCGGAAACTATTGCAGAACTCTCTACGACAAGCGATAGAGGATGGATTGAGATCATTGAACCGAGAAATGATCTATACTCGTGAAAGATTGAGGGCAACGAGGATTGCAAATCCCCACGATCTGACGACATTCATTCGTGCTGTTTTGGCACGGTGGACGGCCCCTAACGAGCTGCCTATTGAGGTCGGCATTGACTGGAGAGCTCATCGAGCAAGTGGTAGAGCGGAAGCCCCATTCGATGGTGAATACGCGCCAGGAAGCCTAGTAGGTTTGTTCGAAACAGAAGGGATGGGCGCGACTGATAGGGTTAAGGAAGGTGATGCTGGAGGCTGGAAAAACGCTTGTTTTGATATTTAGTTTTCAGAACAACGCTTGCGATACAACCAGATTGTTGGGAAAGCTGACTTGTGGCGTGTTTCCTTTTCATTCTTGACATTCACTTAGCACTCATTGCATACTGTCGGCCTATTCGTACTGTTTCGTTTTTTACCATTCGGATGCATATCAAAGGTTAGGATCGGGGAATTTGCTTGCACTATTTTTGACATATTAGCACTCGGTTCAGGATAGGTATGTGGCATTTATTGTAGGGATTTGGATTTATGAAATCTCTGCATCTATCATTAGGCGACATCATATCAATCGTATTTTGGGTGAAAGAAGGAAGGATCTTCGGAATTAAAGCAGCTGAGGACGTGAGGCAATAAACGTGGGCAATTCCCCCATATAAGCGGCAGGGAAGGTGTGTGCCTATCTGATGGTGCAATTGTGGAGATCCCTCATCCCGGGCCTTGCTTGCTCTGGAAAAAGTTGACCTCGAAGGAATAAGATGGCCTGGCCATAGAATTCAAAATCCTTTCTTCTTCTTCACTTTAGCCTAGCAAGGAAGATTTTTTAATGGTAGTTATGGAAATTAAAAGCAAATAAGGAAGGCCGCATGAATGTGGCGTGCTGGTAAACCAGGGAAATAGAAGCTTCCTATTCGAGTATTTCGACCACAGCTGGTGCAGTTGGTTTGGTTCACAGGTTTTTTGCGGTGTAGAAAATGTTCAGCTCATGACTCCGCTTTTACTAGCAAGGTTGCAATGGCTCTTGTCTTTGAATCTGGTGATCGTGAGTGGAGCTTTGCTTTGGTATTTGGTTAAAGTTTACGTTTGGCTCACGCTGGTCTCGTCTCAGGCGCATGCTTTTCATGCTTCCATACTGACCTGACGCATGAACGCCAACACAAAAAATGACACACCATAACGCCGTAGGTGCAGCTTGGCCTGGTTTCTCAGCATATCGAATTGAGAAATCGGATTTATGCGGGTGTATTCTAGCCGAACAATGCAATTCTATCGGATAGGACATATGCTTTCTTCTAAGTTATGCCATTAGCTTTTGATTGACTGCTTTGGAAAATGTTGACTTCAGCCTACTCCTTTGCAAGGGCGCGGACCTGCTAAGATGGGGAAGATACAAGCAAGGTACAGATCTTTGCATACACGGAACGCTAAAATGTACTGCTTGGAACCATCGATAAAGTGCCACTAGCTATCATTATTACTATCTATCTAGGCACTAACCATCATCCGGATATCCCAACGCCAAGGACTCAGGTACAGCCTATGGATTTTTGACTGCTTTAATGCCTCCAGCCTTCGAGTTCGTAAAAGGGGACCAAAAGTGAGTATCCATTCTGCTGAATAATTCACTAGCACGAGTTCACTTCTAGATGCTCAGCTGAATGTCTTTCGTACTCGGCTTTCGACATGCCTGTTTGGCGAGGAGCAGGGGGCGGGTACACAGGGAGTGGCTTTTGATTTACGGCCTTTTTTCCAACTGGGCGTCTTACCCAAGCCAATCAGTGATGTCCAAGACGTATTTACCCTGGTTCCCTATCAGATGTCTTTGAAGCCGTATTGTTTTATTGGGTCTGCGTTTAGGTCCCACAGGACCGATTATCTAGATCCGGAGCCGTTGCAACTCTGTAATTAACATTAAGCTTTAGCATTTATTGGGAAGGCTGTTGATGTCCGGTTTAAAATTTTATTGGGAAGAAATCCAGATCATGGAGTCGGTCGCCACCGGAGCGGCAAGCCATGCATTGACACACAAGACCATGTATCTAATCGGCCATCGGCAAGCATTCTGCATATCTTTGCCTGCAGTTCAGGGACATTCATGCTCTTGGCTAGGGACCCAACTGTTCGCAACTTCCGACTATGGATATCACCGGGGGTAATTAGGTTGCACACGCTGGGGGGCCGATGGTCCACATGCCTATCGGCAACTACCAAAACCGAACTTCATGATGAATTGCTAGGACGTCTTTGCTGGACCATAGCTGAGCTGAATAGACTTGAGAAGTCTATAAAAGGTCCTGGTAGATCACTTCCTTGACCAAATCATTCTGCAGACACAATCAGTGGATCAACAAGCATTACATACATCGAATAACTCTTCTCATCTATAATATTTGACATCTAAGATCATACCAATTTAATTCGAATATCCAAAAATAATTCAAAATGAAGTTCTCTGCCACCGTCGTTGCTACCTCCCTCCTCGCTCTCGTCAGCGCTGCTCCAACCATCAAAGCCGAGCTACCTGACCCGAGCAAGGTCTGGGTTCAGAAGATCATTACTGGCGGGACTGGTAAGCTCTTACGCACGTTTAACTTGAGATTTTCGTGATATACTGACTCACATGGTATAGGCTGCCCCGCTGGTACCGTCTCCCAGCAGATCTCCAATGACCGATCCACTTTCACTTTGATCTTCGATCAATACGTTGCCTCCATCGGCCCAGGTATCCCAATCACCGAGAGCCGCAAGAACTGCCAGCTGAACGTCCACCTCAATTACCCAGCTGGATGGCAATACAGCATCTTTTCCGCAACTTACCGCGGATATGCCCAACTCGAGAGGGGCCAGTCCGGTACCCAGAAGTCTACCTACTACTTCTCCGGCGACAGCCACCAGACCAGCACTCAGACTGATTTCTCCGGCCCAATCAACCGCGACTACGCCTTCACTGACAACGTCGACCAAACCTCCAATGTCTGGTCCCCATGCGGAAGGGAAGGCCTGCTCAACATCAACTCCCAGGTCCGTATCACCGGCGACAACAAGAAGACCGGTCTCCTCACCACCGACTCCGTCGACGGCAAGTTCACTCAAATCTTGGGTTTCGCCTGGCGCAGATGCTAGAGTAGTCGCCTGGCTGCTCTTAGCGAGGGTTGGGTGAGAAACTTGTAAATAATATCCTTACTCACCCGAGCCCCTATCTTGGTAGCGAGTGTATTTTCCTTTGTTACATGTATATTACCCTGTTGCGATCCTTCTTGGTTGATACCAGAATGAGCGCCGCACAAGCTATTTTGTAGCTTCAGCGGCTGTTCCGATGGTAACCATTCTGTACATAGTCCGTTTCGTTTCCTGCAATAGCTATACCTGATTGTATATATTCCCCCTAAAATAAAACCCTTCCATGTTGGTTTGCCATAAAAGCTTCCATTCGATCGAGTTGGCGTGGATAGTGTTTACGATATATTAAGCCAGGGTAGATAAATTTCTTAGAATATAAAAGATAAAACACTGTTATCGGAAACACATGTGTAGTTACGGAAACGGTCCAAATGTTGATTATGAATGTTTATCATGTGCTATTTAAATCTCGAGCACGAAGAAAGCTCTTTTCTCTCCTTCCAAAGTCGGAGTGTTTATGGCTTCCAGATCTTTTTTTTTAATCCTCATGCAAGCTTTGCACAAGAGTTGCCTAGCCGTAGATTTGACAGTACTGCCTTCCGAAGTTTCTGATCCCGATTTGATTCCCATCATTTTGATATCGAACATCAGCGGCACCCGATCACCAAGAAGAGTCCTATGCCCGATCTCAAGATCTCGTGAAACGAAAAATGCAGAATCTTTTCAAGGCAGAGCGTTTCCGCATTTGCATTGAAACGAATTTAGCACTCTCGAAATGTGTTGACTCTGCCAAGGCGTCGCATTAAGCCCAGCTATTCCCAAAATGGTAATGGATACCCCTGTCACGGCGCCTGTGAAACGTCAAACGAACCACAGCTGAACCAACCTCAAACGTCGGCGGTATCTTAAACCCCTCGAAAGCTGCGAAAAGAGAGCTTGGGATTGCTTAATAGCTGCGGGTTCGTGCTGCGGATTCGGCTATCGCTGTTCCAGAACGCCCACTGCCCCGAGCTCCTGGTAACGTTGAATGTCGCAGTCTGCGAACTGGTGGGGATCAATCCGAATTCTGTGAAGGAAACATTGTTGCAGAAGAATTGCTCTCTCTCTCTCTGAATTGACAACTACCTGAGAATTTCCAGCATGTTTTCTTGAAGGTGGCCGTGCATGTTTCCTTTCCGTATAGAAACAAGGATCCAGGAGGTCTCAATCTACCCAGTGGTACCTGGGAATCCCGATATCGAGGCCATATTGGCCACATATCTGGTGACTCTCACGGCATGTGTGCATGTCTCTCATTTACAAAATGTGTTGATTTGAATCCCAAGACGTCATGCCACAGTCAGTCCAGGCGCTAGCCCGTTCCTTCTGTGACAGAAAGACCATAGTGGGCAGCATAGCCAGTATATCATAGCCGCCCAGCCCACAGATCTTGGACACTTTCCACTCTTTCTTTTCCTTTCCCCAGGCCGGGCCTTTCTTTCATTAGTGTTCATCGTTCGCTTCTTAGGCTGTGCCTGTTGGTTGTTTCTTCACCATAACTTTCCTTCAGTCTCTTTCCTATTTTAATATTTGCGGACTGGTTTCCCAATAGCTGCTAGCCGGCTTGTATTACATTCTTTTTTATTCACAGTCCTTTTTAAACACACAAACAGACAGTCTTTCAATTTCAAGTTTCAACGGAGGGATATTTCAATCGATATCGATACAGTCTGTTTTGAGAATACTGAATATCGACTTTCAACTCTATACCATACAAACAGATACGGTCCTCAGATACATATATAGGCAAGATGCGCTTCACAAGATATTTCGCTATTGCCGCCGCCACTCTGGCATTCCAAACCGCATCTCTCCCAATCCTTCCGACGCCAGATCATGAGATCAGCGTTGGCCAACGGGATCTTACATCAATTTCAAAGGTCCTCAATGTCATGGCCAGGAACCTCGCCTCACTACCAAGACTCGTCTCGATACCCAAAGTTAGCGCCTTAACGGAACTGTCACCTGTAGAGGGAACAATAGAGATAGAGAGCGATCCATCACCTGTATCCGGTTCAGCGTTTAACAAAAAGTCTGCCATCTCAGAACCGGAACCCGAAGAGCTTGAGGAGAAATTGATACGAAGAGCGACAACCATGGACCCTAACGTGGGAATTTCACAGGATCTACCTTCGGGCATTGTCATGTTCATGATTATATTCATGCTCTATGCAATGTTCACGGCTATCTCAATGAAGGATGCAGACTAGTGAGTTAGCAAAGCCAGTTACACAAAAAAAAAGCTTTTTAAAAAAAAACTCAATACCTAGATCCGGATGAGTCTTACATCCCCGGACTTGGAGGACTGGTGTTCTGGAGTAGGACTTTTTTTTTCTTTCATTTCTCCCTTTTATATCTTGAGGTGCATATACCCAACTTTTGTATTACGACTGGAGGCTTGTAATTGTGCTTCAACTTTTATATATCCAAATTTTATTTCTTCGGTGGGAAACACACCCGGGTATTGTTATACATACCATTTTCTTCAAAAAACCAAAAAGATTTCGTGACCCGGCCTTTAGTATATGAATATGGCTCTTATGATTGTTTTTTTTTCATGACGTTTGATAAAAGTATCCCCTTTCATGTTGAGTTCACCGGACTCCGGAAAAGAAAAGGAAGAAAAAAGAAATCGTTGGCTGTTACGAATCCCCTTTCATTACCATGCTATAGAAACAAAAACCCAAGGGCACTCAACGCGGAGTATATTTCCATTTCCTATTGATATCCGAACTGTTGATAAACAATTTTCTTTTACGAAATTTCTTGAAAAATCTATATGATTCCATCGGTAATTTTTCTTGCAAATATCACCCCTCTTACGGTTTCAATTCCTGTCCCTGTTTTTTTAAAGAAAAAAAATTACCATCTTGTATATAACTATATTCTTGGAGGTAGTACTGGTGTTTCTTTGAATAATGCGGCTAAATGAAGGCAGAAGTTTCCAGAATTCTTAACTCCTCAAAATTAACTAGTTTATAAATTTGGTTGGCAATTTCTTCAATTTTCAAATAGAGTTAAACCCCATTATCGTGATAAGGAAAACATCAACCATAAGCTCAGGAGACGGGAACACCAACAATTAAGAACAAAGCTATAATTTCCTCATTTAAATATACATAAGTGCCGAAGACATGTTGGAAATTCGACTAAATCCACCTAAGACACCGATGCGACGTACTCCCAACCAGACCTAGAAAGCAAATACGTAGTTACCAGTAGAAGATACTATTTAATCGAAAGCCTTGAAACTGTGAACGTGGTTTTAGTTGGTTGAAAGGCCGTTAGCCTTACGCTCACCCTCAATATCCAGCCACGGGCCCGGATAGTTCCATTCGGCATTCTTCTTCACCCATCCCAATTGTAGATCGTCATCATCGAAGAATTTAGCAGTCCAATGTCTTAACCCAGGCCTACTAACAGCTAGCTGGGTACACTTGCGCCCCTCAATCGTTGTGTTTCTGTTGTTTCTGGGTGGCCAAAAGTTGATAGTATTGATCCGGTCAACATTATAGTTGTTGATATCCCCAGAATACCACTCTAGCGGAGTGGAGTCCGCGAGGGGATTGTGAAGGTTACCAGGTAAGAAATCCCAAATCGGGTTATTATTCCAACAGAAAAAACAGTCACGTTTTTGTAGCCGGTTGCGCTTGACTTTCTTGAGTGACCATTCGTCAGGACAGCCAAGGAACCATGCGAAGTTGTTGCTATCGTAAAATCTATAAAATGTCATGCCATCAAGTATATATCGAACGGGTTTGAAGCCAATCTGGGGGTGGTTGTTCTGATATTCGACGGCGGTACGGTTGAGAAGGCAGTCCCATATGGTTCTGACTGTCTGGCTGCCATAGGTAACATTATTTGATGTCCACCCGACGTTGGTATTCGAGGAACTACGTTCAGTCCAGGCTTGAGTAGCCGGGTTATAAATTTTGTCCTTGCATTGTTGCGAATTTCCAGTTGAAGAGTGATAATTCCAAGTCGGCTGACCCCAACGGTAGCACTGACTTGTTCCAGACGGGACGGTATTGGTATACCATGTCATATTCTGCCACCACGCCATTTCTCTGACATTTTGGGAGGGACGTTCGCCATATGTGATCGTGCGGACAAGGGTACCGTAGTACCATGATTTCCTGTTAGTATTATCGCAACTTTTGCTTGCCCAAAAGGAGTGATAGCCCCAATTGCTAGCATAAGTGTACGCTGGATGCCAGTCGTAGTCTTGACGTTTGCGAAGTTTCTCTTTCGCAACAAAATCGTCGAACTCTCGGCCTTTATTCTTGTGGAAATCGAGAGCTTTGCCGGTCATGGAATTATACCAGTCTCTCCGGTTCATCATATAAATGTGTTCTTCGGAAAGGGCGGCACCAGAGGTTTGTGAGAACTGGCTGGCAAGCAAAAGCAAAGTACTCGCTGAAGGGAGGATAGCGTGGAACAACATTTTGGTGGCTTTGATGTTTGCTCGTAGCTGACGTGCAGAAGAATGTTCTATGCTGCGGGTGCGTCCACGCCTGAGTGGGATTACCTGTAGATTTAGGTAGCAAGGGCACCCTATACTGCAGCTGCCGTCTGTCAAGACCTGCGTTCTTTATATCCTATCTGAGATGTTGGATATAAAGACTAGTCTTTAAAGCTTTGGATACACGTAGAGCCATTGACAAGAGTTTAACCCGGGGCTCCATGGATCCAGTAATTTAATCTTCGAGATCAACAGCGCGCGAACAAGTTATCTTGTCATAGAAGACGAAAGGGGTGGCTATGCGGCTGGCTTTCCGTGCCGTGCTTCATAGTGATAAATTCTTGAAAGAACAAACCCAGTGGATCCATGGGGTGAGATAGTGTGCGGGGCATCGACGCATCCGGTTATCTTCAAGTCACCTTGCGTGAGCTTCGAATATGATGCATATAATAAATTCTCTCGAGTTTTCCTTAGACTAATGTGGGGTAAAGAAGGACCCCACTCTGTAGGATTTCCTGGCTCCAAAACGACGATCGGTCCCTTGCTGACCAACTGACTGTCCATCTGCGGAAGGTGGGACGAAGATATTAGCTGTGGACCGGGTTCGCAGAGGTCAAGTGCCAGGGCCCACTGCCATATTCTCGGGCGGTTCCTGACGATTAATTCTCGATGGTCGATAGATGCAGACTCAAACCTCCTTCCGAAACGGTCTATATACATGGAATAAAACTAGAATGATGCAACAAAAGTGCATGTAAAGTGGGTATCTATAAGACGTATGCAGGTATGCATGCGCATGTATAAGGAGGACTATATAAGACTTTCACCTATAGGCGTCCTTTCCCACTAGCCAGATTGAGTACGATTGAAGTTTCGAAACAGGTCGTGCAGAATTGCTTAATACTAAAGTACGTTACAAGGTAGAGAGAAACGACTGAAAAGATATGTTTTTAAGTTCAATAAAAGCAAGGTGTCGCAGCGGAATTATCATCTTGCGTCTGCTCTCAGTTTTCAAACCCAATTTTAACTTAGGGATTGCTCATCTTATAATATACAACTGAGATAAAAAGTTTTCAAGTCCCTACACTTTGGTAACCGCCTGCTAATTTGTTAGAAATACAACCCGAAAAGCCCATGATAACGTTACTATGCATGATATATCGTGTATATAGAAGTGAGATGGAAGAACCACAATTCAAATAGCTATAACGTTACAGATGGCGTTGGTGATCTTTCCTCCCCTAGCTCCGCGTTCTGAACCGAGAATTAATTCGAGAACTTATTTCACGACAACGATGACCCGTGGTACCCACCGAAAAAAGTAGCAAGGCTAATATTCTCGCTCATTTCGCACTCCCATAGGCTGGCAGTCATTGTATATCTGCATATGGGAAAATGTGGGCCCATACTACGCAACGGATAAGAGGATCATTCCAACTAGAATATTCGAATTCAACAAAAAGAATCAAGAGAAACTAATTTACAAGGCCGTTTCGTCAATTGAAGAGATCTATAAAATATACTAATATGCATATTTAGCCTTTAGGGTGTGAATACTCGTGCGAGTTATTCTGTTCTCTAACGTTCAGCTCATAGAATGTTAAAAGTCCTGCGGGGGCGGCGCCCGTGGGCTTAACTCAAGTTATCAGTCGCTCGCAAGAAAGATAAGGTTCTTCGAGCCTCCAAATTACTAGTTGGAGTTGTATTTGGAAGTGGATCCCTCGGTTGCAGCGAGAGATCCACACCTCATAATTTGGTGTGATTTTGAACTGATCACGAACGCCCCCCGCACCACTTTGTAAAGGGTATGCTCAACCTTAAACTAAGAAAAAACATGGGTATCGTATATGATATCATCGTAATCGAATTTAGAAGCAGGCCAAAAAACTCAAATATCCTTTCTAGAGTCAAAAAAACCTTGAGGTACCCTTAGCTGCCCGTAGACTAATTCCAAACGACACTCTGATCTATAACCGAATATCTAGATTTTTGTAAATAAGTATGACAGTCGCTCTGGCATGGATACCCTCGAATATATTCGAAATGGTCCTTTTTCTCTCTGAGTTTTGATGGTTGGTTAGACCGTACGAATGGCCCGATTGGTGGGATACGAATCCGGTGTCATCGCATTCGTATGAAACGGCTATCGCGGGACAATAGTGACAGCTCACACAAATGATTCGATAACAGGAAATTTCCTGGAAAGAATAAGTGTAGAGGATGAAAAAGAAGAAAACATCAGAATGCACATTCAACATCAAGAGGCGATCGAATTCTCTGAGCGCTCGAGCGGGAACTTCGAGAAGCTTGCTATAGTAAAACGTAGATCAGAGCAAAAAATGGAAATTCCGAATCCAAGGCCCACTTAGCTAGTGCCGATATTGATTATATCAACTATAATGATGCTTGACACGACTATAGTAGCAAGTTATTAAATTGTTTAGTCATGTTGCTGATGCACCTAAAAGCTTCGCCATCGAGCAGGTTTTGAAAGAATCAAGATTGGGCGAGGAGATGCACGTTGTTGTATTTCTCGATCGATGAGCCTAATTCAGGATGGCTCGAGACGCGCTAAACCGCTAGTTGAACTTCTGTGTGCCCACAGCTGAATTCAGGTACCGCAGATGCAAAAGTTGAGTGCTTGTATGGCGATATTGAGTCCCGAAATAAGAGCTTATCGCCGCACTCCGTCTTTTCGGATTAGTTCCTTGAAACCCACTTGTAGAAACTATCGCAGGCTGCGTATATACCCCCTGTCCCGTTCCAATGTGACCTTTCCATTTTAACTTCTAGGTTTAGCGAAACTTCCAAACATTCGAGGACGTATTGTAGTCTGAACTATCGCACACGGGTTACCGTTTTCTCGGCCCCAAACGGTGCCACCGATAATTATCACAGAAGAACGAATATGGGGTATCCACATTATTTGTATCTTCAAGAGACCTGCATGCGGAAGGGGCTTCTAAGCATATAACTTGATTCAGATGTATAAATTTATATAAAATATTGTGTGCAAGCGTCGGTGCGAGAAGCAACCCTTTGACAATCTATTAGTCTAACAAGTACCTTTCATAGTTTTTGCTTCATTTTTAAATGACCTTTGGAGGTGTCAATAGAGCCTGCCACTCTAGTAGACACCTAAGTCAATTTCTTGAAACTACGACCGGCCAATAAGCCGACCAACCTGGCTTCCTTCGTTAGACTATTATCAATTATTTTCGGCTTCTAGCCTCATCTCTCATAATGCCGGACTCAGATATCATACAAGCAGTCAATGTCCCCCCTCAGATGTTCGGGCTCTTCATGGCGGTCGCCAAAAGTTGTTCGTGGCTTGCACAGGGCTCTGAGTGGACTGGAAAGAGGAGTTACGACATCATTCTCGCGATGTCAGACTTCTTTAACGATCCAGCAACTGGCAATGCCACTGAATCTGCCCCACAGCTTGCTGAGCGCTTTGGGACCAGCACAGAGCGTGCTCAATACCTAATGGATTTCATGCAGCAAAACATCGGAATGTCATTTCCAGATCTTATTGAGATGATGAAGCCAGTATTTCCACTAGCAGGTCATCCCGAAAATAACTCTGATTTGTTCACTGGTATTTTTGTCATGTTTACTCTTTTGGTTGGGTTGTTCGTGGGGCTACGGTTGTACTCCCGGTTCACGATCAATGGGTTCCTTCGCGCCTATGATTGGGTGTTAATTGTTGCTACACTTATTACCATTGGGTTTGGTGGGATGAATGCCTACTGTAAGTTTCGTTCTTATAATAAACCTATTCGAGCGAGTGTTTGTGAGGTTTACATGTATACTAACGCTGCATTGAAAATAGGTTTGTCTGGTCCGACTCACTATCGCGGTACATGGGACCAATCTTGGAAGGATTATCACGTCTTTTCATGGTCCGAAGTCGCTACCGAAGTCCTTTACCCTGTCGGAATATTCCTTATCAAAGCATCACTTCTTTTATTCTACTGGGGCCTCACTGCATGGTGGCCTCTCAGGCTTGGTGCAGCGGTCATGTTCGTGATTTCGTTAGGAAATGGTCTTGCTATGATATTTACGGCCATTTTCCGTTGCAGTCCGGTCTTATCTCACGAAGGTATGTTCGTTCCCTAGCTAGCCGTTTAGTTAAAACTGTAGTAGCCCATTGTTGTATTTCTTCACTTTGCTAATAAGTAAATAATACACAGGGTATGATTTTTTTACCACGACTTGCAACGTCGACCTCCATATCAAAGGCGAAGAGATCTGTGGCTCGATCAATGTTGCCACCGATATTATCATCTGGCTCATGCCCCTTCCCATGGTCTGGAAGATCATCCAAGGAAACCGCGAGCGTTTCCTATCAGCATTGACCTTCGGCATTGGCGCCCTGGCCTGTATTGCATGTGGGCTTCGCTTCAGAAACGTTCAAGAATACAGAACTGCTGCCCTAGTACCGAGAGATCAATCCAAATGGCTACTATGGTGTCTTGTTGAGATGAATCTCGCAATCATATGTTCTTGTGTCCCAGCAATCAGAGCGCTGGTAATCAAGAAAGCGCCAGCACTCATTGGCTCTACCGGGGACAGATCATTGGGTACTGGTGTTAGGTATGACGATAAGGATGATAAAGAAAAGGGAATTTCTGTAATCAACGTCGATAGCGCGAGTGATAAGTAAAGGTTATTATTGGGGTTTATTCGGAGTTTTGGTTGTGGCAGCTAGGTGTTAGTTTGGCCGTGTTAGTGTTAATTTCTCGATGCCGCAGCATTGACTTTGATGGTATCTTCTCTCACGATATGAGAGCTAGGATCTGGTTGTCCTAGAACTCGTTTCCTTTGTTAGTATCTATTCACTTCTTTTAATGGAATTACTTTCGAGTCAGCAGGACAGATACGATATTTTTAGCGCACCCTCAATTAGTGTGTTGACGTTGTATTTGTGTTACGCTAGTCTCAAAGAATACAACGTCTACAACGCATTAAAAATTTTTGACTGCGTGATATCAACACTTGAGATAGACTGATTATTATAATTATAACATAACCTACACGCAATAAAATGACTACTAGCCACCACATTACCACTAAAGCTGTAACACTCCGAGTTCCCAGCTTACGATGACATATCACTGTTTCTTCTCATGATTATTAATCAAAAAGCAAATTCGAATTTGCAGAAGAACCATCCCACTGGCGAGACCGCATTCTCTCGACACCTTACCAGCTGAATCTATATATCCAATTCTCACCTCGGAAACTTCATCCAAATACAAAAACTCATCTCGAATCGTCCAACGGTTTAAGATACCCGCCTGTCACGCGGGAGACCGGGGTTCGACTCCCCGTTCGAGAGCTTACTTTTTGCATTTTTTGTGTGTGACATTCTTGCGCATCCGGCCTCAACCGGCATTATCATGGGTTTCGTTAGACTGGGTTTAGGGGATGACGACTGGGGTAGAGAATGACGCCTTTCCTATATTTCTTTTTTTTTTTTTTTTTTTTTTTTTTTTTTTGGGGGGGGGCTATAAGTTTGCGCCAGTCTTGACAGTTCCTAATTCGAGTTCATGGGTAGTATTAGTATAGATGCTATCTATGAGGCATCGAATCCGAATCAACGATGCTCTATAAACGGATTTTGATGATGAAGAAACTCAAAAACGACGAGGCTCGACTAAATTTAAAAGATTAGCCAGCCGTAAAAGAGTGTATATACGCATTATACTTTCACATGCACAAATATTTACTTAAAAAAATCTCTTGAATTCTACAAGGGAGAAATAGTTATAGATTTAAACAATAATAGATATATACGGTATGCTGGTATGTAACATTAACACAAAAGTTAAGAAAAGGACCCGTGCCCATCATCCGCTGTCAAAAAATCGTGAACGTCGCGTGAAAATGCAAGACAACAATGTAAATATGCACAGCCCTGAAAGCATAAAAAAGAAGAAGGGGGGAAATATTTGGGGGCTTCCAGAAGAATCCTGCCTCACGGTATCTCAGAACAAAAACCAGACGATGGATGCTCGGGAAAAGTTTTGAAGTCACAATCACAAAAAGCCAACTCAAATGCATGAAATATTGAATATTGTAGGAACGATGTAGTAGTTGTAAATATGCTGGTGGGTAAATTTCCCTTTCAAGAGAACCGCTAGATTTAAGAACCCCAGAAACCCTGTGAAAACTTTCCCAAGCGTGGATGGTCACTTGGTTCCATAAAAAAAGAGATGACAGAAGCTAATAGAAGCCGCCCACACAAAGCTCCGACCGCCCAGAAGTGGTATTGAAGGAAAAGCATTAAACCATGACGTAAAGGCTTCAAATATAAATACGCGAAGTAAAGTTAAAAGGATAATTGACAATAATGTCATTGCGGATTTTAGATTTTGATTTTTGCGGGTGGGATGATTCCCTTAGAAATTTCGATGCACTGTCCGAGGAGCTTGGAGGCTTCTTGCAACAATTCCCATCTCATTTCGCCGAACATTTTTTGGAGAACAAGGAGGAGACCGAGATTGCGGTTTCGGTCTACGATTTCGGAGAGCTCGTCGGGTGACCCACGGTGTCCTACTCGAACGAGGTAGCTGCGCATGTCGCGATGTTTTTCTTGGAGTGTTTGCGGGACGTAGATGGGTGCTAGGAGTGGTCCATCGAGAGCAACCCCATATGCCCAGACAACGAGAGTTGCAAAATACAAAACCCATGGCCTATTGAGTAAATAGTCATCTCGCGCAACATAAAGGGTGGCGGCAGATGAGCTATCCTCGCCCGGTAGTGTCGGGACTGCGGGTAGCAGGACCTGTCTCAAGAATTGGAGGGCATAGTAAACTGCGTCTCTCGCCCTAGCTGTGTTTGCCCAATCTTTCATCCTCTTTGATGCTAGAGTGGAGTCGTTTCCTCCAATAGACCTGCCTAGCAGACGCTTTGCTCCAGCATAGATTTGTAGATCGACAATATCAACGTGCATCGCCATGTGGGCCAGGTGGTGCAATACGGTCCGTGATTCGAAAATGTTGTCGTGTTCCGGATCGTCATGGTTCGGGACATAGAAGTTTGCATCGTCATGGGTCCCTCGTTCTCCAGCCGGCATCTTGGATTGAAGGGACTTATCAAAGTCCGATCTCCACAAATCAAACGCCCGAGTTAGTGCGCCTCTCCATTTATCTTTTCCTCCCAGAGCTGAGGCAACGCCCAATGAATTGACTTGGAGATCTCGCTGATTCATATGCCAGCTCACACTCAATAACCCAGACATAATGATGGTTCTTCCGAATGAGTTGGTTCGGACTGTTTGTCCGTTTAGGGTTCTCTTCAAGCCTTCCAAGAACATGGTGGGCTTGACTCCATTGTTGTACAACGCCTGCTTTAGACGACCAACTTCTGCCGAGGATGTTGCAGTCCAAAGTGCCTCGTCGCAAGGAAGAGCGAGCCTCATTTCGTGTGCTACCATAACAGCTGAATGTCCGAACATAGTCGCATGCACTGAATCGAGCACAAATGCCGCGAATGCAGCTCTCTTAGTAGCCTCGCTAACGATCCAATGATTCCACCATTCGTCAGGAGTCGAAGCACCCGAGCCATGACCTGAAGAGCCCGTTTTTTCGTCTTTGATGCTTGGAGGAGAGTCAAGTGCACACCTTCCTTGCAAAGAACTGCCTCTGCGCATAAGAGTGAGTGTTGTAGCATGATGAATATGAGCTCTTTCGTGAAGCTGTCTTGTCGAGTACATTTTCTCGTGGGTCTCTAATAGTATCAATGCTTGGAAGATCCACAACTTTGCTGGAGGGCGGAAATCCGCGTGATCAAATATCTGCCATCTCAAATTCATCGCAAGAACGCACGATAGATCTGCAGCCGCACCCGATAACTCAGGGAATGTAATACGGTCGACACAAGCAGCACCAATTGCAATTATGGCAAGTAACAAAATGTTTTCTGTCTTGTCCGCTGCAAAAGTTGGCTTGTGAAGAATTGGAAGTTGTGGATGGAAGTGTTGCCAAAAGAGCGAAATGTACAGTTGCATGGTATTCAATCCAAACACATCATCGTCTTCCCCGTTCCCATTTACAAGGTTTGCGATAGTCGCGAAGTGCGAAGTACAGTGGCTAGGGATGGAGGAATCTGGGTAAGTGCTGACCACGTCAACGAGATCTTGACGCTTGTGCTCCGATAGTAGCGACTCTTGTGGTGGTGAAGGAGGTGCGAGGATGCTTGGAACAGACATAGGATGATGATATGGTGTCCCATAGATATTTTGCTGCGCGGGGAACGCCGGGTCTCCCAAGTAAAGGCCGCTGAGGAAAGGATTGGATCCATCGAGGAAAGATGCGGCCAAGTTAGCAGAACGACCTGCTTGTGAGAAACCAAATGCTGAGTCCTCAAACAACCAAGCAGCGAAATCGTCGGTAATCATGAATGGCGATCTATTGTAGCTATCCCCGCCGAAAACCGGAACCGAGAACTGAGTTGGGTCCACTACAGCTTGGGTTATACTACTAGCAGCTGTAGTAGCAGCTCCTACATTGTGATCTGCGGAGTTATTACTCGCTGGAGGTGATGTTACACCAAAGTTTTGGTTGGCTGGGGCTTGCGCCATGGTTTGATATGAAGGAGGAGGTAAAGAGAATGGCTGGAAGGCATTTTGCGGAATATATCCGTTATGAAGCATATGCCCAGAACTGTAGTTACTGTTAGTACTTTCAGTTGGGGTTTGGCACTGCTGTGCTTGTCGCTGCTGCGGGGAAGGCATATAAGGATTCGCCGAGTGAGGGGTTTGCGGGCCATAAGGTGACTGAATCGAGAGCCCAACGATATTGGGAGCTGTAATATTGGTCTGTAGCTTTGGTCGATTGTAGTTATTGTTAGCAGTCGCTTGTGGTTGATTGTTTATGACACCCATTCCAGCAAATTGTCCTTGTGGTCCGGTATCAGGTTTCCTCGAGAGATCTATACTGCCACGTCGAGCGTTCGCTGTTGTCGGCGACATTACTGTACCACCAGGACGTTGTTCATTCCGCATTCTAGCGTTACTCGTATCATGGGCGACCGGTTTTCGGGCTTTCGCTTTCGAGTCAGCTTGTTTGCTAGATGTACTCGAACCCGACATTGTGCTAGGCGATATCGCGGTTTTGACAGCAAGACTTGGTGACGGAACTTCATCCTTCATGATTGCGCCTGAGGTATCTGGGGAAGCTGAAGCTTTAAAGATCGAGTTTTTCCGCTCCTGTTTTATAACAGGCCCGTTCGAGTTTTGCATCATATCTTTCCGCTGTAATTGGGAGCCTCGGTTGGTATGTCGTTCTTGATGTCTCAGACAAAGATCCTGTCGCACAAACGAGCGGGTACAGTCCGGATAGCTACAATGATATATTTGCTTCGGTTCGTCTGGGGCACCATGCATGATCATGTTAGTTAAATCAGACACTGCGGATTTTACACGTTTCGAGGGGAGAAATAACAAGGACCAGAACCAGAACTTACGATTTAGCTGATGCCTATATAAGTGTTCAGCTCTCGAGTACGACTTTCCGCAGCCGGCGTGTGTACACTCGTATTTCTTGTCCATCCCTTTTCGACTCCTTCTTCGTTTCCTTTTCAGAGGGGATACAGCTGTCGCATCACCAGCTTCTGCGGTAATATCAACCATTTCTTTATCGGATCCGTCATCTCCCATACCGTCTACCAGATTATCATCGGAATCCCTATCCTTTTCCCTTCCTCTCTCTTCCGGCGGCGGCACCGCATGCTGGTACTGTGGTACTGCCATTTTTGCTGGGTTAAACCGTTTTGTCCTTGTTGGCTGTCAGGCGTCCTCCGACTACTGATATCCCAACGCCTCCCTCCTAGCTCGATACCAATAATAAACGCCGGAAGCACTCGATTACACAGAATTCGGTAAAAAAATTAAAATTTTAAAAAAAAAGCGGGTGTCTACAGATGTAGAATATTGAGTCGTGATCCTAGAAGCCGGGGAGGAAGTTCCAAGGTATGAGAATAAATCGATGAAGCGTCCCGTCGAGATGCCCGCGCAGCCAGTCAATGCACCGGAACACAAGGAATTACGGTTATTGAAGTGTCGGATCAGACTGGTTCCCCTCTTCCAACAGTGGCCCAAGTTCACGGGAAGGATAAAGTGGTCCCTCAAGTGGTTACACAAAAACTCTAACAGGTGATAAAAGTTGGGATTGAATGCGGGTTTTCTTTTCGGCAAGTTCTGCTCAGCTCAGATGACCATGTGATTTGATGCCAACACTAATTGATCGTCGAATGCGTTACTGATGGCGAACTGGATTGCTGTCTTGCTGGATATTCTTATTTATCCAGGATTGTGGAGAGGAATGTGAGGTTCGAAAGGATAGAGATGAAAAGCAAGGGAGGGGTTTGTTTAATGTATGCACTGCGACTCAGACTCGGGCTCCGTGCGCTACTCTGCTAGTGGAGAAAGCATCAACAATCGGGCACAGTTATGCTGGTTGCTGGAATTTGAACTCTTCGGTCGTCGCTCGAGAAGGTCATGCAAGGTGTCGCAAGGTGTCCGACAGGTAAAAGGGGTTTTCGAAACCGTCGGTTGTATAATATGACTATGCTATGCCTTCTTAAAAGAATCTGAGGCATATGCGCATGTACATGGACATGTCGTTAGCGGATGGCTGGAAAAGTCGAGAAGGAATTTGCCTTAAGAACAAGCAAATGTCAAGATGCAAGGCATCTTAGAAACAAAGCAGGGAAAAAAACCAAAAAAAATCAAAGGAAAAAAATAAAGAAAAAATAAAACAAAAGGAAGGGAATAAACGTGGAGAAAGGTATCACAGGGGAAGGGTATTGGAGATTTACAGATAAAGAATGGGAAGAGATCAAGAGATCCCAGGCATTAGGTAATGTCGTGGCAGTGTGTCGAGAATTAGAAACCGACCTGCCCTGGTGAATTCGAATTCGAAGTGCAGTGGCAAGAATAGAACAAGGAAAAATAAAAGAAAAGATCTCGAAGAATAATCCCAGCGATAAAAAAAAGATAATCAAAGGTACGAAAGGGTCCAAACAACCTCCACTTTGCATCTACATCAGCGGGAAAAAAGAGTCGACGTATACCGCAAAGGAACTGCGTGCTGGGTGTCCAGAAGTTGTTATACAGGCTGCTGGAGAAAATCGACGGCTGCGTGACAGACAGGTGATCTAGCAAATAAGAACTACATCTCACTTGAGTTTCCGAGCGATTAAAGCGGGATGGGCCACCTGTAATAGCAGCTCAAAGCCCCGTCCTCTTATTTGCCCCCTCCCTCTTAGTTTAAAATTTTTCGTTAGTTTTGAAGCAGGTCACAAAAAGGTGGTGTCTGCCCCGTTTCTTTTTCAACGTGCTAAGGCTTTTGAGCTTTGTCGCGAAGAGGAAAAAGGAATAAGGGTGCACATGGGCATGGTCCGGCAGGGAAATCGACCGGGACCAGGGCGATCAGACTGGTGCGAAAAAGCGAGAGCTGGAAAGCACTCCTCCATGGTCTGATATACGATATGCAGCTTGAACGAAAAAGATAAATACTCACCGACGTACACGTTAGAAATTTAATATTTGACCCCCCTCCTCCAGCGAGTGGCAGTAGTGGTAGTGGCAGTAGCAGTAGAAGTTTTATAATTTACACATTCGATCCTCCCAAACGTAACGACCTGCTAGAAGGTGCGGGGACTTGTTGAGATAGTACTCGCGTTTCCGAAGCGTCCTGAATTGGTCCCAATTATTACCGAACCCGTACTCTGTACATATGTGAGTGAAATGAGTATAACCACAAGGAGAAGAGTTCCGGAAGGTCGTCTTTCTGCAGATTGCCCTGGTGAGGATCTGAGGGTTATTATTGGATTCACAAATGCGGAGAAGCTCTCATATCCAAAGTGGCTCGATGCAGGTAGCTTGCAGGTCAACAGTACGTATAAAAGTACACTACTGAAATACAGCGCGGCACAGAATCAAAACGGCAGCTTCAGGCCTCAGGCTCTTGTCCTGACAGAGATAGCCGAATATGGAAAACTACCCTGGGCGGGAGGATAGGTTCGGGGCTTGGGCTGACCGAGGTTCAAGATCGGAACGGGTGTGAGGGTGTCGAACAGGAAGGTGGTTCTGTCAGCGATACATCCACAATACATCCATACATTCCCTCGGTTTTCCGGCTTCTGGAAAATTATAATAAATACGGAGTACGTACGGGACAAACGTTGCAAGACAATCCGTTCAATGGTAGAAATTTTAATTACAAAGCAAGCGCAAGGTCGGTAGTTAAACTCGTAGTCGAATAGGCAGGAGAGCTCCAGCCTGCGTCGCATCCAATCTCAAGATTAATCAATCAATCGAATCAATCAATTAATCCTTCCCTCGACTATTCTGTCGTATGGCCAGGTCTTGCATCTTGAGGTATCGAACTGCGATTAATACCAGGGAGGCTTGATATTGCAGCAGGAAGTTAGCACTTGCAATTCATCCTTGGCCCGCACTCAAAAATTTTCCCGCCGCCACTATTCCCAAATCCTCGTCTTCCGAAACAACTACAACCCTCTATGGGGAAAGGACTCTGCCTCGTCCCGTAGAAAGATCATGGGTGTGGAAGCTTAAGATCTCATGGTAAAACAATAGTAGTCGCTCTATACATAGAGTCGAACAGCCGTTTCGTTTTGAGGGCAAGCCAAAGCATCTTGGATGGCACGTTTTCTTTCTCTCCTTCTTTCCTTTCTTTCTTTCCTTCTTTCCTTTTTCTTTATTTTTTTTACCGTCCTCCAAGCAGACTAGACATGATTACCATAACGAGATGACGGACGCTGAGAAGGCAGGTGGGTCTACGGGAGCCCAACTGACGCCGTGAGACGGATATCACACGTTGTGATTTATCAACATCAGTTTGCAGGGCCGGTTACCCGTTTGAATTCAAAACCCCTAATACTTTGCCCCAACCACAACAGTCACACGTTGGGCCACCGACGATGCAGTTCGATGCAGCCTCGAAAGCGCCTTACTAACCTTTACATACAATTGGGTGTAAATATTCGGTATACGGTACAATGTAGCTGTACATATACCCCCCCTCCCCCTTCCTCCCAATATTTATGTATGCACACTCGCGTAGACGTAGTGATGTTCATTCGATGCATTCATATTGCGCGAACTTTTCCAACCACCCTGACAAAGAAGTAGACTTTCAACTGCTAGAATGCTACATAAATGCACAGGTTGCTGATAATAATTGTTCGATCAAAAAGTCAACCACTCACAAGATCTGGGCGAGATTTTACCCGCGAAACGACCCTCGCAAAAAGTGCCATGCAAGACATGGCGCACGTTGATCCGTGACCCAGAAAATTAGTTTCCTGCTCGGGCCTCCACCATTGCATCTCAGCGGATCTTATCTGAAGGGCAACTTGTAGTATCCGAGCTTGTCACTCAAAGAAGTATACGACGTATATATGTATTCTGCGATCGGATTAACTGCCTCGAACCCGCACGCTCCCTTCGATCGATGTCTTCCCGTCCAAGGAGAAACCCATTCCCAGGAATTATATGTCGACACGCTACTCCAAAGTTATCTCCCATCCTAGATCATCCTTGCCCTCCCTTGCGCTGTAGGGATCTAGGGAGAACTGTGAATTTTGGCAAATGCCTGCCGCAGCAGCTCTGGGAATGGTCAAGATGCAGATAGTAAGCCTGGCACATTCCGGCCGTCTCGTGTCTATGCAAAGTAGTGTTACTTGGCAGCATGGAGACCTGGGCGTCACGAGGAATCAAGTTTATCACAGCTTGCATCCCAATGAACGCCACACACCTACTGGAAGGTTTTGGCTCCCTTGATGATGCATGACCCCGCACCAAGATGTAGCGATATTAAGGGTGTCGTCTCTTAATATTATGTCGGGAGTACCTTCGACCTTTTTTTTTTTTTTCTTTGGGCGTGTGTGCATGCGAACAATTTGCCAACAATGAAGGAAGAGGCTGAACATCAACAGAGATCCACAAGATCCGAAAAAGCAATCTATAAAGTAACCGTCTATTTTCAAGTCGGCGAGCTGCACTCGAGCTTGAACTTTTTGGGGAAACTCCCCTCCACAACCGAGCGTTGAAATTGATGCATCCGAGTTCCAGAGATCCTTCGTCTTAACCCTCCGAACCGAATACGTCTGTCCCGTAAACTCGGGCGAAACAAAATCGCTCGTCGGCTGTTTGAACTGCTCGACGGTCATGTCTGAGGTTCGACAAGTGGGGGTCACTAGTGGGAGTGGGGGCCGCGAACCCGAACCTCTCTTCTCGCAAGCCCAAATTCTGCCTAAATGCGCGATATTCAACCTTAAACCGTAGCCTCCAGCCAATATAAAAGCCATTTTATGTTTCACGCGCTTTCCGTTTGTCAAAACGGTGCAAGGAAAATACGCACCGTTCTATTGAGCCCCCGATTACTATTTATCGAGATGTTCGAGATTGCGCGCAAGCGGCGAATACCATGAATCTGAGATTGAAGCTTGTCCAGTGACCCACAATATCCCGGCACCAATTAAACGGCTTGAATTTCATTTTCTCTGGGATTAGCCGTCCCTTTTTGGTCCGCGCATTCCTATTACCCCAGACCTGATTTGTCTTTAAAATGAATGATTCAAGCTGGGGAAGAAAGGTTTATCAATTTGGTGGCGCGCATGCAAATCCAAATATGATTGGAAACCGTCGCCCTTCGCTTGGACCTCCAGTCAAACGACACCCTCTTGCATGGAAAATAAGAAATTTTCTTCATTCTGTTAGGCAAGAAATTCAACAGCCAGAACCCTTCCTCGAAACAGGAATAGTCAAAAATTGCATCCCAGAACCCAAGAAGCCCATGAGGATACGCCGGTCGTCTCCGAGAATTCGGTTGTGATCCGTCATATCACCCCCTTCCTTCTCGCTTCCCCCACTCTCTGATGACAACAGTGTGGAGTTTCCAAGTTTTCAACCTAAGCCCACTGTATCACCATTTCGTGTGAAAGGTCGTATGTAAGGTACATATTGTCGCCTGCTGCCTGCATACGAACCAGATCCGGGGAGGCCTACACGATAAGCCATCAGGCGTCGACATCAGAGGCGGCGCGCGTAGCCACTGGGCTTGCCAAAAAGCTGGGACTTTCAGGCACGCCTCATCTGAAACTCTTTTTTATTGAAAAGTTTTCCTGCTTCCTCGGTACACCAGACCAGGCTGCATATTCTAAACGTAATCGTTCATGCTCCCATTGGACAGGGTGAAACTTCAGAAAAACTGATCCCATGTCTTGATGTCTTGGGATTAATCTTCGATACTGATCCAACATGCTGGTTCAAGAGCCACCACGGTCAATATGGATTTGGACGAGGGGTTTCCTTTTTTTGTTTGTTTCCTCCCTTCCCTTCCCCTGTCATATCATGTCAACGACTAGTCGACTTCGATGCAGCCGAAGGCCCTCAGTAAAATTGGTCCCTGCTTTTTTGATAGAAAAAATTTTTGAAGCACAGCCCGCAGCCCACTTTTTCATTAGGATCTCCACACGTGCCCTTAGATCCATATCCCACCCCAAACTGACGCCGATTTCGCACGACTGCTCGCGTGAGCTGTCCCTTTCTGGAGAAAAGAAGGGTTTTATATTGCGCTTCAACTGTGGGTCATCCAAAGTTCCCCATATCTGACATATGCGGATGCTGCCTTATTGGTATTGCAGGCTTGGAAGGCCGAGAGTGGGTTGATCTTAAGTAAGAATATCTCCTCGGGAGTACCATTGATCCGTAGACAGGGCCATGCTACATAGGAATAACTACGCTTAGTTAAGCTAAGTGGTCCAGACTGTCACTAAAAAGGTCTAAACCTGACCTCTAAACTAATACTCCATGTGGGAGAAGACAAACTGAACGGCGTTCATAGGATTATTGCATGTAATACGAGAAGGCCGAACGTTCATGCATGGTTGCTAACTTCGGATATCTGCGACATATTTTCCGTATTTCGTCCGATCACTTGTTCCACAAACATCGTCTTCTTAGCGTGGACAAAGCTAAGATGTAGAAGATACAATATTGTACGAATGTATACAATATCTTGAGATACAGCCAATTCAAAGGCGTACGCATATGAATAGGTCAAATTATATCTCTACATTAGCTAGCTGTTGCAATGATACTAGGTGCTAAGTTCGGTGTAGATTATCAACAGTAAATCTCTAGAGGAATATTATTAATGACAGGAAATATGTAGTATAAGCTGAAAACCAAAACACCCAATACTCAATAACCAAACTTTAACTCCAGAAATGTATTACCCAATCGACAAAGGTTCAATGAAAATGCTAATAAAAATGAAATCAAGCAAAAAGGACTCAAGTAGTATGCATCTTGAAAACAAGCGCAATATGCAATTACAAAGGAAATCTATTCAAAATGCATCAACCCTTCCTTAATCTCCTCGGAAATCTTCCGAAGGTCGATGTTATCGAGGTACTTCTTGGCAGCAAATAATCCAACATCTACAAACCCATTTCGCAAAGCCATTTCGAGGTCAAGATTTGTCTGTCAAGGAGGTGTTAGTTAAACGTAATTACCCCACATATTAGTAGAGAGGATATAGCAGAACATACCTGGATAACAGTATCCTTCGAGCGGAGCGCCCCCGGTATCGAAAAGTCCCTTGCAGCCGGAGTTCCAGCCGAAAGTTCAAATCGCTCAAATAAGCCCCCATCTCGGCTGTTGCCATCCAACTTATCTTCCTTCAAAAAGTTGACAAAGCTGTCAATGCGAATCCCAGTCCATTGGTAAATCTCCATCAAGTTCGTAGTTGCTGCATCGCTTGTACTGATTTTGAGCAAATCTTCCTGAACTTGCTTCGCAAGGTCAATTAGAGGGGATTTGGATGCACCCTTCACCATGAGAGGGACCATATTCAAGGTTGGCATTGTCTGTACTCCTTCAGAAGCATCGCTTAAATGACGATTGGAGAGATATATGCCGAAGATAGGGCTATCCTTCTGGACAACCTTGGAAATGATTTGCGCGAAACAGGCTATGCTCAAGGAGTGAAGGGAGATACCGTGCTTTCGGCAGGCGGCATCGATCTGAGATCCACTAGGAACCTGTCTCTCGGTATACAATTCAACCCTTTCTGTAACACCCACATCTTGCTTTGATGGTAGTGGCGTCGATTCCGAGTTTGTAAAGTATCTAATCCAGAAGTCTTTAGCCTCGGGGCTCGAAGAAGACGGAGCGAGGACTGACTTGCTGGATTTGGGGAGCACCATCTCTTCGTTTTTGTAAAGATCAGAGAGTTGGGATAGGAGGGTGGGTAGAGTGAAGGCATCGTAAAGGGCATGGTGGAGAGTGACAAAAACATAGGATTCATTTCTAGAACTGACCAAGTGCACTCTGATAGAAGGAGTGCTCATATCGTACTCTCTCACCTGTTCTTCTTGATTTATTTGCTGCAGGCTCGATTCAAGTACCGAGTCCGAATCAAAGTATGTAGAACGGAAGCTGGGAGAGGCTTGTCTGTGAACGATTTGAAAGATATCGTCCCCATCTGCAGCGAACGAAGTTCGTAGGATCGGGTTGGCGCTCACAAGTCGGTCGAGTGCGCGCTTCAACCTCGGCGACCTCAGAACTTCTGCGGACTTGAAAGAGAACGTTGGCAGAAAGATCCTTCCCTCTGACGACTCCCAGGCCTTGATCAAGAAAATTTGACCGGATGTAGCAGGAGATACGTACTCGACATCAGCATTCTTGAGGCCCGCAGCTGCAACCACTTTTTTGAACTGCACTGGTGAGATCTCAGGTTGCTTAGTAGGCTTCTGAGAGGAGTTTGGGGTGTGCTGTTTCTTGTCCAAGAACAAGCAGATTTTCCTAACAGTTGATTCCCTCAGGATTTCGCTGACGGCAATGAAGATCGAGTGCTTTCGAAGCTCTGAGGCGAGCCGGATAGCGGAGATTGAATCAATGCCAAGGTGGAAAATAGAGGTTGAGGGTTTAATGTCTTGTTCGGCAGCTTTAGCTATAGCGCTGATAGCTTTGATGACCTGACGCTCGAGATTTTGATAATTATCGGACTCTGATGGGGATTCTTCCACATCAACGCTCCGAGTCATCTCACTCTGCAGTTTCGCACGTAGATTATTGCCAAGCTGGGACCGAGTGAATCTTTGATAACCCCAGAGAGGGTTCCCAATGATTTTCTGGAGCATTGCATCGAGGGTGTCAAGGGTATCTTCTGCTTCATGTGAGGCCATGGCGGTTTCCGATGCAGATATTCTCCATGTAAGATCATCACCATTCACTTCAATTTCAACCGCAATCGCATACTAAATAAAACCCGTTAGTAGAGGCCAAAAAATCAACCCAGGAAATTCTTACCTCAATCTGAGAAGCGCCTCCGATAGACCTCCAAAGTTTGACACCTTCTTCCGATCCCTTGTTCTTTTGGTACACGAAGAGTGCATCGAACATCCTCTGCCCAGGTTCGCAGACATTCTTTTGGATATCTCGAAGAGGAACGAATTGGTGCTCTAGGCTCCGAGAGTAGCTCTTCTGCATTGAGTTCAAAACATCGGAGACATTGCCATGGAGGACAGCACGGACTGGGATTGTGTTCATGGTAGGGAACATGTACTGCTCCGATTCTTCGGTCTCCCTTCCAGAAATAACGGTTCCAAAAACAACATCGTCCTGCGAGAAGATATCAGAAAGCAAAAGGCTGAGACAGGCTTGGCCTAATACCGGCTCTGAAATTTTCTGCTCTCGACAAAATTGCGCAAACTTGGCCACAGATACTTTGGAGCTTTGTTCCGCTTTCCAGACCTGCCCATCGTTGCCAACCACCGGAAAGGTCCGAGGCTTCGCATTAGACAAGAGATGTTTCCAAAACCCAAGGCTACTTTTCGAATCTTGGTTTAGGACCTTCTCGAGGAATGGTTTGTAGTCTGGGCGAACAGTGCTTTGTTTGTCGTATTCTCGGGCGACATCGTCGAGGAGTAAACCAATAGAACGTCCGTCGTAGAGGGCATGTGAGATCGACAAGACCATCAAGACTCTTTTATCACTTCGCACGATGCCGAGGGCAAGTGGCGCCTTCCTCGACTTATGACTAGCCATGAGTTCATCCACGCGACCGGATTCATGCTCGCTAGTGGTTTCCACAACATCCCATTCTAGCGACAGATCCTTCCAAACGATCTGAATGTAGTCCGTTGAAGTTCCAAGCTCAAGGTCATGGGCTTCCTCGAAAGTAGTGCGAAGAATAGAGTTCTTCTTAATTACTGCTTTCCAGGCCGCTTGAAGCTTTTTGATATTGATTCCCCTCTGAAGTTCTAAAACGTCATGGTTGAAGTACAGAGCGAAATCCGAGCCAATTGACTCGGCGATCATAATGTCTTGCAGAGGTGTGGTTGGCAGAATCGATTCAACCTTCTTCAAACTGTCATTTGAGAGTTTCAATGCTTTCTGTGCAGAGGTTTCGAATTTCTGGAGCGTATTCTTTTTAACATCCGAGGAGCTAGTCTGGGATTTGGTGGAACTGAGGTACACGACCATCCGTTCAATAGTAGCCTCGCGCATTATGTCACTAACTTTGAGGTGAATGTTTTTCTTGAGAAGTCTGGAGGAAAGCCGGATAGCTTCAACGCTGTCGAGCCCGACTTGATAGATTGATGACTTCTCAGTAATGGCACTTTCTTCGACACCAGTAAGAATAGCGAGCTCTCGGCGAATGGAGACAGCAGCTTCAGTCCATACGAAATTTGCGGGCTGAGGGGTGGCTGGACGCTTGACTTGGTTCTCCTCGGACTTCGAATGGAACACATCACCCTCGATTTCTCGAAGAACGGCGACCTCTTGTTCTGGGTTCTTGAGTAGGTCTGTGATGCCCCTTACAATAGACTTGAGGAGTAGCGAATTTTCGGATTCATCGAGGTAGGCAGAGCTCGAGCTCACAGAAATAGTATACCGCCCGTCGGTGCCTTGTTGAATCTCAAGGGCAACTGGGTAGTCGAGTATCGCAGCAGAGTCAATCTCCCGTAAGGCCCTGTCCTCAGCTAACGGCGTAGCCGGTTGGAAAACGAACAAAACGTCGAAGAGAGGCTTGCTTCCTTGCCCGACCCATTTGCTGATTTGGCGAAGAGGAGTGTGATGGAATGGAATGCTACTGATATTGAAAGTGTGAGCCTTTTGGGCATATTCTTTCCACGTAGCTCCTTTACTGATAGGCAGATGGCAAGGGATGCTGTTAAATAAGGGACCAATACAAGTATCGATTCCATCAACCGTAAATGAACGGCCAGAAGTAATAATTCCCATAACCACCTGCTTCTCCTGAACCCTGACTAATGCTTGTAGACATGCGACTTGGAAGAGAGCTTGAGTAGTGCAGCCAAGATCTCGGGCGACTCTTTCAACATCTGACTTCGAAGCCTCAAGAGTATGGCTTATAATTTGCTCTTTGAGTTCCTTTACTTGACTCTTTGGTTCCAAAAGACTGGTCTTAGCTTCTTCAAAATGGTCTACCCAGAATTTCTTTGCAGCTGCCGTGTCAAGAGAGAGGATCCTCGGAACCGCGTCCGTGAATTGCATACGCTTAGCAGGTTGGTGGCCGGACAAGAGAGTTTCAATATCAGAAAGGATCATTGGCATACTCGTACCATCGTACAGAGCATGGAAGAGCGAAAGACGTAGGAAGTTGGTTTGGCCGGAGATATACTCTAAGCTGACTGGAGGAATAGCGAAGTCCATCATCTCGAGTGGCTTAGTGCGACTATTTCCAAGAGGTTCGTGCTGGGAACCATGAACGCTCTTCCATTGTACTTCAGATTTCTTTAAAACGACCTGCGCGATACCATCCGAGGTTTCGCAGAAGCAGGTTCGCAAGATATCAGTTCGATCAACGATTTCCTGCCATGCCTTCTTTAGAGCTTCAGGTGTGGTATTTCGGGAGACCTCAAAGCAGAACGTGTTGTAGTAAAGCGGCACGTCTGAATTCAGTGCCCGAGCAATCATACCCTCTTGCAATGGAGTACAAGGCTTAATGCTTTCGATGTCCTCTTCATTTAGTCCGAGCGAAGAGCAAACTTCGAAGCCATGTTCGATGTTGAATGCCTTTATAGATTGAAGTGCGTTTTGAATATTTTCGCCAGCGGCAAGGCCATTAGCAGACGACAAAGCCTTTGCTAAGGAAGCAATGGTAGAATCTAATGTCGAGTTAACAATTTCCCACTCTTTTTAAACCATAGGGTCATGATTAGACTTACTTTGCATCACAAGTGAAACTTCAATGTTTTGGAATCCCTTTCTCCGCAGTCTATTAGAGAACCCGACAATTGAGACAGAGTCTAGGCCGAGTTGGAAGAACGATACATTCTTGGATACGGAATTAGTGTCAATAGAAACTTCTCCCAAAGTATCGCGGATAACTTTCTCGGTTTCTGAGAGCTCCTCATCTCCAGAACTCATTTCTTCGAAGCTTTGAATGACTTCCATAGAAGTATTTGCAAAGAGATTTCTGAGGGTACGCTCGTCGACCTTGTTGTTAACAGTGAGAGGTAGCTTGGTGATAGGAAGGATGTAAGTTGGGACCATGTAGACTGGAAGGCGGGACTGGCAGGCCTGAAGGATCCTAGATCCAGTCTCAGCATCGGGGAAGGAGTGAAGTAGCTGTGTCGGTGCAGGCGACCCTCGGCCGTCGGTATTGGACTTGAAGGAGACGAATGAGACCAGCTGCTGGACTTGCTGCTGGCCGTGCTGACACACGAGGGTTACAATTTCTGCGACGTCTTTGTCTGCGCTTCGGATAGTCTCATTGATTTCTCCAAGCTCTAGTCTCTGACCTCTCAGTTTGACCTGGTCGTCTGCTCGTCCAAGGTAATCGAAACAACCATTGTGAAGCTGTCGGACCAGGTCGCCAGTCCTATACATGCGCTTGCCATTAACCCATGGGAATTTTTCCTCAGTGAGGTCTTGTCGATTGAGGTATCCATCTCCGACTAGGGCGCCAGTGACACAAAGTTCGCCGACAGCACCTTGGAGAACAGGAATCATTGTCTTCGGCTTCAAAACCATGGAACCGACGTTGACAAATTGCGGGCCAATGTTACTGGGCCTTCCATTCCTCGGGACTCTGGGATACATGGTGACACCAATTGTTGCTTCAGTGGGTCCGTATCCATTGTAAATCACATTTTCCTCACCCCAGGCATCTAGAACATCTTGTTTCAATTTCTCACCGCCAGTGATGAACACACCTCGGCAGAGAGTTGGGCAATCCTCCGGGGTAATAAGACGGGCAAGGCTTGGTGTGAGGTCGATGTGAGTAATCTGTAGCGCACGAATGGCATTTCCGAGATCCTGGAAGATGAGATCCCTTGGAGCACCAGTTAAGCAGACACCAACGCTCCAGCTCCAATATTGCTCTAGGACGCTGACGTCGAAATGAAGGGACGCGAATTGTAGGAAACGAGAGTTCTCATCCCAATGACCTTTGAACAGAGTCTGGAAAGATAACATTGCTTGAACAGCATTGTCATGAGTAATACGGCAGCCCTTCGGTGTTCCTGTCGTCCCAGATGTGTAGAGAACGTAACTGAGATGATCCGGTGTTAGATCAATGATTTCGGGCTCTTCAGTGCTGAAATATCTTGTCAAAGTTTGCAGGCTGTCGAGAGAGTAGACATTTAGACCGCTAATACCATCAAAGTCTTTAGCGAACTGTGCCATGGTGAGGACGATCCTGATTTTTGCATCCTGGACAATGAAGGACCTTCTCTGAACTGGGGCGGAAAAGTCTAGAGCAACGAATGCACATCCAGCTTTCAATATTCCAAGAATACCGAAATAGGCTTGAGGGGTTTTATCGAAGCAAATACCGATCAGATCACCCGTGGCGGCACCGTGTTGAAGTAGGAAGTTTGCAATCTTGTTACCCATGTCGTCAAATTGACGATATGTCCAAGAATCTTTGGTAACATTGTTGCCCTGGATTTCAGTAGCAAATTCCAGAGCCAATTTGCTGGGATGGCGTTTTGTGGAGGCAGAAACGAATTCGTGAAGGAACTTGACGTCGCAGGTCAACTTGTCAAATTCAGCGGGTGTGTCGGAGAGGATGGGTTGAGGGACATCACCCAAATCCATGGCATCGACTGCTTGGTTTTGCAGCATATGTAAAAGACAGTATTCGTACTGCGCAACCATGATTTCCATCTGCTCTTGAGGAAGGATATCAGTTCTACCTGTTAGTCGAAGTCCAAGATGCCCGTCGTCCGTAGGCTCAATTTCGAATGACACAGGATACTCGACTGTAGCCTTTGCATCAAGCTCCCTCCAGACTGGCCTGAGCCTCTCATTGGAGTTACTAGACTTTTGGTAGACGAAAATGGTATCGAAGAGGCCCTGCTCTGGGTGACCTAGAGCCTTCTGAATAGCTCGTAGTGGGGTGTGCTGGAACTTGAGCGTTTTACTCAGCCTTCCTTGAATCTGTGCTACTAGCGCCTTATTGTCTCCGTCAAGTTGGACTCGCATGGGAATGGTTGTAAGACAAGGGAAGACAACGTCCTCTGCATTATCTGAGCCTGTCCTCCCAGAAACGACTGTTCCAAAGCAGATATCTCGTTCACCAAAATACATTGCTAGAAGTTTTGCCCATACTGCCTGACCGACAGCGCCAAAACTAAACCCGACCTTCTTACACATATCCTCAACTTGCTTCATAGTGGTGTCGCATTTCTTATACGAATAGACGAATTCACCGGTGTCCTCGCGCAAGGGGGTCATAACTGGAAACTTCGTAATTGGGCAGTCTTGGAGAACAGACTTCCAGTACTTTGCGGCGCTCGCCACTGCTTCCTTATCCCTGGAGATCTTTAGCATCTCTTTCAAGATAGAAGAAGGGCTCGAATGGAGTACAGGCTGTGTTTTGTGGTAGAACAGGTTTACATCGTTTAGGAGGATCTGGAGAGTTTGGGCATCATAAATGGCGTGGAGAGCGGTGAATATCATGTGCGAAGCATTCTCGCCCGGGACAAGCGTAACACTCCAAGGAGGGAGCGCAATATTCGAGAGGGCTTTCTGGGCTTCTTCCTTTTGAACCTGTTTGACGAACTCCTCGACGGGAATCTGGGTTTGAACCTTTCTAACCAAAGAAGTGGAAGCAGATTTATAAGTGATCATAGCGTAATGACCGCCGTCAACCTCGTGTTCAACAAAGCCAGTTCGAAGAACGTCATTTTGCTCCGCAACTTGAATCCAGCTATCCTCAAGGCACTCAATGTTTACACCATTCTCAAGACGGAAAAGAATAGCGTTATAGTAGAGTGAACCTTTAGACTGAAGGAACTGGGTCAAAATACCCTCTTGCATTGGAGAGCAAGGAAGGACGTTCGCTACTTTTTCCCGAGGGACACTAGTAGAACTACAGACGGCATCGATGTGCTGCTGTTTGAATGATGCGAAAATATCTTGGTGATAGGACGCGGATATTGGATTCTTCTTGCCTGAGACATGGTCCCTTAAACCTCGAATTGTTGGACACTATATAAATAGGAATTAGTACTTGCTTCCAAAATTTAATATTGGATGTCTGGGAGCTTACCTCGATGATATCGAGAACACTGGCATTGACTCCAATGGCTTTAAGAGATCTTGCAACGTTCAAAGCACTAATGCTATCAAGTCCTAGCTGGTAGATAGTGGTATCCATACCGATGGTTTCTAGCTCTGAACTTGAAGCTTCTGCGAAGACGTGTCGGATTTTTGTTGAGAGTTCATCGAACACCTCGTCAGATGCGCCAGCCTCCGCCCTTCTTCCAAGAGTAGAGATATCCGTACGTCTGAAAAGCTCTCCCAGAGATCTCTTGTCAACCTTGGCAGCTGCAGACAATGGAATCCAGTTGATAGGGAAATAGATATGCGGAAGCATATACTGCGGCAAGGCGGCTTCCGCAACCTTTCTAGCAGCTCTTTCGATATCTTCCCAATCCGCAGGATCACAATCCTGAATGCTTGGAGGGTCGAGACGGTTCTTGCGGCTCGCAAATGACAAGAAAGTCACCAATTGCTCCTTCTGTTCATCGGAGTGCTTGAGAACTAGGGCAACGACGTCTTTAATAAGCGGATGAACATCACGCAAGACGGCACTAACTTCCCCGAGCTCGATTCTGAAACCACGAAGCTTGACTTGATCATCCTTGCGGCCGATAAACTCAAAGGTTCCATCTGCCAGCATTCTGGCGAGATCTCCAGTTCTGTAGAGACGGAGCCCGGAATCTAGAGTGATAAAGCTGCTGGCTGTCTTAGCCTCATTTCGGTGATATTCACGGGCCAGTTGTGGGCCGCAGATACACAGCTCTCCTGCTGCCATACGAGGAAGAATCACAGGCATATCCTTGTCCAAGATATATAGGGACATTCCGTTGAATGGCTGTCCAAAGTTGGCAGCTCTGATATCCTTGTCCACATTGACGATCGTGCAAAGCATTGCAGCCTCTGTAGCTTCATTAGTATTTACTCTCGTAGATATGATATTTGCAATATTTCGACTTACCCGTAGGACCATATGAGTTAACACATCTCCCCGCCCAATCCTCGACAATCTTCGTTGGCATCGCTTCACCAATGCAATATAACATTTCAACCTCGGGGAGCTCACTCGCGGTAAGCGTCGCAGCAACTGATGGCGTTAGATCCAAAAAGCTGATCTGCAGCCTTTTTACAGTGGCCTCCAGCTCTCCGAGGAGATATCGCTTGCTAGCAGATACCATAGTGAAGCCGACAGTCCACGCTAAGAAACAATCGAAATAGCACATGTCGAAAGTAATTGCTGCGAATTGTAACAAACGAGAATCGCGCCGCAAAGGGAGAAGAGCAATGGACTTTTGGATGGCGTGAACAACGGCACCGACCTCAAGAGAGACAGCTTTGGGTTGACCTGTGGAGCCAGAGGTGTAGAGTCTATATGCAAGGGATCGTTCTGTCAAGTCTGGTACTTGTGGGTTTTGTGGTGAGAGCTTTCCAAGGGATTCTTCGTTGGAAAGGTCAAGAATTTTGACGTTTTCATCAAGCCCAAGTTCGTCGAAACGATCCGGGATCGAGAGAACATATCTTGCTTGGAGTTCCTCGATCATAAAAGTCTTCCTTGCTACTGGCGCAACGGGATCGATTGGGGTAAAGGGGACACCAGCTTTCATGCATGCGAGAATACAGGCGTAATATAGTGGGCCTTTGTCCAAACAGACGGGTACCGCCTCATCGCGAGCGACCCCATTTTGTAGGATGAGGTGAGCAATGCGGTTCGATGTCTCGTTTAATTTCTTGAACGTCCACGATTCGACCTGGTCCGTCTCGTCGTGTAGGAATTCCAAACAGCTGTTTTCCGGAGTTTCTGCCGCATGCTTCTCGAAAAGATGGTGGACGAAGAGGTTGCGATCAGAGATATCTACTGGCGCATTCCCAGAGGGCTGGCACATAGACAAAATCTCTGGCTGAAGATTAGAATACCTTGTCGTCCTGCCCGATCCTAATGACTCGAAGGTCAAGATACCCAAGAATTCTCGGGCGATGATGAGAGCAGAGTCCCCAGTGACAAAAGCTCTTTATGTAAAAACAATCGTTAGAATACTATCAACGATATACGGTATTTTCTCTCTCGTTGTGGGTATAAAACTTACGGATCATAATGCACAGCAAGCCTCACTTGGTCTGTTCTCTTATTGAGCATGATTTCTAAGTGGACAATGAACTAAATTGGCCGTATTAGCACAGATCATCCAGATTAAATCCAAAGGGTATCACAAACCTCTGAATCCGCGGCCGCCCTCGCTAGATACGGATTTTCAGATTCCGCTGAATAAACCGAAATAACAGATTCGTAGACATCCTTCCGGTTGCCTCGGGGTCCATTTTCGAGTTCTCGTCGTACGTCGTCGTCTGTCTTGCCCGGAGAAAATGCAACTTCTACTGAATATGCAGATTTCCGCCATAGTTTACATAGGCATGATCCCCGCTCCTCTTCTGGGATTGGCGATTCACTAAGAAAAGCCCCAAAGGAAACCTCTGGCTCACCAGTATATTGTGAAAGTAACCTCGCCCAAATTGACTGGGAAAGATATCCCACAGAGACACCAAGGGCATCGCATCGCTCTCCGAGCGTGCTCAAAGGAATACTGTAAGTGACGAGACATTTCTGCGAAGTCCTACTTCCTCTGGGCGGCGGCACTGCTCTGCCTGTGAGATTCGGAAATACAACAGGTACAGCCGTTGCGCGTTGCATAGTTTGGGGCAGATCCGTCCTCATAGGGCCGACGCTAATAACCGGATTTACGCAAACCTTGTCCGGAATTATCTGGAAGATTAAAATTAAGTATATTATGAGATAGCCCAGAGCTATCGAGGGCCGAGTTGTATGTTTAACAGCAAAGGAACGAACGAAAGAGAGAAAGAAAGAAAGAGGGAACAAACTTAAGAACAAAGAACGATAATAGATGAGCGATTTCAAAGCTTGCGGAGAATCTGATCTGATTGATATGATATGATATTAGCGAAATCTAATCATCTGATTGCATTGATGGTACGTTGGAAGTTTTGGTGTAAATGTCCCCCCAATTATTTGATTTGTGGCGTGCGCGTGATGGTGACCAAAACTCCAGTGTGATAACTTTATACAGATCGCTTCAAGCTAAGGCAACGCCATCCGCTGCGATATCGCATGAAAACAGGTTCCTTCAAAATGTCTAGGTAATTTCTCAGGAACAGACTTTTGCCGACTGGTATTTCCCTAGACTCTCCGTCAATCTGTATGTTGATTTGCCAAGTTCGTGGGCCAAAAGTCTTTGACTAATTGATGGATGCTTTAGATTAAAAAACTGTCGGTAACATTTTTTCTTCTCCTCGTTTCTTTGAAGATTTTCAAGAGCTCTGTCTCTGAACCTCCAAAACAGGCCGCTGCTTTGCAGAAAGGCACTAGATCCCAGCAGACGCAATAAAAAACGAATTATATTTCTCTCAATTTTGTTTCGTGCGTTAGATTCTGGAAACTCGGGTTCAACGTACGATCACCGCCGCTGACTAGGATGCAACAAAGTTCTTTCAGGCCTTGATACCAAGAATGAGCCGTGGTTGACGTTGCGACAAAACCACCTAGAACAGATCTAGAATCGGAACTTGCCTTCCTCATCTGTAATCTGCAAGTTGCATCGTTGGCAGGCATTCTTGCATGTACGACGCCCTTACCGTGCGTCAAGGGCTGTGGGGGTTTCCATTGCTAGTTGCTTTCAACACCCGGCCATTCGATGAGTTAACATTTACTCTAAAGATTCGCGTGATTGAATAAACCACGCGAGGGCACCGCTGTCTATATCCTTGTCGATGAGCTGCGGGAGGCGAACGACGAAAAGCTGCAGCCTACGAACATCAGGGTTAGTGGGATCGGGTCAATGTCATCATTCGTCGCTACACCGAGTAAATGTTCCGGTGTGGCTGCATGTGCAGGCGAAGCTTAAGGGTTCGGCTCCCATCGTCTACCCTGCATGTCGCCTTATTCTATTCGACAGGTGCGAGGCCTGCCCACGATACCTGAACCATTATTCAGCATGCTGATCCATGTTCTGTCGTCCTATCGGGCTCCTTGCACGGCCTTTGTCCTCGGACTTACGATTGTCTGACTGAAAGTTCGGGATTCGACGTCGGGAACGGGTTCGCCCAGACCTTGACGGCCTTCTTGTTTATGCCACGACGGTTCTTGGTTCCTGCAGGCAGAGGTCCATGTGGACCACACCCGTCTTGAAGCTTTGTGCTACAGAAGACATGGACGGTTTTCCATTACTCCATCCGATACCACACCCGGACTAGATTGGTCAATCGCTAATTAGCTCCATTTTTCCAAGAATTTTTTCCCGGGCGGCTCGTAAAAAAATACCCTGACGAGGGGACTGCCTTGAAGCTTAATGAGAACATTCGAAGCTAACAGGTAGGTCATGTCCATCGCCCATCGCCTAATGCTCCGCTCATCAACAAAGTCAGCTCCAATTTCCTAACAAGCGTAACCTGCATTGGAAACTGGATTTTGCGTACTTGTCTTAGAGGCGTTCTGCCAGAGACTTTTTAGATACATCTTGATGATCTGATAAAACAATGACAGGGAGTTGCATGTTAGTGCTTGCTTGGTCTGTGATCAAATTACCTAGATCAATCTGACAAGAAATTACGACTAAACCAGGCGGGAACGTCGAACCATGCCCCACGTTTCATCATGGACCCACTTCATGATCAATCTGATAATCCGTCCGCTTCCCTTCCCTTACGAACGGCCGCGGCATCCTGAACTCTTGGTAATTCCCTTGACTTTTCGGTCACACCTCACTCTCTAACTCTGGCCACCCCAGAGCAGGCAACTTGTTAACAGAAAAATTCTTGAACCTTGAAAAATTTTCTTCACACCTAAAGCATCATCTCCGTCGATATGCTGCTATTCTTTCCCTTCCATACGAAACAGGCATGTGCTTTTCGCCAAGCGATCAACGATGATCTGATAATGTCAGCCAAGCGGCCTTCAATCCTTGCCTTTGAAAAAAAAAAATGTGTCAAGGCATTAAAAGCCCAATAGAAAATCAGATGCATCAGATAAGATCCGATACCGGAGAATGCCCACCAATAATTCCCGTATTATCCTTTTTGAGTAACCATGACCAATTTTGACATCGTTCAACGTTATAATGTGTATCAAGGGTCCAAAGAAAAGCTCGCAGACAAGTTTCCTCTTTGTTTGGGGGCACCAATGAAAAATTCAACTTGAACCCCTCAAAGAAGAAAAAACAAGCGGTTTCGTAGACGCGCTAAAAGCGAAGGTTTGCATTTACAAAGCTAAAAAAATTTAAAATGTACCTGCAAGAGAGGGAGTTCAGAGGAAATGAGCAAGTAAATGTGGAGCTGCGGAGCAAGGAAAAAAACAAAGCAGACATGACTATAAAGAATTTTTACGCCATAGCTTCCCTGCATCTGCATTCACAGTGTTGCTTATGTTGCAGATTTTAAGACCGAGCAGGAGGGTCCATGGCTAACGGTTTACCGTTTGAGCTAGTTCCTTAAGACCGTATATACTCTTTGTGTATCCCGCTGTCTAAGTAATAATGCGCATGCGCACACCGCTGCATAAGATACCGATCATGCGATTGTCGTAGCATGCCCTTGGTCTTGGAAAATTCCAGGAGGGAAAATTCGGGAGGCCCTCTTCCGTATTTGACTCGGGTGAATTAACTGGGGCGGTGATTTCTCCAAAGAATCTCTTATATAGAAGCAATTGGCATCTCCTAGTTCAAGTTCTTGCGAGCTGCCTTTTCAATTGCGTCACACCTATTAATCTTACAAACTTTTCAGCGGCAAGATCAAGGAGGCTGACATTTGCCCTGGCCCTTATATTACCGGGACACATATTTTCCATCTTATCTGTAAATCTTGTTAAGATAATCTTTGTCTGGTACGTTTTCTTTCAGGAGGCTATAATTCACCTCACTATTATGTCAAGCCTCAGAAGTTAACTAGAAAGCTAACATCAGAACTACGACATTTCAACACAAATTCAGATCAATTTTATAATTTCACTTCCTCCTTCTTACTTTCCGTCCTTAATTCAACCGATATCTTCTACAATACAGAAAGAAACAAAGAAGAAAAAAAATGGGTCAATACAGCGTTGAGTCCCACGAAAATGGCGAGAAGGTTTATGACCTTATTTGCGTCGGCTTTGGGCCCGCATCTCTAGCAATTGCTATCGCCATTCAAGAAATGCTCCCGGAAGCACGCCCAAACGTCCTATTCCTGGAACGGCAACAGCAATTCGTCTGGCACTCTGGGATGCTTCTTCCCGGCTCCAAAATGCAAATCAGCTTCATCAAGGACCTTGCAACTCTTAGAAATCCACAATCCTCATTTACCTTTTTGAATTATCTCAAAGAGAATGGCAGGCTTTTGGACTTTATCAATCTAGGAACTTTCCTACCATTGCGAGAAGAGTTCAATGACTACCTGCAATGGTGCGCTAGCAAGTTTGCCAACTTGGTTAGCTACGGCGAAACCGTCACTTTGGTTGAGCCAGTCAAGAACAATAACACCGGCAAGGTCGACAACTTTGTTGTCCATTCAAAAGTTGGAGGAATCGAAGAAACAAGAAGGGCAAAGCATGTCGTCGTCGCTGTTGGTGGGCGACCACTCCTGCCAAAGCCGTTGCCAGAATATCACCCAAGAATTGTGCATTCGTCACAATACTCTTCGCGAGTTCCACAAAACCTCACAGACCGAAATGCTGCTTATCGCATTGCGGTTATTGGAGCTGGTCAGAGTGCGGCTGAAACATTCTCGGATGTTGCCTCCAGATACCCTAATGCCCAAACCACAATGTTCCTCAGAGGGGATTCTCTGAAACCCAGTGACGATAGTCCATTGTAAGTCTTGTGCTATTGCATATCATGCGCCCGTTCGTTCATGCACTTGATCAAATGCTGACATACATTAGTGTTAACGAAATCTTCAATCCTTCTGCTACGGACAAATTCTTCCAAACCCCAGCTGCAGAACGCCACCAGCAACTAGTCGAGAACCGTGCAACAAACTATAGCGTTGTTCGCCTCGAACTCATCGAAAAGATCTATAATGATCTCTATGTCCAGCGTCTCAGAGATCCATCTGGCGCTAGCTGGAAAATGAATATCAAAAACCACACGGAAGTCACCGGCTTCAAGAACCTATCTGAGAAGACTGTGGGTCTACAGATGACCCACCGAGAAAATGGCCTTGAGACTGTTGAGAACCACGAGTTTGATCTTGTGATTGTCGCGACAGGATACGCTAGAGATATGCATCAACAAATTCTTGACCCAACTCGGGAATTGCTTGAGGATGCTACAGTAGCGAGATTCCCGATAAACAGAGACTACAGGGTACAGTTCTCTGGAGAGAAAGTCAGCTCGGATGCTGGCATCTATCTTCAAGGATGCAATGAAACAACACACGGGGTAAGCATTTTCTCAAAAAACAACATATCACCTTCCTCCTAAGTGCTAACAAATTGCGAACAATAGTTGAGTGACACACTCCTCTCCGTCCTTGCCGTGCGTGCAGGAGAAGTGGTTGAGTCGATTTTCATGAAGTCAGCCTCTAACGGCCATTCGAATGGTCATTCTAACGGTCATGCCTCGAAAGTCTCAGCAAAGAAGGCAGAGGTTTACACCAATGGAAACGGCCATAATGGCGTAACTTCAAACGGATACCACTGATTTACTGTTGCATTTGCTATTTTGCTTTCTATTTCCATTATCCTTCTTCTTATTGGGCGATCCTCGTGGATATCTCGTGAGACCCCCATGCATACCATTCAGCGATAAAATTCCATAATGATTCCCTCATCCTTGTTGTAATACGATATACCTGGATTTCTACTGGCTCGATCCTATTTGTTTTTTTTGTACTATTTTCGTCGCAAAAAGTTCCTAAACATTTAATATTATGATACCCATCGGGTCAAAGTCATAGGCATGGGAGAGGGGTCGATGGCCGTGGCCTCTGCTTGAGACATGCATATGCATATTCGCTGCATGGAGAAACCAGGCAGACAGACCCGCGTGTAACGATCACCATGCGTTCAAAAAAGGCTTGAAGGACAAGAAAAAAGAATATTCCCTGATTTCCTCATGCATCAAGGCGAGGGGTTACCGACATGCCAGAACACTTTTTTCCAAAAACCCGCACCGTATTAATTTAGTTTATCCCATTACCAATTGTCATCTTAATCCATAAAACCTTCTTTTTTCTTTCGTAATGATACAAAAGCAAAGTGACGTTGGGAATGGACCCACCCCAGACTTTCCATATACCCGCTGAAGGTTATCCCGCATGCCACGCCTGATAAACAAGAAAAATAAAACATACAGATACCCCCATGCTAAGTGCTCCATCGACCAATGATAATGAGCATATTTGTCAGAAATTCTGTCTAGATCGAGAGACGCCACACCCACCCCGCCTTAACGTCTATCATGCAAAGTGATGAAACACACAAGCTATTCTAACCGAATAACAAGCTCGCCGCTAGCTCCACATCTCCATTCGCAGTATTGAGCGCCTGACGAGCTTCTGTTTCCGAGAACCCAAGACTCGTAAGCTGCTCAATCTTTTCAGGTGCGTGGTGTGTCTGCCTGCCTGATGGTAGTGGGGGCGGGTTGACCGGCGTCGGAACTGGAGAGGGAATTGTAGTTTGCGAGAGTAAAGGTTGAGGGGCTGAGGCGGATGATTCCGATGTGGATGGTCCACCAACTGAATGTCCAGGGCCCTGGAAGTTTGGATTCACTGCGGGAGGGCGGATCATTGCCCCGCTTTGACCGCCTACCAGACTACCGGCGGGACCTTCCACAACAGGCTCATCCTCCTGTCCTGGAGCATCAAAGCTGCGCGGACATTCATTTTCCGGGAGGAAAGGAATTTTTGTCTCGCCAAATTCCAAGAGGTTATCCTTTAGGTTTATGCTCGCTTGATGACGCTTGAGCATATCCAAGCCCAATAGAAGATCAACATCCTTCCCCTCCATTACCGTGAACGAGCACGGCAAGTACTGATCACCAAGCTTGATTTGCGCCGAATGAACCCTTCCAAGGATCTTGGCTGTACCGACACCCTTTGCGATACCGGCAAACCTTCTGTCAATCAATCTCATGATATTGCAATCCTCGGCACACTTCGGTGACATGATGGTGGCTTGAGCACCCGAGTCGACAAACGCTTTGACTGGGTGACCGTTCACCTCTACTGGGACGTAAAGCATCGTAACACGGCCAAAGGATTCCGGGTTGTATTCGAGCGCATTCTGGAGGTTCTCTCGGACGGCTTCTTCACGTATGAGCTCTTCTATGCGTCTTTGAGAGTCTATGTTGAACGGGTCGTCGTTTAATCTTGCCTATTGTCCCAGATTAGAATGTGTTCCTAAAATAACTGGAATACGATTCCGTACTATTTCATGTTGCTTCTCTCTTTCAGCATCCCGTCTTCGGCTTTCAAGCATTTGGAATATCTGAGAGAATCTCTGCGGATCATTCACAGCTTCTGCAAGCTCTGGCTGCTGCTCTCTCAGCTGGCTCATCATGTTCTGGTCACCTAACAGCCTCAACCTAATAACTTCGGAGTCTGTCATAAAATCTCCACCTGTATTTCTAGCTCCTTCGGCTGGACCGGAAGCAGCAACCCTATGTGCTTGTCGTAGCGCTTGTATTGATTCTCTGGTATGTAGCTCCAAAACGGCATGATCAACCAACCCGTGTTCCTGCAATGTTTTCTCGCCATCAGCAAGCAGATGACCATCACGATAGAGGAACATCTTGTCCGGAGTGATTTGGTGCATGATTTCTTCGGCTATGAGGGTTTTTAACGCCGCGAGTTGGAAATCTGGGAAGACCTCAAGGCTGAGGCCATCCTCCGGTAAGAGGCTCGATACAATAGAGAGGATCCTATTAACCAGTATTAGCCCTGAGCTTGTAATCGCGTCTCGTTACGGCATCAACAGACATTTCGTCGTTTTCTTCGGCGTTTTGTGTTTATCTGGTGAAACGAGGCGTGAATATGAGTGATGGTTGAAGCTATGATGCTGACACCAAAGCTTGAGGTAGAAATGAGTGATTGAAGCCTCGTGGAAGGCGTGGATATTAAGTGGCGGGCTGTGCTATGACGCCAATGGTGGGGTTTCACTGAGATGGTGTTTGTCTCTGCGACATCCACCAAAGAGGGAAGTATGAAGGCTTGTTTGCGCCGGCCTTTTCTTTTCCCTCCGACCTTTCCTTTGCCTTTTTAAATTTTTTAGTCCTTCAACTAGAACTCAACTTCTAATATTTACATCTCATCGACACGGACACGTAATCTGATGACAGAATCCCATGGAAACAGATTACGTGATGGTAGGTATGGCTAGAATGAAAATTCCTTTGACGAATTGCTATTCGAGCATGTTCCCTGCAGCGAGCCTGTATTTAGGAGCAATGGCGAGAAAAATCATCTTGGTGGTTGGGCTAGTGGCTAACATCAATGGGAATCTCCTAGAGTCGATGTACCTGTGAGTGGGTCCATCGTTGAATGGCCCAGGGTAGATGACTTCAAAGCCGGTCTTCTCCTATCCAATACCTCACTCCACCTTCATTCCCCTATCCTACGAATCTGTCACCGCCTCTGGGCAAACCCGTAAACGAAAGAGGACCAAGAGTCTAGCCACGAACGCCAGCGAGAACATAGAAGGAGAAGAAGAAGAAGGAGAAGAAGGAGAAGAGCAAGCACAAAACAAAGAGGAAGAGGAGGAAGGGCCAGTTTCAAAAGCTGGAAATGATGCTGGCTTACGTAGTCTCGCTACACCACGAGACCGGGTGCCGACGGCGGCCTCGTGGGCTCCGACCGGCGCACATAAGCTACCACCCGCACTGACTACGAATTCGGACAACACTGATGATGAGATGCTCGACGGCGACGATGAAGATGCCGATGATGATGATGATGACGACGACATCATCGACGGGAAACGTAAAAGGCTCGCCAGCAATCTAGAGCATCGCATACGTAATGCTGGGTATGCAGACGACATCATGGAAAGGTTACCACCAACTCAGCCCACGTCACTACAAGCAAAGCATCTGAGCAATATCAATACCTTACTCCATCTCTGCATCCTCCGACGGGATTGGGGGAGGGCGAAACGGGCATTTAGGCTGTTGCTGTTGAGTGATTCGGAGACGGATGTCAAAAATCTGCGACTCAAGACGATCTGGAAGCTGGGGGTAGAAATCCTCAGTTGGGAGTATCAACGGCCGGTGGATGTCGATAGCCAGCACGAGACAGACGGTTCTGGTGATACAAATAGCTCTAAGAGGAGCTATGCTAAGGCGGTTGAATACATGGACAGACTGGTGATCATGTATCCTCACTACAAACACTATGTTGTCGGAAAGGGCGTTAATGCGACAACGATCCTACCGATCTTAATGCACTTTGAGATCCTGGCATTACATGAAAAACTCTCGACTGCCCTGAAGAGTGGCGAATCAGGGGTAGTCTTGGATGTTATCTCAGGGATCGAAGCACTTGTTGAAAGGTTGAAAACCTTGCAAGAAACCCCTCCCTGGGTTGATATGGGGGACTTGTGGAGACTTCGTGGTCAATTGTATACATGGGCGGCTGATTTGAGCCTGATGCTCCTGAACGACCAGGAAGGACACATCCGATACAAAATAGCTGGGCACAAGTTGTCCCAGAGAATGAAGGAGAGGGGGCTACCAGGATGGGAAGAATATTCATCCGAACGCGACGAGGTTTTGATTGAAGATAATGTCGATATCCAACTCTAACAATACCAATTACATATTTAACGATATACATGTACATGATTTGATACATAGAAGAATTAGAAGGGTTACCTCTATCTTTTTTGGGGGTATAGGTGCATGATTGGGCGCAGTACCTACATATAGAGTATCAGTTTGACGGATCTATTGACCACCATATCGATAATATTAGAATACAAAATGTCTATTTATGTTGCATTGGTATACCGGTACCGTATCAGAGTTATTCTTCGCAGTAGCATATATATAATTACTTCTGGTTTACGAGATAATATCTGGCCAGGGCTACTATAGGACGCAGTGTATAGTCACAAATTGGTTGGTAAGTACCATGGTGGCACGGAATACTACTTATATAGGTCGGTTCCAGCCAAAAACAGCTCGTCAATCTACTAGTATACTAACTATCGACAACTTCTATCTTGAGCATAGATTTTCAAACAATTATCTATGACTCGCATGCGGGGAGCTGCGCACGGTAGCTATAACTAAGTACAGGTCGGGGAGATGTGTGTATACAATTTTAATATTTTAGGCGCCGTGGATGCGATTCATACTCCTGATCTTTCAATGACACTGGCCCGGCTGTCCGTTTGTCTGATGATTAAATATAGCAGCACACATTTCCTACTGATTTACCTTGCAACTTAAGAATAGAACTATCGATAAAATAGACCATGCGGAGAACCCCCCCATTCGAATATCGATACCATTTGCTGACAGATTTGCCCGTTGTATCCTAGCGATATACTGAAGGTATAACATTCACATCGCATTCCGTACTGCAACTGAACTAACTTTGAAAGGAGTTTTCGAGTCCCAAAATCTTCGGTAGCATCGTACAATCCGACTGGGTCATTGAATGTAAGCAGCCAAGACTTGATATATTACCAGGTGAGTTATCAATATCCACTCCGGCCAGCGATCCAGTATCGGCGGACGTCTGGTTCCTGCAGATATGCTTGTTTCAGGATTCCAGATTCACGTTCGAAGTAACTCTCACAGGTAACCTGCGGGAGATACTACGTAACTATTTGCCGGCTGGGTCTTGAAACAAGCCAATTCCTGGTCGTGACAGGACATAACTGCACCTGTGCACTGTGGGACTAATATCGCCACGGCAGCTGTCCCTCAATTAGGTAGCTCTCTTTCTTAGTGCCATTCGCCTTTGTACTGTTGTTGGAGGGCCATCAGCCGCCCGCCGTGCCAGAGAGAGCTTAGTTTGGGCCATACTTACATGCTGTGCGTCCCTTAAAGGCCTTCCCTTTCACACCCTTTTTATTTTATATTACCATGGTTTTCCCGCAGGAGCTGCTTCTCAACTTCGCTTCTTCATCATCAGGCTCCACTTTCGGATATCCACTGACGTCTTCTCTCCGTCGAAAATCGCAGTCAAAAGCGGGGATTGCAGGTGGTGAATGGTACTTGCTTAAGTAGGTTGTTGTGGAACTGAGCGCTGGATCGGACGACCAAATAGCCGTGGAGTTCCTAGCTAAGCGGGCGGGTACCTGAGTTGCTCCAACTGAACTGAACTGAACTGAACTGAACTGAGCTGCGAACGATTTCCACACAGCCCACCATTTGTTCCTTATCACCACCACCACCACCGCCCCCTCAGACGACTTCTCCATCCTTCAACAGCCTCCCAGGAGGACAACTACAGCCATGGCCGGACTTCACCAAGCTCCTATGATTAGCTGCCCTTTGAAGACTACACAGGAAATCGACTGGGTCACCCCTCTGAAGAACTACATCCGAGTAACCTATGGCGACCCCGAAAAGTACAACGAAGAATGTGCGACGCTCAACCGCCTACGTCAGGACATGCGAGGTGCAGGAAAGGATTCAGCTGCTGGACGAGATCTTCTATACCGCTACTACGGCCAGTTAGAACTGCTAGATCTACGGTTTCCCGTCGATGAGAATCATATTAAAATCTCATTTACATGGTATGGTACTCCGTACCTTTGGCGCTTATACGAACGCCCGAATATAGACAGATCGAGAAAACTTAGAATAGAACACTGACACTCGGATCAGGTACGACGCCTTCACACATAAACAGATCTCTCAGTACTCCCTCGCATACGAAAAGGCTTCCATAATCTTTAACATCTCTGCTGTCCTATCTTGTCATGCCGCCAACCAAAATCGCTCGGAAGATGCAGGGCTTAAAACTGCTTATCACTCATTCCAAGCATCGGCCGGAATGTTTACCTACATCAACGAGAACTTCCTACACGCTCCGTCATCCGATTTAAGTAGAGAAACAGTCCGGACTCTTATCAATATCATGCTTGCTCAGGCGCAGGAAGTGTTCTTGGAAAAGCAGATCGGCGACGGGAAGAAACCGGGCATGCTAGCTAAGTTAGCGGCCCAGGCTGGATTTTTGTACTCCCAGGCCGCCGAAGGTTGTTCAGAGAATACCGCAAAGGAAATATTTTCGAAATTTTGGTTAGGTTTGGTTCAGGTACGATGACAAAACTCGCTGAAGGCTTCTATTTTAAGGTGCTGACGTGTTTTCAAGGCGAAAATGAACTATATGGGATCTATCGCCCAGTACTATCAAGCTCTACACGAAAACACTACCAACCAATTTGGTATTGGGCTTGCCAGGATGGGCGTTGCAGAACGTCTGGGACGGGATGCTGTCAAGAATGCTGGCACGGTACCGTCGTCTGTTCCAGCAAATTCCAATCTAGTTACCGAAACTAGCGCCATAGTCACGGATATGATGAAGCGACACCTCAGTTTGGTTCAGGAGAAAAGGGCAGAATTCCAAAAGGATAATGATTATATCTACCACCATACAATACCCAGTGAGACATCTTTATCGGCTATCTCCAAGCTCCCAGCTTCGAAAGCGATACCGGTGCAGGAACTGTATGCTGGACAAGATATCCAACGTATAATAGGTCCAGATATATTTTCAAAGATCGTGCCGATGTCGGTGACAGAGTCAGCTTCTTTGTATGACGAGGAAAAGGCCAAACTTATCCGCGCTGAGACCGAGAAGTGCGATATCGCCAACTCCGAATTAGCAGCTGCATTAGACTACCTAAAACTCCCCGGCAGTTTGAAAATGCTGAAGGGTGGATTCGAGGAAAACTTTGAGGTCGATCCTGAGTTCAGAGCTTGGGCAGATGAAATCGCGGCAGAGCCTCTTCTCGTCAATGTATTTGACGAGCTCAAAGACGACAAATTGCGAGTAGAGGAAGTTTTGATGCAGTGCGCCAAGGCATTAGATACTGAAGAAGCTATTTGCGAAAAGATGAGATCGAAGTATATGGACGATTGGATCCAGCAACCATCTCTGGTTCTAACACAAACCCTACGAGAAGATATCAAGAACCTCTCGAATGCAATCGATGCCGCTAGCGAGAGTGATGCAGCTCTGCTGAATCAGTATACTCAGTATGCAGACGACATTGAAGATCTGAGAGTTGCCAGCGAAAAGGAAGAAGTGGACGTCCTTTTCCAGAAGGCATTGGTAAAAAATGGATATCGGCTCGATAAAAGGAGTACTCCGGCACAAGAAGGGAGTTTGCTGGATGTCGACGATTCGGGCGAGATCAGCGTTATGGCACAGATCGAGAGAGTTGAAGAGCTACTCAAGAAATTAAACCTCATCAAAAGAGAACGCATGCAGGTCTTGAAAGATCTCAAGGAAAAGGTAGGGTTCTCAATGTTTAGTGCAGTTACGGATGGATAAGCTAATGTTTCCCAGGTCCATAATGATGATATCAACCATGTTCTCATTCTCAACAAAAAGGCAATGGGTAACATTGAGGGACAATTATTCTCTTCAGAGCTCGAGAAATTCAGGCCACACCAGAATCGTTTGCTGCAAGCCACCCACAAGCAGCAATCCCTGATGAAGGACCTCACCGCAGCATATGGTGAACTGCTACAAGATAAGCGGGTTCGCGCTGAGCAATCGAGATACGAAAAGCTGGCAAAGAACAAAGCTGCCGTGGTTTCAGCTTTCAAGAAAGTATATAGGGCATTTTTGGACATCCAGTCCGGTCTGGACAAAGCTAAGAGTTTCTACGGTGAGATGAAGGATACGGTCGACAGTCTTGACAAGAATGTCGATGTATTCGTAAACAACCGAAGACAAGAAGGTGCAAATCTGCTCGCAAAGATTGAGAAGGAGAAGGGTGCTAGCGCAAACGCCGAGAGGGAACAACAGAGAATCCGTGAGTTGATGGAAAAAATGTCTGTCGGAGATCAAGGAAAGCATTCGCCTGCGCCGATATCCGTCGGACAGCACCCGGTTGCATCGCCCCCTCAGACTCCGCGGTATGGAGGGTTTCCACAGATCACACCCCAACCTCAGCCGCAGACTGTGTACGGCCAGCAGTTCTCTCCCGTTGGCCAACCGCAACAGTATCCTATGATGCAACAGCAACCGCAACAACAGTATGCAAACGGGCAATACGTCAGAAGGGGTTCAAGTGCGCAAAATTACCCACCGTACAATCAATATCAGCCTCAACAGCAACCATATAACCCTGGTGCATACGTCCCACCACCACCACCCGGACCACCACCGATGAACCGGCAGCAAAGTTTCCCACAACAGTACCCCCAACAAGGGTATTCACAGCAGCCGCCGCCACCGCAACAGCAACCTCCTCCGGGTCAAAGGCAACCAGGGCAACAAGATCCATGGTCAGGCCTTCAGTCTTGGAGATAGGCATAACCGCTTTTATCATGTCCTTTTCATCTTCCCCTCACCCTTGCCCTCCGTGCAAGCACCTACTTTTCCTTTGTTAATCACACCCCCTTTGGTAAACAAAAAATGAGCTTGGTTTTATTGGTTGCCCTGTAACGGCCTTTGAGTTTTATGTACTACGATATCCCACCTTTGTATTATCCTTTAGGAATTCGTTCACCAATAGCTTTTCCCCCTCCCTTCTGACCCCATTTTATAAATTTAGCCAATGGTAATCGTTATACAAGCATAGTTTTGTAATCAGTGGTGGTGCTCCTGTATATTTACCAACATTTCATATCAGACACATTCAACCCGTTCACTTAAACCTAATACCAACCTTGACTCCTGCATAAGGTACTGAAGGTTCAAGATAGGGCGTTGGCAGGGCACCAGGTATTGTTGGGCTATGAAGCAAAAGCAGCGACCCATAAGTTAATCCTATTAATTTTTGCTCCTAGTTCATAATCTCCCTTTTAGTTTTTACGGACATAAAGATATTCTACACTTATACTTCCCCATAAACATCCCTATATATCAAAAATATTAGTTCCGAAGCTACAAATAAATAGACAAACATAAAAAGAATCAATCCAAAAAAGAATATACTTACGTCCTCCTCAACAGCAGCATCTCCTTCCTAACCCTCTCCAAAACTCTCAAATCAATCTCCCCTACACAAATATCCTCTTCTCCACCGGCGTCCTCTCCGGGATCCTCTGCATTCTCAGTATCAACTCCTTTGCACTCATCCAAAACCTCCCCCCAGGGATCTATGATAATAGAATGGCCATATGATTTCCGTTTTGAATTACTAACACCGACTAACGCGGGTGCGATAACGTATGATTGAGTTTCTATTGCTCGGGAACGGAGGAGGGTATGCCAGTGGCCTGCGTTCCCGGTGGGGAGGGTGAATGCTGAAGGGTATGAGATGATTTGGGCGCCTAGGCGGCGGTGCTGGAGGGAGATTTCAGGGAATCGAAGCTTTTATTTTTTCGTTTCTTGTATTAAGCTATGAGGGTTGTGATTGGATTGGGATTTTTGTGTACTTACGTCGTAGCATATCAACATACCGAGTTTTCCAATTGGAGTATCGAATGGTGACGTAATAGATTTTCCAGGTTCCACGCTCCTAAATTTAGATATACAAGTTATAATGTTATCCCATGAGCATTCAAGTGTGCTTAATATACTTTCTCATGCATGCTTCGAGCACTTAATGATCACGGATGTATATAGATATAAGGGAATTATAGTAATTGACTTACCGACTCTCCGTCAAAACCACCCCACTCGCCAGCTCCACATCAAACATATGTAACTTCTGATACCTCTGTCTAACAACCCCATCCTCATCAATATAGATACACGTATTCTTCACCTTCTCCCCTCCAGCGACAGGTTCGTGAATTCCAACACATATGGGTAATTTATGTTGTTTTGCGGACTCCTGGAGTCCCAAGACGAACTCGCTGGTTTCGATCGGTTTGACAAGTTTTAGAGATTCGGAGGCGGAGATGGGGATGTAGTCGGATGCTTCCGGGAGGAAGAGGATTTTGGCACCTGCGGCGACGGTTTTGGTTATTATGTTACGGCAGGATTCGAGGTTGCGGGTTAAAGAGGCCACGGCGCGGAATTGGCCGGCTGCCTTGCATGCGGGGGGGTGAATGTTAGTTAGGCTGTTTTCATCTGTCTGTTATACATAAAGGATTTCAAAGTCGATATCATAAAAATATAAAGTATAAAACTAGGTTGTAGATGCCAACAGTGTTGATATTGTTGCATTTGAAGCTCAACGGGAAGGCATAGCTATAGCTAGGATGAACTCATGGGAAAGACGGGGAACAAGGGGGCAGGCCTACAGCTAAAGGCATGGTTGGAAACCGGTATATTCTTATATATATAAGTAATTATTTGTGAAGCTTCGATGTTGCGTTCGAGTCGTATGAAACTGCTGCGGGCCTTGAACTCATGCAACTGTACATGTAGCTAAGAATATCGAGTTTTAACATTTCTGGGTCGAATTTATGTGTGTTGAAACAAGACGTCGGATAATAACCAAGAATATGCGGCCTAGTCTAGAGTAATAAGGATATCTAACAATATGCTGGCCAAAACAAACCGAGTTTTATTTTATTTCATGTAGATACTTAGGTATATATAAGTAATTATTTTTTTTAAAAAATTCTATGATCCTAACCTCATGAGTATCCGAGCTTGCGATTGAATTTGAACCATTGCATTGTCAAAGCATATCAATTGAAAATGTACGGCAAGGCAACTAAAAGAAAAGGGAAAAAATTTACGAGTTATTATATATACAAGTACATCCTCCTCTAATCCAGACGCTGGGTTTTATCTTTTGGCGACGCCTAAGGAACGCCCCCATCGAGTTACTCAGCAGTTCCCAGTACTCCGGGCGGTTACCCCAGACCTTTTCTCTACGCTCGTCAACAAATGGAAACAAATTCTTTTTCAAGAATTTATCAGATGCTCCAGCAGACGTTATATCACGGTCTGTCAAGAGCGATTTTAACGGACAAATCAAGGTCTTTAATGAAGGTGCATCTGGGTTTGTGGGTAGTTCTCTTTCTAGAGCTGTATATTTGTGTTCAGACTAACATTCGGCGGACATGAGATCTTCTTCGAGCAATAAGTAAGAGTTTGGAGATAGCTTGTCTCTGGTACAGAAGCTACAATCTTAGGCTTCCTGAATTGAAGATGGTGGGTAGTCTTCGAATTCTCGAAGATCGTAGTGATCCTGAGGCTTAGATGCTGCTTCGGGGATCATACTTGACGTCTGGGTGTTAAACCCTCGGGAACTAGGCAGTCCGCCAAAGGTCTTGTTTAGTGAAGTGGGAGCCCAGTCCAGTTTGTGCAGTATGGAGGTATGGTAGATATTAGAACCCGCCGCTTTCCGACGTGGGATCTGGAAGAAGTGGCGGCGGGTTTGGAAGGGTACCTTCCGAAAAGATACTGTGAACCGGGAACTCAGGGCCATGGTGAAGTCTTGCCACCGAATTCGCAAAGTAGGTCTAGCTCTAGATACCTGATATTCCTGGTTCCGGAGGTAGAGGAATGACCTTGTGAGAATATTAGTATAGACACCATTAATAGGCTGACTGCGCAAATCTTTGGCTGATCTTGCAATTGATAATCGGGGGACAATTAGAACCATCTGCGTGCACACTGGTACGTAGTATACCATGGGGAGTAGGTCATTGAATTAAGATTGTGACGCGTGCCTTAAAGCCTATGAACATGCTCGCGCTCTCGGGTGCACAAATATTTAACTTTTATCTTCAGTTCGAATCTATATCAACAATTAAATTTGAACCCAACCAACCAACTAAAGGGCATAAAGAAATTATACGGAGGCCAAATGGGTTGTAATATTGATATCCCGATGTTCCTAGTAACGTCCGAATACTTTTTCATGGTCTCCTCGTTTTATCCATGTACATGTGTGTCCGTGGTGGTGTTCAGACCAGGGTATTGCACAGGACCGGCATATAGTAGATCTAGAGAGTGATTTTTAATAGTGGGATTGGTCCCCCCCGGTATCGGATTAAGGATAGAAATAATTTAGACCTACTCAAGTACTTATAGATACATACCAGATACCTATAAAACTAAGTACCTATATGTATCTTATTTTATCAATTTAAAGGCCAAGATCTAGAACGAGAGATAAATATGCATAAATAACCAATCCTAGTGTTTCGCTTCACAACGGTGACGATAATTTTGCCGATCTACTACCTAGCCTAGGTACTTACCTATCTACCGAGTTACTTAAGTAAGTAGTGGTATAGTATAGTCTTGTGTTAGAATCTCCTTAGGTACCTGTTAGCTAGGTGTTTAGCCTAACCGTAGTCACTAAGTCATTTTATATACACTTCTACTAAGCAAACTGAGAAACACTCTATGGAGAACACTCAGACTTTTTTCTTGTCAATTCTAAAGTCTTATAGAACTTGAATATCCATTCATGAATTCACTTAGCTAATACTAGTATCTTTAGTACTATAATCTGTGCATTAATCAATCTTCCACCACACTAAGAGCACTATGAATTGCCAATTTAATGGCCAAGGTTTACTCTGCCGCGATTTATGGACACTGGGATCACCAGTGTCAGGGTCACTGGCACCAGGCAGCTGTGTTGTAAATGTTGCAGAATTACTCTTCAGTTTAACAACTTTGGAACTTTGGAGCAAGGAGGTATACGTAACGCTAAGGATACTTGCTGATTTATACCACTTTAGCTTGCCTTTCATAGAATTAAGTCTATTGTATGGACACATAATTTAAGGTCGTCAGAGTTACAATTTTAGTAATATTTGTTAAAATAAAAAAAAGTTATTCTTATTTTATTTATTCGCATCTGAAGCTTGAGGCCCGGTTACAATAAGCTTCGGTTCCAAGAAAAAACCAAGCAGTTTATTGCCCCCGCTAAGGTATTTCGAAACAAAAGCTCATGATTGATATCAATCTAGCTGTAGACCTTACGTATACCCGGCTTAAATATTATGTTTACCATAGCTCCCGAGTAAGTATGAATCCAAACCATGGAAGGCTCTCAATACATATGATTATTAGTATCTACTGCACTAAATATGCATATGCATATATGGATAGCTATCGCTACGGGGCCGCGCCAGAGCTCAAAGCTATTGATCCTGATCCATCAATATAATACATGCAGCTTCTGGCTATTTAGTAACTATTTCAAATCCAAAGCTTTCGGCCTTGCTCCCAAACTATATATATCCCACAATCCGGGGCACGCTTGTGCGCCCCAAGGCCGGGAACACGAACAAGTTTGTCAACCAAAGTACTTATCAGTTATAAGTTAGGCTGTCAAGAGCTCCAAACCATGTCCTTGTTCAACCTTGTCTGCACCTCAGCCGCAGTGGGAAAAAAAAGGTTAAGAGCCCAACTGCAACTCCACAGGTCGAAAGACCCCCAGACCGACAACTGACCCCAGCAGAAACACCTTCCACCTCAAGCCGATCGAAGGGGAAAGGGTTTTCTAATCAGAGGCTTAAAAATGAACCACTAAAATGCTTAAATATCGCAGGATTAGAACACAGCACCGGGGGGTATTTCTCCCGCCCCCCCTAAAATCCTCCCAAACTTTTTTTTTACTTGCAGGTGTTCGCATAGTACCAGATTGGTAAAAAGATCCCGAGTTATCCAGAGGGTGGTCGACGGTTTGACTTAACGAAATCGACATACATACATACATACCTGCGCGCGCCAGATCCAGAACTAGAATATCGATCCTGCGATTTGGGCTTAAGGCGCTAAGCTAGGGAAACCAAAGGGGAGCTGATACGGAGAAAGCGGGAAAAGCTAGCTACCAGCTTGCAGCAGATATGTGCAGCAGGATACCGTTGTTTGCGGCGGTCTTAGGTCTTCCATTCGCCATTGCTGACCTCGTCCTTTCCGATATCCAACAAACTCCAACGCAGAAATGGATTCCTACGCGGACGTCGACGCGGGGTGGCGGATCGATATCGGAGTCTCCAATTCACAGATATAATGCATATGCATCCCGGATCACAGCTCCACCTGCTATACATCCACAGCAATTATTTGCCAGACAAACTGTAGATGATAGGCTTTGCGCATATGCCAATGGGGATGGAGGTAGGATGATACCACCCTTTGGAATACAGAGCGCTTCAGAAACTGAATCTCTGGTAGATATTATATATTTATAGATGGACACTATATATATGATATTGGTATTTAAAAGGTGAAATGACAGAGCTAACTAGTTCTAATGTTTCCTAAGTCTAGCCTCTCCGATTTACTGCCCTAGAGATTACACCTGCACATTACTCGGCCCTTTTTCTACCGCCTGGGGCTGCTGCAACCCTCGGGGCTGTGTAAACGCACCAAGGACATGCTTCGAAGAGAATGATCCGAATAACTTCTGTATTCCGTACGGGTTCACGATCGATTGTAGTTCGATATTAACTTCATACCTAACTTGGTATGCTTTTCATGAATTTATCCCAAATTGCAAAGTTGTTATATACAAGTGGTAGATTTACTAATATCCCGGTTCTTATGAAATTATAGTACTGGAAATAAACCAAAATGCGCAACATATATCGTCAAAACCAATACCTTAGACCCGCAAGATACCGGCGGCCCCGAATCATGGTCCTGCGCAGCATCCTCAACCAAAATCTTCGTCTTCGTCACCCCAATAGCCAACGCTGATGCTCGAGTAACCTATACCGACATCGATACCGATACCTCAGCATCATCTCCCACTTCCACAAACCCACCAAACTCCCAAAACAAAAACAACAATGACAAAGATGGCAACGACAACAGAAGAGGTCTAGATATCGGTGCCATAATAGGAATTATAGTCGCTGTTATCGGTGTCCTAGCTACGGTGATGGTCGGCCTCTTCCCTCGCCAAATGACCCGTTGTTTAACCTGTGGCCTTCGTCCGAAGAAAGACCAAACGAACGAAGAAATTAGAAAGAATTTTTGGTTATATATCAGCGGGAGAGGCGCTGTATCTACTTCGCAATTACATATACATTATCATAATACACCGGTGGATCAGCAACAATTGGCACAGGCGGGCGCACCGATTGGACTATCGCCGATAACAAGTCCGGGAGGACAGCATCAGGGGTACTGGCCACAGCAACAACAACAGGCTCAATGGGGCCATACCGGGTATGGACAGCATCCTCCACCTGCGTATCAGCAAGGGTATGGGCATGGTGTCGGTGGGGAGTATATTTCTCCTGGACAGTATGCTGCTCCGCAGAGGTATGAGGCTTATGAGCAGCAGCAGCCGTTTTTGGAGATGGAGGATACGGGGAAGAAGAAGTAGTTTCTGGATATATACATATATCTCTGCTAGACTGAGTTTTGGGACTTGGTGTATAATGAATTTGTATAAATTTGTGATTATCGGGATATCGATATATCATGGGGCATGGAGTTAATTGTTTATTGGATAGCGAGTACTTGGAAATAGTGTATTTATACATGCTATTTGCATACCTGTTGATAACGATGTCTTCAATTCAAGCGGTTTGACTTGCAGCCTCATACCCTCTTCTCTGGACTTACAGCTTTCATTTGGCACCAATTCAAGAAGATAAAATTGTTAAAGGTGTCGTTTCGACACCTTGATCTTCGTACAGAACTTTTCTTCAGACACGCTGGAACCAAAAACCCATAAAACGCTATATAATACACTGAATGATAACCCCGCCTTCATCTTTCAGACAGCTCAACCAACCATCACTTCCAACGTACTAATCCTCCAAAAAAGATAGATACACCTGCTTCTCTTAAGCCCTTATGTATTCATCATTTATAACCGTATTCCCTCCCTCAAAACTAACTAATTAAACAAAGACAAATTAACAAGAAATAGAACAATCCTAACGGGAATACTGCCAGCGCAACCCGGTTTCTGACTACCCCGCTCCCGCCTAGGATGCTAACACCTGCTGCCAGACTCCATAGGAAGAAGATGGCGTATAGCGGGACTCTTATCACAGGGTGTAGCTTTACAGCAGATAGCAGGGCAGCACCGACGAGTGGGAAGAGGGTATAGCCGATTACGCAGATGGATTGGAAGAAGGAGCTGGTTTACGAGGTTAGTTTGGTGGTGTTCCCGGAAGCTTATAGTAGGATAACCCTGAGAGACGTACATATTTCCGCCGAGCAGACGGATTTGGAGCGTAACAATGGCCTCACCGATCCAGACGATTGCAAAAACACCAGAGAAGACATTGGTTGTTTGCTCATTCGAGGCGGCGATGGATAGGAGCAACGAAAGTAGAAGTGAGGAAAGCAATGGTCCCCTATATTTGTACCAGACGTTAGAAAACCTTTGACTATCCCCATAAGCCCCCAAGATTACCACCCTTCAGTAGTAACAGGCGGGGTAGATTATGGACCTATAAAAGTCTAATATACTCATACCATAAATCCCAATCCCGAATTTCATCGGCCTGGTTACTATTCAAAACCGTATCCGCATCTGGCCACTTTTTCCACGTGAACTTTGGCCAAAGCACCTGTTTCGTTTTCTCCCATATCGCCGTAAGGTCGCGAGATACGGTGTCCCACACAGACTCGTCGATTGTATCTACTGGTGCGCGGCGGTCTTCACCGGGGACGGCATTCGTGACATTACGCGCAGCTGCAGTGAGGGGTTGTCGATCAGAGGTTTCGTTTTCAAGAGGGTCGTCGAGGTCATTAATATCCACTAGATAGTATAAGTTAGTACCCTTTTTTATCTTTTAGGTGGGTATGTGGGGGAGCACACAGTCATCTGGGTCGATGAGGTCGGGGTCTGCACGAGGGCCCAGATAGTCATCATATGGGTTCTGGTTGGCGGAAGAGCTTGTCGCCATAGTTGTAGCTTGTGAACACGGAGTCGTAAAGTTCGGGCGATTGATATTCTAGCCTTTCGGAGTATCGGACAGTGAAGTTGAAGGCTGGTTATAAGATCATGACGGGTTTCAAGGTGGGTTGATGTTGAATGATGCTGAAGAGGGATACGTAACCCGTTTGGCGACCGGGATTAGCTTGGTAGCACAGGCAGACCGAACAGACACAGACGACAAGGCTGCTGACGCCCGCCATTAGTTATACCCATTCTACCCTCCATTTTAACTTGCAACTTCAGCTTCGGCATCTCAACGCTGCAACTGACCGACGCGTTTTATTACACCAAAACTATCGCCAAGAAGGATCTGAAATCGGAGTAATCGGGTCTAGATTATACATACTACTATACAATGGACGCCGTCGAAGATATTAGTTGGTGGAATGCATTGCCTATTTCTCCCGGCTTTCTCCCTAAATTCCTCCTATTCGTACGGCATCCTCCAGACCACCCTTATTGCTTCTGAATGCAACTTTCAAGGACTAATACCGTTCCAAACAGGTCTCCGTAGTATCTGTCGCCAATTCAATGCAATGCTATGCAACTCTCAAATTCACCAAACGCGTCTACTCTGGCAAACCCTTCGAAGTTAATGGCCTTTCCTCGCGTACGTTCGGAACATGGACCATGCTTGCTGCTTTGATCCGGTTCTATGCTGCCTACAACATCTCTAATGGTCCAATTTATGATATTTGCATTGGAACTTTTGTTTTGGCTGGGTGGCATTTCGTTAGCGAATGGTTGTGGTTTGGGACTGCGAGGTAGGCTACAATTTTGTCCTATACGACTGGGTCTTGGTTTTGATATGCTTGCTAATATGTCCATCTTAGTCTCGGTGAGGGTCTCACTGGCCCATTGATTGCCGCTTCGACCGGGCTCACTTGGATGTTGTGGCAGAGAGGTTATTATCTGACTCTGCCTGCTCAGTAGAGCGAGTCGATTTTAGACAGAGCGTGAATACGGCTACATGGGTAAGAGATATAAGCAACCGTACGAACGAGCTTTAGATCAGAAACAAGGTATTTAGCCAGAGCGCTAGTGTAAGATGAATGAACTGTAATGAAGAACCAAAGTCCGCTCCTAGAAATATCGTAGTTTGAGATCATATGAACCACTAAAACACCTGATGGTTAATACACCTAGGTACTCAAGTAGGTAGTACCAAGTATTACGCATGAGCCGCTTGTTCCCTCTTTTTCAGCACACCCGCCATCTCATCATTCAGCACCTCCAATTGCTGTCTAATATCCAAGCTTAATGGCTCATACTCGAAATCTAAGAGTGTCTGCAAAGTCACGATGTTAAACGAGAGCGATTTGTAGCTGTATGCCAGTTGCCTATCCATCGTTGATTGCATCCTAAAATTGCTGGTAGCTTGTACCTAATCGACAATATCAGTCTCCTCTCTTGACCGAATGAATAAACCTGATAACTTACCTCCGGCATTCGTCTCAAGTATAACAGTGCAACTGCCATATTTATCAAATAAATCGTTCTCCTCTCTCCTTCACTCTCACTATCTACTAGCTTCTTCCAGAGAACTGCAGCACCCTCAAAGTCATCCGTCGCCAACAATCTCAGCCCTTCAATTACGGTATCCACATCCTCTCCTTCACTAGCTCCATTAGCCAGATAACATTTCCTCGCCGTATCTAGCTGCCCAAGTTGCATGTATAATACCGCTTCGCGAAGTCTAAACCCGATACCACTATCCACTTCATCTTTCTCTTCCATTAGACTCTTTAGATGTCGTTCGGCGCCATCAAGATCAGATATCTCGATCAATGCTGCCGCGACACGTAGCCCAAGATCTAGAAGCCTGTCGCGCCATAATTTGAATTCTCCTGGTGAATGTCGTTGTTTGATAGCCTCGCTTCTTGCTTCCTTCGCCAACATGTAAAAATGCTCTAAGCACCTTCGCCAATCGTTAAACCCCAGAGCTTGTAATCTTATAGCTAGAACTCTGAGATCCCAGGGAACGGCGTGTATGAAAGATGGATTACGGTAAAAGTTCGATGTTAAATCGCCGAAGACTTTGATTTCCTGAGCAGCGAAGGCGGTAGTTTGTGCAGAGATCAAAGAGAAGCAAATAAGTCGAATAGTCCACAGAGGAAAGATATTATGAGCATCCGTGACCGCGGTAGATGCAAGGGCGGTGGAACAGTGGGTTGCTAAGGTATGCAAATGGGATGATAGTGGGACGAGCGACAGCTGGTTACGTTCCTAGATTTTGAAATAACTGTTGGCATTTTTGATCATACCTATGGAGTACTTGGGTGAGAATTTGGGGTGGATGGAGGCAGAATTCGGGTACACTGACAACGTTTGAGAGATGCCGAAATATAAGAGGATCGAGGAGGTAGGCGTAGTCACGAGGGGGCTCAGCGGCTGAGAGGCCGCTGATAGTATGAGCTGATGTTGCCGATGCCGGCGACGACACCCTTTCCGGTGCTGTCGCAAATGTATTCACCGTCATAGCCGTGGATACTGAAGCAGAGACATCTTGTGCCGGCTTTCCTTCGGCGGGAGGGGATGTTGGTAGCTCAAAGCTGGCATTATGGTATATTGGATCAGCGTGACGGTTCGACACGCATATGCCACGATACGCCTCGTGAGGCAAATAGACAAGGCAATAGCCTGAGTGAGCTTACTTAAGATCTAGCGGGCCTGTGAAGTCACGATGTTAGCCCAGGGCCAGGCTAGATATGCATGAATATATCAGATTGGAGATGTTGATACCGGTTGTCATCCGCCTCGGGGCGCCCTGTGCTCGCATATCGGTAGAGTTCCTCTTTGAATGTCTTCTCACGGGAGGATTTTGCTCCTCACTTGACATATCTCGTTTGGTCGTGGTATGGGTTTGAGGTTATGAGTTCTCGGATCACGATATCGCAAGGTCGGGTTCCAGTTGTAGTACTAGCGGAGGTGCATTGGAAGACGTGTTGAAGTGTTGAGGTTGTGGTCATTTCTGTCGCGTTTCCCTCCATCTTATTCCATCTTCACTACATCACCATTACCATCATTCTTATCATCAGCAACCAACCAACCAACAGAGCACAATATGTCTTCCCGTAGAGACGACCGTCATTATCGCCGCTCACGTTCGCGATCTCCTACCTCTCGACATCATGGTGATGATCCATCCTCCCGTCGTCACAATCGCCATGACCGGCCTCGTCGGTCGCCATCGCCCAAGCAATCAGTACCGGTCCTCTTACCCTCCAATTCCAAGCCTCTCGACATTCAAACCTCGCTTCCAGCATATTTCGCTCTCTTTGCCAAATATCTCGATATCCAAAAGTCAGTTAATGTGATGGACATTGACGAACGAGAGCTTCGTAGCCGTTTCAAGCGATTCGTCGGACGATGGTAAGTTCCGTTAACACCCCCTTCACTTCACGATGTCTCTCTTTCTCAGAAAATATGGGTTTTTTTTTTTGCGAATAGTTGTTGAATTTCCTAAGATTCTATGGACTTAAGGCTAATTCATGGAGGAACATGGGAGAACTAGCGTCGAGCTGGTATGATAAGGACTATAAAGTCCAAGTTGATAGCGACTCCGAATTACCAGGCTGGGAAGACTATTTAAATTTCCAAAAAGAACACAAAGCATCGACTCGGAGACGAAATTCGCGGGATAGGGACGGAAGAGACGATCGGAGGAGCAAGGATAAAGATGACGATAGGCGGGAGAAGAATCGAGACAGGGAGAGAGACAGAAGCCATCGCGATAAAGGCCGAGATCGCCACCGAGATAAAGAGGAAGAAAGAGAAGGGCGTGGGGATCGGGATCGCAGTCGTCGGCACGGAGACAGTCGAATTGAGAAAAAGAACGATGATCAAGGCGCTGAAACTCGCGACCAAGCCGAATCCAGGATCCGAGGTATGACAGACGAAGAACTCACTCGAGCTCTACAGAAACTTGAGAGAGAAAATACACCGTCCGAGGCCGCCTCAGAGGATGTTGAGATGAAGGATGGAAACGAAAGTGACGACAGCGACATGATCGGACCCGCCATTCCTGAAAGCCTTGCGAAGCCAAAAGCTGGCGCAAAGCCACCCACGACACAAGATCTTGAGCTACAAAGAGGTAGGAGCCCAAAGTTGCACGTATTATGGATAGTTTAGAGCACAATGACTAACTTGCAGCGAAATATAGAACTCGACGAAGAAGAATCCGATCTCCGTCGCGCCGACCTCCGCTACGAACGCAAGAAAGAACGAAAAATGGAGAAGGAGCGCTTAGAAGAACTAGTACCTCGTGCTGAGGCTGGGTCTAGGGAGCGACAGCTGGAAAAGAAACGTGAAACTGCTGCTGCAAATAAAGCTTTTGCGGATGCCAAAGGTGGGGATGTGGAAGAAGTCGGCGAATCTACGCTGATGGGAGGAGAAGAGAGTTTCCAGCACCATAAAGCGGCACAAGAAAGAAAGAAAAACGAAAGAGAGCTAAGAAAGGAAGCTTTGTTAAGAGCTAGAAAAGCAGAGAGGGAAGAGAGATTACAAGTGCACCGGGCAAAGGAGGAACAAACGATGAAGATGTTGAGGGCACTAGCTGATAAGTTTCGTTAAAAACGACATCTTAAAGATCCTGCGGTCTTAGGATGCGATACGGGTGGTATAGAGATGCTAACTCGCAGTATACTAAAATGAGGGCGTATAATACGCTAGAGAATGATATTATCATTAATTGTAATCATCCAAGTTGTTGAAGCGCTCTAGTCCATTCCAAAGGAAGCGCCAAAGAAGAAGAAAAATCCCAAACGCCCGCAGCTTCTTGAAAAAAGGCTGTATGTCTGAATAGCAAATACAATAAGATGTATAAACCCCAAATACTCTCTAGTAAACTTGCTAATACAATCATGTACTTCGCAACCACCCTTCCGTCTACCGTCTACTCTTCCTCGACAAACGAGTTAGCCCAAGCCCCGAAATACGGAACTTCAAATCGATCCAGGGTATCAGCTAAAAGCTAGTTAGCTATCAATAGTCAAAGTGAACTCAAAGATTATAAACTGGGGCAACCCTACCATCGCTGTATGCCCTTACACTCAAGTACACAATAAGTCCCAAATCGATAAATGATAACAGCACCGAAAAGAAATGAGACCACAGGAAAATAAGATGTAGTATGAACATCGCTGTGAACAGGAGTGCCGACTGCCAGGCATGGAAGCTATATGTCGATTATTCAGTTGATGCTCACGCGACAGTCATTATGTGGCGGGTCTTACCGAACATAGTCGCTATTGTGCTCCAGCATAAGGAACAGCACGCCACCGGCCGGCGGGAGAAGGATGTAAGTCAGTGCCGCTTCGACATCCATTCTAAAAAGAGCAAAATCCCTTAGTATCCTTTGGACTTCTATGCTAAAATGTAAGGGAAGCTGTATACCTTAACGGTAAGCTTGTCTCGAACTGATTCACGAACTCCCTTCCTCCTCGACTAGCCCCAAACCCTGCTGAAGTTGAAGAACTAACTCCATTCTCGGGCTGTATAACGTTCGAAGGACTGTATGATCGACTGTCCCCCCACGGATTGCTCTGCGACTCGAGTCGTGGGGATGTGGAGAAGAAACCGTTGTTTCCTGGTGGTGGGGACCTCAGAGAGGAGCGTTGAGCTTCTGGGTCGGTGGACTGGTAAGGCGCCCAGTCGGACATGGTAATGAAGTTTTGATGTCGGGAGGGGTTTTGATTGCGCACGGAGGTGGGGAGCGGGGTGGGAAAGGCGATGGGGATGTTTAGTCGGCCTTAAGTTGAGGGTATTTCTGGGGTTTACGAATGCCTGGTCGCAGTCATGTCATGCGTGCGTCAAGGAAGGCTGGCTGTAGTTACTGGCTGGGAACAAGGGTCGGGAACAACGCACTTTTTACAACATCTCATTAGTATTCGACGTTGTCAGTTTGTAAATTTGTCGGGATCATGATACGTTTCAATCTTTAGGGTATTAAATCGAGAATCGAGAATCAAGAATCGGAGTAGTTACGTTACATATATTATGTATGCTCAAAATAAGAAAATTGTATGGGTTGGGCCGTATTGGTATATCTACTAAGCATACAAACTATAACAGGAGCGGACATATGAATTATAGTATATTAGCTAGGTACTTGGTAGCTACTTAAGTAAATAGATAAGTTGTTTATGGTATAATACACTTAAGTATCCTAGCTATAATACTTATCTTCCAGGTGGTGGCTGCAAGTTATCAGACAGCATGTCACTAATCACAACCGGTATTGCTGGCTCCTGACCCCCATACTCGAGCCATATCTCATTCAGATCTCTAAGAAATTCCGATGGTTGTTGCGCGGACGTATCAACGCTATTTTTTATACCTTGTGCCAGTGGTGGAATTTGTACCTTTTCTTCTTGGATACGCGTATACCTTGGGATAGGAATATGTATCTTCGGGCGGTCGTTATTTTCACTCTGGCCCTGGCTACCCGGGAGCGCAGGGAATCCCGAGGGGAAGAACTGTTGCTTCAATAGATTAACCACCCCTCTCAATTGCTCAAGGTTGGTGCCCTCCCCTCTGCGAGGGTAGTTATAATTTTGAGTGTTAAAAGTTTGCGCTTGACGTGATGCAAACGAACTGATGGGACCGAAGATGTTATCTTGCTGTTGTGACGCTCTGAGGAGTTCGTATTCGGGATCTGCAGAACGGTCAAGGTCACCTAATCGACGTACGTTGAACCCTTGATCTTCTAGATTCCCTTCGCTCACCTGCACCTTCATAGGTGCAATTTCAGCTTCATCTTCGTTATCCAGGTTAACTACAGTCTCAGTCCCCGCGGGCCTAGAACGAGCCGCGGCTTCCTTCTTCCTCTTGGCTCTAAGTCCTCTAATCCCGCCTATTCTTGGCTGCCCTTCGCTCTGTTGGCCCTGACTTGTAGCAGGCGCTGTGGTAGCCTGGACAATGCTACCCGAACCAGGATTCAGATTCGGCCCCTGAGGTCGCTCTCTAGAGGATCCGAAAAGCATATCCGAGGCGGCTCGCTCCGACGATTCGCTGTCCGTATCTATCCTAAAATCTCCATACCGTGTATCATCTTCCTCCTCTGGATCTATAATATTTCGTCCAGTGTTTCCTTGTCCACGTATACGTGATGGATTGACTTGACCCGAGTCAAGTACCACTTCATCGTGCTGGACAACCTCAGTCTCTTCTTCCATACCACTTTGTGTTAATCCACCTAGGGCCGGTCTATGGTCGACGTAAGCCACCTTTTGTAACCCGTTACAGTTGAAACTCCCTGGCACAAACACGGCATTCCTACTCCTAGGCCTATTCTGCAACGAAGTTGCCCCCGTAAGTAACTGTTGCAATTCCTTGTGGATCAACTGTTCCAACTGTGGCCAATTGGCGAAATCTTGATCATCAGGAACCTCAACCGCGTCAGGGTTGTTCTGAAAATACTCTTTTGCTATACCACCAAGTGCTCGAATAGATCTTTCTCCAAACTGTGCAAAGCGAACAAGACCATCACAATAAGTCACGGAAGAACGGCGGGTCGTACGAGGTGCAAACACGGATCCAGGCTTCATCAATCCCGGATTCTGGAGAATTGCAGCTTCGAAATCGACGCTTGCTAATTCATAATCTTCTTCAGACGCTGGGCCTGGTGGTATAGTAATGGGTCGATACGCTGTTAACCTTCTTGGAACCCGATTCCCCTCGAATCCGGCGGCTAAGTAGGACATCTGGGGCAACTTTTTGTCGCTAAACCACCGAACAATCAATGCTTTACTATCTTCTCTGCAATCCGGAGTTGTATAGAAGGCCACAGCGTCCATCTGAGTGGTGTCCGCCCAATTTGCAGTTATAGCGGCCTCAACAGCCTGAAGTTCCCCAGGATTGACTTGGGCCTGGTCTGTTGACCTGATAGCCTGAGGTTGTATAAGGCTGTAGCAATCATAATCAGGAGACACTCGGTCGATGCGGTCGACACGGGTGGTTTGAGTTGCTAGACGTCCATAACCGGGCTGGGCGGGTCCGAAACCGAAGGCGAAGGCTGAAACAGAAGTCGAGTAAATGGTCAAAGTTATGGCTGAGAGGAGAATTAAGTGTCGAAATGGCACCAAAGTCGTCATCTTTGGGGATCCAGCTTCTCCTGCTGTGTTGACGGTGCCGCAGGTCTATGGGTCTAGTTGGACCGATAGTCTTAAGTTCTTGTATGAATATTTGCAATTGGTAGTATAAATAAACGTGGTTCCCATGCATGAAGCCGTGGCACCGATAATATCTGTCTAGACATGGGCCCCTTGATTCTGTAATATGTGCGCACATGTGAAGTAAAACAGCCTCATTTATGATGGATTCGGTCTCCATGAGCTCGGTATGAGCCAAATATTGCCACTGAGTATTATATTGAACGCCGTTTTCATTAGTTTAACAGTTAGACACATGACGATATAGTAAAAATACAAATCATTATATTATTAGTGAGAGGCCAAAAAGAGTGTGGTAGAGGTATCTTTCATATATTTGAGCATATCTCCGCATATTAGCCTGGGAACATTAAATCTATCTACTAATCTCTTCTCTTACACCTTCTTCTCGGGCGCTGGCCTCATGGGCACCTCAGACCCTGGCAACTCGACCGGTTCTGCGGCTGGCTTACTCGGTCCAACCATTGGGGAATCTCCTGGTAACTCGCTCGGAATTTCTGGAGTCGTGGCATCTAGTTCCTTGGGTTCATAAACTTCACCCATATCATGGGGTCTCAGATTTGCGCCAGAAGCCGTAGAGACTCGTTTAAGTTTCTCCTTATTACTGCGTCTCCTAAGTAATAAAAGTAAACCGGCAATCAACGCTAGGCCAGCAACGCCTCCAACGACTCCGCCGGCAATTGCACCGACATTGGTAGACGAGTCGCTCGGCGGCACAGGTGCCGAAGTCCCATTGGAATTCGTCGGAGTGGAACCACTGCTAGTAGATGAAGGATTACCATTGGTGGTCGAGGACTGGTTATCTCCACTAGATGTGCTTGATGGTGGATCTGTGGAAGAGGAGTTTTCGGAGCTAGAACTACTGGGCTCCGAACTCGTCGTACTAGGAGGTGGTTGACTGGAAGAAGAAGAAGAAGAAGAAGTGCTTGTAGAAGATTCGATAGAGCTTGAACTCGATGGTGTAGTCATATCTATAGACGTCAAAGACACTTTTGCACTCTGGTTATCGACACCACTCGGTTGTGTAAGCACCGTTGTCGCTGAATCTGACCCTCCACACCCCCATTGTGTGAATCCTTGACCGCTAATGGACTCGTATGAATTTCGAAAACACTCTTCTGAGCTACAGTTCCCCCAATTTGCAATTAGTATCATGAACCCTTTGATCAGTGATTGCAAAAAATTATATTACCAAGTAAATGCCCAAGGGTTATTCTGCAAGCTAGCGATATCATCGTTATTGCTGTCGACGCAAGTCGTGTAAACTGCTAAATCGCCGTCGCCTTCTGTTGCTGAACATCCAACAGCTCCATGTGCCTGGTCCCATAAACATGCCGAATCCGAGGAACATACGGCAGGTGATGCTATATTCAATTTATTATTAGTACTTTATTCTAGAGTTTTTAAAATTAAGATATTCAAATTCGTAATTCTAGCTGTTGCATAATATGCGTTGGAGTTGCATAATTATCTGCAGTGGAAGTAGTATACATGCATGGGTGGTATCCATGGATTCATTATAAAGCACCAAGACAGGATATCAATGCAATGGCACCAGATACGATACGGAATTCTTGAACTTACCAACGTCACCCCCAATAAATCCACAAACACTATCAGGGTACTCATCTCTCTTCCTTAATCTCTTTTCTACGAATGCTTGAGCAAAATTGAACGGTGTTGGTCTGAGTAATTTTGCGCCAGTAGTTGAAGGTAATATGGCTGTTGCAGTTGGAATTTCAGCAGCCCACGGTCGTGGTCTCGCTTCGCATCCTGTAAGGGAAACTGCAACCAGGATTAGTGGGAATGCCCACGTTCTCGGGCCGTTTTGCAGGTAACGCATCGTGGGTTGCGGTTCGAGGATCCGATGAGGTTGATATGATTGAAATTTCGAAATTTCTTCTTAGGGGTTTCGATTTAGAGTAAAAGGCTTTGATTTGGATTTTTATCAGGATCTGATTGAGTTATAAATCCATTCTAGAATTCTAGAAAAGAGGGAATGAAAAAAGCTTCGAGACTGCCGGAAAGTCAAATCTGATAAACACAGAATAAAGAACGTTAATAAAAGATTTGATTTCCTAGGCTTCCACTGCTCTGTGTCGAATGTGTTTCGAAATATTAACGGCGACCCCGACTTTAGAAACGAATGTCGAAGGCCTTAAGGGGAAACCCTGATATGATAATTCAAAGGTACTCCAGCCTGCAGCCTGGGTATTGTGTATCTTAAAGTATACTATGTAGATATATTCTTGAACCAAGGGAACTCTTGTCTTTTAGCGGCGAGAAAATAAAACAAAAAGGAGGGGAGATAATGCATTATGTCCAATGTCGGGGTACCGGTTTTAAATCTAAATGCTTGTGGACATTCTCAGGGAACAGTTACATGCAGATGCAGATGCAGCGCAGATGCCGGCCATGGTCGACGAATTGCCCCCTTCGGGACCCCTGTTCGAGATCGACAGTAGATGACGACAATGCAACACGCCAGACCAGAAAGGGAGAGGTATCTACATGCGTATGCTTCAGCCACTGCTCCGATCTAAGCAATGAGGGCGGAAATCAGAAAAGATCCATTCGAACGAGAAACTGTCGTTCAAGTCATCTGTATTAGGCTTGGTGGGAACGGAGATTCGGCATATCAAGGCGTCGCTAAATTTACAATGTCGACGTCGACGTACTTAAACGTTATTGGACTGTCGGCCAGCGCCAATTACCAGAGTTCTTGTGAATCTTGTCAACTATTTTACATGGATATCCCGGGTAGAGGAGGATGCAAAAATTACATTTGTTTGGATGCAATTACGACACTAAAAATTTAACATGGCAAAACGATGGATTACAGGGATGCAATTGTACATGTACCCAGTGAAAGACAGACGTTTTCTAGAATTCTTGGTAGCTTCATGATCAATACATGCACACACTATACACTCAAACCTTGATCGACTCCGTTATATCCTCCCTCCCTTCTTGACGACCCTCTATGGAATCAGCACCATGGGCACCGCCCGACGGGATATCACGTTTGTAGTAGTAGTAGGAGTTGTCACCGATGCCCCATAGGCCAGGGCCACTGCTCATAAGCCACTGGTAGTCCCTCCGAGTATCTGACGGACCCGGTCCATATAAAGGGAATGGTTCGATCGTATCTGGGGCATATTCTGGAATCGGTTCATCGGGGTCAACAACCTCACCGCAACAAAGAATCCCAACCGGTAAGGGATTCGGGCGACCCCACCCGTCCCTCTGCCAAGCCAATGACAACCCATCCAAAGTGCTGAACCTTTGATTCGGGAACTTCCTCTTAATCCAGTCAGGGATATTTTCAAGCGTCCTATAAATATCTAGAGCCTCTGCATCGCTGATATCCTCTCGGGCTATAAAATCTTTCATTTCGACTTCGCAATAGCAGTTGATCCAGTTCGCACAACGGCCTACCATGTCGGCGCTTTTGCACCTCCCCGGGGGGATGACTTTTAGTTGGCCGGTCTGGGGATCACATTCGGCGCAGTTTTGACATACCGCGAGGAGGACCTTGAAGAATAAACCTGCGGCTTCGAGATCTTCCGTTGCTGAAGGGCGATTTTTAGGGGTGCTTGCGAAAGAACGGTATCCCTTAGGATCTTGGCTCATTCGTCTTTCGGGGTCCGGTCCATCGCCTATGATTTCTGAAAGGCTTGGGCAAACCAACTTGAAGGTATAGAAGTTTGTGGGTGAAAAATAACGATCCTCTTTGGCGCCTGAGATAGACATCTCTTTATTTTGGTCCTTGGTATTTTCGGTACCAAAAGTCTGATTCAAGTACGGAACATATTCAGGCTCTAGTGGCACCGGAGTAAAAATTGAGGTGTTTAATGGAATTATATCCGTACTGTTGATAATGGCGAAGTCTTTGAGAGAAGAGGTCGCATTTCGCTGGATATCGGTTTTGTTCTGCTCTAGCTGCTGGGTTACAGCATTTTTATGATTGCTATCTAATTTCTTAGGCACGGGAGCTCCAGCATGTAGTTGGGGATCCTTGACGGGAATTGACCCTACATTTAAAGAAAATAAAATCCAGAAGAGAAACCGAGATAGTACAAGCATTGTTAAAACTAAAAACAAAATACCGACGTCTTGAGCTAGGTAGATGAGATTTGCTGAATTCATGAAAAGTGTATACGCAGCTTAAATGAACGCCCCTATGTAGCAGGGAGTTTCGAAATCATGCATAGACCTTAAGGTATTGAGAGGTTGTAATTATATTATATATATAATTAGGTTAGAATCATAATTTTAACTGATTGGTACCGCTAGCGGTGTCTACGATGGATACTATACTATAAGTCTGGTTGCGCAAATAAACATCTTTGTTTCGCATTTAGTTTCCTGCATAGTCTTGGGACAGGGTTAGTCGTTGGTTAATAGTTAGTGTGCTTAGCTAGTATACACCAGTTGCATGTTCAATTCGAATATTCTGACTATGCTAAAGCTCTTCCATTGGAAATTTGCTATACACGGCCCGGCCTCGTCAGCTTACATGCTCTTAGCAGCGCCATCAGAGCTCCAGAGTCTAGAACAGCAATTCTCGCAAATGGTTCAAGACAACCTGCAAACATCTAAATACTATCGTGAAAATCTGGATGTGTATATGTGGCATCTATATGCGCACAAACCAGATCGATCAGGGTCGGGCAGGCCGGTTTCGAGACAACGTCAAGATTCAAAAAAATCAGCACTGCCCAGCAGTAAAATTGCAATTGTAAACATTGTTGCGTTATGAGCAAGTAGCTGTTTCAGACTATGTTGTATTTTTCAAATCGGGGAATACAAACACATCGGTTCGTGCCAAGACTAGTCGACTGGGGCAGCCGGCAGTAAAATGCCTAGGCCTACATATATGCATATACGATAGGTCTGAGCTACAACTTGCGTAGCTATGCAGTACTTTGTTACTATAAACGCATCGACTGGCGCCCTGGGCAAAGGACCTACCAAAGAGATTGGAAGAGATTCATTGTTGGAATGGTAACTAGCATTATATTATATAATATTATATATTACTCTTTGAAGCTTCTGGAAGTTGTTTGGTCGTTTTTAAGGCATAACAATTATATAATCCAAAATTTAGTTTCGGAATCTAGATCAAATAGTAAGTATATATAAAATCGAGCGTGGCCCAGTATAGCTACTATTGGATATACTACTTTCCACAGAGCCCCAACAATGTATGGGGCTTAGTGGTAGTATAACTAGCAAGTTGTCCGTGTTTTTAAAGTGAGCAGAGGTAATGTTGGTAGCTTCTCGCATGTGCAGCTAGGATAGGTACAAAACCTTTGATAGCAGAAATTCGTGGCATATATGGGATTCTTACTTGGTAATTGAGAGGTTTCCAGATCTAGACCTAGCTTGAATGACGAAGCCATGTTATAAGTTCGGCAGAATAATATATTAAGCATATCAACCCACGGGTTTAAGGGTTAACCAACCAGAAGTTTGGTGTTTTAGGAAGCCGTCCTTTACTTACACGTGGTCATGATCAAACATATGGCGTTTTCAAGCGTTGATACTTTGAAGATGACTGGTCTCTCCTTCCTAGTTATACATCTACAGTTGAGGATATTCAGATTATGGACTGATCATTAATTGACGTTTTTCACGCTATCGTTATTACGTCCAAGTTATTAGCCTCGGCATAAGACATGTACGTCTTAAACACACAGTATGACTTGGTGTAGATTAAGGATATATATACATCAGCTCATCATGATCAGTGACAGTCTAATCCATTATATATGGACACCTAACTACTAGTTTATCCTTTCTTCTTCTTTTTTTCTGTTTCTTTTTTTTCTATCTATCTTAACGTTACCGTTTGATAGCGGTTGATGGTGAATCAATGCCCTCAAACGTCCATGTAAACGAAGTCAATATTGTAAAAAAAAAATAGCAGTCTCGTATACGCGCGTAAATAAGGATAATATTCCGTCAGTGGTCGACGAATAACCAGCTACCAGCTCGAAGAACTTTCGGTGTCGTTTACGGATTAGCTCCTAGTCAAATGTTCCCATTGCGCACCTCTGCCCTTCCGTCTCTCATCTTCTAGAAAGGTCTCTGCATCATGTTTAAGCGTATGGTAGCCACTCAAAATCTCATCTTTCAAGAAAAGCATTATTCCTGGTAAACTATATCGGAGCATAAATGCCTTAATATACAGGTGATAGTTCTCCACTAGATGGCCATCGTTAGCAAAAGTTCTTAAATTAAAGCAATAACCTAAACAAAGGTGAACTTACTATCTTGACTGCACGGTAAATATAGGCAGTTTGAGTGCGGTGTAATATAAAATGGGCCGGTATCGATATCTAAAAGCCCCGAACATGGACTTTTAGAGTGTGCAAATTCATGACAGGATGACACGAAGTCCCTGACCAACTTCTCCACAAATATCCGTATTGTCGTTAGCTTCATTTCCTTTGCTTTATCGTAAGTTATCTTATAGCCAAATATGGCTTTGCATTCTGAAAGCCAGATGCGATCGTCACCCTCCAAATAAAGCCTCCAGCGTCGAACGAGGCATGGATGTTTGAATAACATCAAAACCAGCCAAAATTCGTAAAAGGCCTCATCGAGGTCTTCGTCGCTCAGGACCGATAATGGAGGCAATGCCGGGTCCCATAGGTTCCTCTCTTTGTTGAGCCATACCTGTGGCTCGCTGATATCGAAGCTTGAGGACCGAAAGAGTTTCGTGAAATATTGAGCGGTCTCTTGTATTTTATATAGCTCCTTGCTCAGAGCCACTGGGCATTCTGCAGATATCTTATAGTTTCTAAGGATTTCTCGAGCAGGAAATATTTTTTCCGGTAGCATTTGATCAAAAAATACGTCGGCTCCCGGTGCCAATAAATGTCGATATAGAAACTGTCTCTCCCGTTCCTGCTCCTCTTCCCATTTACGTTGTTTCTCTCGAATTTTTTGGATTTTATAAATTAACCACGACTGCTTACACATTCCGCGCATAAGAAGTTTGAGGTAAATAGTCTTACCATACTGACAAGTGAGTGCTTCGTGGAACAATTTACAGGTTTTCGAAAGAGAAAGGAAAGAGACAGCATCACAACTTTCGATAATCTGGTATTTTAGATCGAGGGGCATATCAGAAAATGTTATAGATGGCTGCCGTTCCGGAAGTAGTGGGGGTATTGGCTTCCACTTCTGGGTATGAGACAATGGTATTGGCTTCATTATTGACTAGTCGTATATATATAGTGCTTTCGGATTAAGTATATATCAATCGGCTACGGGTTTTCTGCTTGGCTATGGGTCGTAACTGGTGGAAATTCACGGTCGAGAAGGGCTGCTATTTACTTAGTACTAGGAAATGGGTGCATTATATTGAGCCTACATTAGTCATGTGGTCTAAAAAATTTCGCGGATCAGCCTTGCAAGTCACTAATATTTTCGGTTGAAATGGGGTTGATCGTTCAGCGATCCTACACTACCACGATAGCTGTGTGAGCGGCTTGATACCGGATTTACAGCCCATGATTAGACAATATTAATAATGGCAGTACTATAGTGGATAAGTTATTAATATACACTAGGTATATTAATAGATTTAACACTTATATAACTATTATGAGCTGATAAGTGCCGTCCCTTGATCGCAAACAAGATGAAATTTTTTAATTTTTTTTTAATATAACTTGAGTATATAAGTGTATATATAGCTCGCAAGGTCGAATGTTATGGGACGGAAAGTTAAATTCTGTTAATATCTAAAGAGTTTGGACAGAAATACGCGAAGAGGCAGCATAAAACAAAGGTGGTTATCTTCAGAGGCCAAAAGGTGTCCCACGTGTGCATCTGTGTATCTTTATCCAATATTTACAGCACTTTCTTCTCCAAAAGTATTGACTCATATTCAAAAACAATAGAATGGTACTGAGTAAAGGGTGGAAATACAACGCTATGCAATACAAGGACACCGAAATAACAAAAAAAAAGGTTCCAAAAACAATACATGGTATTTAAAGTTTGAGATGGTCACATAGAAGGTCATGGTGAATGGGGGATTTAAAATTCGTTTCGTGTATGCTCTGAGCCGTCGTTGTAATTCGGTTACAACGGGGCAAGGTAATTCGAAGGCACCAATCCTAGACACGACATGTTAGCAACTGGTAATGGTTCCGCTATACGAGTGATTGTATGCCTACCTATAAAGTCCCTTGCTTGAGCACTAGGCGGTAGATCGCCCACAATCTCGGCTTCCCACCACCCATCATCCTGTGTTCTCAAGATTGCCAAAATATCCATCTTTTCGAACGATAGCTCAATAGGAATCGTTGCAGTGAAAGTATATCTCGCGCGGGCTATATTCATTATATTAGCATCAAGATTCGTAGAACTTGTATTTTCACGATTAGGGGTACACACCATATTGAAGAACCGGCCTCCCGTCCCTGCTATATTGTCTAGTTGGATCTCTTAGCTCGATTCCAGTTTCCTGCTCCGGTCCGCCGGGTAAGACGACGGCCCCAGTCTCGGCATTCAACCCGTATGAGCTTCTTGGCCTTTCATTCATCGTCATCCTACTTCCAGGTCGCATGTCGGCTTCCATGTTGGCACTAACAAAGGTGTTACTACTCTGCTGACTGACAGGTCGATTATCGTTCATCATTCCCGTAGGGACCGGCGATGGAGATGTCCCACGAAAACCCATATGGGGTGAATGCTGCATAGCGGGCGGGACTGGGGATTTCGCTCTCATCGGAGCTGGTGAGGAAGTTCTCATTTGATTTTGCATAGCAGGTGATACAGGGCGACTCATCTGAGCGGCTGGCATTTGAGGCCTCTGCATCTGGGCTTGTTGCTGCTGCTGCTGCATTTGCAGTTCGCGCTGCCTTTGCTGCTGTGCTTGTAACTCCCTTTGCCGCTGCTCCTCCTGTTGCCTCTGCATCTCCCTTTGACGTTGTTGCTCTTGGAGTTCGCGCTGCCGTTGTTTTTCCTTCATTTGGAGTTCTCGGGCGGCTTGCTCTTCCCGCTCCCGCTTTAGTTGCTGCTCCCTAAGCTGTTGTTCTTTAAGCTGCTGTTCCTTTTGTTCACGGAGCTGTTGTTCTCGCAATTGTTGCTCCCGCAATTGCTGCTCCTTCAACTGCTGCTCTTTAAGTTGCTGTTCGCGAAGTTGCTGGTCCCTAATTTGCTGTTCACGAAGCTTTTGCTCTCTTAGCTGCTGTTCCCTTAGCCTCTGTTCTTTCATCTGCTGTTCCTGCTGCTGCTGCTCCCTAAGCTGCTGCTCGCGGGCCTGTTGTTCTCTCATTTGCTGCTCCCGCTGTTGTTGTTGTTCTCGAGCATGCTGTTCCCGAAGCTGCTCTTCCTTGAGTTGTTGCTCTCGAGCTTCTTCCTCTCTAAGTTGCTGCTCTCGGGCTTGTTGCTCTCGGGCTTGTTGCTCTCGGGCTTGTTGCTCCCGGATCTGCTGCTCACGGGCTTGCTGTTCCTTGATTTGCTGCTCCTTCATTTGCTGCTCTCTTATTTGCTGCTCTCTCATCTGCTGTTCTCTTAATTGTTGTTCCTTGAATTGCTGCTCCTTGAATTGCTGCTCCTTGAGTTGCTGCTCTCTAAGCTGTTGCTCTCTAAGCTGCTCTTCTTGCTCTTTGAGTTGCTGTTCACGCATTTGCTGCTCTTGGAGCTGCTGTTCACGAGCCTGTTGCTCTCTAAGCTGGGCCTCATGTTGCTCCTGCTGCTTTTGCATCTCCAACTGTTGTCGTTTTTGCTCAGCGGCTTTCCGTTGCTCATCCATCTTCCTCTGCTGCTCGAGTAACAACTCCTGCTGCCTCTGGGCTTCTGCGTGGGCTCTAGCTTGCGCCTGGGCCTGGGCCTGAGCTTGTTGCTGTTCTCGACGCTGGTTTTCGAGGGTCTCTGCTTCAGCAAGTGCACGAGCCTCCGCTTCTGCTTTTGCTTGAGCCTCTGCTTTCGCGCGAGCTTGTGCTTCAGCCTGGGCCCTAGCCTGTGCCTCTGCTTTAGCTTGCGCTTCCGCCTGGTTTCTAGCCTTGGCTTCAGCTTCAGCTTTTTCTCGTGCTTCAGCTTGAGCTCTGGCCTCAGCTTGAGCACGTGCTTGGGCTTCTCGAGCTCGGGCCTCAGATTCAGCCCTGGCTCTAGCTTGGGCCTCTTGCTGGGCTTGTAGCTCCGCTTGTGCCTGTGCTTGTCTCCGCGCTTCTTCCTGCTGCTGCAGCTGTTGTTGCTGCAGCTGTTGCTGGCCTAAAAAAGAATTCTGCTGTCCTCTTTGGGTGGCGAGATATTGGGCCTGGCGGGATGATGCTGAAGGTGGCGGGGGTGGCGGGGCAGCGCTTATTGGTACAAGCGCGGTCATTGGGTCCGCCACCACAAGGCCCGGGTGAGGAGACTGGCTACGTTGTTGAATAGCAGGACTAGCAGCTCGCTGTAGCGTTTCATTTGCAGATGAAGGGGTTGGGAGAGCACGTTGGCTTTGCCGACTAAGTGGTCTATCATCTGTATTAGACCTTTGACGGAGATTTACCTGAGGCTGAGCTGGGGGGATGATTTGTTCATTGTTAAGAAGGTTTTGAGCTTTATTCACATATCGTTGGGTTGTTTTTTGCATTTGAGCTGATGTGAAAGCAGGGGGGGGTAAGCCTAATGCACTTTGTTTAGGAGGCTCTTGGCGAATAGGAAGAGGAGCGGATTGCTGAGGTGGGGGGGCTTGCTGTTGGGGAGCTGCAACCGGAGCGGGGCTTGGAGCTCTGGCTTGGGGTGTTGGATTTCGTGGCGGTGGATTCCCTGGAGGCGGAGCCATATAGCTCAAATCACTTTGTGTTCTTTGAAGCTGAGGGGCACGGGCTTCTCTCCCTCCAAGTCCGGGGGTCGCAGGTGGGGCGGGTGTCTGGAGTCCATAGAACCTATCTGCAGTAGCTCTCGCATTCGTATTGACCCTTTTGTGAACCCCCTTCAGCTCTGCAAGAGCTTGTGCGATGGGGTCAAGATCAATATCATCGTCTATTGGGGGAGGGGGTTCCTCCGCCCTTGTGGGAATGCGAGAGCTCTGCTCGTTTTTTGCCTGGCTAGCAGTAACGTCAAACATGTTGCCCCCGATATTCAACATAACACTGGCTCTCGGGTCAATTGGTTCGGGCTCTGGTGTAGTCTCAAAATGATAGTTGGGCGCTGCGCGAGGTGCAGACTGTGGTGGTTGGTTTGGCAGTGCCCGCGTAGATTGCTGAGGTTGGCCGTATTGGTGAGCTTGTTGGGTCTGCTGTTGAGCAGTATGCGGAGACCATGTTTGCCTGTGGGATACTGGTGCAGTAGATTGCTGCTGTCGTGCTTGAGGCTGCGGCTGGGGTTGCTGTTGGTAGTATTGTTGCTGAGTTTGAGGGGGGGGAGGTTGTTGCGGGTGTGACTGTTGCCACTGATTTTGAGGAGGCTGTTGATGATACTGCTGCTGGTTCATCGCCATCATTTGGGGGTCATGGTATTGCGGTGATTGGGAATAGCCATTTCGTCCACGATCACGTTCCTTGTCCTTACTCCGTCTCCTAAACGGGGTATGAGATAAAAAGCCTTTCTTCTTGGTGGGGCTCTTCGACTCTGCTTGCTGCCGCTCGTATGCTAATTGCTGTTGCACATGGTCGAAGGCGTCTCCAGAAGAAATGCTAGTGGGGTTGGAGTACTCGCTACCACCATAACTGCTTAGAGGTCGGGGCTCTGGACTACCGGCCGAACCAAGGTCAGATGGTTGTCGGCGGGAATACCTCCCGTCCCCGGGATAATCGCTATAGGCAGATTGTCGACTTGGAGCCTGTGAATATGAAGGGCCATTTGCGTAAGGATCTTGTCTTTGCTGATCTCTATTATCTCTTCCTCCATGGGAATATGACTCTGCATGGTCTCTAGAACCGTCGTAATGCCTGCTCCCTCTTGAAGATGCCCCGTGGTCCCTTTCCCTCTCTCTCTGTCTCTCCATCTCCCTGTGCCTTTCCATTTCCCTATGTCTCTCTAGTTCTCTCTGCCTCTCCATCTCCAACTCCATTTCACGTTCCCTTTCTCTTTCACGCTCACGCTCACGCTCGAGCTCGCGTTCTCTTTCTCTCTCCCTCTCCCGTTCTCTCTCTCGATGCGATTTATTCGGAGTTCTATCACTTGTTCCGCCGGGACTATAGGGTTCCTCGTCTCTAAATTCTGGCGTGCTGCGTGACTTCCTTCTGGCTTCTTTCTCTTCCTTTGCTCTCCTCTTCTCTTCCTTCGCTTCTGAAATGTCTGGTTTAGACCTCGACTTCTTCAGTTTAGCGACAAGAGTGTCTGACTTTCTCTTAGCTTTAGCCGGAGCCTCGCGGCTTTGGCTTCGCCGGCTACGAGCAGAGGTCGTGACTGTTTCGGGAATACCCACAGATTCGTCTTCAACATCTTCAACGGTTTGGTCGAGACTCATCGGCGGTGGGATTGGGGAAGCCGAACGAAAAGATGGATTTCCTTCACGAGGGAACTGCGCAAGACTATGTCCTGCTTCATCCATGGACTGGCCGTCATCAGATACATCTCCTCTGCAGAAATTTATGTACTTTGGAGGATCTGGTATCTCTCCACCCGTTCCTTTTGACTGAATGAAATGAACTATGTCTTTCTCCACTTCACAATCCTCGAGCGAGACACGAATCTTTTCGCAAGATGCATCATCGGTAACGCAAACGGTTGAAGAAATGTTGGCAAAAGACCACAGGCTAGCTTTAATGAAGTCTAACCTTTCCTCCTCAAGGTCCTGGAATTTGTCGCAGGCTGCCTTCCAATCCCTATTCCAGCGTGCGGTTGTTTCTTCGAGGGTCTTGATCGCGTTTTCGTACTCATTGTTCGAGGCGGTAAGTTGGACTTGGGTCTTTTCGAGTTTTGCCTTGTTCTTTCGCTCCTCTTGCCCCATAACCATATGACCTTGTGCTAAATAGTTCTTGATGAGAAGACAGTCTTTTTCGTAGCGGTCTCTTGTCTACACTATGTCAGCTCATGCAGCTTATATTCAAACGGCGCTATATTCGTTACCTTATTGACACTATTCGTTTGAGACATTTTCGATTTTAGTAACTTCTCAACGCCAAGCTGGACGATTTTCCGTCTCTCTCTCATGGCGCCGGTAAAAGCGGTCAATGCATCGTCCAATTCATTTTTCATTTGGGCAGCGACATTAGCATGTTGCTTCCCGATGGATTCCAGCTCCAGTTTGACAACATCCAAGCTTGCTTTTAAAGATCCTGTTTCTTGCGATCCGAGGTTTTTGCGTGAAAGGGCGAGAAGTTTCTTGGCGTATTCATCTTCAATATTCGCTCGGGCTTTATAAGAAAAACGAGTTAGTATATCACAATATGAAGGTCTGCAGGATGCCTACTTGAATAAAAAGATTTAAGCTCCTCGCAAGTTGTCTTGGCACAGTGCATACGCTCGAGTAGAGGCACGACACCAGCGTCATCCTTTCCCCAAAAGTTGTTGGCGACTACAACAGTAGGCAGATTAGCTCATGCAATTGGCCGGTATAGATTCGAGAACGATGACGTACAAGACAAAGGCACGCCAGGGCCGCCGGATACCCCGACTACGGCAGGCATGGTCGCCTATGAAGCTCCTTCCAGAGCGATGTGAATCTTGGTTTGTAACTCGAGATCCCAAGTTCCCGCTCGCCGGCGGATGGGCTGTCGGCGCTGATAATGTGAATCAAACTGAGGGGTAGCGATGCCACTGAGGGTAGGGCGACCAAGCACGGAACATGTATCGGAAGAAGTTTTCAATTTAAGAATAGAAACCAGGTTTGAGCAGTTAAAGGGGCTAGTGGAATGTCAGGTAGCCGGAAGAAGCTGCTCGTGGCATCGCCAAAAACAACAAGGATCCAAGGGTAACGCAGGTGCCAAATATGTTTAATACCAGGGCGCAATTTCAATGATATGACGATAAGAGAGAGCGAAAAGAAAGAATTCAAAGAACAAAATTTCTGAAGCTCAAGGGTATGCGGTGTGAAGTGTCGAGATTCCCTTGCAGGAATCGATCGAGGACTAGGTCGGAGGGAGCTGGGGGTGCTATATCAATCTATCGTCTATGGCTAGTCGTCTTGGGTTTGGTTAGTTCGGCGGTGAGGCGGATTTGTTGTTCAACAAGCCAAGCATGGGTCGTCTCCACAACAACCGTTTGGGGCGCCTACTTGCTCTCACAGTCTCGGTCAAATCACATCAATATCACACACATCACAGAGAAATAAAAGCCCCCATCACGAGATGATAATTGTTTTTAGCTTGATGAGCTTGCGAAAGTTGGAAGAAATTTGATTTGGATAGGTCCCACGGGACACGTTGACTTGCATATAAACGGGATGGCCAATACCATGAGTGAAGCTCTTGGCACCTATGTCCATACAGCATTAGGTTTCCTGAAAACCCCAGGGCTAGCTTCAGACTGGAATGACAAATCTCGTGATGGCATGGAGCAGAGATTGAATGGTCGCTTTGACGTTAACAACAGCGTTCCAGGCATCTGATCTAGAGCAGAGCCGCAGACGGAGACTTGCTTGTTGCAGTTGGTGCAGCCGAAGCCCTGCAGAATGCACTTGGATTCGGCATTCGGCCCATCGCTGAGCACCCGGTTGTCTATCACCTTTAGCTGCGGCGGAAATATGTAGCCAAATCTGCGGAGCCAAGTGAAGTATAGCATTGGTCCTGGTGGAGAATTTATGTTAACGGGAGGAGGAAAGAAGCTACCGTGACCGGCGTGGCTGGTTGATGGTGGCGATATGTATACAACAGGCGTTTCATGCATCATATGTATACTTCCCAGACTTTCCTATCTTATCCCTCGATATGATTGCTCAAGAGGAATCATTATCTTATTATTCTGCGAGTGATAGGAAAGATTGCACCATTGTGGGTTTCCCGATCAACATTTCCATCGGCAAACTCATACCGACATCTGTCGTTCTAGAATTGGCTACAGTCTACCACCAACCAGAACGTAGGCTGATTTGGCTGAGAGTACCCCATATCATGGATGGCCACCAGTGTAACCGACTAGGATGCCCTGAAATCTGTATCTTGATGATTCTCTTTGGTTTGACTTTTGGGTTTGAGCCGTATGTTGTTGATACGCCATTTGCTTGCTTGCTTGAAGTCCTAATGTGCACATAAAGCACCAAAGGTAGAGATCGATTTCAGAGTATCATCAAGCCCTCGGAAATCCGTGCCAGTTTCACGGGACTGCTGTAGACCGTGTATTTTCTGAGGAATATATATATATAAGTATATATCCTGTGAGGTATAGCAAGTACCTAATAGGCATGAATCGGGTGCCGCAAGGTAGTTTGTAGCCCTTGTACATGTCCTACATCGTGCACGATCCAATCTAGATCAATAAAACAACTTCGCCTCGTATTTTACTGATTCAAATACAAACTTACTTCGACTTGATCCCTTCTGCCATGCTGAATACACTTTTCTATAATATTGATATCGTAGACATATGATCGCCGTTGTCGTTTAGCAGATTGTCGCTGGAGTCTATACATAGTGACAGTGGTTGCGGTTTGTGTGCCGCAACACCACGCACCTTCGCTGGAGCTTTTTGTATTTGCTTTTCGCCTCTCCAAAATTAATAAGAAACAATCGAACACGCAAAATACACTTCTCCTCACCAAACTTCTAACGACCTCTGCTCCCCACACACCCTCTCACCATCATCATCATCATCACCTCCATCCAATCTTACCCCATCTCTCCCCTTTCCTCCCTTCTCACGGCCGTTAGAACCAATCTCGAGTCTCGCTCGCTCCCTTCAGCTCGCTGAATCCCCCATCCTCTTAGCCCTAGGTATCATAAGTATCAACAGCTCTCGCTCACCCAGCCAATATAAAACCTCCGACCACCTCGTCAAAAATTAAGGTCCAACATCTCAACAGCAGATATCCATCTCGACACCGCTCTTTCCTCCACCCTTACCTCTATATCCACCCATCAAATCTTACCAATAGTAGCAGCAGCAGGGTTTAACCTCATAGCTGCTGTCTCGAACCGCCACGACGCAGTCACCTAGTGCAGGACCTGCCGGGTCGTCGACCTCGGCGTCGACGGCCGGTGGAGGGGCGGCTGGCGGTGCCAATCTGTCAAAGATTGTCGTGGCTCAGGTGTTCCTTCTTGTTAGTACCATGAAGGAAGATAAATATGAATCACAGGCCAATCAAATCAGACAGGTAAGGCTTTCAGGTCGCATGCCGATCCCCATCGTCCTCCACGTTACGCTAGTAGTTGGCATACTAACCACTCATAAAATTTAGCTTTGCGAGCAAAACGGTATGGAGGTTTACACCAAACTTATACGTAGACTGATCACTGGAAATGCCCCCACTATCTTCCCAAATATCAACAGACAGATCGAAAACCCCCATAATTACAAGCTATTAGTCGAAGAGGTTCACAAAGCCTCCGAGAGCACAAATTCCGCTAAAGATATCGCCGAAGCGATTGCGGGTAATGACACGGACCTATTTAAAGACTTCGACTTGGCTGGTTTTATGCGGCATTTCAACTTAGACGCACTCGGTCGAAGCGTGTTCGCACTTGGTTTCAAAAACAGTCCGAAGGCAGACCTTCGAAACAAAGGTGAATCCTCATAATTTAACACGTATTTCGCATAAAGAGACATTCTAACACTCTTCGGTTTGGTTAGCTCATGATATCATCACCAATGCTTTCGGTGCAATGCTAGAGATCCTCGGTAACTCTGCCAAGCACGAGAACTGGGACCCGGCTCTAATTGCACAATATCTCACCGACTACCTCTCGGAACCCCTCCCATCTTTCTTCGACCTAAACGCTAAGCTAAACTTGTCGTACGCCGCACGCGTCAGGTTTAGTTCTTCCACCATACCTGAAGAAATCCAAGTGGTCACGGACTCTGTTGAAAAGTTGAGAGGGCAGGAGTCTTTAAGGCGTCTCTTCACAATGGCTGGCTCCAATAGCACAAATTCTCTCGATGCTTGTCGGGAGGTCCTCAAAAGGAAGTGGAAAGTCGAACTAAGTGAAGAAGAGGTAGCCGAGATGCTTATAACTATGGCTACTGGCCTACATCCAACTGACTGGAACCCGGAGGTTTTCGTTAAAGCAATCTTGGAAAACAACATTGGACCAGCGTTTGATTGGAATTTGTTAATCGATGTCCTCGATAAACCAGAGTTCATCATCGAAGACCCCGATGGTCTTTCTCTTCTTATTAAGGGACTCCTCGTGGCAACCCAGAAAAACCCAGACCTCGAGATTTCTAGGCTTTGGTCCGGACGGAAGAACAATCCGAGGTCACAGTTGTCGATAATGAAGGCTCTTCTGAGCCGCAGATTCGAGAGCTTCAACTTGGCCAAGGTTCCTAATCTTCAAAAAATTGTTTCTATCAACGACCAGTTCCAAGATGCGCCAGCTAAGCTTTCTGCATTGGCTACAACCTACGAAAACCAAAAGCTGAACTCTCTTGGTGCTGTGCAATCTCTCCTTTATTTGGCTGTCGATCGGTCCGTCCCGAAGGATGTTAAAACAGAGGCCGGCGCTCTTGTAGAAAGGCAATGGAAACTCGTTCCCGAACTTCTTCTCGTCGGGGCATTTATTGCGGATAAACCTTGGGCCCAGGAGCATGAGGGTATAGTCAAACGACTTTTTAGTTCGTTTTTTGAAGGCTCGCCCTCCCGTCAGCTAGTCTTCTACCTTCTGTGGAGCTATGATAGGCTCGGTGTCATGGAGCGCTTCATCGAAATATACAGAGGCGATAAGCTCAAGGTTACACGAATATTGGAAATTGCTAAGGAGATCCAAATTCTATGGGACTTGACCAAGTCGATCGCGTATTACGAGCTAGCTCTTGATATTGCCTGCCTAGCTGCGGTTTCAGACGCTCTAAACCTCGAAAAATGGCTTACCGAAATGTTTGCTGAGAATGGGAAAGATTTTATCAGTGAGACTCTAATTTTTCTCGAGACAAGAAGCATAGCAGACTATGAATTCCAACCTTCTGAAACTGAGAAGCAAAAGAGTCAAGTCAATCTTCATGCTGCTGAAGTTAGCCAAATTCTCGAGGCTTGTGAACAGTCGTAAGTTTTACCCCCCAATCTAATATACTCCCAATAGCTAATATCTCTGTCCCTCAGCGAACACTCGGCTCTTGCAACCGCAGAGCAAAGAGAGTTTATGGTGTCGGTCCAACGAAAATGCATCCAATCATACCCACGACTAATAAATCTTCGACAAGGCCACGACCACATCATACTTTCTGCGAACAGAAACAAAAATACCTTCTCCCCTGATGTCGATAAGAAAATGCAGGATTACTATCAGAAGATGTACAGCGGTGAAATCACGATAACAACGATGGTTAAAGACTTGCAACATCTAAAAAAATCCGACACTGTTCAAGATCAGGACCTCTTCGCGTGCATGATACACAGTCTTTTCGACGAGTACACCTGTTATCCGTCCTACCCTATCGAACCGTTGGCCACTACTTCTGTCCTTTTCGGTAGCTTGATAGAGTATCACTTGTTGGAAGGGCTCGCCTTGAACGTTGCCCTTGGTATGGTCTTGGACGCTGTCAAGAAACACCCTCCAAGGGACAACATGTATAAGTTTGGTCTCCAGGCTTTGAAGCATTTCCAAACAAGACTACAGGAATGGAGGGGGTTTTGTCAGCATCTAACTACAATACCTGGACTTCATGATACCGATATTATGGAAATTGCGATGCGAGTGGTTTCGTCTGGGGATGGACAAAACACATTAAGCGAACCGGAACCGGAACCGGAACGCATAGCTTTCCCAGCTCCAGGTCTAACCAATGGGGCAGTCGAGCCCACATTGACACCACAACCAGCAGTTGAGTTCAGGGCTCTTAGGCTCGATCGGTCCCCTCAAGACGAGGATTCTTACGAAGAGCCCGTTGAGCGTGTCCGAGACAAAGTCCTTTTCATCGTGAACAACCTTACCGCCTCAAATCTCGATGTCAAGTTAAAAGAACTGCAAAGCACTCTCAACGAAAAATCGTACCGTTGGTTTGCCGACTACCTCGTTGTCCAGCGCGCCCGTCTCGAGCCTAACAACCACAAACTTTATATCGATTTTATCGAAGGTCTCGGGAGTCGAATTCTCCATGCTGAGGTCTTACACGAAACATACCGGAATGCTTTCAACCTCCTTAACAATGAAAACACTGCTCTTTTGATCAATGAACGCACACATCTTAAACACCTCGCTATCTGGCTCGGAAGTATGACCCTCGCCAAAGATAAGCCTATCAAGCACAAAATCATTGGATTCAAGGAGTTTTTGATCGAAGCGTACGATACACAGCGCCTCCTCATCGCACTACCCTTCACCTGTAAGGTATTAGAGCAAGCCGCTAGATCCACGATTTTCAGGCCTCCAAACCCTTGGACAATGGCTATACTTCGGCTCCTAGCAGAACTGTATAGATTCGCGGAGCTAAAGCTTAACCTTAAATTCGAAATTGAAGTCCTTTGCAAGGCCCTTGGAACCGATATAAAGAATGTAGAAGCATCTACAGACCTTCGGGATCGCCCCCCACTCCAGGAAGAGAGTGATACGCTAGTTGATGGACTGGCGGACTTCGGAGGATTGATGTTTCCAAGGGACGATCGTGCTGACCGCTTCTCAGAAAATGCCATTAACTCCCTCCTTCCCGACCTCCATAACCAGATCGTCATCAACACCACTCTCAACGGTTTCGGGCAGCATCCTAAAGTCAGGAGCATCCTCACTGCGGCGATAGAACGCGCGATTAGGGAAATAATGTCGCCTGTTGTTGAGCGGTCGGTTACCATCGCTGCTATATCAACAAGTCAACTAATTCTCAAAGACTTTGCTACCGAGCCCAACGAAGAGAAAATGCGTAAGGCCGCTCATAGTATGGTACAAACAATGGCCGGTAGCCTTGCTCTTGTTACTTGCAAGGAACCTTTACGGATGAGCATGTCTAATCATATACGCCAACTCCTGGCCAGCAATGGTTACCCTGAGCAAACCTTCGCGGATCAAGCTATCTTAGTCATTGTCAACGACAATTTGGAACTCGCTTCCGCTGTGATCGAAAGGGCCGCCCAAGAGAAGGCTATGCCGGAAATCGATGACAACCTCCAGCAAGCCTATGCAGTCCGTCGGTTACACCGCGAACGCGGTAGACAAAATGGTGGCCAACCTTTCACCGATCCGGCCATATCGCGATATATGGTGTCTTTGCCAGAACCCTTCCGCCTTAAACCCGGAGGGCTTTCCCCAACCCAGCTTAATGTTTATGATGACTTCTCGCGCATGCCACGAGCTTCTAGCGAGGTCATCGCCACCGCTCGTATGTCCCAGGAAGTTATCAGCGACTTTGCTCCAATCGGCCAACCAAGTGAGGGACCATCGCCTGTCCCACTTACCCACCAAAACCTTGCCCTCGCCCAGCAACAGCAACAACCTCAACAGCGACAAGCCCTACTACCCCCACCATCTATTGTATCTCGCCCTGCTCAAAGCCCAGGCGAGATGTTCAAGTCGACAAGGGACCGTATGTTCGTAAGTAAACCCTTATTAATTCTATATACCCCCACGGTCACCATTAACACTTTCCCAGGAATTGCTCAACGAGATAGGGGTGGTATTGAAGGAAGTTGCGGCGGATTCTCTTGCCGACGTTCCTGAAAGTAGTCACCTTAAGGCTTTGATGAACGACTTTGTCCGCATCGCTGCCGGCTCCCCTTTTATGGACAACCTCTGCCTTACCTTAGCAAGTTACTTGTATAAAATATTATACGAACGGGCTGAAACGGCGGTCGAGGCTGAGACCTTCGTCTTCTTGTTGGAAAAGCTATGTCAACTATCCCAAAATACTGCACAGGAGGTTATGGCAACACTCGTTTCCCCGGAAAATGAACAGTTATTCAATCTCCCTTTTACAAACCTTCTCATCCGCAGCCGCCTCATCACCCTCAGCATGCTGGATGTCACAATCGCCCGTGCCATCGAAGGCAGGAAGCCAGGTGCAATCGAGTTTCTTTCCGGTCTCATCAGAGAAATAGTCCTTGGACCGGACCCCGTTGCCCTCAGGTCCGATTTCGCTGGTAGTCTCGATAAGCTGTTTCACTTTGTTCAACAGGATCCCCAAAATACTGTTGGCCGCTCTCTTCTACAAGAACTTCAGAAGTTCGAGATGCCTCCGGCACCACCAGAAGAAGAGCAGCCACCAGAAGAAGTCACAATTCGCGATCAGTTAGCTTATATATTTGAAGAATGGGTTCAGCTTTGCGATCACCCCACCACTACCGAGAAAAACTTCGCCGCATTTATTTCGCAACTATACAACGAAAAAACCCTTGAAGATCAATCTACATCAGCACTATTCTTCAGAACTTGCGTTGAAACAGCCATCGAGCATCATGAGAAAGAGATCACGACCGCTGAAGATCCTACTTTTAATAGCGTTTACAATCAGGTTGATAGCTTGGCAAAGTTAATAGTTTTACTTGCGAAGTACCATCTTGAAACTGAAGGAGAAAGCGCAAACAAAGCAGAATATCTCAAGGCCATTTTCTCCGTCATTATTCTTGTTTTTAATCACCAACATGAAGTTATGAACGGAGCGGTTTTCAACCAAAAGGTCTTTTACAGGTTGTTCTCTAGTCTATTATGCGAGTGGCACGAGGTTGAGGGACAACTTGGTGAATATCAACGGCCAATAATGCTGGCTTTCTAGTAAGTCCCCTAGACCAATAAATTGAAATTTATGATTCTGACAACAGTTTAGCGACTTGATTATGGCCCTGCAGCCAGTGTACTATCCTGCATTTGCGTTCGCTTGGGCTAGTCTTGTTGCGCATCGTCTATTTGTCCCTAAAATGATTGCTTTGACTGATGACGACGGGTGGAATCTATATGAGCGAGTACTAGAAAGGCTCCTCCGCTATCTCGGTGGCCTTGTCAAGTCTCCCGAACTCATCGATGAAATCCTTCACTTCTACCGTGGCATTCTTCGGTTCCTCCTTGTCCTCCACCACGATTTCCCCGACTTCCTGGCGGAATATCATAACTCAATATGCGCATCAATCCCAACCAACTGCACTCAGCTACGCAATCTTATTTTGAGTGCATTCCCAATTGGATCTAAGGAATTACCCGACCCCTTCACACATGGTCTCAAAGTTGATAGACTACCAGAGATTCGCAAACCGCCTAAGATCGCTTTGCCCCATACCTTTGGTGAACGTCTCGCCCAGCTCGAGATCAGAGAGGCTGTCGACAGGTGCCTAAACGAAGGGCCGAAGGAGGCAGATATCGCACTTATTGCATCCAAGATGACCCTCAAGTCTCCTGGCTTCGACAAAGTTAATGTGGACGACTTCTCGCTTAATAGTCTTGTCATTTATGTTGTTATGCACGCGATATCGGTTGGAGAGAAACGGAACACAGCAGCATTCATACCACATTCACCACACACCACCTTCTTATTCGAACTTGCACAGGTCTTCAACCCAGAAGGTTCGCGATCCCACCTAGGTCTTATTTGTGAAATTGCCTGGCTAACATCATAATAGCTCGATACTTCTTCTTAGGCGCTATGGCCAACCAACTGCGTTACCCCAATAGCCACACACACTTCTTTAGCTGCACTCTCCTTTCTCTATTCGGGCATGTTAAGGGCACTCCGCACGAACTAGATATTCGTCAACAGATTACTCGTGTTCTCCTCGAGCGCCTCATAGTCCATAGGCCACACCCATGGGGACTAATCATCACACTTCTTGAGCTCCTCAAAAACCCAAGCTATGAGTTCTGGAACCTAAGCTTCATTAAGGCAGCACCCGAGGTAAACATCAACCCAGAAATCCCGAAGACCAAAAATATCACTAACTCAGAACAGATTGAGAAACTCTTCGACGCACTGTTCGCTCATGTCAACCACAGCCCCCAGCTTTAATTCCAATGAATTCAATGCAAGAAATCCAATCCATCATGGGTTTTCCTCTTCGCCGATAATATATAAGTCAGCTGTTGAATATCCCCTATATTCCATCTCCTAGAAGTCCAAACTATTCAAATTTCCCTTTGCTTGTCGTTTTATTGATGACCAAAACTATATCCCGGAGTTTTGCGACGTTCACGGTTATATGGGTATGAGTTTACGGCACTCTTTTTGTTTCTAGGGTCTTCGTTATTAGAGGTCTTTATTCCCCAGCGTCACCGCATCCACATATCCAAAACAAGAACCCCAGCTTCCCCCTCTTCATCCTTCAATCCTGGAAGCATTCATGATTTCCTTTCCCATATCTGCTTCTCATCTCCATGAGTAGGGATACTTTTTTTACTTATGTGTTCTTTTTTGCGGTATATCATCGATGGTGTCCAAAAGTCATAGTCATTAAGCTTTTTAATATTCCTTCTTGTATATTTGTTTCCAAGACGTCCCACTTCAAGGCTCTATAGCCTCGAAAAATCCTATCAGGGTCAACTTGTCCAATCCAGTTGTCTTAATACCTTACTAGCTAGTCTTCTCCTGTATATCATCTTGAATCCTCTTCCGAACCCCCCGCTAGTTTTTTTCTTCTCATATCACCCTACCCCTCAAGCCCTTATACATCACTAGTCCCACAATGATTACCAAGGATAGCCTACAAACGAAAGTAGCGGACCCTCTTAATTGAAATCAGCACGTCTACTCTTCGTCCAACTCCAAGATATTCTTTCCCTTTTTTCCGAACTGCGGATATTTCCCCCCAAACCTTATGACCCCTTTTACTTCTCGAGCTCACTCCCACCCCTCCTTGACCATGAAAAGTACCTTTCAACGTTCACCCGCTCTTCTATGATTCCCATGACGATCAACAGCGATCCTTATCACTCCTTAGAAACCTTCAATTCATTCTGTATATATATAGTAAATCATTTCTGTGGATTCATCCATTTCTATAGATCTAAAAAGTTTACGGCATTTCCGAGCATTCCTTATTTATAAATTTAGTTTACCTGGGCGTAACATACCGCGTTTTCACCCTCATGATTTCCAAGGCATGATTTATATAGATTTATTTGGCAAAAAAAAAAAATTTTTAATTAACGTAATTAACGTATATATTCGATCTATCTATGAGGTGCAAAAAAATAGAACTCATTAAGTTGTCATTACATAACCATTAATTCCGTAAATCTTTTTTCTAATATTGTATTTCCTCAACCTTTTCATTGCATGCATACATAAGGATCCCGAGTAAGATCAATCAATTAAGATCTCTTACAAAGTCGGGACCTTGCCATTGCGGAGGTCCTCGTGAGCAGCGCGGGTCTTGGTCTTGAGGGTATCAAGTTCATCGTAGATAGCCTGGGGAACAGTACCGAAGAAGGTAACCTTGTCATCGAGTCCCATAAGAGTAGCTTCCTTAACGAACTTGTCCTTAGTGTTCAAATCCCTCAAGCCAGTGAATTCAGACTCGTCGGTGGTCTTGAGCTTTTCGATGGTTTCGGCAGAGGCACCACGGAATTCAGCCATGCGAACGAAGAAGTCGCGCATGGATGGGCGCTCGCCGGTTCGAGCTGGGCCATCTGGACCTCCTGGACCTCCTGGACCTCCCGGACCACCAGGTCCGAAGCGTCCGAATCTACCACGTGGGCCACCGCGTCTAGTACCATTGCCCCTGGGGAAGCCACCGGGTGGTGGAGTGAATGCTGTGGGGAGGGCGGCCATATCTGGAATAGTTCCGTTCCAGAGGGCGCGGGTAGCCTGGTGAAGCTTCCTGTCGTTGTCTGCCATCTTCTGGAAGGTATCATCTGGGATGGACTTGAGGAAGTCGATACGCTCGGTGGTGGCATTGAAGCGCTCGGCACGGCGGATGGCGAAGTCCTTAGGAGACATCTTAGCCTGACGCTTGGTAAACTGCTCATAGAAGTTTTGAGGAACAGCTTCTTGGCCAGAAGCGGCGAGGGAGGAGCCCGAAGAGCTCATTGGGATAGCAGCAACGCTGGCAGCGAGCATAGCAATAGGAGCGAAGAGAGTGAACTTCATTTTGACTGATATTATAAAAAGATTATACGAAAAATGTAAGTTGTAAAGGGAATGGTCGTGTAATACGGTATACGTTAAAAGACGTTAAAGTGTCGTAAAGAGGAACCTGCCTCGAAATTGTAAGAAAAGAAACTTGGGTGGACCGGCCACGGAAAGGTTTTGAGATAGATGAGGATTGTTGATTGCGGTAGTGATGATGTTAGAAGAAAAACTATCGAGGAGGGAGGACTATCGATCCTTTTTATAAAGTTTTTCCAAATCGTGACTTCATATCAAATTAGTTAGACCAGTTATCACAGTGCATGTCTTAATACATGGAAATATGATCCGGGACACAGTATCTTGAGCCACGATCAAAAAAAGCCATGCATTATGCATGAGCGAGTCAAGCTTTCCCAGGAATGGTCTCAAGACCTTGACTCGCTTTCGCTTTGCGTTGCCAGACGTTGGAATTTTCGCAGGGATTTCTGAGGAAAGCTGGGGCTCCTGGGCTTAGAATCTTCGCTTGTTCCCAAAGTTCTTACCATAAAGTCGAGATTCTAACCAATACTCTGCTCCAATACTCTCCATCTCGGCGTCCATCTACGACATTGTGCATATAATTTTCAATGTTTTCTTTGTATTGCGTACGCAAGCACTTCTCGTGCTTAGCTTGTAACAGCAAAAATAGCAGCGCCTCCCTCGTTCCATACTCGAACGCCTCCGACTTGATACGGGAAGGGCTGGGTGCCAATCCTGGTTATTCGGGAGCCAGGCCTGACTGAGAAGTCGCAGCCGGCCTCGGCATGCCGAAACACGTAACCTGAGGCCCCCAGAGGCGAGTTATTGTCTGAGAATCAAACAGAGCGTATCTACGGATCTTATGATACAAGCGTTTTTTTACTTTTCCCCTAAGAAAAGGCTTGAAACTTAGGGCATCCAGAAAATGCCGGTTACCCGGCTTTCGAGAATTTATCGGTGAATCAAGATTTTCCTTCTGGAAATCTCTTACAAAAAATGCTGTAGGAGTCTGCGATTCGTTTCGACTTTCCTCCCATTTTTTTTGGACTAAATTAGTCTTGAAACTAAAAAACGACTTCTTGACTCGTCTGATTAAAAAGGAATATCAATCAAACGGTATACCGGTAAGCGGCTCTCAAAAGCTTTGCCAAGTAATTCATCTTGCAAATAGTACGGTAATTATCGGTCCAATTTGGTGCGAGATGCATGAAAAACTATGTCACGATATATTTAATCCGGACGATTTATTACGCAAGAATCTAGATATCTAAGCCGGGCCTACCCATAGTTAGGCTATAGTTATCTCGTAAACCAGAATTAATTGCTGCTGCGGGCTATAGGGACATCAAATTTTAAGAAATTTAAATTGGACTATCTAATTTTGATTTCGAACCTTCTGGCAAGCAGCATCATGCTGAATGATTTGATCTTTATTTCTATTGAAGAAGAAGAAAATCATACCCTTAAGGCCTTAATTTATGTACTGTGTAGTATTCAGACATGATTTGATCCGCACGCAATATGTTATGCTTAGTTTAGTTACCTATACGATATGTATTCATTCCATGAGCAAGAAAATCAACTCGAATCATAACCGCCTCGAGCTTGACTTCACGATAATTACCTCCCCGGAACTTTCTCCGAGATCAACGGACAGCCGCTTTCCGTGCTTGCCCCTCCCACCTACGACTCTACTCTCCACTATTTCTAAGCCTGGTGATGAATCGCTGCTTCTTCCTCCTTTTCTCGTCTGTTTTGTTGGCGAACCATTAAGAGGTTCTTTTCCTTTGTCCTTATTTTGTGCGGGCGTTGACACAACTCCGCCAGTAACATACCTGTCCCAGTCATAATAGTTGCCCACCTGAGCTGTTTTTCTCTGTGGACGTTGCTTCCTTGGCGACGTTATCCCATATTCAAGCTCCAAAGATGTTTCCCGCAGCTGCTGTTCAGTAGGCTGGGCCTCCCTCTCTGGGGTAGTAATAGGAGATTCCCTATAGGTCTCGTCGTCTTCTTCCTCCTGATTCGGAGGAACCGAATACTGGCTGAACTGGTTAGCATCAGTCACACCTCGTTGTTGAGCTCCTCGCCGGGAAATTCCCTCGCTTGATCTTGAGTCCGCTGTATATTGCTTCTGTATCTTTTTCACCCTTGTCCCAAGCTGTAACGACCGTTTTAATGCTTCCACTGAGATTGGTTCTGATTCGGATTCAGCATCGTCAACAGGAGTGTCGCTTTCTGTTGTGCTGCCGTCGTGCGGGTGTTGGGGCGGTATTGTCGGGCTGATTGTTTGAGATACATGCCTTCGCTGTCGAGCCCTCGCAATAGGTAGCGAGTCATCTTCTGTCTCGAGCTCCTCCTCCTCCTCCTCTTCTACTAGTCCAGCCTCTTCTCTCTCACCCTCCGCACCCGTCTCAACAGATACTGACAGCTGTACTCTTCTGCCCAAAGTAGTCGAGCTCTCATCCAACCCAAGCTCTACGCTTTGCTGCGAATCATCGATATCCTCCATATACACATCTCCAGCCCCACCAATATCATCATCCACCATACTGTCCTCAAGCTCACCACTCAATTCACGCTTCCCAGAACTAACAACTCCACTTGCTCCAAATAAACCCAATTCTAGTATACCCATCCTTTCCCGCCTCTTCATCCGAACATAATCTTGTGCCATTCCCTGTAGAAAATCCTGCATCCCCGCCAGTTGTCTTTGTGTAGCCTCATGTGCCTCTTGTCTCGCCTTTCTTTCCGCATCATAAGCTTTTGACAGCGAGTCACGGAATTCATCTAATTGGTTGAATAAATCGTATATTTGGGTAGAAAGGATGTCGTGTGCGGAGCTAGCCGTAGTAGATGGGCGTGAGGGCGACACAGAAGACTCAACGTACGGTATTTTCGGATGATCGTAATTATTCTTCATTGTGCCTTAAAAAAACGAGGTACCCACAAATTGTCAGAATTATTTTTTTGCGTGCCCTGAAGACCGGGTCGGATGTGTTGACCTTGTGGTAATTTTTTCCAAATCGTTGGCAGCAAAAAGGGACTTACGATTCACCGATGGCGGGGAAACGATTTGGAGATCCTTTCGAAGCCGCCGCTTTTTCGCGGATCGCGATGTGGGAAGTTCAGGCATTCCGGAATATGGCATGCTTTTTTTTTTTTTCTGACTCAGTAGAAAGGATTGCAGGAATCGTGCCGCGCTTGATTCTAAATATAAAGGGTATGTGAACGTGAGAAGGTGACGAAGCACATGCGCGCATGCGATCAGGCAATCCATTCTTTTTATATTGGCTGCGAGATTTGATGCCTGCATGAACATCCTGCGGGAACCAGTGGTTACTGTGCCTACAAACAATGCCTGAAATTCGTTTCAAATAATATGCGGTTATAAAAACTTGAAGACATTCACGCGGTTGGAATTGAAAGAAAAATTACTAGCAAGGCTAATGTTTGCGTTTTATAGAGTCGTTGCATATTTACAGGTGTTTTGTACAGCGTTGCTAGAAGGTTTGGTAAAAACATTGAGAAAGGATATTAGTGGTATCTGAAAATAATTGCTTTGCTTAGCTTGGAAGTGTTTCGGTTCGCCGTTAGGTTTATGTGAGCGAGTATTTAGGTCCTTCGCCACCCTGAGGAGTTTGCCAGTTGATATCTTGGGAAGGTGCCTTGATATCACAGGTTTTGCAGTGAATGCAATTTTGTGCGTTCTAAGTTCTAGACGTCAGATTCACGATACCCAGTAATAAAAATGCAAGAGGAGATGAAGCTTACAATTTGAAATCGGACTCCGATGTCCTTTGTCTCATCCTCAACATATTCGTATACACCTGCTGGACAGAACCTATTTTCTACACCTTTGAACTTCGGCCATTCTTTTTCTGCATGCTTATCCCAGTTCTTTACTTGTAAATGAACTGGTTGGTCTTCTTCGTGATTTGTTCCAGTTCGGCTGACAGACGTCAAGATATCAAAGCTGATTTTCCCATCAGGCTTAGGGTACTCAATCTTCTTGCAATCAGCGGCGGGTTTAGTCCCTGCCCAGTCGGGCCCGGGGTGGTGAAAAGTCCATGGGACTTTGCCTCTGAAGACAAATGCTTCGATTCCGGAGTACATTACTCCACCATACAGACCGAGCGGTGTGTGGAAGGCCGGACGCATGTTTCTAACCTCCTTGAGTTCTTTGTATATCGAAGAGTTCTTGATGGCTTCTTTGTACGAGTAAAGCATTACGGCACCTTCTGAGTCATTTGACTCGGTAAGAGCGGAGTATGCTGCTTCAGCGGCGAGAACGCCAGATTTCATGGATGTATGCGTCCCTTTAATCTTTGGAAGATTTAAAAAGCCAGCCGTGTCACCGATTAAAGCGCCACCAGGGAAGATAAGTTCGGGTATAGACTATATTCCAGTTTAGAAATTCACTACTGAATTGTAATAAGGGGACTGTCATGAGTAACATACCTGAAAGCCACCTTCGTTGAGTGCCCTCGCAGCGTAAGAGATGCATGTACCGCCCTCAAGTACATTCTTAAACAAAGGGTGGTGCTTCATCCGTTGGAACTCTTGAAACGGCGAAAGATATGGATTTGGATAATCCAAGCCTACCACCAACCCTATACTGACCATGTTCTCCCCGAAATGATACATCCAAGCTCCACCGTACGTATCTTTCGGTAAAGGCCATCCCATGCTATGAACCACTTCTCCCTTCTTGAATTTCTCTGGTTGGATCTCCCATACTTCCTTCACACCCAAACCATACGTCTGTGGATCTGAATCCTTCCTCAAATCAAATTTCTTGCACAGCTTCTTCGTTAAACTTCCATGACAGCCTTCTCCGAAGAGTGTAACTCTAGCGTGAAACTCCATCCCTCGCTCGAAAGAATCCTTCGGTTTCCCATCTCTCCCAATACCCAAATCATTAGTAGCAACGCCCTTCACCGATCCATCCTCATTATAAAGAACCTCCGAAGCTGCAAAGCCTGGGAATACTTCCACGCCCAATTCTTCTGCACGCTCCGCTAGCCATTTGACCAATTCGTTTAAACTGACGATATAATTCCCATGATTCCTCATCTGTGGCGGTTCAGGTAGTGGAATTGCCATAGTCTTTGTCAGAAATCTCATCTTATCTCCCGTGCACTTCGTCGCCCAAGTAAACTTATTCGGGTTATCCTCAGACAGCCAATCCGGGAAGAGTTCGTCGAGAACATGTGGTTCAATAACAGCCCCAGAGACCGTATGTGCACCCATATCGCCCGCTTTTTCAAGCAGAAGCACACGGAAGTCCTCATTTCCAGCCTCATTGGCCAATTGTTTTAGACGAATGGCAGCAGCAAGACCTGCAGGACCACCGCCGACAATGCAAACGTCAACAACATCGGATTCTCGAGGTTGTGAAAGGTACTCGGCGAGTTCTGAATCTTCTTCCTCTTGTTCAGGGAATTGCCGGCGCGGAGAAGTGGTGAATAACCGACGTTGCGGACATTGTGAAAAATTTGATGGTATGCTATGGCGAGAAAGTGTCGAGTGTGTTGGTCGGGTGAGCAATGGTGATGTTGTTGAAGTTGTGGAGAGGACTGTGACTCGGGACGTCAGGGTGGAGCTTGGAGGACGGATGTCCCTGCAGACAATGCGAACTGCCCGTTTCGAAGCCATATTGTATTTGATCGAACAGTACTATAGGGATTAAATTAATTAAATTAAAGCAAAACGGTGAACAGATCGTAATAAGAGTCACCCTACTGTCAGAAGATATAGAGGGAAAAAATTAGAAGAGAAAAGAAGCTAGAAGAGTACCAATTAATTGGTCATTCCAAGTTCGAATTCCTTGCGCTGGCCTGGGCCTGACCATGTGAAGAATTAAGCTGGGAAAAAAAGAGACATGTGCGCCCAGGGCAGGGTTGGATCGTTGTAGCCGTAGTAATATCTGGCCTGCGATTCGGCGAACAACCGACCGGTAGCTTACAGCAATGACATCGTTTCGGCTTAAGCTTAACAGATAACCTTGGCTTCGGATCTGATTTGTGGGGAATGACTTCAACGACCCGCGGTCTGACTGATATCAGCTGGTGTCCGATGTCTAATGTTATAGAAATTCGACATTTTATTGCATTGGACTGGCTGTACTGGAAGATAATATATAAGTATTTGGGCATTCGCATACAATTATCAATCACGAACACGATTACGTGTATACGGCAGCGATAGTTTCTATCACATTGTGACAATATGTATACCACCCCGACCACGGAATATCGTTCTTGCCAAACACCACTATGGCCGCCATGCGCCTGCCATACCATCCTTAAAATGAAGAGCTTCCGCCTTGAAGTTCCTGAGCCTTTTCTAGCCGACGCCGGATTCAAAAATACCACGTCTTCAACGCGTATACCATACGAACTGTTCTAGATATATGCATGCCACACAGTGCAGGGTTGGTATGTAAGGTCCCGCATTCTTGAGTCACATTCCCTACGTAGCTACGATTTAAAGCTCAATCTGTAGATATGGATCTTTTTAACGGTGATGATCAGACCATTGGATTTAAATAATAATATTTTGTTATAATAAGAATGGCAATTCCGATTCACAAGCCGAGGAGTCCGGCGACGAGACAAACTTCGCCATGCGCTCATTTAGTCTTATTCACTTGGGTATACGTACTCGCAACTAATTAATTTACATTTTATCTCTTGTTCAGGAGTTAAAGTGGTTGTACACCTTGCAAGTCTATGAGGCTCTATTATTATAGATACCTCGGTGAAGGTAGGAATCGTTTTCAGTTCTCTTCCCCCGCCTTTGCATCATTTCCTTTCTTTGATATTCCATTCCGTTTCCGTTTCCCAAGTTTCCACCTCCACTCCAGCAGATCTAGAACGCTATACTTCATAAAACATGGGTCCTCGCTTGTTTGACGTTGAATCTAGTGGGCGAGCCAACGGACTGTACGTGATACCTAACATTGCCCACGCAGACACCAAATTATTACTATGACCGAAAACTCATAAGATAAACCTGATATTGGAGCTTGGTTATTTTTATTTTTTCACTAGGGCGTAAAATAAGCTGGTATATCAATACACTCATAAGTTATTATAATCTGCCTAGGAAGCCCGATTAACATGGAGGTGGCTAGGTGAATGTAGGTTCTATATAATTAATTTATCAATATGAATTATCGATCTGGGCGCACTTACGTTGAACTGAGCACAACGAGGTATCACACCATCGATATCCCGTAGCCAAGCGAGAGAGAGCAAGTCGACGATATCGTTGTATATACACATCGGTATACCCCATATCATGGTTAAGATAACTATGCACCCCCCTTACGGGTACCACCATTCGGACATAAAAGTAACTCTCCCGCTGAAGCCGACCTTACCAAATACTAACATTGAACCCACAGAGGCCCCACCATTGGTTACACGACAACACCAACAGGGAGGGTTGAATAGTGCGATTTTTGAAGAAGCCTTGACACCTGGCCATGCAACTAGATCCTGCAGTCCTAGCGCACATGCCGAGACTGATCCTGCAGCTAGGTGGTGGTGTTGACGCTGAGAAATACAACAAACGTGCTTAGGTAGCCTAGGAGCGGTGCTTAGACATGTATTACTAGTCTAGAAACGGATTACTTATCATTCTAGAACGCAAGACTGCATTCTGGATAAATCCATGGGTTCCAGATACCGCCATTTTGTTACCAAGAATTATAGGAGCCGAGTTAGGTTACACCTGGTTTATGTTTCCTAAGGATCCCATGCCCATGAAACAACTGGGATCAAAGACAGCCAGCTCCACAACCACTTACTTTGTTTTACTGGTCGCTATCTTCCTCGGATCTGATGGAATCTACCCCCGATAACCCTACCTAAAACCTGAAAGGAAAAGAAAGGTAGGCGTCTACATCATGAACAATATTCATATACGAATAACGAGAGATGGCCTTCAGCGCTGCAGCACTACGCATACACAACAAAACAAATCATCGATCACTAGGAACCATATCGACCTAATACATATATCCTCTCGGACCGTATATCGTTACTGAACGAGATAAAATATCAATGGTAGATATAGTAAAACTTACACTAAAACCAAAAAGTCATTCAAACACGATATTCATATACCTAACAAGGATTCAAGTCTCATACGATGCTATCTACCACCCTACAGAAGAACAACAAGCAGGAGAAATCCGGGAAACAAGATCGAGCTCGTATCCTTTAGACTAGACGTAGGGGCGACTTGGCTGGTATACGTATTATAAATCTTGTTAGTGGTGACTCAAGTTTCTCGTTGGAGTAGTAGGTTCGGGGCAAAGGTTGCTGTACACGACTCGAGGCCCCAAGGAATCACTATGAAGAACAGAATTTTATGTTCCACCGGTTCGGTATACAGCAGGCACTGGGGCTTTATTGAACGAGATGTGGGTGAAAGAACATCATAGAAGTGATTATTATGATACAGTTGGGAATATATTGACGATCACAAATTTAGACCTTATAGAAACGTGGGAGCGGGGAACCGATTAGTTAATATCCTCCACCAATACTAGACTTCGGCTTAGAAACTCCATGAACTCGAGGTCGCGGAGGTATAGTAGTTAGAATATGGGTATTTTAGCATCCTCTGGTGCTGATATCGATACATTCGTCCACTGCACTTAGAAAGATTTACGAATATACAAGACCTCCAAGCCAGTGATTGAATCCGAGTAAAATCTGAAGGGTTCAAACTACATAAATGTTATATTGATATCAAAAAGTCACTTCGGAATTTCGGTTTTACGAATAATTATAAAGAGAACTGAGGCTTGAAAAAGAATTTTCAAATGTTTTTTGTATTCATATTTCATTTCTGATTTTTTCAGCGAACCACCCGATTAAAATGAGGGGTTTGGGTCCACGAAAGTCTTTCTCGCCATTCACGCTAAGAATACTAAAAGGAAAAAAAAAAAAGGAAAAAAAAGATATTGTACACAATTTTCCTCGCCTGAGCTTCAATCTCGACTGTCTTTTTATCTCTTCTCCTCGGTCTGCTCTTCCGTAACAGCGGAGAGATGAGGATAAAAAGGGTCTAGGGACGGGTATCATATTTGTAAAATGGAGGGGTGGACAAAGGGGGGTGGCTACGTCCAGATATTGTCGAATGAAGGGTTTGTTTCGCGTGTGGTGGTCGAGAGGTGTGGTAAAGAGAAATACAGATTAGAAGAAAAGGAAAAGGAAAATTACGGAACTTGCATTTCTTAGGATCAGTCTAGAAGGAGTATAGAATGCCCGTCCTTGAAGAGAAAAAGCAGCCCTCCGTTTAACCAGGAAGAAAAAAAAGAAAAAAAAAGTGAACAGAAGGAGAATGATGTGAGATTATAAGAGTGAGAAGGTTTGGGTGTATTGAGAAAAGTGTATAAACCCAGAAAAACAAGAACCGCCCCTGAAGATAGGAAAGGTGTAAATCAGAACGCCGTTAAGTGCGAACGGAAGGAAAAACCAGATAACACCAGGAATGCATGGGACAGTACGGCGCGAACCGCACTAAAGGAAAAGATATGGCTCATGAACCACAATTCCATTATCGGGCCCTGAATGTATTATTTTCAGTGCCTCTGTATATGAAGCTTTTTGTTTGTTTGTGATGGGGAAGTGGGAGAGGGAAGGGTGATGTCATGAATTCATAATAAAAATACAACCGAGTCCAAAGGTTGGACACAGTAAATGACTGCGATGCTCCTCCACCGCAAGACCCATCGTGGTTGTCTTTTTTTAAACCTTTCGGAAATCTATTGGAAATGTTAGACATTTTGAGACTTGATGATGAAGCAGAAGGAATATAAAGCATACCCGACAACACAGGATAGATCATCTCGAAGGCCTGATAAATTTCTTCTCTGACCTTGGCACCTGTCAAGACGATCTTACCGGAGACGAAGATAAGAAGAACAATCTTCGGCTTGATCATACGGTAGATGAGACCAGGGAACAGCTCAGGTTCGTACGAGCTGAAGTGGTGATGGCGACTAGCCAAACCCTCCAAGCGAATAGGGAACTTGATATCGCAGGACCCGACGATATTTTGAATCTTGAAATCCGTGAATTTGGCATTGAAGCCAAGCTTCTGGATGATTCGAGCGTATTTTCGAGAAGCGAGTTTGGAATCGTCCTCTGATTTGGCGCCAGTAACAACCATTTTTCCAGAGGCAAAGATAAGAGCTGTGGTTTTAGGCTCGCGGATACGCATGATAACAGCGGCGAAACGCTAATGGTATAAGTGTAAGCATGAATTTGGAGTAAAAATAATTCATGCTGGGCCCACGAAGAGCCTGTGAGAGTTCAAAATATGTACCTTTGGATTGTACTCAGCATTTCGAGCATGAAGAGCAATAGTCTTCAGGTCCAGACGGCAGTCTAAGTTGACAGTGGCAACGATATTTCTTCGCGATGAAAATAAATTTAAGTATATGTCTTTCAAAGCAACCACCATCTCCCAGTCCACAACCCCTGGGCTATGAGCAGGATAATACTTACTGCAAAGTCGGGACAATGCCACTGACACCATTGCCGTTACCGTTGGATGGTGTGGCAGCAGGCGTAGCGGGAGTTTGAACATTGTTTCCACCAGCCGAAGGGTCCAAGTTTGAATCAGACTTCTGGTTGGAGCGTTCAGTCTCGTTCGACGGCGGAGTGAGATCACCAGCACCGCCGGGGAAGGAGAGAGAAGAAGGGCCAGTGAAGGCCTTAGCTTGCAAGGGGGTTGCGGGATGTGTAGTGAGGCTCTCCATGCTGGGCAATAGAGACGTCAGAATACGGAGATGGTTGGTGGTGAGGGAAAGAAGATTCCGTGAACGAGCTGTTGATTAAATAATTAGCACTTGAAAGTCGCGACAACACACTGACACAGCCAATTGCTATGACATCAGGGCACCACACATCTTCTTCCTAACAACTGCAACTGCAACAACCGCAACGCAGATGCAGAATCGCAGTCGAGATTCTGAAAGTGTATGAAAAAATGGTATAAAGGGATCTAGGGGAGAGGTATGTGTGAATGAATGCTTACCTAGAGGAGAAAGAACAACTAAATGGTTCCCCTTGATAGTTCGTCACGCGGCAGACAGGTACCAAATGGCTGGGCGAAAATGGGCGGATTCAAATCACACTTTTTTCTCAAGAAACCCTTTTCGAAGGCGACGACAGACGGAAGTAGTAATAGAGGGAAGAGGACGAGGACTTTGACGATAATGGAAGACGATTGAGAGGACAGGACGTGGAAAGTCTGGGAGGATATCCTTATTTGGTTTCTTTTTGTTTTTTCTCTATCTGCAAAGGAAATATAACGAATTTGCTTGCGAAATGCAGCAACAGGATTCTTCTATCTGGAGGTATCGCAAAGAAAGGAATAAAACAGTACTGAACAGTAGCAAAAGTGGTATCAATGAATTGAATATGACAAATCAGTCGACGATGGAAGGATCGTGATGATTCGTGTCCAGTTAGGCAGGCAAGCCTCAATCAAGCCTACTATTGGTTAGAGGGAGTAAGTAGTATAATGTTTCTAAATAGTAAATATAAAATAAAATAATAAATATAAAAAAGAAAAGGAGTGAAGGTTGTCGTCTGGAGCTGTATGTTTTATATACACCCACGTGACCTGGTACTGGTACTAGCTAGCAATAGCAATAGACCTGAGGTTCAGCGTGATGTGTTGTTGAGAACAAGATACAAAACTGACAAACGGATTGTCAGTCACTTGATCTCCTGGAGTAGATGTGTTGTGTGGATGTGGATGTGTTGTGTGTGTTGTGTTGTTTTCTTAAGGAAGGGCCTCCCTTTTCTTCGTTCGGACAGGAAAAATGGTATTTTTTTGAAGGGGGAAGAGCTGGACTATTTATACTCCCGGTCTTTGGCCATACAAAGGCACAGTCATTTACCAGCTCAGATCCTCGCTCCCACACCAGCGCTGGCCTCTGCATTAGCTCCGGTTACGAAAATGGCCTATCGGAAAAAGAAACTTCAGCTGGAAGAAGAAAATAATTGGCTCCCGGCCAGACCTGGAACCTCCACCGCCTTATCATCGTCTCCCTGGGCCTTGCTTTTTCAGCTCCACTGTGGCTCTTGGTCTCTCGTTCTCATATTTCTGATGCTCCTCCTAACCCCCCCTGACAGAGACCGGCATCAAGGGGGACAAGCCTTCTCGCCCAGTTCTTCAATTCAATCCTGCTGCACACCAAAGGAACGTTGCAGAAGACGATCGAGCAGAAATCCTTGATTCTGGCCAGCCTGGTCAAATCACATTGCGTGGATTGGCGGCGCAGTGCTGGTGGAGTGCTCCAAAAGAGTCGGTTTCTTGGCACCTTTGATGGTCTGTTTTGGTACCATCCTTCTTTCGAGTCGAGTCTCACCTCCGAGGCGCTTTCTTTCTCTCCCGTCCGACCTCTCCTTCTCCCGGCTGATTCATCTGTTCATTCATTCACTCATTCATTCATACGTTCGGTCATTTCACTCGACTTTTTGTAGACATTTATTCGACACTAAGCAAGCACTGACTCCTTCCGACTCTTCTTCCAAACACTCTAGACTGGTTCAAAAACATACTTACGACCTTGTGGCTTGGATACTCATCGACGGTGAAAAGAACTAATCACAGGATCATCGACATCAAAATACTGGTTTATCTCTCATCCACGGCATGAGTCTATCTGGAAGGCTATCTGTTTTTTTTCTTTCTTTATTTCTTGTGTTTGTGACGCGTTATTTAAAAGGCTTGCTTGCTGGTCATCACCGCGACTTCCCAGTCACATCTCTTGTCAACCAAGAGATGCATCGATGGCCTGCCTTGCTGCAGGAAGGTACAGTATCTCACAAGACGGTTAGGAGCATTCCCTTTTGCACAACATCAAATCGGAATCCTTCTACCGTCGGTCATTAATTCTTTGACATATCACTCTCCTGATCTCGTCGATGAAATTTTGATTATTATCTTTTAAATCCCCCCCCCTTTCCGTCCCTTTTCTCGCCGGAAACCCCCCAAATCTCGTTCCTTTCAACAAGGCTCAGAGCATTCTCTCCTTCCCTCCCTCCCCGACTTTCTTCCAACCGGAAGGCTGTCATATCCTTTCTCCTCTTCCAAATGCCTAAAAAGAGCATCAAAAATGCAGGAGCCCCGCTGGATGAAATCCTCCTGCCTCCTCTCCACCAACAAGAAAAAATACACACACACACACACATACACTTCCTTCCCCGCTTTTGCCCTTGCCTTGACTCTGAGCAGGGCAAAATGCAAAAGTGAAAAACCAAATGCATCCTCTGACGGCTACTAGTTTTCAACACCACCAAGAGCTCACGGATTTGGATAATATTGGCCAAAAACACCAAGCTGAGGGAAACTATTTTAGTGTTCACCGAACGGACCTCACACCAACCAACCGTTGCTGGGAACTCCCCCGACAGTTGACCTGGTTCAGTTCCACATTTTTTTTTTTTTCTTTCTTGCTTGCCCCCCATTCGTACTGCGATTTCAGGTCGGGGCGGGAAATGAGTCATTGAAATGGACCAACGCCATACGGCATTCTGATTGGTATAACCCCTGTCTGCCTCCTTTTTCCTTCCCACGCACTTGCTTTTTCGAGCCTGCAAATTTGCAATTTTTGTTTGATTTGATTTGCTGGCCTTTTGGTGAGGGATGTTGGCTCTCTCCCATTTTCGGCATAACGACACGAACAAACATCAATATAACGCACAGTGCAAATACACTAGTCCAATTTCCGAGACATCGACCGAAGGCTCACGCTTTTTCCGGTCACTTTCAGGTTTGTGTGGTTTGTTCTGCGTTTGGTTTGTTCGTGGTTTGTTGCTTCTGGAAGGAAGTCCAGCCTGTTGGTTTGTGCGAGAAAGCCCTTTATTTTTCTGTGGTTGATCGCAAGGAGAAGGGGTTACGTATGCAGTTTGCTTCCAACGTCATGCTGTGTACTCTTCCACAGCTTTGAGGCCTACCTGGAGGTTGCGGTTGGTCGGTTTTGAGGTTGTGGTTGAGTGATGGTCGGTTTGGGTTTCAGCTTGGGATGGAAGAAAAGGGGAGAGAGCGAAGGAAGAAAGCAGATCGGATACGAGAAATTATTGTCGGGACCGCCAGTTACCGAGGCCATCCAACATCCCCTCGTCATTTTGCAAGAAGCTGTCTGCCGCGACCCATGAAACGTGATATCGTCGTGATGTAATACAATTCTGGCACCAACCGTGAACCGTAACTTTTTATCCAAACTTGCAGGACGCGTTCTTCAGTTGCAGACTGCACGCCCCTTGCAAAGTTGGTATGGTTTGTGCTGTTGGGCGGTTTGGTTGCCTTGTTGATATTTGTTATTCAGCGGTTGGATCCCTTTTTTCTGGCTTGTGACGATGAAACCCTCCCAACCCGTCTGTTTCGTTCGTGGCGCCCTGGCCCACTCACACCTCAATCCTCCCCTGGTCTTTTTTCGCCCTCGCCTTTTGTTTCTCGTGCATTTTCCTCGATTCGAGATGAGATTTATCCAGATTGGGGATACTGGGATTATCCGCCTATATTGGCGTGCATCAGCTCCAGATCGTGCATTTAAACCAAAGCTTCTTTTCGTGGATTTTTTGTTGTGCCGTCTGGCGTGGGACGATAAACATGGGTTCGAGAGTTCCCATGCAGGGCTCTACATAAGCTGACGCGTGGGGAGTTCTAACACGGCAAAAGACGAGATAATATGTAATAAATTCCTATCAATATGAGAAAGAAGCAAAGATCTATTTTGAGACTTGTCTTTCTGCCACGCGATAGTATGTATGAACATTGAACCAGAGATGTTAAGATCCCGTGATCATTAGACTTTCCTCCATCCATGACCTCTGTGGCTAGCCACGGCAGCCCTTGGGTCGTTCGTGTCACCACTCGCGGCTGAAAGTCTGGGTCAAAGGGAACTCTCTTTTGTTTTATTTTTTTATTTTATTTTTGAACCGAAACAGAACTTCCCTGGTTTGCAATTTTAAGATTTAAGATTTTCGGATGAAAAGGAAAAGACTTTTTTCTTCTTTGTTTTCGTGATAAGGCAAATATCCCCCCACTTCTCTTATCGATATCGATACGAACGCCCTTTCGTCTCCCCTTGTAACAAGAACCGAATCTCAACATTTTATATCTCAATCCCGCCATTACCCATGCCACTTATCCCGCCAAATCCTTCCATTGTCGAGGAACCACGGTCCGGCAATGGACCACCATCTTCGATTATTATTGTCGGGTCTGGAGTATTTGGACGTACGTGATTCTTATGTCCTTATATCCCTTACCCGTTTAAAAATAAAATAAAATAAAAAAGGATAAAAAAAGATACTAGGCTCCCCTTGTAGCTTTAACCAAACCCATTATTGCTCCCTTCGGAAAGAAAAGAGGGAGAGAAGGACAATAGTCGACGAGTTCGTTCAGTCTAACATGTTCCAGTCACGACTGCACTTTCGCTTTCTCACCGTCCCGCATATGCTTCCACCACCATTACCGTAATCGATAAATCACCCTTCCCTGCAGCCGACGGTTCATCAATCGATTCCTCGCGGATCATAAGGGCAGATTATAAAGACCCCGTATACGCACGACTTGCGGCCGAAGCGTTGGAGATATGGAGATTACCAGGAAACCACGACGATGATGGCCCCCCAGCTCGAGGCGCTAATGGCTCGGGTGCTAGAATATACGCCGGTGTTGGCGCTGAAAATAGATATTCTGAATCCGGTCTCGTCCTCGTCGGCGATGGTGATGTTGAATATGTCACGGAGTCCTATAAAAATATGAAAGCGCAGGCAGATATCTTGGGGGTCGGGGAAAGCGTAAAATATTTGGATGGGAAAGATGATATCAAAGATGCCATGAAGACAGGTGGTGTTACGGGGAGTAGAGGGTATATCAATCCTTTTAGTGGATGGGCGGATGCACAAGCTGCTATGGTATGGGTCAGAGAGCAGTGTGAAAAGCGGGAGAATATAAAGTTTTTGGAAGGGGAAGTGGAAATGCTCTGGGTTAAGAAGAATTCCGAAACCGGTGATGAAGGACTAAAAGTTGGGGAAAAGAAAGTCGAAGGGGTGGTTATGAAAAATGGGAATATGTTATCCGCAGATATTACAGTACTATCAGCGGGGGCCTGGAGTCCAGGGTTGCTGGATCTAGCGGGGAGAGCAGTGGCTACCGGTCAAGTTATGGCGTATGTGGAAGTTAGCGAAGAAGAAGAAGCCCAGTTAAAGGATATTCCAGTGACGTTGGATTTATCAAACGGGATGTTTATCTTTCCACCAAAAGCAGGGGTGATGAAGATCGCAAGGCATGCATTTGGGTATGTGAATAGTGTGGAAGGGGACGGTTGGGAGAAGGCCGGTGAAGGGGTAGTAGTTAGTAGGCCAGTGACTGGTGTGAGTCTACCGGGTGTGAGGATTCCGAAAGACGATGAGGATATGCTAGCAAAAGGTCTTGCGGAGATGGTACCAAGCTTGAAGGGAAGGGAATTCAAGAAGACGAGACTATGCTGGTATACTGATACGTGAGTTACAGTTCACTGTCCCCCAAATTTAGCCACAAAAGTTTCCGCGCTAAATAGTACATTAGCCCTACCGGTGATTTCATGGTGTCCTATCACCCAACAATCGATCGTTTATTCCTAGCTACCGGAGGAAGTGGACATGCATTCAAGTTCTTGCCAGTACTCGGGGAGAAGATCGCAGATGGAATCGAAGGGAAGTTAGAGACAGATCTCGTAAAATTGTGGAATATAAGAGACCCGGTTGAGGGCCCAGTCGTCACTCATGATGGAAGCAGGAACGGGGCTGAGAGGGCCGAATTGAGCGGTGTTTTAAGAATAGATGCATAGGATCATGATACCGCATATGATTATGTATACCCTGTTACGTATAGAGAAATATCCTAGGTACCCCTTGCATCATTCCCAGCCGACTGAGACATCCCATTTGTTGTCAAAAAATGCACGTAATATATTTAATTATATAATTATGACATGCTGGGTATGCAAGGAGTGAGTGATGTTTTCCAACAGGCTTCAATTAAACACTGTTCTTCAGGATATCACGTCAGAACAGCATGGAATCTGCTCTACGAGGTCAACTTCAGAGAGATTTTATATGTTAATGATTATATATCTATCAAGAAGTTAGTTTACAGGTCAAGGTCTTTGTATAAATCTACTATGGAGATTATACTTTGATTAATACTGTAGTAGTATATGTACGTATATACGTATGCGGTATTAAGCTTAAAAACCCATATGGTACATGTTTTATTCTAGCTATGAAACAACTGGCCAATAGCAGCGCCTCACCAAAGGGTGAAAAGGTGTTGACTCAAAAATCATGCGTTGACCTTGTTGCATGTCGTTGGCGCTGGGATTTTCATGGTTCCACCAGGACTGCTGATTGGAGCCCAAACTAGCCAGGCTTGTTCCAATTGCTCATTCCTTGCATATAAAATCTCTTCAAGCCTCAATCACCTATTTTCAGTATTCTTCACCATGGCATTCGACAATTGAACTTGGAAATCCGACTCAATCGACTGAATTTGAACTTATTTGACTTTGGAGTGAAGATGCTTTGTCAACTCGACCTTATTGATCTATGAACTCAATCATTTCCGACTGCGACATCGTATAGCATAGGGAGGAATATTCGATTCGATAGACGGTTTCTTAAGATTCGACATGGCACCCCCAAAGAAGGGTTTCAAGGGCTTTGGTGAATGGGACCCGACACCGCTTCAAAAGGAAGTGCCTGCAGCGCCGAAGGAAGATAGCAAGCCTAATCCAGCACCTGAGAAGCAGCAAAGCCCACGAGGTGGCTCTCGACGAAGCTCGAATTCAACCACTTCGAAACAGCAGTCCCTAAATCCCAAGCCCCAGTTTCCAAAGGTGGAAAGGTAGACACACACACACTGTTTGCCTAAGATACAGTCGTACGCATGAGCTGTGCTAAGCTTTCTCGTCGTGTAGAGCTCAGCCACCACGAGTACTCACCCAAGGGTCTGGAGCTTCCCGAGGACCTCTTCGACCTCCTGTGCCAAAACAAAAATACTCGAATATAGTTCTTGAGGAGCGGCCTTCTACAACACTGACTGCAGCCCAAAAGGTCAAACGAGTCAAGGGCATATACTGGATCACAGGAATCGGTGTTTACGCTTTATCATCTTATGGTGTCTATCTTTACATCCAGTATGGAAAGGCTGTCAAGCTGAATGAAGAGAATGAGAAGCAGTACAGGCTTGGAATGAAGATCAAACCTGAGATTGACACAAACAAAGTTTATGAGAATATTTCAGGGAAATATGACTCGAATGTCAGGTGGAGTGAATTCTTCATGGGGATGCCGTTGTTAAGAAGGTGGATGATGTTGGGATTGCAGGTGAGTGAATTATGTTTCAATTTACCAGCTTGTGCGCGAGAGACCAGCACGGGGCAAATATCTGAATGAAATAACCTTTCGAGTCAATTTCAATCACAAGTTGTCGGTGTAAACTTATGCGACGGGCCTTTGCGGCCCCAATGGATATACTAACTGTAGATCTTATAGGGGGACGTCCTTGAGGCTTCGGCTGGTACCGGGCGCAACAATTCTTATTACCCCGTCCGAAATTGCAACTCGGTTACGATGGTAGATAGCAGTCCAAACATGTTAAAGATCGCTAAAGATGATTTTGAGCGTATGCGTTCTTGCCTCGGTACTCTTTGTGACCCAGTCTGATGTTCACATGTCTGCAGGCCGATATCCACGTTACGGTCACATCTCGTTTGCCCCGCAGGATGCCGGTCAACCGATCAAGTCACCTTCCGGGGAAGGCTTCGACCGGGTTATTCAGACTATGGGTCTTTGCTCTCAAAAGTGCCCCGTTGAGACACTCCGAAATCTCGAACAACACTGCAAACCTGGCGGTAAAATATTACTCTTGGAACATGGAAGATCCCATTATGAATGGTTAAACAATATTCTAGACGCTTACGTTCTGGATCACGCTAGAAACTGGGGTTGCTTCTGGAACCGGGATATTGGCGGGTTGCTCGAGGAAAGTGGCCTCGTGGTCACTAAAATTTCGAGATTCCATCTCGGAACCACCTGGCTAATTGAAGCTTCTCCACGCCCCCGGAAGCAGGATCGAACTGCTGAACCTGGTTCTGAGAGTAAATAGTTCGTTCCTGATTGACACGCACAGCAGGAAGATGAAGGATAAACTTATTTCAGGCACGGAACGAGCTCCGAAACTCTGTAACGCTGGCGGAAACTCACAGGATGCGCGTTCGTTTTAATAACCAACAGGAACCCGTTGTGGTAGGGAACTCGGGAACACCAGTTCTGGAATTTTGATGCGGCATTCTAGCGGCCCCGCACCAAGATATCAACAGGGGTTTTGATTGGACCGGTTCAAAGCCACAGAAACTTCCCAAACAGGAGCTCAACTAACTATCAGTTACATCACAACTTTAATAACACAGCCTTACGGCGGCTTTTTTTTTTTTTTTTGGCTTGCCCACTCCTCCCTTCCCCTCCGCGATAATAGACCGGAAGCGTCGCCCCCATCGTCACCTAGATAGGGGATCTGCATCCACTAAATCGATGGCTAGTAGACTACTTTGTCTCAAGAATATTCACAAGATCTGACGAACGGGCAGAGTGGACAAAGATCAATCATTTGGGCAGAAGGAAGGGGAAAAAAAGATTTACCAACATTTAACCGTGCAGATAAAGCCTATCCAACATCATTACCCACCAGATCACATTTTCGAGCTCCTTGCTGTGCCCGATGCTGAATTATGACCTGCAAGAAGCATTGCAGATAGCATTAGCATGTGGGTGTGTGGGTGTGGGCTTTGTTTTAGGGTGGGAAACGGCACGCACAATCCATAATTGTTATTTTTTGGCAAAATTTTTTTTTGGGGTCGACATTTTTTGCGAGGTTTACCTGCAAGGATTCGACCCGTTGTGGCCAACGCTAAAGCAGTCCTCTACCCTGACAGAGCGCTTTAGCGTTTGACTTCTCGTCTTCCTCCAGATGCAGCAACAGGTCTCCCCACTCTTGACAGAAGAGTAACGGAAGAAAGTCAGAAGGAAGAACCAGCATCTCCACTCGGGTGTTGACCCATGTTCGACCAATGGCGATGAGGGTGAACAAAGCAGCTTAGCAGGGAGCAAAAGAGAAGAGTGCAGCGAGCGTCATGCATCCATCCTAACCCCAGTCAGTTAAGTTTGGATCGTTGTGTCGCAGGACAAAAAAGTTGTGAGAGAAGAGCAGGAATACTGCTAAAAGAGTTCACCGCTACAAGGTGCGAATCATATTTTATTTTTCTGGGGTGGAGTCTAAAAAAAAAAAAAAAAGTTTCCCGCCTGGAGGAAGAGTATACACACGAGAGATTGCTGCTATCTGCATTCGACGAATTCCTCCCCTCCGCTATTCCCCTACCCACCACCTATTATACCCAACTTCCCCATCTTTTTCCTTTGTTGCCCTCCTCTCTTGCTTTCATAGATAGACTGACCTCTTTCCCTCATCCAGTATTTTCTTGTCTTTCTCATCGTTCAATCAGGTCTCCAACGTTGAGCTGTTGTTGCCACCGATTGGATCTTTTTATTTTCATTAGCAACCGTTTTTCTTTATATCCAACCATTTTTTTCTCCATTGGTGCAAACGAAAACGTACGCACCCCAAAGTTATCCGATACCCAGCAATTCGGATTAATCCTCCTGTCGGGATCACAACGAAATCGACGTTTCCGAAGAGAACCATCTCTTGATAGACAGATCTCAATCGAAAACCAAAGCTGTTTTCACTTCAAGGCCTCGATAGAGTTGCTGCCTTTAATTAGGATTTGCAGAGTTGACTGAGTTCGTTCACAAAGCCAACGATTCTCATTTCATCTCGATCTTATCATCGCCCCGCCGCATTTTTTTTTTTTTTACCTCTAAGAGTTATTTCTCGAAACCCTCTCGTCGTACAAAGATATATACCAGTCATACCATTTTGACCAACCCCGCGGTAGCTTTACAACAAGACAAAAAAAAAAAAAAACATATCTCCCCATTACATTCTATTCTCTTAACAAATAATCGTTCAATTTTTATTTGAAAAAGATATTTCAATATGGTTTATAATACAAGAAGAAAATCAGTCTCGCTCGCCTCCCTTGGAATTTCGGTGCCCGCTGCCGTGAAGCACCACAGACCATCGCCACCAGCAGATACCACGGATCAACCGCCTTCGAAGCGAGTAAAAAGGGTCCACCATGAATCCACCATTATAAGACCGGAATTGGGGCCCACGCCACCACCATCGCCACCATCACACCAAGAACAACCAATCAACTATGAGGAAATTGACGACGAAATTGTAAGCATCGTAGTCAGAGTACTTGAACGTTCTGGAAATAGACCGCATACCGTGAGAGAGCTTGTAAATGGATTCGGCAATACTAGTGGTGTTTCCTTAATTGACAAGTGAGTAGTCTTGGAGCTTCCTCCTAAGGAAATATCCTTGGTTTTCTAACATCTGATACTACAGTTCGGCCAATCCACATGCTATAATATCATCCCGTCTAAATCTGTATTTGAAGCGAAAGGACTTCAGTGAAGACAAGCCATGCGTCCTTGACAAAGAATTGATCACTACCCATCCGAAACGAACATACTTCTTCCTGACCAATACCGAGCATCAACCAATCCCAGAATTCGAGCTACCAATGCCGGCGAGGATTGTTGTATCCCCAGCTCCAACCGATGACGCCGAGGAAGAAGAGGAGGACCGACGACGACGCAGAATTCCGTCGCCTAGTCCGGAAATCGAATTTTTCGATAACGAACATGAGGAGGAACAGGATGACCTTGACGATACTACCTCCATTTTCTCCAGAGACCGTTCTGGATCTCCTTCCTCGCGCAATTCGCCACCTCTTGAGGGTGATGAACAGGAATTTTCGGACAACGCTATTTCGCTATCTATCAAGCATAGGTCCGCCTCTCGGGACCTAAAAGAAGGTGTGCCTGCTCCAACTCTCGCCATGGATGAGGCGACGCTTGAGCACGATCATCACGTCCACTTTTTGGGCCCATACAATGCCAGTGCACCCGCGGCCCCCCACCCGAGCCCCATTGTTAGGCCAGTTTCTCCTAAAACTGAAGTTACCGGAACTCGCAAGAACCTTGAAATTATCACAAATTTCAAGCTTGGAGAGCCTGCCGAGAACTACAACTACGAGAGCTGGAGTGATTTGAAGAGCCCTGAGACAGTCAATCTCCAAGAGCTCGATGCTCTCTTTGGAGCCTTCTAAATGGGCCATATTACTTTCATTTCATACTTTATTTTTTTACAATATTTCTTTTCCTATCTTCGAAAAGTTACGGGTCTGCGAGGATCTCTAGATCTCTTTTATTAAAAGTGCGTCTTTTGGAGTATGACTTTTTATGACTTTTCTTATATCTGGGATTCCGGGGGAAGGCTATTTTGTCTTTTTTTTTTTTTTTTTGTTTATTTGGAGTTGGAGATCTAAAATTGATACCAGTGGATGCCTTTTTTTCTTTTACTATCATTTTTTTATATTCAGGTGATACATAGTTACTAACAGTATCACCGAACGATTTTCCTTGTGGTCGTTATATACCCTTTTTCCACACCTCTTTCCTTTTTATATTTCCTTTTAATTTCCTATCTTGCTTGATGTTTGTTCTTTTCTTGGTTCGGGAAACTATAACAAAATTGGACCTGTGTATGGGAACGATCTTTCTTTGTCGATAGATTACATACATCTCTGCTCACTCTCAAAAAGATTCTAAAATATATATATATAGAAATTTTATAGAAACTTAGCAAAATGAAAAACAATTATCTGAATACCTTTCGATCCCTTGATTTAGAGCTCAAATAAGATGTTAGTTTTTTTTTCTTTTCTTTTCTTTTTTTTAATTAATTAATTATAAAAGTCAAGATTCCAGCAATAAAGCGTACTTGCGGGCGGTTATGTCACGCAATAGTGTATACGTCTATACTCGATTCTCACTTCCTTCCTCGTCAAACAATCATCGCGATCTACCGAATTCGAAAGCTGGCATGGCCCAAGGCCCTTTTCCCCCCTCTGCTTTCGCAGAGCTCGTTTATCTGCTGCACCCGACCAGCAGGAGACTTTTCTATCTTCTTTTCTTGCTCACGCCACACGATCTAAAATATGCATGGCTTTGAAATTAAAAACCGTAGCTTAGTTCGGTAGACGGTAACGTTGACAAAACCATCAGCTTGTTTCCAAAAACAGGAAGTCAAATTCTCAAATCTTTGGACGAATGCATGCAAGGCTATCTCTAAAAAGTCAAGGCAATGCGAATGAACAAACTTGGAGAGCTAAAGCAAGAGCTAGAGAAGGGAGGGGAGCGAGAGAGAGAGAAGAGAGAGATTTAGAGTTGACGAAAAAGCCAACGAGACGAGAGCGAGCGAGACATACTTGCATCGTAAATGCCTGAAACAGCATTGGGGAATCTACGTCCTTAGCTGCATTCTGTCTTTGCATTTCCTTTTTTTACCTCTTTTTTTTCCCATGTGGCATGTGAACTTCTTCTTCTTTCCCTCTTTTCTCCACGATGCAATCGATCAATCATGTTTGTCCGTGAACTTATTTTATTTTTATTTTTTATTTTTATTATTTTCGTTCGTTAACTGCGTTTCGCTTATTTCTGACACCTTCGTTTCTTCTTTCCGTGTGCGGAGCAAAAAAGCTTAAGGGTTTGGAGGGGCTGGACCAATAATCATAGTTCTAATTCGAGATTCATGACGATTATCGATAGCAAGATGTCCCCCCTGCAATGTCCCGTTTTTTTCTATATTCTGTAGAGTACGGAGTACTTACGAGTTACAAGAGCTACAATACCTGTTCCGTCGACTCGACATGATCTACCACATAGTACTCCCCCTACATACCTTAAGCCTTGTCCATACAATAACTGCTATGTCAAAGGGAAAAGCCCCCCAAAGTCACTCCGTTGTATTCCGTTTAATTATTTCACTCGCTCGCATGGTTAAATTCGTCTGAAAGACCGAGAAAAAATGTTTTTCCGTTGCCTGCCGTTTCCAATCTGCAAAAAAGAGGGTCCTAATCCAGGGTAAGGGAAGGAAAAAAAACCGCCCCCCCAAAATGATAATTGTTATTATCAAAAGGCAGCCAAAGAACCCATGAATATTCGAATATACCCCGTTGGATTCATTAGCTAAGTGGAATTGAAACCTATATCCAGTTTTTTGTTTTCTGTTGGAGTTTTATAATTTATCTTCTTGAAGCGCGCTGCCTTCCTCTTCTCTTCCTGAAAAGGTTGGGGTTATAATCTGATACCGGCTAAAGAAACCCGTAGAGCTCTTCACTTCTTAAAGCTACGGTGTATACGTATCTTTTTTTCGTCTATTTGAATTCTACCTTCATCTTAAAATATCAATCTTAAGCATCACCTGCACGAAATGGTTAAAATTGCGCCCCCCGCCGCCAGAGAGCTACGGAGAATCGGAACAGTTCCTTTGTCGTTGCTATGCTGGAAAGGAAAACGAAGTTCCCTTAAGAAAAGGGTCCTACCCGAACAAGACTGGTGGGGATTTTTTCTTTTCTTTTCCTTTCCTTTCCTTTCTTTTCTTTTACCCCAATTACCATTGTATCTGCCGGGGGTGTAAGAGCCAAGTTAGAGTTAGCGATATATCTATGTCTAATAAAATATCGTGCGGGATGGTACGTTGGCGGTGGTGGTTTGAAGATGTTTGGATTTCTTGCCTATGTTTAAACTTTTAACTTTTTTTTTTTTCTTTCTGGAGGCGCTCCTTCTGCGAGAGCCCTGGCCTGGCTTTCTATAGCTTGCCGCCGTTGGAGGGTTTAATGCCAACCCTGGTATTCCTGCACACGATACTGGCCCGGCCATCGGGAAATGAAAAAGAAACGGGAAGTTTTTTTTTTTTTTTCTTCTCTTGGTCGTTTCTTTTGTTTCTTTTGTTTTCTGTGGATTGCCTCTTCGAACATCACTTTACATACAGACAGACATACTGTGTACTCAATAGAGTGGAATATTCAAGGCAAGCGGGCAAGCACAGTACATTACATACACCTACATACATACACCATACATAAATGTAGCAGCTGTCGCCCGTATGCTACGTATGGTAATGTAAAGTCCTTAGGATTTTGAAATTTCACCAATCGATAAATATAATTCGTTCGTTTGTTCGTTCATTTTCACATGAGACAACTCGACCTGCCTGCTATGGTCTCTCCATTGTACCCCAGATCCAGCAGCAGCAAGCAGCAGCAGCAAGCAGGGCGTACAGACTTGCATACTTGCAGACAGAGAGAGGTACATATATACAATACATTACATGGCAAATGATTGGTATCTTATTTTGTATACCCGCGATTTCCCAGTGTTTCGGACTCCATTTTTGCGAAATTCCCATGCGTCGAGTTTCCTACTGTAGTCTGAACACAACATGATGTAAGGTGTATGTACGTACTATGTATGTACATATTTACCTGTATAGAAGTACTTACATATGTACTTTGCACACTTACACACATAAGTCATTAAGATGTATTAAGTATATACCTATCATATATCTTCTAGAAGCTGGGTCCCCGGAGACACATTCTCCTAGCGCCCCAATGGAATGTCTTCGACGGGATCCTCCGTGATCGATAATGTGCGACAATAGCTGTGTCAAAAGTCCATGTGAGGGGCAGTGTTATGACATATGTTAAGGTATGTGACCCGACAATAAAATAAATAAAAAAAGGAATAAACTGAGAAAATTAAGCTTAAAAGAACCCAGCCGGGTCGTCATTCCTTCTTCATACGTACGCATTTGTAGGTTTGCTCCGTAGGTATATATCACGAGCTATAGCTAGGCGTCTACCACATATAGGAAATTGGTGTTTGTTCAAAACATACTAATGGACCACCCGACAAAACCTTCCTGTGGCTAAACAAGTCCAGGGCAACTTGTTTCGCCAGCCTATTTTATTCTATAGAATTTAATTCCGCATGAGATTCCAAAAATCAACGGTTGGATCCAGAAAGAAAGTAGTAATTAGCAGTAGGGGAAAAATTGCGAGAGCTCGCGCACTCGGTCGGATCCCCACGCATTCGAACTAGTTTCGACCTGTCAATAGTATCATGCAAATATATATCATTAAGCTAGAATGGGGGTGGGTTTACATATACCAAACTCGATTGGATTTCGTACTAATGGCGAAAACCCTCGTTGCTGCTTGCTTGCTTGCTTGCTTGCTGCTAACTACTGCACCTAGGGGTAGGGAGCGCTGGGGCTATTCATGCGATGCGGTGGAGATTTGGTTCTGTTGGTTAAGGTACGAAGCACTCCGTAAATCGGGTACATGATGCACCAGCCGAAAATGAATGCGATTGCCTGTACCGGTTAGAAAGGTAATATATCATTGGTAGAGTTGGTTTTAGCGTATATGAGGGTGAGCGCCACATATTTCGCATAGCCGCGCCGCATGGTGGGGTTTTTCCTTCTTGAAGGTGGTGTGGTTTTAGCGGCATGAGGCATGAGAAGGGACCCATCGAGTGCCGCATATTCTCATCGCCAAAGTGTGTCACGCCGCATGATTGTGATGTGATAGCTTAAATGGAGAGATTGCGCCAGTCTCAGTCGGTGTCCCCACCGAACAATGCTTGCTTCCCACGTTTTTTTTTTTTTTTTTTTTGAAGAATGGCGCACAAAAGCTTTTCTGGGTGAAACTAGCGCCATGTGCAATTATTATGCAAGAGCTTCCCGGTCCCGTCACAATCTTCCAGAGCTCTGGTTTCGTATTACGCATCTCTTGCGATAGTTCTAAAGTTCCAAAAGTTTTCTGCTAGGTACCAGTGGATGTGAAACCAACAGGATTCCTTACGGCACACTCGGATCCATGGTTCCTAGATCAGATCTCATGGGCCACCTACGTAACCACGTATGGATGTTGCTTTGTTAACTTCGAGACGATCATCTATTCACCCCCTAGTTCTTCATTCCCCCTCGCCCTATTCTAGAACACTTCCCTATATGTGTTATAGATAGGTGACCTGGACTAAGTAGTAGACTTTAAGAAAAGTTGCCACAGTTTGGCCGCTGTAAGTAGCTCTCGAACAGTAGAACATTGTAGTGGCCGGAAAAAACAAGCGGAAAAAAAAAAAAAGAAAGAAACCCCAGTCCAATGCTATGAGCTACGTGATTTCCCGTAATGAAACATAAAATGATAATGAAAACGAAGAAAAGAGGTAAAGGGTTGGAGGCAGATAGATGACAACCAGGAAAAACACAATGCAGCATAGCAATGAAGGCAAGCAAGCACGAAGAGCGAAAATCATGGTATGGCAAGAAAGTTCGAAGACAAGGGAGCACCCATATGTGGGTCGGGGCTATGAGGCTTGACGGAAGGGGAACAGGACGGAAAGCTTAAACAGTCATTAGAAGTGCGGCGAACCAACGACGCCGGCCCCAGTGCCAGTGGGCCCAGGGCGGGTTGCGAATGGTAGGGTTGTATTAGAAGCACTGACGACTGGCGAGCCAATTTCTCCTGGCCCACCAATCGGTGTGCCAACCAATCCTGCCGAACTAGAGACCCTTCGCCTGAGATCATCGGGGTCATTAAGAAATTTCAGAGAAATTCCATGCTCGTCAACATGACGGAGGAATACACCACCACCATTTTGCCAATCACCTTCGACTTCGGTGATTGTTAATAACTCCTCTTCGCCAACATCGTTTGGTTGGGCAAGCTGCTCGTGTTCGTTCAGTTGCTTCATGAGAAGTTTAAGAGGCATGAAACCTTCAGAGCTCTTGTTCTCTTTTGGTGTTTGCTTGTAATTTGAAATTGCTAGCACACGGATAAGGTCTACACGGCCCGTTCGACGTTGATTCGCACCGAAGGGGGTAGAGGGGTTGGGCATCCATCCTACACATCCCTCGTTAGCAAATGTCAACAAATTACCACCTCCATAAAGGAGACGTACCCGTAGAAGCTGGACTTAGTGCGGGAGGCCCCCAAGGTCCGCTGGGATTAAATAAGGGACTTGGTGCCCCCCATGTATTACTCGGGCTTGGAAACCCCCCAAAACCGGCATCGTGGCCTAGAAAGAACGGTGAACTCCCGGGCATCATTCCACCGAAAACACCCCTTCCGCCAGGAACGTTACTCCCGCGACGTGCGGGGGATGCGCCGTCAGCCTTATTGAGGGATGGTTCTTCTGGCTCGTCATCTCCTAGTAATGCGCTACTCCCGAGAGATGTGCTTAGCTCGTCAATATTAGCCTTTAAAAGCGCACCCCCAGGAGCAGCATTTGCAGGGCGTTGAATTGGGGTCGGTCGATGAATTGGCTTTGGGGTTGAAACCGAATTGCTTTCGATATGGTCCCCTGATGGTTGTCTCTGATGCCCTGGCTGAATACTTTCTGGGCGCATGAAAGGTGAACCAGGTGCCTGTGGAAATCCTGGCGCAGAAAGCTGCTGTGGGAGGCCACTGAAGTCGTTCCCCATGAACGGGCGTGTATTGGATGGTGGGAAGCCACGAAGACCTGCGGATGGTGGGCCCAGAGGCAGAGGTGGATTTCCTGTTGGAATTGGAAAGCCCCGGAAGATGTTCATTCCAAAGCCCAACTGACTAGGTGGGGGGAGCATCGAAAGGGGGATAGGGTGTGGTCTATGCCCTGGTGGCATGAATGATCCCTGCCCTGGGAGCATGGGGAAGCTATCCGGCGGTGGTACACCAGGAGGAGGGGAAAGGTGGGAAGGGAAACCATGCGGTGCACCAATTGGAGGGATATGGCCAATCGGGGTGGTGCCTTGGGGCGAGAGACCTGGTGGAGCTGGTGTTCCTGGTAGCGGGAGGCCAGGAGGACCAGCTGGGAGTTGGCTCTGCTTAAGGGGCCCAATTGGGCCGGCAGGTACAATAGAAGCTAGGGATGGAGTTGAAGATGTCGAGAGAGCAGCCGGCGTGGATGGCTGAGGTAGAGCTGTGGAGCTTCCGATGCTCGAGCGTGCTTGCACTTTCGGAGTCTGTGGTGATGAAGCGACGGACCCTCTGGCTGAAGATTTGGCCTTCCCTGGCGATGTTTGCTTGGGCAGGGCTGGTGTTGCAACTGCTAATCGAGGAGATACAACAGCTGGGACAATAGTAGGGGGGTGAAGGGAGTGGGATGGAGTTATCGAAGCTTTGCTGGCTGGCGATAGGATGGGAGTCGTCGCAATTTTGGGAATAGCAACATTGCCCTCGGCCTCCTTCCTGGCACGCTCCTTCTCTTCCGCGACTTTTTTCCTAATCTCACGGTCTTTCCGGTCCTTCTCGTCCTTCTCCCTCTTCTCCTTGTCTCGCAAGTCCTTTTCTTCCTTCTGTTTGCGGGCCACTTCCGCCTTCTTCTTCTTCTCTTGCTCTAGCTGTTCCTTTCGTTTCCGTTCTCTCTCCTGTTCTCGTTCACGCTCCTCTTGGAGCCGCTTCTTCTTCTCCTCCTCTTTTCTTAAGCGCTCTTCGTCAGCAACCTTCTTTTCTGCCTCCCGTTTGAGGCGCTGCTCTTCTTTTCGCCTACGAGCTTCTTCAGCCTTTCTCTCTTCTTCAGCCTTTTTCTCGGCTTCCTCCCTAGCCTTCTTCTCTGCCTTTTCTCGCATCTCTGCTTCTTTTGCCTCCTTTTGCGCTTTCCTCTTAGCGCTTTTCTTCTCCTTCTCCCTGAGCTTACGCTCCTTTTGCTCAATTTCTTTTCGCTTTTCGTCTTCCTCCTCTTCGAGAAGTCGTTTCTGCCGCTCAATTGCAACCCGTTCTCGATATGCGGAAAGAACTCTCTGTTCGAACATCCTCGCAGCAAAAATCTGAAACATCCGACGCCCTTCCTCCATCCGCTGTTCCTCTGTCATAGCATCCTGAAACCCAACATTAGCTTTTCCATTTTGAAAATCCAAATCTGCCATAAAACCGGCAAACTAGGCCGAAGAAAGTAGTAATAGTATACCGGTTCCTCATCGTCTTCATCTTCAAATTCATCATCCTCTTCTTCGTAATCCTCCTCATCTTCTTCCTGATCGTAGTCCGGATTGCCATTTGGTACATGCGAGTGGTTATGCTGTAGGCCGGAATGCATCTGATTATTAATCCCATGAGCATGTTGGCTTGCCTCTTCTTCTCGAGCCATCCTCCTCTCAGCTAGCTGTTCCATCATCTCAATGAATTTTTTACCATCATTTTTGAGGAGGTCATCAGCCACTGTAAGGATTCCGCCTTCTTCCAACAAAACTAGACTGTCAGCGTTATCTGTTTTTCCATAGTCTCTTGATTTTAGTCTTTGCGTACCTCTGACCGTAAGGCTATTCCCAAAGTTGAAAAAGTCCTGTTGAACGCTTCGATGGCCGTCTTCGGATACATCCTCATCCTCGTACTCATCATCCTCATCCTCATAAGGACCTTCGTCGTCATCTTCAAGTTCGGGCAGCTCCTCCATCCGTCGGGCCTGCGGGAGTCCTTTACTAGGGCTGGACATCAAGTCAGCCTCGAGATCCATAAAGACCCGTAATGTTTGCAAAGGCAAGCGTACTGTTCCAGTTCCTCGTAATATGCATCATAGAGCACCTCTAGTTCTTCTTCGATCGCTGTTCGTTTCCTTCCGCATACGCTACAGGAACATGAATGCTTTTGCTGCTCCTTCATCTTTTTCAAAACAGCTTCCTTCTCCACTTTCACCAGAGACCGACGTTCGTCCTCGCCCAGAGAAAGCCAGAAGTTTTTGATCCGTTCGCGTTCTTCGCTTGTCGAGGTATTCCATATCCTATCTTTGGAAGACTTCTGAGCGTCCTTACGCGCAGTTTCGTGAGATGGAGCTTGAGAACCCTCGCCCTGAGCAGCCGGCTGATTTCCTGCACCCTTCTTCTTCTTTTTCTTCTTATTCTTTTTCGAAGTGGGTACCTCGAGCTGATTAGACGCACCGTCGTAGCTCGGCTCTGTCGTTTCAGGGTGCGGTTCGTCGTCCGAATAATAGTCATCCCCTTCAACATCGACATCGTTAGAATCGAATTGATCTAAGCTAGCTTGTATCGCATCATAATACTCCTGCAGATGCTGACGGGACGTATTAGGTCCTGCTTGGGGGTGGGAAATCTTGTTCGACGGACCTTGCACAGACGGTTCGAAGTGGTCATGGTTGTCGTGGTGCGAGTTGTGATTGGTAGGATCGAGATGAGAATCGTGAGTAATCGCCGCTCCCTTATTGCGGTTCTTCTTTTTCTTCTTCTTGGATCCACTGGTGGTATTAGGACCAGCTACAACTTCACTCGGCAGCCCATTAGAATGCGTGTCGTGTGTCGGAGGGGTCTCTGCGATACCAGGCACCTTTAAGTTAGTTTAAGAACGATACCATATGTTGCCGACAGTTTTTCTCTTTTTAAAATGAAAAAGACTCATTTAGATAGCTATAAGTGATTCCGTAGGCCCGTACCAAGTGAAGGAGTTTGTGGTGTGCTTCGAACTTTGATCATCCTCGTCCCATCTTTGTTGAATATATGCCCACCCGGCATCTCGCCACTTGCTGTCGAAGGAGACACCTAGGACAGCTTCGCAATGGAGATTGTAGGAGCTATTCCTACCAGTCTCCTTAACGAATTAGAACTATTTTACAGGGTGTCCAGAGGTTTGGTTGCAGAATTTCGTTCCAAGGGTCCTCCAGGTCGATGGTTGTGAGTCTAGGGCCTTTTCCTTAGTATAGAGATATAGGGTGTGATGATCGAGGATCCAGCTTCAGGTCAGCTAATCTTCCGATAGAAGGCCAAGACCCGAGCAGATATCGCAAGATGAGCTACCCAGTCGATGAGATGGGTGTTGATGGCAAGCCAAGCGGGGTGACGAGCAGACTAGCTGCAGCGGTAAGAGCACTAGAGGGGGTATCCGGGTAGCGAGGTAATTTCGGAAGAATCTGCCGGCAAGATGAGAGCAAGTACGGCTGATGGATTGATCAAGATGTCGGATACTTGAGAGGGCGACCAGATGACGGAAGGTTAGGCGTATCGTGTGGTCGCGGAATGGGGGGATTTGAGGGCGAAGGGATGATGTTTATGTCAGAGTGGGTTCGGGATATGGGGGTTTCTTAGGAAGCAGGCAATTAATTAATCGAGTAGTCAGTTTTAGTGGATTTGCAGTTAGTGCAACAATTATTTCTATTTCCTCAACCAGAACTAGCGACAACGACCAACAGCCGTGTCTGGCCAGCCCAGCCCTGACAAACATCTCCGTCATACAGATCCTGCATCCGAGGCCAGAAATTAAGAAGCAGAACTATTTCCACCGAATGCGCGGGGATGGAGCCGGGATTGATTGATTGATTGATTTTGATCGATCGATCGATCGATCAATTGCTACATACATCTTCGCGAGCTCGTTCGTTAAGGGGTAGCTATCAAAGCTGTCAGTCAGCTGCTAGTCCGGCCGCCAGCTCTAGAAAGCAAGCAAGCAAGCTCGGGCAAAGCAGAGCAGAGCAGAGCGAAGCAGCTCGAGGAATGTGGAAAGGGAGCGAGTCTTTTGGGAGATCGGTACCTGAGTCAAAGAACCCACCAGGACGCACGCAGGACCGCCTCAAGTTTCCTGCGCATTAATATTGCAGGTGCAGCCCATCCTCGGCTGGCCAAATGCAATAGCTCCCACCACCAACTGTTCTGTCAACCTGCATATTGGCGGTCAAAGCCGAGCTTAACAGGTGCTAATAAGTGCTTGGGTATGAAGGGTAGTACACAAATAATCTGTCGAGATACAACTTAATACCTCGATTTTTGCTATGCTACGAAGCATATCCTTTTGCTTCAATTTCTAAGGATGTGACAGCGATGCGAATACGAGCATGCACCACCGGCAAAGGAGAAAGATGATGAAGAGCATAAATTAGGTACCTAAATACCCCGCTAATAGGAAATATCATCAGGAATACCGCGCTCACATTGCAGCAAAGCCTCCACTTCAGCAATGTTATTATTGATACTGCGTCTATAAATTAGCTAAGCTAGTGGCCGGGAGTACTAGTCCACATTTTGAAGACGGCGTGAACAAAAATATATCATTGAGGATTGGACAGGCATAACGCTAATGACTGATAAGAACGAAGCAAGTACTTACATCTGTACAAAATGGCATCGTTACGAACCTCGCCATCTAGTATCTAGAACAGATATCAATGTCAGTTAGTCTTTTGGATTATCGATATATCTGAACTATTTACGTACCTACGCGTATACTTAGGTATCTATAATCTATACCTTTATTCTCATGCCTTCATGATCATCTTAGGTTTCACTAGTATTTAAATATGAGATCTCAACTTCGAATTAATAATGAGCTTCTGAATAAGTCTATCCTCATACCTAGACCTGTGTCTGGCCTGCCCAAGAGTATCACAGTATAAAACTTATTTTAATCACCTAGTACATACCCTATATATATAGCTAGATCAGATGTGAGTACGTGTATCGACATTCCTTGGACTGCAGAAGGACTACTTATGAAACACTGTAATACTTTCATGAACTTAAACTATGTGAGGCCGGTATCGCAATATCGATAGACTAAGAAGACTTCAACATATCTATACATGCTTACACATGCATGCTAATAGAATTCTAGGGCGGTGCTATAGTATGGAACCACGATAACGACCCCCTGACCAATGTGTAACATCGCCCATATTTGCATACAAGGCAACTAACCTTTCAAAACCAAAACCAACATCCCATAATTATATAACTAAGTACTTAATCCATCGGTACTTTTCAAAATACCAAGATGTTAAAATTGACACTATCTCCTTCCTATTCCGAAATCTCTAGACTTAACATCACGGAGCGTCCGTCTTACGGTTACAACAATGCAGACCCTCCCTCTCCGATAGGAAGTATCCCCTTGGGTATGCATGGTTTACGACCTAAAGGTCGGCTGATGTTAAAATAAGATTTCCTCTGAATGTTACCACAATTCCTTAAAAAGATGTCGTTATGCATAGGGTATACTAAATAACCAAGCATATAATAAGTACCTTATAGGCTTATAAATTGTATACAACAGACATATAGGGTTAACTTTCGGAGAATAAGTCGGCGAAATAGCCTCTTAACGATCGAAGCTAGGGCCGCCGAACCACGGGTACCGCGGGTCGGACATTCCACAATTAGCCACAAAGGGCTGAGCCAAAGGTGGGCTGGACGCCCCTAAGCAAGTTCTCCTGTCGAATGGGGATCTTATTTCAGTAGATTAATTAGTTTAGTTAGTCTGTTGTTTTAAGAGGGGCCGGTGAAGGAGTTAGTTAACGATGCCGAGACTGAAGTGAGTGATGTAACTCCGATAGTTTTTTTTTTTTTCCTTCGTTTTATAAGTTTTTCCACACGGCATAATATTTGTCATAGAAATTGAGAGTAGGCGTTCTTCTTTTTTGTTTCTTTCTCTCGAAGGCTCCCATTAAAAGGGATTCCTAGAATTTATCGTATGTGGCGCAATTGCGAGTTCGATTGTAAACCAATATTTTTTATTCAAAATGATAGTGATCCAGCCCGGGGGGGGCAAGCCATTTGTGCACACAAGAGAACATTTGAATTGACAAAATAGAAGTCGTCGATATATTGAGTCAATGAGTGCTCGTTATTGCAATTGGCAATTGATAATTGTGGAGAGCCCCGTTGGGCCGGCCGGGGAGCCTAACCTGCATGCATGCATGCCTGACCCACGAAAGGGCCATTCCCGATGCCCATTCGCATACAGAAACTCGGATTCAATAGACCGTTTCGGTCAAGGTTCTTCAAAACATAACTCCTTCAAGCAGTTGGATATGTATCAACGCAGTGTTAGCTCAGCTTGTCCAGTATATGTCAAAAGTCTTCGAGTATCGAAATACTCACTCTTCTCTGATAACTCCGTACACTAATTAATCAACCCCCCCTGGTCCTGGTCCTGGTTCCGGTCCTGTTCCTGTTCCTGGCCCACGAAGCAGTCGTAGCAGCAGTAGGTAGGTCGTCAAAAAGTTAGTGAACAAAAGTGCAGCCCAGCCGCAGTGAAGTAAGTATATTGGTGCAGTTTTAAAGTGGTTCGGTTGTGTCTGTGTCTGTGTCTGTTCGTATGTCAGTCAGTCTGTTTTAGCACCAAGAATCCGGTGCAATCCCGACCAGGGGCCAAATACCACCACCCATCCATTCATTCGTGCATTCATTCGGTCGTTTTCATTTATTAGTAACGTAACGGCCCTTTGAAATAAATTGTTATCGTATCCTGTCCTGTCTGCGTGTCCCTCTTCTTTTCCTTTCATAACCCACCCGCCCCGTGGAAAACGTGGCATCGATTCAAACCGAAACGAACGAATAGGAAGGATACAAAGAAGACGATCGAGGACCCTCTTGCGCTGCTCCGACACTTCCGATATACCACTGCTACCGCTGCTACATATCTTCATCATCATTTATCCATCCACCGGGCCATCCCTCCAGCCCGCCAACCATAAATTCTTAAACCATCGAGGCGAACAAGTCTGCCCGCCGGCTGAAGTTTAGCCCTTTAAACTCGCGAATCCGACATTCTTTCTCCGAACAAAGAATAGTACTTCCCATCTGCCGTAAGCGATACGACATACGAAGCCGAAAGAGAGTGAGAAGAGAAAGAAAAAAAAACTCGACTGTAATATTCGCAGTTCGTGCAGCCCGTAATCAGCGAACACGCAGACGGTGGTACTATTCCAACGGCGACTGGTCACGGCAGCTTGGGATTGTTCATCTTTGATTGGGCCTATCGACATTCCGTGGTGGTGGGACGACTTCAACGAGAGAGACGGACCAACAACACAATCTCTCTTCAAAAGGGAACCTCTCTCCGGAGAAACATCGAAATCCTCGAACGAAAACGAAAACAACGGTTAGGAGGACGTTTCTCGAGGATATCTCCATTTTGTTTCAGCACATAACTCGGTGCATACAACTTGTAGCCCAACATGACTTACAACCCAGGTCCAAATGTTATGAGACGGTAAGCGATCCGATTTGTCGATTATCCTGTCGACGTGGTTGAGGAATGGCCTTCGAAAATTGGCGATTTTGAGACATTTTTGAGAGGTCACTCTTGATCGCGTGGTGGTTTGGATGCTGATGGAGCTATCGGATATTAGGAAGCTCGTCATCATCGGTGATGGTGCCTGCGGCAAAACTAGTTTGCTAAGCGTCTTTACTCTAGGATACTTTCCTGAGGTAAGTGCATATCCCCTTGAGCCTGTATATTGGTTCTCAAACAGATCGCTAACATCATCCTCCCATCTAGCAATATGTAAGGCCTGCGGATCCTCTACCTTAATTTTCCAGTGGTACTAATTTCAGGTCATTCAGATCCCCACGGTATTCGAAAATTATGTTACAGATTGCAGAGTACGTCTCGCCCTTCAAATATCATAGTAGCAGAGGTCATTCTCTAACAATTTCCCGCTCAGGTCGACGGCAAGTCCGTACAGCTAGCTTTATGGGATACTGCTGGTCAAGAAGATTATGAGGTATGGTCCATTTGATTTACAGAATATGGTACCTATCTAACGAAGATGGGGGGTTATATAGAGACTACGGCCTCTCGCATACGCCAAAGCGCATGTCATCCTAATCGGATACGCCGTGAACGAACCCGAATCCCTCGAAAACGTGAAAGAAAAGGTATCAATCGGTTTCTTCAAAATACCCCTTAAAACCATTACCTAGCCAGATATCTGACCTCCAACCACAGTGGATAGAAGAAGCCCACGAACGCTGCCCAGACGTCCCAATCATCGTCGTAGGCCTCAAGAAAGATCTTCGCGATGATCCTATCGCTAAAGAGGAAATGCGAAAGAAGAGTCTGAAATTCGTACAGCCAAGTTATGCCGAGAATGTTGCCAGACAATGCGGCGCTCGGAAATACATGGAATGCAGTGCAAAGAACGGCGAAGGCGTCGACGACGTATTCGAAGCCGCCACACGAGCTGCAATGTTGACGAACTTTGAAACTAAGGGAAGCAGCGGCTGCTGTGTCCTTTTATAAGCCGACCCGACCTCACAACATTAAATGAAATGATCTACTGATATTCAGACCTCGTTCACTACTACTACCACGCATCCTGACACGCAATTATGATGACTGCTCATCTTAACTACTACTGCTGCTACCACCACCACCACCACCACCACCACCACCACCACCACCACCACCACTACTATTATTATTATTATTACTGCTGCAGCTACGCCCCAATGGCTTCACCAAACTATTTTTCTTAATGCTTTATATCCTCGGAGTTCGGCTTTACGGTTCCACCAAAAATGATATCCCATCGTCCGTTCTTTCTCTTTGCTTTCAACAAATACTCAGCAACAACAAAGGGCTTTATATATGCCCCCAACCCACCACCAACGATTCATACTCACGGAATCAAACATTTTGCGTTTTTTTTTTTTCTGTTATTAGCACTACACAAAGCATGGAGCACTCATTATTTCGTCTCCTGCAACACTCAACATCTTGAGCCTCGTTTCTTTTTTTCTTTCTTTTTTTAGCTTCTTCTTTTTCTTCTTCTTTTTTCTTGGTTCGTCAATAGGTAAGGCAAAAAAATGCAAAGGGTCACAATTTAATTCGGAGGAAATAGATATTTTGGTTTTTTATTCTTCTTCTTTATATATGTTATTTTATATCAATTCAACCAGCTTTTCAACTCTTATCTCTAATTTTTCTATTCAAAGTTTCTTCATCGTCACTACCAAAACCTGGGAAATCAAGGAATAAGGAATGGGAAAGGGTGTGTTTCTTTTCAAAAAAAAAAAAGAAAAGTAATAAATCAATAAATCAAAAAGCTGGATGTGCGAGCTCATGATAGGCGCCTCTGTGTGTACCTCTGCGGTTGGTGTTTTTTCCTTTCTTCCTTTTCTACTTCTCTTTACATATTTTTCTCCCCTAACTTTCGTCACTTTCCTTTACTCTATTACATTGTCCTGTTGTAACTAAACGACGCAAAAGAAAAAGAACTTGGAAGGGGTTTACGGGTTTTTGATAACGGTTTTGTCTTCACTACGTTTATCATATGCATCTCTCGAGCACTCCCCCCTTCTTGTCTTTAATATTATATTATCAACTAACTAGTCTTTTATTCCTGTTTCTATTCTCTTCCTTTTTAATCAACCACCAAAAAAAGGCGTTTCCCAAAATTATTGATGGTTGCCCACTCTCCCAAACTGTGATCGAATAGGAACTACTATGCATCAAGATACCAATATATCGACACATGATATATATCGGTACTTTCTTACACTTCCCCCAGGTTTTGCGATTTTACTATACGAAAAAGACTCCCATAGCTTTGTATACATGTATGTACCGACCATATCAAGATAAAGTGAGCAAGATGAAGAAGAAACACCGTCGTATGCCAAAGAGAAATGAAATCCACCAAACCCTACCATGCCCTGATATGTATATGTATAAAAGAACGCCCATAACCAGATCCCCCCCCCCTGTATCCAATTACACCTTACTACTCATCAACCCCCCTCCTAACCCCCCAGTACCACTGATACCAACAGTAGTAGTAGTAGTGATAGTAGAAGTAGCGGTAGTGGCGGTAGTAGCGTTAGAAGTAGTAGTAGTAGTAGTAGTAGTAGTAGTAGTACCAGCCCCACCAGCCCCAAACTTCCCACCATCCTCAACCACCTTCAAAAACCTCCTCACCCTCCCCAAAAAATCCTCAAAAACCTCCCCCTCACACCCCGCAAAATTATGCGTCGCCTTTTTCACAACCCCACTATTCTTCACATCAACATTAACCCCTTTCCTCACACAAACCCTCACCCACTTTTCCACCAACCCTTCCTTATCCACAGTCAAAGGTACAAACTCATCCTCCCCACTATAACAAACCAACAACGGCGTCCCCGCCGGAACCACAGCTCCAAACGTCCCCTCCAATATATCCTCCCCAATATCCGAACTAAAAAAATCGTCCTCACCATCCATATTCGGCGACGTAAGTGAATACCACCTAAACGCCGAACAAGGCGCTTCGAACACCTCCTTCGTAATCTGCGCCGGCATGATATCCCCCCCTCTACCGGACTTTACCAACCGTTGCGCATGTTTCCAACTCCTTTCGTAGGTTTCTTTTCCCATCATCATAGCTAACGCTTCTCGATCGCTAACGGGCGCTTGAAGGATCGCTCCGTCGAGTTGGCCGTGTGCCTGTTGTGAGACTTCGAGACGGCAGAGGTAGTGCATTATGTCTTGACAACCTGTGGAGTGGCCCAGTACCACGACTTTGGGACGGGATAGTTGGATTTTGAAGTAGGAGATGCAGAGGGCGATTTCTTTGGCATCGCGGGTTAGGGTGCCGGTACCTTTTGGTTATGTGCATAATATATATAGAAAGTTAGTGGAGTTCTGGTTTGGAAAGATTATTTTTATGGTAGAATAAGGCATACCCCATCCGTTAGCGGTAGATGATATTAAGACTTGGACGACGGACCAGCCGGTTCTATATATTCATCGAAAAAAAATATAATGGATGTCAGTCAACTTTTTCTCTGGATTGATAATAAAACTTCTCTTTTTTCCTTCTTTTATTCATTCTTTCTTTTCTAAGAAGGAAAAGAAGAAGAGAGCAATATATAAAAAAAAAGAGGGAGGGAATAACATACTTCACCAAATCACTGACATACGGCACCGTCAAAAGATTATCCCCCAGTCCCGCAATAAACAACAACGTATTCGGCTTCCCTCCTCCATTCCCATTACTACTACTACTTCTCAAAGCCGGTGAATCGAATTCAAATGCTGTCAAATCTTTTGTCTATTCAAAAATCCCAAACAAATAAATATATATAAAAAATATATATATATATATATTAAAAAATGTCAGCCGATAAAAATCCTCCCAAAATAAAATGTCTATAGATTTTAAAATATAATCTTCATTTTATTCAAAAAAAAAGGGATCCCTGTTCATTGTTTGTCTTCTGAACAAGGAAAGGTAGGGATGCAGGAATTGGGGGGGTGGGAAGGGGTTTCCACAGACATAATGATGTAAGATACCAGGGTAGCTAGTAGGCACAAACGTCGGTCGCGGCTCTGTCGCATCCATCCTTCTGTCTCCCCAGATTTGTTCTGCAAAGGAAAAACTCCCAATCGGACTTGTCCGTCTAGAGAAATAACGTCGTCGCAAGGAGTTACCCAATTACCAAAGAGAAACCAACTTGGGAGGGAAATGAAGTAAAAAAAACCTCGTAAAGGGTAGGAATGCAGGTGCGGGGTGCTGCGAACGGGTATCGATGGATCAGGAAGGAAAGCAAAGGGAAGGGGAGAGAGAGAGTGGGAAAGAGGGAGGGAAAGTATGGGGGAAAGAGGGCTGGTTGGGTTAACCGGTTGTTGGTTGACTAAGGTTCGTCAATGACCCCTCCACAGGGAGTTCCATCGCGGGGCAGCTTCTAAGCTTAAATAGCCGAATATAAAAAAGTCCATTCATTGTCACCCCATCCACCAAAAAGAAAAACGCCAATGCATCATCGCTATAAAGGTGACAAGGGAAAAAACAAAACAAAAACACAACCAAGATCCAGTAGTTTGATAGAATGTCTCTATCGAACCACCTTATACACTCGCTCATACTATTCATAAACAGTAAAACCCCAAAAAGAGGCTTAAGGAAAAGAGGTACAAGAAGAGTACAGATCCAATCCTGTAAAAGAAGTAAAATAAAGAAATAAACATAACCAAGCCTTCCTATCAAAGGAGAAGCCAGAACCCCAAGTGACCATATCTGAGGGATGGAGAGGAAGGAGAAGCAGAAGAAGCCCAAGCAGCTCAAACAATCCCCTATATCCTCAACCTACTCAGCTTCTTATCCAAACTTTCCCTATAAGTCTCCAACTCCTCCAAAGTCTCCGCATCCCACCCAGCCAGAGATCCTTGAATATGCATCTTCAAATTAATGATAGTTTGCAACATCTTCTCGATCTCTGCATGGTAAAACTCTCGTAGCACGTGGGCGCCATGTGCGAGTTGATCGTACTCGATATTTACAGACTGGAGTCTTTGTTCCAAAGCCAGCAGTCCACTTTGGGCATTGATCCTCATCGACTGTAACTCGCGTTCAAGTTTTTCGATTTCAGCATTCGAGGCCGATGTTTCCGTAGCTGAGGTCTTTAATATACCAAAAAAATTTAGCATCAATCATAAAAATCCACAAAATGCAATCAATGCGATCAATGGAAAAAAACTCACCTCTTTGATCTCACTATACTCATCATTAACCGCCGAAAGCTTTGCTTCAAGCGTTTCCAACTCCTCCGACTTATCCTTCAATGTCTCCTGAATATTATCCAACCGATCCTGGTTCTTAATACTAACATCCTGCGCACTATGTATTCTTGTCGCGATCTCATTTCGGAAGGTATTCAGTGTAGGCTTAACATCGTGCCTCAAATCCAACGTCAACACCTGTCGAGGATTATATCCAACTCCAACGTCGTACAGTAGTCGCTCGTCGTCCCCGCTACTTCCCTCAGGCGCGGACTGTGCCGCTTTCGTAAGCGGGATGATATCGATTTCACAACTCTGCCCGTTGGAAGTAACCCCGATCTTATAGCCTAGCTCGTTATATCTCTTAACCGCATGTTCCAACAGCTCCAACTTCTTCAACGCTTCTGCTTCCCTTCCAGCTGCAACCCCATTAGCCTCTTCAAGCTTGATTTCAACTCCCTCAAGCCCCTTAATCAACTTCTCCCTCTCTGTATTCATCCGATCGATATCCGCAGTCGACAATCCTTGTCTATCAACCGCTTGCTGTAACTCGGCCTTCTCCACCTCCAACCTCGTAATTTCTTGTCTTGAAGCTTCCCCCTCATCCTTCAAGGCCGCATTAACAGCTTTGATATGCCCCATCTTCTCCCTTTGATGATCAATAAACTTCCTAAATTTATCCTGATCATTCCTCAGGGTCTCCCCCTCGCTCTTCAACCTATCCAATGGTGACTTCCCGCTTTCATCCTCGAGTTCCGATATCGCACTTACAAGCTGATCGTATTCAGCCTTTAAGACGACCAGACTCTCTTGATCCTGCGCACTCCTCGCTTCAAACTCCTCCACCATCTCATCCTTAAACGGCGAAAAATCATCATCATCGTTCAACCAAGTCGTATAACACTGCGATAGATATCTATACCCAACTTTCGAAGTACCGATATCCAGACTCTGCTGCTCTATAGCATCGTCGTAGTGCCCTGAATCGAAATTTTCAAGCGCCTGAACGAGTTGTACCATCCAATGTAAAAGCCCCAAATACGTCGGCCAATTATTCGCACCACCGACAGCGCCCAGCTGAGCCTTTGTAATATTCCCAAGGTAAGGGTATTTAATCCCCTTCAACAACGGCATGACCTCCGTCTCGACTGATTTTAACGAAAACTTAAAATTCGGATCCATCCGATGATACAACCACTGGAAAATAGTCGTAAAATCCTTCTGCATGGGAGATGATAGCGCTTTAGGACCAAGATTATGTTTCGTTTCGAGTTCAAAATTGTAACGGAGTAGGTATTCTTGAATCTCTTGGGCCATTTTATTTCGAAAGTTGGGGTCACGGAGGGGACGAGGGTCTGTGACTTTTCCTAAACCAGCACCGGCGATGGCACTCCCTCCTGACGAACCAAAGAAAGACCCTCCGGCGCCACCGCCAATGTTAGCACCCATGGATGGACGCGAGTATATGCTACTTCTTCGTTGATCCATCATCTGCGGTGTTGAAGATGTTGGAGCGTAGGATTTACGGGATGAAGGAATGTTGAAGCCGCCTCCGCCTCCGCCTAAGCCACCAATACGGGATTCGCGACGGTTGCTGGCCTGGGCGCCCATGTCGAGGAGGTTGCCGGCGAGACTACCGCCAGAGCGTGCAGGGAGCATGGAATGGCGGAAGTTGGGAGCGGATGGACGGCCGCCCTGTTGGAGCCCTTGGTTTGAAGCAGACCGTTTCAGAGCAGATGTGGGTTGAGGGATAGATGTGATACCAGAGATTGTCTAGAGAAGGTACTTAGTTAGCCTAATGAACGGAGATCGGGAAGCTAGCGATGATGAGATGTAGAGAGAACTACCTCTCTGGGGCGCTTGAAGGCGCTGAACAAATTAGTGTCTTGCGACATGGCGCACAAGCTTTATCGTGAGCTATTTCGTGAGCTATCAGCAGCTCCTTGGTCCTTATCGTCAACTAGTCTAATATAGCTCCCACGATATCAAAGTGTAGACTGGAGCCGTATCGATCGTAGATATTAAATATTATTAAGCACTAAATGCAGGATGATGTATGACGCGAATGTGATTAATGCTGGCGATGCTGGATCGTGGGTATATGGAGGAGAGTAAGAATGTTTGAAGTTGAAGTTGAAGGTTGAAGATGGAGGCACGTTGTTGGTAAACAAAGAAATTTGGAGCGACAACACACACTTAGCAACCACCACGTTCTCCCTCACAAATTATCACACTGGATCCTGCCATAGTCCAGTTTCTACCGCCAAAAACGAAACTTGAGGAATTTATACACGCGTGCCAGTACAATCAATAGTTTATAAGAGAGGGAGATATTGTGTATTATATGTTGGCGTGTGGGGAGTTTAAGTGCGTGGTTGTTTTGTTCTATTAGCTCAAGCTCTAGCTTCTGTACATGTTGCCAATATAGTAGCTTTAGTAAACCTTCAATCAAGACTATCGACAGATCGGTATTAATATTAAGAACACCGGGTATTTACAATCCCATGAGAATCTCCTTCCTTCCATAGTTAGTAATCCGTAGCCTCGAATGGAAATCATCGCGGGAAACTACATAACTAGTTAGTATGTCATGTCGTAACATCAATCAAAAGCGAAGCAAAGGACTCACTATAAGCTCCACAAAGCCTCCTGTGTCCTGTGAAAGAACCTCGTCCATGCAAAACTCTCCAATTGTCAAAGACTAAAAAGGAACCTGTTAGCAAAGTCCCATTCGAGGGGAAGAAGGGAAGGGAAAGGGGGGGAAGGGAAAGGGGGGGGAGGGAAAGGGGGGAAGGGAAAGGGGGGAAGGGGGGAAAGGCACATACTCAACAGCTTCCCAGGCACCAATTGCTCTCTAAACTCCCCATCCACCCTCTTCAAAACTTCATTCCACTCGAAAATCGCCTGATAAAACTTCTCCACTTCCTCAGGTTCTCCCCACCGATCCATCGTAGCTCTATCCTCATTATTCCACCTAACTTGAACCAACTCACCAGTGACCGGATGATGATTGAACACCGGGAACGGCGTGTAAGGTTCAATACTAACTCCTTCGTTCCCACTGGCATGCGTAGGAATCCGAACCGCAGATAACGTCCTAAAAGCCTCGGGCTTCTCATCCCTCAAGATCCTAGCTGCTCTAAACCCATCGACTAATAACGATTCCCCGCCTTTCCCATCAAACTCTAGGAGATGAAACATCTGTAGCCCGCACGGTTCGGTAAAGTATGTGGTATCAGTATGAGCCGGTAACGCAAGATCCGTATAGGCCATATCGTTCATCGCCAGATCGGCCGTAAAATCCCAGAATCCGCCGTAATGCGTGTGTCTAATATGCGCAATACGTTCTGCGACTTCCTTTGTAGCCTCAGGGGACACGGGAACCCCATCTACGAAACAAAACCCATAAATTTCGATCTTAGAAGTCCATTCTGCAACCCCGGCGTCGGATTCCATAACATCAGAGTACTTCACAACCGGCATGTCGGTTTCTAAATCCTTCTTCGACCAAAGTTTCCTTTGTACTGAAATGTATTTCTCCAGCCTTGGAGCATAGGAGTGGCGGTGCAGCCATTCCCAACTGTATAAACTCTCATGATCCCCGCGCCATTTAACATAGAGTCCTTCGTCTTTCGGTTCAACCTGCGAAGGTCTTATGTTCAATGGCAAAGAGAAAGTATCAAGCATCCGCTGCTTAGTCTGAGGATGCATGCAGGACGAACACTGGCAGTGATCTCTCAGCCAGATGTGCTGGAATGTAGACGTTTTGCCTTCTTCCCATGGTACAGATATCTTCTTGTCATCGAATGAGATCTTGTGGTGTTTGGAGATTGTAGGTTGAGCATCAGCTTTAGTGACGTTGAAGGTTCGCTTTTTGTTGATGATTGAAGATGGGGTTTGGGTTGCTGCTGCTGCCGCCGGGGATGCTTCGGATGAAGCCGGTGGAGCTGGGGAAGTCTGAAGAGGAGAGGTTGAGATAGCTCGGATGGCTTGAAGCCAGGGATTGCGGGAGTGCTGGCAGATAATCTGTCGTCTAAAATTAAAATAAGAATAAAAGAAATAGTCGGTGAAGTTAGCTGAATTGATCTTTATGGGAATCTCTCACACAGGCACCAAAGTAAAACTCACCGAGCAAACCCAGCAGACAAAGACCGCGCAATTGCGACTGTTCGTCTCGACGCCATTGCTATAACTGCGGCCTTGTGTTCCCTTAACCGGCGGCGGCGGATGAGGCGAGGTAAAAGAAGGTTGAAGAGATGAGGGAAGAGTTGGAGCAGAACTTTGGTTGGATGGTGTGGGTGTGGTCTGATATCATGCATGCAGAACGGTAAAGCATGGCCCTCGGAAAGACACCAGAACCTGGGGCAGCCGGCCTTCCCCAGACTCGATTAGATCCGGCTTTTGGTTCTACCCGAAGCAGCTTAGACGGCAATCGACGATAAAGGAAGCGGCCTCCCTCGTCTTGGTATACATAATTCGGTGGTGAAGCTATGTACAATTCCCGATATCTACATATACATGTGAAAAATAGAAAAAATAGAAAAGTAGAAAAAGAAAAGGAAACAAAGGAAACGAAAAGGAAAAAAGAGAACAGAAACTCTTAAAGCACTAGTTTCCTCAGAAGAACGCCATGGATAAATGCTATCAAACCCCGCCGAAGTCTGACAAAGGAAACCGCCCGACGAAGGGCCCCGGGTGATACACATACACGAAAATGAAAAAGGAAACATGCCGATTAAAAAAAGATGTAGCGCAGGGCAGGGAGTCCGAGATATATTAAAAACCCAAGGATATGTGAGAAACCGCTCGTAAATGAAATAGAAATCAACAACGCTGTAGTTGGAATAGTGTAAACCCCTGTATCATGATATAAAAACCGCTAAAGGGAATCAATGAGAGAGAAAAGGGAAATATAGGTGCAAGAGAAGGGGTGTATCATCTCTTTATCCAGTTGGAAGCATTGTCAATGATTTGTCTCAATCGCTCCAACTGGAATCGGGCTTTTTCCCAATCGTCAGCCTCAACGGCATCGACAATGGCTGGGAACCACAGGTGGTCGAGCTCGCTCCGGACCTGGACAAGAAAAAGAAAGTTAGCAGCCTGACCGACATAGACTAAGATACCTATAAGTACTAACCTGAGGAGCAAATATCGTATTCTTGAACCACGGTCGCCCGGGAACAGCCGACATATCTAGCATATGAGTCTCGAACATCGCAACCTTATTATTGTGCTCTAGCCTCTCCACAGTCATAGCAGCCGGCTCCGTGCCATCCAGCTGGAGTAGCGTATTCTCAAGTTGGGATATAAAGTCGTTAAAGTGAAGGCTGTCCTCGCGCAGCTTCCTGATCGTGTCCTTCATAGGTTTCCAATCGATGTTTGCATCTTCATGACCATGTCGTCTCCGCTTTTCCCTCTTCTCATCAACCCATCTTTTCAAATCGTCAAGGTGTCGGTTAAGAGATACAGCGTAATCCGCGTAATTCAGGGGGATGACGAGGTTGTCGCTCATTACGATCGTGAGGACACCCCAGACCTGGGCCAACAGTGGGACAAACTCCCATTTCGGGTCGCCGAATTTGGTCATCCATTCATAACTGTCGTAGGCAGAGTGGAGAGGGATAGCTTGGTCGCCATCTTCAGCTTCAAATCCGATATCAATCGCGGCCATACCGGCAAAATTGGTGAATGCGAGACTGTCCGTATTGATCGCGGGCCCAGCCAAGCTTCTTTCGCCTCTTGATTCCAGCATCGTCGAGTTTGTCGAGGGATCCATGAACCAGCCGAGTGCAGTATTGAGGGCAAGCTGCAGAGCTGGAGAACCTCGAGCTTTGAACTGAGAGCCAGTGACAGCAGTACCAACATTGATATATACAACGCCGTCCATCCGTAGCTCGTTGGCGTATTGTTCGACCCATTCGCTATGACACCTGTTAGTTTTGACCTTTCTTGCGGAGAATCAAGGGTGAAGTTACTCACGTAGATCCGACTAAACCGTACTGGCTACCATCCCAACTCGCAAAGTGAATTGTTCTCGCTGGGCGCCATCCAATATCATACATCTGGCCGAACACTCTCATCATCTCTAGCATTATAGCAGTACCAGTCATAGAAGTTGCGCCATAGGCCCACGAATCCCGCTTGCTGCCAATGATGATAGCTTTACGAGGTTGCTCGAAGCCTTCGATCGTGGCGAGGACTACATAGTAATTAGTACAATAGATAGAAACTGAGAAAAGAAGTTGAACTCACTATTCCAAATCTTCTGTTTGTCATGCTCAACTTGAAGATTCATCAAGTTGACCTTCGGGCTGTTCTTATCACCGGTCCACCACTCAACATCGGGAATACCGCCCTTCCAGTCATCATTAACTTTCGAGCCATGTCCTTTTAGCGCCCCGATAAGCTTCTGGGCATCTCGCCACGCCTAATGTCACCCAGATATTAGCCCAGAAATCCAACAGCAGTTTCCCCGAAGAATCACCCACCAAAGGCAAACTAGGGATCTTGCTCATCACAGCATCTTCCTTCTTTATCCTCTTGTTTTTGAAATCGCTGGCAACACCTGGTGATAGAGGGTCTCCAGGCTGATACCTCGTCAATCCCACAGAAGCCCTTTGTACAAAATCATCTGGTGCCCATCGTCCCTCCGGCCACACCTTCCCCTTCACCATACCATTTTCTTTCGGGTCGGTATAAATGATACATCCTGCAGCACCAGCATCTTCGGCCATTTTAACCTTTATCGCAGGGTCGGATTCCGTTCCAAAGTACCTGACCAGCACGATCGAGCCCTTCAATTGCACCTTTTTCGACTTGAGATACTCAAAATCCTGTTTCGATCCATAGTTCGCGTATACCAAGTGTCCTGTAACGTTGCCTGATTTGGAGTAGCCGTGAAATGCCGGTGTGATTTTGCCTGGATGTTTCGAGGTATCGAAATGCTGTTCTTCGAGAGTTGCCGCCCATCTCAGCTCTGGAGGGTCGACTATGGCTATCCTTCGTCCTTTCCCGTCCTTATTGGGATAGTTGAGGTATACCTCATATCTGCCATACCATTTATTAGTATTCCATTTGCACACACACAAGTATAAAATACGAAGGGCCCTGCTCACTCCTCTGTCCGAACATCCCGCATACCAGTCTCCTTGAACTTCCCAGCAACATATTGGGCCATTTGATAGTCTCCCTCCGTACCTGCCAGGTGATCAAAGCTTGAGAGATATTTAAGCATATGCTTTATGTTCTCCGGGTCGACATTATCGATAAGATAGCGCTTGACGGAATCCGGATCGTACTGGTGACCTTGGTTCATGCGCATTGTGAATACATCCGTCGCAAATATCGCATAGACCTGCACCCACTGTTCATCAGCACGCTCCCTCTATTAGTGTATCGGGAAGAATTCCCTTACTATAATAACCACGATGATAACCCCGATAAACCTCTGCAAGTTGATAATCCCATCCTCATCGGCCGGAAACCTCAAAAAGTTGGGCAACCGCGGCATACTCGGTATGCGACTGGTGAACCACCCGAACCGCGAACCAACTCTACTCCCAAACGAAGATATGGCCCCTCCTAATATTGAAAAAGGTTTCGATATTCGTTCCCGTATTCTGGAAGACCGTCCGTCGTATTCCGGTTCTTCAATATCCATAACCTCAAGGATTCGCCGCAGCGATTCAGTCGACCGTCTCCGACCGTCGCCATCTTCACCAGAATCCGAAGACGAAGACGACGGGAGGAAAGAAGAATTACTGTCGAATGAAGATCGTACGGATCTGACGGTTGGAGCACGATATCCATCTGGCCGCGTTGCGTTGTTACTTCGCGACCCGGATGTAGCGGCCTGAGGGGGATTTGCAGAACCACCACTACCACTGCCACTACCAACATTTATATTGCCGTTGTTGTTATCGTCATCGTCGTCACCGTCTCCACCATTACGGGTGCTATTGTTGTGAGAATCGGAAGAAAATAGCAGGCGTTGGTTTTCGTTCGGTTCGTCGTCATTGTCGCTGATGTCGGAACGAGAGGAGCTGGCGATTGCTTCTTCGTATCCGGGAGGGAGGGCGAGGCGCTCCCGGAGTCGGAAGGCTTCTTTTTCCTCGCTCATTCGGGGCGAGTAAAGAAGAGGAAAGGAGGTCGATGATCGGAAGGGATAACCTTTGATGTTTCGAGGTTGAAGTTGGAAGTTGAAGTTGAAGTTGTAGAAGTTGAAGATACCTGTTGGTAGGTACCGTACCTTACCTGACTTACCTTAAAGTCTAATGTTATTCCCCTTAATCCCTTGACCGGGGCTGTACAAGTGCAAGTTCAATTCAATAAAGATAGTTACCCGTCCGTTGGAGGATATTTAGAATGCAATGATCATAGAGTGGACTGAATCAATAGAAAGACATGACGGAGAACGAGCGGAAGCATCAAGATAAAACCTATAGTATAACAGGTATGTATCTCGATGACACAGAAAACATATTATCAAAAAGGAGATGGCGATGTGTTCGATTCGAAAAAGACCAAGCAAATGCACAGCTTACGATATCGCCAATGCTGGCCCCGGGCGCCCCCAATTGCCCTTTTCAGAGCCGAAACCCCTCCCGCCACAGATTCCTACAGAATATCATGTAAACTAGCCACAGGCTACCTGATATTATACTTTGGGATATTAATGGTGGGCAACGACATGCCCGAACCGACCGAACGGGGGAAGATGCGTTTCTGCAAGTTGGCTGTGGTTAGAGCCGGGTCAATTTCTTTTTTTTTCTCGTTCCTTCCTGTCCTGTCCTGTTCTGTCTCGGTCGCGGCATCTCATCTCATTTCATTTCCCTTTCTTCTTTGTTAACAAAGCTCCTACTTAGCTCCTGGTGGCTAGTTAGCTATTTTGATCCTGTCGACCTACCAGGATATATACCAGCGGGAGCAGCAGTATCGTAAAGTAGGATTCTCTTTTTTCTCCATTCATTCATTCATTCCGACAAGCATAGAGCTATAGATATCGATATTAGACGGTTGCGTCCCGACATCCATGAATACGGCCATTCCAGCACCGAGTACGCGACTATTCAGCACTGTCGTCTGACCTCACTTCCCATTCTCACAGCCCTTTTATTTTTATTTTATATTTATTTATTTTATATTTTATTTATTTTTAATTATCTTTTTTTTCTTCTATAAATATAATATAATATATAAAGCATCAGCATCAGCATCAGCATCACCAAGTGCATCTGTTACAGACATCAAGTCATCCAAGACAAATCATGGGCAACGACCAGTCAACACAGCGCCGAAGCGCACTTTCTCGCCGCACAACTTCCCGCTCCCCCTCTGGTACCTCAACCCCCACATTCAAGACCAAATCAAAATCAACTTCTTCCTCTTCTTCAAAGCGTCCTACTTCAAAGAAACCTAGGAGGTAATATATATAACCCCTTCTCATATACTCGTATAATAGCGCAGTACATATACAAACGACGTTTCATGTTATATCATACATCCAATGTTTCCAATATATATCTAACATTAAATACTCTTTGAATAGATCCACAAGTGTGGCTCCAACAATCGCCTCTGACGAATCGAGTTCGATCTATGAACCTCAAAGGGTGGTAATCATAGGCGCCGGTCCGGTCGGTGCCCTTGCAGCTTTATACTTTGCGAAGGGAGGATGGCAGGTCACCGTATACGAACTACGGGGTGGTAAGTTCATTATTTTTATTATTATTATTTTATTCCCTACTGTTTTCAAATTCTATGTTTCATACAAATACTAATATTGATATTATATAGACCTCCGTAATCCCGAAAACCGTAGTTTGAACTTCACGAAATCCATCAATTTGGCGATCTCGGAGCGTGGTGTCAATGGAATTCGAACGGTGGATCCCGAGCTCACGGAGACGATATTGGAAGCTGCGATTCCTATGAATGGACGGATGATTCATGATATTGCTGGGAAACAGTCTAGTCAGAGATACGATGTTCACGGAAGGGTACATACCACCCATCTTTTCTTCCTATACAAAACATAGAGGAGTCATTAGAAGAAGAAAAGAAGAGAGGCTAAAGAAAATAATAGTTCATCCGCTCCATCGACCGCTCCTACCTCAACGGCGCCCTCCTCGACCAACTCGAACAAATGAGCAACGTCGAACTAAAATTCAACCACAACCTCAAACGCCTCGCCCTGGAGAAATCCGAAGCTACATTCGAAAAGCGACTTGGTTCGGGCGAAGTAGAAACCGTCCGAGTAAATGCCGACCTCTTCATCGGTGCCGATGGAGCCCACTCCCAAACCCGGTATCATATGATGAAATACGTCCGTCTCAACTTCTCGCAAGAATACATCGATTCTCTATGGTGTGAATTCCACCTACCGCCGCATCCAACAACAGGCGAATTCCAACTCGATCCGAATCATTTACATATCTGGCCGAGACAGACGTTCATGTTTATCGCTTTACCGAATATGGATAAAAGCTTTACTTGTACGCTGTTTATGCCTGAAGATATGTTTAAGGATATAGTGGGGCCTGAAGCTCTGCTGAAGTTCTTTTTGACAGAGTTCCCGGATGTAGTGCCGTTGATTGGAGAAGAGAATTTGATTGGAGATTATTTGAAGAATCAGAAGTTACCGTTGATTTCTGTTAAGGTAACTCCCCCCCCTAATTCCTACCTAGATTTCAAAAACCTCTGAAGAAGAAGAAGGAAAAGCTAATGCCGTGGAATAGTGTACCCCATACCACTACAGGAACAAATGCGTCATCATAGGCGACGCAGCTCACGCCGTAAGTCTTCAATCTACCACCACATTTCCCAACGAACTATACTAACAAAAAACGAACAAATAGATGGTCCCATTCTACGGCCAAGGCATGAACTGCGGCTTCGAAGACGTCCGCGTCCTATGGGACCACATCAACTCCACAGACTCCCTAACCGAAGGTCTAAACTCCTACACGCTCGAACGGCAAAAGGATCTACACGTAATCAACGACCTAGCGATGAACAACTACGTCGAAATGAGATCCTCGGTAACCTCGAGAACCTACCTTATGAAGAAAAACTTCCAGGAGTTTCTGTACAGTTGGTTCCCGTGGATGGGGGTTAGGACGTTGTATTCTATGGTTAGTTTTAGTAATATTAGGTATTCGGAGGTGACGAAGAGGATTAAGAGACAAGAGAAGGTTCTGGGAACTGTGGCGCAGTTTGTGGGGATTAGTGTTCTGGGGGCTTTGGGGTGGTGGGTTTGGGAGGCGGGGTGGTGGAAGGAGGTGCTCGAGGAAGGGTTGTTGGTTTGGAAGGAGTGGATGGAGGAGGCGGTGAGGGTGCTTTGGTGAGACTTCCTTCCTCTCCCCCCCTCTCCCTTCCTCCCTTCCTTCCTTTAGGGAGGAGGGGAAGGAAGGGTTAATCACGATACTTAAGCAAAGAAGAGTCTACGAAATCTAATTTACGAGTTACGGAAGGGCATTTTTTTGAATTATCTTTCATGCATATCATATCATATCCATACGACTACAGCATCTTATATCATGTATATACATAAGTTCATATTTCCATAGTTTAGACACAGCCTATATCATTAAAAGAAAAAAAGCATCGTCGTCATCGCATATCAAACCTTCCCACCAATGATCAATCAAATTTAACCCGATTTTAACCAATGGACAAGCTAGAAAGAAATGTTCCAAAAACCGAGGAGATCTACCTATTATAACACAGCTCTGGATAATTATAATAAAATATAAAAAGGAAAACACCCCGCCTCACTTTACTACTCCCCCCCGCTAAACTCTATGCAAAAATGCAAAATGCAGAAGTGTAACGAACATCCTCATATGACCACCAACTAGCGTTCAATGATCATCTATTATATTATGTATTTTTTTGCAGCAATCGCGCAAGGGTTCCTGCACCATTCCCCCCTTCCTGTTCCTGCAAGCTTCATGGAGGGGGACGGGTTGGAATTACAAAAGCTGTGATTGGTTGGTAAGCAAACCCCCCTTCCAGATGCAGGATATAACTGGGGTAGATTATGTCACCAGTCTACCAGCTACTACATTGCGCATGCTAAATGTATACAGTGGGAATCGGGGCTGGTTCTTTTTTCCTTTTCTTTTATTTTATGTGATAGGTATAGGTAGATCCATGAGTATATAAAGGATTATCCCCCGCCCTCTTCTTAGAAGGTGAGCTTATATAAAGAGAGACCTTTATTTCCCTTCTACAATCGACGAGCTTGAGAAAAAATCAAATTCACTTCACACTATTACCAAACTTCGAATCATAAAAAATACCAAAATAATTAAATAAAATATATTATTATAAGAAAAGATGGCATTCTCGGTAAGGATATTTGATTTTCTGTTGATGTCTTTTTTTCTTACTATTAGTACATACATACATGACATCACCCCGCTCTACAACCTCCAAAAAAACATCATCGTCAATTTTTCTCACCAATCAAAAACAATAAATCATAAATTTTTTGAAAGAAAATACTAATGGAATGCAAAAAAAATAGGAAGGAACCCACGTAACATTCACAAACTCCACCGGCGGCGAGGAAGTCGGCGTCGTTCAGAGCCACTCCGTATGTTTTCCATATATACCCGACTTGATACCTCTACATACCACTAGCTAACAACATATTTTTTTTAAAAAAAAAAGGGCGGCCAATACACCATCCAACGAAAAAACGGATCCACAGTAACCGTCTCTGAAGGTTCTGTTAAGGAACTTAAGGTCACATCCGGCCAGAAGGATAACTGTCCTGTTGTTGGAACTGCTTAGAAGAATCCGAAATGAAGGATCCTTGTTGCTCTCGTTTCTTTCTGTGAATTATATGTTATGTTATGGGAGAATTCGATCGATTGGGATATCATGAGGAATTCGGGGTTTCCTTTTTAGTTAGCTTCTTCTTAGTTGTTAACTAAGTACTTCAGCTGAAGCATGCACTGTGGAGTGCTGGTGGAATTATAAAACAGGAGAAACAACCATATTTATATTCTGCCAACTGATCTAAGAAATAATCGTATACGCTGGATATTCGGTGATGTAAATTTGCTTACCGTTATTATGGATAAAAAAAGGTATAAATCATATCAAGTCCCTATTAACAACAGTCCGTCCCAGCTCCTGCTCCTGCTCCCATACGAATCCAATAGTAATAAAAAAAAACAACAGTAATCCCTCCAAAAGAAACTCCTGATATAAAAAAAACTATAAAAAAAAGATAACAATCTACATGCTCCCACCGCTTCTATTACCCCCAATGATACCCGCCATTTCCAATAACGCCTAATCTCAAGAGTCAGTCATCCTAAATCATATATGAAAAGAAGAGAAAGAATAAGGGGAAAAAGAACATACCCGATTCGCCTCAACATCATCCCCAAGCTGTACATTCCGTCTCCTCATCGCCTCAGCCTCATCCCAAGCCCACTGCCTCGCCTGTTCCTTCGCCTCCTCCTCCCCACCGACCCCCCAAACCTCGATCTCCTCTATGTTAAACCTTTCCTGCCAATCCTCACTTCTGCCCCCTACACCCAAATCACTGGTATGATACGCCCCGCCACCGGAAGAACTATGCGTAAACACCCCAAATTCCAAAGATTCGTCCAGAATCAAAGATACGGCACCGAGGTTCATATGTAACACCGGATCACCGGCCTTGATTCTGGGTAACGGAGCGCCAAAACCTATACCGGCGGATTTATTCCAGTAGATGTAATCCGAGTGAGCCTTTGAGGTTTCGAAGACTTCGTGGATAGGGTGGAGTTGGAAGATTTGGGTGTCGGAGTTGCCGAAACATTCTTTGTGGGTTATTTTCCACATTACGTCGATGTAGACGCCGAATGTTAATGTTTCGTTATCGTCGTTATCGTCGGTGATACTGTCGGGGAATCGTTTGGGGGATAGAGAATCTGAGAAGGATTTCTCGCGGGAGGTGGAGGGGGTACCCATTCTTGAACCGCTGACGAGGAGGATGGTGGGGGCACGCCATTTGAATACTTTTTGTTCGAACATGCCCATTGAGAAACCGTCGTCGGAGCCGATGTAGAGTTTTCGTAGTCGGCGGTAGAGGTTTTCGCCTTTGAGGAAGAAGGAGAGTTGGTTTAGGATTGTGGGGGTGAGGATTGCGCCGTAGTGGTGGAGGAGGGGAGGGGTGAGTGGTAGATGGAGGGATGGGTTTTTGTTCATGTTTAGACGTTTGGAGAAGAGGAAGTGTTCGTAGAGGGGTTTGAAGCCGTCGAAGAGGTGGGGCTGGATGTTAAAACATCATCGTTAGATATCGATATATCTCTTCATGAAAATGCATAAAATAGAGAGCAACAGAAGGGGATATGGAATCATACCAAAGACCGTTTAATACTCTTACTAAACCCCGTCCAAAGGATGGGTTTACCGTCAATACTCATACTGCGAACGATACTCTCCGCCGTCCTTCTCAAATCTACCAATGAGTCTCCGGAATACCTCTCCACATAAGTCGCCAACGACTCCTGAGGATCCAATGGTGCGATAACAAGCAATAACATCACCAACTTTGTCAGATCCTTAGGATCTAGCCGACGTACATATTTCTGTACCACTGCCGCAGGCTTTTCAGCAAGTTTGAAGACTTCAATGGCATCTAATGCCTCCAAAGCCGCTAGCGCTAATTCATCATCGTCGTTTTCGTCTTCCATATCCTCTGGATCTGCGATTCGGAAGATATCATCACTATGATCATCATCATTATCGTCGCCGTCATTGTAGTCGCTTTTATCGTCGTCATGCTTCCCATGACCCCTCCCATTAGTCATAGCATCAGCTATAGCATCCTCAATCCCCTTCCCATTCACGTGTACATCATTCCCACAACCACCATTACCACCACGATCATGTACCGCCAAAATCCTAAACCAAACCCTCACGGCATCCCCACCACCTTTCCTAAGCACGGTTTTATACCGTCCCGTGAAAACACAGACAACTCTAACCACGGCCTCCCAGTCCAAAACACCGGGACCGTCGCTTAAAAACGGGAACCCAGCTGCGATGCTGGTGGCGTGGTATAATAAATTAGCGACGTCTAAAGCGTCGGGAAGCTCGAGGAATCGGGTAAGTGTGTCTTGGGACCAGTAAATGGTGCCGTCGTTTGAGGTGTTTGCCAGGGAGGCGAAGACGTCGCGGAAGGAGTAGAGTTCTAGATCGGTGAAGGTGCGTTTTTGGAGACGATGGGTTAGACGGTGGCGGAGGTCGTCTTTTTTTATAAAAATTAGCAATTAGTATATTAAATATTAAATAGAAATAAGATGGAAATTCATGGATTGAAGCTTTACCAGGCGAAAGAGAGCGCCGGGTTTCATCTGACTGCGATTGGCCCATGGTGTCGGAGTAATTGTGGTAGCTGCAGCTTTGGGATTCCTCGATGTGTAGAAGAAGACATGAAGTGTCAAGCTGTCGAATATGTGTAAAATATACCTTCTTTGTCTCTCTCTTCCCTTCTTTCTTTTATCAGACTTGGAAAATTAAAAAAAAGTAAAGGAAAGGTAAAAGAGAGAAATAAAAGGATCCTGATGCCAATTTATATTTTTTCTTTTAAAAAAAAGGTGATAAGCAGAGTGTAGGTAATGTAAGTACAGTACATACGCGGCCCAAGCCAGCTAAGCTAAGATCAAAGTCAAGTCGAGTCGAGTCGAGTGCACTGTCAGTTGAAATGCTTGAATTACAATGGCCTGACGATTGCGGTTTCTTTCTTTGCTTTTAAACGGCAGCTTCGCTTGCTCGTTAAAGTCCCGCCGTCCGACGTCACAGCCGGCGTGCTCCCGGCCCAGTTATTAATCGATGAACAAGGCCCGTCTGTAAAAAAAAACATCAAACATCACACACTTTTTCGATTTCAAAGAAAGAAAGAAAGAGAAAAAAAAAGATACTTTCATTTTTTAGGGTTCACGATGTTCTCCCGAATACCAAGACTTCTAGTCCGTCCGTCCGCAAATCTCAATCATAATCTGAGTCGTCGTCTTGCCAATGCCAATGTCAATGTCAATGTCAGCGGCGATGTCTCAAGAGTCGTCGTCAAAGTCGTCGTCCCCCACGGGCTTCCGCGGCCCTCGACTTCTGTTTCGAGACTTTATAGCTCGACTACGACCACTCCGTCGACAGGAAAACGCCCCGTGGACGCCAAAGTAGAAGATCTGTCTGAGCTGTATGCTTCAGCCAAGGATGAGGTAAGCAATTGAAAATATATAATTTTTATAAGAGTTATAGGAGAAAAGAAATAAAAACCGTTCTATAGAGTTCTTTATGACTCCTCGTTTTCGTAATATTTACATAACATTAGCTAATCTCCAAGCCCATATTTGATAAATTTCTTCAATTGATTTTTTTTTTTTTTTCTTAAAAAAATACTTATTTTTTTTTTAAAGTTTGAGATTGCTGTTGAGGAAACCTCAAAGAATACAATCTATGCGAGAGACGATAGGGAAACCGCACGTGAGGAATTCGAGAAGTTTAGGTTGGCGTACGAGGAGGCTGTTGCGGGGAGTTCTGAGGAGGAAGGTTTGGAGATTAGAAGGCGGGTCGGACAGAGGTTGAGGGAGATGGAAAACGCGATGGAGGCTTTGAGTCAGGCCGATAATGAAGAGCATTAGTTATTTATATATATTCCTATATATACTCCTAGAGTACTAGTATTTTAGTAATCATAATATTATCTGCATGTCCATTCGAATACAAGTTTATGGAGGATGGTTGGTGGGATTTGAAGTTTGTGTATAATAATTACTTAAGTATACTAAAGCATCTTGGATTCACGGAAACATCAATCCTGGTCTATGGTCCGACAATATGAAATAAAAAAGAGATAACGAATAGGAAATACCGAAACGCCGAAGTGCTTCTCAATTAAAGACGAATTGGTAGAATAAAAGGAAAAGCAGGATTATGCACGGTGCAGAATCCAAGAAAGTCGAATGCTGTGGGATTAAGATACAAAAACAGAAGAAGAAGAAGACAGAGACGCCCTTCCAGCTCCAGATGCTGCTGCTTAAATAGTTAAATAATGAACGCTCCATAAAAAACCAAGATCAATGACAAGGACCCACAATGAATACTACCCTCGTCCACGCTGCCTAAACGTGAACTTGAGTTCGTCATCATCGCTGTCCTCGTCTTCACTCTCCTCTTTGTCGAATATAGCCATCGTCTTGGCCTTCTTCTTCGCCGGCTCCTCGCTGACGCTATTCCTATTGCTTGTAGTTCGTTTCGCCGGTGCCGTAGATGTCTGCGTCCCACCCCTTGCACTCCCTCTAACTACCCTTCCGGAAGCCTGCTGCGTCCCTTGTGATTTCTGCGACCTTCCCTGCGATTTCTTGGTAGCCAAGGACTCGTCCCTCGCCGTTTCCTCTTCGAAGAACTCATCGTCACTTATATCCACGACCACTTCCATGACCCCCTTCCCATTTCTCCCCGCGGAGCCACCTCCAATTTGTGTCTCAGAAACGTGTGAGACATTAGTTTGGCTTTCCCTCCTCTTACCCGCCGCCACTGACGACTGCTGTGGTTCAACCCAGTACCCTTCCCCTATTCCGAAATCCTTCGCCTTGTGCTCCACCAAGGGCACCATGATATGTCCTCCCATCCTCCTCATTGGACCTTCTACTTCCCCGTTCTTGCTTCTTTTCTTAAACTTCTTGAAATTTCTCCTTCCGTTCCAAGCATTATCCCATCTATCCCCTTCGTCACCGTACGCCTGTGATCTCCCAGTTGGTTTACTTGTTCTCGGCGCGATTTCGAATACCTCAATAATAGCTAAATTTCGCATTTTAGCAACAGCCGCAATCTCCTCCGGGCTCATTTCATTCGCTGCATCTTCCTCCGCTGCCCTAGCTTCTTCTCTCCGCCGGATTTCTTGCGCAGTTTGAATGACTTTACTATCGACGGCTTTTTTCTTCCCTTTGGTGGGTTTCGTATCTACTTCCTCCTCATCTTCCTCCCCTTGTTCTATTTTGATCGATTCCGGCTCAGGCGTCGGTGGTTCTTCAGTTTTCCTTTGAGCGGAAGGTAATATTTTCATCGGCTTCACGGCCTCTGCTCGCTTTGCTTCCTCTTCTACTTTTCTTCTTTTCATTGTCGCCTGGCCTGTCAGCATTCGATCCATGATCGCGTTGTCGTCTTCATCATCGTCATCATCAGAAGGAATAATCCTCCTCCTTTTTGCCTGGCTTTGCAAACTTTGCGGTTGCTGAGTCTCCGATATGACCGATAACTGCGTATTCTTCCCCGGTCCCTGTGAAATAGTATGAGAAGAAAAGGAAGCGGCAGCGGTAGCACCGGAAGCCGCCTTGATATTCTGACTGGCACCACCGAACTTAGCGGTGACGCTAGACGAGGATGGGGGCGGCGGTAAAGGTGTGAAATCATCATCGTCCGAGTCGTCAATTTTTATTTGACTAACATAGCGAGATGATCGTGTCTGCGTTCGCAAGCTACTTGTTGTTGATGTTCTAGTAGGTGGAGGCATCTGTGAAGGCTCTGGCTTTGTGACCTCTTCTTCGTGGTTATGAGCTCGAGTCCTTCGGGTGACCGGTTGTGATTCTTTAGGGACTGCATGTTACACATATTAGCCGTACAGAGCAAGGAAAGGGGAAGGGAGAGGGAATTGAGGATTGTGCTACCTTCGGTACTCGGTGGCGGTGCAGGTAATTCGATGGATTCGTGCACTACTACGCTGCTCTCCTCTGCTTCGTATGGTTTTGCCAGCTCCCCGGCATCTGCCATCAACACTGCATCCAAAAACTCGTTCTGTTCTGCGAACCTCACCCCCGTTCGCTCTTCAACTTCTCGTCTAAATCTTACGTACCATTCACCTTCGACGTTCGGATGCAGTACGATAACTTTCTTACCCAAGCGGTCAATATGTACGATCAATTCGGCTGGTTTTGTCTTGCCTTCTCTCAAGTTGAATAGATCGGTCTTCCCGCCCCCATCAGTAATGGGACCGGTGAAGATATCCATGTGCTGTTGGGTGCAGCAAACCACCACCCATTTCTCAAACATCGTTTTACGCTTATGATTTGGTTTAAAGTACTCCGGCGCCTTCGGGTTCGGTTCCTGACCCGGTGGTGGTAGGAAACCTAACGGATCTGGCCAATTCGCAACAATATCCTCTTGTAAAGGGCTATCCAGCAGATCTCCATTATCACCTCTAACTTTTGTCGCAGCTGCAGCAATGGCGTCTACGAAAGCAGATGTAACCACCCACGCACCGTTTACTAATGCGCGAAGACTGATCGGTAGGTTACGCTTTGTGACAACTGCTACGGTGGTCTTTCCGGGGAGGAATTCGGGGATGCATTTTATGTCTAGCTGTTCGAGTTTTGAGAGGTAGTCTTTTAGGAGGACTTTTGGGTCTGTGGATTTCTTTTTGGAGGAGTTGTGGATTGTGAAGATTTGAGGTTCGTATCTTAGACTATATTTGTAATAAATGATTATTGGTTAGTCGGTAGATATTATTTGAAAGGGGTTCTAGGGGAGGTATGTAAGTACCGAAATATCTGAGGTGCAGTCGCCATTTGAAATTCGTGATCTATCGCTGGATCGAGAACAACGGAAGTACCGTTGATGAAACGACCATCGACGGTAGAACCCTTTTTGGATTCATCTTTCAACGTGAGACTGGAGTAATGCCGGATACTAAGCTGTTTTCAATTCCATAATTTATATTAGATCATTGTTCCCTTGTTTTTTTTTTGTTTATATTTTATTTATTTTTATTTTATTTATTTTAATTTCGACTTTCAGGCACTTTTTAACGGATCAATCCTCACCCCGTCATACTTTGGAACTTCATCGACTTTTAGAACAATATGCCGACGTGAGATCGCCTTTTGAGCTGGTTGTAGTTAGCCCAATTCTTAGAATGAATATATTATTTGGGATGGAGTCACTCACTGGCACCGGCGAACTGCGTACGGCCGAGGATTGCTTCGGCGCCCGGACGGACCCAGGTTCTTCTCCCTAGATTTTCGTGGGTTAGCGATATGATGATACGATGCCTGCGATAAGGTAAGTACATACCTCCTAAGAGGTCGGTATCGGTGTCTAGAATCCACATGCTGGTAGAATACTGGTAATGGTAATGGTATTGGTATTGATATCGAGGCGTCGCATGAAGGTGAGTTTAATGGTCGTGTGGGTTAGCGCCAGTTGCTCATCGATGCGCTCTTCTTCTTCCCCCCCTCTCGTCGTCGAGTTCCTGAGAAAAAAGGTACTTCGTATACCTGGTCGGATTTCTTTCTCCTCTTCGTCGATATCGAAATGCGCACGTGCAGCAGCTGGAATGATGTCGAATTCCCCTCCCCCTAGTCCAAGGAACGAACGTGGTTGAAGATAGAGTAAGTTTAAATACTTATGTTTAAAAAGAGTGGGAAGACGTGACTCCAAAATGGAAAGTTCGAGCTAACTAAAGACTTGGGACGGGAACGCCAACCCACGTTATTTGCTGCTGCTGCTTCTTGAACTGGAGGTGTGTTTCTTGGCGGGGGATTTAATTAGGCTTGTTTGAGAATTCAATTCGATACTTCGAATAATTATATTCTCTACTAAAAGCAGTTTTCGATATGCAGATATAGAAAAAAGAAGCTTCATCGGGTACACGAAAAAAGGAGGTTTTTTTTATTTATTTGGTCTGGTTGGGAACAGGACGCAGGAATGAGCTATGCCCTTCGCTCTCTCAGCGTCGGCGCACGACAATTGCAATTCTCGACGACGACGATAACTTCAAGACATACGATCCTTCACAGACTACCTTCTTCTTCATCACCAAGAATACATCTACAGCCTCTCCAATGCCGTCGTAATTTCTGGTCCAAACTGTTCGGCAAGAAAAAAAAAGTCGAACCGATCAATCCTGAAGATGCAAAATGTATGTCCTACCCCCTCCTCTTCCTCATACCCAGTCTACAGTATAAAATACTTCTATAACCTCATAACAAGACTAACACCACCACCAATCGAATCCATCTAGTCATCTACCCCTCCTCCCTCTGCCTCTACACCGCCGGCCGTCGCACAATCTGGGTCGGCTGCATGAAGCTCGTCTCATGCTACCCATTCCTCCTCACAGTCTTCTACCTGGGTCCCAACCTCAAACTCAACTGGCCAGCCCTATATACCTTCCCCATCCTCCAATCCCACCCAAACCTCACAGCAGCCGCGGTCCTCACCTTAACCGCCCTCCCAATGGGTATGTTCTACCTAGCGGCACCCTACGTAACCCACATGTTCATCAAAATCCCGCCGTACGCGCGAGTTTCCAAACCTGCGGTTATGAATTGGGTTAAAACGGGTCTGACGGAGGATACTAAGTTGAGGTTGTTCACTATGAGGTTCTTGGGGAGACCGAAGTTGGTGGAGGTGCCGATTGGGGAGTTGAGGATTGTTAGGAAGAGGCTTGGGTGTGTGAATTTGGAGTGGGGGTATAAACAGAAGGAGAAGCCGAGGGTTAGTCAGTTTTATGTGGAGAGGAAGATTGGAAGTGGGAAGGGAGGGCATGAGGCTTTCTTTGAGGTTATGGGGTGGATTGAGGAGAATTCTGCGAGGATGGAGAAGAAACTGATAGGTGGTGGTGGTGGTGGGGTTTCTGAGGCCATTGCTGCGAGTAATACTAATAATGTGAAGAACAGTTCTAGTTCGATATTGAAGGAGGTTAAAACGAAGAAAGGACCGATCAAGAGAAGGTGAGATAAGAACAAAATCCATTTCTTATGCATGACGAAGGAAAAGAAACGTATGAAAAAGGTAATATAAAAAAAAACTGTATATACAATTGAAGGTCTTCTGTACATATTACATCAAAATTTCCTACGTCGGTACTATACAACGGTATCTACACAAGTCTATATGGTCGTTTACAGCTCATCCTTGGGAGCATCAGATGCAACCGGGGCAGCGGACTTTTCAGCCACCACCGATGATGCGCCCTCCTTCCAGTCCGGGTTGACGTACATTGGAGGCTTCAGGCCGATGAGTTTGATCTTGTAGACTGTGGAGTAGATAGTAGTCATATTAGTACAGTATTCGTAGGTTTGTATGTTTATTTATTTACTAATAGAATGGAGTGGAGAATGGAACTTACTAATGGCTGCCCCTGCTGGGATGAGACCACCACCGCTGATCTTATTACCGTGAGCGAGTCTGGAAGGAACTGTGACCTTTCGAACCTCTGTTGTCGCATTGTTGAATATATTAGTATCGTGGAGATCTAGAGAAGTATTCAATTCATTGTAATCGGGTTTGATACATACCATTCACACACATATCCTCGACGGCCTTCTGGAGACCCTCAATGACCAGAGGTGTACCCAACTGGAACTGATGTCTATAAAGCATCCAAAGAAAAACATCATTAGCCACTTCAATTTCACACGCCAGTACAGTATAAACCAACCAAAGAAACAAAGAAAGAAAGGAGAAGCAAAAAAAAAAAAGTAAGTGAAAGAGAGAGAGAGAGGGAGAGATAGAAAATACATACGGATCATTATTATCCCAACTCCTATCAATAATCTTTCCATTCAAAAGCTCTCCGTTATAAAGTGTGACAACAACGGATCCCGGTCCGGACCTGTATGTACATTCCGACGCAGGTATCTCCTCCAATTTCTCGATTATCAGTTCTGGAACATCGAGATCTGAGAGTTTGGATGATTCCACGGCTTTTGCATCAGCTTCGACCGGACGGACAACGGCGTTTCTACCGGCGCAGGCGACACCGACCATGGTGGCGAGGACGATGGGTGCGAAGCGCATTTTGTATATATTCTTTTATATGAACTTAAACGATCGAGGGTAAGTTTATCCGGGGAGGAATTGCAGATAGATATTTTTATATTATATCGAAATCGCGACTGGTGAGTAAGTAATAAAAAGAAGAATAAGAGTCGGCTTTCAACAGCTTTACTTATATGAAGTACAAAGAATAGATATAAAAATGGATAAATAATATGACACTTCGAAAAGCTCCAGAATCCGGAACCTGGATTTCCTTTATAGACTTCCTTACTGTGGATCCCCCTCTACGAAAGGTATCTTTTCCATTATTAATTCTAGAAAAAGCCAGCATGTTAACAAATTTCCCCAGTCGCACAGTTCTCTCCGGATCAATTCAATAGATCACGATTTTGGGGGTTGTTCCATATGTGACAGGGATTAGGTGCTTGCCGTCGGGACAGAAGATCTCGCCTCCGGATCAATCCCGTTTCAGGTTACCTCTTCTTTTCTCCTCTTTTTTGGGGGATTTTGGTGCGGCTGGTGTGGTGGGGAATGCGGCAGGGTGGTCGTGCGGCATGAAGCATCCTTATATACTTATATACTCAAGTAAGTACTTCTGGACAATATTATAGAGTAACTAAGTAAGTACTTACCTAGGTAGTTACTCATAACCTATACCGATCCCGTGGGCAGCGAGGTCTAACCTCCCGATTGAAAATGCATGGACTGCCGCCGTTATATATTATCATGACCGCCATTGCACCCTTCATGATAAAATATCCTTTTGGAAGCTCTGCTTCGCTATTAAAAAAAATGTAGGATGTCCGAAAAGCAATAAATATAACCAGAAGAATAATATTGATAAAAATGTGGTGAGCTGTAGGTCTAAAAATTCGAAGTTCTTCGAGCCATACCACCATTTGCTGTATTATCGGCGTTATATAAAATGTTTTTTGTTCGCTTTCCGGTAGGAGTACTAGAAATATTCTTTAGGGAGGATCGAATACCGGTATGTTGTATTCACTTAAATATATTAATATAAAGGTATTTTGCGTCTGGATCAGTCAATCTAACTGAAATCCCGAATTCTTTGTAACTCCTTTACAGCTATCAGAGTGTCCGTCACAATGTACAATAAAATTGTGCATTGGCAGAGTAGGATGCATGTATATGCCGATCTTTCAATGCCACCGGTGAATCTCATACTGCTGATATCATGTGAAGAATGGCTCCCAATAACCTGGGATATTATAATTATATCGAATCATCTCAGGTTGGTCTGTTCAAAAAGAAATATATATATATAAATTACAACAATCTAAGATCTCTTATAAACGGAGGAGAAAATGCGGCATGCGGTCTCGGAACTAAATGAGGAGTGCTTAAGTATCTAGGCGGGGAAGTTAAAAGTCGCATGTGAGAAAAATATATAGATCTAGAGTTGGATATTTCTTATATATACCTTATACATACCCCAGTAGGTACTAGTACTTATTTAAGTGTCTATCAGACCCCGGTTGTATTGACCTTGCGATGACGGCCTCGAAGGCCTTCCTGAACGGATAGCTGGAGCTAGCTCGTTACCTCTTCTTCGCTAGCTGGGCCTGTAGCTTGTTGTGAACCCTGTAGGGAGTTCGTTGTACATATAGAAGTAAGTGTAGTGCATATGTAGGTAAGTAAGTACTTTCGAGGTTTAATCGTAGTGGAGGCCCTGGCCTGGTCGTAAATATGTACCATGTCAGTTGTATCTAACATGTGCTCTGACGAACGCCAAGCTGGTGGGAAACATGCCCTTATAACAAGAACAGAAAGGTTTGCATTAACCAACAACAACCGGAATAAATAGCTTGAATTCTGGATAATAACAGTTCGCTAGTTGGATCTGAATACGAGGATGGACTTGAGGAGGAAGAAGTGCTCGTGCCCTATTACAACCGTTTAAAAAAACTTGGCGGGTGCATTAATATTAAGCGGTGTTGGAGAGTCTGAAACTCTAGTCTGGGGGGAGCAGTTGCAGCTGAGGTCAAGCAAGTACTCCACTATTTTGCTCGGGCTTTTTTCCCCTCTCTTCTGAAATTTCGAATTCCTTGATGCGAGGAGTTCAAGGGTGAATCAAGATGTATATATAAGTAAGTAAGTGTGTAGTGTAGATGCATGAAAATTTATGCGCCGGTGTCGTGCCGGCTTGTTAATCCCGACATACGAATGGAAGTACGAATGAATGTTCAATATGTTATATTAATAATAATATCGAATGCCCCGCGTTTTATCGATGCATTTGCCACAGTCGGGTTAAATTTTAAGAAAAATGAGGCTCAATTAATTGCGAAAGTTGGAGGGCCACGCCGACTTGCGAAGCTGCCGGCGTGTCAAGCTTGCAAGAAGTTCGGTGACTGGCTGAAACCGGCGTTTGCAGTTGGCCAGTCATTCGTGCATGATTGAAGTATGTATGTCATTCACGTTTTTTATTTATTTTAAATCCTTCTGACACGACGCGCAAGGGAATAAACTTATGTAAGGGAAGAATGTATTTCTCAGCATCGTCTTGTCTCGTTCGCACGCACATTCTGACTTGAACTTAAACTTCTGCATCTTACAGACTTCTAGTTCTACTTCATAGCTGGTAAGTAAGTACTTAGTACTTAAGTACGTACAGTAAAAATCCGGGGTACCGTGGTCATGCAGTCATATCTGGCACCCTCCCATGTCGATGTTTAAGTCCAACTATCGATTAGTTAACAACAAAGAGGATCCAACTTGAGTGCTCATTCGCATGATATTCAAAGAATTAATATCTGGCCGCCAGTTAAGTTGGTTCTCCTAATTCGAGCCTTAACGAGGCCACGGAATCTTAAATGAACCACAAAACTGCCTGAGCAGGCTGACTTTTTACTTTTTCCGTCCCCTTCTTCGAACTCTCACCTGGATGTTTATTGACTCCTGTCCTGCACTCCTGTCGATATACTTAACTTACACACGCTACTTAGGTGCATGTACCTGAGTAGAGTATATTTGGGGGTTGCAGGTTGTTCCGAACCATTTTCTTTTCTCTCTTCTCTACACAGTAACTAACGCTTCTAACGAGGACCCGCCTTCCGTAGCTCCCCGGCAAAAACGGTCGAATCAAAGGTCAAAACAGGCAACTTCCTTCTGTTCAAGGCAATTTAATTAAAAAATTTAAAAATAAAAATATCAATTCTGGGAACAGATTCGATTCGATTCGGTCAATTAATCAATCAATCAATCAATCAATCAATCAATCAATCAATCAATTCTGTTCTGGTGGTCGGATCCGGTTCAACGACTTCCCTGCACTGCACCGCACCGCATCATCCTCGACATCCTTTTCCCTTTCTTGAGTACTACTCACTACCTAACTCACTGCTCACTTTACCGCCGCCGCCGACGTCGAATTCCTAACACCCCCCCGACTTAATTACTTTACTCCACCCCGCCAGCCGACCAGCCTGCCACTTAGTCCTAAACCCTCTGACGTCTGACAAAACCTTTTTTTGGGGTATGTTTTACTTTTTCTTAATTTCTTTGGTGGTTTTTAAAATTCGAGTACCGTAAAGAAAGAGAAGAAAAAAAATAAAAAATTAATTTGGTAGTTCGATGTACCGGCGCACTTTGTACTGTCCGGTTACTTGGTAACCGGTAGCTCTCCAAAGACCAGACCAGACCAGACCAGACCAGAACCGCCCAGGGCTTCTATAGCAAGTATACTACCTAAGTATCTACTAGCTAAGGCCTTCACGATACCTTTTTTTCCCTCTTCTGCTTCTTCTTCTCGTTTTCATGTCTTAAGTTGTCTGTCTGTCTGTCTTCCCACAAGATCGATCTGGCTAAGCAATTATCGGAACACGCCAGGTCAAGCAAGCAAGCCTTGTCAATTGGATCAGTAACTAGGCAATTGACCTTCCTGGGTTCCCTTCCTTCTGGCCGTGCTCCGTCCACTCCTGACTAGTGCCTCTTCCTCGGTCGGTTTTTCTCTTTTGATCCAACTGCAAGGCTGGCTGGCTGGGCTCGTGTGCGCTCGCTTTCTGCTCTGCTATACTTCACATACCATTTTCTGCCTCTTCTGCCTCTTCTTACTTGGATCATCCAACTCCGGAAAAAAACCCGCTTATTCTCATTGCACACTGCTCCGTTGGACAACTCTTTTGCCTCGAAGGCTTCTTCAAAAATTAAATCAATACTAACTTTCCACGAAGACACATTCATTTTTAAAAACATCGTCATTATCGTCATCTTGCTTTTCTAAGCTTGTGGAACCGCTTTTTCGAGGTCCGGGGAGTGGGTGAGTTACATTACACATAGTATTTGTCCTGTCGGTTCCAAAAACTTCGAGTTTCTTTAAACTGTGCGTGCAAACTTCAACAGGAGAAGGTTTGCAACTGTACAGCTCTTCTTCCTCTTCTTCTTCTTCTTCTTCTTCTGATTCTGATCAGCCGCCTTGAAACGTGCTGCGATCAATCGATCGATCAATCAACTGTTCTTTTTTTAAACATCATCGCTGAATTTCTTTTAAATTCAAACAAGACACTCCCCGCTAATCAATCAATTAATCTACCTTTTTTAGTTTTTTTCCCGTCATCGATTCGATTCGTTGTCTCTAAAAAAAAAGAGAGAGAGAGAGATCAGATATCAGATCAGATCATAGATCAGATCGGATTCACAGCCCCCCAGTCCGACGGGAATCGAACTTCAAATCTCCTCTCCACGTCCGTTTTCATGTCTTCCAGTAAATATTTCATCTTCAACTGTAACGATCTACGAATTTCCTTTCCGAATATTTACGACAGGCTTGTTTGCTGCTCAAAGGTCACGAATACGATACCCGGTTCTTTAAATCCCACACGTACTACCACTGGTACTGCTAGTTTGTTCGATACTATATCCATAGACTTCGACAATAGACAACTTTCCTCAAGGCGTGCCCATTAAAAACACCACCAAATTCTCCCATCTATCCATCTATCCATCTACATACCTACCTTACCTATATTCTCGCCCATATATTTCTCATAAACGCAGTAGACGACATTACCCCTCACGGAGACCCCAACATTGGACTTATTCCAAAGGCTCGTTTGCATATCCCCGCTGGGCGGTTACATACAGGATTACCAACGGATTATTGATTCGAAAAAGGGGATACATAGGAGTGGGGAAGATATATTGTGAAATAAGAAAGCCAGAAAGAAAGAAAGAGGGAAATTAATAAAACAGAGTTATTATCGCGGGGGGGCAAAGGGCTAGTCGCGTATATGTCTATATACGCCGTGGGAGATACTGCTCATCATTAGAGAATAATGTCAACTTCTGTAAGTTCTTTTGGTCGATTGTGACGAACGCTACTGTACAATTGTTTGGAGACCATCATGCATCATGGGACTTCATGGCTATTGGTTGTAGGGGCCTTTTTTCCTTCTTCTTCTTCTTCTTTTTCTTATCGTTTCCTGTCTTGCCTTCGAGTGCAGATTTCTAAGAAATCATCTGTTGTATCGTCGATCGACCGTTATTTGATTCTTAACCGGATGACTGCGCTGCGGCACCGAATGATGTTTTATGAAGCCAGTTATTCTATCACACTTGCTCGCTCATCACTGTAATGTCTTGCTGTATCGCATGTTTAACCGTTGATTCGGAAATTTAATGTTCAATTGCAATATCTCGACCGCTAACCCGTCCGTGTCGTTGCGGTATAACTGTGCAGACCCGATCAATGGCCTTTCCAAAGTTCAGAAGAAGATATATACACCCGTCATCTTCTTCTTCCTCTTCCTCCTCTTCCTCCTCCTCCTCCTCTTTACAACTCTATCCGTTCCCTTCCCCACCTCCCACTGAACCTCCAGTCTCTCCCACCTCTCAGTATTCTTCAACCTCCAACTCATCTACTTCATCCTCACTTACTTATTTCACCTCCCATCAACCTCACCAACCTCACCAACCTCATCAACCACACCAGCATCAACAGCATCACTATCATCCTAGCCATCATCACTATCAGCAGCAGAAGCTTCCTAGCTATCCTCCTGCAGTTAAGTTAACATTGCCTATCAAGTCATCATCTCATTTCTTTCTCGATCCAGTGTGCACAATGGAAGAAATCAAGCTTAATAACGACAGCAACGAGAAAATCACCAACAACAGCAGCAGCAGCAACGACAATTCCAATGGTTCTCACAGCTCCCATCGCGAACCTGCTGATGTCATCTCTCCCTATCTTGCTTCTTCCTCTTCCTCTTCCCTAAACAGAGACACATCCTTCATGAAGATCAAATCCTCGATGGCACTTTCTGCTGTTCTTAACGCACCATCTTCAGATGCAAGAACCCCTCCAGACTCTATATCACAAACTTCTGAGAACTTTGTTTCTTCAGGGCTATTCGATAGCTTAAACGATATTCAACCTCTCCTAACTGGAGACGATGAAAATGGACACGATGAGAACGGGGAAGAAGTCGAGGCGGAACAGGAACCTGCATCGCCACCTGAGACTCCACCCGAGGAGAAGTATTTATCAAATCACGAATTACATCAGCAGAGACTGAAAGAGACACTCGAGAAAGAGGCAGCTAGATTGGAGGCGCAGATAGCATTGAAGAATCAGAAGAGAGAATGGAAGCTTCAACAGAAGCTGGCGAGACAACGTAAATTTCAGGCGTTGGAGGAAGCTGTAGCTGCAAAGACAGCAGCAACGACAACAACGACAACAACAGCAACAGGAGAAGGAGAGGGAACAAATACTGACATTCCGACGAATGCTCCGACAAAGACGTCAACGACAAAGACGTCACCGACAAAGCGAAAGTCATCGCATAGACTCGCTCAATCTGAATCTCCGGAACACAAGAAGGTAGTAGATTCGATTCGCGCTGAAGCGAAGGTTTCTGGGGAACCAGTAAAACCCCAACCGATCATTCGAGTGAAATTTAAGCCGACACCATCTCACGAGGAGCTCAAGTCTACGAGCACTAACAGTCTCCCCACGAAGAGGGGCAGAGGAAGACCGAGGAAGATTGATCCCATCACTGGCGAACCCTATGTTAAGATTATAGGGTCGCAACAGACATATGCTGATGGAAACCCAGTCATCAAAATCCGAAAGAGTGTTAACGGAACACCCATCAAGATCAAAAAGCAGGAGACCCTTTTCCCTAGTGTGGAAATTGGTCCACCACCTGCTAAGATCCATACCGATGTCCCGACGATATCTGTCCACCCACCTGTTGTTCCTAAGGTTGCACCTGAAGGTGCACCTAAATCTGCTCCTGCCGTTCCTACGGAGAACCGAGCACTGAAGAAGAGGAAGTCGGTTGAAGAACCGGCATTCCATCCGCACATTCACAGGAAGCAGAAGATCGTAACCACCAGCGAGGAAAGGGTCCCAAGACCCTTAAAACATGAACACGGTCTTGGTTTGTCCAACCTTGGTGCGACGTGTTACATCAACGTCGTTGTACAGATGCTCGCGCACACGAAGTCCATTCGGGACTACTTTCTCGCTTGTGACTTCGCGAAAACCCCGGCGAACTCGAAGAAGAAGGTGAAGGAGGCTCCAAAGCCTAAGAGCCAGTGTGTCCGAAGAACAAGAGCTTCGCAGAAGACTGCCGAGGTTCTTTTTCCGAAGTTAAAGGGGTAAGTCATATATATTCTTCTCTATCTACATTTGCCAAATTTATACTAACAACGTTTTTTACTTTAGAAAACTCGGAGAAGAACTCGGCAGTCTCGTCCGCGAGCTCTTGTTCGACGAGGACCTCGGTGGTAGAAAGACCGGGGTCGCGTCTGACCAGTTCTGGACCGCGCTCCGCGCAAACCTTGAGGCCGAAAATGGTTCGGCCATGGACCCCAACCTCGTGCAGGACGCCCACGAATTCCTGCTCCTGATCCTGCAGGCCCTGGCAAAGGAAGAGTCACCCGTCGTGGACGGGTATACTCTTCCTGAGATTATCGATAACACCTTCGGAGGTGTGCACTCGACCGTGTTCGAGTGCAACAACTGCCATGAGACCACGAGGCACGAGGACAAGTGCATGGAGCTCGAGGTTCCCATCTGCAGGGTAATTCCTGCAGATGGGAGACTCGAGGACTCCATGCTGTCCGAGCACCTCGAAAACTACACGCAGCCAGAGGAGCAGGAGTGGTCTCCTGACTCCTACGTCTCGGAGTCGGGGGAGAAGAAGCGGGCCTGCCCCAAATGTGGGGTCAACAATGGGCGGAGTATGAGACATTACATCCGACCCAAGGGGGGGAACGTGGTGGTCGAGTTGAAGAGGTTTTTGTGGGAGGAGGGGGAGAACAAGAAGGTCCGGGGACACGTTGGGTTCCCCATGCGGGACCTTGATTTAAAGGTCTGCGCTGGGGAGGGGGGGGAGGTGGGCCACTACGACCTTTACGGCGTGGTGGTCCACCGAGGGGACAAGTCGACGACGGGGCATTACATTGCGTATGCCAAGGAGGAGGGGGGGTGGTTGAGGTTTGACGATTTGAGGGTGACGGGGGTGACGGAGGAGGAGGTGGCCCGTCAGGAGGCGTATATCCTGATGTATGAGAGGAAGGCGGGGGCCTCGGGTGTTTAAACACCCGAGGGGGGCAGAGGGGGGATGTTTTTTTTGGGGGGGCGGCATGGGCCAATATGGTAGGCCCATGCTGCCCCATTAATGTTCTTGTACCATTAGCGAGCGGTTTGGCAGGCGGGGGTATGGGCGCCCCCGTCCTGCACGAATGAATGCCCGAGGTGATCTCGGTGCTTACGAACACTACAGATTTTATCGTAAAAGCGTAAAGTGAATGTTCTCGTATATACACGTAAATTACTATCGATGTGATCGAAAAATATGTACAAAAACTGCACTCAGTGGGCAGGTATACTTCTACAGAGGCTTCGATGTCGTAAAAACAGGTACCTAGAATGCGGTAATAATATCGTGCAGCACCCTATTTCTATGTACGAACCTTCTAGGGCCGTTTAATCTTGCTCGTCCGGCTTTTTATTCGTCCGCATCCCCTTGAATTCAAGCCCACCTGGAGTCATGCTTGCCCATGTCCTCTTTTCCTTTCGATCGAGCGTCTTCTCAACCAAATCATCAAACTCTTGTCTACCCATGGGCTGGTCCTTTGCAACTCGTTTCTCATGTTCGAAGATTTTGAATGTTCTAACTGATTCCTCCCTTCTCGTCTTCCTCGCTGTAGTAGACGCCCTCTTCTCATTCCTAGCCAATCTCCTTCGTTGTAGACGTGTTACCGGTTCGACTTTCTTCTTGGTTTTTAGAGCCGCTCCATCCGGGTCCTGCTTCTCTGCTATCGCTTGTTCAAGGGTGGTTTCATCCTCCAGCCTCATTACGTAGAGTTTGTTCTTTCCGACTTTTATCAGCAAGATATTTTCACTGATTAGGTCTTCTGGGGATAGAATTATCCTCTCGTCCGCTAGTTTGACTTGTCGCAGGTGTGGACCTATAGACACAGCTCCACTTTTTAAGAGAGTTCTAGCCTGGGAGTTACTTGGTGCGGCTCCACTGGCTACTAGTGCTTTCTCTAATGGCATTCCAATGAAATCGCTTGCGAGGACAGGTTCCCAAAAGTGCCTTGCGCTGATGCCCTCGATATCGGACTTTGTTAGGCCTTGTTTCAGCTTTTCCTCCCGCTTCTCTAAGCCATTTACTTCATCGGTTTGTCCAAAGAATATGGCTGTATTTTGAACACATTTATCTGCGACGGGGATACCGTGGATTAGAGCTATGACTTCGTAGGCAAGCTTCTTCTGTGCGGGTCTTCGTTCAGGATGTTCCTTTTGTTCTACCATGATTTCGTTGATTGTGTTTATTGGGAGGAGAGTGAAGTATTTTAACCACTGTTCCATGATATCGTCTGGACGGTTCAAGAGGAATTGGTATAAACTGAACGGAGGGGTTTTATTGGCCGAAATCCAGATATTACCCGCTCCCGTACTTTTTGAGAATTTCTCGCCAGAGCTGGTTGTGAGTAACGGAACGGTTAAGCCGTAGGGTTTCGCCATGTTTTTGATAAGTGAGGGAGTTGGCTGTTCGTCTACCCATGCAGCTTCGTTGACCATTCTGTTGATTAGATCGCAACCGGCGGTGATGTTACCCCATTGATCCGAACCACCAATTTGTAGACGAACACCGAGGTTTGAGAATAAATGCCAGTAATCCATAGCTTGAATCAATTGATACGAGAACTCAGAGAACGAAAGACCGTCTTCGGATTTCAACCTCTCAGACACCGATTTCCTCAACATCATCTCTCCAATACGTGACCTATGTCCCACGATCTGCATGAAATCTATAATACTGACGTTCCTATGCCATTGAAGATTTGAAGTAATATGTCTTCTTCCTATACTTTTTTCTTCGTACCCACGTTCCCGAGCGTAGTTTACGGCGGATTTGAGTAATGAGGAGAGTTGTTGGGTTATGTCTGTTCCGAAGCGGAAAGTACGTTCGCCTAATTGACGGTCTTTCATGCCTGTTCGCTCCGTGAGACGACCGGATGGGTCGCCGATACGGGCGGTGGCGATACCTACTAATAGGGAGATACGGTGACCGTGAAGCATGCAGTGGATCATGGGCATTAGGACCATTAGATGGCCTATGTGCAATGATGAGGCGGTGGCGTCGGCTCCGGCGTAGATGTGGATTACCTCGCCATTTGTGAGTTTGATGAATTCATTACGATTACTACATTGTCGCAAGTATTAGATTATATATATCTTCAAACATGTATATTTTAACTATTAAAGATTGGTAGAGGGATAAAGGCATACCCATGAAACTGGCCCACAAACCCTCTTTCCTCCAAAGTCTCGAGTAACCCCGATGTCGGCTGGGTTATATTCTTCATATCACCAATGCCTTGGTTGATAAACTTCGCCATGACGTCCTTTGAGAAGTTCTTCCTGACCGGCGAGTCTGAGGTATTGACGTTGGTCCTGCATTGTTGCTGGTGCCTTGGACGGTAGGCGTATGTGCTTCGCAACTGGTGTCGTAGGAAGACCAGCGCATTGCGGAAGCGGATTGAATTTGCGGCCTCCATTTTGGGGAGGGGAATTGACGAAAGAGGACGAAGCCTCTGTTACTTGGTTGAGGTTAGGGGTTGTTGTGGAGGAGGGGGTATTGCTGCCGTTACCGGCATGGTGGGGGGGTTTACCATGTATATGGGTATGGATACTCGGTAGGTGTGCGCCTTAAAGGCTTCTAGAAATTTTTGGACGTTTGAAATCCGAAACAGGAATCCGGAAAATGTGTTGTGTGTGCGGTTGAGAGTTAAGCGAGATTAGTCTAGTCCTGATTGGGTAGGATGTTGATTTTTCTTTTGTTGACATCCACAAAAAGTGACAACAACGCAACACATTTGATTCAGCATTCATCGCGCATGCAGGAGCGACTGACCCCCAGTCTCTGTTTCTTGCTGCATCAAAACACACGAAGAAACCATTCCTCCAATTAATCTCCAACCACCATCCAACCTAACCTCATTCTTCCATCTCACTTCACATCACCTCACTCCATCCATCCTTGCATTTCGTCCCATCACCCCTGGACTCTTGCATATCCATCTCGACATCGTCACAAACTTCTTGTTATTCTTATTATCATCACTATTAGCGTCGTCCTTGACTTTACGACTTCGTCGACTTGATTCACGTCCTTGATATCACTCTGGTCTGGTTAGCTGTCATCGCTTTACCTGATAGTAATTCACCAACACCCCGCTGGTTTCTTGAGTATCATTTTTACCCCTCTTGATACCACCACCACCAACCTAACTACGCCTCATCATCTCGACATCGTACTTTTCTACCAACCATCCTCTTCTATCTCAGTTGACACTGTCCTTCTCTCTGACATTCGCCAATTGCTGTTGATATCACCTACCTTCTCGATATCATCTAACCTTCTCGGTCATCGTCTAATCTCTCAGTCTTGACCACCTAACTTTTGAAGTCGCGTCGGTTACCTTTCTTACTTCCTTGTCATTGTCTGTCTCTTCGATATCTCTCTCGACGATCACAAGAATCTTTTCTCTGGCATCATCGCGACGTGTTCAACAACTTTCGACTTTCTGTTACTGTGCTGAGGCTTCCTGTTACCAACCGGTCTATCGAAGTCAATTGGTTAACAAGAATATTTCCGAAAACACGTCCTACGTCACAGGGTCCATCTTTGGACCATCACAAACACACACACAATGAGCTCGAGATACGGAGCCCGCGGTCCGAACCGCAAACCGAATGCCCCAGCTAAAGGTTCTAATAACAATGCTCAGAACCGTCCCCCATCGCGTGCAGCAGGCAATGCCTCCTCTTCTTCATCTTCACGCCCAGCCTACATGAATCCTGCAGTGCAAGCTACAGCACGCCCTGGATCTCCAACCGAGTCGATAGCGACTACTCGCACAAAGAATCCAGATACCCGACACCGTTCGCCTGACGAGACAAACGTTCAAGTTGTTGTGCGTTGCCGAGGCCGAAATGAACGAGAAATTCGAGAAAACAGCGCTGTTATCCTTTCAACACCTGGTGGTCCCCGTGGCAACGAAGTGTTGGTTTCAATGGGTCCTATGAGTTTATCCAACAAAACATACATGTTCGATCGCGTTTTCGGCCCTGAAGCAGATCAAAGTATGATCTATGACGACGTCGTTGCGCCTATCCTTGAAGAAGTGCTTGCCGGTTATAACTGCACTATCTTTGCCTATGGACAAACAGGAACAGGAAAAACATATACAATGACTGGTGATATGAAACCTTACTTCGACACATATTCCGATGGAGCTGGTATTATCCCTCGTGCGTTGCACAATTTGTTCAAACTATTGGATGGAGAATCCGAGCCGATGGTCAAATGTTCTTTCATCGAGCTTTATAATGAAGAACTAAGAGACCTTTTGTCAGCCGATGAGACGATCAAGTTAAAAATGTTTGAAGATTCGTCGAAGAAAGGTGGAGTTGTTATTAATGGTATGGAGGAACGATTTGCACATAATGCAGAAGACGGCGTCAATCTACTACAGGAAGGAAGCAAGAAGAGACAAGTTGCAGCGACTAAATGCAACGACTTGAGCAGTCGTAGCCATACTGTTTTCACGATTATCGTCCAAGTCAAGGACAAGAACCCCGCAGGAGAGGATTTCATGAGAACTGGAAAGTTGAACCTCGTCGACTTGGCAGGTTCCGAGAGTGTTGGAAGATCCGGAGCCGAGAATAAGAGGGCCAAAGAGGCCGGGATGATTAACCAGAGTTTATTGAGCTTGGGAAGAGTTATTACAGCTCTTGTTGAGAAGAACAGCTATATTCCGTACAGGTAAGTTTCATGTTTATAATATATGAAGTCTATATGCGTGATTCTAACGTTATTCTAGAGAGTCGAAGCTCACTCGCTTGCTCCAAGATTCCCTTGGTGGCCGTACGAAGACGTGCATAATCGCCACGGTTTCGCCGGCCAAGGTCAATCTTGAGGAGACGATATCGACCTTGAACTACGCAGCGACTGCGAAGAATATCGAGAACAAGCCGCAGCTCAACCAATTGATGACGAAGCGTGCCGTCATCAAGGAGTACATCACAGAGATCGAGCGCCTGAGGGCCGATCTGAATGCCACGAGGCAAAAGCACGGGGTGTACATGTCGGAGGAGCACTTCCAGCAGCTCAACCGAGAGAACGACACCAGAAAGACCTTGGTGGAGGAGCACGAGAGGAAGATCGCAGTCCTAGAGCAGCAGTTGAGGACTGCTCGCGAAAACTTGGAGAAGAATCTTAAGTCCTTTATGGACTTAAAGAAGGACTACGACGGCCAGACGGTGTCGTTGGAGGAGACCAGGGAGGCTCTGTTTAGTACAGAGACCTCCCTGGTTCTCGCCACTCAGGAGCTCTCGGATGAGCAACTGATCACCAAGGCCTACAAGCTGACCGAGGCCGAGCTCTCCACCAAGGCCAGCAACCTTGCGTCTGTGGCCTCCGCGGCCATTCGCGATGTAGACGGGCTACACGCGAAGGTCGGGAGGCAGGAGGAGCTCCAGGGGCTAAACAAGGCCACCTGGGGCTCCGTCAAACAACAGACGTTTGACGTCACGGGTCTCGTCGAGGGCGAGATCAAAAAGTTCATCGAGGAGCAGGCGAGGCTCCAGGACGGGGTGGCGGCTCGGATGGATTCGTTCATCCAGCTGCAGGGGGACAAGCTCTCGAAGGCTTACTCAAGCCTTGACGAAGGGCTTGAGAAGCTGGAGGTTGCCAGGTCCTCGGCAACCGGAACCGCCCGCGAGGCCGCGGACGAGATGAACCTCGTCCTGGAGGAGATCAAGGTCCTTCGGGACGATGTCAAGGTCAAGGTCGGGGAGGGCATGCGTAGCATGTCCTCCGCCGCGGAGAAAATCGCCGGGGACGTGGTGCGGGAGTTGGAGGGGTTCAAGGAGGAGATGCGCTCCTCCTACATCGGCCTTGGAAGGGATTTCAAGGCGATGTTCGACGCGTGCAGCAAGCACTTGGCTGCACAGACCCAGAAGGCCAACGACCTGAGGCTGGAGGTGGAGGCTGCCAATAAGGCAGCCATCACCGCCCAGGCCTCAGCTGCCGATTCGATCGCCGCCGTTCTGGCCGAGGAGAGCCAGAAAGCTGCCCATGAGAGGCAGCAGCTTGTCGCCCAGATCACACAGCTGGTCACCAAAAACGCCTTGGAGCAGGACAAGCGACTCGCCCAGAGGATGGGGTCGGTCCAGACTGGACTGACGGTCACTAGTGACCGTTTGTCCTCTGCGACCGGCTCCATCTGTGCTGGGATCAATCAGTGGTCCGAGGCAGAGGAGGGTTTCCGGGGGGGGCTTTCTGTCACACGCGACGGAATTAAGAAGAAGTTGCAGACTGACGCTCTCGCCAACGAGAGCAGAGCCAGCGGCATCCAACAGACTGCTAACAGCATCCATGCCGAGACCATACAGTTGGTCAATTCGCAAATGCAATCTGTCGCCGTTAACATGCAAACCCTCGACGAGTTTGTTACCAGGGCCCGCGAGCATAACGAACGACACCATCGTCTCAAGGTGTCGAGCCTGGATTCCGTTGCCGACCAAGTCAAGTCGTCGACGTCGGCTGTTCGTTACAACATTGATGACGTCAAACAGGAAGTGGAGGATATCGGGGCTGATGTTTTGGCCGCCACAGTTAAAGCGAAGAATGCTCTCGACCCCTTCAACAGCTATAGTTCCAGTTTGTTGTCAGGGCTTCGAGGACAGACAGAAGTCTCTGTTTACAGAGATTACGTGCCGACCAACTCTAGCCCGAAGAAGAGATCATACCCATTCGACGACGATCTCCCCAAGACCGCTACTCGTGAACAGATCTTGAACGCGGCACCCGACAGGAATCCAATGAGAGAAGTCACTCCAGAGGCACAGATCTTCAACGCTGCTACTAGTGAGATGACCGCTGCCCGCAACGGGGATAGAGTACCGTTGGCGGATTTGGCTGTTGACTCCAATGTGGCCTTTTTGTCTCTCGCGATTACTGGTGACAAGAAAAAGAAGGCAGCTAAGACTATGGTCAAGAGAGATACACCTGAGCACGAGGATGAAGACGACGACATTGAGGATGTTAGTATGATTCAGATGTCTGTCAAGAAAGGAAAGAAGAAGGCTGAACCCAACGGGCCTAACACGGTTGAGCGATCCGTGAGAAAGCTTAGGAAGAAGAAGCAAGAAAACGAGGAGGAAGAAACAGTCGAAGTGTCTCCCACGAAAAAGACCAATACTAAGGGCGCTGTTGGTTCGGAATCTCCAAAGAAAAAGAGCAAGGTTGTAAGCGAGCCACCAGCCTTGGAGGGTGTTATGAGCCCACCACCAGCGAAAAGAGCTAAGACAAGCAAGATCGGATTGATCTCCCAGCAGAGTGGCAGAAGAAGAGCTAGTTTCTCTGGACCTCCTCCCTCTCTAAGACAAGGTTCTTTAATCCCATCCGCTCCTGGTAGTGCTAGGAAGCCTAAGAATGGAAGACCGCAATCGACTTAATTTGATATAATGGGGTGTCTGGTTTGGAAGGCGTGGTATTTATTGTGGTGGATGTTTACTTTTTCTGGTTTATTTTTTACTTATGGTTTTGTGAAGGCTTTGGAATGTATCACCAGGGCGTTCATGCGGCGTACGGATACGGTATTATCTTCTCTCTCCGCTTTTTATTCATATTTTATCGTTCGCCTTGTATAGAGGGCTTCTTACTACACCGGAGTCACCTACTTTTGTTTCGTTTGAGCGGATAGCGCGGGTTTTGTTCTAGACGATGTATTTTTTTTTTAATGGTATTGTAATATAGCTAGCTGGACAGGAACTTTGGATGGAGGAGCGGATAGGTGGATGGAGCCTCTAAACCGAGTTATTTCGCATGACCGGTTTCGTGAGCACCGTTCCCTTTTTGATTACTACTACTATTATTATTATTTAATGGATGGATAAGGATTAGAGCCGCTGAACCGAGCTATTTAGTATAGCTGGGATCGTGTGCGCTATCCTTTTTGTTCCTGTTCAATCATGATCACTGTGTAATTTTTTGAATATATGTGATATATATCGATATCATAAGATTTTGCGAAGCGTATGTGATCGTATAGTACTACAGTCTTCAAGAGTAGCAGAAGGGCTTGATATTACTATTAATGTCATTCTGTGGTATAACGTTCTTAAATTAAGATATATATACAGAGTAGTTTCTTAGAGTATGTATGCGTGTGGGTATAAAGTTCTTAATTTAAGACGATTATTCCTCCCAAGTTGTAATTAAATGTCGACTCCAACCTCATAATACCCCATAAAGTGTGCCATATGTTAATTAACAACTTCTTGATATACATAATTAAGTGCTAATATGGTCTAAACTTGCCTCTAGGTTGAAAGAACGGTTATAAACTTTGTAAAATAATTCAATGATAAGGCTAAATTATAAATATAAATCTTTTACATTGTCTCGTAAACCAGACCCGGGCACCGGAATGTACCTAGTAAACTAAATTAAATGCTCTTTTGATAGATTTTCGTAGGAACAATGTTACCGTTAAAGTACTATATATAGAAATCAAAATGCTTCTAATGTTAGCCAGCTGTAGATAGTATTGAGAAAAGGTAAAACGATCACGCTCAATATGTAATTGCTTTTAGAAAATACATGCAAACCCATCGCTCTCTCTCGTCGTTCATATTACTTTTTATAGTACCACACGTCAACCATATGTATGTATAAAACCCAATTGATAAATTTGGGATGGTATAGTGCAGTACTAATCCTTCAGGATCAATTCCTTATCCGCCTTCTGAGCCCACTCGGTCCAAGAACCATCATAAACCCTCCTCTTCCCAAGACTCTCCCCAAACCCAGCCTCTTCCAAAGCCAAATCGATAACGGAAGCCGTAACACCAGTTCCACAACTTGTAATCTTTGTCTTCCCATCATCCTTCACTCCTGCCCTTTCGAGTACCTCTCTCAATTTCCCACCATCCAAGAGTTCTCCGTTGCTTCCTAATAAACTGACGAACGGGACGCTGATGGAACCTGGTAAATGACCGCTGGATAATCCGGCGCGAGGTTCTGGGTCTTTCCCTGTGAAACGACCGTTTGGTCTTGCGTCTAGGATTTGAATGTCTTTTGATAGTTTCCCGGTTTGTAAGAAGGATAAATTTTCCTTTGCTAACGCGAGGACTTCATCGAATGCGACTACTCTATCCACCTCAGCCGTAATATTTTCAGGATATTCTTCTTCAGGTGATAATTCCCTTTTCTCATAGTCCAGTATATCTTCCTCCTCCCCTTTGACGACTTCATACCCTTCATTAACATAAACCTTAAAATTATTCAAAACAGAAACCTTCTCATGTCCCATAAGTTTTGCAGTCCAAGCAGCTCTCGGGGCGGCTAATATCCCCTGTTCGTATGAATCGTAAAAGACTAAATGATCTTCCCTTCGGATTTTTAACCTTCTCATCGCTTCTACGAATACCTTTGTCGGTGGTAACATGTGCGGGAGGTTTATGGCGTGGTTTTTGACTTCGTCGATGTCGAAGAAACGGGAGTGAGGGATTCGTAGGAGTTTGTGGGATGCGGCTCCTGTACGTCTTTGGGGATCGTTGGGGAGGAACCAGGTTGCGTTTATGGGGATTAGTTGGGGGAGAGGGGAGAGGTAGGAGGGGGATTTGAGGAGGAGGGGTTTTAGGAGAGATGGGGGGAGGAGGCGGAGGGCCATCTTTTTTTTTTTTTAGAGAGAAGGATGGTGTATTAGGCGCTTTGTTAGTGGTTGTAGAGGTTGAGGATGATGATGCTGATTGTGGTGATGGTCTTGGAGAACAATTGGTTGGTGTGGAGATGGGATGATAGCTGGGTCGACGACCTCGACCGGAAGGGTTTTTAATAGATGACCGTCCTCGAGTAGCAACTCACCGGAACGGAAAGTTGGCAAGACAGATGAATAGCCTGGCACAGTTTGGAGATACGACCATCCGCTCGGTATCTCAGGACGTTGAGAAAGGGAGTAAGATATCCCGTTGCTTGGTGATGCCCTGGGGGGGAAAGTACTTTTCCTGAAGTTACAAGGAGTGCCGGGTAGGTTACGGAGTACAAGGGACTTGAATCAGTTCGATACAAAGGGAGTAGGATGTAGCTACCCGACGGATGGGCACACCTGCAAAGAAAGCTCGAAAGCTACCACCAGTCTATTCGCAATATCATAACTAAGTACTATTTGCAACTTCTAAACCAACCAATTAAATCTCCATATCCCCCCTCCATATATGCCCCCCTCTACAAAGTTACCCTAAATATTGCAAATCCCATCGCCGACCCCGGAGCAAAGCAAAAAAAAAAATTGTAGTACCCTGTCCAATCTGCATGACGACATTTCAAGGACCGGACGGATGACAATAATAATATAATAATCAGAGTGTTGTCGCGTGCGTTGGATCCCCGATCCACGATCCCGATCCAACTAATTAAGCAAAAGCCAACCAGGTACCGTGCAACCCGGGTTTGGCACCTGCTTGACAGGGCAAAAAAACATGTACAAGACCCACCTAGGCCTACCCACCCACGCATACCCGCGTTCCGCTGCTAGTTGATCTAGGCCGTATACACTCTAGCACCGTCTTCGACTACTGGTCGGGTAAACACCTAACTTTCATTATCCGGTATCAATATTCATACTAGTTAACAATTGGTAATTGATCGTGTAGGTATGTATACTTGAGCTTGTATAGGCTTACTCGGGTAGGTGGTCCTGAAGCTCATCGATCTTAGCTTCGGAAGGGGGGGGGGGAAATAGTAGGAGAATTATAAAAACCATTATGACTTTTCACAGTGGATATATGTGTGAAAAACTTGGGAGAATAAAAGGATTTTCAAGAGAAGAAATGAAAGAAGGAAAGAGAGAAAGGTAAAGAATTATTAACAGTGAGAATTGAATGGGGTGAAAATGCTTTATCGCCTCTTCAATCAGAAAATAGTAGATACACATTAAACAATAATCGTCGGAAACACTAAACAGCTCAGACAAGATGTATCCTTGGTCCTGGGTCAAGAGAAAAAAAAGAAATGAAAAGAAAAAGGAAAAGGAAAAGAAAGAAGAAAATAATTTAAGCTTGACCCTTCATTGTGCAATCCCGCTTCTAAAAATGCTTTCTTAATGCAAAAGTAATCCTCGAGAACGCCATCGCAGAAACCCTCAACGCCGCGAAAATGCAACAGATAAAAACGGTACCGGAGGAATGGGGTAAAAACAGTGGAAAGAGGAGGAAGCATTGCAAAGGGATAAAGTAAATAAGTATGTATAATAATGGAAGAAAGAGGAAAACGCAAAGAGCAGAAATAAAATAAAAAAGTAACGGAACTATTGCCTACTAGCACGGAGTTGCTGTTGCTTATCCCTCACCCAGTGCATCATATTAAACGCTGTTCCGTCGATCTTCGTAAGGTCATCCGGCGAAAATTCTAGGCCTTTCATCTCCTCCAAAAGAGAATCAAGCTTTCCTAAGAAGCTCGCCGTAGGGTCTTCATTCGTGACTACAACTTGGAAATCAGGCGCCGGTTCTGGGGTTATTGATTTTCTGGACGGTGAAGTTTGGACGTTGAGTACTATCTCATCTCCAAGCTCCTGCACAGAGGTAAGCGAAAGGTTAGGGTCGGGTCGACCTCTCCCCCTCCTTGATGGCTGGCTGTCGGGAACGCTAAGAGATGACGCAGCCGATGGTGGTCGCCCTCGGCGCGCGGGTGGGCCGCCAGGCAAGCCAGCGGGCCCAGTTTTCTTCTTCTCCGACTTGTTGCTGCCGCCGTTCATCTGCCTCGGCGGTGTCGTTCCGGTGTTGGCCGTCGCAGCTTCCTGCACGCCTTTTAGCTTCTGTCTTAGCTGATTGTATCTTCGCTCCTAAATTTTGAATGGGGAACTTACCAGTTGACCCAGCAGCTGATTTGCTGTGCGTCGATCTTCGAGTACGGTGGGGAAGTTGTCGGATTGGGGTAACTAGAGAGACATTTCCGGTAGCTGCCTTTGCTTTTTTAGCAGGAGGAGGTGGAACTTCATCCTCCTCCTTGGCGGCAGGAACTGCTAATGCCTCTACGGGCTCTTCCACTGGAGCGACACAATCAACCATCTCATGGTCGGAGTCTTGCGTGGGAGGAACGATCGGTTGACCCTTGCTCCTCTTTCGCTTGTGGCCTTTGGTCTGACTTGATGTTGGCGTTGGGTCTAGTGATTCCGCTGCGGGGCTCCTTGGTTCCCTGGACGGTTGACTGTCGGGGATCGAACTGACTGACTCAAGTTCGGATTCGTCGATGTCTTCTTCCGCCTGCTCGGCTGCTTCGTTTTCTAGGGCCGGAGTTTCCGCTCCTTCCTCCCCTTCCCCCTCCTCCCCCTCTTCTTCCTCCTCTTCCGCTACAGCTGGGGCTGGCTCAGTCATATCCTCATCCATCTGGCTGTTGAGATGGACAGAAATATCCTCAACCGGTGATGGCTCCTTTTCTTCCTCCACGGTTGGTTCAATGATCACCCCTTCCACTCGCCCATATTCCTGAAGTTGGAGCGCAATCGCTTCACTCGGGCTCTTAGGAGCATCCTTAGCCACCTCTGTCAGGTTTGGCGGAAGTTCTCCTTCTTGAATACGAAGCTTAGATCCTTGTGATAGTTCGACTTTTCTAGGATCAACAGTTTCAATCTTCTCGTTGTCCCCAAGATCAATGGTACCGACTTCGCCCGCCTCCTGGGCGTTAACCGGCGCCAACGGTGGCGAGGAAGGGATGTCTTCTAGTAAAGGTACAAAAGGATCTCGAGAAACTCTGGCCGTTGGAGAGGAAGGTAGATCATCAGATGTTGGAAAGTGAACTTCCCGATCAATCAACGCCGCGAACTTACTGCCGATTGGGATCGTTGGCAGACCAGGTGAAGATGACATAGAACGGTCGAATGCGGGAGACGAGGTAACATCGCTCATGGGGTTCGGTATCCTAAGATCGAGCTTGAGCGGTAGGCTTGAGTGACTGGCATTTGTTTTGTCATGTTTTGATGGGGATCCGGAATTAAGATCCCTGAACAAATCGGCCTCCCTTGCCTGCCTGTCTCTAACTTCCTTCTGACGGTCAGTCATCAATTGAGATTCCATCGCATCCGGGTCATCGTTTTCGTCAGCATAAATCGTTTTGTATTCAACTTGGGAATCCATATGTCGAAGCTTGACATGGTTTTGCTTGCTGGGATTTGATGAAGCTTTGGAAGACTTGGCGGAAACGGGCACTTGTAAGTCACGATAAAACAGTGGCGATGCTGCGGCTTTAGGAGGACTCGATAAAACATGCTGCGCAAAATCTGAAGTCTGAGTATCCAAGAAAGCTGGTGGTGGAGCGTGAGCTTCATCTTCTAAGGAGTCTGGGAACGTTGGAAGCTTTATATCCGCGTAATAGCGAATCTTACTGAGAGCTTTCCGAACCCTTGATGGATACTCCAGATTTTCTTGGTTGCCGAACGTTTTGTTCCAGAAGTTGATTGTGGTAACAACATTCATCTTATGCTTGCTTTCAAACCCAGCAGCTATCAAGTGAGAAAACGTTTTGAGGGCATTGGAATCGAAGCACTCGGTCCGCTTTAGGCCTTCGCACACGGCCTTCAGAAGCTCCTGCATCGGTTCGATGATATTCTTGTCCGCTGGTGCCTCACATGATAACCAAAGAGAAAAGCCGTCCTGCATCCTCGAAACCATATGGGCCACCGATTCTTTGGGTAGCCTTTCCGTAACCTCTCGCATGCAATCGAAAAACTCAATAATATCGGTGTTCCCTTGCTCGCTGAGGTCCACTTGGGAAAGCTCGATGGTTCTCCAAAATGCTTGTCCCATAACTTCAAAAAAAGTTGTATAGGGTCTGCCATAACCATTAGTCACGATGCGTGGCTCCAGGATAGTCATGAATCTTACATTTGGGTATGCTTCTTTGCTTGGTCGCCGAACAAGGACTTGTACACTCGATCGTACTGAACAGTAGTGGCGGGGTACTGGATGCTAGAGGCTAGCGTATTGATGTAGTGGAGAGTGTCCGTTCTGTAAAGATATCAGAGTCTGTTATCAAAATTTAGGACGGGTGAAGAAGTACTTACGACTCAGCATCAATTTTGGGTAGCCTCATATTCTCTGAAAGAGGATCAATGAGAGCTGGGCCAAGGTATGCAATCCCGTTTTCTTGCTGAACCGTCTCATACACGGTGTGGTAAAGCTTCTTCCAGAAAACGAATTGTTCAGGCCCACAGAACCTAGAATGCACTGGTTAGTCAAACCCCGGGCAGTGTAAAATATCTGGGAGGCTTACTGATAGCCCCATTCGAGAATCGTCCGAACATCACGGATTTCTGGCCCATTGACGAGCCCACCCGCAGACATGGTATCCCTCTCTTTCCGTGGGACGACACGATCGCAGATGTTTGCTAGAATGGTCCATGCCGTTAGATGGATCTGGCTTATGTCCTGAGTCGGGAGGATGGCGATTCCTTGAGCGAGCAGTGAGAGCTTTTTCCTTCGAGAGTCTTGTGCTTCGACACATGTTGATAAAATGTTGGAGATGGGCCTTGCATAATTCTCACCGATTTTTGCACCCTTGAAAGGGTCTATGAAAAGTCGGAAGAGATGCCAGATAGGTTGATGTTGGACAACATGATTTGAGCCAGAGGAGAACTTTCCGGATGGGGTTGATATAGCTAGGAAGCTTTCAGTGCCATCTTCGGCCAACCATTTCTCTGTGAAGCAGGCGGTTCCTAGCTCTTGGATAGCAAGTTGGACTAAAATGACAAAATGGGTCAAAAATTGGCCATCCTCGTGGAGGGTTGGCCCCTTTCCCCGGAAGCCATCGGTCCACAAGCGTTTGAGAAAGCCTAAAAGACTAGCTACAAATTCCATCATCTCAGCCGAGATACGAATTTCTTTTTTAGCTGCTTCAGCAATGGCTGCCATCAACTTCTTCCAGATCGCTAGATGAGGAATCTCGTTGTCTTTTTTGGTCTTGAGGCAGCTCCTTACAGCAACCTCGAGAGTTTTGAAAATCATTGTGCTATTTGCGCGAATCCATTTTGGATCCAATCTTGGGACCTCATCGGCAGCAATGTATGTTCCTTCAAGAACCCGATTCTCGGACCATTTCGTGCTTCCCCCAAACAGGGCGCTCAGTATATTACACCCGTTGATCAAAAAGGTATTTGATTTTAGGAGATACTTGGCAACCACACCCTCCACTAATGTTTCCCAGAAATGCTCCAGTTGCTTAAAATTAGCCCCTGGTCGGCAACTGTAGTAGAGCATTGTGTGTATATTCGTAATGGCAGCTTTCTTTGCATGCTTCGTGTGCCGTGATCCTTTGTTTTCGTCTATGTAGCCAATGATAGGGCGTAGCAGGAGGTCGATGTTCTTTCTCGAGGTATTCATGTTGATATCGAATACGAATATGAGCTTGGCCCAGGCGATCTGGGCAAAAACATTTAAGTTTTGCTCTGAAGAGTTCAGGCATTTCGACATAATACCAAGGAAAGGACTGAAATTCTCCCAGCGATCTATCGGTATGGTGAGCCCCCGAAGTAGCGAAATTGTAATTCCCCATATCTGTGGAACAAAAACAGCTTCGGTCTTTGTTTCAAGCATTTTCTCGAGTCGGTTTTGAATAAAATTCCTTTTCCTACTTTCCTCTAGCTGGGACCGAGTCGGTGTGCCGGTTTGAGGTTTAGTTGGTGTGCCAGTTTGTGTGCCTTTCTGCGAGTTCATTTGTGAATCGATATCCTTTTTGGTTGGAAATAGTCTCATGACCGCTCTAGCTATTTGCTTCTCTCCTCCTAGTTCTCTTTCTGCCTCTTGCGCAATCGTTAGGGCTCGCGTCCGTATCGGTGTAGCCGTACTTATCAGCCCTTGAAACACATGGTCGATCCATAATTCCGCATTCTGGACCATCGCACCCTTTGCTTGTGACAGGAGCTTGGCGTAAAGGCTCAATCGCTCGAGGTCGATGCTATTGCCCTTCTGCTTCTCCTTTAACGCACTGGACACCTGCAAAATCCGTGTAACCTTTTCCGTCGTCATAATTCTTGGGGAAAACTTTTGCTGACTGAGGAAATACATATAGTTCGTCGAAAGTGCCTTAGAAGTTCCCTGATCTAGAATGTCAATCGCAAAATTGAGGAAGTAGTTTATGTCTTCGTCCGGTATTAATGTAACGGTTTCTGGTAGGTAGGAGAAAATGATCAAGACCTTGCAGGCCTGTCGGATTAAAGTCGTATCCGGAGTTCCAACGTCCGGTATCATTGCATTAAAGTCCCTTCTGATGAAGCTTAAGATCAGATCGAGCTTGTCAGCTAGTAGCTTTACATCCGGTACGCCATCGTATGCACGTAAGGTAGTAGCAAAGGCACCGTAGGTCTCAGATTTCTTAGTTCGGTCGGACGAAGCCAATATTTGAACTATAGACTCAAGCAATTCGCCGAAAGGGGTGTTCGTATCTGCCATGGGATTATCCGGGTCAAGGCCTTCTATCTGTTCTGTTATCAAAATTATTGACTTTTCGAAAGGTTTAAGAATTGGCTTGACAGGCCGGGAGGATTTCGCAGAAAGGCATATGGATTTTATTGGCGGATATTTGGCATTTTCTGTATCGTACTTCCAGGGCTGATGCCAGTTGATGTATGGTGAGAAATTGACGCGACGGTCCTGGCCGGCTGGAGCAGTTTCAGCGGATGATGTGGGTGTCTCGTCTATATAACTTGATGATGCCGTTGTGACGGTTCCGTTTGTGATGATTTCTGTATGTTTTGGAGGGGTAGGGGGTCGAGCGACGACGTTGTCGAGTCCATTGGAATTCGCGTCCTCATCCTCCATTGTGACGTCCATGGAAGGCGAGGGCGGTGGTCGCGACTCGGATATCGAAGGTGTGGTCATCGTAGATGGTAATGTGAAGCCTTCGGGAGGCAGAAGACCGAATGATACGATCGAGGTGGTGAAGATCGAAGGAGAAGAGGAGAAAGCTGTGGGTTGAGAACTTGCTCAGGCTTCCATAACAACAGGGACGTGAATATCAATTTCAAAACCAAGACGCTACAAACGATTCCGATGCCTTAAACGAACAAAAAAAGGGGGAAACTTGAAAGACAATATAACTTGGACGACAGGTAAATACGACGAGGCGAAATGAAGTGAAGTGAGATGAAGTGAAGTGAAGTGAAGTGAAGGACTGAACAAAAGATACAGAAGATTACGGAAATTGAGGTGGGCGGAAATCGAATGGGATCTGGAATGAGAGTTTAGACTGGTTGTCCACGGGAAAGTCAGAGTAAGTATAAGCGGTCGCCGAAAAAAAAACACTTTACGCGTGCCTCCTCTCCTGAAACTCGAACATGCTTGACCGTGTTACCACCAATGATAGTGCGGGAACCAGATCCTGGATAAGCTTTACGTCGTGTTCGCGCAAACGTTCAGGCGCCAATGTGCAACAGCATGCTTTTGATCGGGCTGATATGTGGGGACCCGTCATGATCATGGTGGGGGGGACCATAAATAACCTCGTCGCACTTTGACACATTATATTCGAATTGGCACTTCCTTCGTGTATTGGAACACAACTTTGCAATCGCAATGGCTATGAGCGCCGGCTTAAACCCGAAAGATATCAATTCCGCATAGTCCCGTGATATATGATAGCTAAATGCAACAAGCAACGCATATGTCCAGTTATGTTGAAGAGCATCATAGAAACTACTGGCCTTAAGCAAGCTTAAAAGCTGATATTTAATACGTATACTACCTATAATAGCTAACCAATTAATTTAGAGTGTGCATCCAAGACCGCGAGTTTCCCTGCCAAGTGCTGCTGTGATAGTCCTCAGGCACAGTGACGCCACGAAATATACTTCCTGATATCATTGGCTCGATACTGGATGTCTCAATCTAGAATATAAGCATGAGATAAAGATTAGATTAGACAATAACGTGGCATGATATTACCTAGGTATTTACTTCTTACTCATAGCCTATAAAAGTCAATCGCTCTAGCTACACATTGGGCGAGAATACAAGACTCAAGCTTTAGGTGTAGCCTCGGTGACCCTTCTTGTGTTGGCAAATGTGTTGTGGATACGGCCAAAGCGATCCTTGTGTTGCGTGAGTGTAACATCATCAACTTGGGATTCAAACCTTTCCATCGCACCTCAACCTCCTCCGCTCTCAAGTCCCAGCGCCATCACCCGACAATCCTGCCGAGCGTATCTCCAGCGTCAAACCCAGGACCATTGATGTTACGAAACCTCCATCGATAAGGGCCTTCCCTGGATCTCGGAAGTGAGATGGCCGACACCAAGAGAAAGCGCTCCCTGCGCGAGTCCACAACTCGAAGCACAGCCAAACGTCAAGAGGCAGCCAAAGGAGTTCCTGCTAAGAGCGAAACTCCAGTTGAGCCCTCACGACCAGCGACACCTGAACCTGAGGTTGAAGAAGTTCCCACCAGTTTTGAGGCCCACGGGCCGCTACCAACTTCGAGTCAACTTCAAGAGCCGGAGGCACTCCCTGGTAAAGAATGGAAGTCGATTTCTGAAAGGTAAGGGCCAATTGGGGAGCCAAAATATAGATGTATTTTTTTTTGGCGAAACCTGATTTGAGAGAAATGTATCGACGTAGAGAAAATGATATATGCTAACTAAGATAACTGCTCTTGTCATATAGTGCCGTCCTACAAACGGCCTTCGATCGATCTCGAGATGTCTGGCTCTCCGGAAAGATGTTCGACCGATATTGGACGAAGCCCACCAAGAGGAAGGTGGTTGACCTATCGAACCCTCCAAAAGATTCCATGGTAAAGATTGGCGAATGCATGATAAGCATCCACCCGCATGTTTTCGAAGCCAAGCTTTACACTGTTAGGGATAGGGAGAAAGAACGGCAACGGGACCTCGAGTTTTTACATCAACAAGATCAATACCAAGCCCAGTTGGCCCAGATGCCAAAGGTTCCTGTTACGAAGCCATTGATTGCGAAACCCACTCCAACAAAAGTCGCCATCCCACAGTCGGTTGCGGCCGACCAATCCAATCTGAATGGCCAAAAGCCTGGCCATCCTGGTAGCCCCCGAAATCCTAACGAGTCTGGCCATTTAGCTTGGAGAGTTGATCCTAAGGGGAGCGGACAAGCCAATGGGAATGGACATTCACGGCCGGTGCAAACTGGTGTTTCTGGGTCTCCTACCAATGGTTCGCCTCCACCACCCCTCTCAACGGCGAGACCATCACAGAGTAACTCAGGTCCTGATCCCGTAATCCAATTACTGGCAACCCGTGCCTCGAATGACCCTAACCTTAAGGCTTTGATGAGAGTCGTGGCCGCCGGTCAAGCCAACAAAGAGCAATTAGCAGCCTTCCAGGCTCATATTGATGAACTAACCCCGTTAGCTCGTGCGAGTGCTGCTGCGAAGGCCCAAAGGGCTGCTCTTGGGCCTCCAACCCCATCGAGCACCCCTCAAAGCCCCTCTGCCTCTTCTCCTACCACTGGGGCCCAAACTGCACCTAGACCTACGTACCAACCTATTCAACCGGCTGGGCCAGTCCCGGCTCGATCGCCCGAAAATGGTCAAACAGTAATTCCAAGGCAGACCGTAACGGTCCTACCCAAGCCTAAACAGCTAAGCGTCGCAGACCGCAAGCACCTAGATATCAAAGATGTCGTATTTGAATTTAGTATCGCCACTATTGGTGATCGATACTACATTCCTCGCAAATCCATCCTAGAATATCGTCAGAAGGGCACGCAACTGCTTGTATCGTATCTCTATATTTCAGAGGTCGATAAAACTTTCCAGCCGATAACAATAACCATCAACGCTCCCACTCCTAGAACCTTAGAACCCATCTCGAGAGTAGTTGAACCTAAAGAAACAGTCCAAGCTTACATGAAAGATATTATGTCAAGATACAGCCGTGCTAATCACGGGTATCTTCTCATGCGTCTCAAGCGGGACGAGGCAGAAATCCTTGCAGCTCAAGAAGCCGAAGCAAGAAGACTCAAGGAGGAAGAAGAAATCAAGAAACGATTAGCCAAAGCGGCTACCGAGGCAGCCGCCGCAGAAGAGATGATGTACAAGGATCTTCTTAAGAGGGAGATTCCAAAGCCTGCTACATCGATTGTCAAATCAAAGAAAAAATCGGTAAGTACCCTTCGGGCGTCCCGTGTAGGGAAATCCCGTTCTTCCCTGTTACGTCGATAGTGGGCCCCGTAACAAGGTTCCTAAGCACCTATTCCTTGTATATACACCATCTCAACCACGCCAAAACGCACTAAAAGCACCCTTCCTTTATTATCTTTTTTTATTATTTCTTGGCGTAGATGCAAGTCGATGCAGATTATTCTGCTTTCTGAGGAGGTTTCGACTAGCATCTTTATTTCATTGGCTACTTCGATATACCTACCCTTGAGATTTGTGGTGGAAAAAAATTTTCACCACATTTGTTGAGTTGCATGACAGAGAACCCCACCACCATCCCACATTTTTCTCCCACTTCCAACTCTAATTACCCCACCAATTCTCATCGCCTACATACATGAACAATGCATAGACCCTTGGTAGGACTAGGCCGACGCTAATTAAACCTTTTCCCATTCTAGCATTTAACCCTTGACGACGGCGTCATCGCGCTTGATTTGCCAAAACCGAAACTTAAGACGAAATATTCGCGCAAAGGGCGTATTGCAGACCCCAGCAAGAACTGTCATCTCTGTGGCACAAACAAAACTAGTCTATGGCGTCGTGCCGAGATCGATGGAGAGACTGTCGTTGTTTGCAACGCCTGTGGTATCAAATGGAAGACGAATCAAGACAAGAAGGAGAGAGGAGAAACTCCATTGGAATATGGACCTAAGATGGTCAGGATTAAGAAGGAGGGGGCAATCAGAACGGGAAAGACTGCTGTTAAGACTGGTAGATTGATGCAAGCAATGATGGAATCGGTTATTCGAGTTGAACCGGGGGAGCTGTCTGATACGATTGTTCTATCAGGAATGCATCAATTGACACCGGAAGCCTCTACTCAACATCCACAAACAACCCCGGTGGAGGTCATGGTTCAGGACCAGGAAACGACTTAGGACTAGGAAATGACCGACCAGTAACACCCTCTTAGATTGAATTTCTGCAGACAAAAAAGGCTGACTAATACGTATTATCCCTTCGTCGGGCTGCGATGCTTTATGGTGTTTCCGGTGTTTGTTTTTCGTACTCTATCATTTTTAGCAACATAGATCTGTTGATTGTCTTTTTTTTTTTTTTTCCCTTCCTTTCTTTTTTTTATTTTGATTCGAGCACTTCTGGAGTCCACCAGGGAGATCAAGGTGTTAATTTGTTAAGCCGGCAATAAGGTGTTGAGGGGAATCAGGTCTGGTTTGAAAGTTGCTTAGAGAATGGAAATGCTCATTATGATTTAATCGATTTACTTAGTACCTATCGCCTATTTAGGGATACAAATAAGCCTTTGAAGCTAATAGGTCCAAACGCTAGAAGGTCTGCTAATATTAGGTACTCAAGTGCCACATGTCAACGTTTTTCCCATATCATTATATTACTATATCACTTTTAAAAATTATTTTATTACATCTTTTCGTCGGTGGTTAAACAATAAAGAACCCTTTGAGCCCTTAAGCCTTCTGATAATCGATGTGCCCTGGACCAGGTTGTCTTTCCAAAGCACGTTGTATATCAGCAATTGTGGATTGGAAATTATGGTGATGCAGACTTCCTCCAGTCTGGTGTGTGTGTTGATGCTGTGGTTTTTGTTCCGCCAATACCTTATGTTGCCACGAGGCGCTCAAGGCTGCGCGATTGTCGACGAGTCGCATGTATTTTATTTCTACAAGACTGGGTATCTAGATTCTAAATTAATTCGATCTCGCACACACTGCCGATATATTTCTGCTAGGCATCCTCTAGCCCAGTTAGTTTCCCACGATTCCAAGGGATGGGTTACAAGAGGGCTGCCATGCGAAGAGTTGCGGAGCACCCTACTGTGCAACTGTGTAAGTTATGTCTCCACTTTAGAATCAACATCTCGACTGGTTGTAGGTGCAGTCTGTTTTCAGGCATTGGATTAAAATAAAGTTTACGCCCCCCCTTCTTTCTTGTTAGTTCGCGTGCAACTAGTAGCTTGAGCTTACCAAAATTTCATGATAGTTACCCACTTTTCCGTGATAACTATTCAAATACGAACTAGAGCTCTCGAAAATCGGGCTTGGAAGCGGAGCCTTAACTAGCTTGGACGGCAAAGGCCTCTCTCTCGCCTAGCGGAAACGGGTCCGCAAGAACCTAGCGTCATAGCTAGAACTTTATCTATAACAGATAAACAAATCATCATGGAAGGATGAGGGGAGCCCGCGAATTACTGGATAGAGTATAGTCTCTTTATAACCCGGGACCCGATATATATACTAATGCAGGTCTGGTGCATATATGCACACTTTTTGTGGGGAATATACATACCTTTGGGAATAGTACTGCTTCTTGCATATCATTAAGTTTAGCTTGGCTGGCGTATGATTATGGGAATTCAAGAAAACTATTCCGTTATCCGGTGATAAGGGGAGAAAGCCCATGAGGGGAAAGGGATCTGGAAGGGTTGCATTTCCTTCGAGACGAAGTGGAGTTAGGATACGAATGAAAGCCGATATCGCGACGACCTATAGGAAGAGGAGGGCATATGGGATCTATAAAGACCCTGCATAACCCCCCCTCCTTACCAGCCTGGCTTTCTGATCAGTTCTTCAAGTACAAGGTTCTTGAAGTAGTCAGTTCGTACTGTCTATCATCATGAAATCATCCTTCCTCCTATCCGTCTTGTCCATCGTTAGTGGCCTTGTCGAGGCAGGACCGACACACTCTCCGAAGGCCTATATTCGTAATGGAACTGTCACTGGGGTCTATAACCGTCAGTGGCACCAGGATTTCTTCCTAGGCATTCCATATGCGGAACCTCCTACCGGCAATAGGCGATTTCGACCACCGGAGTATATCAAAACGAAGAAGAACTTTCAGGCAACTACACGTGGTAAATTTTGCTGGGGGTATAGAGTATGTACTTTTCCATTTACGCTTATAACTTAATCTGCACGCCTTCATACATATGCATTCTGGCATAATCGAGTCTTGAGTAAATTATAAAAGACGCAGGCCTTTGAATAATTGTCTTCCAGTCTTAAGATCTTATGCCTAGTTTATCATAACCACAAGAGTTCAACAAATTTATAGCGTATATTGATAACTGTTTTAATACATAGGGCGACCAATGGGAATACCCACAGTCCGAGGATTGCTTGACACTTAATGTTATCCGTCCCGCTGGGATACACCCTAGCCGAAAACTCCCCGTTGCAATCTTCATCCACGGCGGAGGTTTCACAATTGGATCTGCTCATGACCCTCGCTATAATATGACCTTCCTCGTAGACCAATCTGTCAAAGAGGGGACTCCTATCATAGGCATTGGTATCAATTACCGCCTTGGAGCTCTCGGTTGGATTGCGAGTCGACAGGTTGCTGGCACCAAGAACCTTAACTTGGGTCTTAAAGATCAAAGAGTCGCTATGCAATGGGTTCAAGAAAATATCAGAGCATTTGGCGGTGATCCTCGAAAGGTTAGTATAGAGTGGTTGTTATGGAGATGTAGTGGATTGGGTTCATTAACTAATTCGCTCTTGAAAGGTTACGTTATTTGGTGCATCTGCTGGTGCTTTATCCATTGGCCTCCACCAGCTTGCATATAACGGACGTGATGACAAGCTATTCAGTGGAGTAATGATGATCTCAGGTTCACCTATCTTTTTCCGTCCTTCGCCATTCCCGGAAACTTTCCAGGCGAATTATGAGTACCTTATCACACAGACGGGATGTGAAAACCGTACAGATAGTTTACAATGTCTCCGAGAAAGACCAATTGGACAACTGAACCTGGCGATAAATACTACGTTGGGACAGTTTACGACTGCTGTTGTAGACGGAGAAATGGTGGCTGGAATACCCAGTCAGAATTTGAAGCATGGTAGATTTGTAAAGGTGCCATCGATGGTTGCGAGTTCGACGGATGAGGGGGCGGGATATGCAAGGATGGTACAGAGGTATGATACTGACGCGCAAGTCAGGGCCTATGTTGGTAAGTTCTTATATACAGTGGTACTACTCTTGCATCGATCTCAGATGCATCTAAAAGTAACAACAGACTAATATCAAAGTTAAATTATATATAGAGGGATACACTCAGTACAAACCACAGATGATCGACCGTCTAATGGAGCTCTACCCCAGCACGATCTCCATCCCTGACGCCGACAACTTCACGCAGCCTGACGCCGGTACTCAACAATACGGCAACCAATATCACCGTCTCGCCGCGATTCTCGGTGATATCTGGTTCATCGCTGGAAAAAGATACTATGCTCGACAACTAGCAGCTCATAACGTCCCAGTTTGGTCTGTGCGTACCCGTGTCGTTCCTAATGGATACCCAGACTGGCTTGGTTCCGTACACTCCACATCGTTGCCATTTATGTTTTATAACTTGAATACGACGAGTTTCGACATTGGCGCTGGAGTGGTGAAGGTTGTTCCGGACCCTATGGGTGGACCGAACGCTCAAGGGTTTAAGGATCTTGCGAACTTCAGTAGTCGAAGTCTTGTTAGATTCTTTGCGCGTGGAGATCCTGCGGCTGGTAGAAAACCCAACGATGTGAACTGGGTTAAATATGGGCACGGGGGTGGCAAAAATCAAATTGTTTGGGATATTGGGCCAGGTGGGGTTTATATTGAACAGGATACATTCAGGGAGCATGGTATCAAACACATGATGGATCACTTCTTGCAAAGTAGTTTTTAATATAGTTAAGCAGCTGATGTAGTTGTATTATGTATTCTCTTCTCTGTAATAGCTAAATCGAACGACCGGACAGGGTAAAATATATCTTAGGTTACGCCTCAAAATAAACTCAAAAATGGATATTCAAAAGCAAGATTACTAAGTTGATAAAAATGCTTAAATAAGAAACCAAGATACCGAAATCATACAGCAGAATTTGAAATGAGCGACTCGAACAATAAATAATAACAATCAGGTGTAAGTTTAACTCAAAATCGCAAGTACCGTGCGCCAAATCTATGCATAATTCTTCCCTTTGCCCTGCTTACATATTAGTATTTTGTTGTCCAAGACTCTTTCTCCTAGTTGTTCAAAAGAACACCAAACACCTGACCTCGATACTTTGTCTCAATGGGGCGTCCACTGGAGTATTAGGATCTTCAAAGGCTGTGTGTGGTGTCAACAACGCCACTCCACTGTCTTCCTTTAACCCTTCGGTATCGAAACACTTGATAAAGAGAATCTCGTCGACCGTCATATCTTTCACGTAGTACCATTCGTGGTCAGGATTGTGAGCTATAGAGTATGTCTCGCCATTCGGAGTCGGTGGTGGGTAAACCAATGTTGTGGCGAGCAAATCCTTTGGTTTTATAGATTTATAGGAACCGACGGCAAGTGGATGATCGGACGCAGTGTTTTGAATTGGGCGCCAAACGTTAATAAGCTGGAAGCGATTCTTCAGCAGCTCTTCTGCACGATCGCCCAGATGTCTTCTAACACGGTTGTATGCTGCGCTAGTTGTTTGATCGACGTGGACACGGGCGACAGGTTGCCGGGTTGAAGGGGTGTCGTCTACAACTTCGGGTGAGCGACGACGGATGGTGTGGTCGAAGATGAAGACTTCTTTTGCGCCGGTAGCCTTTAGTAAGGCAGCACGGATTTCGTCATAATACTCGGATTGAACCTTATCTTCGTCAAGGAAGTTTTTGTGGTTTTGAGAGAATGGAGACGGGACGGTTTGAACGTCAAAGCCAGTTACGTCGAGACCGATTGGGGTCGAAGTTGTACGGATATTGTTGATTTTGACATTGACAGGGTTCAGGCCGATGTTAGTTTCCCGAACTCCGGATGCCGAAGCGTTGATATTGGTGTAAGGTTTAGACCCATCGGTAGGTGGAGTAGTATAGAAGAGGGTTCCAGTGGTGGAATGGTCCAAAAGAGCTGCTGGGGACATTTTTATATGACCTGTTAACGTCTGTAGTCGTCTTGTTCCTGAGAAGTTTGAAGAATAGAAAGTGTTGGAAATTGTGGTATTTTTTTGGAGGGCTTGTCGGGAAAATGTGCTGGGGAAGTTGAAGAAATGGCTTGAATTTAAAAAGGTCTTTCGAAGAAGCAAAGCTACCATAGATCCTATTATATAAGTAAGTACTTAATCGAGTGCGGGATGCAATTACGAAACCGGTAACCCGACCATCTTCAATGATGTCGTTATATACCTGCAAGCCCGTGCCCAATTCGCGGCAGGCCCGTCGATTGGGAATACGCCGATTTCAAACCAATTGGGCTGACGCCATTCGGATTACCAACCTCCCCCGCATTGCGTGCTTCTAAAAGACGTTTTTGTAGATGATACTTCAGCTATTACTTCTTTTGTCCAGGGTTGAGGTACGACCTTTGTCCTGTTTGGCGGGGTTCCAGGGATAACGAGTCGCCAAAATCTAAAAGTTTCAAGGCCGAGCCGAGGGAAAACTAACAAATTCGGATGGTGGGAGCCCAAAGTTTATGTCAGCGGTGCGCTCCGCCGGGTTGGCAATACGTATTGGGTCGGAATTACTAATAGACCGACGGTTAGACAATCTTTCAGTTTCTACTCTTAGCTGCCGTTATGAATCAAAGTCAATGTGGGAATTATTCTGATTGTGTCGGGAAATAGGGACGGGAATTGGGCTTCATTGGTCTCATGCGCAGTGCTTGCGCAACACTAATAGAATGGTTAACGTTATAACATTTTAACTAGTCGAACTTTGGGACACCTCGATCCTAAAGAATGTAAACTACCCTCTTTAGTACTACCTAGTAATTTTTGCTATGTCGTTAGGTGACGTCGCCGAAGTCACAAAGTCACAAAACAGCATGGAACTGTATGTAGTTCCGCCATATCCATCTTTAGAGTATCTAACTACCCGGGTAGTCAATCGACGAGCAAAGTTTTAGCGATAAAACTTCATGTTATCGTCAGTAATCAATTGGAAGGCCGTTCATGAAACTTTGCCAAATACTCTTACATGGTAGGACAGTAATAGGTCTGTGATATTCTACTCCGTAGAAAGGGTCCCATGCCAGCGAGTTTACAAACGAATTAACCATACCCCAGATTGCACTATACCCAATACAGAGGTTGTAATGTCCGTGCATGAGCCTCCGGGCTCGAGCTCGCGCGATGTCTTCTCTTCCGCTCGTTCCCAATCGGTTTTCTAAGGCTATCGCCCTTTCTCAAGGTAGCCGGTTTGCGAGGAAGATCCAAGTAAAAGCTGCATAACAACCAATGAACAGGCCTAGGAGAATCTGTCTATTGGTGCACAAGTTTTGTTGGTTTCGGTCCTTTGCCTTATCGGGCTTGATAGGTATAATGTTCGTCGGCCCCTGCCCTGGATCCTTTGTGTCTATGAATTGGTATATATCTGCAGAATATAAAAGACGTATACTTTCATCTACAGAGGCTACTTCCGAAGGAAACCACCGAGATATATCAACTACAATTGCCTGCCCAATTGAAGCTTGTCGGATCTTCTTCGCGCATAATAAACATCGTAGCGATACTCTTGAGTCGTGGGATCCAGAGCATCACAAATTTATAATTATTTGATGCTGTGGGTAGTCGAAACCCGTACCCCGAAAAGATCTGACCCTTCAGAGACGCGATGCGACCGGCACTCGAAGGACGAAAAATATAGTCCCAAAGGATCCCGGTCACTAGCACTCGGGAATTCGAATATTCTGCATGCGGAGTACTCGAGTGGCTCAGTCCCGTACTGACACCTATTCGTTGGTTGTAGCGAATTCGCGAAGGTCTTTCGCATATGCCCGATATTTTTCCTGTCCAATCACCTGATATTGTTGTACTAGACCGATATAAATTAGTAAAGAATCTAGATCTATTGAAAGCTATAGATTCGTATAATATTATAATGCTTACTTAGTTTTATTTCCTTATCAAAAACCTGCCGTGGTCCTCGGAGCCAGCTACTTTGGGCGAATTCGCTTGCTTAGTTAGCATGGTTCCGGGCCTGACCATAGCTCTGCAAAGCTTAGCTTAGACAGCTTCTTTTGTTGTATGACAATTGTTGGAATTCGACCAGAAGTCAAATCAGTATTGGCTCTAGCTGTTCATCAAATCTTCTTCACGACCAATAGTTAGCCCAACTGCTCCTTTTATTATAACATAAGACATAAATCCTCCAAGTACCTTTGCGTAAACTTTGCAGCGCATTATATTGTTACCTAGGTAGGTAGCACGTGGGCTTGTGTTGAGATGCTTTCTCGACGTCAGCTCTGAGCTGAATGGAGAGAAGTCAAAACGTTAACCTGAAGCTGAAATGCGATAGTGTGCTCTTCAGAAATCAAGGTTATTTTTATTAATTAAGTAAACGACAGCTGGAGCCAAGAAGTTCTTGCTCAAAGCATTCGAGACGGGGTTTTGTGGTTTCTCCAGCCTAAGCGCTACTAGGTGCATACTGCATGCATCAGCATGCAATAGAACAGGCAGAAGTCTGTGGCTTTTTTTTTCTTTTCAACAGCTTGCAATGTGAGAGCTACCCCTCAATTGATACTGCCCTATATACCTCTCTTTTCTGTATAGATACTGTTACGAGATATAGTTTTCGAAATTTCGGCATCCGGGTCGAAGGCAAGGAGCCTGCAGATGAAGTAACATGGCTACCTGCAGACATGCAAGAGCTTCGACCTAGATTTACCTCACGTATCGATCTCGTAGGAGCTGCTTCCAGACTTTAGCTGATTTGATTCAGCTGTAGGTTTGTATTAACTCGACCAATCAAAAACCTGCAGTGACTTAAAACGGTTTTAACGGTCAACTATGTTAAATTCTTGCTGGCGCTTCTGTTTAATGATTCATGACATTTATATTCCCGTTTTAAATTTTTATCATCGAGCTTTACTCAGAAACATCAGCAACTTACTTCCTGCACAACTACCCTAAGTACAAGGGCCCAACGGGATGCAGCAGTGAAGTTGCGAAGAATTTCTTTTTTACTTTATCCATCCGAATCCTTACCGTCCCTAACCTGTCGGATACAGCTTCTGGAACAGTTTCGCCGATTGCCATGTCTTTACCAATCATTTTGCCCGCGAGACCGCGAGTCTAACTAGATTTGAGCACCGCGAACGCATATTATATTCCTTCTCTAGTTTTTCTCTTCTGTTACTACTAGGTTTTATCCAAAGAGAAGTGGTAAGGAGTGACAAAGAGAGAGAAGGCAGAGAGTGGAATGGAAGCGGGGAGGGAAAGGGAAAGGGAGAGGGAGAGGGAGGGAGGGAAGCCGGCCACCAGCAGAAGCATTACTTCGCGCGGACCAGTTCACGAATAAACTTCGACATTCTGCCTATCTGGACGGTACACCTACGATATCGGTATAATAGCGAGCAAGACAGATCAAAACTCACTATCATAATTTGCCAACCGGGGGTATTTGGAGCCGAAGCAACATGAATATTCTCAGTTTAAGGTTATCATCAGATAGCCAAGAACAGCGTACCTATTCACAATTTTCTCTTCGGTTCTTTATCAAAATCCTCCCGGACTTTGGTCTGATCAGAAAGCACGGCAATAATTTTAAGGAAATCTATCATAACATTACCCACTCCTTTAGTTGACAGGCGAAACGAAACAGGATGAAAAGAAAGAATCAGACCAAACGCCAAATACAAATAAGGGATTGCATTTTCAGGTCCAGAAAAACAATACCATGAAACAAACATAATCAGTAATAACAGGAATTCGAGCGCGCTTCCGACATGCATGTGAGGATCTAATTCATAAAGTACTGCTAACTCCAAATTTGAAATGTATATGCTAACAAACTAGCAAAAGGAAACCTTTACCTCTCTTTGAGCAGATCATGCGACCCCATCTCACGATCGCGAGTCCCGACCCGATAACCTAGCGAAGCGGCCCGAATGTACAGCCTCGTAACCACCGTGTGCGTCTGTGGTAGACGCCCAGTCTCGAAGACAGATCGATGCATAATGGCCAGGCCGACGGCACCAAATACAACGCAACACAAAACCCCGGATCCCCCTCATTCGCTATTCTTGATCCGTCTCCACAGATGCTCTACCAAAAACAATCAGTATCACATACAAAAGCTCAGACCGCCTAGTAGTACAGTTGGGGAGCGTACATCTGACGAACCATGGCTCATTTTCAACAATAGCGAGACGCTTGGGTCCCTTTTAAGCCCGTCCACGAGATCCTTGGTCGGTTGTACGACGACGGTCCGGTCCACCATTAGAGTCTTGGGATTTTGGAGGAGTAGTTTCTGGTTTAGGGAGCGGCGCTTGTGGAGGGGAAGGCCTTGGAGGCGCGGAGGGAGAAGGCCCCTGCTGGACCTTTGGAGCGCAGTCCTGGGCGCTATTGGTATCTCTGTTCATTTTTGCCGATTAACTGCGAAACAGATAACACTAGGAACAATCCAAAACGTCTCAGCGTTAGACCCTTAACGACTCGATGAAAGTTATATTCCAAAGGTAATCTACCTCGAGATATGTAACGTACCAAATTTGTAGCTTGAGGTTTACAGCGGTATCTGGTGTTTCTTATATCAAGGAAGAGGAAGAATATTTCGGTTGGGTTGATGGACGAAAGGATGTGAGTGATGGGGAAGAAAGAACTCAAAGACGGTGTCAGGGGCTGCTTATATAGCTTTGATGCTATTAGGACATAGATTAAGCACAAAGCCTGTCATGTAACACGGACGAAATTATAATCGACCTAAAGTTCCTAAACATATGGTAGCCATCCTGAACTCTTGTTTAGCACTACGAATTGTGAATCATTATCCGGAATTCGTCTAAGGCAAATTAAAACAGGACAAAGGAAAGAAGGACACTGCAACCAATAATGATCAATTTACCTTTGATGCACCTTTGCTATCCTGATAAACCTATAGTCATGAATGTGGTAATGGGAAAAATCGCCCGTGATCAAATTTTTTTACCCTCATAGCTTTTAAGTCCTGATACATAGGATCTAATCAAAATACGCGTAATATTTTAGGCTTTGAATTTACATGCTTCTTGCCGTAGGCTTTTCCTGATGCCTAGATATTCGATGTGCAACCTGGATAGATGGGGCTCGTGCTTCCTGCCAGGCCTCTCTTTTTTTTTCCTTCTTTCGCTAACCGCTTTCACGCCCATTCGTCATTTGGTCGGCCCAAACAAGTTATTCCAATGTAGTAATATGTGTTTATCTTAGGACCTGACTAGGAAGATAGGAGCTAGTGTATCGAGTCCTTCACCAAAATGCCGCCTCGTTTTCTGAATGTAAGGAATAATTGTCTGGTTTACAAGGCTAGTTATAGCCCGATAAAGCAATGCTGAGATACATAGTCGAGTGTGCTAGCACCCGTAAGCCCGAGCGGGGAAGTTGATCAAGTGGGCAAAGCCAAAATGTTAGCTAGCACCATGTGCACAAACATTCAAAGGGGATGGGATACATGTGTTCTAAGATTCAGCGCTGCAGCCCTGTAGGTGTCGAACTCGTGGAATATGTATGCACATGCTAGATCTCAATGCAATGAGTACTTATGCAAGATAGCCCCAGCGAGGCTACATGTATACAGCCGCAGAGATGTTAAGCCATGCAACGGCTAGCTGCACACAGGAGATAATCGCGCCTGGGCCCTGCATTTACATCGTAAAGCGCACTATCGTACTACCGATATATCGCAATTGCTGCGACAATGACATGTGAGATTGGAGAGATTGATAACATCTCTTCAGAGCCATCTAGATTCTATAAAGCAGCAAAAGGGTAAAAGAAGTATGGCCTAGGCGCAGCAATAGAGCAAACCTCGCCTTAGTCTCGCCGGGGGTCTGCTATAAAGCTCTATCTCGTGGGATATTTATTTTCCGGGTCGGCTAGATAACGTTACAGCTTCTCGATTCGCAGGCTAAGCTAAGAGCCTCAAGTGTCAAGGAGAGCATCTGAGCCCCCTCGAGGGATTGTCATGAAGGTAGCTAGTCTCTTTACAGAGAAGGGTGAGGTTGATGGAGGATCTAGTTCTGCAACGTCAATCATGCATTCGGGGTTGGCTGCATAAGAGACAAGGCACATATCCTGAATATTGTTTGAAACAAACAATAACCTATGCAAATTCGAATTGTGATTTTTTGCGTTTTACACTTCTGAAGAAATCCCGGGGCGGAAAAGAAATACCGGAGTTCCGAATGGCCTTCGGAGCGAGAAGGGTTTGTTTCACTTGTATTCTGTTCGTGAAGCGGATATCGGATGGTCATTTTTTTCTCAAGCCTTAAGGGATTGCTACACACCTAACTGCCACTGAGTCGCCTTTTAGGCCTAGGAATTTTAAAAATCGAAACGGCCCGATCCTATTGTCCTTCGGAACTGTAGAAAGAGGCAAATTACAAAGATGCTGGATGCAGAGATTGGGTAGGCTCGGTTTGGTTAGCCGCCGTAGGGTGCCAGGTATCCAGGCGATCAAGCTAGAAAAATAGGTATCACAAAACGGAGAACTATCCCTATTATCTCAGAATAAACAGGTATGGATTTTTAGATCCTTTACCTACTAGCGATGCGAACATTTCCTGAGTTAATTTTTAAATAGTTGGACAATACGGGGCAACTAATTTACTTCCTGATCTATGTGAATAAATGGTTAAGCAGATAGGAACAGGATTCTGCTAGGCTGTATACATGTATTGTGCGCATGCGTTAGCTGAAATCAGACTTTGAACTTGGATAGGAACCAGCCCCGAATCCTGGGAGCAGTTTTTTTTTTGCAAACCTGTATGCCTTTATTATTTTCGACATATGAAATTATGCGGATGACGATGTTATTTTGTTCAAAGTTGCAACATTGCCTCGCGCGCAGGCCTCGCGGTCGATGAGCCTCGAGGGTAAGACTGTAAATTTGCACCGCCATTGTAAGGGATTGCTCGAAGACCCATGTTAATTCAAAATCTTGAGGATCCGACAAAGTTCTCTGAGTACCGACACTTGCTTGCTCCTTAGACTGGTAGGCCCGCCCGATAGGTTCAACCGGCACAACCTTGGAAAAACGTTGAGCCCAACTGGTTTCATTCCCAAGCGGAGGTATTGTCCCAACCTGTCTTCTCAAGGGCAATCCACAGAATTGGAGTCGAACAAGCTAGCTCCACCTGGTGACCCAGGTATTTGGTAACCCAGATTGACAGTGTTCGGCCGGCTGCGGAATGCTTGTGTCCGCACGAAGTGGGGGAAAACTTCTACGATGATACCCAATATCCGAATCTAACCCCATAAAAGTTTATCTCTAACTTGAAAGGTCAGCTTCTTCGAAATATACATTTATTTGGCTCAGTTTTTGCGTATTCAAACTGTTTAAAGTAAAAGTTTTGATGATCCCAACCGCTAGAGTCTCGGAATATGTCGCTTCAAAAAAAAAAAAGAAACCTCTGAGATGGAGGCACCCCCACCTTATCTTGTAGACCATAATTACCCTCACCTTACCTCAACAAGAACAATATCTGACTTATCATTTTTTTTGGACTCCTCATAACTTTTGCCGGAAAGGCTTGAATGTCTATTGTTTGTCCGCATGCACAGAGCTCCCTATCTGCATAATTAATACCTTAGTGTGGCGTTGACTGCAGCTGCATATCCTGAGAGGGATAACCACACCATGGGAATGTTTTTAGGAAGCAAAAGATGAGTGAACTCAGCCGTGCCAGAGTTTCACTCTCAAGCAAGGAGCGGCTCGGCTCTTCGGTCTCTTGCGCCCATGTTACTCCCAGGTCCATGAATGATTCCGACAAATTTGGAGGTATATAGAGTATTGAGATGCACCAAGTTTCTTTCAGACCAATGCATTCGTTCTTTAACTCGTTTCTATCACGGCCAAAGGTGCGTATTTTCTAAATCGGGTGTAAATGATTAGTTTTTAAAGCAGTATACCGGATGATCCTCACTTATCGATCCCACCGAATCATCAACCAAATTCGAACTAAGCCTGCCATCAGGTGCCAAAACTTCCACCGGCAGTGTGGTACCATTGTTCCTTACCGCCAACCCTTCCTAGCTATGGGTAGAAACAGGCATCGTCAAGGAAAATCCCAAGGCACGGATAGGAAAAGAAGCCTGGAACCTTCCATATCTAAGCCATACAAAAAAATTGATCGAGGATCTGGGCGGGAAATAGGTACAAGAGGTTCGAAATTTCGGAGAATAAAGGAATACCATTGAAGAATCTATATCCAGGTGAAAACTTAACTGCGGTAGCTCATTATAATCCCTGACTAACTCTTCGGAATCATGAGAGTTCAAATACTATTGTATCGATGGATGACGACGAGGCTGTTTTCTTGAATGCACGAGATTTGGGGCTGAGCTTCCAATCGCAAACTCGAACTATGACATTTTAAACTGATCATGATTGCACAATAGTGATGTCTACCTACGTAGCGGCTAGTAATTGGTGGTAGTAAGATAAAGGGATTAAAATACAGTGAATGGGAATAGATCCATCAAACTGAATCAAGCATGATGTCAATTAATGCTACTGACTAGCGGCCCCTCGGACATTCGGATCATAGGGCTCCCTATATTCAACTAAATCCTTTATTTGGAGGTTCGTCTCTAAATACGCCGGCCCTAAATTTAAGAATGGTATAACTAAGCTTAAAATTTAAAAGCACGGTGCTATTTTATAGTCATTTAAATATTTGTGAGCTGGTTGAATGAAGACAATATATCGAGGTGTAAAAATAAGCAGCAAACTATTCCCCGCAGGAGACGAGGAGATCTCAACCAACAAAGCAGCCTGATAAAGGAAAGGACTATTTTTATTCATAGACGCATGCAATGTAATAAGTGCTGTCAACTATACTTTTTAATACCAGTGTTAATATTTGAGCTGATCTTTTCATAGCTGTCTAGCCTCGTCGGTTAAAATCAACTTGTTTTTGCATGCACGTACATCCGTTAGGCAAAGCCCTTCCCCACTTCGACTTTACTGTATACCGTGAGCTCGAGGCTGTCTCATTGCAACATCCGAATCGGTTGTCAAAAAGTGGAGAATTTCATCTAATAATGAAGGGCCAAGGTATTCCTCAAAGGTTAATTGAAATCACGGATACCCTGCCTCACATTTCTAATCCGAACCACTACATCCTCAACTAACATTTTCATCGCGGTTTCCCTTCCAACATCCTCACAATTCGCTAGCCTCTCAGCGATGGCATCTATTACTCTGAATTTAACGCTTCTAATAGCCCCTGAAAATTCATAGACCAGAGGCACAACGAAGTTCCTGGCCTTCTCTATATCATTTTCCCTAATGTCCCACTTCTTATGATCTCTTGTCTCGATTCCAAGACAATCAACACCGTTCTCTCGCGCTCCAACGCTCTCAGTACGGTCTTTTTCGGCGATCCAGTTGTCTATGCCTTCCAAATAATCCGGTTCCACAGTCAAAGCGAGCATTTCCGCCCACTCAGCCATGAACTTCAGAGACTCCTCTACATCTACCTTGTATCCCTCGGCGAATTTCCTTGTATAGCGAGGGACAATCAAACCAAGGCACTTCCGATGCTCTTCTTCATATAAGTCGTGGCACTCCGTTGCGAGTTTGACTGCATTTTGACGCTTGATTTGTTTTCGAGAGTTGAGATCGAGATCCCTATTGTTCCGCAGTATACACTCCCCAAGGTTCTGGGGAATACTTGACAAAGATCGATTGCAGGAAAACTTTCGGAGACCCCGTGCCGCCACGTCTACCAATATAATATCGTTGAATTTCGTCGTCGCTGGTTCGACGAATCCTTTCAGTCCTTCAGAAGAATCGCATCCGGTTACATAATTAATCGATAACTCTTCCACACCGGATAATGGGCACACAGCGAAACTTCGCCACCATGCTTCAGACGTTATGCAATCCAGCGACAATATCCTCACGCTCTTTGGAGGTGCGAGGAAGAAGGAGGGATGGTATAGGTATCGTAAAATTTTCAAGTGTCTAAGATGTCGCAGATCGGTCACGGTAGCTTGGAGTTTCTTTAACGAATCCCATATTGTTGAGATCTTGTACTTCTTGGACCCCTTCACACGCCCATCCCACGCAAAATAGTCGACGTTGACGGTCTCTTTTAGTACCAGCACCAAATCATCAATCCCATTCGCAACTGAGTAGTCGTCCAGCGCCGGCTCGACTGATACGGCCAAAGTGAGCTTTGTGACCTTGGCAAGTTCCACAAATTTAGGCAATGTATGAACAACGTTGGATTTTAACAGAATACTGAATTCCTGCGACGACCTATACCTCGAGTAACGTTTCAAGTCGTCCAAGTAGCCATAACATTTCCATCTCATGAGAGGGGGGATATCTAAAATAATAAGGCGGTCGGTGGTTAGTCAAGACCCCGGATGTAAATATTGCAAGGTGCCGGGAGAGAATTAGTAGACGATATGTCTCACCTTCAGGTGATAAAAGAATCTCGAGGTCTACGCGATTGGGACACAGCCGTTCGGCGTCTAATAATCTTGAGATTCCGTCCACTTGAGGCGCAAAGTAATCTCTAATCCCACCGATTACCACGTATCTTGTATATCTGAGCCACCGGGATTCGGCCCAATAGTGGCTAACCACCGTTCGAATCCGGGCATTCGATGATACAACCCTTCCTGAAGGTGAGTACACGCTCTTCTCTATACGCAATGTTCGCCACAAATAGCAAGAGCACGGAACGGAAAGAGATTTGCACGTCAAGGCTACGTTTAAAACTTCTGTATCGGTAACGTATTGTAATATTTCATACAGAATCTCGGGTGCCCTTGCGAGCGTGACTATAGACGTCATCTGGGATCCGCGGCGCAGGCCGACCATATATATATCCCGTGTTCACAGACGAAGCTAATTCCGGCCAGGTCAAGTCTGTAGTAAAGATTGTCGTAAAAAAAATAAGAGGCGCTTAGTCGAAGGATCCTTTCGGAGCCATAAAACAGTAAATTTAAGTTTGAACGATTGAATTGTTGTAAACTAGAAGGATAGCGAATGGGCCCTTCAAGCTTCATTCAGCCTTCTGTGCAGGCCCGCGCAATCTCGGACGTAATTTGGATCCAAATCGCACTTATAACGGCCAGACAATGCTATGGGAGTTTCTGAAGCATACTGTCCTTGTAGGAATCGGTTCTCGAGCTCGAGGGGTTGATTTAGAAGGGTGACACAGAAGCATGAGTGCTTGGAACTCGAATAATGTGAGCATGAAGCATAACGTAATTGTTGGGATAAATTGAGGCGATCTGTGCAACACAGATCTTCACACAGAGACTATTTGGGTATTCCACAGACCGAATCAAACTAGCGAAATCAACCTCAAATTGTAACGGAAAACTAAGTTAATCTCATACATACGGAACCTGAACCTATTGTATATTAGAGATCAGGATATCTAGTGACAAGATGAACACCAGCCGATTCACCGGAGTTATTTTAATGTTCATATATTTATCTTTCTAAATTCGGCTACGTTAAACGTTGGACCCACTAACAGCAACAAGTATACTAGTAGTTAATACAATGAAGACTAGTGTATAATAGTTAAACCTAATTGATAGATAGCTAGACGAGAGGCGAATTGAAGACCCGAATACAACTTGTTAGCTCCGAGCCTGGTTAGGCTTAACAAAGATGAAAGAAGAAAAAGATATTAATCTCGAACCGGAAACGGGTAGTAAAGAGATAATTAGTGTCCGTTTTGTCTCAATTATAGCTTATATTCATACCAGGCTGGAGTCGATATCTATAACTGCAACTGCTGTGGTGTTCTTGATATCGAGGCCGAGTATGATTTCTGCACTTGTCAGACGTCAGGGACTACCAACGAGAAGCTCAATATACCAAATATATTAACATTCAAAGAAGCCTAAAATAAACCCGATCGGAATCTATCTTGACAGAATTTTTCTCTCTTTTTTCTTCTTTTTTTTGTGACATTAACAGAGTGCCCATCTCCTCTGCCGAAAAATTCATAAAGAAGGCTAGGACTGTCGTGGTTTGAGCAAGGCCCCAAAATTGAGGCTGATAGAAAGGTACATACATACATACATGCATACATACATACATACATACATACTTATAATGATATAAATGCAAATGTACTCAGTAAATACATATATTAGTAACATCTACATTTGATTCGTGCTTAAAACATGAACTCGAAACCTCCAGAAAAACAACTGACCGGGCGCAAGAAGCGAAATCAGAGGAGAATAAGAAATACCCTAGTGTCCTTTTGATACCAGAGGCTAAATGGACGACGCCCGAGACTGCCAATATTGAAAAACCAGAGTCCCTAACGGGAAAAGAAGAAGAATAAAACAAATGAAATAAATGAAATAAATGAAATAAAAAGGAAAAATATATGGAAGAGAGCTAGAGAGAGTAAATATAAATTGGTTGTGTACTTGGTACGGTCGCAAACTTGTCACTTCGAGGACTTTGGTACCCACTTAGGTAAGCACTCAAGTGGCTGGCTCGGTTGGCATGAAGAGTTGGTCCGCAATGATTTCGGTATTGTCGGTAGCCCATCCACCAATGTGGAGGAGGAGGTGACGATCTGGACAGGGACAGGCTGGTGCTGGTGCGAGATCCGCTTGAGACGCAGCAGGCTTGTGCTGGTCCCTCGGGCTGTCAGGGGCGATGTCCTTTGGATCTTGGATGGTACCAGGCTCAGGGCCGGTCGGGGTTGACGGATTTGGGTAAACAGAAACAGGCTGGGCACCAGCCGGAGCTGCGGGGGCGTCTTGGGTGGCTGGTTCCGTGAAAAGAGGCGTCAAAGAACCTGAGATACAGCGCTTGCGTAAGCACAAACCATGGCTGTCTTTAAAACTATAACTATAGCTACATATTTAATAAAATACAGATGCGCACCGTTGGTAGACACAAGGTCCATGTATCCCTTGCTCAATGCCATTGTACTAGCTACGCGGAAATGATAGTTCCAAATTTATGAAGTCTAATACTCCGGACGACCTTATGTATTGTCGAATCGAGGATGTGGTATTTGTCCCGTAACCAGATGCAGACTTAGATCTTCAATTGCAGAATCTAGTATCGCAGCAACGTTCTTACGCAACACGAGACTATGTATATATCCGACACAAAGATTGGCGGTGTAGTATGTGTAGTATGTGTAGGCATCCAATTAAATATACTGTATCGAGAAAGAAGGGAAAAAGAAAGCAACCAGGACAGAAAAGGAGCGAGGGCCGTAAAACTCGAGTTGAATGAGAGTTGGTAAAATTCCTGTTCAATAGTATGGATGAATTAACCTGCCGCTGGGAGGTGTATATCCTCATCGAAGCCGGGGAAGCTTGGATATATATGCTTCGAGTCTTTGGGCATGGTAAGCATGGTAATAATGGGCATGAGGGAGCTACATGTCAGAGGGTGTAATTCGAGTCCTCAGTTGTCATGAAGTGGAGAGCCCTTAACTGCGGCCATGGCCGACGGTTAGATTGCGATATTGATGATGGAATACTGCTGTGTTTAGCTTAGCTTTGCAGTTTCGCGCTCGTAATGTTTTCTTTTTTCTTGTTCTGGTAGCTAGTTCGCGAACCAACGCAAAGGCCCGACTCTAGGTTTTAGTTGTTACTCGACCATCCCCTATCGATATCTTCGTTCCGTTCTGCAATTTAGATGGCAGTCAGGGACGCTCACCTCTGCCTTGTTTAGATGGGGCCTTTCAGGTCCACGTGCAAAGTCTAGCCTCTTGATAGCTGATTTCCCACACTCCCCAAATATATCTTCAAAATGAAGTAATTAAAATAAAAACATCGTGAACATGTAATTTTGCCATAAGATAGTTTCTATGGTAGCTCAATTGTTTTAGAATACGATACTATCGTCTTCGCCGTTAAATACTAGTGACTCTACATAGATGCGTATGTATGCATGTCGACCTTCATAGGGCTAATCTTGAGTTTTATTCGACTGATCCATTACGCATAATTTGAATGCGAATAATTATTTCAGTATATTCCTGAAAAGTTACACTACTTGTACATGTTAGATTTACCAAACCTCACCCAATATAGCTACAAAGCTATAGCCCTCGAATATTTGAACAAGAAACTTTACGGCCTGATTGTGCAGCTAGCTATTAATTATTGTGACAGCTTGGGAAAACTACCTAGATCACGCTCGCCACAGCACCCCACCAAAACTGCAAAATCAAAAGGTTTGCCTGACTGAGGGATTCGACAGAACGCGGACAGAGGATGCAAGGGAATAATTCCTTTTCTTTTCTTCTTTTTGTTCGCGACAAACGCGAAGGCCCGCTACTAGATTCAAGGTGCTCCCATTGCGCTCCCACACTTTTTTCAAAAAATGGTTTCCACCAGCTGCTCTCTTTAAGTGGGTATTTACTCTGTACATAACTATGATCCCACCATTGGTCTTCTATACGAGAATCCTTATCTTCAAAGTCTTACCAAATACTATCAACGCCAATATATACAATATACAAAATATACATTGTTCAATGGCTCAACGCCGAATATCCGATCTCATAACGATAGCATGACCACGCATATTGATTTGCTCTGCCACGACGCAAAGAATCACTCTGGTTTTAACTCCCGAAAGTCTCAAAACCCGAATTCAGTTCTGGATTCTGGCGTGGAGTTTAACGGTCTGGAGCTGGGAAAATATACAACCAGCCAATTTACACCAGGCGTTCTGATTTTACAGCTCGAGAATATTGCTCTTCTCGAGCGAATTATCCTAGATATAGGCTGGTATTTGCAATTTTTGGACAAAGGACTAAAAAACTTTAGTACTATAGCTATATGGGTTACAAGAAATTAGACTTACCACGATGTATAATAAACATTTTCTAGGGATACATCGCCTGAGTTTGATGTTCAAAATTGCCACGCAGATTCTCGGTGCTCAATACGCCGCTCGTAAGCTCGTCTTCTATGCCGGAAGTATCTTCTGTTTAATATGATACATCATATACCGGTCTCGAGGCCTCGGGCTCGAAGATGGCCTCGCCTCATACCTAGACGCTACAAACTGGTTCGAATAGTCTATGCTAAGAGTTCAAATTACTCAGCTTCAGGTAACCTCGAAACCAGGCGCTAGTAGGGTGGTGGTTGAAGGCTATATTTGGTTCTTTCGTGCGAGCTGAGGTTCCGGTCCCTCGGCTCCTTGGGCAAGATGGGATCTAGAAAACCAACCACTCAAAGCCTTCCACAGGCCTCTTCACGCCGCCGCCGCCGCAATTCCAAGATTAAGAGACATTGGGTCGATAGGACCCATTTTGAAAAGTTCCTGGTATCACGATACTACGATACCCAAAAACGGTACATGCGGTGGCGGCCTTCATATGGGGTATATATTTAAGCGCCCGCCTTCAGCGATGGAAAACTAGACGCTATCCGTATTCAAAAGGAATCTTTGCATACAAACTTAGTTGATGTTTAAGAAATAAAAGACATTTTTTGGAAAAATCATCTAGGATCCTAGGAAGCGTGTGAAAATTTTATCCTAGGATAGAATCCTCCTATGATTTGTCAGTCTAGCTAAACAGTCTATTACAACTATGGACTACGAACGTAACTGGTTTTGATGTTCGCTTTTGGCAACCTTGGTCTTGATTAATTAATTAATCAAGGGGCATCAACGCGATTAACTGCAATCCTAATTGTGAGAGAAATATAAAATAAAAAGAAGGCTCAAGGATCGGGTTATCTGTTTGTAGCTATTCAGATCTGGCTCTGGGGTGATAGTAGTATATAATATAACGAAGGTCGCTACCGAATGCCTGGTTTCGATCGCACGAAACCTGCATGCATGTTATCTGTAGTATCCCGAAAACCCGAGGCTAGCCTAGGGAATAAATAGGTAACTAAGGCCACATGCATGTCCCAGACTAACATGCATGTTGTGCAGAACCTTGGGATTTCCTGACTAGCTGTCGGATTCCCCCCGCGATGATGATGGGTTAATTTTGGGGCACTTCGTAGTGGTTACATGGGCATATTGAGTTCCTTTGTTCGACTTCGTCTATTGCGGCGATGCTCTTTGCATTTAGAATAGGACACTCAGGAATTTGTTTGACCCGTAGGAGAGGTTCTCCACGTGGCCATCCTGCGATCTGTGCGTCCGGAAAGCTGCCAGTTGGTACCATGCAGTGGAAATGTGCCTAATTCACTAGGGCCGAACCTTAAGTGGGTTTTGCCCTCCCTCTTACAACCGATATGGACTAATCGCTAACCCTACCCATGTAAAATCAATATCTCGTTTATATGGAAAGTTTGGGTGTCCCCTAAATCAGGATAGCTTCGAGTCCCTTATCAATAGCTTCCGAATAGACCAGGCTCGTGCTCGGCCTAGGGATCCTTGAGATTTGTATACCGGGATCCCTAGACTCGATATAGACACTGCAGCTACTAGATGCCGAAGCATGGATTGAATATACCTGGGGATATGCGATCACTTACTTCACCCCATGCGCTCGAGAGTATTTTTTTCGTTCACCGAACCCTTGGAGGTATATATAAAGAAAGAATATGAAGAAATAAAATTGAAATAGAACGATCGTACAGGTAGGCCCAGGGGTATAACAGTCTCTTGAAATATAAATAAAGCAGGGCGTTACAACAGTTTTGAATACATGACAGGGTGATAACGAATTTCCAGCACTTTGTTTCAATCCTCCAGTCGCCCGTGTGGCAGTATAAATCCAGGGACAAGGTGATATCCTGAAAAAGCTACCTAGTTCGGGACTTTCTGGGAAGCAGCTCACGCTGAAATTTTTTTTGAGTGATTAATTGGAATCATGACCATTACTTGTATGGTTGGGCCCTCGGATAATCGACGGAGGTGGTCTAGGTGAAGTTGGAGGAGGGGGGTTAGGATTTGGCGCTGAATCTGGGGCCGAATTCTGACGATTGTTTCTCTCGGAGGAATCTAGGATCTCTCATTGTTAGTACATATTATTCTTGAAATGGTCTGGAGCTGGTGTATAGGAGTAATATAACACAGTAGCTCTCGGGGACATTATAGAATACATGAAGAAACGAACCTTTATGTGAAAAGTCGGTGAGGTCAGGTGAGGATGCGCGAGCATGGCTTCGCCTGTATCTGTTGAGATTTGCCATGTTGTTTGATGTGCGATGGTATAGTAAAAAGGGAGGAGAAGATAAATGACTGGAGTTTGGAGGTGTCTTATCTTAAGAACACCTGGAGTATATAGTACTTTGTCTAAGGAGCTGAGTTATCATTATCAGGATCGTCGGGGTAGACGCCCCAATTTATAGAAATTCGGGCCATCAAGTACACCCAGCTCTGAATTTTAGACGGATGTATTAGGCTCTAGATCCTCATCTTAATTTTTATTAGACATAGCCGCTTTAGCATCTAGGTGAAATGTTCGATTGGTCCTAGTCGCGAAGTGAAATGTCAGTGGATATAATGAACTAGGTATGTCCTAGTAAAGTTATGAAGTCATTGTGGCAGAGCTCATATATTGTATACACCATCCTCGGCTTATAGTCTAGAATCAATATGCCTATCGACAGGCTGGATAGAAACTTCATTCTTGATAGTCCAGTAGTGCCCCTGCAAGGCGTTATCATGATCAACAAATCAGAAGTTTTACCTATCCGGGTGGTTATAGATGTTAGGGTCATGATGTCTTTCCCTGAACTTTCTGGATGGCCAGCGATGCGCAGCGTGACACTGCTTAGGCTTTGGTCATGCTGCAGTAGCGTCCTTGAATGTATATCATAGATGGTCATGGAATGTTTCCTATATCTAAACTTTTTAGAACGGTCCTTATTCATGGATCCACGTAGGGTCTAGGGTCCGGGAATAGTATCCGTACATACTTCCCACTGTTCTAGCCTATGGGGTCCCGACTGACATGGCCGATATTTTGCGAAGCCCCGCGATTGCCCTTGGGGCTCGTAGAAATTAGAACGGTCTGCACCTGTGCTATTTTGGGTTACTAGGCTAGATTAGGAAGATTTTAGAGAGTTTTTGTAAAGTGCTTGACACGAAGCTGTCGCTGAAGTTGTTGTATGCATATGTTAGATCTTAATATATTAGGTCCAACCAGGCGGCGCACTATTTTGTGGATTTATGAATCGATACCTCTTCCAAACATGTCCTGTTTACACACTTCGGGGTACTTTTTATTGTAAAAAGCTTCATGCCAATTAATTAGATAGAAACGCAAATCTCTAACTAGATATTCGTATTCACAGAGAGGAATATAAAACACATAGCTATGAATTTCTGGACTAGAAATAGCGATGGAGGTGAATATCTCAGCCGAGTACGTAGTAAAATTTCTAAGCTAGAACATTCGAACAAACGTTATTCTATGACAGCCAACGCGAAGCGAGCTAATGCACCTTTCTCTCTTTCTCTCTCTTCTTTTTTTTTTTTTTGAATTTCGTATTACAGTTATCCGTTTGGCCGGCACGGCACTAGCAAGGCTAACGGCTTGCCTTGTTGCCAGATGCAGACTCTTCAATTGTGGCTGGCAGGTAGTTGGTATGGTTAAAGCTTGAGGCAGCGAAGCCTGGTTGAACCTGGAGCTGCATCTGCATAACATAGAAAAATGAAACCTCACTCGGGAGCGTCGCTCCCCATACCGGGATGGACAAGGGTATGTACAGCTGGCAATGGAATTCGAGCGACTGATGAGCCATAGGTCAAAAAAGGTATTGGATACGAAAACTTCGACCCAAAAAAGATCGCCAGACTCAATGGGCGTTACTGACGTTGTTATGCCACTTCATCACAAGCTAGATGACGTCGGCCTTAGAAGAAAAGCCCAAAGGCTCTGTGAAAACCTCTAGTGTATGTCACATAAAAATCGACTAATTATTATGTTTTGTTTTGTTCGGTAGATCTGTAGAGTGTTCGAATGCTATGAAAGTGATGGTCAACAGTCCATTTTCCGATGGAATATTTGCGCGGAGCTCACGAGAAACAGGGCGGGGTTGACCCCTCACCTCGTGGGCTACTGTTATGCGAAGGGAATTATCATCCCTCAACACAGTATTACCAAAATCGTTGACCGGGCACGGATACTGGATTTGGGGCATCCAGGTTTGTGAGCGCGAACATCAGTGCCTTGTATTCAGCTAGATTTCATTTTCTGTTCTGGGCGCCCCTACTCAAATTAACGAGGTGGGGGCCTTAGCTCCAGCCCCGCAGCGACTTTTTGGACAGCAAAAGAACCTGTGATAGAGGGTCCTTCCAGCCGGTACTAAGGAATTGCCGATTCTAGGAATGTGGAACTTTGATAGTCTACACCAGCGCTGCAAGGCCAGACGTCTAGACCGAATAGCGTAAAGAAGTATCCATATACGTGTCCGGATAAATTTAGGTCGGTTGTGATGTTCGGGAGCGGGGCTACAGAGCTATGGCCAGGATGAAAATATATTCAGAAGAAGCAAAGATTCGCTCTTGCATAATAGAACCATACCACGGAGTCGACAATTCAGCAATTAGTTGTCATGGGAAGTATCGACTAAGCAAGGGCTTTTTAACGAAGGCTGTGGCTTCAACAAAAAAAAATTTTTTCTTATAACCCCGGCTTCTTAATTAAATTCTTTCTTTTGAAGTTCGCTTTTCTATGCCTAGTTTCTTATTCTTGCTTTTTAGAAAAAGAAAGGAGAGAAGAGATAAGAGAAAAGAAAGAAAGCGACTGGAATGGAGCAAGGATGGGTTTGTCTTGCCTATGGCTCCTCAACGGTGACGAGGAGCTATTTCGATATAGCAACAATGCTGTAGTATAGATGGCGCCACGGATAGTTTATACTATAGACGATCAGTAGTTTGCATAGTTTGCCAGCGGCTCCAAGACCAATGTTAACGTTCCCTAAGTGAATCCTCAATTACGAAGCTAATGTAATATATCGTACCTGAGCGTTGAGACATCTGTTACGAATACCGATGACGTCAACCAGCTACAGAATGATAGATGACGCTAATCCCTAGAGTAGAGAATCCTAGAATTACCTTTCCGGAAAGTCCTAGAGATCTCAGAAACCCAAAACTATAGTTCGCCTTGCCCCAGGGTGCTCAATTAGGTTACCGAGGGAAAAGCACCAAGCATGGATACGGCTCTACTGCAGGCAGCACGGCAATAAATTAAAATGCACTCCCGTTATTACTAGTTCCCCAAAACTCTATTTCCTACCCACATCTCATCGAGATGCATTTGTAGACAATTTAGGCTGCATTAGCTGTATGTGAGTATTTTTTCGACTTATCTGACTTTCATATATTCGGTACGCTTTAGCCAAGAATGGAATCATAGATAACATCGCGGATATCGAGAAATTAGTGAGACAAATCGTAGCGACGGACCTTGCAATAGGTCACAGGTGTGGACGGGCCAATTTGGAATAGTCTATCTGAGGAACTTGCCGACCCTGGGTATATAAAAAAATTTTTTTGAGCGGACTTATTGAGCTCCGCCCAGCAAGGGCCGACACAAGGTGCGTGTCCATGTTGGGTGTCTCCCAGTTGATAGTTGGCCTTGTCCTATACCCAATGAAAAGATCAGACGAATATGCAGGTAATAAACAATCACGAGGATCAGTGCATGCATTATTAATATATTATATTCGTGGAGATGGGGACAAGTTTGGGGCTTGTGCGCAGATTAGCCAACTTTTTTTTTTTAGCGCTAACCTCTTGCATATACCCAAATTTTCTACGCTGCCCGGGTGCTTTGAGTTCCCGGGCATCTAACTTCGTGGCTTTTCATTTTGAAGAAAAAAAATTGAAAAAGAAAAGGTAAGCAATCTCGAACAGCGCTGCTGCTTGATGACTTGGTGTCTGCATGAAGCAATTGCAAACTTACGACCAAGTCATCCCAATATCTAAGATCCACTATACTAGCCTTGAATCTAGGCGAAGAACTACAGACTATGTATGTAGACAGCTAGAAAGTCGCATCCAAAGACAATCTTCTTTATTTACTAACGTAAAACGTGGTAGGTTTAAGTATTTCATCAAGTCGAAGGGCTTGCATTCCTTTTCATCTCTTCGTGAGCCTTTGTGGTGCCAGCTAGGAAGCCTAGCTTGAAGGACATGTAGTACAAAAGATTTGTTGATAAATTCAAGAATTGTGGAAATTATTTTCTTAACTAGGAAAGGAGTCTATAAAGAGTAAAGATCGAGCGTAGATTAGGTTTGTTTGAGATCGGATGGTTACACACATATATTGCCACCATGGCAGGCTGCCGCCTGGCTAGCCGTCGCCACCCCCAGATTACCACAAAACAACACGTTACCACATGGGTAATTGACATCGAGTACTCCTTCACCTGCACACAGACATATTTTTACCATTGAAGCTTCCCAGTGCCCGATCCACGAACGGCATATCACCTTCCCAATATTCGATGCTTGTTATTTAGTGTTACCCTAGTCTCGTTCCCAGTAGTTCATAACGGCTGCACATTGAAAGGGCGTATCATCACTGTCACGAACAATATCACAATGACTAGCCGCAACCTGCCCACCCCTTATATCGGATTAATTATTTTGGATGGAATGTTTTTTTTTGGGTAGAAACCACATGCGTATGCGTTGATATTAAGACTACCTATTGTACATGAGAACTCCTTAAAGACCAATGAGAGCTTCTAATTAATCAACATGAGGGCTTATGATCCGCATATGATGCCCACCCTTTTTTTGATTTTTCTTTTTTTCTCTTTTTTTTGGAGGTTTTCTGTTTTTAAAAAAGACAAAACTGTTAAACATTAAAGACAGCAGCGTGAGCCTCGAGAATTCCTCGTCGTGAGATCCATGGAATTTCGTACGTAGTATTCATAATATAAGTTGGTGATATCCTTCACATCTAAATAAAGACTGATATATATATGGGCAGAATCAGGTGAGCGCACGAAGGAACAATCAACCCCGTCGCTGAGTTGCACTCATCTAGGTTGCATGCCCGCGAAAGAAAATGTGGGGATGATAGGAAATGAATATGGGATCTTTCGATGTGCAACGAAAGGATCTGTCGTAGTGGCTTGTCGCTAAGTGGAGTTAAAGGCGCATGCTGGATCTTTGACGGGTGTCGAAACACCCGATTTATGCTAGTTGAACCGGTGAGAATTCTCAGCAAAGGCACGAGAACTACCCGGACGTGATGCTGGTCGGAGGTTGCGCCTACTATCAGGCTGGTCTCGAGAGCCTTGTGGTGGCCTTTGATCAGGAATTCGAGGAGGTTGAGAAGGAGGTGGCCGAGTTGGAGGAGGTTGAGGTGGATCGGGAGCCGGTGTGCCCTGATTCGGAGGATTTCCAGCCATCGCCACAGCAGATGGTACCGAGCCGACATCACCATAGGAAATAAGATCTGGCTGAGTTTTTTTTGCGAGGCTAGAGCTGTGACGGGCGTTCGAGGTATACGAGAATCTACTCCTGGGGTATAAGGCGTCCTCGGATTCTGAATCGAACTGGCTGACAGAATACGAAGACGGTTCAGAAGGTAGTAGTTCTCTGATGGACGACCAGTCGACATAACAAAATGAAGTTGGCGGCATGGCTTTCAAAGTTGCACAAGGCGGCAAGTTGACTCGGGTTCAGCCAAACTTATAGAGACAGGTGTTTTGAAGTTTAGTGGTATTGAGAGTGTGTATTGTAGTGGATGAGAGTTAAAGTATTAACGTATGGAAACGAGACTGTAACGTATTTTCAAGGCAGAGGCAGAAACATGGCTATATATAAACGGCCCCAAGAAAGACGCGCAATGCCTCCCTTAGCTATCGACTTAGAGGATCCTAGGAACGCTTAGTTTTGTTGGGATTCTGCGGTCGTAGTAAGGTGGCGCTACCAAACGAGGAATCTAGGTAATATCAGGTTTCCTTACGGCTCCATGGCCTATCATAACAGTCAAATCCACACCTTGTCAGAATTGGCGGCCTAGTTTCAGTTCTGGAGTCACCGGCTGCGTATTTGACGGGAGCTGGAACAATTGACCAAGGTCCTAACGTTTATTGGCGACTCAGTTCGCGGAATAACTATGCCTAGGTAAAGGATCATTCGTGAGATCCAGGAAGAGTAAAATAATGTCGGAGATCCGGTCCTGATCGTCAAAAGGGGTGGGCTCCCCGATCCTGTATTTTTGGGCATCCTTCGGGTAGGCCAACTTTGCACGGGGGCGAGCTACGCAGAGGACTGTTCAACAGATTCTCAACCCCACGAGGCCTACAGTGAATCTAGGATCAACTAAGGCAGTGTTAAGGGGGTAGTCCCTTAATCCTTAGGACGATATTGTAACTAGTGGTGGTTGCTTTTCGATGCGTCAAGGTTGACATTATTAGGTACCTAAGGTATCGGTCAGCGCGGTGCCTGGCGGAGGATTAGAATCATGGGATATCATTTACCTACTAGCTATGCAGAGATAATTGAAGTATAAAACACGTTTATAGCATGTGGATTTCGACCAATGCGGGTCCGCCCTGCCCGGCGATTGACCCTGGTCCTCCGTCATAATCTCTGGTCCAAAACTCGTCCGCAATCCGCCTTTCACAGCCATCCATCACAATTGATCCTAGCCGGTATCACCTAAAGGAGAGAGGATCTGCCTGGTTCCGTATGGCTCCCCCAGGATAATTAACGGATCTGTCTCTCCTGTTGTGATAGCATCCCAAACTCGGGTTAAATTGCTGTCACTAGCTCTAGACCGGTTCGGATAGCATATAGTTCGCCTTAGGTGCCGCGAACCACAAGAGCAAAGGCTCTTCGATGGGCACCTATGCTCGTGTACATCGTGTAGAGAGGGACCGTGTTTCGGACAACAATGCTGGTGTATTTGTGTAGATGTTTAATGGGACCACGTCAGAAGTCGGGACGTGTGTCTCAGAAGCTCAATCTGCCAATTCTGGCTTGGCAGGCCCACATTTGAGTTCGCTTGTCGGAAGGAAATAAGGGACTGATTTGTCGGACGGATTGTGTTGCCGGTCCAACGCATGATGGGAATCTGGCGGTCTGGTTGGAATCGGTCTTGTCGGTCTTTTAGGTTTGTCTAAAGAACTCGGTGCTACCCAAAGAAAACCCCAACACGCGCTTCTGTCGACACCAAAACCCAGCGAGTTGTGGGTAATTGAAGAAAAAACAAAGCGGTCGAGGGATAAAGCGGGAATTTATAGTCTTAAAGTATCAGGACCTGGTGGGGTATCTTCCGGTGTTAAACACACGCTGCATCATGCATGCAGCCCGCATGGATACTATGCTGTGAAGGTCGATTGCTGGGGTTGTCGGCCAAAGATACCGTATGCCCTAATGACTGTACTTGTTTGAGTTCGAAGCCAAATTTAAATACATGTATCGTTTCTAATATTCTCGACGATGGATCCTGGCAATAACTGAAGCTAAGGTTGAAAGCATTGCGGCGTGTCTAACGTATTTATACTTCTAGAGTGAGAAGTCAGGCTATCAACAGGACGCTTGTGCGTGGCCCAGGCCAGACATGCAATTAACCGCCCTATTCATGAATCCAGCAAACAGTCCACCAGAACATTTCGGATTTGGAGAGACATCTAGTCTAATGTTTATTAGTTATGCATATAGTTATCTCAAGCATGATAGACACGTGGACCCAATCTCCATCATCATCCAACTCGATTTTGTCATTTACACTTGAGGAATACACCGAGTCCTCAAACTGTGCTTCATATTTTACAATACTTGATTTCGCCACATTGCTATTATTGCTATGGTTATTATGAAGTCCTAGAGCCATCTGAGGACTCTTCCTGCGTCTAAAACTTACAATATGGCGCGGGATAACTAGCTATAGCTGATCCTTTTCAGACGCCTATCGTATACTACACCAACACGATAATCTCTAGGATGCATGGTTGGATTCTCCCCGAAAGCCTGGGGGAGGCTAAAGGAAAAATGTGGATCCTGATCAATTGAGTGGAGCCATAATTGAGGTTAGTGTGCTTGGAGCTATGGCGTGTCACGACAGAACAGTGTGACAACGGTCCGGATCTGTGATCCAAGCACTAGCACTTAACCATGGCCAACCCCAAGCCTTGAAAATGTGCAAGTGGTTGGACAGCTGTCAACTCCCAAAAGCTCACCAAATGTGCTTTTAGGATTTTGGTATCTTAGGACCCGCTTCCTGCGAAGGCCTCATGTATGCCAGCCTTCGCCTGGTTTCAACGGGTCTAGTAAGTGCCAGATCCTGAACTATACCGCCTCCTTCGAGCCAATGTTCCCAGACACCTTGGAACAGTATCATTTTTCAATTTCTGACGTCCAAACATCTGAAGAGGCTTTGCGAGGAGCTATGTTTTCAAGAACAAATATTTATTCTATAGATCTAGATATTTTACACAACATTGGTGTATTTGAAGGCAGACTTTTTGTGCGCGGGAAAAAAAAAAGAAAACTCGATTCCCCTATGGCAGTATGACAAGTCAGAGGTTCATTTATACATGCGACAATAATTAAAACTTTCGTCTAGGACTGGGATCCTTAGGCAGGATCATCAATATTTTCTTTGGTTTACGCTTCTGGGGTTTGCTAGTATAATAACTCTCGTCAAGGTACTTACATACGTCATGCCCGAGCTAAAGCCTAGTGCATAAACATTTCGGTATTTTGGATGGTTATCATAAGGATACATTGGAGCTAAATTGAATGGAAACCAATCGCTCAGGTTTTGGACTAATGGGATAAGGATTTAGTGCTGGACTTGAAGTTTTTAAATTCCAAAGCATCGATTGTGGCTATGCATATATCGACGCTGCGATCGCTAATGATCCTAGATTTCCCACCAACGAGACCAGATTAATTCCCCAATTACACTAGACGTAACGATACATTACTAAACTAGTGCCGGCCGATTGTCCAGTATTTAAAATCATTAGAGCCGGAAGTATTAAGTCTCTGTCACTGCTATCGCATTATTTGTGGTGTGTACCCTTATTGGTAATCTACCGGTTCTTGCCTTAACTGAACCGAAGCTGACAATTAATTGAAATTGTATCAGTACTTGCATGGTATATCCTTCCAATCTCACCGAGAGCATATGCTGATGGACGTAGCCTCCTAGGAATGGCCAATTACATAATAATGCCATATCGCGCTGGCAAGAAATTTCGTGCTCGACGGCATATATAACAGGTTTTGGATTATAATTCTTGGTGTGTGTAACCCACCATTATGCATCAAATTGACTTGATAGAGATATACCGAAATATTTTATCTTCACATTTACAATCGACAAACTAGTTTGCCATTTTTTCTTCTCCCCTGCTAGGAACATATTTGAACCGAAAGGGCTGCTTTCGACTTCAGGGATAGGCTCTCTAGTGCTGCAGTAGGAGTGTGGATTTTCAAGGTAGCGGATTAAGCTAGCCCTAATGATATGGCCAACGAGCTCAGCACCTCAGAATGCAACGTCTTGGCAATCGATCTAACCGCCCCTTCCTTGTGAGATAAAGGCAGCACCGGAAGTTTAGGTCTTAGCGTCTAGAGGAGACAAGAAGTTTATGTATATATATTTAGGCAGCTACTAGCCTTATGTCTCCGGAAGAAGACTCTAGATCTTAGGTGGTTCGGTGCTATCGTCGTGCGAAATTACATCAATACATGTACAAGATAGTAATGAAGGATGTTGGACAGATTCGAGCAACACAAACTGAGGATTCGAACACAGACCACTAGGCCACTATAGCAGTTAGAGAAAGGAATCCTACATTTGGCTCTGAATCAAGGAGTAGCAGATGTCGATTTAAAAGACTTATGATATGCAATGCCGCTCCAGGGGTATCTACGGACGCAGCGTGGCGAAGTTTAAGCTTAAATTTTAGGCTAGATTTCCTCGTGTAACCCTCTTGACCCGCGCTAAATTAATCCGCGACTGAACCTGAACAACACATTATGCATAGGAGATCGACTCTCATATAATATATGCGGACAAATTCAAAACCCGGACCGTCGTTTACGCAGCTAGCGCCAGACGCTGGTTACCGCACTACAATGTACTACGACTATTAAACCGGTTTAGTCACAAGCTGATATGATACTCCTTGGAGGATTTTAAATAATTTAAGTTTTTGCGCATGGTGGGAAGTAATATTAACAACAATAGTTCATATGAAGTAACATTATGTTCGATTTTTTTTAGGTGATTAATCGGGAAGGACGAAGAAACGTCGATGTACATTTAGAATATCGATATACATAATGTACGATGAGCCGAGGACAATTCAGGCCTCTTGGGTCGACTAGATGAGCTACCTGGCTCAAACAATGCCTAAAATGGAAGCATATGTCAGGTTCGGTACCGGTAGCTTCCGTCCAGACACATCTTGGTTGCCGCGTGCACGATCAATCACTAGAGCAAGGAAGGATTGTTCAGGGTTGCCGAATCCTGGTCTAGGCCAGAATCGGGCCCTCCAGGAGTTGTAGGTGGAGGAGGCGCCGTAGGAGTAGGGGAGTATGAGTTTTGATGAGGTTGGTCCGGACCGGGGAGATTTCGATCGATGTTTCGAAGGTGGGCTGATAACCAAGCGAAAAGAGGCCACCGAATGCATGTCAGCAGTTTGATAACAGGTTTTTGATGGGAAACCCAGCAGATGTATCCAGCAGTCGATACAAAAGTTTAGCCTGTATGCAAAGAGATAGGAACTCACGGTTACTTGCACCCGCACCAAGATTCCCAGCGTACTTAAGGGTCCCACCGTTGACGATACCACAAGTCATGTTTAACTCAATAAGCGGGTCAGAAAACTCGAGGCTAGTTAGAAAATGTCTATTCTCTCGGCCGTATATACGTGGAACTCCTTTTGTAAGGTAGCCGCGTATAGCCAAGACTGCTCTTGATGTTCGGGATGCTGAAACAAGGGCGTTTAGACACTCGTTTGTGTCTCGAGCTCCGGGCCGCGGGGTGTCTTAAAGTCCGAAGGGGTCACGAAATGACAGATTCCCTTCAGATGGCGTAAAAAAAAGATTCTTTGCAGTTCGAAATGATGGAGCCCACAATCGGTGAACATAGGAGAGAATAGAAAATACTTTTGACTGGGAAATATATAGTCTAAGCAATCGAAAATCAACTACTGGGGAATAGCACGGAATATATAGTAGTATAATTACAATAGTACGATCAGTCGGACACAATACGAACGTACGACGAAAGTACTTGACTGACCGTAGGACACAGTCTAAGCTCCCGTTCATGTAGATTCTTGCGAGGCTAGTACCATATTCAATTAGCGCATCACGAACTTAGCGATACTTCGATAGGATCCTAGCGAAATTGGTTTTCGCCAGGCGAAAGTTACCGTGATGGGCGCGAACCACTAGTGTACTACAAAGTGCGAAATTATCAGGCGCTGCTATACATGGAAAAAACGGTAATGGCCTATGCGTGTGAGAATGTGCAGCGAACTCTGCAGCACGTTGGCCCACTTTACGTTACAAACCTCCCAATCATAGAATCCACGCGACAATCCAAGCCTTATTAGGTGACATCGAAAGGCGGCATGTATACCAAAGTATTCAAACACATTCTAAATAATTATGGTATCACTGCAGCCTCGATCGATCAATTGCGACGGGTAGAGTCGCACACTTCATGAATTCACCTAGCTTAGCTATCATCTCTACACCTATGTTTCTTGCCCAAATTTGAAATTTGATTATTTCAGCGCTTCTAACTAACCAAACAGAATTAAAATCATGGGCCGCTCGCTCCCAAAATACGAGTTATCGAGGTATGTATAACACGCTATAGAGCTATATGGCGTGGATTTTAATATAATATGCCGTAGTTATGTAGATAGGATCATCAAGGAACTCAGTTTCACGAGATCTTGATGCATCTCTAGCCTTGTTACGGTGTTTATAGCGACCATATCGTATATACCTCGTGTTAATCTACGAGTCTGAAACTCTCAAGCCAAGATCACCAATCGGAACATCGTTGAGAATTCCCTAGCAGTCACCCTAGGCCCTCCCGTGCAGGATAGTGACCAACCGCGTCAATCCAACCAGAGATCGATGCGGTCCCATGCGAAAAATTTTCCGTAAGTACATATGTAATCCGTACTTAAGTACCTAACTTTCAATCCGAATTTAATCAAACAGTTAGTTTGTCAAGTGAGATCAGGTACGCGGCAAACTCTGTATCATTGAATTTAGGACAAACCTTTAGAACCCTGACGAATAAAGGGATTGTCCTACGGTTAGTAACTATTAGCTCCGAGAAAATTCTAGTCTACGTATGCTTAGAAGATACGTAACGGATACCCTAGCCGCGTGCGAGTTTTGCGCACGGAAGATATCCCGTGATAGCACCTTTGATTACCGGTCCTAGGCTGCTCCTTCGCCCTTCGAGAGGTCTAGGACAGCCGCAGGTGCAGGTGCATGAAAGAAGCTGTATCTACAGTCGGTTTCTTTTGCATCAGATGCCAAAACTTTACAGCTAAACGGATATCAGCGCTAACACGCATGCATATGTAAAAAGTTGAGGGCCTACATATGAGCAACTTCTTAATTTGTGTTATTTTGATGAACTGGCTATAAGTTTGACTGGATCTTATCAAGCCCCTCCCCCTTTTTGGTATTCTATTGCCACCTGGTATCGATCTATGCTAGCTGGTGACCGAATATTATATGTACCTATGTAAGATTCACTTCGCGTAAAAAGTTAAAACAAACGATTAGGTCCCTAGCCAATTGAGGGGGAGTATGATGGTAGCATTAGCTAGTCGAGTCGTGGCGCTAAATACCAAAACTCGAAGGTGGGTTCCCGGGTCTGGTTTACGAGACAAACCAAAACTATTTTACTCTCAAAAAGAAAATGCTGAGGAAACCGCCCAAGCCAAAATGATTCGAATATTCCAAAAATCCCGCAGGTAGTCTGGGGCGCAGGCTGCGATTAGTACCAACACGAGAGTTTAGCGTCGAACGGAACTTTGCTTTGTGCTTGAATTGTATAGATCTATCCTAATATCGATAGATCGCTCAGCTCAGTAATTGAAGTGGATGCATAGTCCCCAAAGCGGTTCATGGATCATGAATTGCCTCGCTAATCGATCGGCCTCGAAACCTCGGGCTTTCGGCCGTCATCGGCAGCCACCCGCCTGCTATTTTGTATTCTGTCTACCTTCTATCACGCATGGTGAGATCCCGTCGTTGGTATAAATCCTAGCGAGGAAAGTGTGCTATGGGCCCATGGGTACGATCGAGGCAACGAGAAAGGTATGATGCATGGTAGCAATACACCGAATAATATTGTTAAATTTGCTAGGGTAACTGGAAGCCGCTCTATGCTAACCCACAGTTGAGGAGTCTGGCGACGAGACAATGCTAACCCTCATGACATAATTGCTTTCGAAATTTTGACATAGCACGAGCCTCCGGAGGTAGCTATGTAAGGTGGCCACGGTGGCCTATAGGTACATAGCTATGCTAGCATCTCTGCGGTATTTCTGCGCGCATGTCCCACGAGCAAGCGGAACATGAGTTTACATAAAAGCTGTGAATAGTAGCAATTTTTGAATTCTGGGTATAAGGCTGATTTTTTCTAGCCTCGAATCAAGATTTTTTTCTCAATAGAGACTTATAATTATAGCTAGATACATATGCATACATAGACCCGCGGGCCTGATAGATGCATAGGTCGGCAGACAGCTCTACAAATAGATACTATGCAGACACATATAGAATTTACATAAATACTTGAGTATAGCCTCGAATTAATACAGGAGCTACTTGAGTACATGGTCTCATTCCTAGACGTCACAAAGGGCAACGAGACCGCGTATACATGTGAATAGACACATAGGTAATATCCAAATATGTGCGGCTTGAATTCGACGTTAATATATGCGCATACAATACACCTATACACGGAAATGCTACACCTGGACCTCTCTAGCTAAGTTTGTCGATGTTTAGTCAAAACCTTGAGGTTACTCCTAGCCTCCTTGCTCGGAATTTGGAGGGCCCTTCTTTAACTATCCGCCGGCGACTACAATATTAAGCTAGGCTATCGGTGTTATCATGGTATATCCATGTCGATACTATATTCGGACTAGTTTAAACATGCTGACTTCGGTGGCCGGTGGTTGAATGAATATTAATGTTTGCACGTTGATCGACCGAGGGGCATCTGATTGGTTCGCTATGGTGAGTTCTCTGCGAAATGGCAAAAAGTTCGTGGGAGAATTCAAAAAGCTCCCCCAAGGCAGAGGACGTGCGTCCCCCAGGCCAAAAGCTCCCTGTTCTGCCGCCGCCCCAATTGGGATAAGCTTTGAGGCGCTCCTAATGTACTAATTTGTCTCGTCGCCAGACTGCGGACCGTATAAAAATGTTTTGATTTGAAACGAAATAGGTCCCTTGCTTTCGTTAATTGAATCGATTGAGTGCATGTACACGTGCCTGATAAAGCTTATATAGTAATTAAACGTGGACTTAAGGTTAACTAAACGTTCTCTTTCAATCCCGATAACTTTAAATGTAGCATGAGTTAACGGGTTTTATAGGAAGCAAGGGGGGGCAGCACAGTTTGGTGATGACTGGGGGAGCAGCCTAGTTTAATATTTTTGAGTCCTCAGGGCTAGCTGATCAGCTGAAGTCCTAGGTGACACAAGACTACTCGCTGATCTGGGCTGGCGTCATCTCGTTGTCGATCTAGTCAGGGCAATTAATTATATTACTTGACCAAACCTTTCAAAGCCTATAAAAAAGTATTGGGACTTCGATAATAGTACAAAAATTAAGCAAGATTTACCATTTAGAACACGATTTCTCGCAAGGGGAATTCGGAGAGAAAGTGGTTCGTGGATCCAAAGGCTTCGAAGTTTAGGGAAATCATACCGGCCTTCTAACTGGTCTCGGGGCGCCGGCGTACTCTTGTGTTGGCTGATTTCAACTACCATAATGTAGCCTGAACGATCAATACGGCACATGCACGGTCTGCAGTCTGGTGACGGGGCAAGTAGTAAAAACGCCCAGCTGTGAACCGCCTAAATTCTGACTTGGAAATAGAGGGATACGAGAACGCGCCCATTGATACCTTTTATGGGGATATTACGCCTCTATATTAGTGTAGTCCGTTACCATGGGGTTTTCGGGTCGCACGGCCGAGCGCACAGCATTCATGGTCTTCGTGAATCATATGATTGCATTGCAATCAAGAAAAATAAATTGCCAGCGAAGCTAGACGCTTTAGAATATCTCCAGGAGAACAATTGAAAGCAGAAAACATCTAAAGCTACAAAACGCAGAGGGCAAGATGAGCTCGCTAAACAGGAGACATCAATCAAGCGTTAAGGAGCTGTCTTCTAGCGTCGCTACCCAGTATCTTCCTATGCCATCGCAAAAGCAACTAGTGTTCTCCCCGTTACTAATGTGAGTTATCCCAAGTCAATCCACCGGTTTGCGAGCCATCTGGACGGGGTCTAGTCTCGACAGATCTTCCACGATCCGCAGACCCATTGGAATCGGGAGTGGGCCCATTATCGGGGGCCTCGGAGGGCTGTGGAGCGATTGGAGTAGAAGGCACTCGTGGAGGATCTTGAGTTGGCAGGTTTTGATTCGGGATGGAACCTAAATGGGCTGTCAACTATGCAAAATCCTCGGGTCTGTCGATTTCAACCCCAAACTCACTGTTGGTGCCAACAAGATCAATACGGGAAGACCCAAGATTTTGAGGAGAGCTGCAAGGTGCCATCCTGAGAGAACGTAGCGAATTGTTACGAATGCGTATAGTTGGGAAGTTTCAATTGAACGCGTTGATTCTATTGTGTAAACCGGAAAGATCTAGGATTGATACTGGTGTTTACTTCCTCAGAAACGGGGGGCAAGTAATGTCGGCATGGCTGTCATTTATAGACGATGGGATCGAGAGCAACGCAGATTTGACGGATAGATCTGACCAGGCTACTGAGATAGCCTCCTCGGCTTTAAGGTCGAGATAGGAGCTTCGTCATCGGGTGAATGAAGAACAGAGGCTCGAAACTTTGGAACATTTAGCTATAGAAGTCGAGTTCTGAAAACTACCCCGATGGGAGTAGTCAGCGACTGTCCCCTATGGGATACGGAAAGTTCCGATTGATGTAAAGCTCCAGGTGATGCTGCGATGTTACGCTGCTTCAAATTGTTGTCCGTGCAGGAGGTTGTTCTGACTATGCCGTAGTTTTTTCAGCGACCGGGGCGTCATTTGTCCACTACAGAGCCCCTGACGTGAAAAAAAGGGTTGGTTGGCCTTCCAGGCGGATCCTAGACTCCACTGCATTCGGCCTGTCATGGAGGGGATAAGAGGGACTAGCTGCTATCCCATGAAAATGTATCCGGGTGGATGTCTTGTAGGGGATGGCCTATCCTGCTGAGGATGTCCTGAAGAGGAGTTGACCTGTGTCAGGCATTCTTCCTGCAAGTTGCCAGGATAACCCGAAATCTTACATGATACAGGTTACAAGTGAAGTTGTCCCACTTGGCGAAAGGTCGTCTCGAAACTCGATTCGGGGTATAGGGCGTAGATTTTCGAAATCTGCTGCTGGAAACGAGACCGGTGCAATTGACTAGAAGGAAGACCAAAATTCGATAGTACGGAGAAGGACAGGGAGCTCGAGTTTCAATTTGGCGGAGATGGGGAAACTGTCGGTTAAATCAACGTGTTGCCGCAAACAGAGCCTAGCACTCTAGTTATCTGGTATACAACTATTATATCGATTCGTCCGTCATCCGCGGCGGGGTTGATTCGTCCGCAACCCCACAAGGCCCTCCTTGTCGGGGACAGAACAAAATATTTGGTGTGAGACCTAACACGAGGCTTGGAATAGCTTTTCAACTTGGTTGTTTTAGAGCAGTCTCAATTGAGGATTTTAGGCTGGTTGGAATGCTACTGCTCAGAGGTGACCTGTGGTGTCACGAAAAAGTCCGTCAGGTGATTTGGTCCGCGAGAAAGGAAAGGAAAGAGGCATCGTGTGTCCAATGCATTCGAATATTCTGAGTTCTTGAGTGAATAGTCGACATGCAATTCTCTGGTAATAATTAATTATCTGATCGAGGGAGTGCCTTCCTGGTTTATCTCGTTGCTGGTGGGTGGTAAAGAGGAATGCTATCTGGAAGAAAGAAAGACGGGGACGATCGAGGGAGAAAGGAATTAAGATGGGCAGGTCAAGGTATTTATATTCCGTTGTTCTCAAATTGCTTTTTGGATATGTTGGTTGACAAAGCTTAGGTATTACTGAACATCCCGGTGTGGACATCTGCTAGCTTAAATATGTCTAGGAGTGGGCCGGGTATCGAGCCAACCGGATACCTTGAGGGGTCTCTAGTCTCGTTCCCTGGCCCCGGCTGGCCACGAGTGCTCGAGGATGGGGGATGGGCCGTAGCTTAACGAACGCCACCAACTTAAACGCTGGAGTGTAACTATCCCCCGGTTTGACAAGCCTGGTATCCTGATCAAGGGCCTTGTTTTGTGAGCCTGATCAGAGGCCTCGATCTCGACCAGACGCGTCGTCGAAAGCCAGGCTAGCTAAGGCCTAGGCTATAGATTGAGAATACTCAACTACGTACTGGTCTACTTACCTCACTTATCTAGCACATCCCACAGGGAAACATTTTGAGGGAAACCCGATCTTGAACTTCAATTGAAATTTGTCCAAAACTTAAAAATACAATGGCGGACCACGCACGGCTTCTGAGCGCTAGGTACTAGACAGGAATGCGGGAGGAATCTTGCATGCACTCGGTCACGTCTGACGTCCGTGGGACTTTTAAACACCTTTTTACGGAACTGGTAGGGTGAGAAGCTGGAAGCGAGTAGTACGAGTTGATGGAAGGCAATATCATTAAGTCTGGTTTAAGAGATGGTTCAGGAATATTCAGATTATATTAATATACACCTGTATTCAAAAGATTTCGAAAATGGCGGGTTAACTTTGTCAAAAAATGTTATGATAACGGAGAACACACTAAAAAGCTATAAGTACTTAAGTAGGTACCTGTTGACAGTCTTAACTGTTTTGAATTCCGGCGAGTTTCGATATTTTGCATGTGTTCGACCACCAGACTGGCGTTGTGATACGGGATAGGCTATGGGATCCTAACGTTAAGACTCACAGTTGAGGAGTCTGGCGACGAGACAGGTTAAGGCCAGTTGAAAGTTTGCCCAGATGTCATAGCGCGAGCGGAGGCCTAAACTTATAAGCATTTATCATATGGCAGAGGTGGAACCGTCCTGTGAATGGATAGCTTGGGGATCAGGCTGGATTCAACCCGAAACCCCAGGTTATAACATTAGAGCTACTGATGTTAGCGGGTAATTCAAACTTCAAAATTGGTCCGTAACCGATTCTAGTTATCGGTTCTCGGTTATAAATTCTTATCGTTGATGTTGAGGTCACAGATCGATAATAAATTTGTAGGTATAAAGATTCCAACCGACAGTTTTCGTTACAAAAAAAGACGGTTCTATCTGAAATCAGTTAAACAATGAAATAGCAGGGTTCCGATAAATAACCAGATTTGCAATTTGCTTACGAATTTTGACGTTTATGTTTGAAGGCCCCCTGTGCACAGTTTGGCCGCGGGACTAAAATATTCAGGTATTTACTTAAGTAGGTAGTCGCTGAGATGTATCAAAGTTGCCAAATTAACAAACCCATGGTGGCCATGGGATGCCAATGGGTCTCCGAGAACGAGACCAATGCAATGGGCCTGCTACTTTCCTCCGTCTTTGTTCAATGTCATAACGTCAACTAACTATCACGGAACGGGGACAGCCCGTCCATTCTGATGAATTGAACAGTCGATTGTCAGCCGGTGAGGCTAGGCGATTATGGTAATCACAAAACACAATGTGAATTCCAAAAAATTTAAAATGTGATTTCGTGTGATGTTTCTCTTCACAGGATGAAAAAGGGTACCCATTATACTAAGTTACGAGACTGGGAGGTACTTAGCTAGCCGAAAAGTTTTCCTGCATCCTGGTAGGTAGTCGGTTAAAATCACGGTTAGTTAAATTCCTCAGGAGCATGGAGTACTCGAATACTTGTTGGAAATCAGTGTCATACGCAACACACTAGACTATTCCTTGGCCAGTTTGGCAACCAGCCTGATCAACCTAGACAACAGAAAACAACAATTTCAACATATCCTCAGTACGGATTTCCAGCCCGAATCCGTAAGTTACCCGACTTGTATCTAGACTAGTTTTTAGTCCCGTCTCGATACTAGCTGTCTAGCCTGGCTAGCTATAGCTTCGTAAATTAGAAAATGTTTGGCTTTGATTGACTGGACTTGGCTCGCTGGTTTCATATCTTGTCTTTCCTAGCTAGACTTATACCCTCAATACAATTGCATGTGTGCAACAGTTTCCGAGCGAAGTCACAACCCGGCTTGCTTAGCCTCGAATCCAAACGCTCGAGGCGGAGTCGAAAGGGCAGGAGATGAGGTGTGGTGACATGCATGGCATGTTGTAAATTCTATATGGAACTGTTGTCTGGTTTACAAGACCACGTGGAACTAACTCTACAAGGTGGTAGTGGAAGATTAGAATATATATATATATATATACTACTAATGCTCAAATCCAAACTATTATCCCATCATCCCGAAATCATATCCACTAACAAAGACCTGCACCGGGCATGTATACAGTGCTAAATACTTAGTTCCAACGATATGTATACAGGTAAATGACTCTCTACATGATCAATATTTCAAGACATCAATATCGGAGTTTCCATTAGGTAGATTCTCGGAACGGAATGCGGCCTCATTAGTATCGTTATCTGGTCCTGCGTCTGGCCCTGGGGCTGGGGTAGGTGATGGTGTTGGAGATGCCTGAGAATGTCGGTCTACAGCTGTGTTTAGCATGTTGACGTCCATATATGTGTGACCGTTGGGGAAAGAAACTATGAGCAGAGACAGTTAACTATCAATGTTCGGTATTATCCTGAGAAGGAATTTCAATAAATAAGGATTGTAAGGGGCAAACAAATATTCATACCCTGGAGGCGTATGAAAACTTCGTCGTCGAAACTCTCGATGCAGATCATATTGGGGTTTTGCAGAGGGGTTGTGTTTTAGTACTGGTAGCTACTTCGAAGATTCTAAAATTTCCTCAAAGGTTTAGATATAATAGTTTGCCCACTTCGTTTGGACAGGATACCTGAGGCCCTAGAGCCTTGGGAATAAACTCCCCGTAATGGTAATTATCTGATGCTTCAGAAGAGAGGCGAAGTATGGTTTGCAGATAAAGCTCCTCGTTGAGAATCTATCAACCCAAAATCCGATGGAGGAAAGAAATTATATATGATTCGACGGATAGTGTGTAATAACAAAGAATATGACCTAGAATAGAATAGATTGGAAGATAACGGTGCACTGAGAGGAAAAGGAAGGACTGTTGAATTGTGTGGGACTGATTGAAATGACGGCGGGTAACAGGCTCTTTATAGACGTTTTAAAAATATTCGTGTAGGCGGAACGGCGGTTGAAAGAAGTATGCGTAATAAATGAATAAGCCCCTTAAGTCTGGAAAACTCTTGAGCCTTTTGAGTTTCGGCGGGGTCTGCCGTGAACGAAAAAGAATGGTTTTATTTTTGATTCATCCAATCGGGGGGGTGAACTACGTATCAATTCTCGTGACCACAAGGCAGCTTACAATCGTCTTTAGTACCTATGAACCTATAAAATGGTTAATATAGCTACAGCCATGGACTCGATTCATTATAATTGATGTATTTAACAATACGCCAGTTGCATACCCCTTTCAGTCGACTTTCTAGAATCCTGCACAACATAATGCAGATAGATCGGTCACACCATGAGAATACAATCAGCCTTGACACAAGTATACTAAGAATTGTCGGTTCGAATCCCGGTCTTACTTAGTCACCGAGACCCCCTCTGAAAGCATGGGGTTTGCCTAATCTCTTTTCCGAGCGACCAGTAATCATTCTAGAAACCTTCGATATCCTGATCAAGTTGCTGGGTCATAGGGTCATGTACTCATATGCTCATACCCAAGACTCAATCAAGAAGCTCGGGTAGAGTACTATTTTCGGGAGACGCAGCCGACGGTCTACTGTCAATATAATATCACAGCAGGATGTAATACAAGTTCAGATCAATATGACAACGCTCTCTTGCCAGGTTCCACCGGAACTATCTTCTCGAGGATAGACCTAGACAGAATTGACAATGCTTGACCCAAGATCCCCTGTCACCCCATAGCTCCACACAGTTAATAGATTACATCGCGAATTAAGCGAGATGGTTCACGATTAACGATAGAGCTAGCTAGAGTCCTGGTTCGGATTATCTTGGACCTGGTACCATGGTCTTATACGGCAACCTACGGAACCGTACATGCCACAATTAAGATTACACAATGGCGTACTGAGAGTTTACTATTGCCTCATAGCTTAGGCTGCCGTGCGTTCTGTTTTGAGCAAGGGAAAGAGAGTTGTCAGGGTCTTGATGTTAGCATATTTCCAGCCAGTAAATGTTTATCAAAATTATACAAAAGTATGAATGCACTTATCTAAGATACAAGCGTTCGGTTGTTTACGTATCTATTTGTCTGAAATAGGAAAACTTTTTGAAATGAGGGACTGGAAATCGGATAAACGTGTTAGCCCTTGCTCAAACAAAATTGATGGATTGAATATACATATGCACCACATGGTTTCGTTCCTAGACACCACAGAGGAAGGCAGGCATTACATATGCCTTGCATTCTGATGAAGGATGCTCGGGTGTCAACCTGCTATCCCGGTATCCCATGCTTGTTCTTGTTATATATTTTTGCGCGCTCCAGGGGGCAGTGTAAAGCGAAGCCTTCGTAACACCTTCTATTCGCAGATCGGCAAAATTAATTAGACGAGACGTATATTTGAGCATGTCTTCGAGCTCTATTCCATGGCTTCGCTGCATGGCCGAAAAGGGTTAAGGCATACATGATAAAACAAGCCCGCGAAAAATACATGTAAAAACGCAGATAGCTTTTATATTTCGTATAATCATATCTACATGTATACGTGGGAAATTCTCGGCCAACCAATATTGATTAAGACTGTCACATTTTAATTAACTTTTTCAAATTTACGGTTAGTCTGATGATTACGGAGCAGCGCCAAGTAGAGAAATGCACTCTCGCCGATGATGAAGCCGCTAGATATCAAAATACCCGAGCCGAATATGGTGACCTTTTCGGGATTTTGTTATTAATCGCGATTATTATATAATTACAACTATGAACACTATGGGGAAATCGAATAATTATAATCGGTCGAATTGCTGCTTGTTATTTAGACAGGTTACACAGCTGCAGATCTCAAAATCTGGTAGTTGATATAAAGCAGGAGCCATTCGTATCTAAAAATATGACGGCTTAATCGCCGATCCAATCGTGCTTATTTGAGTGGGACGTTAAAACTGTGCGAAAGGCATAACCCCATGTATGACATCGTTAACTATGTTAGCAGATAACATACCCCGGGCATCGGATAATTCAATGCCTCGGATGTTGATATAGTTAACCCCTCGAAACACCCTGCCTACAGTATCTGTGTACTGTATCCGAGATAATCCGAGAGAAAACGAGGCTAGCCGACCATTCCATGGATTCCAGCGCCCAATTCAATCCCAAAGTGGTGATGGAGTATTGTTGTCGCTGGAACATGCGTGCCGTCCGAATGCGCTGCTGAACAACAAATAGGCTGAAAGTTAACTTGAACTCCACGTAGTAAATAGTGAGCTCTCCGTTATGCCGTTATATTCTGCGCTCCTGAGATAGTGACTGACTGACTGACGTGGACAGGACGGGTATGAATCGGGAAGCTCTTGCGTCGATCAACCTATCCCCGCGAGGACGGATTGACTCTAAGTTCAGTCAATAGCTTGTGATATCCAGAATAGCCGGTGATTCCGTATGTCCTCTTGAGCCGAAACCCTTTTACCCTGCTTATATGCATTGCATTGGAATGTTGCGTCTTTGGGGGGGAGTTTAATATAATGGGGTCTGCGGGTTCTGTCGTTAGCTAGATGTATCAAGGCCGGCTGAGCTCGTTGATTAGTTCTTACTGTGATTCGGACCAATGATATTATATCAACAACTCCATATTGCATCGGTAGTCTCCGCCTTCTGTCTGAGCACGAGGCAAGCTTTCAAGGCTGTGATATAACAAAACAGTTCAATTGACGGCCGGATACGACCGTGCCAATCAAGTATTATGTTATAGTTACAGTTGAAAGAATCGTCTTCTCGGGGTTAAAGGTTTTCGAAATATCCGAGAGGCCCCCAACCCACACACACACATTACCCTCCCGCACACCCCACATTGCCGTCGAGAGCTTTATGAGCTGTCAGTTTGATTGTGTGTAGCTACCGGGGGGATTTGGAAACGAAAATTCGATAATTTCGACTGAGGTTTAGCCACGAAAAGAAGCTGACAAAAGGCCGCGAATTTTGAAAGCGATTGTGCAAATAGAGCGACAAGTAAATTAAGAAACATTATTGTAGGGTATCAATACTTATATACCAGGCCTGACAGAAACGATAAGTCGCGATCTTCCAGGACGGACAAAAGACCAATAGAAGCTTCGGAGCAACCCGCTATATCAGCAGACAAGGGCGATGGTGTGATCAATCAGCTCAAAAAGTTTCTCCGGTATTCGTCTTGAAGCTGCATGTAGGTTGCTAAATCCGTAGAAATTTCGATAAAGACATACATAATCTTCCGAAAATCGTCTTCTTGTGGTCAATTCCCTCCGAATTCCGGGACTTTGAAAGGCTATTTTCCGGCCTGTTTGGATTATCTTTTACTTCAGAGTTATCTAATTCATAAACTGGCTAACTTGGTGTGATATCACAATTAATTACCTACAAGATTATCTTCAGGGATGTTGATTTCCGGGCTGCAGTGTAGACTAGCGCTAAAGAGTATGCGCAAGGTGAAGGTTCAACGACTGCACATCAATGGAATGTGCTTCGCATACATATGCATATACGTACTGCTGGCTTTGTGGGGGGCATGTGATATCGATCAGCCTCACGAATCTCCGTCAGAGACGACTCCAATGCTCGAGATTTCCCCAGTTCTAGCTATAGGATTAGTTGAGTTCGAATCAACTTGAGCACAGAACTTCAAATTATTGCTATAAGCAACTGATATATAAAATTCTCGAGCTTCGAATTACCAAATTACACAAGCTTATCTACGGGTGCTGCTTTAGATTCTAAGCTTCATAGATCCATGGAGGAATCTGCCGAAATCTAAATCAAATGTGTCAGAAGTATAAGGCGACACGATTTCGTCGTTTGTTGCATGCATGCAATGTTGCATATTTGCGTCGTCTCGAGGCCCGGATCTGTAAATTGACAGCTTTGATTGGCTAACCCCGCCCCCGCGATCGAGAACCGTGCCTGAAGTTGAACTTGGTCGCAAGACATGTGATTTGAAGACACATATACTTTCCAGGAACCATTATACACCAGCCGATGTATTGGACGATTTTTAATTTGTATGTACGTGTACGTTAAACATCAATTCATTTACAAATCAAGTCGCGAAAACGGCAGAGCTTAGTGGCAACAAGCCAGCTGTACCCGATGGTACGTAGCATTGCGCAGCTTATGCTAAGGCGATATCTATCGCATCGAATTCTGCCCGCCTTGTTCCTGAGTACGCTATGAATATGCGTATGTAAGTATATATGTCCCAAACATCTGCGACAGAGCTAGCTATGCAGGAGAAATAAATTGCTGGGCAAAAGAACGTGCTTTGGTGACTTATCGCGCGCTAGCCTTTAGCTATAGCTAGCTGCTAGCTACGTACATGCATACTATTTGCCTACATTCATGCATAACCACCAGGTGATTAACTCGCCCATGCAGTCCCAGTTAACCAGCCATTCAAATGATAGCCAACCGATCGCAGTAACGAAACTTACACTTAACCCGTCATAAAAGCTTGGGAAGGAGAATTCCGGAAAACTTTCATTGGAATAATACGTTTGCTCCTTTGGAAATGTTACAACTTTAGAAAGTTTTCCCATGTGAAGGCTGCAGTACTGTGTCTTTTTTAGGATAGAGCTCTCGAGGTATCTACCGGCCGTATAGAATTAATATAATATATCACCCTTGTCTGTTTATATGCATCTCTCTATCCACCGGAAGATACCGACCCACATCCGAGGAATGTAGTTTCGAGACGGCAACTAACATATCACCACCAGGATATCTCTTCACGAATACCAAAAATTTTCTCTCCGCATGCATTTAATATATCAATTCTGCATTAACCAATCCTTCACTCTCTAATATAAGCCCTTGATAGGAAATCCTTCACGAAAAACTTTCCAATTGACTAGTAGGCTCACTACATCCCGTCCGAACCGGCTGTATCATTACGTTTAAGTCCTAATCAACCCGGATCCACAGGTCCGTCACAAATTCAAATCCTGCCATATGAGATAACCCCCAAAGACCTCTATGCAAGTTCCAGCTGAGATTATAGTCATCTGATACTTCTCATGCGGGATCCCCTAGAATCCTTCACTATTCGACATGCAAAAGATTGCACCTAACGCAATTAATCCGTTAATTATATCGAAAAAGTGGTCGTAAACTATTTAGCCGTTCGTTGTGTGACGGGTTCAACGGTGTCGTCTCACAGCCTGGGCGGAAGGTCTACTTCGACAGGCTGATACCCGTTTTGACTTCCGTCAGCTGCCCGGCCGAAAGAATCGGTCACATTCTTTCTCTTTTGACTTCGGAGCCTGTTCGGTGTTCTCAAAATCCGACAGACCGTGATTTAACGCACCAAGGCAGTTCAAAACTAGTAAAACCCTGGATCCGACGCGATGAACCAAGAAAATTAACCCTTTTGAATCAGCCGGTATCTTCGCCTTGAGCTTAGCCCTGCCTGTAAACATCAAGCCTTCTAAGAGATAAAATTCTCGTAGCATCTAGTACTATAATCCTCATAATATAAGCAATCGGTGTTTCTTTGTTCTGTTAGTTCTAGATACAATCCAAATCAAACCCGTTTAATTAAGCTTATTCTAACGTGCGGTCTCACAAAACTTGTGATACGTATCTCTTTGAAGGTTAAAACTATGGAGCGATCTAGTTGGTCACTGCAATGTCTTCAGTTCGAATCTGCCAGACGACAATATGCTAGCCCATTCTTCTATGCAACCCCAGCGTATATGTTTCTTTTCCTTTCCTTTTAACTAAGTTTTCCCAACTGGGTATCCACAATTCGGATCGCGATCATGCAGGCCCGGACTCTATATCACATAAACACTCTTTCTCTGTCTCGGATAGGCTGCTTTACGAGACAAAATCTTTCTGATTTTTATTGTGCTAGTTTGTTTCCTTTTGCAAAACTTCTTTGTCACATAATCCATACCTCGTAGCGGATAATCCCCAGACTACGGATAAGGCTTCTTCAAACCTTCTCTTCCAGGTCTGGGCACGAGACGTCGACAAGCTTAGGACCCTCTATTTCCTTGCGCGCATGCGTTATCCTCCCTCCTCGTTCTCGAGTCTTCTTCTATTCCTTAAGTCTTCTCCTATTCTCCCTCTTCGTTAAGACTTCACAATCGTTTTATATATGCACAGGGTGTTAATTAGAATTTAAAGCACCTTGGTAGCGTAAAGGATCGCACATAGATCCTGCAAAGCGTATGTAAGTCCGAGATATATGGATATTAAATTACTATTGCAAACCTTCACCTCCATCAATACACCTACTACAGCCGGGCGTGGATATATCAATCGTAATACGTTTTCATTTTGGAAAATATCTACTCCTCCTCCAGTTTATACTAGCAATACTAAGAAAACTACCTAGTAGTCATAAAGTTGTTCCTTCCAAATAGCGCTCTCTATCAGGTTCCAAACTACGGTTTCTTGACACCCAAGACTTCCATACAAGACCTAATATTACCCTATCAATACATTCCTATTGCATAACTCCACATCATACCTATATATACTACGTCCCTTCTTCCCGCAGCATAAATGCTACCCTTCTCGTATAGCTAATCTCGTATTATCATTCTCTCATGTCACTATCAGATTTTGTGGCCCTGTAATGCTTGTACCCAACACTCTACACGTTAATATTTTAGCTCTCTAAAATATATGGCATAGGACCCCCATTATCATGTACTTCATTATACTTCATTATAAGCAAGAAGATATATAATACCCAAACACACTAGACAATTACCCTCCATGCAACGTACTCATTTATGCATAATATCACAAAACCCCCACGCAGAGTATACATCTCGGAAAACTTTTCTTCTTCTTCTTCTTCTCGATGACCCTTCAATCGAATCTTCGACGTCAGAGAGAGAAGGGAAAAAACAACTTTTCCTAAACCATCACTAAAAGAAATGGAAAAAAAACGCAATTTAAACAAACCGAATGAGCTAGAGGACCCTCAAACGCTCAAAGTAACCACCGCTGGATAGAGGGGGGAAAAAAACACTCGCTAGCTTATCATGGTTAAACGGAACCCCGGTTTAAAAACGTCAAAGGATAGGGAAAAAGAAAGAAAGATACATGAAGTATTCGATTATTCCATATAGCCTTCACTCCCCAGCAGTCCACCCTGCTAACTGTAGAAATTGCAAACTCCCCCCACCGTCCGTTGCACATAATGCGTCAAATTTCAGAGCAAAGTAATAGGCCGCCACGTGGAGAACAAGTAATACGACGGTCGTGACTAAGAATGGACTAGGTAGTTCCCGAAGCATATTGTTAGCATGACCGATCTGTTGGTAAACCGATTTCTAGTTGGATTCGAGTGTCTATCGCCCCGGTCGATTGAGATTGGGGCGGAGATATAAATTGCATCCGCCTCCTCCTCTGGAAATCCAGTGCTTCAAGTCCCCAATTATCCTCGCCCAAAAGCCCAGTAGGAAACATTACGTACCCGAATAAATCGATCAAAGCCAACAGCAATAGCGAATTGAACACCCACGGATTTGGTGTAACTGGTGAACACCTTCCCATCATCGAAAATACCTGTTCACGCCCAAAAACCCCTTGATAAGCCTCTTTCCACGCTTCTCTCGTGCAGAATTATCTGACCAATTGTCAATAACATACCTTCCCGAAAAAAACCAAAATCTTCAACGCTAGCCAAACTTGCGGCATAATTCTAACCCACCACACGGTGCTCCTATTCACCCCGCCAACCATCACTGGTGCCGTCAACGCTGGTATCTTGACCTCTTTACCAGTCGCCATCACCATACTTCTCCCCACCCTCCCCATCTCAATCCCAATTCCGAACTCTTCGGTATTTGAATAGTCGTCCACGTCATCATCATCTTCTTCGTCCGAAAGATGTGGTTTCTCGGGTAGCGCACGAGGTGAAGCAGCACCTTTCGGTCTTAATATCAAACTCGAGCTTAGGGTTCTAACCGGCACTAATGGTCCCTCCACATCTGACGAGGATCCACTAGAATCATTACCAACTCCCGCTTTTGGAGTTCTGACTCGGGTCTCCAACGGTCCTCCAAATATCTCGCCGGGATTCGTAGCTCCATTATGAGGTGAACCAGGGCTATTTGAAGAAACTGGTTCCGGGAGATTGAATTGGCTAGTGATTTCTCGAAGTTTTGATGACTTGCGTGTATGTGTCTTTCCAGAAAGATGACCGTTTCGAGCACGGGTGATGGAGTTGGAAGGGTTGATGACTGGCGTATTCGGGCCGCTTGGGACTGGTGAGATCCTATGAAAGCGGCCATCATCTGAGAGGCTCAGATTTGGTGGTTTGGGGGAAACAGGTGTTCGCTGCACCTAAAAATTAGCAAGGAAATTCGCTTGTAAGATATATTCCCATTAATAGCAAACATTGCTATAAGAAGGGAACATAGAAGGAATAAACAAAGGTATACCCTCGAAACCCCATCCTCAGCAAAACCAAACTCCCCTCTGATTCCTCCCAAAATATCCGCCGCACTTGGTCTCTTAGCCGGCTCAACACTCAACAGCCTTCCCAAGCTTCGAAACAGTTTTTCAGGAATGTCCACCCGAGTATTCCTATACTTATCGTAGGGTGTACCTCCATATCCCTGCCAGCCCGAAATCTCTTCCCTGAGTTTATCAATCTCTTCGTTTTCTTCGTTTTCTTCGTCGCTATTGATATACGGCAATTTCGCGAAGCACATAAAGTGTAGTATCATACCGAGGGAGAATATATCCGATTTTGTCGAAAAGTTTCCGAGTTCACCGTTTGGACCGACTGCAGTATATAAAAAAAACCCACCAACCCGGAGATACCAGGAAGGGGTAAAAGAAGTTAAGCTCATGTAGTCTTTTTAAATACTCTAGTATATTTTTTCACGCCTTACAACCACAACCGCTCAGGTAGCAATCGCAATTGAAGCGTGGGGAGTAAAGTAATCACCTCGACGTAGCACCTCTGGTGCACAATATGATATTGTTCCTGTGGCCCCTGTAGACCGTCGTGTCGCGTCTTCACGTTGCACTTCGCCAAAATCGCTGACAAGAACTCTTAACTCGGATCCCGGGACGCCTGGATCATGTAACAGGCAATTCGAAGGCTTAAGGTCTCTGTGGATAAAGCCGTTGGAGTGGAGATGACTCAAACCGGCCGCGATATCCCTAAAGAAAGAGATAACCTGGTCTAATGGAAGAAGCTTCGGAGATGACGAATCCGAGGTATTACTCGGAGACCGACCGTTCTTAGATAGTCGGCGCATGCGTAGCTGGGCTTTGATTTGGTCATTTGTTACGGCAGATTTCTTTTCGTAAACGTAGTTTTGGAGGTCGCCAGAGTTACAATACTGGAGTTTGTTAGTAGGCTAGAGTCTATTGACGATATATCAGACATACCTGTTGGAGAATGAAGGCACATGGCACGCTCGGGCCGAAGTCTTCTATAGTTAGCTCCCGTAATCCAAAATAACTTGAAATTTGGAAATGATCGAATAAACGTACTCGATATTTGCATATCTTCCAACCATGCATGCCTATAGGACACTAGATTCTGATGTGACAGCTGCTGTAATAACTGCACTTCCTGCAATACCTTTGCGAGCCATTCATGATCGTCACCTTCATCACAACCATCGTTAGTCCCTCTTCTACAACTTCATTGCCGTCCACAAACTAATACTTACCAACCGGCACCCTCTTACAAGCGAACAATCCCAAATTAACACTGTCAAGAACATGCCTAACCAACAACACCACTCCCTTTCCTCCCTTCCCCAACTCCCTCTCTTTCACAAAAAATTGATTAAAATATCCAGGACTAAAAGCTGAGCTAGAAATCCCATGTGTACTTGAACTCCTAGACCTCCCAAACCTCTCTCTCGCAGCTGCACTAGCGCTCCTTCCATCTTCAATAGGGCTTGGCGGCGTATTCGCCCCACTAGTAGCAGCCCCAACAAGCCCCGGTATCCTCCGTCTCGGAGACCCAGGCGGTGAAAGATGTGAATTCGCAGTATTACTGTCAGGTAATAGCCGTGCGCTCAATATTCGGAAGTACTCAGGTGTTATGAACCCAGCTGTATCATCGGAGGGAGTAGAACCGCTGCCGCCCGAGGTATGATTTTGACGATGAGCATGCGCAGAGGCAGAATCGCGACGAATATCTTCGGCAAGGTCTTCGGAGATAGTTTGTTGACAGTATGGACATGTCGGGCTGCGAAGGGTGGGGGAGTCGTGGGGTAGTATTGGTGGGGATGTGGAGCGAAGCGCTAGTTGACGGGACTGGTGGTCATAGACGACGAGGGAGTTTTCGTGCCGACTGGTATAGTTTTTGTTAGCTATTAGTTAAAATGGGAATTTGAGATGGTGGGAAAGATGTGGTGGAGCTTGATTGGTGGGATGCACGATGTCGATGTCATGTATGTCTGTCTGTATGTAGGTACACTTACAGCACGACACTGGAGCTGTCGCCGCGGTACGGCACGATGCTGTCCATCGCTGACGGGATGATGCAGCTATAGCTACGCTGGAGCAAATAAAATCGACGGATGCTAAAATACTTTGTTCGTAGGAAGTAGATGATAGGAAAGCAAGTCGTTTAGGGACAGATGAGAGCTGCAGGGCGCCCGCTGCCCTTTGAAGGCGGTTGGAAGAAGACGAAGGCGAAAAAGTTGGTTGTCATTATTTCATTTATTCTGGTTGGAGCATTCTTTAGTCATATACAAATCTCAGTCATATGCGAAGTGCGCAAACCAGCCAATAACCAGGTCACAAAAAAACAAAACAAAAAAATTTATTCAGTGCCGGTTAATACCGTCGATGAGTTCATGATCAAGGGGGATTAGGAGGAAAGGGAAGAAAAGCACGCCGGATTCATCGGGTTATGTAGGATTGTGTCACTGATAATGGCAAGGGAGGGGGTATCGTGATATCTATTGGTGGCACGGTAAATGCACGGGTTCAAAAGAGGGACAGTTTCTCGAGCTCGAAGATCGAGTCCTTGAATGATTATACTTGATCAGATCAGAGTACCGATCGATATCATGTCAACTACATGCATGCATGCAAAAACGCCGTCCATCCCGGAACCGAATCCATGGTCTCATGTCTTTGCTTTGAACTCCTTTCCTATCCGTTTGATATTACTCCCTTCCCAATAGCCCCGCCATTTCAAAAAAAAAGCATGGATGAACGCCATATACGTATGACATCCAGAGAAAAAAAGAAGAACAAGCTCATACTCAAAAGACCGTCAAAGTACATACGGCCCGGTTCTTTAAAACTTCGAATATCAAATTCGGGAAACCGTAGAGCTCTACATAGTTTGCATTAGTTAGCTTTGTTTAAGACGAAAAGTGTTTTTTTTTTTATAAAAAAAAAGTATTATCAGGAGACACTGGTGTGATACTGACCTGTATTGCTGAAAGTGTCCCCGTTACTCCTAAGTTGTGAATCTCCATCTTCGAAGCCACCAAGCAACTCGATACTACTACTAGGACTATCGCTTGCTCGGTCAAGTAGCATAGGTTTTGGTGCGACACCCCATTTCTCCCTCAACCTCCCCGCGATATCATCGAACAACATTTCACTGGTCAGCGGGTCTTTATAAGACGGCGTATCCAGGTATTCTAATGTCCACCTAGCGCGTCTGTATCTTTGGAAGTCATAGCTGCCGGGGATGTTCCCATGCAAGATTAATTTTGTGGCAAGATGGCCTGTAGCGGGAGAGGAAGAGGAGGACGTGGAGATGAAAACATCGAAACCGTGATTAAAGTAGTTATAAAAGTAATCCGAGGAAGCAGATACACCCCGAGCATCCGTCCCATCGTCGTCCTCCTCCTCGTCACCATCTGTCTGCTGGTCTTCCGACGTATCATCGGTATAGTCCGAGGTGTAATGATGCTCCGTCCTTTGCCCTACACCTGAAGAGGTCCTGTGAATTGATAGTCTGTGGTCATTCTTCCTGTAGATGGAACTCGGCGGCCCTAGCTCGGCGAGCAAATCCTGGGCGGTGGTCGAGTTCAACGTGATGAAGAAGGGGTTATTATGTCTTCGTACAAGCTCAATCCTCGACTCGGAATGGATCCTGACCAACTCAATTTCATCGTTGGCGGTGGATAACCTGGCAGAATTGGCATTCACCAGCGGCGACCTGGGAGTGGTTACCTGGCGGGTGAACAACTCGTTACGTGCTTCGGCCCAGGAGGAACCGGCATAGATAGCCATACTGACTGCGGGTGAAGCGTTCGAGGAGGATAGGAGGGATACAAAGTCGACCTTATCGTCCCATTTGTACCGTTCAATTGGAAATGAGAAGGCGACACCGGGGTACGATAGGACATATGTTTCCTGGTCCGGGAGATATTCACCGGGAAACGTAGGTCCGAAGAGCTTGTGGTAGATGGACCGGAAGCTCGGAGGGTTCCCATCGGCGCGAACGAGCTCACCACCATTGTAAGACAGTCTTGACTTATGAAAGTCTAAGATCTCTATGAGTCGCAGTCTTTGGTCTGAGCCATCAAATCTCAGCCTTATTCCATTTGTGTCTAATGATACGGCGATTGTCGAAGCTAGAGGATTGGAGGCATCATATGTGATGTTCATAGATGGATAAACGAGAGGATTGGAGCGGAGTTTGGACAAGACATCGAAGAGCGAGGACCCGAGGCCTGTTTATTTTAAGCGTCAGTCCCTGATCAGCACTTCTCTTTACATTCGCTGAGGCATTACATATCCATCAAGATATCAACATTATGGGGTTTATGAAAGGACATACTGAGGATGCCGAGGCCCTTGCCAGGATGGATGGTAGCGATGCCTCCGACCGCCGTCGCCATTCTGATAGCTCTCCAAGCTTCAGTGTAAGAGTGCCTAGTTAGACCGTCTTCTGACTTTGATAGTTGGTTAATTATAACGATTGATGTGTATTCGAAAATATCGAGCAGCAGTAGAATTTCAAGCCTCCCCGGAGAGCTCCCTGAGAAATGCAAGCTGAAAGGGAGTCAGTCAATATAATACCCGGGACAGCTCTGTTGCTCTTAATGGGGAATGAAGTCAAGTCAGTTGATTTGATTGGGCTGCCGGCTGACGTATGGCACACGCAAAACCACAAGCTGTGCCTGTTCCCGGCCAGCCACTCGCATACCAAGTCGTCGTCGTCGTCCCGATCGAATGATGATGAATGTGAAGGAGCATATGAACGAACGAATGTGCAAATGAATGTTTAACCGTATTTACTCTCAGGTCGGAAACATCATAGTTACCTAAGAAAGTCAGTAAGCTCTTAAAAGAAGCAGAGTTGAAGAGAATAGAAAAAGGTGTTGTCGCAGCTGACCTGTTCTCTTGTCCTGTCCTGTTGTGTCTTCTCGTTCCATCATCACATCACTGCCACTGCCACTGTCCTGTCCTCCCCCAACCATCCGCCATCCACCATCCACTGTCCATCTACCATCTGTCAACGTCAACATCAAACCCATCTACTACCACCATCATCATCACCACCACCACCACCGAATACCCCCGACAAATCGCCGCCGCTACCCCACCAGTCATCATGGCTCAACCTCGTGCCTCGTCGGCAAATACTCGCTTTGCCCAATTCAAATTAGTTTTACTAGGTGTGTTGTCCTATCCTATGACTGTCACTATCTCTATCTCCAAAGTCACTCTGCTAATCCTGCCCAGGTGAATCTGCTGTCGGAAAGGTTGGTCTCGCATTCGGTACACTCATAACAAGACAAAATTAAAAAACATCAAAAAAACTAATGAATTACTCTACTTCGATTAGAGCTCGTTAGTATTGAGATTCGTCAAGGTACTATAGTTTGTTCGTTCTATACCTTGTGTGCATACCTGGTGGTGATGCTAACCGGATGCTTCAGGATCAATTCGATGACTACCGAGAATCCACTATCGGTGCCGCTTTCCTCACCCAGACAATCGCTCTCGACGAAAACACCACCGTCAAGTTCGAGATATGGTAATTTTTCCTTTGCTACTCTGCCCGTTATCCTCTGCTCTTGTGACCTAACAGAAAACTACAGGGACACCGCTGGCCAGGAACGATACAAGTCGCTGGCCCCTATGTACTACAGAAACGCAAATTGCGCCGTTGTAGTATATGATATTACACAGGCCGTACGTCATCCTTTTCCTTCGATGCATGCACTACTATATCTGGGAACATAAATCTCTGATTTATTTTAAATATCTGCAGGCCTCGCTAGACAAAGCAAAAGCATGGGTGAAGGAGCTCCAGCGCCAGGCCAACGAGTCCATCGTCATCGCTCTCGCCGGTAACAAGCTCGACTTGGCTACCGCCAACCCCTCTAAACGTGCCATCGAAACTGCCGACGCTGAGGCATATGCCAAGGAAGCCGGTCTTCTCTTCCTCGAGACATCCGCCAAAACTGCTGAGAATGTCCAGGAGCTGTTTACCGCTATCGCCAGGAAACTGCCGACAGACCAGGCCGGCCCCCGACGAGGAGCGCCTGGTATCAGGGGTGTAGATATGAACAGGACACCTCAAACCGCCAACCTAAACGGCCAGGGCTGCGCTTGTTAAACGGGTAGAAACCAGCGGAAAGACCAAAAGCCTAGAGAACGAGAACAATACAAAAGATTGGAAACCCGTACAGTTTTTTTTTCTTCATGGAGAATTCTACCATTTTGGTTTTACGCGCGCGCACACGCACACAAAGTCATTCGCTTTTAGAGGTTGGGGAACCCGGGCTTGAACTCCTGCTAGTTCCCTACCGGGTCATCGCGCTTTTTTCTCAATGACTTAATTGCCCGTCCGGGCGTCGTCTCCCCCCCACATATATTAATACCATCAATAACGGGGATCTCCGGCTCACCCCAAAGCTTTTTATCCCCTTCCTTGTCTTCTACTTCTGTCATGCCGGTGTTTAAGGGTCGTCGTTCTATAGGATTTGGAATTTGAGCTGCAGTTCTTTTCTCTTTTTTCTTCTTCTCTTTTTTTCCTCTTCGTGTCTCTAGTATTCAATTAGTTTACTCTTATCGTCCCCTTCTCACAGGTTTCTTTTTCTCTCTCTCCATGTTTGAAATGGTTTATTGATGATAACCCAAAGGAACGAACTGTACGGAGGGAACAGGGGCACTGGCAATTCGAGAAACGGAGTCAGGTAGAGGAATTTAGAACTCTCGGTGGTAGCGATGGTATAGATGATTGATGCTTTGAGAGTTTTGTCCCCCTTCCACAGTATGCTGCTCTGTTCCCCGTTTTTGTTATTTCGGATTTATTACCATTGATCTGAAGTCTTAATATGTGCATGCCACGTCTTCCTTTCTCTTCTTCTGTGATTGATATCTCGTCTGAGCCCGCTCGAAAGTCTTTGAGATCGTTATGTCTAGTTCTTGATATGGTATGCTTGAGAATATTGTATTTTAACGGAATATAGATCTTCAACTTCTCTATTATATCCAGTTACCTACCTATCTATCTTTCGATGATATCTAGTTACAATCACTCCATGTACAGAGTACTAGGTGCTTTCTTAAATATAAATATTTGGCAGTCTCGTGATGGTGTAAATGTATGACGTTTTCTGGTCGTCGGCAAAGTCGACTTTTCTTTTCGGCATTGGCCCCCTTGCAATACCCAAAAAAACAAGCTGCTGAAAATTATCCCTCAAAACCAAAAAACCCACCCGAACGACCGACATCCTTCGATCCCGAACACCCCTCCACTCCCACTCCTCTCTCCTTATCCATCGCCATCACGAACGAATTCCACTCCAATTGGCACGTCCGCGGCTCCTTATACAGTTGAGCCCTATAGCCAGGAGTGTCCCTTTCTATCCGACGTTGTATATACCCACCCGACCAGTCGGATACTCCTTCAAGATGCTGCGGCGGGCAGCGGTTAGACCGTTACAGAGTGCTTTGGCGATACGGACACGAACGGCTTCGGCGCCAGTAGGATGTCAGTTGGCTTATTTACAGGTACTACCTCATTGCTTCCTTTCTGGTTTGTATCCGGCGATAATGGACTGTTCAATTGGGCTGTGTTCATTACCTCTGACGTCTGTATAACGTACACGCTAACACTTGATATACAAACACCAGCGACGCTTCCTCGCCGATAAGAAACCTACTACTTCGACCACTCCTCCAACCGTCGTCCTCCCCGGCAGCTCATCAACCGTCAAAGATGCTCCCCCGGTTCCTAAACTCGAAACTCCAGTTACACCTTCTCTAACCCCCAAACCTCCTTCACCAGAAGCCCAAGTCCCGTTAACTCCAGACCCGGCCAAAATCCCCACCGCTGCTACAGCCCCACCACCCCCTCCTCCTCCACCACCACCACCAAAACAAACCCACCGTCTTCGTAATACCTTCCTTACTCTCGTCTCTCTCACATTACTAACCTACACCGGTGGCGTCTACTTCTCCCTTCAAAACGACAACTTCCACGACTTCTTCACCGAGTACATCCCCTTGGGCGAAACCCTAGTTCTAGAAATCCAAGACCGTCAATTCCGTTCAAGATTCCCTCATGCGAATCCAGGTACCATCCCCAACCCGCCAAATTACGCATCAGTCACCATTCCAACACGTAGCGGTGCAACATGGAAACTCAGCGAGAAGGAGGATCCGAGCAAAGCTCAATTGGATAGAGATGGACCATATAAGAGTTCTAAGAAGGATGAGGGGATAAAATCGGTTCATCCCGATGCTTCGGCTGCTGTTACTGTTATTTCTGAAAAGGATATACCGGGCCCGAAGTCTGCAGGAAATCATCTGGATAGTTCGAAGAAGAAGGCCGGAACTTCATCACTTAGTTCTCCGGCTATTAGTCCAGCAGCTGTTGAACATCATGATCCGATAATGCACGATTTGGTTAAGATTATAAACTCGGTTATTGAAGTCATCAATACCTCTGACGCCAAGAAACACTTCGACGATGCGATTGTCTCCGCGAAGGAGGAAGTTAAGAATGTCAACGAAAAGATTCAAGAACTTAAAGCTACCGCTCAGGCATCGACTTCTTCTGGACTCGAGGCATCAGAGGTTACTGAGAAACTCAAGGAGCAGGAAATCGAATTCACGAAGGTCGCTAGCGGTATCGTGCAGACCATGGAGGGCCAATTGGCACAAGTTGAGAACAAATGGCGAGAGGAATTCGAAAAGGAACGAGACCTTCTCGCCGAAAGCTACAAACTCAAACTAGAGACTGAACTCAAGCGATCCGACGACTTATCTGAAGCTCGCCTCAAGAACGAACTCCTCGAACAAGCATTGAAACTTAAGCGCCAGTGGATCGCAGAGCTAAAGGACCGAGTGGAACAGGAGCGAGACGGACGACTTGGAAAACTTAAGCAATTGGCCGAAGAAGTTGAAAAACTCGGTGAAGTGGCGGGTGTTTGGACCGAAACTCTCGATGAGAACCTACGAACCCAGAAGATGCATGTCGCTTTGGAAGCCGTAAAGGCGTCGGTCAACAACCCTGACCAACCCCGTCCGTTCGTTAGGGAACTGGCAGCATTGAAGGAAGTCTCATCGGAAGATGAGGTTGTAAAAGCGGCGATTGCATCAATAAACCCCGTTGCCTACCAAAAGGGGGTTTCTTCACCAGCACAGATAATCGATCGTTTCAGACGAGTGGCTGTTGAAGTTAGAAAAGCCAGTTTGGTACCTGAAGATGCTGGTGTGTTCGGACACGCATCGAGTTGGGTGGCTAGCAAGATATTGTTTACAAAGACCGGGTTGGCAACCAGTAATGACGTCGAAGCTATATTAGCGAGGACGGAGACTTATTTGCAGGAAGGAGAGTTGGATAAGGCGGCTAGAGAGATGAATCAGTTGAAGGGATGGGCGAAGACATTGGCGGGAGATTGGTTGAAGGACGTGAGGGTTTTGTTGGAGGTCAGACAAGCTGTTGATGTGAGTATTTTCTCCTTCTATTTCCCATTACTTAATATTTTGCTATCCCTTGCTGTGAATGTCATTGAAAGATTTAGTGGAAAGATGCTAACGGGTTTGGGGATAGGTTATTGCGGCTCAAGCGCGTCTACAGAGTCTTAGGAGGGAATAGATTTTGGAGAGGAGGTCTTTGAATTGAGACTAGACCGGATACAATAGAATCCCATTTCCTTTCCTCGTCTTTGGTTGGGAAACAAAAAAAAAAAGCATTGATGATTGTATTACCGTTCACTTTTCCTTTCTTTAATGTGTATTCCATGAGAACTCTTAACAGAAAAAGGAGGAGTTCTTTTTTTATATATCTCCTTTTTTTCCTTTGATGCCTGGATTTTCATGTGTTCATATTTTTTTCTGATATCTCATCTGCACATATTCTCGCTCGACATCATACTTAGCTTAGCTTCTACAAACTTTTTTGAGATGTTTATATCCCCCCCCTTTTTTTTATCTCTTAGTTAAGATAGATGGCTAGGCACTCAAGTATAAGCCTTTTAGATGGAGCCTGGCTATAGAGATGCTAGCGCTTGTATCATGTAGATATCGATATATATACCCCAGTGTAATACCCCGGGCAGGAATAGACGAAAAGGTCGGGTATAGATTAAGAAAAGGTTCCAGAGTATTACAATTCTGATACTTCTACGGTTTTGTGTATGATTTACCCTACTATACTACTAGTCTAGCTAGTTAGCCTAGCAGCCTACAGAATGACTATTTCTTCCCAGAAACCAGATGCAAGATGCATATGAGCGACAATCGTGGACGTCACCCGAGATCCATGATGGTCCATTACGAGGATGCATGTGGTCCCAAAAATTTGCCCCTCTTATGGCCGTTCACGCCACCCAATTCGAATTAATTCCCGCCCCAAAAATTGCATCCTGGTCATCTGATCCCAACCAGTTCAACAACCGAAAGGATAAGGAAAGGGACCGGCTCCAAGCCAACAGCGGGGAATAACCTAACTAACTGGTTAGTGGTTTGTCTAGCTGCGGCAATCCCCGAGTCCCGAAAAAGCCGTTCAGAAGGTTATGGTGGTGGTGCCTGCCAGTTCAAGCCTGCCAGTCAAGCCAGCCAGCCATCCCGTTTTCCCCTGCCCGTCCGTTGGAGGGGTTGGTTAGGATCGTGCATGACACAGACAGGCCAGCACAGGGTTTTTCTTTTCTTTTGGGTTGGACCGGGGGCCACTTATGTCATACCATGAGTCCATAAACGGTGAGAGAATATGGGTAATTGGTGATGGTTAAGTTAGACCAACATTTCTCCGGGGAATGGAAGAATGAACGAATGAAGAAGAAAAAAAGCAGGGTAGTAGCTCGTGTTCGAGATCATGATCACTTGGATGTTTACCTGAAGTAGGGTCGGTCAAGTACTTGGTCAGTCAGGTACTTGGTCATGTCAGTGTAGAACAGGTTGGTTGGTTGGTTGTCGATGGTCGGAGAATAAAGAGAGAGATTCTGGGGAAGAAGACATGGACAATTATAAAACTGCACTGCGCTGCACTCCTTGCTTGCTTGCTCATATGTACCGTACCTGAATACTTACGACTCGGATCTTATCAATTGCCAATTACTTATTTACCATCCAATCTATTTGCTCCATTGTCTGTCTGATATTATATTATATTATAATTTCAACTAAATTCTAACGGGAAATTCGGATTCGAAGGTTGAATTCTATTTATACTTTTGCATTGGGGAAGTTACTTGTTGATACCTTCACAAAGTATAAATCCTGCCTGCTTCCCACCTCGTCCAGCCGGCCAGACAGCCAGCCAACAGCCAACATAACAGCCAACCCCGCATTATAAACATCATCACTTCTTCTTCCTCCATCTGACTTCTTCTTCCTACTTCTTCTTCTCACCCCTTCTCACCTCTTCTTGAAATAAACCATCATCATCATCAACTATTCTACTTAGTTACTTTCTACATCTTCACCTCCTCAACAATCCTAACTTCCTCTATCCCAAAAACTTAATAAAAAAGTTCCCAAAATGACCGAAGTCGCAGCCTCAACCCCCACCGACGCCCTCGTCGACACCTCTCCAATCGTCCCACCATCAGCACCACACCCACAATTCGAACGTCGTCTCTCCCTCCGTCCGGAAGCCCGATCCCTCGTCGACCGTAACATCCTACACTCGGACTCTACCGTCGCTTCATCCCTCGCAGCTCACAAAGATGAACTCAAACACGCCATGATAGCCGACCACCTCAAACGTGGTCTCGCTTCCCGTCCCGAACGTAAGGAGCTAGAGGAACGTGGTATCCTACCGGATGAACATGTTTCCCCCGCGATCTTGGGGAAGACGAAGGAGTTGGAGAAGAATATGTTGACGGATAGTTTGAATACTAAACTTACTCAGAGACCGAGAGTGGAGGAGGTTATGGAAAAGGGGATTTTGAGTGGTTAGTACTTTTCTCTCTTTCTCTTTATTCCCTTGGCTATCTTTTTTTTTTTTTTGTAGTTGGTAGTTGGGTTAGATGGAGCTCGTGGATAGCTCGTGGAGCTTGGAGAGGGAAGAGCGGTGATATCATCGTAAACGTGCATGCGTACCAGTTAGCTGACTCAACCATGTGTTGTTCGCCTGCATCTAGTCGAGGCGGATCCACGAAGCCCCCATTAAACGGTCATAACCCGCTACATTATCCTACTATGGAAATCTCAAAGCGAAGGCCAGGAATTTGAAAATCGATGTTATTGTTTTTTTGGTTCTTTATTTTTTTCGGACTGCGAAGTCGAGCCGTGGTGTTACTTGGTGGAACGGATTCTAGCTGGAGATAATGGAATGCGAAGGAAAAGGAACAGGAAATGGAAATGGAAACGGCGTTTTACTGCAGGAGGAGGACTTGAAAGGCTTGAATGAATCAAGTTACAACCTCCTTTTTTTGTTCTTTTTGTGATGTGAATGAAGTGAGGTCCTCGAGATATCTTTTATCAGAAAGACGATAAAAAAAAAGAATCAATGAGACGAATCGAGACTTGGGAGAAAGAGAGAAATGGAAACATATTTTTGTATCACTTCGGAGAGCCGTTATTAAATATATTAGTCTAACCAGGCAGCTAGTTCTGCTGGTTTTGTGAAAACAGCCATCGATTGCATGATCATGAACTCGGCCAGACTAATAATGCTGGTGATGGTATACTCAACTTCAAGGGATTCTATAGAATTATAACATGACCAACTGTACATGACTCATGCAGAGTAATTCTATAAATTGACATCTCGAGATCAATCAATCATACAAATCTTCATATCAATCATACCAACCATGATCCCACCAAATACCCCCCTCCTCAACCTCCCCCTCGACATCCTCCTCCACCTGCTAAACCACCTAACCTACGCCGACATCCTCTCCCTCTCCCTGACCACAAAAGGTCTCTCCTATATTACCCCCACCGAATCCACCCCAGGATGGCCCGGAAAACAATGTGTCCGCCGACTCTACCAAACCTTCCTATCAAAACCACATCATGATGAACCAGCATCTGTAAAAAACAATATGAACAACGGATACTGTCTCTATTGCACCCATCCGCTCTGTCCGCCAACTTGTCCATCTGCCCTATTCCTCGATTCGAAAACAGGTATCTTCTATCCGAAATCACTGTACCCATACCAAACTGCCGTTCCGGCTTCTACATCAACCATTCCAGAACCTGTAGCTATAAACTACTATTCTGCACATTTCAGCAACCAACATGATGATTATAATATCGAACAGACTTGTGGTGATAATGATGATGATAACAAACCAACCTACAAAACAATCTGGTGCACCCACCACCGCTGCCCCCAATCCCTCCTCCACAGAAACTTCCACAGTAATAACCCAGAAACAGGTGCATCCCATCTCTACCACGATTACTCCTCAGCATCATGGAAATCTGTCAGAAAATCTATTCAAAACCTCTACATTCGATACCGGATTCCCGGTTTCAAACATAGATTAGAAAATAAATCTTTCAAAGACATCGACATTCAACAGATCATTCCTACCACCACTAGCTCCACAATTTTAAACCACCCTCCCCCTCCTTCACCAATCTGTCCAACAGCCCATACTTTCTTCGACGAACTCTGTACTCACTGCCGTCTCCCCGTCTACGATAGACCATGGTCTGATAGAAAATGTACATGTTGTCAAAGATATCTTCAATACCGTCCCGAAACCTGGTTTATGAGAGGACCCGAAGGCTCATCACCTTGTCGCTGTGACCTTATTAGCGTGAAAACATTGTTGATCAAGGCGTTTGAAATTGGATTTAAACGTGGAGGGAGGAGAGTCTTTTATTTTGGATTGGCGGTTGAAGTTATGGTTTGTAAAGAGGATGTTAGGCCGGACGGGTCGGTGTGGGTGACAACGGTTTTGAAGATGGTGAAGCCTGGGGAGGTGAGGGGGGCGGTGGAGTTGATGGCTGGTAGTAGTGGTGGTGGCGGTGGCGGTTTGGAACGGTTGAAATTGGAGGAAGAGGGGGTGGATGGGTATATTGATTGTGAGAAGTGTAGGACGAAGAGTCGTGATTGGGAGGTGGATCTTGGATGTTGAAAAAGGTGTTGTATTTGTGGTATTCTTACAGTCTCGACGCTGACTTCGACCGGGTTATGGGTTAACAGATGTCAACGGTCCGTTTTTTGGTTGTAGAATTGATAGCATATACTTACGGCAATGCGGTGTTGTAATTCCCAGACTAGGTAGGTACTCAGAAATGCTATAGGAAAATAGATTTTGATCAATGATCCTGCCAGTATTTGCAGTTCGAACTAAAGACAGTCCACTTCAGTAGGTATATAGTATATATATTTCATTCAAGAGTCCGAATTATATATCAACCCCACCCTAGATCTATAGACCCAATGGCTATAACTCGCCCTGCATGCAGGCCGCATACCATCGATAAAACCTCGACTGTAATACCCTGGGTACCTATCTAACATGAAGAGAGAAAAAAGGGAACATGTGTGAGATGAAAATAAAAAGTAAAGGGGGTATAGTATATATGGGAATGAGTACGTCGGATCTTAGCTAATTAGCTATCTAACTACATAGAGCTGCCCATCTAACGCTTCAAAAGTAGTAACAGTAGTCGTAGTGGCCGTAGTAGTAGTTATAAGCATTGGGGGCTAAGTAAACAAACAAGAGAAAAAAAACCCAATTGGATATTATTTTAGTTTCGATGAACGCCGTTGATTTCTTTTTTTGTCCCAAGCAAAAAGAGAGAGAGAGAGCGCTCATGAACTTATGCCTTCCGCTTTCCTAGCTGCAAAAATAAAAACAAAAAAGACGAAAAGATGATCGACGAAATATATCTTTCGGGTCCTGCAAAACAAAAAGTAGTTGAAGGTGCTGCTCGACAAATAGCTAAAGCCTTGCCACGCAAAAGTAACAAAAGGTAAAAAGAAGAAGGAGGAAAATAAAAAGTTAAAGAGTGTCCCACCCAGGCCGTGTCGTCGTATCAAAAAAAAAAAAGGCGTCGATTTAGAAGAAGAAAGAAAAAGAAGCAGGTACGTATATGTAAGTGTATACGCTCGCGAAAATATAATAGTATATGTCGTAAATGTTTAAAAAGTCGTATAAACAAATGGAAATGCCAGCGAGATGGGTATCGTATGCCCAATCAGTCGCTGGGGAGATTTTAGGTAAGATTAATTCCCGCCACCACCAAGCAGGAATCGGTCTTCAGCCTGTCGTCTTCGCTTCTCAATAACACCTCGCATCCGTCTTCGTTCTTGGATGAGTTGGTCCCAAACGGAAATGAATCGTACTTGGCCTGGTTGAAAGTTAGTTTAAATTGGAAGCCTTCTTGATGGATATGGTGGATATGGAAACGTACTCTCTGCATCCTCAAACTCGATCTCGAAGGTTTTGAACATTGGGAAATTTTCTTCGTCGTCCGGGGCGAGACCTTTCATGTCAAGCCTCATACCACCCTTCTTTCGACCCCCACCCACGACTTTGGCTTTTACACCATCTCGAGATTTGAACAAAGCCCGACCGGTATATTTTGTTGGTTCGAAAACAAGGGTATTGCCTTTCTTCGACTGACGAAGTGTGATATCATCCGTGACTGTATTCCCAAAATCATTAGTATTAGAATAAACTAGGAAGAAGAAAAATGTAATGCATACTAAACACGGTCACAAAATCGTTCGATCTTCCCAGATAAACCATCATTCTGGACCATTTGAGTCGCATGATATCCGGGTTCGCATGAGTCCGTGAGGTTCCCACGGTTACAAAAGATGCAGAATCATCGATCGTGCGTTTATTATTGGGGGCGGGGTGCCAGAGTTGAACTCTGGTATTGTCAATTCGTCTGGTTTCTTTGGCTGCGCCCTTTAGTCGTACGAAGCGGACGGTTTCACTATATTTATGCCATTTGTCAGTGTTGGATCGTTTAAACATCGGATTGTAAGATTTTGCTATCACTAATCATTTTTTTTCTCTCTCGCTGCCATGTGCGGTGCAGCGCATATGCATACGAAAACGCATAAGGCAGAACACCATGTGCGCATTGTGCATATTTTGGAAAGAGGGACTTAAATTTTTAAACCCGACGGAATATATGAGGGGAAACATGCTTACATATCAAGATAACAAATCTCGCCCAAGAGAGCGGCTTGGAAGTCAAGCATTTGTGGAACGTCTCGAAATCTCAGTGATGGGATGGCCGGGATCTCTTTCTCTGGCATGATCTCGAGGGGTCGGCGAGATTTGTTGACGTCCTCCACCTCACGGAGCCAGAGTACCGGGCGAGCGAGAGGGTCGTAACCACTGTTTAGTAAAGTTCACATTAGCTGAGGCTAGCGTGTGTGTAATCGACGGCTAATCTTACTATTCTGGGATAATTTCCAATTCCCGGGATCTGAAGTGCTGTGAATGAGAGATTGGAGCAGAAGGGTTGCCTAGTACCGTGGTGACAAAACGGTAGACATCTGTGATAGAGTTTCTGTAGACGCGGATTTCCGATGGATCGTATCGTCCCTCGACGGTGTTTGAGGTTTCAGGAGACCTAGGTATTCTTTAGCATATACACCCATAAAAAGTGTCAAGAATTAACTTACCCGTTATAAATAAGAGCCTCGCCAGGCTTGAGATTTTCCTCGCCTTTGCTATCTTTTGAGGCGATCGAAGGGGGCCTTTGGCCACGAATCAAGAGGTCAGTACCCAATGTATCAGGTGAGAACGGAAGATCCAGATAAGGCTGGCGCGGCTTGTTAGCTGCGATTTTCTTTTCTAAGGGATCACTCGAAAGAAGGTTTACATCAGGAGCAATCGCATAGGAATTATTTCGTGATATTCGTGCGAACGAATCATGGAAATCGATCGGATGAGATCTGCCCACTGATGAAGATTCTGAGCCTCGATGTCCAGGAGGGCTAATGATTGTGGTAATATCCGAATCCCGTCTCAGAGGTGGGTTGAAAGGACCAGGGTCGGATGTCCTCGAAGAGGGGCCAGCTGAAGAATCTCTGAAGTAACTTGACGATCCGTGACTAGGTCGTCCCGATTCTGAGGATTGACCCGTCGAACCATCTGAGTATGAAGAATCTCGCTGGCGGGGTAGGCTGGTCTCCCGCGGTGATCGAGATCCAGATTCGTATAGAGGCAAAGGCTGATAACTCGGTGTGATCAGTGGATGGAGTCCAGTATTCGACGCCGACCCTGCGGAACCCGTCGATGATACAGGTCGCCTCGGTATTCTCATCGACCCAGCTCCTTGATATGGTAGACCGCTACCGATTGGTGGGCTGTTCGGTACAAAGTCTGCCGATAAATTTGTAGGCGAATCTGATGAGCCTCTGCTACTCAAGGAAGGCTGTATTCTCATCCCACTGATATGGGCAATCTCATCGAATCGTACTTTGTCTCTTTCCCTTTCCCTGTCCCTAGCGTTGCTCCCAGTATGTGAAACGTAATACGTAGGGCTATGCGCCGGCGAGCCGTTCTCCTGGCTATCCAGTGTCTGCGTCGAGTTATTTCTCGAAGAACTGCCTGACTGGCTACGTCCTGTATCCGAGGAGTTCGACATTGAATTCGTCCTGTGAATACCATAGAATGCCTGGTTGTTCGAAGGTCTTCGATGCGACCTGCTGGTACCCCCATTGTGTATCCCGATGCCCATGCCGATGTACTTCACACCTGTTCCCCATATACTAGATTCCTTTTGGTTTGGCATTTGTAGTACTCTCGGCGAGGCTGGCGATACTATAGTTTCCTCCTCTGTGTGATGGCTTATTGATGCCTTTCTAAACCGACCCTCTCCATCTGTAAGTCCTAAATTGGCCATCTGCTCCGACATAGTTGTAGGCATTGGAATCGGCATTTCTATAACGGGCTGTACCGGTACCGGCCTTCTTCTTACTTCATGACCTAGAATCTCGAGCGCTCGATGCCTACAAAATGCATGCGAAACATGTGTTGTTAGTGGGTGAGACTACACGCTCCCAACACGCGGGGCAATTGGGAGGCGGGAATCGAATGAGCATCGAACAGTATCGATGTCGATGAGACCCGGGGCAGAATCAAAGGAGGGATATCTTTCTTACACATCCATTGTCCGGTCGAGCACCAGTATGTTATGTATCGACCTGCTCTGCTTCTTCATAGCGGCGCTCAACTTCTCCAGCTCCGACAGGTCCTCGCCAACAATAGCCTCCCATGGTCGTCCATTCTCACTGTTCTCCCGTATCAGGGCGCCCAGCTCTTCTATCGTCGTTCTGAAGTCCCCAATTCGTGGAACGTATTTGTTAACCTGCGCCTGGACGTTTCCTACAAACAAGCCGTTCTCTACACTGCCTTGCTCGTCGAGTAGTCTGAGACAGGCGCTGAGGACTAGTAACCTATCCCCGCAAACCTGGTAAGTCTGCGATGCACCCTGCGAGTCGGTAAAGTTGTTCTTGTACAGTCGGAAGCCAAGATGGGAGGTCCTTAGGAAGTCGCTGAAGTCGTAATCGTGGGAAGCCATGGATACATCAAAGGAAAACAGAGGGTGAGGAGAACCCCTCGGACGGTAGTTCGTAGTGCGGTGGCGTCAGTCGTGTGCTGGATAGCCTGGTTTAGATAAGTGTCGGAGTTTTGATGTTGCTGCCTGGGGGTCGGGGCTATCTATGTCGGTACGATGGGTCCTCTGGCCTATCGAGTGACAAGAAGAGCTCGAGGTATACGGTGGAACGGCTAGGAAAAGTCTGGAGAAGAATACGAGATGCAATTACGTATAGTTAGTCCGGTGGGAGATCCACTATTTCGAAACCCAGCTCCAGAACCACCAGCATGAGTGGGTATGGATATTAAGTATCTTTCTGGTTAAGAGCGGACGTTTATTCTGCATGTTCGGTTGGCTTCCTCTTCATAGATTGATATTAAGTAAGTCAGTCCAGTCAAGCCAGAAGTATCCCCTTCTCTCTCTCTGTCTCTCTTTTCTTTTAACGAAGGAGGGCGGCGTCCAAGGATCCGGTCTTATTTAGCCACCTCGAATCGGATGGAATGGCGGGCGGCAACCTCAATTCAAAAGGCACACAGTTATGCCGTTTGGCGCTGCGGTCTGTCTGTCTGCAACATCAACACTACGCTTGCAACTTCAGGAAACGAACGAAGGAGTGAGCGAGGGAATGCGGTAATAGTGACCATACTAGCCAGATTCATATTCGCCGGCCTGGGGTCCAACATTACGTTTGGGATGCAAGTCACAAGACCCGCAAATGCAAAACAGCGCTATAGCTGCATGTTTCCTGAGAGCCTCGACTTATGAATTCACTGACTGGAACACTACGACTGGCAGCAACCGGAACCTGTTGGTATGTCTGAGAGGAAAGAAGGAAGGAAGGAACAAAAAAAGAGGGACTAACTTGCTGCGGACAAAGGTGTGCAGTGTATCTGTTCGTTCCTTCGTGTTCGTTCACTCTCACATTCAGCCCTGCGCCCTCGAGCCTCATGTTATACATGTATATGTACATGTATCTGCTGATCTTATTGCTGACTACTGTAGCATCATGACTCCCGTCAAAAGCTTCCCGCTGTTCCATGTTCTATGTATGTACTATGCAGGTGGTAGCGGTTGTTTCGGGGATATTATACTTATAGCTGTCAGAGCTTCAGCTACCCACCCACCCATCCTTGGAATGGCATGATCGTATTATTATTTTTGAAATAAAGGTTCTTTTTTTTCCGTTAATGTATATTTAACTTAGTAGATGCATGATTCAAATAGCCTGCGTGAGAGGGGTTGGTTCCCTGGTTAACTTCTCAGGGCAAGTTCTGAAGAAGTATCTGCTTGAGTAGCTTCAGCCAACAAGCTAGCCCTGGGATGGTGGGGTTCCGGTTCAAGGGTTATCGTCGGAATTTGTTATCGTCCGCATGTCTATAACCGCCTTTTCAAATTTCAGAGCGAAAGAACATCGAATCGAATGAACAGCTGCGGGCATCAGCATCAAGCGAATGGCTCTCGCATGCTTTCGGAATCCAATAGCAAATTTGTAATATTTTTAGTCGTAGGCGGAGGGAAACCCTTAAGTCTGGCATATATTATAATATATTAGCTTGCAATTAACTGCAGGGCCAAGGTAGGCTTAGTTTCGTGCCCGCACCATGTCGAGTGAGCAATTCCCGCGAAATTCCTTGAAATTGATTTCGAAAAGGTGCAACCCTAAACTCAATTTTCGCAACTGAGAAGCTAATTTTGCCCCCCCGGACGATGCTTGCCGGGGAATGCGCAACTCTGCCGTGCTCGTACCTTTGCTGTACCTCTGCCAAACTTGGAAGCAGTGGCCAAGGGTGTCCGAGAAAATCGATTCAGCCTCCTCGTTCATTCAACGTCTGACCAAAATCGAAGGCTCAATTTGCAAAGGATGAGCGGCTCTCTGTCCAATGCTTTGCATGATCTGGTGCACTTCCCGTTCGGTCTAAATATGGGGCAATTGTCATCAGCAAAACGAAAAAAAGTAGACTATTCAAAATCAGGAACGTCCGCTCGAGGTTTCTTTCGAGACTTTTCACCTCTATCATGTGTTCTATTGCCAATTTCTCTTTTCTAGGTTCCAAGACAATAGCTTGACGTTTTCCAAGACAGTAGCGACGTTTGAGAAACCGAATTTACACACCATCCCCATTGGAAACTATCGTTATCCATCCCGATACCCGATCAATTGGCGAGGAATAGTGGGGCCTGATGCGACAACCCGCGAGGCTTACCAACTTCTGAGCGACCGGGGCATCCCAAACTGTTAAAAGGCGCAAGGCGGTTGGTTGCCTGGTCCAAAGTTCTCTTTTCGTACTATTTCCATCGTTCTTCGAGACTGTTGGACTTCCTTTCTTGAATACATTTCTCCTTCTGTCCTATCCTTCCCCTGGTCTTGTGAGAGCTTCTACCGCCTTACAGGATGACGACGATATATCAGCGGACGTTTATACCAGAGCCAACAGAGGATGACTACATACCACTACCCACGCGGGCGCCGAGTGATGCAGCGACGAACCGACAGCTAGCACCGGCGGGACAGGGCGGAGACGAGAAGTCCGTGGACGAAAGCACTCCGTACCATTATATTATTCCCGAAGGTAAGCGTTAACCGCCCGCTATCGCAGTGAATTCACTCAAGAGTTCGCGCACGTGCCGTCTAGTCTCATGCGGAAACTTTGAGGTTGTGGGGTAGAACCCTTCATCGTTATATAGGGTCCTAAGGTCTCTTGCATAACGTTATAAGACGTTATCACGGCATCCTAATTTCAAAACGGTATAATATGCTGATAGTATAAAATCGCCGTAGATCGAAAGCTCGGGTATATTTCGACAGCATTATTAATTGTAAACCGTATCATCGGGTCCGGTATATTTGCGACAGTGGACCAAATCGTGCGATCAACCGACAGCACCGGCACCGCACTCTTCTTTTGGGTTATTGGTGGTGTTGTGTCGTTATTGTAAGCCTCCATGTCTCCATCGAACAAGGATCGAAGTCGGAAGCTAACCAAAAATGTGCAATGTAGAGGGTATGCAAACTTATATCCCGATTAAAGATTTGAATTCGGAGAGCTCACAGGGTTTTCGATAGGTTATTTGTATATCTTGAGTTTGGGTTGGCATTACCTCGAAGCGGAGGAGAAAAGATCTATGTGCGTTGTTTCAATTCCCATAAAATGCATACTATATGCAAGATGCAAGGTACTGACAGGTTACATGGTGGCTGCAGCTCGAGAGAATAATAGCAAAACCAAAGTACTTTGCAACGTAAGGCTGTCTCTTTTCTTGCTGTCTTGTTAACCCTTGAACTAATTCGTATACATGTGTGTGTAGATGTCTCTTCGCGTTCCAGTTCGTGACGTCACAAGTCACTGCAGCCAACGTCGTTCTCTTTACGCAATATATGTTCCTCGCATCAAATGGAGAGGCAAGACTGACAGCACCATTGTGGCTGCGAGCACTAACGGGCTTCTTTGTTATCACTGGAATATGCGCGATTCATGCTTTCCTTCCACGCTTGGGAATCCATCTGGGTAACTTTCTCGGCAGCTTCAAAGTTGTTATTTTGATGGTCATCGTCTGCGCCGGATTCGCTGTCCTCGCAAATCCTGAGGGAGTGCTGGATAGCGGCCGGCCAAGCGGAAACTATGGAAACTTCGATGGAGTGTGGAATGCGACTACTGTTGATACCCCGCCCGAAGTTCGATCAATGATTGCATGTGGTGAAGATGCGAATAACGCACCGGTGGCCCTAGCTCAGGTCATCTTTGCGTACACGGGATGGGAGAACGCAAACTACGTTCTCTCCGAGGTCAAGAACCCAACGAAGACCCTCAAATGGTCGGCTCCAATTGCAGTATCGCTTGTCAGCATCCTCTATGTTCTAGCCAATATCGCCTATGTACGTTCCGATCGGTGATACCTCTAGATTTAAATACTTACTAACCTCGCCGCAGTTCGCTGCTCTTACGAAGCAAGACATGATCAAAGGAACAGCTAACGCCGTGGCCGTAACTTTCTTCCAACGTATGAGGGTCGCAGATAGCTTTAGTAACGTCGCCGTTCCCGTCTTCATCGGGTTATCAGCTTTGGGCAACGTTTTTGCGGCCTCCTTCGCGTTCTCTCGAGGTTAGTTTATCAAAATCCTTTACTTCGTTACTATACACTTTCTAATAATATCAAACTATATAGCAAAACAAGAACTCGCTAAGGAAGGCGTCCTGCCATGGTCCAAGTTCTTTGCAAGCGATTGGCCCCGCCAAGCACCAACTGGTGGTCTTTTCCTGCATTGGATCTTCACTTCCCTTTGGGTCCTTGCTCTAGGTCGTTCCGAAAGTGGTTATACTTTCTTGAACACTTTTGCAACCTACAGCAGGACGTTAATCAACATTTTCCTGGGTGTCGGACTTCTATATCTACAGCATCACCCGAGTTCGACGTGGAGGGAGGAACGCACTAGCTTCCACGTAAAGTGGCCTTTCGTAGTAGCATGGACCATCTTCAACTGCTATCTCGCTGTTGCAATGTTCGTCCCAAACTGCGCCATCCCGGGATTCGGCTTGAATAACTATTTTGCAATCCCGGTTACGGGAATTTGTGTGCTTATCGGCGGAGCAATGTACTGGGTTGGCTTTGCGAAAGTGCTACCGTTGTTTGGATATGCGGTGGAGACGCAGAGGGAATACCTGGCCGATGGAAGCCAGGTTGTGCGCTATATTGTAAGCCCGTCCTTATCTATACAGGTTAATTCAATCCAACTAGACACTATGAAACTAATCTACAAATGCAATAGCACATCACACGACATCATCAAACCCTATCGCGGCCGTTTGTCGATCACTAGATTTTGAGCGTAGCTCTCGATCTATATATTGTTTTACCTCATGACTTTTTTTTCGTAATGTTTAAACTGCTCTTTACGGACAAATTCGGCTTAAATACGTTATTGATATCACGATTAAGGCGCAAATGGAAGGGAGTTTTCCTTTTTTTTTCTTTTTTTTTTTCCCGTCAGGTATCTCAAGAATGCTAGCATCCATCTCACTCCTGGGCTACACTACCTATATTAGATAACATGTATTATAAGATAGTCGAAGGATTTTAAAGTTTGAATTAAATCGCTCCACTTGCGTTCCAGTAGTGACCGCTGCAGTGATCGTTGACCTCATAATATGTAGTAGAGCCGCGGATTGATCTTTAGAGGAATCGAAGACGGTATGTGTTGCCGATGTTGTAGCAACTAGCTTCGAGACCGGTGTATTCTGACTCTTTTGCCAGCCAATGACTCTGGTTGTATTGTTTGACCTGCATTAGCTTCGCCTGTATCTACAACCGACATCGGGCGCAATTAGGGCGGCGAGGAATTCCAACTAATTATCCCGCTAGGCCGTTCGAGATTAAATGAGTGTTAACATCATTCGTTCATTGTATTAATATATATTGCCTTGTGTTATTCACATCATAGCTTAGCTTTGACTCTCCGGCGATAGCTCCCTTTGTATAAATATCCCCGGCTGTCAAAGTAAATCGAGTCATACATTCGCTCTATACGATTAATTCGCAACTACTCCACCCGCCACCGATTGCTATCAACATATCTACATTTACTTATCATCGTCGTCATCACATTTTTCATATAATTCACCTAAGAACTAGCTAAGGACCTATCTCAATTCATCATCTACTACTACCTGTAGATATGGCACCCGCCGAAACATACCCACGTATCAACGGGATCACGGAATACGCAGCGACTCCATCGCCGAATAGTGGCTATTCCAAGGCAAAGTTCGATATTCCACCGGACTACCTTCTTCCAGATGGAAATCCAGATGTAAGGCCCTTTGAGTCATCGGCCTCTTCAATACTGGAACGCTAATAATAGTTCGATTACAATCTAGTATCTTCGTCTTATCTTAACCTCTCGAGTCTACGAAGTCATCAAAGAAACACCATTGACTTACGCTACAAACCTCAGTTCGAGGTTAAAATGCAATGTCCTACTGAAACGAGAAGATCTCCAACCGGTATTCAGCTTCAAGATTCGAGGTGCACATAATAAGATTGCACATCTGTCAGATGAAGAACGGAAGAAAGGCGTGGTGGCTTGCTCTGCCGGTATGAAGAGGAAACCCTTTTGGAATTTTTTCATGACAGTTTACAATACAATTTTAAATTCTAACGCATTTTGTCTTATATTTATTTAGGGAACCACGCCCAAGGTGTGGCCCTCTCTGCCAAATCACTTGGTATTCCAGCCACTATAGTAATGCCCATGGGCACACCCGCAATAAAACACATCAATGTCGCCCGTCTGGGTTCCAAAGTCGTCCTCCACGGCCAGGATTTTGATGCTGCAAAGGAAGAATGCAAGCGCCTGGAGCTCGAACAGGGTCTCACCAACATCTCCCCTTTCGACGACCCCTATGTTATTGCTGGACAAGGGACCATTGGTATGGAACTTGTCAGACAGTGTAACCTACGGGAGTTGAAAGCTGTGTTCTGTTGCATCGGTGGCGGAGGCTTAATTGCCGGTATTAGCGTTTATTTGAAAAGAATTGCACCGCATGTTAAGGTTATTGGTGTGGAGACCTACGATGCTAATGCGATGCACCAATCGCTAGAACAGGGGGATAGAGTAACCTTAAAGGATGTTGGACTATTCGCTGACGGTGCGGCGGTAAAACTTGTCGGCGAAGAGACTTACCGTTTATGCAAAGAAAATGTGGATGAGGTCTTACAAGTTTCGACAGACGAGATTTGTGCAGCGATTAAAGATGTCTTTGAAGACACCAGAGCGATTGTGGAACCTGCAGGCGCACTGGCCCTCGCAGGGCTCAAGAAATATGTTGGAACCCGACAGACCGAAGAGACAGATGCATACACTGCCGTGCTATCAGGTGCAAACATGAACTTTGATCGACTGCGTTTTGTTGCTGATCGTGCACAGCTTGGTGAGAGGAAGGAGGCGCTGTTATCAGTGATTATTCCGGAGAAGCCCGGTTCTTTTCTAACTATGATAGAGGTTGTGCTACCACATACCGTTACCGAATTTACATACAGGATGAACCACAAGGATCGAGCACATATATTTATGACGATACAGGTTAAGGATAGAGATGAAGATCTACCGCAGATATTGAAAAATTTGAATGATAATGGGATGGAGGTCGAGGATATCAGCGACAACGAGTTCGCAAAGACCCATGCAAGATTTTTTGTCTCTGGAAAACCGGTTGAAAATGAAAAGCTTTATGCTTTTGGTGAGTATAATATACATTATTATTGTTCCTCAGTCTCCTATTGATGACTTACGGCGCTAATTTGGTCGTTTGAACTATAGAATTCCCCGAAAGGCCTGGTGCCCTTGCCAAATTTTTAAGAACAATGAGGCCAAGTTACAACATTAGCACATTTCATTACCGAAATTATGGATCTGATGTGGCACATATATTGGCCGGTATTCAAGTACCCCAAGAGGATTCGGGTACTTTCAGCACGTTCTTAAAAGAGCTTGGGTATCCATTCAGAGAAGAAACAGAGAATCCGGTATACAAAACTTTCTTTTGTCAATGATTTGATTCCAAACCATCTTGAGGACTTGTCTCGTACCCAAATCAGGGGATATAAATTGATCTTTCTTAGATCTTTTACGTTTATCTGACGGACACTGATGCCCATAATTCCATCCCTTTATCATCCCTCGTTTCTATCGAGCGGATGGCGTGAAAAAAAGTATCTTTATTGATCTAGGCATCTACGTTTATGGCTACACAGTTACTGTAGAAGAAAATCTTTGACGATGCCCTCAAACTCGCTAGTTTAAAGCATCATGATAACTGTCTAGTGACTAACTTAAATGTAGCATAACTCCCAGTTTGCAAAACTCAGTGGTAAAAAATTATTTAACTACCGGTACCGACCTGGGGACGAGACCATCGGCGACCTCTACGATGACCTATACATGACTTGTAGAAAGTCTAAACCATCGACGATCATGGTTTGTGCCTAAGCACTTAAGTAAGTAAATCTAAACATCTAAAATTGAGACGGCCGCTGCTCGGTACGCCTATTGCCGTTTGCTTCACCCTTACCATCTTCCTCATCCCCCCGGGCCCTTCACTGTTTCCACCTCTGTCATTCTCGTCATCTTTGCCATTCTCAATCAAGCCTCTCCAACTCCATATGCACCTTGAGCCACATCGTCCCCATTGCAGTCTTAGTGGTCCTTTTTATCACCCGACCCATCAATCTCCTCACTTCCATCGTCTTCGCCGTATTCGTATTCATAGTACTCCTCCTCCAGTTCATCTACATAAGGCTCGTAGTCGTTGTTAGAAACATTGTCGATGCCATCATCAGAATCGTTATCCTGATGACTCATAGTTTCGTCCTCTATATCCGTATCCTCATGAAGGTCCTCTCTAACTAAAATTACAGCCTTTCGAGAACTACCAGGTACACCAGAATTGCTACCCAGCCCTGGCCCGGGAAACCCTCCAGTACCTCCTCTTTCTAAAACATTTTCTTTCCAAAAAACATCTGCCACAGCATTTACCACCAACCATAAAAACTCCTTCTGATGTCCTCTTAACCCTAAATTATAAACATCTGTGGGCACAAAGTGGTTCCTCCGCAACCTTACCATCATCGCTAGGGGTCCACAGATACAAATACCATATATTTCGACTTCAGCACAGTCTTCCACCATATGCGAACTGCGCATTCCAATCATTTTTCCCTCGCACTCTTGTAACAAACCGCACAAATCAGTCTTTGTATCCCCTTGTGCCTTTTCATGTATTGTTATGCATCTGTTTCGCCACTGCGTATACTTGTGAGGCTCGCTAAGGCTACCCCCTTCCCGCTTATGCATCAGCTTGATGAGATGAATCCATTCTTCATACCCATACTTCATCGGCGGAATCCCTACTTTATTTGTGGACCTCTGGTTCATTCGAAACGGATGCATTGGATCATACCGCGCATAGGATTCGAAGGTATACGGATAATCCGGAACGAAAGGGAACACAACCCCTCTATCCCATAGCGGTGGACACTGGCCAGTGGGACTCATTTCAAACCCACGCTTTTTTCTATTCTTGTTGTTATTCCGGTTTCTCATTTCTATTTCCGCCCGCCTTCTGGAAGCGATAGGCCGAGCCAAAGTTATTTCTTTTGTTTTACCATCGACCTGCACGACTGTTTGGAACCGACGAAAGTAGGAAAACTTAGAAAGATAGTGGCGGTAAGATGGTGATATAGTTTGCAAAAACTTTGGATTTCTTTCGACACGCAGGGCAAGGTCGATAATCATCGTCTCATGCTGGTATCGGAAGCAGACGAGTTGAATGGCACGGTACATAAAGGCGGTGGCCATCATTCCTTCTCGAACGGGTTTATGTACCCCTGGGAGGATGTCTTCGAAAAACTCGCCTGTATAGCCATTTCAACATGTATTTATCAGCAATTCAAGAAGCGAGCAAGAATTTTCTTCATTTCAATTAGTCTCGGGGCCAGACGCTCGCACACCAAACAAAGGATACTCACATAACCATCCTGGCGGGACGTCCTCCAAATCCCACATGAGTTTCCATGCCTCACACTCACGTTCGCACCATCTCTTTGCGAAAAAATAGCTATTGCAGGGTGCATACGTATATCCACTGATTGGCTGTCTCGGGTGATGAAATCCTCTTGGCTGAAACTGTACAATTTCCTGCTCGAAATCTTTGTAGGTCATCCAGGTCAGTGGCGTAGGTCTAACACCTCCAGGAACCAACTCGGGAGCCTCTATACGAGCTCTAGTCGGCCGTAGTTGAGCAGCTGTAATATTCGGGCCGAGGCTCGAGATATCATCAATATCCATCTCAAGTTCGTTTTCGTCCGGGCCCCCATCTTCGACTTTCCTTAGCTTTCTACCTCCGAGATTCGTATCGTCATTGTCATTGTTTCTTTTAAGGTTCCTTCGCTTTCCTCCTTGCTCTTCTTGACCACTGTCAACACTCATTGCATCCATATCTTCTCTCCTAATGATAGTGTTATTTTTTTGGTCCTCAGAAGCATTCATTATTTTCTCTAGGCTTGTAGATGTATCATTAGTCCCATCTTCATCATCTGCATCGTATGACATTTCAGATATATCGCTAGAGCTTTGCTGAGTTATCCCGCCTTCTTTATCACTCCCGAGGTCCATAATATCATCCGGACTTTCGGTGTTTTGAAAAAGGACTGATGGATCCATCGATAGGTATTTCTTTCTGTTATCTCCTTTTGTCCCAGTTATTCCTTCTTCATTTTGGCCTTGGACTCCTTTTTTGGATTTTAAGACTATCGTAGTTGGAGAAGCACCAGGTCTTGGATCTTTGCGCCGAGTTCTTGGGGAACGAGATGACTGTCTAGGTTCCTGAGGTTGAGCCATAAGGTCCTCAGCGGGGTTGTGAAATCGCCTAGATGGAGGTGTAGGAGATTCGATATTTATTATTATCTCGCTTGAAGTCATGATACTCGTGTGGATTTTGTGAGGAGAGTAGATTCGTAGTTCACGATGTATTCGAGTTGATACGATGTCGATGTTGTGATGAAGTGTGTCTTTATAAAAACTATACGAAGTTTGTCTGTGGAATCCTCGTTTCTAAGCAATATATAGGTACTAGGTCTAGATTAGTCTCATATTTATGCTCATATTATATAATATTACCGACATGACTCCATATCGGGCAACATCTGACTGATAATCCCCAATCGGCAGCTATGCATGGCCATGGCAGATCACTCCGATTTTGAGGCCTGATAATGCGGCTTGCGTTGTTGTCTAAAATACCACGCACAATTTCCCTTTTCGGACAAAAACTGCCTCGGCCTTCGACCTTCCTTGTCGAGAAACGTACGTCGGTTGCTTGTGAGCTTATGTTCTAGCCTTTATGCAATGCTTCTTTTCTTCTTATCTGATACCAACAGGCAGCAGAGGTTGGGGTCGACTTTCCAATGTGACGCGACTGAATAATAAATCTACTATGGTCCCATCAGAACTTTTTACAAGTTCACTCTTTGCCTGTTAAAACTTCCTTCTGGCTATCCATTTTTAGGGATCTGGAAGTAGATCTATACGCAATGGCGCCTTTCAACCCGACCCTCAAAACTGCCTACTGGTCCCTCGTGGGTTTCGGCGGTATTTACGTGTCGTTTTTACTCCTCCTTTTAGTTCCAGTTGTTCAAAAAAAGTAATCCTTGCCCCCCTTGTTTTCAAGATTATACAGTAGTGGTGATTTAATTGATTGAAATCTAGCTTCGTCTACCTCCACCATGTCAAATTTCCCATATGGCCGGATATATCCCGTCCGGAACAACTGGGATTCGCATCAAATGAGGTTACACCTTTCTATTTGAATACACCGGACGGAGAAAGATTGTTTGCGTGGCATATACTACCACACGAGGCATATGCCAAAAATCGGGATGAGCTGTTGAGGAGGGATGTAGGACTTGTGGAGGATATTACGCAAACCTTGGGGTTTAAACTTTTGAAGGAGGATGAGGAAGCTAGGTTGATTGTTTTTTGTGAGTATTGAATTTCTTGTCTATTTGATATTTATATATCAGGATGGATTGCTAATATATGGAGAGTACAGTTCATGGGGTATGTTTAATTGTTCAAGGTTACGTTTTATTAATGTTTCTAACAAGTCTTGACACCATAGAACGCCGGAAACGTCGCCCAAGGATATCGCCCAGACGGTTACCGCACTTGGTCCGGCGTCGACCCCTCCAAAATCCACATCCTCACTTTCGACTATCGCGGCTTCGGTCGTAGCACCGGTACTCCATCCGAACCCGGGTTGATCACAGACGCAATCACCGCCCTCAAATTCGCGATGGACACGGCTGGCATCCCACCATCTCGAATCCTCATCATCGGTCATTCCCTCGGTACAGCCGTAACTCTCGGTGCCACCGAAAAAATCGCCAGAGAAGAAGGAGTTGAATTCGCAGGAATAATCCTCTGCTCTGGATTTTCAAAGTTAAAGACGTTGATATTAACGTATTCAGCTGGCGGGGTTATTCCCATCTTGTCGCCGTTGAGACCGTACCCGATTGTTCAGAAATGGTTGACAAAGTATGTTCGAGAACCATGGGATGGTGAAGAGCGGCTGAAGAGTTTGATACAGCATTCGCCAAAGTTGAAGTTGACGATGGTACATGCGCATAATGATTATAGTATCACGTGGACGCATTCGCAGGTATTGTTTCATACAGCAGCGAATGCGATTATGGCGTTAGCGAAGGGTGAGGGGCAAGGGGAGATTGATAAACCATTGGAGTTCGAGGATATTGAGAAGAGAAAGCAGAGAGTAGAGCTTGGTGACGAAGGGTATGTTGATACATGGGTTGAAGGGGTACCAGCTGGTGGGTGGAAGATTGAGAATAGACTGGTGAAGTGGGGTGGACATGACCAAGTTTTGGTGGCTTCGGCAACAAGATTGGTGATCCGGGAGATGCTTGGATTGTAGATAATCATCCTTCGATAATAGTAGATAGAACGATAGATGAAGAGTTGATAGAAGGTTGAATTCCATTTTGCGACCTCATCCATCCTCCTTCATAGCTTCAATCTCAGCCTTTAGCCGTCCCTTTCGTTCTTCCCTCCAGTTTTTATGTAGCTCTTCGACCTTCCCACCAACCATTGTCGTGTTTCCGGGTTGTAGCATCAATACTCCTCTGACAACCTTCACGTCTCTTATTACCACTTTAGTCCCAATATTCATCCCAATACCCACTCCGGTAATCGGCTTAAACTCAAAAGCATAAACCCTTGTCCCATTCGCATCCTCCAGCAGCAGCTTATGGGGTCCACTGGCACCCGTCAAACCAAGGTTATCGGGATCATTATCATCTTGTTCTCCAGGAATAACCCTGATAACCTCCTTTCCCTTCGTTTTCTCACCACGCTCTGCAGATTCCAACGCGTCGAGTTGAAAAAGTTTGCTGTGTCCAATATCTTCTATATCGACGATTTGTGCAACAACGGGGCCTTTAAGACGAGACGAACGGTTTTCTAAATCGTGAATTGTAGCAGGAAAGATGTTTTCAGGAGTTGGTTGGACTGAGATGGTTATTTCGGAGGCTAGGAGACGGAATAAGGCTGTTTGGGTAAGGGATTGGAAGGGGAGATTGGACTTCTGGGTGGATAGGAAAGAAGCCAGCCAGGTTTGGGAAGGAAGAATGGATTTGGTGGAGACGAGGTGACCGGATATTTGAATAGCCAGCGAGGGCGCCATGATGGTTAGTGTTATCTCGCGATGTCGGTGATGTCGAAGGTCGTGTCGAAGTTCATGTTGATGGTTGTGATCGTGGAGGTGGTTTGTTTGTCGGTGTTGCAGCTTGCAGCCCACCATGGCAGCAGCCAAAAGTAGTAACAATCCTGGTGGTCGATTTTTTTCTTTCTTTTCCCCAAACCGAATTCGTTTTCTATCCAATCCTCAAAACTTCAACAACTATCGATATTATTGATCGCACAATAACTTCGCACTACCACCACCGAAGGAAGCAAATATTTACTATCGCTTTATTACGATCATAGTCGCTGTTAATACCGCTCCTACCAAGCTAGTATAATTTAAAATGCCGGCTCCAACAGCTCTTGTAAAACCGGTCGAGGAATCATCGGCCGCCCCGCAGTGGTCTGAAGGTATAGTGATATCCTATGAGGATGGGTAGTATATGCTCGGACAAAGTACTAATAGTAATCGCAGCCACCGAAGATATCGTCCTCGATGCAGAGACACTCTCAACGACCGTTGAGAGTACAGAAAACCCTCTTCATGAGGACACAGAGATGCGGATAGATGAAGAAGGAAGACCAGTCTTCCAACCTGCGAAGCAGAGTGTATGAAATCCTTCTCACTTATAGCTTTTTCTTAAATATTATCTTCCTTGCTAATCGATTTCATGATGTTGTAGCAAAAAATCTACAAAATCGAAACTCGCAAAGTGCCCGTCCCGCCCCACCGCTTCTCCCCTCTCAAAGCCGCCTGGCCCAAGATCTACCAACCAATAGTCGAACATCTCAAAGTCGATGTGCGAATGAACCTTGCCAACAAGTGTGTCGAAATTCGGAATAACAAGAAAACCGAAGACCCAGGAGCCCTCCAGAAGGCCGCCGATTTTGTAAAAGTTTTCACACTAGGATTCGATATCGATGATGCCATCGCTTTGTTGAGATTGGATGAGCTGTATACCGAGACATTCGAGATTAAAGATGTGAAGACTCTACAAGGAGAACATTTGTCGAGAGCTATTGGACGTATTGCTGGAAAGGACGGGAAGACACGATTTGCAATTGAGAATGCGACGAAGACCAGAATCGTGCTAGCGGATAGTAAGATTCATATTCTGGGCGCTTTCCAGAACATTAGAATGGCTAGAGAAGCGGTTGTTAGTTTGATTTTGGGTGCTCCACCGGTATGTCCATACTTATTTGGAAGAGCTCATTGCAACTTGGAAGAAGATACTAATAAATTGCTGCAACAGGGCAAGGTATATGGCTCTCTGAGGACTGTGGCCGCCAGACAGAAGGAACGATTTTAAGTCTACAATCTGCTACACGAAATGTATCTGGCATCAGGTTTTATGATGATCTATATTTTATGACCGGTTTGGAGTTTAGCATTGGGGTGGGTCAGCGGCGTATAAAAGTGCTGTTTCTTTTTCTATTATTTCCGTTCATACCAGAATTGTATAGAGTACCCGAATGTATACACCCTACAATCCTATCTTTGTTTTTTATGAAGAGCCTCATATTAGTCTCTACTTAAGTGCTTAGGATCATATTACTATAGCTATAGTTACAATAATAGCCGACGAGATGTCTCTCTGTAGGGAGTACTCGGTATGTATATATTCACCCACCGGCTCCGGAATAATGAAATCGCCAACCCTGGTTTCGAATTATTATATTCCGGGAACCAAAGCCGGCCGCCCAAGCAAAGCTCCCCTCGCCGTTCTGGAGCTCCAAACTTTCAGCTATTGTTTCAAGCTCTATATTATCCGGCCGTTCTCCGTACCTTTTTACCAGAACGTCTATGTGGCCTCTCACAGTAATTCCAGCCGAACACAATATACGTAGCACCACTGTTTATTAGAAAGGAAAAAAAAGACTGTTGTGTACCGTACCTTGATCATGTGCGCCGCGGTCCACAAACCCATGATAGGAAACCCGCCCCCTTGCCGTTTTGCCTGGGTCTGGTAGGTATAGTCTATACGGCATTAGTCGAAGCATCTTGTGTCAATTGGCAGTAAATTGTTGAATCGTGTTCGTTTTGGCGCAACAAACCCGCCAATATATGGTGCTTTCCCCACAAATACCACAACCAAACCCACCCGAGTCCCTCCCACCTACCCTTTCCTCCACCACGATACCTCATTCCACTTCACTTATTTCTCCTCCATCATCTCCATCATCACGCTTTTACCCATTGACAGTAAAGGCTTCACCAATCGTCCTTCATAGCTATCACTTTTCTCTTTTCCTAGAAATCCATCTAGTTCGTTAAAACAACAAAAGATGGCAGAAGAATCCAAGATCGTGGACGAAACAGCCGCCCCTCCTGCTGAGGAAGGTAGCAGCTCTTCGGTAGCAGTTAGTTCTGCCCAAGCTGCTGCCGAATCTGTAGTTCCTGGTGTCGATATGTCGCAGTTAGTCGGAAAACTGGATAAGAAGACAATGGATCAGATTATTAAGATGAACCCGGGTTTGAGGGCTGAGACGCAGGGTAAGGATCCTGCTACGGTCCAGAAAATGCTGGAGACTATGAAATTGGGAGAGCTATTGGCTGGAATGGTGAGTTTCTTCTTCTTTCTTTTATTTCGAGAATTGGTGGTCTGGTTTGGAGCTGACGATAGTGATGGTGGGGTGGGTTGTAGGCTACTGGTAAGAATGCGAAGGATATGGCAAGCTATAAGTTTTGGCAGACGCAACCTGTTCCTCGATTCGGTATGCTCCTCAAACAAACCTATTAAGCTACTATAGAGCTGGGCTGATTGTATTGATTAGATGACGACGCGGAGAAACAGCAAGAGGAGGGCGAGATAAAGAAGGGAGACCTAGACCTTGTTCCAAAAGACCCTGCACAGCTTCTTGACGATTTCACATGGTGTACCGTTGATCTTGAGAATGAAGAAGAGGTTTGTTCTCTCCCATCTGAACGCTCGGGAGGCTATGTAATATGGTCTAACCATCCAAACAGCTTAAGGAGGTCTACACTCTTCTCAATGGTCACTATGTCGAGGACGACGAGGCAATGTTCCGATTCGCCTACTCCCCAGCTTTCTTCAAGTGGTCAGTACTTCCTCTTTTGCCATTTCACATTGTGTGCAAAATCTAAACTAGCTTTGATCTACCACAGGGCCCTAAAACCCCCAGGCTGGAAGAAGGAATGGCACGTCGGTGTCCGTGTGAAGGCCAGCAATAGACTTGTCGCATTCATTTCCGCTATCCCTCTAACCCTCAAAGTGCGCGCCGCTACCCTCAATTGCTCCGAAGTCAACTTCCTCTGCATCCACAAGAAACTCCGCAATAAGCGTCTAGCCCCGGTACTCATCCGTGAAGTTACCCGTCGTTGTAACGTCGAAGGTATCTGGCAGGCATTGTACACCGGTGGAGCCGTTCTACCAACCCCAGTTAGCAGCTGCAGATATTACCACCGCAGTTTGGATTGGCTGAAGTTGCATGAAGTTGGGTTTTCGCCGATGCCACCAAATAGTACCAAGGCCAAGCAGATCACAAAGTATGCACTGCCGTCAGAGACTAAGATTCCTGGGTTGCGATTGATGCAGAAGAAGGACATTCCAGAGGTCAAGGTCCTTTTGGATAACTACTTGGCTAGATTTGAGATGGCGCCGATATTCTCGGAAGAGGAGCTCGAACATTGGTTCCTCCACAAGGGTGAGGAGAAGGATGAAGATAGAGTTATTTGGACCTATGTCGTTGAGGTAAGATATAGTGTTTATTTTAGAAAACGGAAAAGGGAGAAAGAAAGAAAGAGAGGCTAATGAGTAAAAACAGGACCCTAAATCTAACAAAATCACCGACTTCTTCAACTTCTACTGCCTCGAATCCTCAGTTATCAATAACTCCAAACACGGCATGATCAAGGCCGCCTACCTCTTCTACTACGCCTCCGAAACCGCATTTGCGCACTACAAGGACGGCGATGCCATGAAGACCGCGTTGAAGAAGCGATTGAACGAACTTATGCAGGACGGGTTGATCGAAGCCAAAAAGATGAATTTTGATGTCTTCAACGCTTTGACATTGTTGGATAATGTACTGTTCCTCGGTGACCAAAAGTTCGGAGCCGGCGATGGACAGTTGCATTACTACTTGTACAATTACAGGACGGCGCCTATTGCTGGTGGCATGAATAATAAGATGGGATTGGATGAGAAGTTTGGAAGCGGGATTGGAATGGTTATGTTATAGAGGACATTTCTCTTGTTCTTTTGGAGGGGCGATTTGTGGATTGCTGCTTTAGCTGGACTTGAGACCGGTTACATTTCGGTCTTTCTGGAATCATTTAGGTGATGGTGATGGTCTTGTTTATCATGACGGCTAGGTTATCATTCAAAACTGTGCATATTGAAATGGAATATCATTTTTTTCCCCCTTTACATACTACCCCACGGTGACTGATTCCTCGGGGTAGAATTTAGGCACCAAGTACTGTAAGCGAAGGTATATATAGAGAACGGGCGAAAAATTATAATAGTAGAAGACCACCGTTGTTTTTCTTTTTTAAAAATACCAGTAGACATTAGAGTAAAAAACAGAGAAAGCGAGTCATAAGACATACATCTAACATGCAGGCTAGTAGAAGTAATTGAGATAAAAAGGGACGTAAGAAAAGAGAGAAAGGAAAAGAATAAAAAAAGGAACTGGAAGGATAGATACATAAGTGGGTACTAAGTACGTGGGGGATATCTTTGGGTTTGGATTAAGTCGTGGTGATTTTTGAGAGAGAGAGAGGGTCGTATGTCCGTTTGCTAGTTAAGTCGTGCCGTTGGTAAGTGGTATTTGGTATTGAGTTCCGTTCCGTCGCAGGGCATTCACGCCTGTTTTTTGCGGGCCTTGTCTTGGGTTCCTTTTGCCGCCAGAGAGTCCCAGGATGATCATAAAAAAAAAGAATAGTACAGAGAGAAGCATATACAGCAGGTCATATCCTCAAAGTTCGCATTTTTCCATCAGCTGATTTTTTTTTGTTTTCCCTTTTCAATATTTTCTTCGATTATTCCGCCAATCGCGAAATTAACTCCCAAGACCTTATTTGTCTTACGCTTCCCATATCGCTTTCCTTGATATGATGCTTCCTTATACTTTCTTTTTTTATCGATTGATTGATTGACCGTTTTTGTTGGTAGATAAAGGATTATACGTTGTTCAATCTATCCTGGAACTTCCGGATCGGCGAAGCGGTTCACGACTCGTCGCGGATGAGGGCTACAATCATGCTGTAGAGGTAGAAGAAGAACATGACGAGGTGGAAGCCGAGTTTGATGAAGGATTCCTTTGTTGTTGCCGTCGTATTAGCCTCCAATTCTCATTTTCTAGCATAAATTCGGGGTTAAAAGTACCTTTTTGTGCTTATTTAATGTCCTGAAGATTTCTGTTGCGTCGAGAAGGTGGACATTGTCGAGGATCCTATAATTCTATATTAGCTTTTCGATTTCCCTTTTATAGGATGAAGAAATAAGAAACGTACTTCTTCGCGTTAAAGGCTAGGAGCGGTAGATTGAGGACCAAAGCGAGCCAGTAGCCGTTGACAAGGAATAGAGCGGTGAGGAACCCGTGAACGGCGGCTTCTGGGATGATGTAGGAGTTAAGACGGTTGCAGAGGTCGATGGGGTTGATGTAATCGCATTCTAGGTCAGAGTACCTGTTGATGACTGTTAGTATATATGTTCATATCTATATCTGGGATCTTTGTACCGCTAATATAGGGAAAATGGATGGAGAATAGAGGAGCGGGTCGCGTGAGGTGAAGGAGGGGAGAGAGTTACATAATGGTGAAAAAGACTTGTAGGAAGAGGTTAACTGCATTTAGCAGAACCGCGAGAAGATATAACCACGATTCGCCGGTCATTTTGGGTGGATAAGTTGGATGGATGGGATGGCGATAAGGTTTGAGAGGAGGAGGAGAAGAAGGTGGTGGTGGTGGTAGTTGGTTGGTTGGTTGTTGGTGTCGGTGGGCACTATTATACGTAAGATGAATAGGTGCAGCGGACTCGGCGACGGGTAGACAGATGACCAATAGGTACCTTCGTGATAGATAGGTAGGTATATGGTAGACCGATGAGGGGTAGAAAGGTAGCGGTAGAAGAAGAGAAAGAAGCTGAGGTTGAGGTTGAGGTTCTGGGGATGCAGTTTGTGGTGTGGCGGGATCTTTTTTGTGTGGTTTGAGCAGAAAAGAACGAGTAAGGTAGAACCAGCGAAGCGGCGAGCTTGTGATAATGCTGGTAACTAGTACTTACTTAGTATCTAGTACCTCCTTCCCTTTGAGTTACTAAGCAGGTGCTTTGGACTTAAGTCAGTAAGTCAGAACGGAAGAATAATATAGCAATAACAGCGGTAAAAATTATCACGGGCAGAATATTTCTTGAAGTTGAGAAATGGAAAGAGAGAAGGCTATTCCTCGTGATTCTATTCGCAGGGTAATTACGAGGGAAGCAGTGCACATTACATACATACCAATATTAATACGTATGTGCAGCTTGAAATCATCAACCCTGGTGGTGATATCATGCAGTCTGTTCCATGTCTTGTCTTGTCTTGTCTTGTCTCGTACTCCTCTCTCGACTGGACTTGCACTTGATCTGATCTGATCCTTACGGCGGTCTGCTATCGATATCGGTACCCACCCGCAGGCTTACGATAAGATCCTAGATTTCAATAGAACAAGTGCACTCGCATTATTGTTATTATTCTACTTTGTGATAAGAGTAGTATCTACGGAGAAAAGTTAACTATCGTTCTCGAGTTATGTTAGGTTACGTTACGTACTGTGAACTGGCCGGAAGTCGTCCTCCCGACCTATGTCATATGCATACTGTGGCCTGTGACCTCTCCCGGGCGGAACAACCAGAGTCCCCGGTTGTATCTTGGCATCCCCGGGATGGTTCCGGGGACGCACCGGGGAGAATGTTCTCCAATTATCTCCCCCACGTCAAAATGTCAACCACGTTTTCTCCAAACTTCACGTTCTCCACGCGGCCTTTTTTACATATTGTTTCCTTCTTCTACTTCTTGATAGCAACTGTAAATGACAGTTTGCAGCTAAGCTGTTCATTGTACTCACGTACTTGTCCTGTACATACCGACTTCAAACGGCACAGGTGTATTGCTTGTTCCCACAGGATGGGCAGCTGCTCTGTAATCCCGCTCCTCCTCCCCTGAACATCGCCAGACAGCATTACCTTAACCTCCCCGAATAATCCAAAACAATCTCTTACCAATTAATATATTAATCATGGAATCCGCCATGTCCTCACGAACAAGCTCTCTCTCTCGCTACTACCCTCAGATCCTTATCATTACCGGTGTCATAGTCGCTCTTGGTGTCCTTCACCTCCACCAAGTCTACACCTCTCCTCCCAAAAAGAAGCCTAAGCAGCTCCGTCGTCGGAACGCCCAGCGTCAACGAAACCGTCTCCAGTCATTTAGTAATACTAACGGTACTACCTCTGCTGCCGACAATCATGCCATTGCAACCGCTGAAGCTCTTCGTCGTCTCGATGGAACCGTCCCTCCTACCGCTAATCCCGATGAAACCGCTGCAACCAGACCACCAGTTGTTGACCCGATATCCCTCCCTAATGATGAAGCGATAACTACAATGCTCAACAATGCCGGTGTGGCTGCCCGTGGGAATAGGGAAGATGGTGGTGAAAGCGATTTTTCATACGATAGGGAATCAAAGGATGTCCAGGAAAATCAAAATGTTCTCCAACTGTTATACCTAATCGCTGAAGACCAGGCAAAGCAACAGGGCTATGTTCATCGAGGCGTAACATGCAATCTTTGTAGTGCAATGCCAATCCGTGGTGTCAGATATCGCTGCTCAAACTGCATCGATTTTGACCTCTGCGAATCCTGTGAAGCGCAAGATATCCATCCGAAAACCCATCTGTTCTACAAAGTCCGAATACCAGCGCCTTTCCTAGGAAGCCCCCAGAAAACTCAGCAGCCTGTGTACCCTGGAAAACCGAGTATCATGGCAATCAGCATCCCACCGGAAGCATTAAAAAGATTTGCCAAAGAAACCTGCTTCGAACCACCCGAAATCGAGGCTCTGTACGAACAATTCAAATGTCTTGCTGCAACTGAATTCCCAGACGATCCGAATGGCCTGGGGGGCGGTATCGATAGGAAAACATTTGACAAGTGTTTCGTACCAAATAATCATCTACGTCCACCACCTCCAAATCTGATCTACGACCGGATGTTTGCCTTCTTCGACACTGATGGGAACAAATTAATCGGCTTTGAAGAGTTCGTGAAGGGTCTCTCCATTAAAACTAAGAAACCCCTCCCGACAACAGCAAACATGACCGAAAAGTTTCGAAGAACATTCCGAGCTTACGATCTGGATGACGATGGATACATAGAACGCAAGGATGTCCTAAAGATGTTCAGAGCGTATTATGCTTTGCAAAAAGACTTGGTCAAGGATCTTATCGCCGGTGTGGAGGATGATATGATGGAATCAACGCAAGCACAGAACGTGATTCATGGCTCGCAACCCTTATCTGCTGCCTTTTCAGCTGCGATTCCGCATACGGAAGACGCAAGATTAGTTAAAACCCTCAGCGAGGAGATTAATGATGTTGACCGTGACGCGTTGAATCCGGATGGTAATGAGCTCGGGAGGAGAAGCGAGACCATAGCGAACGCACTTCAAAGGCATAGAAGGGATACTTCGTTAGACAGACTAGCGAGACGGAATCAGCGAGCGGCAGAACGGTTGCTACGGCAGATGCGTGAGCGCGACCAGGCGAATAGCATTGCTAGTACGACCGGGAATACAAATGGGAACACCGAGTCTTCAGGACGAGAACCCCGACTGAGAGAGCTTCTCGACGAAATTACCGATAATACGCCAAGTAGCGAGCAACCTACGGCCTCTCTTCTCCTTGACCATTCTCAAAGTGTAGAGGGGATCGTGAATACTATCCAACAAGTTGAAGCTGCAAGAGCCATGATCCAAGAATTGAGCAGACACGCGGAAAACGGCGTTATCGATCATGGCATATTGGAGCTGTCACGTGAGACGAGGGATAACTTTGGACAAATTGTCGAGAATATGAGGAGTGCGAATTTCGGGAATCTTATGGACGGAAGGAATGTAGACAATGTGGAGGATATGATTCATGTGCTAAATAGGAGTACCGATAGCATGGATGATATGATTCATGACTTGAATAGAATCATGGAGGCACATGATAGAGGGGATATTACGGTTGCGCCGGCTCCGACTAGTGAAGCTGTAACCGAGGAGACTAACGAGGATGAAGAACTAGAACAGGAGGAGGTACAAGGGGGAACTCAAGAGGAATCTCAAGAGGAATCTCAAGAGGAATCTCAAGAGGAGTCACAAGAGGAGTCACAAGAGGAATCACAAGAGGAATCACAAGAGGAGCCTCAGGAGGAAGACGAACAAGAAGAACAGGAAGAACAGGAGCCTGAAGAAGATCATATCCCAGATACGGTAATTGAAAGAGTAGCAACACCGGCACCCCCACGCGAAGAAACAATCGAGGAGGAAGAACCCACCAACCCATCGCCGGGCTCATATGTCATCCCCGCCCCGAACTTTGAACCACAATTTGGCTCTTCTTTCGATCTCCCAGACGATTGGACAAGTGGGCTTAAAGATCCGATCCGTCGTCCCATGAAGGAGGAATTGAAGCTTTATTATCTCGAAGATTACTACAAATCGGATGATGAGGGGAGTGACGACGACGACTATGGCGATGACTTCATCAAAAGAAAGAAACCGGCAGTTAGCAGAGGGCTGGAAAGAGAGGAAGACGTAGGCCGGGAGATTCTCTGCCAGGTTGTCGAACAGGGTATCAACGAAATGCTCGATGCTTTGTTTTTGGCAAAGGAAAGAGACGGATTGGAGATTTTGCTTTCATCGACTTCATCTTCTGGTGATCTGTTACAGGGACAAGCTGTGGAACAGACGGAGCGACCAAAGCCGTCTAACGATGAAAATAAGGAAAACATCGATAAGACGCCGTCTTCCTCGTTACCGTCTGTTACTTCTGGTCGATCCCTCCATAGAGACCCGGAAAACCCTTTTTCGGTTCTCGATGATACCGCTGATTCTGCTTCGCAACATTCTGCTTCTACTTCTCCTTCCTTAGACGTTGGAGTAGAATCATCTACAGCCGCCGCTGCTGCGGGAGCAGGTGCAACTCCACGGGATCCGTTGGCGACAGTAAGGAAAGAGGTGGCGACGAGAGGTGGGCCGGGAAGAATTAGTGAGCAGGAGTTTGTGACTTTTATGCATAGCGATATGGGGAGGCGACTAGGGTTCATGAGCGCTTGGATCAGTATGGGCAGTTTTTAAGACTTGCAAAAGGAAAGTTTGAGCGTCTGCATTTATCCTCTCCCTTCGTTTTTAGTCAGATGGAGATGGAGGACTGAAAAGCTTTTTTTTTTTAATATGTGAATGGCTTCGTTCCTTCGTTCATAGTCATGCTCTTAGAGCGGTATGGTGTTATAATCATTTGCATTAGCATGCACCAGGAATACAATAGAATCCTCAGAAGTAAATAGTAGACACTTATGGAATGTCTAAATATAAAATAACCCTAACAAGACTAAATATTACCTATCTTTTTACTCTGCAACAGCATTTTCAAATTCGCAAAAAATATATAAAAATTGAAACCGTGAGAATGCCTGTATATACCAGTATTCGACCCAATTAATTGCCACAAAACATTCGAAATGAAATATATAGGACTAACTCTGCTTTGATTCGAAGGTATACGTAGCTAAATTTAATCACATCCATTGCAATGTAGATATATATCGAGGCGGTGTATGCCGTGCCGCGCAGCCGCATATATTTGGACTAACTTGCCTAACCATACTCTTAGTGACAAAATACCCCAGCCTTGCGTCCATACGTCACTACGTCCGGAATTACCCCCGCCTGGCAGAGATGAAGATTCTTAGGATGTTCTCTTCCCTTTCAGTCACTCAATCAAAACCTACAAATTCGAAGAGTCGGACTACATTTATGCGGAGGTACTGACCAATACCTAAGCTGGGTAGTGGTGATTATAGTCATATATTATATATCATAACCTCACAATATTATAACCCACGACAATGCAAGATCCAACGGCTCACGACGTGCTAAGGGAGTCCCGCCCCGCCATCAAAAAAATTATAGAACACCTCTCTTGTTTTAACTGCTATTCGCCACCTTCGGGGAAATCAATCGATGAACTCGATGAATATGCGGCAGTATGTACCGGCATTGCCAAATTTCAGGGCCTTATGGACGCCCCGGAAACCGGTATCTTCGACGCAGCTACCGCAAAACACTTAAAGCAACCACACTGCCACAACCACAAAAGTCACGAAGAAAACATCTTCGCCGATGACTGGTATAAGAACAGCAGCCTTACCTACTGCTTCGAACAATATCCCGACAATTACTTAACCGTCGTCGAGGTTAGAAATGCTTTTGAAAAGGCGTTTAAAGAATGGGGTGGTCATCTTACGCCTCCTCTGCGATTTGAGGAAAAGCCACCTCATAAGGATGTCGATATACGAATCGGATGGCGGTACGATTTTGGGAAGTTGTCACTGGTTGGAAATGAGAACGCGAACGACGACGCTGCAACGGAATGTACAGACTACGACCCGGTCGCTCCCCAAAAGGTCCAAGAAACCGTGAAATGGAAAGATGAATGGGTAGCCGTTTCATACTCACCACAGTCGAAGGAAAAGCTACATGCGGATATAAAGATATACTTCAACGAATGGGCGGATGGTGGTCCGGCGGAGGATGGTCAGCAATTCGCATCTCGTATCTTCCCACAGATTGTGCTTCATCAAATAGGGCACATACTTGGGCTCGGTCACTCGATTGGTAAAGATTCGGCTATGTGGCCGGTGTATAAGAATTCAGAGTTACACAAAAATGATATCTATGAGATAAGGAAGAGGTATGGAGGACAACTTCGTATCGGCCGTCAAATGGATCTAGAATGGAGAGTAATTCTGAAGCACGAAGAGGGATTATCATACACACAAGAAATTTTCGCTATCCCTGGAAATCATCTTTATAGACTTACTCGCGGGGTCATTTGGGAACATGACCCTTCTTTGGGGTGGGAAGTAGTCAGTGGGCAGTATTACGCAGTGGAGTTCGACGCTAGTTCTCAATACCTGTACCTTCTGAACATTGATGGGAAGATCCTGAGACGAGCTAGAGAGAGCAAAATTTGGGAAGAGATTGATGGCGAATCTAAATCTATGAATTGGATAACTATTAGAGCTGCGCGTGATGGGAAAGAGCTATACAAGTTAGAATCTAACGATGGATTAGTTTCATCGTTTAGTAACGAACCAGGTTGTCAATGGAAGCTACTGGATGCGAACTCCGCTCAAACCACACAAGATATCATTACGACTGCCTCGCAAGTTTTCATTATCCACAACGATAGGGGGGTTTATGTCTCCGAGGGTGCGTATCGACAATGCCACCTCATCCACGGTCATGGTGAAGAGGACAGCTATGATGCTAACAGTTTTGAATTTGTTGGTTCTGGGGACCGGCTTTACCAACTCAATATATCGGGGCAGGTCCTCGAATGGGATGGTATGCGCACCAACGACCCAGAAAGCCTCAAAAACTGGGTAAATATAGGTGAATTAGGTGGGCTCAGATCCATTGACAAAATTGCAGCCGCAGGAACGTATTTGTACGCCTACAGTAGCGAACAAAAGATGGTTTGGTTTACTGACCGGAAAAATAAAATTCTTGGAAGTCCAGCGGAGTGGGTAGGAAAACCCATACCAAGTCATATTAGCCTTGGCTACATTGTGCGATTGGTAGCTAGTGAACATAACGTCTACTTCTTGGAATCTACAGGTGCAATCCATAGCTATTCGTTTCAGACCTCTAGATCTGGAGGGAAATTCTGTTAGGAGGATATATAACTACTCAAAGATCTTTAGTGTCGGATGGCTACGTATCTTCAGGATATTAAGGTTATAACCTTTACATAGATAAATGTCAATTACTTATTTCCGCTATACAGAATGTTTAATTCTTGGGCTCTAAGCTGACCGAAACTCACAATACCATTTTAAATTTCACGTACTCTAGTGGATAGGCGCCGATCTGGCTCTGGGAGCTTAATGAGTTGAGCCTCATTCTAAGTATCATATATTAACTAGTAGTTATTTGTATTTGTTGATTGAAGCCTAATATATATATATATATATATATGACGCACTAGAAGCTATATATATGGCATCATGATTAGGTTGATATGTTCGATCACCCAAGACACATTTTATGATTGAATCTTTGATAGAAACTCGAAAATATATAATTTAAATCAGTATAAAACTCTGAAATCTTTTCGTAGAGGCTATTTTAGGGTCCTTGATAGCCTTGATGTCCTTGAGATAAACTTGCAGTAGCTCTGTTGGACTCTTGGTGTTGAGGCCTTTCATTTAGTAGCATCATGTCAAGCCTCGTCACTAACTCTAGTCTAGTCATCTCAGATGCCTTGTATGATCTTCTGCCACTTGCTTGTGTACATAAATAGGTAATGAATTTCATGGACTAAATTAATACGATATGTATCGATCAAGTCTGTTTTAATATTTCCCATAGACTCGATATACATATTATTAGGTCAGTGAGCTTCCCGAAAATACTTAAAATTGATCGGTATATTCCGTCAAAACTAATTAATGGTGGTTAACCCACCAGACTGTACACAATTAATTGCATGTATGCAATTTCAAATTTCAAAAGTACACATTAATTACGTATGTTACAGGAGCCGTGTGCCATAGAAGACAACAAAGGCGGGGTACAATCAACATGACCCAGCCGTGCAGCCCACATCGATATCCGTCTGGACCGCAGGCAGCAGTTAGGCGCTGTCCCCATGCAAATAAGTGGCACAGATCCGTCCCCGCCTTCATCTCGAGGCTCTCACGATATCAATACAGAATATCTGTTAATTATCCGCTATATTCCACAAACGTATTCGAGTAGGAGATTCTTCAAAAAAAATATATACTTAAACTGAGCAGAGCGGCGCCAAAGTTCAAAAATGGCACCGCCAACAGTCGAGGAAGTGGCAGAAGAGGCCGGACCTGCGATCAAAAATATCCTCACTCACCTCGCTTGCTACGGCTGTCTACCTTCCGACTCAGAGACCGAAAAGCTAGAGGTTTCAGGCCCTCTACGACAATATGCCATCCTCTCAATAAGCATTGCCAGATTCCAATCATGGGCGGGCCTTCCTGAAACTGGTGTATTCGATGTCGAAACCGCCAACCACTTCAACCAACCCCATTGCCATAGTAATTGCAACCGGAGTGGAGGAACAGTGAACTCTGCCTATGCAGAAGGATATACCCTCAAAAATAAGAAGACGATAACCTACTGCTTTAACGAATACTCCGGCCAACTCTCCGTTCGCGAGATTCGAGATGTATTTGAAAAGGTATTCAAGGACTGGGAAGATCTACTAAAAGTCCCGATTATCTTCTTGGAGGTTGCGCCACACCCCGGAAAAGGAAACATAAGGATCAGTTGGGCTAATAGTGGAGGAGGAGGGGAATCTGGACCCGTTTTCGTATCATACCCTCCACCGAATGGTGTCGACCCGAATACTCCGATTGACATGTATTTTGACGAAGATACGAAATGGACTGTTGAGAACTTACGAAAAACTGTCCTCCATCAAGCAGGACATATACTCGGCATTGTTCATTCGTCACGTAGGGACGCGGTTATGTGGCCCGCATATAGTAATGAAACATTCGGTGGTGACGACCGTTCAGCCATGTATAGGTGGAATACGGGCTCCAGTATTTCAGAACCTCCCGCGATCACGATCGAAAAATTAAGAGACTGGGTCGCAGCACGGAGAAATAAGGAAGAACGGGGTTGGACCTGCATCCTTCAAACCTGCGATAAGCACAAGCTCAAGATTATTGCCGCTCCCGGTGGCGTTCTCTACCGTTTCAGCCTTCTTGGAAACATCTGGAGATATAAAACAGGAGAAACGTGGGAGCGTATTGCATGGTGGTCAGGAGCGAAATCACCAGCGGGTATACAACAGCTTGTCACTAGCTCCGACTATTTATATAGACTGAACGAAGATGGTACCATTTTACGATATCCGCACGACAAAAGTGATAATGGTTGGTATGCCATAGATTCCAAGCAAAGCGGCAATAAGAAAATCGCAGCATCTCATAGCAGCCCACTCGTGTACAAGTGTACAATTAATGGGAATGTCTCCGTTTGGCGAGAGGCTACAGATAAATTATCTGGGTATTGGGATTTTCTAGGTTGCCCCATGCCCCTTGGACCAACTAGCACACTCCCAGAAACCACGAATATCATCGCAGTAGCATCAGAGATAATCTATCACTCAGACCAAACAATTCTGAAATACCAAGGGGCTGACGAGAAATGGGAGTTGGCATTCGAAATACCATTCCGCAAAATAATCGGTGGCACCAGCGACCATAGTCTCTACATAATAGGTGTTAGTTATTATGATCCTGGGGAAGTCCTTAAATTGATGTTTAATAAGGGAGGTATGACCTACCGAGTCGGAGATAGGAGCAAGACTGGAAATTGCGATTCAGAGACCTATCCAGAGGAAATTGACTTTGTCGTTTCGGGTTCGCACCGGTATACAGTCTATTCTTACGGGCCTGCTAAGGACAAAAGGCGGGGGGTAGTTCACAGTGGCGAGGAAGATCGACCTAAAGCAGGTTCCCATAAATGGGTAGATTTGAAGCCTCCCTCATCTATCTCCCAGCTCGTCGCCGCTGAGGACGATGTATACTACATGGACGATACTGGGAGTATTTTCAAAATGTCTATGGGCTAATCATTTGATTTTGCCATGCTTCAAACTATTCATATTAGTTAGCATTTACACTCGACGGAATACAAGATTTATATCCAATACGAATTCCAGCACTCTTGAAGGGGAGCCCTAGAGTCATGGACCAAGTTTAAAATCCGATACATATCCACGTTCTTATAGTTAATATAAGCCTACTATATTAGAGTTTCTTAGGATCCTTCGATTTCACAAAATACTTATAAAGTAATCCACATTCGTTTTTCTAAGGGTTATTCTATATTTAGTTTACTTATAAAAGAATGACGATAGGGAATAGCTTCATTACCTGGGCATATTCTAAACTTTCCTTTAGATCTCGAGCGTGCGATAGCTATAGGATCGAGATCTACGGCGCTAGCTAATTTAGGTTTGTAACCATAAAATACATTCTGTTTTTACACATGCATTAGTCTTAACCAAACTGTACCACCTATTGTAACTAGTAGTCTCGTCTACCATAACCCAGGTTCAAACTAAGCTTAAGCCAACATTCCTTCGACTTCCCAGCACAAAAAGCCTAAATTTATAAACAAATAGTCTGCACCCAAGCCATTTCCCAAATCCCAACCAACCATCAATATCAATATCAATATCAAGATCATGACCCGCAAAATCACCAACTACACATTAACCGTCACCGCCGGGCCCACCCGCGATATCTCCTCCCACGTCCCCGTCCCCGTCAATACCGAACAACCACTTCACTTCGACACAAATCTCATTTCTACAGATTTATTCGTTCGCATACAAAATTATCGCGGAAGTACGTCATACCTTCATATATACATGCTAAGCTTAGCTTTTTTTTCTCAAATCAGATCCCTGTGATCTACAGGGATTCCGAATTGGGAAATACAACTTGATTTCAACACAAAAAAGAAACTAATTTCAAAATAATTATGATATTTTTATATAAGTATATAGCTGATAAAACCCTCCCCTCAACATCTCCATACTTCGAAACACCACCACACTCCACGAATAAAGATAAATACTCCATTTCCTTCTCACCTTTAATATTCAAGGATTCATCAATAAACGGCGACGATTTAGTCCTGGGCAATGACTTTGACGAGCCGATTTCAAAAAACTTGCCGCCGGGGTTTAGTGTTGCCTGGAGAGTTGCAAGATGGGTCGTAGATCCCGGACTTGATGGCGATCCATGGGCTGAGAAACCTTGGTTGGAAGGAAGGGTTTTGAGTAGTGTGAATGTTATCGATATTGGAGATCGAGATGATAAGAAACAAGCTGGTGAAGGGGTAGATGTTCTTGAAGAAGGACTATATAAATCTAAATTGAATGCCGAAGAAGGTTCCGAAGAAGAGATACCGAAAGATGGAGCTGCAAGGATGAAATTCTTTGTTCAACAGGAAAAGAGGAAGAAATTTGTGTTCGAAAAGGGGGAGAAGTATTGGATGGATTTTTATAATCCGTATCTTGACTTTAATGGTGATTCACCCCTTCTCCTCGTTATCTGCTTCGTTATTCTCGATGATAGACTAACTCGTTGCGATTTCTTGTAGAGTTCGCACTCCACTTACCGGGTATTTCAATACATATTCTACAGTATTGGGATGGCCAACCGCTTCGCTATGTGCTGAAGAATCGGGTTGATCAGACCGTTTACCTGGTTGTGCAGTTTACACTAACTCCGAAGGAGGATGTTGATACTGACGAAGAAGACGAGGATGATGATGGCGATGATGAAGAGGATGACGAAGGGGATGACGAAATATTTGAAGACGCTCGACAGAGTGAAGGGACGACCAGCCAGAAAAGTACGAATCCGGCGGTTCAGACGAGTAACGACGATATAGACTGAAGATGGTTTGGGAAACTGTGTGCCTGGTCTTAGTCTGGGAGTAGGTCTGGGGTTAAAAACAATAAAGGGTTTGGGTCAGTTCACGCATAGGTAGGAAATAGAACATGGTGGCTTCAGCGTCATAAGCTTCTCTCGTTACAGTCTTAAGCGCCTTAGATAGGTCTTTTTTTTTTGATTCAATGCGAGCGCTACCCTATAATAATCTTATATAATTGGAATTCAAAAAAAAAATTTGATTGTCCTTAAATCAAGATTTAGAAGCCGAAATAATCCTCCTTGTATATACCAAAGCAAAAATTCTCGCATGTTCTTACAACTTCATAATAATATTGCATATTGTCTCTGATTTCTACAGAGAACAGGAATCAAAAAATTCTACAGAGTCAATGTTCCCTTTAAAAAGAATATGGAAAATTCACAACCGGCCCATAAACTGCAACATGCTAAGAATAACTGGTCAAGTGATCAAATACTGCCAACCTCAAAAGCTAGCCGTTGTGTCACGAAACCGGGGCAATGCCAACCATTTACCTAATTTACCTAATTAGGTGCTCTTCATCCTTTCCAGCAGACCCGTTCCCTTAACCCCTTCCTCCTCCGCTGCTCCATCCTTGCTGCTCTCTTCCCCTTCAACAAGAGGAACAGTAGTAGCCCTTTGCCGACTAATCATCCCCGGCCAAACTCTCGGCTCTCCCGCACTAATTCCCATCTCACCCGTCGCCTTAACGAGATTGTCTAAACTTGAGTCCCTCATCAATCTAGACTCGCCACTATTCGGGCTTTTACCTTCATTCTTACTCCGTGTGCGGTTAAGACTAAAGCTATTAATCCGATCCGTTGGTGTAAGTATTTCTTCATTATTGCCGGACGCTAACATCATCTTTGGAGTCGTCGGTGGAACTTGGTAACTATGAATGCTAGGGGTCATGGCGATAGAGGCGGTCGGATTGGTATACATCGAAGTTGTAGGACTTTGCGGTCTGGAAACCTGCAGCCCACCAGCTTGACTTTCTTGACTCTTTAGGTAGTCCAATCTATTCGCTTGCGACGTTGGTGCTTCACCAACTTGCTGATGTTGTGGCGCACTGAGCTTCTGCGCGGTTGGTTTTTGTGCATTTGGAGAGGAGGTATATTTATCGATCCTGATGTTTTTGTTAGTAAATGTTGTCAATGTATATGAAATCAAATGGGGGGGTCTGTTCTTACATCTCCAACTCCTGCATCAAAGTCTCATCTCTGAACTGGATACGAATATTTGGAACGTTCGTCTTCTCCATATCATTTCCAGAGACTCCACGCTTGTACCACCCATTACCCAGCCATCTTTGCTTCAAACCTGCTTCGAATCCACTCTGTAAGACACTGTTCCTAGCAAGTTCGCACATGTCAACTGCAGATAATTTGTAGATCTGTGCAGCGACAGAGTATTCTTCGATCAATGGTTCTTTGGTGAATGCGAACTGCAAGGGGTCGTCAGTACTCAATGAGACGTTAAGACCACGTTTGAAGTACTGTAAGAATGGATTCTTGTCGTAGGCGAGGAACAAGGCATTATTGGAGAGTGGACTCATTGCAATACCAATTTGTTCAAGATAGAAGATGTACTGCAGCAGTGGGACCTTGCGGAGCAGGATGCCATGGGAAATGGAATGGCAAACTAGAACAGCTGCGGCCAGATGGTCAGTATCACCAGCTTCTCCGCAGTGTGGTCGAAGAACAAAAGTATTGAATCCTCTCTGTTTTCTCCACATATTCAAGGATGCAAGGTTGGCGAAGAGGTAATAGATCCAATAGCTGTATGGAGGATTTTGGCCGGTGTTCCAAACCTTCGGGAATGGGAACTTGCGGTACAGTCTACGCTCAGGTTTACTCTCATCGTCGACACTGTCGATACCAACAACTCTCTGAAGGAAAACGTGAAGTTTGGGATGAGATGCAGGATTCTTTGTGACCTCGAAGAGCGGCTTGAAGAGATTCCTCACTACTTCTTCAAAAGTTTGGACAAGGTTTTCGGCCTTGTAGATGTTATATAATCGAGGGATTTGGATTAACCAGCGGACGTTGTGTGAGAACAGCTTGTTATCAACAACCCAAGCAGCGAGCTTATCCCATTCGTCCTCTGAGCGACCATATATTGAGATTCTGTACTCTGTCATCTGGTATTTGGAAGCTTCAAGATCGGAAATCACCTCGCGAGTAATTTCGGCCAAAAATTTACCCTTGGAGTAATTATCCGTCTTCAAGAAGATGGTACGTAGACGGGACTCCCCGATAGGATTATACTTCAAATTGAACTTGTCGAATCGGTGGAAACTGTCGGTATGGGCATGCATATCCAATGTATCGATACTAAGATCGTACGCTGTGAGATTGATACTTTCAAACACCTCCCGGAGCGTCAAGTGCTTCCCATCACGGAATATGACGACCTCATCAGGACACTTCTTCATCTTGCTCTTGATGAATCGGAGCAAATGCTTTTGGTTCATACAAGCGGAATGGTGAACGTGAGTATCGACTTTTCTGACATTGTAGAAGTCTCTGTGGGGCACCCGCTTCGAGTCTGCCATCTCTTGGTACTCGTTGAGCAGGAAGTACAAGTTCCATTTCCCTTCTAGATAACTAAGTCGCCTGAAAGCGAAAGACTTGCTGGGACCGTCGGAACTGATGTTGAGAACTTCTTCAAGATCCATGTAGTACTCTCGAATCGTCGGGATGGCGACGATAGGGAGCTCGGCATCAATCGCTATAACATGTTAGCATCGGGATGCATCCTTTTGGAAATAAATGAAGAGCATCGATCTTACCCTTGCGGTTTTCGTAAACCTGGTAGACACCGGTATCGTCTAGCCGGAACTCCATTTCGTCCTCCCCTGGAATCTCGCATTCCTCGAACACGAAGTCGCTACCAATATCTTGACCCGGTTTTCTGGTTTTACCACCCGAGCGATTCAATTCGGCAGAGCCATCAATATTCGCCGTGCCATACATTGGATCATCCCGTGGAGGCAGCACCTGCGAGCCCTCTGGAACCCAAACAGGGGGCGGGGGCGGTGGATAAATCTTCCAAGCAGCGTCATCCTTCGGGTTGTCAGTCGGACCCTGAAGGGACAGTCGAATATACTTGTGTCGGAGATCGAGAATCTTCTGCACATTCGTATAGATAGTCTGAAGCTCGGCCGTGATACCAGCATCCTCTATCTCGGGGTTAGCCACGAATTCCATGACACAACAATAACGACTACAATAGAATGCACCACTTACGGGCTGCATAACCTCCACCGATAGCTTGATTAGCTGCTGCAGGGCCGTCATTTATCGCATTGAAACCTGTCATGTTCGGCGCCTGAACTTCTGCTTCTCCTAGTGGTTTTTCAAACGACCCATACCCTAAAGGCATGGCTTTCTGTGCCTGCGCACCGTAGCTCTTCACGCTCCCCGCTTTACTTCCACCCCTACTAGCTTGCAAACGCGCCGAATAGTCCAACGGGGAGAATCCACTGAAAGGTTGTGCGGATTTAGGTGCTATCGCTGGCGAAGCTGCCACAGACCCTTGTTGCGACACGCCAGCATCGACCAATTGACCAGTCATGGTATTAACACGAGATAATTGGCTATAGAAAAGCTTCGCATCCGTTTGCTTCAAGGCCTTATCTTCTTGATAGTCATAGAATGCGTTTTGCTGTTGATGTTTCGCTTCTTCCTCGTCCGAACCTCGCTCTGGGGATTCATCATCGCGCTGGTCGTCAGAGGGGTGACCGGTATTAGTATTATTTGGACGGTCAACATTGAAAATTTGGGACTTAAGACCGGCAAGGGTCAAGCCGCTTTTGCTGTCGTGTGAGGTGAGAGAGTGACCTAGGTGGGAGTATTCGTCGTCTGAGTCTGGGTGGTTGGTTACATGCGTTGGGAGATGCGACGGAGACGAGTTTGCGGAACCAGCTGGGGAGAAGGAAGTTATGCCAGCTTGAATCACAGTTAGCGGTCTAATTCGCGGCTTTTAGGCTACTAGATGGTCTAGACGAGGATGGAAAACGGAACGGGAGACGGGAGGGTGTGAGGTCTCGTGAGAATGGGATCCTGGCTGTCGGGATGTGTGTAATGGGGAGTGGGAGGGGGTCATGGCGTGAGAGGTGTGGAGATGTGCAGCACATCGGACAAGAATAGCTCAAACTCGCACTCACCACCAGTCATTGTGTACTACTGCGATCTAGAAGCGTCTGGATTACAGCTGGCCTGGCGTCACTTGATAATTGATGTCGATGGTGCCAGGCAGCGGTATGACGCTGGGATCAGGACGGAAGTAGGTAAGTATTCTACCTTGATAGCTCGATAGCTGTACGGTGAGGTGGTTATGATGATATCGATCGCGAAGATTAAATGACCAAAGCTAGGCTAGACTGAGCTAAACAGACCCTGAAAGGAATACTCGACACAACGATGCGATACGAATGAACCGAAGTCTTGAATTGTGAGACGAATATGCAAATGCAAGGAGATCGTGGAGAAAGAGTAAGAGTACAGTACAGGTGGAGGTTACTTGTGAAAAGTAAGTTACTCAAAGAAATCATTCGCTGGCTGGTTCTTTCTTCCTACGATTAAACTCCAAGTCACCGTAGTCACATTATCAGTTTCCGCCCTGGCCTGGCCTGGCTGCATGGCTGGCCATGGCCATGGCTATTAGTTCGCTGATTCGAGTCGTCAGCACGGCCAATGACGAGTACAGAACAGGCCCATGGACACCAAATACCGTCGAGAATCGGTGGGAACGCTGTGAAAACCGCCTGCAGATTCTTCCCCTGCAGTGTGCTCACAAACCTGGAGGAATTCGCATCTTATCAGGAAGCTCAAACAGAAGAAGCGCTCGAAGCGGCGGCCAGTTCCGAGAGCGGTGAGCGCCGTCGACAATTGGCTAAAGTTTTTGGTGGGCTCAGGGGAGACGGAGAGTTTAGATCTAGTAGCTAGTCCCCTGTCGATGCCCCCAAGCTTAATCAAAGGAAAAAAATTATAAGGTTGGGACACAAAGGAGAGCTCGAGGTTTCGGATTCTAGAATCTGATATCGATGCAAAAGTGCCAGATTGGATATCTCGATTGTAAGAACGATGATGTCACTGTGCGTCTTGACCCTTGCAGCCTTTTGGGGGGCCCACATATCGTGAATAGGCGACTCTAGATTGGCCAGTCTACGGTATAATGTATAGACACACATCGATCTAGATTCAAAAATCTTATTTAAGAGCATATTCTTCTTTGACTAGTTGGATTCGTATCGTTGAAAATCGTAAAACATGGATATCTTTAAGTACAAAAAAGAGGCATTGTAAAAGAGTGCATTTCCTGTATCCCGACCGGTGTTCCATATTCTTGTTCGCCGTCCAGGGTCCCGCATAAATACCATAATAGGTGCTACCGATACACCTCCTCATCCACCATCCCACTTTGATATAAAAAAAAAAATGAGGTTTTTAGTTTTCTTTTTCTTTTGCTTGCGAGAGGGAAGTGGTAATCGGCAGACAGAAAGGATAAAAGGCCACACATGATGAATGTCGATTCTTGTTAGTCTCATAAGTAAGAAACAGGAAAAGATATATAAAAAAAAGAGAATAAGATATCCATCAATCATCTGATCACGATGGAACCACCTGCTCGCTCAAGAACTCTTCGTTATTCTCAAACTCCTCCTTGACGATATCCAACCCTCCCACCAGATTTCCCTCGTGGTACAGCTGGGGATAAGTTGGCCAATCGCTGTATTCCTTCAATCCCTGTCTAACCTCGTCATCCTTGAGAATATTGAAGAACCCGTACCGAATATTACGCTCCCGAAGAATAGCCACAAGCTGCCTGCTGAATCCACATTTGGGTTCTGCCGGGGTACCCTTCATGAACAGCATGACCGGGGCAGCATTGACAAGTTTTGTTAAGCGTTCATGTAATGACTCCTCCTCTAACTCAACATCATCTGCTGTGGCGCTATCTGTGGTACCGTTGGGGTCTGCAGAGGCTGCACCACCAGCAGCGGCAGAATCATAGTTACTGCTAGCTGGAGCAGCAACCTGTTGTGGAGGAGGGATGGCAAGGAGGACCTTGCCGGCAGCACCACTGAGCGACTGTATGGCTTCGTTTAGTTCCTTCGGGTCTGCACCAGAGATCTTACGTAAGATCTGGCGATTCTTGACGAGAACGAAAAAAGGAACAGCGGAAACTTCATATTCCTCGGAGACGTCGGGGACTTCTTCGGCGTCTATGGAGATGAAGACGGCCTTGTCGGGTGAAGAAGAGCCGGCAATGGCGGCAAACGCCTCGTTCATCTGCCTGCAGGGAGCAGCCCATGATGTGTGAAAGGAGATTGCAAGTAGGATATTATCGGGAACCGAAGCGAAGACCTCTCGGAAGGCCTCGACGGTTGTTGGAGTGTGTAGTGTCGCCATTTTGTGAATTTTTCCGTGGGATGAATTCGAAATCTTAAGCCTCGGTCGGGTTGCGATCGAGCTTGGCGGGTGGAGGGGTAGCTGTGAATGGACGTGGAGGGGCAATGCAATGCAATGCACTTGCAATGACAATGACAATGACAGTGGCAGTAACAGTAACAGTGACAATAAGGCTGTAAGTACTTTCTAATCTGATCGAAGAAGGTCGGAAATCTGATCAATCAGATTGAGATGGTAAAGATTAGGAAAGGAGAGGGAAGAGGGAGAGGTTTTTTTTTTATCTGATCTGCCGGGGTTTTCACAGCTATGCTCTGTTGCATAGCTATTTTTATCGGCTGGGAGAAGGCAGCCGACAGGAATTTTATAGCGGCACTTTGGGTGGCACCGGAGCGGGGCGATTTCTAATCCTCACAACGTGCAACACCCCGCCTGGGATTTCGCCATCCTCCATTGCATTAGTCTCGAATTGATTGAATCACACCCGACAGCCGGTTTGATTCGACTGGATGGACTCCGGTGGACTGATACCTTACATATTTTTTATATAATCTTGCGAAGAAGTACCCATTAGTAACCAGCTATTATAAGTGTATGTAATGAGCTGGGATGGCACATTTTATAATAAATGATATATTACTAGTTGCTATACTGTCCACGCTAGCCAGCCCTCATTCTAGCGCATATCCCGAGTCTCCACTTCCATGCATCTGTCATGTTCACATCCCCAGCATACCACTGTACTTACATAGTCTTTCCATATCTATATAATTAAGTAAGTACCTAGGTATATACTTAAGTATAAGCACAGTTAGTTGGGAGGCAGAGATAGTAATTTAACCTATCACAAACAAACCGTTACAAAAATGACAAGGCAACATCCGAATCCAAATCAAAAGATGAAGCATTAAATTGTCCAAGGACCTTAAGCTTATATTAAACACAGCTCAGTGGATATGATTATATCCAACGTTGCAACTGAATAGCAGCTAGAAATCATCGTTTTTGATCGAACTGCTGCATTGTTAAATTGGTTGTGGGTCACACATACAGCCATTGTCCTGGTCCAATCTGCTGCCACAAGATTATTGTAATTTCCCTCGTGAACGGTCCCTTCAATTGCCTGACGTCGCCTTTCTCTGTCAGTTTGTTTGTACGTCCTTATTCTAATACCATTTTATTTTATATCATATATACTAGTATTCTCGGGTTCTTCTTTCCCTTTTCATCTGTTCTTTTCCCTATTTTCAAACTAATTCTGAGCTCCGTCAATTAATCTCTAGCTTAACTCTTGAACCCTCACTAGTACTGTACTGTACTGTTGATACATCAACTATGTCGAACACCACCAACGGTACGCGCCCCTTATAAGAAAATGCCATAGAAAAAGGGAGTATCATATAAATATTCTAACTTGCCATCGAAATCTCCAGTAAAACGGGCAGCTGTGGCCTCCTTAATGGACCAGCTTCGCGCCGACGTCACAGAACAGAAGCTAACTCCCCAAGGTCTGTACCTCCTACCTTCAAATACCACAAAAACAACACACCCTGTCACCTCTTGGGTAGTAGGGAAATAATTATGCTGACGATAAATGATAGAGGAACTTGCAATTCTTGAAAAACTAAAGGTTTACGGCCGTACCGTCACTGGTTCTGATGCAATCTACTCTTCCGAGGGAATTGTATTTCTTGCAGAAGTTGCATTTCGTCCTAACAACCCAGACTCCTCTCGAGAGGCACTGCGATGTCTAGCAAATGCATTATACCTCGATCGACAAATGGTTCAATACTTTATCGATGCTGGATACGTCGAAAAGACTAGTGAAGCATACAAAGTAAGTTATCTTCTTTTAGATGTCCTGTTGAATTTAAGATATCTGTCTAATAAAAGTTTAGAGCGAGAATGTCGACGACGAGTTCTTATTAGGAAGAATCCTATTCTTCTCCACTACATTTGCTAAAGACGACCACCTCATAAACAAATGGGCTAACGAGCACCATCTCGTTGAAAATAACATTGCAGTAGGAATTCAATCCCTGAAGCTTGATTAAATATAAAACACAAAATCTAAAAACAAGATCAACTAGGCAATCTCTCGCCATGCAATTGCCTATACAACCGCCGCATCGACTGCCTCCTCATTAGCAGTTCCAATGATGCAAACAATGGCTCTCCAAGATACTCTCAAACTTCTCTACACTCTTACCACGAAACTCTCAGATGTATCCACCATGCTAGGCCCGTAAGTTCTCTACCCCCCCCCCACTTTATATGAAACAACATACTAACAAATACAGTACAATTCCCCACCTCCTCACCCTTCTATCAGCATTACCCATCCAATCCCCCCCGCTCCAAGCCCCAACCCATCACATCCTCGATGCCCTAAGTAATATCCCCCCAACAACTACAGACTCCCAAACTGCCTTCTTCCCACCTTCAAACCCCACTCTTCACGTTTCCAAAATCCTAAAAATTTTCGATAAATCTGCTGTTATCCCATCATCATCATCAACCACTTCTCGCAGCGGCACCAGCACCAGCAACAACACAACAGCAGACGACTTCGACACGCACGCCGCATCTCTTCTAAAACTCCTGATAGAAATCTATCCTCTCTCTCCAGCTCCCGTCAAAACCCTTCTTCATGAAACATTACTCCCTTCAGAAAAAGAACGAAGTTCGCCTCTAGGCTCTACGAATAGCGCTACCCTCCCAGCCCGACTACTAAGACTAGCAAGCTCGCCCACAACCACCAACACTCGGCTTATCTTGCAAACTCTATTATTCGTAATATCAGATGAAGATCCAGTTAAATTCGTGAAAAACGTAGGATATGGCCATGCTTCCGGTTATTTGATGATGCGTGGAATTCCAATTCCCTCGGAGGCACTTGAAGAAATTGGTGCCGCGGAATCTGGGGACGGGGGCAGTGGTAGGAATAAGAGGATTAACCCGATAACAGGTCAATACCTTGATGATGAACTGAGAGATATTGAAGCATCGGGTCTTAAGGGATTGGAAGACATGACAGATGAGGAAAAGGAACGGGAAGCGGAGAAGTTATTTGTATTGTTTGAGAGGTTAAATAGAACTGGGGTTATTAATGTCGAGAATCCGGTTAGGACGGCGATGCAGGAGGGAAGGTTTGAGGAGATTAAGAGTGATAACGAGGATAGTGACGACGATGGGGACAATGAAGCTGGCAAGGGGAAGGGGAAGGCAAAGGCTTAGAGTTGAATAACTGATGTCGTTTTTTCTTTTAAATGCATGATTCTCGGTCTATAAATTGGCGGGCCCGGAGATGTCTTCCTCAAACATCTACCTATGAATCGAGGGTGCTTATTGACAATTTCATATCAAACTACAAATTAATATCTAATAGCAAAGCCAAAGAAGAAATTTACACCTTAATCCATCAAACTCCTCCTGAGGGCCTTCGTAGTTTCCTCCGCGGAAATGGCTGCAAATCTCTCCTCAAATTCCTTGACCATCCGTTCTGCCATCACCTTCTCTATTTCTGCTTCAAACAATCCCTCAGCAATCCGATCGTTCGGTAAAGTCTTTTTAGTCAACAGATATTCCAGAATAGACTCGTCCTTCAAATCAGCATAACTCTTTTGAAGAATATCTAAAAGCCGCCGACTGTGTCTTTCAACAAACGCCGGTAGCCTTTTCTTCAATTTTCCACCATTGAACCGACCCGATCTGTCCTTCACAAGAACTTTTATAGAATGCTCTGAAATCCTTGGATTATTTTGCAATACCAATGGAAGAAGGTCGGCTGGATAATGAAGACCGAAGTCAGCTAGATCCTCGAAACTAATCCAGCGTAATCCCGAAATCTGAATACTATCCAGCCTGAATTCCTCAGGTTGGTTCCAAATCTCTTCCCCCGAGCTCTGCAAATACTTTCTCTCTGCACCATCATCTCCCCCCAAGCCCACACACCCCAGAGTTAGTTCTTCGACGCCCGCAAAATGGTAACTCGCGAATTTTCGCCACCATAAAGGCGACATAATGCCTAAATACGTAAGGCTTGTGACTCCTTCTGGGGGCAAAAGGATAAATGAAGGGTGGAATAAGTAATGGTGAGAGACGGTAAGGGAACGAAGCGATTTCATTTTCCAGACTACCTCTTGAAGAACCTGGAGTTTATCCCATAAATCTGCAGGTTCGAACTCTTTACTAGCATTCCGTCTGTATGGCTCCCCTGCTAATGAAAGCGTTTTTAGATGGTCCGTCAGCCCAGAAAGTGCCATAACAAGCCCATCAACGCTCCTTCCGATGCGTTTTTGTCTGCCATCCCAGATTTCTTCCAATCGAAGATTTGTCACCTTCGTCATGTCGCAAAATTTTAAGATCGAGATATCGGCTAGGTTGATTTTGATAGATATTCGAAATTTTTCAGAAGGATCCTTTTCTTTTGAAAAGGACTTGAAGATGCTTAAGACGGTGGTATGTTTGTTGAACGGAACATCATCCTCCGAAGTTTTGGCTTTGCCAAAAGGAAGTATGGTAGTTAAAGGCGACTCCGAATCTGATTCAGGCTCATTTTTCTCTTCAAATAATCTATACCATGGATTTGGTATTCTTTCTACGCTATCATCGGGCTCTAGATTTTAAAATGTTAGAAATCATCGAACTGTCCATAAACAAGAAAAAGAAATCAACTTTAGTGCCCGGGATTCACTTACGATAACTAGTAAGGTCTAGCTCAATATGTTTAGGACCTCGTATATCCCCATTTTTTATAGCCTCTAGCGTCGCTCGTAAAACCGAGAACTCAGGAGGAACACCGTCTTGGACCCCGAGCGACCATCCAATGTGAATAGGTGACTCTAGCTGAGCGAGTGTATTGTGTATGACTAGATCATCATGAGATATGAGAGAGCTGTTATTGAATCCAAGTTTAAACCAGTTATGACGGTAACAGGCATCTTGAAAGTTTTTTGAAGATAGAATGAGATTGAATGAATCGCATTTTTCGAGGAATGAAGTAACCTTGAATAGGATGTCCGGCTGAAGGGTCTCTAGAGGAGACTGTTTATTCTATACATGCAAACGTACGAATTAAGTCCCTGGGTAATTAATCGCGTCGACAGGAGTGACAACCGATGATATCGCACTTACATTCGATGCCATGAGATTTCCACGACTCTGCTCCCAAAGCTTCTGCTTCAAGGCCAGCGCCTTTTTCCTTTCCAAATCCGGAACGAACACTCCTTCATCGTCGAACCCATCACCGTCAACAATAACATTTGCTGGTACCAATGTCGCTTTGTTATTTTCCAAGAAAGCCCGTCCCAGGGCTTCACTTCCTTCATCCTCTCCGGTTTTAACATAAACCGATTCGAGATTTCTCGTAATCCCAGCGACCACATCAACAAACGTTGTTACTTTTGTCTGCACCTGCGCCTGCGCCGGCCCCAGCATGAGCATCCTCGTGTGCGCGCGCCCACCCCCCACCGTCTGGAGAACTAGATGTTTCACCGTAGATACGTTTTCGTCACCGATCGAACCTGTATAACCCCCAATAGAATAAGGTTTAAGATGAGAGACTCCAAATGCCTGAATAGCTTTGATCGCTGGTAAAAGGAGAAACGCAAAAACATCAAGACTATGAACTGGTTCGCTTCCATATCCCTCGACGCTCTCACTTCCAATCCGGAAATGCTCAAGGTTAGCTAATCCCGGGAGGACAGCTGAATCAGGATCTGGTGATGTTCTCTCCGGTTTGTTCATGGGGTCTTCACCACGATGTATATAGTGACTATACAAATCCTTGGCTCTTGCTCTTGACTCCCTCCTCGACGATAGTCGATACGGAAGATTCTCAAATAAGAATATATCCCTGTCTCTTGGGTTATGACTTTGACACTTTTCATCAAACTCCGCCTGAGGATCACTATGTTCGGATTCACCGATGGCCCATAAAGCCGCACCGCTCCTCCATTCTTGGTACGTATGCGTCACCAACACGACGTCAATATTTCCCAAATCCAAGGATTTCAAATTCGTCGTAAACACCAGTAACAACGGCAGGAGTGCCTCAGAATTTATTCCATATCCGATACAACGTTGCGTACGATCGTCAATACACCATTTTTCGCAAAGGTCATGGATCTTTTCAATTTCATCTCTTTCCCATGACCATGTTTCCGTCCAGGTTTCTTTATTTGATGCATTTCGACGTTCCCATCGAACGGTGATTTCGCTGAACCGTTCACCCAGTTTTGGGTTCTTGAGAAGGGACCGGATTAGACGCCATGTGGGGTGGCCTTGGGCGTCGACTCGGAAGGTATACCGGCGAGAGGTTTGTTGTTCGATGTTATCACGGAACAAACTGCAAGTCAATTGGAGTCTGGTGAGGTCCGCATTGGAAAGACATCTGTCGTTGAAGATGTTTGAAAGTATTTCGTTAGGGAGGGAGAGGATTGTGGCTACCATATTGGCTTGCTGTTCAATTAAATTAAATTGATTATGATCAATTGATGAACTTCTGATTTGATTGAACGAATAGATATGACAGCAGCGACAAGTCGCTCATTTTATATTCGAATACCCTCGATTGTCGTACTGGCATGATTTCTTTCGGTATATTCCCCGAGAATATTGCCATTATGTTACTCATACCATCTAACGTAGCTAGCACGCGTGCAGCGTGCAACCGGCTAAGATTGAACACGCCTATGCGGAATGCAGCTATGAGTCAAAAACGCGGGACCCCGTGCCCTTCGACTCAACTAACCCCCCCTTGCCGGAAACATGAACATCACCCAATCACAATTGTAGTCTTGTGGCGTAACAATGCAAAATTGCACAATCGAATCACAGAAGCTCGCTTTCGCGATCAATTCGCGACTGTTAGAAATCAATTGACGAAAATATATATTTGTATATATTTCTATATGTTATCCTCTTTCTCTTTCTGTAGCCTATATCGTGTAAACCAAACAAAATATGCACCAATCTGATATCATAGTACAACTTATCCGCAAACCATAATAAAACTCCCAAGTGGTCTCCAAAATGAAAAAGAAAAATGATAAAAAGAATAAAGAGTGTGAAAAGTGACATCAAAAAATGCTTCATATACAAGATTCAATTAAGGACCTTTCGTCCATCTCATTAACGTACCTCTTACAAATCTGGTCCCCCTCTTCATGTTGAAATGATAGTAAACCGGGGGGTGGCTATCAGGTTGCCTTAGATATTCTCGCTTCTTGGCTATTCGAGCAGGCCAGGCCAAGAACTAGGCACTGTGAGCATCTGGCCTTGGCTTTTATGGGATGGCGATAGCTTGGATACCACCCAAGGGGTATTCATGTTTGCAACTATCTCCTTTCCACTAACATGAAGTGCATGGCCAGATAGCCTAGTACCAAAAACACTCCAGAGAATACCCCGAGTCCAATGACATCTCCCCAGTAGGCCTGGTTATTGAAGCCGAAAGTGGTCAGAATGGTTGCTCCGGGGACTGAGATATCCAGTCCATATTTGCGATCAATTAGCTGCAGAGTGGTAACCTCGTTGACAATCAGTGCTTCGAACCCGTAGTGGAAGATCGATATCTGGTTCCATGTTAGTCGTATGTTTGCATATAGGAGGAGGAGGGGAGAATACAACATACCACTTGTAGCCATTTGGCAGGTCCTGGAATCTTATCGTGATTCAACAGTAAACCTGCCATCAGCAAACTGAACAACATCACCAAGCTGCCCACTAAGTTTGCAATACCAGTATCCTTAAAAACTATACCAATAAATAGACACAATGTCGCAGTAGCAAGATTAAATAAGACCAGAACAAGAAGGAACTTGAAGAATGCATCCCACTCTGGTAACAATCCAACCATGGGGTAGACTATCGCACCCAGTATGATTGGTGGGAGGAGACGTAATGGAAGGATGTCGAAAACAACTTTGCTGGAGAAGTAAGTGATCGGTGCGTAATAGCCATTCGCACGCTCACGAACAAATAATAGTCGTTCTTGAGAAAAGACGTGGAGGGATGTCAAAGCGCTGAATCCGAAGACGGCAAGGACGAAAAAGAAAAGACCCATGCGATTCTGGAAACCAGCAATATCGTCTGTAATACCGTAGAACAAGAAGCCGCAAAGACAGGCGAGGACGATAGGAATAGCATAGTGAGTAAGCATAAGCATGGGGTTTCGGTAGAGGTTCTTCCAGGTACGCGCTGACACAATAGAGAACTGTTCGAACCAACCGATGCGCTTGAAACCTGTTATAGGACCAGTACCCAGGAGAGTTGCGTGAGCATCACCATCGGTGCTATTGGCTGTGGTGACAATTTGCTGGATTTCGTCATGAACTTGTTTAGAAATATCGCTGTTAAGATAAGAAGTAATGAGAACGTCTAGATCGGAGTGGGCAGTGAAAGAGCCCTCAAGAAGGCCTGCATCGTCTTCACGATCGGGGTCGGCGAGGAGGGCTTCAGATTCATCAGGAACGGAGGCGAGTGATACATCATCGGCACTTTGGCCGAGCCCACTAGACTTTCGGGTAAACAGAGCACGTTCTTGGCGGTCTCGGACAGAGTTCGTTCTCTTGCGGCCGGTAAGCTGGGGTCTTTCAGTTGCGGTAGACGAAGAGCTTGGTTCAGAGCTTCCATTTCCTTCGCTAGGGACTGTTCTCTTATGACTTGCATGCATTGTCAGATCAACCAAGAAATCAGCGATGTTGAAACCAGCTGGACATGGGTATCCACAGCCGGCAAAATAATCTTGACACGCTCTGAAGTCACCCGAGTAAACCATTCGGCCCTTTGCAAGAAGGGTAAGGCGGTCGAAAAGTGCAACGATGTTGGATCTCGGCTGATGGATTGTGAAAATGATAGTGCGGTTGTAGTTCTGAGCGAGAGAAACAAGGCATTCGACAACGTTGTAGGCATTGTAGGCGTCAAGACCACTGGTGGGTTCATCGAGGAAGAGAATTGCAGGACTGGTAACGAGTTCACAGGCGATACTGACACGGCGTCTTTCTCCACCAGAGATACCACGCTCCCCTTCTTCAGATCCAATGAGTGAGTCCTTGATTCCCAAGACGCCAAGTTGTTGCATAACTTCCATGACCCGAGTTTGCTTTGATTTAAAGTCCATATCCTTGGGAAGACGAAGCAGGGCACTGTTCAAGATTGTTTCGTAAACTGTTAATGTCGGCATGCAGGTATCTTCCTGATCGACAAAACCAATCACGTCTCTGTACTCATCATCACTAACGGAAAGTCCGTTAACAAGGATCTTCCCACCGACAGTACCACGCTTGTTCTTCCGTGCAAGGATATCGAGGAATGTTGTTTTTCCCGCTCCAGAAGCACCCATTATCGCCATGACTTGACCAGGACTAACAACTCCATGGACACCAGAGAGAATCTGCTTGCCATTAACCGAGTAAGAGACATCCTCGAAAAGAAGCGATGCAGGCTTATGTTCGGTGATAAGTTTGCTGGACTCATCATCATCCAATCCAAGGTGAATAGGGCCAAGGCCAGACTTGTTCGACTTCCTATGAAGGAACCAGAGTAATCCAACGACTGCAGCCAGAGTGATAACAGAGCCTCCCACTGCCCCGGCGATCAAGGCTTTGTTGACCTTCTTCGGGGGCCGTTTATAGCCAGGAATGAGCGAACTTGGCACACATTCGGCCGAATTACAGTCCAAAAAGATGCTCTTATCGCCAAAGACATCGCTAATCAACTGATTCATAGCCGGTTCGGAAAAGGAACAACCGTCCTTCTTCGTATCAGAGGAGTCGTAGGAAGCAGTGCAGGAGAATTCGGCAGGTCCTTTGATCTCCTCTGTAAGGAAGTCGGATATATCGAGAGACCCATCTTTACCACACATCATTCGTCCCGTAATACATTTGCACTTGACAGTCTCGCATTTATAGTGGGTGACGTTGCTGCTGGCGCCGAAGTCCATTTCGAATGTGCATTTGTCGAGAGCGCAATAGAACGATTCCTCCTCATCGACCCAGACTATCCGGCGGCGGCAAATTAGCCCAAGTCTTTTCATATACGATATTTTTACGGGATTTCTTACATTGGAAATTACATTCTTCTTTTTCTGCGTCGCAGGCGAAGGTAACATCGGCTTTCGAATCCCCCAATTGGTCCTGGATCTTCTTATCTGCACCCACGTCAGTAAATATCCATGATGGCATTATCGTGTTAGAGAATCGTACTGGTAACTCGGCACATCTGGTAGTTCTCCCTCACCACAAGACCGCCCTTGTAGCAGGTACCTTCAACGCCTTCCGGCATGAGAGAAATACAAGCATCATTGGTTGTACAGACTGTTGTCTATTAGCTTCTTGGTTGTGAACCGAGTCTTGAGGTATATTGTGTCATACGATTGCAATTGATTCCACCCCACCCATCTTTGCATTTACACTTTTCGCCTTTAGGTCGGATGTATCGATCCAGTCCATCGCTGAGACCGCCGCATTCTATTCAGCCGAGGATTGTTAGCGCCTAAAATAGCACCTGGGAACAAAAGGTAATATCGGACCTGGCTCGCTACAGTCGTCTCCTCCCCAACCAGCAGGACAGTCGCATCTTCCGTTGTACGAATTGCAGTTCGCAAACTGCTTACATTGGTGGACCGGTAGGTGGCAGTTGAAGCTGCGACAAAATACGCCCGGTGTTAGTTTCACACACTTTCTACCACCCGATTCCAATCGCAAATCAAAAAATTTGGGCAACCGTACCAAGGTGGACAGTCTTTCGTTTTGTTATTATTAAGTGCCGGCGAGAAAGATCTTGGGTTCGGGGTAGTATAGTTGAAGGCCGAGGCTAATAGGGGTGCGACGGAGAGCGCCGAAAGTAAGGCTAGGTATCTCATAGCTGATCGGGTTTAACACAGCGGCACTATGGCACGCCGGAAGATATTAAGGTATAGTTTTATGAGGTTGGAGATTGCGAAATCGCCTATCGATCTATGTCTGTTTGAATGATATCGGAAGTAGTCCGGGGAAGCGGTGGAGAAGAGAAGGAGCGTGGTGTGAGAGGGTGGATAAGTATATTATGGAGTGGCTAATTAGTAGTGGTTGGTTGGGGTTAAACGAACAGCGAGACAGAATGACGGGCCTTAAGAAGTCAAGCTGCGACACGCAATCTCCCGGCGACAAGGCTATGACGACACTGGAAATGCACTCTAACCAAACGACAGAGACACAAGAACGAAACGTTTTATTCAAAATCTAGATGTATAATAATGAAGGGAAGGGAAGGATATGAGAAACGACAAAGATTATAAGAGATGAAAAATATAAAATATTACAGTTGAAGGGGATAAAGAAGATGAGAAGGGAGAAGATCAAAGGAAAAGGCGAAACTGCTGGGCTGACTTGATTTGACTTGATCGGTCGGTCGGTCTAGAGCCGTAGCACAAGCTTATTATATGGACAGGAACTAAGCATGTAAAGTACTTCACTTCAGAACATGTAAGGTTCCAGTTTCCTCCAACCCGAAAGGCCCTTCGATCGACTTAGTGTTTTAATATCCGTCATGATATGGGCGCGGAGGCGGAGTATCAAATGCAGTATAGTGGAGACCTTAGCTGCTTGCCTGCATATTGCATTGCTCTACCGTTGGGTTGGGAGGCACTCCAATCTATTCAGGTCACGATGTATCGGCCACATGACGTCTATAGTCTACCACCATATCTATAATCCCCAACAATATCGAACTGTCAGTTCGTATTTGAGATACTTTAGCCATAGCTTAGCTTTCTCACAGAATCGGAACTGTAGACATCCGGTGCCATTAGGACTCAAGTAGTAATTACAGAAATAGACTCAAGTACAAGTTGGTACTCGGAATGCCTGAAACTCGAAGGGCGTAGACAAGCCTGAAACAGGGCCGTTTGGCAGTTGCCAAACAACACAGCGATCTGCGCTGCAAAACTTTCCAACATCGACAACACATTATCGACATCACACAACACAATATGTTCTAGACTCAGTCTCATAACCAGACTTCAGTCTCGTAACCAACCAGACTTGTGTGTTGCGCTACCAATTCTAGACTCTCCTTCACGCTGTGCATTGACAGTCTCTACCTCACGCTCTTGCGGGACCGCCTTACCACTCATCCTTATTAGGCTTTTTTTTGCCTGCATTCTCCACTCTAGCCTACAGTGTTGTTATTCAAGTCATCCCTTAAAGCTAAGATACGATTCCTGCTACATGCATCCCCAGGAGAATTGATCGCGAAATTTCAATTCTTCGACGAGGTTTCAATAGGCAACCTCGACTCATACCTTTATAGTTTAATCCCCTGTTCTCAAGGTGGCATTATAGCAGTTCTTCCCAGCAAAAATTGATCACGCATGTACATCTTCTCACTTGAGCATGGTTTCTAGGGTATATATGCTCAATTGTTTACAGAGCCCTTTCAACATAGAATGCTTCCTTCTTGGCCCAGGCCAGGACAACGAAAATAACCCTATAGACTCCTAACTACTTAGTTAAGCATGCGGTGGTAAGACCAGGCTTTGCCAATCTTAATACCCTTAAATATATGATATACTATATTACGGCGTAACCCTAGATTCTATCTTGTTTAGGGAAATAAAATCTATCCCTGAGCAAAGATGGACCATGAGGATCCTTTACATACTATATATATAAAAGCTTAAAATGAGATGAGCCCACATAAATTTATGTACGTATTAATACTAGCAGCTTCTCTAAAACTAAGTTTCTCTGATAGTTTCTGAGTATTAGAAGAGCTGGCTGGTTAATAATTTTCGTTAACATTTATACGCAACAGTTTCTCTGAAATGAAATATAAATTTATTTATAAACTAAATGTATATAAATTTGTAAAGTGACACTTGCCCTTTGGTTGTAGAATTCGAAGCTATGTATAGGCATTCTTCATGAACTCAGTTCTACCTACCACGGACCTATGCCTAAGGAGAAAAACACCCTTCTGAATCGGAAGACTATAAGATAAAGTCTATATTATTAACTACTTTACATTCGAATCCCCACGCTTTGTCTATATATATGAAAAAAAACTATAAGAGCCCCGTCGTCGAGAGAGAAAAGCATAGATTCGGAGTCTCTGTTGCCCTGATACCAACGAGACTGCTAGTACTGTGACCCCCCAAAAAGCGAAATACCTTCTCCGCCATGCATAAATTTTTGTGTATCAGTGAAGACACAATCGATGAATTCTCAAATAAAGATAAATTAACAGAAAAGAACAAGCAAGGACGGGAAAAAAACGAATGCCAGTCTTGTTAATGCATATGTGAAAGGAACAGAGGACTAGGATGCGAGGAGCTGAGACGACGTCCTAGTTAGACTCATCGAGGGAAAAGAACTAAGCAATGAGTAAGAGTATAAAAAATAGAGACCATAAATGCATGTTCAAAGAGCGAATGTAGTTAGAAAAGTAGCTATACAGTTAGTTTAGAAATGAAAAAAAAAACCCCTGAACCCAGTCAAGAAACTCGAGAAGAAGGAAAACCATCAAGGTGATGTAAGTAGAGTAATATTTGATAGTAGCAGCGGCGAGGTTTTTGTTTCGCAAAAAAAACAGAAACAGGCAGTAAAAGTAAAAGAGCTATAAACGCCATTGTGCAGTCTCGGTTTTATGGATAGACAGAATAGTAGAAAGAAAAAAAAGGAAAAGCATGCACCCCGGTATTTCAATATTCACAGTCCACCCCGCCCACCATAGTTTCCGCAGAGACCCCAGTAAAACAAAAAAATAGAAGAAACAACTGGCTAACTAAATAAAATGAAGTTCTGAAATAAAAAGTAGAGCGAAAAGCATATTAATCCCAAAATTGATAGTTTTGTTTCCGGAGATCTGGTAATTCCTCCTCGTGACGCCTTCCCGCTTGATGTGTTCCCTTAAAAAAACAGATACCGAAAAACCGACTAATATAACAATAACACACAAAAAAACAATAATCATTCTTTCTATTTACTGTACCTTCGCAATGACGGGCATCTTGGCTAATCTCAATATCGGATATTCGGAGTCAAGGCGTGGGAGAACATCCGGGGCATCAACCTCGTACACATTGCCACCCCTTTCATCTTGGCTTTCATAATCTTCGCTGTAATATCCTTCACTGCCGCTGAATTCACTCCGGCTCTCATATTCGCTCCGGCTCTCGTAGTCACTGATGCTGCGTGGCCCACTGCCGTCAACCTCGCTGTCTTGATAATATGTGGGAGTGGATGCCCCGCTTCTGTCGCTTTGGTTGTCGTCTGTTGTGGTATTATCTTGGTCATCAAGTTCTGTGTCGAGTTCCGATTCCGTAACCCCTTCATCGAAGTCTGAGGAGTCGACTACCCGTGGTGCTCTTCTCTTCTTTTCCAGCTCAGCTTCAACCTCTAATGCCCGCTTTCCTTCCTCAATAAGTGTTTCGGCGAGAACGTGGCAGCGCTTCAGAGATGCATTCATTTTGGCAGATGCTTCAAGCAAAGCTCTATGCTTCTCAATATCCGAAGCAAGGTGTTTTTCGTCTTTAGCTCTCTTTGCCAAATCCTTCTCCGATTCTTCTTTTCCATCGCCGGAGCCAGATGAAGAGCTTTCGTCGTCCAAGTCGTCGTCTTCCTCTTCCTCGTCAAGCTCTTCTTCATCTGAGCTTTCGTCTCCTGAATTATATTCGGCACCGGCTTCCGGGTCTGCTTCGGAATCAACATCCCGGCTGCTCTTTCTCTTATGTTTCTTAAATTTATCGGATGAAAGTAGCCCTGCTCTGGCTAAACGACGGAAACGGCGAAGTTCGGCTGTTTGCTTTCGGATTCGGCGCTCGAAAGTTTTGTTGATAGCGAGGAGGGAAGCATTGGAAATTTCGAGATCCATGATCTGATACCAAGTTATGTTAGAAATAAATACTCATACTACTTTGCAAAGGAGTTTGACTAACCTTTCTCTCTCGTCTAGCCGCTGCAGCGAGATCCTTCTGATGCTCTATCATGGCATGGGCACTGGATATCGCGTGCAGCGGCAGAGTCGGTGATTTTGGAGATTGATCATATACACTCACTCCGCTAACGGATCCAGCTCTAGCAGCCCGTACAGGTGGTGTAAAATCAGCAGATTGCCGTCGGGAATGCGACTGGGAGTGAATCTGTGGCGGGTGTGGCGCAGTGAAAGAGTTTCTGTTCGACGAAGGGGCAGAAGGTGGATTCGAAGGGAGATGAGGTGGAGGGTGAGACAAGTGCGACTGTTTTCCAGGAGGTGATGTTCCAATTTTCGGACTGGCCATTAACCTGGGTCCTGTTGACGCCTGACTGCCACTAGTACTACTGTCGGTGCGAGGAGATACAGGTCGAGGATCGGGTGAGAGGTCTCGTCGTCTCGTTGTGTTAGTCGGAGTGACATTAGTTTTGACATAAGGGGTAGGTTTCGAGGGAGTGATGGTGGTTTTCGAGGGAGTGATGGTGGTTGTGGAAACGACGGAACCATGTCTGCCGGAAGGAGTGAGATGAGGTGTCTGGTTTGGAGGAGGAGAGGTAACGCGGCTAACGTTCAGATCGTCCCTGACAGGCGAATGCGAGCGAGACGAAGGGCCATTGCGAGTGTCGGATGCATAGAAAAACTTTGCTGAGGATACTGGCGGTTTGGCCACCACTGGAGCCTTTGCTAGAACCGGTGCTTTCGGAGCACGGAGACCTCCTTTGACATCGCTGGCGTGGAAGAACATAGGCGACGAGGAGGAGCTCACGGTGCTGCCGGGTGTACTCGATCGAGGCGGCGGTCTAGCTGCCACGAAACTTGCTACAGATCCGGGAGCCCTTCGTGAGGGGAAAGAGTCAAAATTGGCATTCGAACGAAGAGTAGCAGGAGAGACATCTCCAGGAATCGAGGCAAAGGAGTCGTTGCGGGTGATTCTCGGTGTCGGTCTGGAGATGCTTGAACGGGAGGATATCGAAGACTGTTGGCCGGCTGGGGATATCGGATGAGCGGCCAATCGAGGCCCTGACGGTGGCCCATGGCCCGCAGGAGCCAGCGGCATTGTGAGAGCCTTTGAAAGTTATAGAAATTAAGGACCGTCGACGGAATCGGTCAACGGTCGATTGGTGAGGCGGAGATGAACAAAGCGAGAGTGGTCAGGACATATGTAGGTATGAATGAGTCTTCGGGTTTGACCTCGAATTTTGACTTTAACTTTTCGACTTTCGACTTTCGTACTGGATTGGAATTGGAATGGGAATTCTGGTAAGTGGAATTGAAATTGGAATTGAGATTGATGATTGATGATTGATGATTGATGATTGATTGATTTGATTGATTGATTGATGAAGTTTAAACTTGACAGTCGCAAGTCGCAGGAAGAGAAGAATTCAAGAAAAAGGGTCCCTCTAAGCGTCAGGCCTTATGCATGCATGCTTCGATTCTCAATATCGTCAAGACTAACTGGATGAACGAACTGCTCGATGCGGCCAGAGACAAGGAACCGAATATGTCAAGTCGACGGAGCGAGAGAATTTGAGGAAAGACGATTCAAATCAAAGGTTTTCTTCGGGAAGACTTTGAAACAGCGTCCCGAGCTGCCTTTTGTCGAGCCAGGGGACCGAATAATGCCTCGTCCCTGAAGAACCCGGTCGGGAAATTGCGATCTAGTTCGGTATTATATATCGGACGGGAGCCGGTGAGGATAATTAAAGAAATATAGCCGGGTACGGGACTGTCCTGTACTATATTATATAAGCTCGTCGTCGATGGTAAATGGATAGAATGGATAGTTAAGAGGTAGTCGGGTAGTCTCGAGGCTGTCTAAATCGTACGGGGATGCAGAGGATGGATAGTCTCGAGAGGGTCTTTCTACGCAGTGAAGTATCAGCACAAAGAATACTCACTCCACAGTCACCTCACGGAAAAATCTATCGCCCTGCATCAACATACACTCTCTAGCTCTGTTCGATGATATCAACAATCGATTTCGAGTTAAATCCATCTGACCGATCCCCCAAGAGGGGGATACTCCCAGGATTTAAGAGATCCGGATGATACGATACGATGAGGGGGAACCGAACGAGCTTAGCACCAGCTCCCTCCTCATGGCACTTCCCACCCTGCAGCTCCCAGCTCCCATACCATGTTCCAGTCAGCCAGCCAGCCAGCCAGCTCGAGGAATGTAGAACAAAAACACCAGGCATCAAGCAGGATAGGGCGCCTGTCAGTCGTGTCATTCGACCGAGCATACAAGGGCCACGCATATCGGTATCTAAACAGAGGAAGGTTCATGCGCTAGGCCTGCAGGCTAAGGCGTCGACTGCGGAGAGCTCGACGAATCGACGCTTGCTGTCCCCGCAGAGGAATGTCATGCAGACAGACAATGCAGACAAACGAACAGGAATGCGAATCGAATGTAGCCCTCCATTCTAGCTGGTCTCGTTGCTTGGTCGTCATCATCACGATACCGCTACAATCGTCAGGAGCTTCACAACTTTTTCAGATATTGTATTATATTATCCGGAATTGAATGCATATGATAGACATTGTAATACATCCTATGCTATGCTATGCAGTGTGAAGTGTGTCGTGGCCTGCAGCAGCAGCCGACCAGCCGCGGACCGTTCATATTCGTCGTTTCGTTCAAGAGAGAGCTTCACAACTGTACCCTCTTTGTTTCGAAACGCCCCATTTTTTCCCCCAGCTCATTTCAATTTCATTCTCCTTTTTGGTTTGCAAAGTTTCTAAAAAAGGTCTCCAATCAAAAACAGCCGCACTTTTGTCGCATTTTTGGCGGCGGGCGGGCTGCACGTGATGTCGTGGCCCCGGTCAAACACGCCTTTTACCCTTCTCGTTATGTTTATGATTTTCTCACTTGGTCAGTCGTGTAGTGGCCTGTCGCAGTCATACGCTGCCTGCTACTTCATGTTATATAATCCTTCCATGACAGTATGCATCTCGACATCGCGATATTCATCCCGTAGCTGCAAGCCATGCTGGACGGCGACAGAGATTTCGTCGAGGATTTACAACCTCTTCCAAAGATTAATACTGCTAATCAACAGCGGTATGCTAACATATCCCGTCAGCGAGGGCGACGGCCTATGTTCGGCCCAAGACCGGCGGCCCCTCCGCATCCACAACCCCCTACTGTCGCCCAAACAAGCGTCGCAAATGATGAGAATAATCTCCCTGAACCATCATCTCAATCCACTCTCAAAAAACAACTGCTCGGTCCCTCGGTCCTCAAATCCGGGCAGGATAATGTTGACCAATCACGAGTCGCCGAAATCATCTATGAAGCCTCAAAGGGTTCTAAATACTTCGTCAATGAATCGCGAAAGGATCTAGAACTTACAAAACGTATCGATCGTATTCTCAAAAAGAAAGCCGAACTCGACAAAACGGACACTTCAAGTGACCTGAAAAAGGCAGATGCACATATCGCAGCGCTAGAACTAGAGAGAGATCTGTCGCAAACAATCATCCATGTCGACTGTGACGCCTTTTACGCCTCAGTCGAGGAACTCGACCGACCAGAACTCAAAACTGTGCCTATGGCTGTCGGCAAAGGAGTGCTCACGACATGTAACTACGAGGCCCGCAAATTTGGCGTTCGCTCAGGCATGGCTGGTCACATCGCTATCAAACTATGCCCACAACTCGTCTTTCTTCCTCTAAACTTCGAAAAATACAATGCGAAAGCGAAAGAAGTCCGGGAGGTACTCTCTAGATATGATGAAAGATTCGAAGCCGCTAGCTGCGACGAAGCATATCTTAATATCACACCTTATCTAGAGAGGCACAAACTAGACCCCGAGGAGGCCGTAGAGAAGATGAGACAGGAAGTCTTTGAGCGTTCAAAGCTTACAGTTTCAGCAGGGATTGCTCCGAATGCACGAATCGCAAAGATTTGTTCAAATAAAAACAAGCCGAACGGTCAATTCGTATGTCTAGCTCCGAAACATATACACATGATCAAGTAGAGTTAGCTAACCTATTTTTTTTATATTTTTTTTTAAACTAGCGTGTGGGGAACGACCGCTCAGCAGTCATGTCATTTATGAAATCACTCCCAGTCCGAAAAGTCAACGGTGTTGGTCGAGTCTTCGAACGAGAACTCGAGGCTGTAGGGATCAAGACCTGCGGCGATATCTACCCCATGCGGGGATTAATCTTGAAGGTTCGCTAGAGTAATATTTAGCGATGGCCATTGAAAACATTCTAACGATTTGTAATAGCTCTTTGGCCAGAAAGCCTACGAATTCTTGATCTCCGTCTTCTTGGGTCTCGGCAGGACCGTGATCCGTCCAGCCGAAGAATACATCCGTAAATCCATCGGTAGCGAATCGACTTTCCCTGATCTAGAGGGCACTGCAAATCTTAGGGAAAAACTTAGGAAAACTGCAGAAGCCCTCGAAGAGGATCTGACGAAAACGGAGCTACAGGGCCGTACGCTTGCATTGAAAGTCAAGATGTTCACATATGAAGAGGCGATTCGGCAGAAACCCTTACCATATCCGATTTGGAAGGCCGGGGATGTGTATGACTACGCGCTACCTCTATTAACCAAATTGGAAGAGGAATACAAGCCAATGAAGCTTCGACTTATGGGACTTAGGATGACTAATCTATCAAGTAGAAAGAAAAGCGGCAATGGAAACGATTTTTTCAAGCCTCTTGTTGTTAAAAAGAGAAAGTTTGGAACTGAAGCGGAAGAGAAGTGGGAGGAATGGCCGGAAGAGGAATGGGGGAAGTATACCGAGGCGGGGTTTGAAATAGGGCGCGAAGATGACGTGGAAATGGACCCGGACGAACTGAAATACTTTGATGGGTTGAGAAGTGATGATTTGCTAGGGCTTGAAGGTGGTGATGACGAAGAAGAGGAAGTGGAAAATGAAGAGAAGACAAAAGATGAGGGGAACGGAAGCGAAGAAATCTACTGGCCGTGTCCAATATGCGACCTCCCACAGGTGGCCGAAGATAGAACGTTCAACGACCACGTGGATTTCTGCCTTTCGAAACAAACAATTAGGGAAGCAGTACGGGAAGGCGATCGTGAGAGGGATACCACGCCTACGGCCCCACCTCTTGGTAGGGCGGGCGCATCTGCATCGCCAGAGAAGGCGACCGTGAATACGGTATTCAAGGAATACAGGCAAGTTGGGAATCATAAGAACCCGCTACCATCACGGAGGGGTCGGCCGAGGGGGAAGCGAAGGAAGCTGTGAATGGTTAACGTGGTTATGCATTATGTCGACATATCTATTTATACTTATCTGTACATAGTATTAGCGCTATTTCTCCGGGTTATTATTTGGGGACGTCAGGTATAATGGGGAGGAGTTCATGGTAGTCCTTTGCACAACTGCATAGTTCATATGAATTTATGGTATCAATCCTCAAGGTGGTGAACGTTACTGAATAGCAGTGGCTAATTGTGGTGTTCTTCCCTTCGCTTAGACTTCTAAGCAGCATTAAGAAGCCAGCCAACCTCGTCTCGGGGCCTCTCTAACCACTCAAACAGCTCCCCGCGGCCCAAAAGCTGGCTTCCCATGTAACATCCTCACCATAGCTTACATAGTAGCTTCAAATAACACCACCATCGTAGTTGCAGGAGGGATATCTACAGGATGTCTACGCCTCAGCCTATTCCACCGCGACTAACACCTTCAGCTACAGCTGCCCAACGGCCTACTCCCTCTCCATCTCTACCCGTTGGCTCTCCACGTCCGCCCACAGCCGGCTCTCTAGACCCACCCACTCCCCGACCATCCCAGCTACCCTTCCCAGGCATTTCCTCCACCGAACAGCCATCAACTTCCTTTGCCACCGTTACCATCACGACTGACGACAGCGTCTCAACCCAACAGCCTCCCAACCAACAACCTGCCTTTCTGCCTTTCTTCACTTTAATCCAAGACGCGACCACATCCTCCCACTTCCACCCCACCGTCCGATACGTCTTCTCCGACGACGAATTCGATCCTCTCGCCATCCTTCCTGGTCCGCCGCCTGCACACTCCCCCTCAGCTCCAAACAGCCTTTCCAACTCCGCTGCTGCAAACCAATCACCCGGTACTAACACCGGCGGGAACAACTCCGGCTCTGGCAGCCAAGCGGACGTCGACAGTAACTCATCGGGCCATTTTTCAAAACCTGGTGGTAGTCGTGGTGGTAGATATAACGAAAGGGTTGTATTGGTTGATGTTGCAGCTGATGGACAGGGAATACTCTCTGCGCATAGTTTGAGTCCTGAGTGGCAGGTTAGTGGGGTTAGTGTGACCAAGGCACCGACATGGATGAGTGATGGCGATGGTACTTCGACTACTACGGGGGATGTTGGAGATGGGGGGTTGATGTTAACGATCGAAGGGGTCGGGAAGGGTAAGAGGAAATTACCTGGCACGGGCGGCATTATGGATCCGGTAACGAAGGAGAAGAAGGGAAGTATAGAGACGTTGGAGGAATTAGTAGGGTTTTATCAGGAGAGGTTGGAGAGGCTACAAGGTGTGGTCGATTGGGCGGAAGGGAGGAAAGTTGTAGAGGGCGATGCTGCTCCAGCGGCTGGAGCACCTGGGGAGGGTGTAGGCAGCTGAAGGGATATGATTGACATTTGAAGTTTCTTTCATAATGTCAGGGTATGGTAGTCGGCCTTATCAATGAGGATGCCGATACTTGTTCCCCATAGTATTAAAGGTGTACCGTGACAATATTGCTAGGGCGATATTGAAGGATATCAAAACCAGCCAAGGAAGTCTGGCTCCGTCCAGGGCTGCTGATGACTACTAATGCCGCAGATACCATAAATGGCACCTTGGCCCTTCCATTTATATCACTTGAGAAACTGTGGCCATAATGGCTTCAAGACGGCTATAGCCCTGGAGGATAACTGCCCAAAAACGCCTCGCATATTTCCAGAGATGCTGAGAGAATGTTATAGTACAATGGTAATCATAATAACCAAAGCCAGAACCCGCCATTCAGTATAAAAACCTGCATAGCTAGCATCCAACTTCAAGCTTCACAAGCAGCGGTTGGCCCTGTATAAAGAATATACAATGAATTGAAAAAAGAGCTTCCCATCTCCAAATCTCTAATCCCAAATCTCGATCTCATAACCAAGAAACAACCACTTCACTTCTTCGCTTCCTCCCTTGCAATCCTCTCCAACTCCAACCTCTCCCCCTCTCTAGCCTCTAACTCTTTAATCCAAGCTCTATTCTTCTCCTTCGCCTTCTGCTCTGCCACTTTAGTCTCCACATTCTTACGCGCACGATGTTCGTCCGCATAATAATAGCTTCCGCCCACCATAGCCGCAATCGTAAATCCCTGAGCGTAAATTCTGCGCCTGAACATCTTGTTGGTATAGTCCCTATCATTTCCGGCACGGATGGAACGGGAGGCGCGGAAGAGAGCCCAGCAGGTTAAGGCCATGCCCAGGGGGATAAGTGGTTCATCCGTTATACGGCGAAAAAGTTTTGTCGTTCTTGAGGTTTCGTAGAATTCTCTGGGAGGTTTTGCAGTGTATGGTTAGTTACCGAATAGATTCCGAATGAGATTTCGTTGGTGGGGGTGTAGCGTACTCATTGCCCTCGAAGGAGGAGGGCATCTTGGGGTCCTCGGGAGCAGGCATTTTGGATTTTTGGGGGGAATCGATGAGATTGATGGGAAAATTCAATTGGGAGGGTGGCTAAAGAGAGGTTGTGGAGATATTTGGCATCGTCGTTGGAGGTCGGACTACGGGAAGGTTGAAGAGAGTAGCGTTTCGACGTATGTGCTCGTCTCGTGAGGTTGATATGATGCAGGGCATGCGGGTTAAGCGAAAAATCAACGACATCATGACTTTTGACCTACAACAAGCCTAACGCGATGCAGCGATGAGGGAGGCATCGAAGCAGGGATGTTCCCTTCTAACCTTTTTATTTTTATTTTATTTCATTTTATCCTTTATATCAAAATCCAGATCGAAAACTTAACTTGTTTGTGCAATTGTGTGTAATACTGGTGCCAGCTCAAGTGGAGAAGCTAGCAGCCGTGACCTGCAGCTGCCCCGCACTGGTCAGCCGGGACAGAAAATATCACAGCTTTCAAAGGAGAAAAAGAAAGAAAGGAAAGAAGAAGACGGCATGATGAGCTGTCTTATTGACCAAAAAGCGGATAGATACCCAAGGTGCCGGCATTTCCTACCATACCTAAAGTGGCAATATGCGATTGCGATACACATGCACTTGTTATGGCCTGCATTCTGAATTATCAGGGCAGTGAATTACACATGAGCCTATAAGATTCTTCAAGAGACACACCCATTATGGTAAAACAGCCAATAATTCCTAGGTATCAGAAAATCGTAGCCACAAAGGTCTATATTTTCGGTCACATACCTATATTCTCGGGCTCGGGGGCATGGGATTGATATCGGGATGTAATATTAATATCTCTGGAATATATGTTCCCTTATATCATAAGAGCAATATCGAGGATACTTTAAGATGAGTCCGGTCCTGGGTTTTAGAAAACTATAAAAGAAAGCGCAGGTGCTCTCTCGAATTGAGGATTGTAATTTCTTTCATTTCGCTTTAGTGATCTAAGTATACATTACTATATTAATCGATATATTACTATATTACGTTCTATACGATGAAGCTCTCGGTCGTCGTTCTCTCTGCCTTCGTGGCAATTGCATATTCGTATCCGGCGTCCAATGGTACTATACCCACCAGATCTCTACTCAGATATATATGCTGTTTCACATTCAAGGCACCGTTTTTCTGACTAAATATTCGTCTTTATTTACTCAAAACTTTAGCCAAACCGGACATTCACGAAATAACTTCATCTCAGATTCACTTAAATGATCCCAAGTTTCCTATCAATCAAGGTTCGTAAAATACACTTTTGCTTGGACCTTCGGAAACTTCGTTCGTGTCCATTTGCCTAATTATAAACGGCCACATGGCTCTAACAAAATCTAACAGACAAGACTTCGAAACCACACCCGGCCGACACATTCTCAAAAATGTCGAACTGCGGCCAGCGTATGTTGTTCTAGCCTTTGTACCCTGACTGAAACCGAAAGTATACATATTTATACTAACGAATGTTGGTACTACAGCTTGCGATGTTAGTTTTGACTGCGAAAGTGGCGGAGTTGGACATTGCTACAGTTGCTTCAGAGGAACGTGTCAATAAAAACGAGTGGGTAGCTGGTTATTTATGTCGCGAGGTTTAATTTCGACCGATCTTGTACTCGAGTAACTAATCGTAGTTAGCGTTAATGGAACCATCATGACGAGAAGTCTTATATATATCATTATAATCATAATCTAGCATATATAAGTACTTAGATGAGAATATTTTGCTTAGAGAGCTAATGTGATATTTGATATCCTTTCGTGCTTTTCGGACAATATTGGTATTCGCAAGTTCGAAATTGATTAAGTTAATTCATGCATGAAGACGCCGCCGTTAACGCGTTATTCAAGAGTCGACCCGGGGCCCTACCGTAGATACCCTAACTATACTACCTACTTCTGCACTTTCAATTCTATCGTGATATATCGATATCATCAGCGCTAGCATCAGCATCAATTCCACTTCTGACTGATCTGCAATTGAGTAGATACACAGCCACCTACTCAACTTTGGAATCTTTTCAATCCCTAAACATCTACTCAGTTTTTGGTTCCTACTCAACTTTTGGTCCCGTATTGACCCTTACTTTGATTCCGAGTACTGCTCAACCATCGATATCGTGGGTTCCTCTCACTAGGAATGTACCTTCTGATTATCCTTCCTACTTCTTCGTTATTTTGAGCTATGGTTTTATCGCCCTGGACCATAGAACATGTTATTTGATCCAAATTTCAGTTAGAATTACTTGGATTTTGTTGGAAAGGCGTTAGCGTTACGAAAAGTATAGTGCTAATATAATTAAGGTCGGTTTTCCAAATCGATCGATATCTAGCTGCGCTGTCTCCGAGCATTTATCTATTTATAGACTAGCCATGAATTCTCGAGCTAAATAACATGGCTAGTACTGGTGCCAGGACAGTACCATAAATATACAGAATCCCATGCCCCCACGCACCGATATATCGCAGAATGCAATGTGCATGTCGACTTAAGTTGGCTAACATGATATAACAATACAGTCCTTGTTGGATTTTGGCGAGGCAACACCATGCTGCATATCATGTCATGTATATACTCACACGATACCCAGCTTGCAACCGGCTTTCGCGTATGAAACCAGAATGAGGATGCACATATGTATCTCAAGGGCACAGTAGTGTTCTCATTCATGAGACATATCATGCACTGGCGAAGCTTACAAAGGAATTTCAGAGAAAATCAATGCCCCCCTTGACAATTGGTTAAATATATATGAAGTTGACTCTGAATTCGAAGGTGTGTTAGTGTTCTCGCGAGAGCCCTACAATCCCCTCATGCTCATGATCAGTCTCTGTGCCTGCATGTCGCATGGGTTTATAATATATATATAGTATATGTCACAGGTTGGTTAGGAGATTGCCAAATATTATTATGATCAAAGCAAAAGAAAGATGAATGCTTCTTAATGATACTATGGTGCCAGCTGCGGTACATGAAAGGCTTAGAACCCACAGTACTCTTGTTCTTTAATTCCGGAGCTGGAGATCTGGGTACGAGAAGTCGACAATTTATTAGCCTACAAAGCCAATACTATAACTTAATTGATCATTTACCACCATGTTTCCCCCCTTTTAATACTTCTTCACAATCATCGGAATAGCTGTATTATTCTTGCGGAATGAAGCTCTGGCTTCTGCAAGAATCAACGAGACCACCTAGAATCGAATCCCGAACCCGCGAGAACTCTCGAATATGAACACCCTGCAGTTGCAAAAAGACAAGGCGGTTCCGGATCCAGCTGTAGACACGGCCTCCCACACTTCGTCGGCTGCTACAACAGAGGTCTTAGGAAAATCTTCCAAAACGTCTACCACAGCAACACCATGACAGAATCCGCTTGTAAAAACAGCTGTTTTGGAACCGATTTTTCTTTCGCCGCCGTCGATGGCGTCTGGTGTTTCTGCGGAAGTGAAGTTATAGACGCTCCGCTTGCAAAACTTGGTGATGATGAATGCGATTCGGCATGTCCTGGAGTGGAAAATCAACAATGCGGAGGAGGCGGTCTCACTCGGATTTGGTTCTGTAGCTCTGATCCACAAGTGTCAATTATTCAGGATCGTACTGGAATGGGAACCACAGAAAGTGAGTCACCGGTGGTATCATCGACTACCGTAGCACCAGATAGATTCTTCATTGGTACTACGCTAGATGAGCCAAGCGTGACCGTGGACCCGATGTTCGTAACCGTTGGGTTCCTTCCAGCGACCCCAGCTGCCAGTCTCGTAACCAAACTGTGCCCAGTTGCCCCCGTGAACCCCTTTGCAAGAGAAAACACCACAATCACGATAATATCTATTTCCACGGAGACAAAGGTTTCTACAAAGATCAAAGTCTCTACAAAGATCAAAACTGTTACAAAGACAAAAATCTCCACAAAGACAGGGGTTTCCACCACTACCCAAATTATATTTATAACAGCTGTTCCTATACAAACCCAAGTTACCGCGATATCACAAATCCAGACCGCTACCAAGTCTATTGTTGCCCTCCCTATTCAGAATCCAAATACTAAGGAATCTTTCTGTTGTCCTGACCGCGGATTCATTATGAATGAAACAGGCCTTTTCACCCTAGACCTCAACTCACATGAACCTACTACCCGCGTGGAGTTATCCGAAGAGATATCTTCCCCAGGCGCTCTAGCATACAATACCCTCGACCACAGTCTTTACCTGATCGAACTCTCATCCTCAAATTTAATGAGAGTATCCGCTGACGAGAGTATTAAAAGAATCAGTATGGGGGGGAAATTTAGACGGCTCTCAATTTGGCGACATCGACAGTCTTGGACAATACTGGGTCGCTACTGGATTTGACAAAGAAAACAAGAGTAACTGGACACAAATAGACCTAAACCCTTATTCACCAAAATTTGGTGAAATTGTTAATGAGGGCATAACCAAACGTTGGGAGAACGGCCCCGTGAGGATTTCAGATTGGGTTTCTATCCCATCCGCTGGTAGGATCCTCTGGTCACTTGCCGCTTGTGATCCAGATAGCGAACAGTTGGCTCTTTGGAAATTTGAGCTCGATACCGGTAATTGGTATCCCGCTCGACGGTTCTCCCATAAATTGAAAGCAAATATAAAACCATGCTTTGGACCAGACACTGGTCAGCTCCTTTGTATTGCTGAGGATGGTAGTCGTTATTTGACGAATGTCAAACATGAAACCATGCCTCCGGTAATGACGTGGTCCCCTACGGGGCCGTCTAATGCTGATTGGCTTGGAAATGGGGCACGTTGTGTTCTAAACACACAGGAGATATCGATTCCGAATTTTGGGTCTGGGGTTGGGTATGATGAGTCTTCGTATACTAGATTGAATCCGTTGAACATCTCCACATTTACATCCTGATGATCATGCTTGAATTCAATTTTTGGAAATGTACCTATACCAGTGTATATATGAATTTGTAATCAACTTCTTTTAAATCTATAAGATTTTACGTAAAGCCGCGAAGATTTGGGTTCATTTAAATATTTTATGACCACCCAGGTCTCCCAGCCCTCAGCAGTTGAAGCCCGATTCAGTTTTTGAATTATAACTAAAAGTTAGTGTAAAATCCAAAATACATGCCTAATAACTATTAATAGTCGACCTTCCAGTAACTGTCCGTGATTAGATCTATATCGTGCTCGAAATCAAAATACCTAGCTAGCCAATGCAAAGGCTCTGTAAGCAAGTATCTATACAGATACTCTAATATTATAATACGACCGGCCGACGCCGGTTACGTAAAAACCCGACTCGATTAAATATTCAACATCCAATGCAATGCACATGCGAATAGATCCTTCACACCTCACATTCCCAAAGCTAGCTCCGGGGCTAAGCTACCCCTGTTTTCATTACGAGACTGCAAACCTTGTCGCTCGGATGGTCACTATATAAATACTCAACCGCGGTAACACCCGAATATCCTAGATCATCGACCAATCAACCATCCTCTTTAACCTGCGAAATCCTCGTGATCATCATTCAACCTACGTTATTTCCAGCTTCGAAGTTCGGATATATAAGTACTTCTTGACTCGATCTCGTGCTAGCCTGGTCCCGAGCTAGCCTGGCCAACGAATCGGTAGGCGAACAAAAATACCACACTCTCAACACAGATCTTTGATATCCAGACCGCCACGATGGTTTACATCAGACCGTTTAACGTCGAACAAGTATGTTTCCTCTGCGCATATTATAAAAATAACCTCGATAGTTTATAAATTTAACATTAAATCTTGCCAGTGGATGGATAAATACGAAACAAAATGTACCAATAACATCGCCGAAACCTGCTGCGACTCCGTCTCTCTCGCCGAACTCATTTCCCTAACCTCGAACTCAACCACCCAGTCCCACTCCGAAACGCCTTTAATCCTTTCTTTATCCAAAAAACGAGTTCGTCTACCCATTCTTTTAACTTTATAGTATAATATAGTATATTATAATGTTTCACAAGACTAACAAGTCCATCTCAAGCTCGACTACGGTCACATCCGCGGCTCCCCCACCCTCCTAACAAACATCTCAACCCTCTACTCCACCCCTTCAAACCCCTTCCCATTCTCACAAATCCTCATAACCCCAGGCGCCATCGCCGCAAACTTCTTAGTATTCTATACCCTCATCCACCCTTCCCATCATGTAATCTGCATCCACCCAACCTACCAACAACTCCACTCCGTCCCCGCATCCCTAGGTGCTTCGGTCTCCCTCTGGAAGCTCCAAGAAACCGAAACCAGCTGGAACGCCGATATCAATGAATTAAAGTCATTGATAGTACCCGGTGCTACAAAACTTTTGGTACTAAATAATCCCAACAACCCCACCGGCGCGGTTCTACCGCTGGAGGTTTTGATGGAAGTTAAGGTATTGGCCGAAAAGTACGACATAACGGTACTAAGCGACGAAGTCTACGCTCCAATATACCATTCCTCACCAGATCCACCGCCACCGTCATTCCTAACCCTTGGCTACAAGAATACAATCGTAACTGGATCCTTATCGAAAGCCTATAGTCTGGCTGGTATAAGAATCGGCTGGATAGCATCCAACAACGCGGATATCATAGAACTACTAGCTCAAGCTAGAGATTACAATACAATCGCCGTATCCCAGCTTGATGATATAGTAGCCGCATATGCGCTTTCACCAACCGTTCGACGAGCATTGGTGAAACGGAATATAGACCTTTGCGAAAAAAATCTGGAGCTTTTGGATGATTTTATAAGAAAGTATCCGAAACATATGAATTATGTTAAACCCGTCAGTGGGACGACGGCGTTTGTGAAGTTTTTGAATCCGAGGAGTGGAAAGGTGGTGGATGATGTGAGGTTTTGTGAGGCTTTGACGAGGGATACTGGGGTATTGTTCGTGCCCGGAGGACATTGTTTTGGGGTTGATGAGGGGGAGTTTAAGGGATATGTGAGGATTGGATATGCTTGTTCGACGGATACTTTGAGGTTTGGGTTGATGAAGGTTGGGGCGTGGATCGAGGGTGGTGGAATGGATTTTGTATAGATGCTTGTTTGAGAGAAAGGCCATGTTGGTTTCGTAATCGTGTAGATGTCTTTTTATGGGGAGTGTATCTGTAACTAATGTTGTGGAGGCCGGGGAGAGTTTGGAAGTCTGTTTTATTATATCATTCCATAATTATAATGTATTATCCGTCTAGGCGGAATACGAATAGCTATCCCACCTAGAGAATCCCCTTCTCGACGCGCCACGCTATGATAACAATGTAATTGAAAAACAGCAGAAGAAAGACATGGAAGGAAAAAGCAGAGAGAAGCAACGCCTGAAAATGCATATTCAGCGCCTAATTTTATAACACCACCACCGATGAATCCTCCCTCCATCTCCAAAAAAATCTCGATTTCGAAGCAAAAAAATTAACAGAAGAATTGAAATAAGCCCCAGAAAAATATCCATCGCAGTGCACACTACTCTCCCCCTTCTCGAGCAGCGGCCCTCGCAATCAAGGCCCTCATCCTTTCCAAACGGGTAAGCTCCGTTTGTTCCAACATTTGAACGATGCGACGGTTGAGCTCGTCAAGTCGTGCGCGGAACTCCTCGGGGAGTTCACCGACGTTAATTTCACCCCTAACAGAGGGGTCCTGGTAAGTGTATTAGTTTTGTTAGCGAAGAGATTCGGTGCGATTAGGTTGAGGAACTCGGCCGATGAGTCGGAATGCGAGGACATTGGACAAAAGATTAGTCGAACAAAGACAGAGAATTAATGGTACAAAGGAAAGGCATTAGAAAAGAGGCCGAGGGAAAGGATAAAAAGAGAAAAGCAATGTCGAACGAAGAACGAATCCAGTGTCATCCCCAGGAAGGGGAGAAAAAAAAGAAGAAGAAAAAAATAAAGAGACAGGAGACAGAAAGAAAGGAGAAAGACGGGACAATGCCGGAGAGTATTGAAATCCACACGAAGTTTCAAAACAATCCGGGTCCTCAGGTATCACCCTCTCGATCAACAATCCTAGGGTCGGCCGCTTGGCCGCCCTCTTCAGCAAGCCTTATACCACCCTCTTCTTCTCCTTCTTCATCCTCATTTTGATCAAGCCTCACACCGCCCTCTTCCTCTTGTGCCTCCGGTTCCGGGGTAGGATCCGGCGCAGCGGGCGTGGGTCTCCAAAACAGAACTGCGTTTCTAGTCATATGAACGACTGGGAAAGAAAGTGACGTGGGAAAAACGGTGGTAGGAGCGGACTAAGCGGCTACCTCGAATTTCTGACGGCACATTGGGCACAATCCTTTGGCAGATTCTTGGTTGATCCAAGAAAGGATGCAATGCTATAGGATCCGTGTTAGCCAAACCTATTCTCAATGGTGGGATGAAAGAAGTAGCTTACCAAATGGAAGGAATGATGGCATTTCCCGACGACTAAAATCAAGAACACATTAGTATTGATTCCCAACAAACGTGGAGCCCAGGGTAGGTTGGTAGATAGCTATACGTACTCAAAGGACAGTCGTCGCCTGGATACTTGCAGTTTGGACAGCAGCCGTCGAAATCGACGCGACAGATGCCACAAACTTCGTCTTCGGGCATATCCCAGCGCCAGGTAGCGACGGCATGCCATTCCTTGATCTTGACCTTCATTTTTTCGAGTATTTGCGATTCTGATTGGTAGATTTGGTTGTTCTTTTGCAGTTCGATTCGATGTTCGTGAGAGCTTGATGAAGAGAGAAGAGGAAGAGGGAGCAAGTATAGGCTATTGGCCTGACTATGGCCTAGAAGGGTTCCACAATCGGAAAACGCAGCTGGACAACACGATGAATATGTAGTCCGCCTTAGGTTGAAGCCCTAGATGCTACGGAAGGCTTGGAGAGTTTGGAGGTAGACGTCAATGGACGTAGAGGCTAGAGCTGGAGATGAGTTTGGAGGTGGATGAACGTCTGTTTGGAGGTTGAGGTTGGTAGGACGAAGAGTGGTGTTGTTGTGCGCAAGCAACTTTTATAGCTCGCGTTGCCAACACCGCTCAAGCTCCCCCATATATTACTCCATACGTGCATACTTACACAAGGCTACACTACACTCTCTATAAGCTCGAGATCACTAACATAAGCTAGATGAATTCCACCAGGAAGAAATCCATTATATTCAATCAATCAACCTGAGTGCCTATCCATGGCCTACTTGATAGCTAGAATGCCCTTGTAATCCATATACCCCAATTGCCCAAGCCCAGCTTTAATTCACAGGTGAGCCTTATGAGTAACTCCACCCTCCCACGTCGACTGCGACTCCAATGTCTGCCACTGAGCTACACTACCAGCCTCCACACACACCATGTTCTTATATCCTTCCTTTGGTTGCCAATCTCCAATCTTCTCTACACCATCATTGTATGGATTCCACAATACAACATCCTCCAAGCCTGTCTTTGTAACTGTATACAAAGGTTTATCGCTGTCCGAAACAACAATTGAGTCTGGTGCTGACTTGTATACTCTGTCTGTTTGGCTTGTGATCTTGATGACCTCAGATGATTCTTGGTGTTCGGTGCCACCGAGGGTTTTGTCGCGGTAGGTAAGGCTGTTGAGACCTTGGACGCCGATTGTCGAGACATCCTATATCGGAATAATATATATATTAATAATGCAAATGATAACCTTTTTTCTACTAAGTACCTGATAGGACGATAAAACTTACCGGTATCCGCAAGTAGGTATGGAATAGAACGTTAAAATCGAATGCTCCGCTCCCAGGATTCTGCACTACAATTTTTGTCTCCAAGCTGGTTTCCCTCAAAGTAACAGAGTAAATCAATCCGAAATCATAAGGCCACTTCGCCTTAGTCTCCTCGTCCAGACTCTCAGACGAAAGTCCAAAGTCAACGCGAACACTGCCTTCCTCATCTTCAGCGCGACCTAGAAGATTCCATTTGCTAGTCCTCGCGAACCCATGTTGTGGTAGCTTTTCAACCGGTGTTCCCGCCGGTGGTGGTCCAAAGACAGGGAACACGAGTGGTATACCACCGCGAACAGCCTTCGAGCCGTCGAGGGCGGATGCTTCTGAGAGCCAAAGGAGCTCGCGGTCTTGGATCTTCCAAGAAACGACGGTGGCACCGTATAAGAGGACTTTGGCAGACGCGCCAGAGACTAGAGATAGAACTACGGATTGGGAATCCTCGGCGATTGTAATGGTACCGTGAGATTTGGCTTCTTTAGCTGCGGCAGAGCCGATATCTAGAATACTAGGCTTCTTTCGAGTCGCCATCTTTCTAGTCTCACAGAGCGTTTTTTTATAAGAATTTGAGGATGATAAATTTGGGAGATAAAGGCGACAATTGATGTAAAAGCAGCTTGGGATTTGGTAAGGTGGTTGTCTTGGGAAGAATCGATTAAATAGGAATGAGGTTACGAGCTGGAGCTGAGATATGAAGTAATGTTGTAAAGCGGGGCGCGGGGCCACCGTGTTTGCGTTGTTTGATGAGCCCCGCTCTGTGCCGCCGCCTTACCGTTCAGGATCCCAAACTTGAACTGGGAGATACTCTGGATATCACTAAGCCATGGGGGCGCAAAGTTGTCTCGTCGAAGTAAAATTCACAACCTCACAAAGAATTACATTCACATAACAGTCGAGTTCTACGAAATCCAAGGGCGATGATAGTTTGCTTGAGATCAAGATGCATTTATCATGTTCGAATCAGCTAGCTACTAATGCCACATGTCGATGCATACAAGAAAGTGGCGATGACAGTCCCGGGGTACCCATAATCCCATTGCCAAAAGCCGTAGAGTATCCATGAATGAAGGGTGATACAAAAGACCAAATCCATATCCCTTCCTCATTGCTCCACGCAAAAAAAAGGGTTAAAAAAAAAGAGGGCATCCTTTCCATACACCAATATAAGATCAAAGATAAAGAAGTGAAACTTTTAATTTAGTCGCACATTCTTAGCTTAAGCCTGGAAACCACCAGCAGAGGTCTTCTCATGAGCCAATGGAGTGAATCTGAGGTATGGCTTGACGATTTTGATCTCTGGCCAGATCTTGACGGCATCCTCGGTCTTGACTGGTGGAGCGACGATAACATCATCACCAGGGGTCCAGTTGATTGGAGTGGTGATTCTGTACCTGTCACCGGTCTGCAAGCTGTCGACGACACGGAGGACCTCAGCGGAGTTTCGGCCGGTGGAGGCTGGGTAGGAGAGGATGAGACGGATGGTCTTCTTTGGGTCAATGATGAAGACAGAGCGGATGGTGAAAGCAATGCCCTTGGAGTCGACGTTCTATTTGCGTTGTTAGCGTGTCTTTTTTTCTTATTCTTCCTCTTATACCTTGTCGAGTGTTCAAGTGTCAAGTGTCAAGTGTCAAGTGGAGTGTGTCTATAGACGGGAGCTGCCAGAAAGCTAAAAACACAAGAAATGACAAGGGTGTGAAGGCAGCAGATGACAGCCGCCAAGCTGAGCCGGGAAGCTCGACAGAGCAGGTGGGAAGTACACCAATGACAACAGATGACAAGTCCAAGGCTTTACAGCTGAAGGAGTGTTTCAGAAGGGAGAAGGGTGTCTTACGGTAGTATCCTGGTAGTCAAGCATGTCGTAGGTGAAAGCAACCTTTCGCTCCTTGTCACCAATGATTGGGAAAGAAAGGGTGCTACCGGTGACCTCGTCGATATCCTTGATCCATCCACCGTGGGACTCGATGGTATTGGCAGAGAGACCAATCAACTTGACACCACGCTTGGTGAACTCTGGCTCCAACTTGGCGAAGGCACCCAACTCGGTGGTGCAGACTGGGGTGTAGTCTATAGGCCTGTTAGTGATTTTGCAACCTCTTTCAGGTTATATTAGCATGGAGATGCTGGGAAGAAGCATACCCTCTGGGTGGGAGAAGAGAACGACCCAGTTGTCGCCAATGAATTCATGGAAATCAATGGGTCCCTATACAGGATATCAGTTAGACACACCATCACTACAATCATTACGAATAGAATAGATCTTCAGTCTACTCGAGGAATAGACAAAAGACAGAAGGCATCTCGAAGATACACACCTGAGTGGTTTCGGCCTGGAAGTTTGGAGCAATGCTTCCGAGGCGGAGTCTTGGTGGTTCTTCAGCAGACATTTTGAAGTAGTTTGGATTGATGTGAACGGGTAATAGGACAAGTGGTAGCTAGAGGTTTCAGTCTTTCTGGTCTTTGATCTTGAGATTTGGTCTTTACGAGATGGATGAGGTGGGAAGAGAAGAGGAGGGAGTCGAGAGAAGTCGCAGGAGGGGTAGTCCAGTTTATATAGCTTGTCGACCAGCCAGCTCCGCGCTCGCAGCACCAGCAGGCAGGAACCTCAATGTTTTAACATCACTTAGGGCGCCAGATGCATGACACCACCTCGTCCGCATATTTGCCCATTGCAGTTTAACAAAAATCGCCCACGCCCAGCGCTGGCCAGCTCAGATTGCTAATCATCGCTGTCTACAACCTTCGACAGCCTGTGGACAACCTGTGGAAATAGTGGGGGAGGGGCAGCCTTCATACGCATTTTGGCAATAACGCGCTCAAAATCTGAATGGTTGTCGATTGCGTGATTGAAAGCACCCGGCCGAAGAAGCAAACATGCATGGTTAGCGGCCTCTCATTCGTCCACGCTAAACTCTCAGCCGGAGCTACGACTGTCCAAAAGGCCTAGAGGCCCTGAGGAGCCGTCTGCGGAGCTTCGTAATTATTTTTTTTTTCCCGTTTACCATTTTGAAGGCCTATATACTAATAATGAAGTTGATATTCCGTATTATAAAGGAGACTTGAAATCCTAAGGTTGAGTTGGGTGGGTGTCATGTCATACATTAACGAACAGTACAGGTGCCAGCCGAAGATTATCAAGCTTGATCAAGCTGCAACATGCCATATAATATAACGGCTGGTTACCGAGATATATTATATCGGTCCCTGGTGTGGTACGACGTTGAGAACCCCTAGCCCCTCTCATCAGAATGTACATACACCACCTGCCTCTCCTGCGATGAGCTGCTCAGCTGTCGTAGGTATATTGCTCTATTGACCAAAACCCTGCACAATGCCAACGTGAAAGTGGGGCTGTAAGCCATGGCTGGTCGTCCTGTTCTAAGCGAGCTGCATTGCATTTGCGACACAGATGTATTGATATTTACTTCACCACAGCACTCCAGCAGGCCGGCCGCTGCTGCCGGCATGTACATACATACGTACATTACGTACTGCTCACTTTAAATTTGTTTCTGACAAAACCAATTTATAATTATCCTGCCGAAGCTACCCGCCAGCTAGTTTCGTACCTACATTCTTTCACATCGTTTTTGTATGAATCTTGGATATCATCATCTCGAAATCGATGCAATCTCAAGGTTCTCTAAGTTTGGGTCGTTGAGTAATGGAGGAAATTAAAAAAGAATATATTGAAAGAGAAATAGTCGCAATCTGCTAACCAGATGTGCTGTTAAATCGAAAGATATGTAGATAAAGAGTATTCCAAAAAATCAAATGAGCAGGTAGGAAAACCATAGGCGCATATATATCCCAGTCAAAAAAATAAACTAAACAAAGGAACCGTAAAAATGTGTACGTGAATAATGTGTGAGCGTTCTACTTGATCAAAGACCAAACTAGCCAGTTCAACTCGCTATCAGCCTCATGATACCCAAACCTCAATCTTTCCCACCGGATTCTTCGTTGCCCGCGCCGCTCTCTCGCAGATATCTATTGCCCCATCCAAATCCTCTTGGTCACCAAGTAGTACTTGGTGTCCGTCCTCATCCTTAAACCGGATCTTTCCCTTCCAGTCTATTCTAAGCTTATCCATGACTTTGCTTGTGAATTCTGCGTATTTGATATCCGGGGTAATCATCATGGCGATGAGGTCGTCTTCGAAGTGTACTTTGAGCTTGATCCTCTTCACAACTTCCACAGCTATTGTCTTTCTCCTCAACCTTATCCTATCTTTCCTCTCTGCCTCTGCCTCCTCTTCAGGGCACTCTTCTACACTCGTAGCCCATGAACTCCTGCTTCTTCCGCTCCACTCGCTACCATAGTAATCAGGGATATCATCGTCACTTGAATCGCCATCTTCTTCTTCAGTGCCGACTCCTGAGTCTCTTCCGTCCCTTTGTAGCTGAATACTTGGCATCATCTCCTCTGTCTTATATTTATGAGAGTATTCTGGGGAGACTGGTATTTTCGGTGGGAGCGTTGGTAACTGCTTCTCTTTTAATTGCTGTGGTGTTGGTGGGAGGACCTTTTGCTGTTGGCCCTGGGGTTTCAGCTCTGCAATCGACTTCTTGATATTCAAGGGTCTAATAGCAGCTTCATTTGGTCTTCGCACTGTCGATGACTTTTGAGGTCTGTTGTTGTTGTTGTTTTTGGGGGGGCTCTCGTCACTGCTACTGCTGCTGTGAAGATAACTGCTGCCGCTGTTCATTACATCTGCGATAGACTTCTTTGCTGTCACAGAACGGAGTGGGGATTTCTTTGTGCTTGGCTGGTGCTCCTCTGGTTTTCGAAGCTCAACACCGGATTTTTTTGTCGAAAGAGATCTTTGAGATGGTTTGCCTAGTTCGGTGAGCGGTGGAGGGCGTGGTCTTGCACCTATTGTAGTTGCAGACCTCTGTACCGGCTTGCTAGTACTGCTAGAAGAAGTATCGTCCGTATTCCGTGCTCTGTTTAATGTCGAAATCGACCTCTTTGGCAAAAGTTTCGCTTTGGCCAAGGAACCGAGCCCCCTCTGCGGTGTCTTTGTCTCATCCAGAGACTTAGCCTTCGCATGAGCAGCGGAAGAAGAAGAAGAACCCTTCTTAGTATCCACCGGTGGCGGTACAAAAGCCACTTGGGTCTTCCCCTCTGTGAGTCTAAACACCACACCAACAGGTACCGAAAAAACCGTATACCCATCTCCACAATTGTTTACGGCTTCGTCACAGACATCATGTCGTTCGGCTACCATCTTTTCTCTCGCAGAGTACTCGAAGTTCCTGCTTGCTTTGTCTTTTCGGTCGAGATATTTATAGCATAATCCGCGGTTGAAGAGGACTTCGCAGCGGTAGAGACAGAATTTGAGACCTAGTTGTCCGTAGTTTATGTATAGATTTTCGCGAAGGAAGCGGAGGGAGTTTGTGAAGTCCTTTAAGGCTTCTTCGAAGTTTCCGAGGAGGAAGTTGGAGACGCCGCGTTGGAAGTGGGCGATTGCGAAGTAGGGGTCTTGAGTTATGGAGGCTTTGTAGGCGAATATCTATAGAGATTGTAAATACATACTGTTAGTTTCTTCTCTTTCACTTTTCATCTTTGATTTTTATATCTTTTGCATATGCATTCTTTCCCCCGCGATAGTTTCAATTATTTCAATTGCTTTCTTCTCGAGATCTGATAACTCTCTTGAGGAAGGGAAAAAGTTGCATATTTTGCGTTGTGAGAATACAAAAATGGTGTAACCTACCGCTTCGTCGTGCTCCCCGAGCGTGGCATGGATGATGCCGATGTTGAACGATGCTTTTGAAGTTTCTCCGGCGTGGGCAAATGTTTCTATCGACGCTTTGAAGTTGCCTTGATCGTAGCGTTCGAGTGCTTGCACCCAGGCTTCGACATCTTGCTATAAAAATTCCAAAATATTTCGTTAGCCACAATAAAAGAGTAGTAATGACATATGACTTGATGATTCTCTTACCTTCTTAGCTTTAACTGCCATTATGAAATATATGAAATCTCTATATCGATATCCCTCTTTTTTCTAAAAAAAATTTATAAAAAACTCGTAACCAAAAAACCCTCGCCGGATCAACCAGCTCTTAAAAGCACCCTTCGTTAAAAAAACTATTTTCAAATAAAAATCACGAACCAGTCGTCTAGTCGTTGAATTGAAATGGTAGAAGGGAAGAAAAACACAGCGATGAAGAAAAACGAAAAAGAAGGTCCGGCCTAACCCTTCAAAACCTCGCCTGTCGGAGTCGATAACCTTAAGTAAGTATGGCGAGCGACTCTTCACACTTCAGAGAGAGCGAAGGGGAAAAAAAAAAAAACCACTTTTTTGCTCCGAAACCCCAAAAGTGACTAACTAACGACTTGGTATATGCTTAACATAGAAACCTACTATATTGTTCAGCAGGTTCCCGCACGCCGGAGCATCACGATCGTTAAACGTTTCGAATTGTTTCGAGTTTCACACACTTCGTCAACCCCAGGTCCCAGTCTGCTACTCGGGCCAAGCCAAAGGTCGCCCCAACCAGGTTCGGTGCGCGTGTTGTGTTCTTCGTGGTTCTGAAGGATGTAGGAAAAAGAGGAAGGGCTGCCAAAAAAGCTTGCTGAGACTAACCGTGTGTGGAGTGGCGGTGCTGGGATTCACCCCTACGCACACCGGAGCTGCCCTCTCTCTCGGGATTCGCGAGGTGCAATGGTGGGAAAAACAGCTAAGCACCTTTCTTTTCGTGTGTTCAGACGTAGTTAAAACAGTTGTGTTTCTGGCTAGGGTGCGTAGAGTGTACGAAAAAGTATGAATGGCCGCCCAGACAAGGGGCCGCGGGATGAATATAGCGTGATATATTCGTATTCATTATGGAAGGGGGTTTATACGTTTATTGTATGTAAGTACTTGCGACTTCTTGTTAAGGGCGGCTGCGCCTGGGGGAAGTAGGGCTGAATTCATCATTGGTTAGCTTCTCTTCAAGAATGTTAAAGCTGCCAGCTGCTATGCAATGCACTGGATTACGTATGTGGACTTCTTTTACGGTATGTATGTACGCGGAGACATTGAGACAAAGCTTCAAGCTAGAAGGTTTCTAGAATAATCTAACGGTTCATAGTGGACTTCGATGCATCGATGATGTCGTCTTGACTCTCTCTCAATGAGATTTTCTGGGGAATAGCCCAGCGGAATCAGCAAGGCCGGTCGTCTTTTTTAGTATTATACTATAATATACTTAGGTATATAACGGTTATGCTCCCGGTGTCAAGATTCTATTTCAGGGATTGTTTCGCCCTTTTCTTGAGATCTTCCAAATTCACCAATCGAAGTTTCCCAGGCTGCCGTTTTATTTAACCACTTTCTTTCTTTATGCCCCCCTAAGAGGGAAAAGAAGAAGAAGAATTCTAGATTGGCCGAGGGTTGGTGGTCAAGTATGATGTTACGTCGCATTAATGCGAGGGGACATCCCAGAGCCGTAGATGTTGGAAATAGAAACTCAATCGAAGAAACACACTGGACGAAAGCTTAGCCAAGAAATGGAGAGGAGATCAAATCAATCATAAGTATTTATGTACAGGATCGATCGATTCAAACCAAGAGTCCAGATACTTAAAGATAGTTTCTGGTAACAGATCTGTCATTGGGAGTTTAGGCAAGTTAGGTAGAAACATACGTGGACCCACCGGAAGGGAAGAGAAGCATTAAGTCGGGCCAGAATTGAAACACCTTTCTTCATACAAAATTTTTTTTTTTCTGTCTTAATTAATCTTATTAAAAAAAATGTTATGCATGTACGGGTGACGAAGCGACGAGCTTTGCGATCAAGGAGAAGGAGAAGTGATTTGTCAGGAAATGTTCAAATTCAAAGAAGCGCTACAGCGATCGATCACGATTGAAAATGCCACAGTTTGAATAGAATGCATGCATGCACTAGCACTAACTAAAACGAAATGTCAAAATATTGGATGAAAGGGGAGTTTTTTTTGCACAAGGGTAATAGAAAGGAATGAGCATCTCGCAGACTTAAGTTGGTCGAAGACGAAAAAAAAAAAAAAAAAAGAAAAAGAAAAGAAAGAAATAAAATGGAAAAGAGAACTCCGGGGCTATAGGTGTTACGTTAACAGTATGAGACTAGCGGTTAAGAGGGGATCGATCAAGGGCATCGGAAAGCAAACAATTATACCAAATCAAAAAAGAGATGATATAGTTAATCGGAGAATAATGAGCAGAAGACGGTGTAAATAAGAAAATGTCTTTTTACATGATGATATGCAGCGCTTCATTAACAGGAGCCGGAAACAAAGAGGAAGAAGAAGAAAGTATGTAAAAAAAAGTTTAGAGGAAGGAAATAAGTAAGATAAACAGCCGGCCAAAGGTATTTTAGATAATCGAGTGAGAATGTTATGTTTCTTTTCAAGCTTCCCCCATGTTAACCGGCCCCGAAGAACCCGTTTATACCAATGTTCGATTGATTGTGACCCAAGGGTGAAGGTCCTATCGTAGCGCTGACGGGCGTTTGAACCTGTCCTTGTCCTGCAGGTTGCTGGCCACCCTGGTTACTAGCTGACCCACCCGCACTACCCATCATTGCATTCGCACCCATGCTCCTTCCTCGTTCCCTTACCCGCCTGCTGTCCATCAACCCTCTCAGTCCACGCTTCTGCAGCCCAACAACCGGGCTTACGCCGCCCCTTCCATCCCATGCTTCATCGTCTCCTCCCAATTCGCCTTCCTCTAAGATCGGTCCATCTGATGCAGGACTGTGATGATTTGCGTCTCCGTTGACGTCCGGTACATCACCGATATTGTTCAATTTCTTCAATTTAATACCGTCAGCATCTCCAAGCAAGTTCAATTTCTTCAGTCTTAATGCAGCCCCTCCACCTGCGGCCATTGCTGCCGCGTTGAAAACAGCGGCTGCATTCCTGCTATCGAGAACTTGGTGCAGCCTTTCCACGACTGCCTCCAAGAGCCCTTCAATACGATAAGCTCGAGCTATTTGCAACAAGGAGCATAAAACCTGCGGGCTAGACTGTGGGTGATTCGCCTGTGGCAGAGAGCAAGTGTAGAACCAATGGACGAGTGTGAGGAGGGTCTGGTGAGTATGTGGGAGATAAAGGGTCCTCGGTCGCGAGAAAGGGGGTAGCATATTTGCACTCGGCGGACTTTCGAGCAATGATGGAGATTGTGGTCTAGCGACCTTATCGCCAGAATTCGGCTGGTGTGGTGTAGTGGCTGTGTGCAGCAATTCGATGAAATACGGTCCCCACCGCCTGGCGATGATTCTAGAGTTGACGGGAATACTGGCATTATCAATCGACAGAAATTCCATATCTGCCATATCTTTCAATCCCAATACCAATCTTCCTAGCTCCTGCGCTTGCTTCGAGAAGTTTTTTGGGCCTGGATATTGCAGCGACTTTCTGGGGTTTTCGTAAATACCGAAAGCTTCGAGCTCTACCATGCACAAATGCGACGAATTGATTCTTCGGTGGTTGTAGTCCTCCACTAGGCTCCGCTGCTTGTTTCCAAGGATGATAAACCTATTACGTTTCTTCCATAGAATACCTCTGTTCCAGCTGCCCTGTGAGAAAACCTGTCCAGCATCTATCCTTGACCATGTCAAGGTTCGCAGATCCAACGCCCACAGCGCATACTCTTGTTTCGATGAGGTGAGATAGGTGCCAGACACGACAAAGTGGGAGTCGATAACGCCGCCGTTCGGGAATCGTAAACCAGGTGGTGAAACGAGTCCATTCATCGGCTTCTCCACCAACTTTCCATCATGATACCGAATTTGTAACTCTAATTTAACGTCCAGGAAATTGTAGTTTGAGTAGATAAGCATAGCATTCGTATCCGAAGGTGTAACAGCACGTGCAGCATCGCCCTCAGCATCAGCCTCTGGACGCCCTGCCCCGATAGCTTCAGGCGACAGAGTTGGGCCCAACGGGGTAACTACGCTCCGGTACGCACCACACGATCTATCCAACGAGTTCGTGCTGGTCCACTTAAGACTTCGTAGATTGAACACGTTGATCTCTTCGATGTAATGATTGGCCGAATCTTGGCCCCCCACAATGATCATCTCCGCACCCCCGGTTCCGTCGATAACTCCACTGTCAAAAGCTGCTGCTACCCCAGTTAATGTGGAAAAAACGGCTGAAGTCGGTAGTATGGTCGCACAATGCGCGTATCTTCCTTCTGGGGGCTCTGCTTGCGGCACATACGACCATGTCCTCGTCTGGATATCGAATATATGAATATCAGACATGACTACCACCTCGTTTGCTCCGCTTTCGCCTTGTGGGGTCTGTGGTATTCCGTCCACGGCATTTCCTCCCGCAGGACTCATTCCACCGAAACAAACCAACTTGGTATCACCAAGAGCACACACCGAGTGGAAATACCTCGGAGCCGGTATCTCTCCAAACTGCTCAACTTTAGACCAAGCCCGTGTTAGGAGATTTAACAGATACATATCGGATGTGAGTTGGGGTCGGTTCTTGGAGAGTATGCGGCCGCCGAAAACGTAGAGGTGGTCGCCAACAATGGTGGTGGAGGAGCCGACAAGCGATGGTGGCTCCTTTCCGGAGGTGCTTAAGACGCGGGATACGAGGGAGGAGAAGTTCTGAGAGGTTTGAGCGTTCGATGCAGTAGGCGTCGACGCCAGGATCTGGTTGCTATTGAGTCCATTTGTGGCATTACCGGCATTGGTGGCCGGCGGCACGGATGCTGCCATGATTCTAGGTGTCGAGGCCTGGGTGGTGATGTGGTTATGATGATGATGCTTGTAAACAAACTTCTTTAAGGGGGGAAATGATGAGATTAGTACAGATACCCCACCGGTGTCGAGGAAGACAGGCTAGCCTTACATGATATTAGTCGGGCGACGGGACGAGATATTAGTCTAGTAGGGTTATAACGATGATAAAAAGCGTCGAACAATGCTGTGATGAAGAGCGAGATAACGGGTATATGATCGATCAACCAAGGGTATAAAGGCTGGCCATGGGAGCCTGCTCATGTTCTTAGGGGTCGTTTCTCATGCTGGATAATAGGCCTTGCATATATAATGGAAAAGGAAAAGTGGGAGCTTCGGTATAGCTATCTACGAAGGGAAAGCCGAATCGATAAGCGAGTATTTGCGACAGGGAAAGGCTGAAAAGAGGACCGATGACCACGCCTACTGCTGTTTTTTCTCCCTCTTTTTATTTTTTATTTTTTTTATTTTTCTCCCTTTCTCTTTTCGATTGCAGACAGTGAGCCGGTTATTGGGACTATCCGTTAGTCGTCTCTATTGGTTCTCAAAGATCCGTCGAAGGAGGAGAGATCGGCTTTGAGAACGAGGTTGCAAAGAACAAGTTAGATATAACGAATAGGGTGGGAGATCCGCCAGCCTGGGACGTCTTGTTCTTGCCGGAGACTTTTTGCAGCCGTTTCAATAAAAAAAATAAAAAATAAAAATAAAAAAATAAAAAAAAATAAAAAAAGACAAACGAGGATGAAGCAAAAATAAAAGGGTCTTCGACCACTTCCTTTGGGCAAAGGAGGTTTTGGGAGAAGTGGCGGCGGTGGTGTCGACACTCGGGACGCTACCAAAATAGACGCTGGAGCTTGTCAAGCAGGTGTACACGAGCGGGAGGGATTTCGATGGAGCAGCAGCAGCAGCTGGCAGCAGCAACAGCAGCAACAGCGGCAGGCAGAGGCAGAACAGCGATGGGGAATGTCTCGATTGGCGGAGGAGACCCGGACGGTGGTACTTTCACAACAAGTCCTAGGCTGTAGGACGAACGAGGACGAGATACATCCAGCTGAGGTTGCTTGTCTTGTACTCCTGCTTGTGCCTTGTCCGATGGGAGTCCTTGAAATGTCTTTGAATGCAATGTCGGTCTAACTGTTAACTGGTGGAGAAGTGAGGCGGGTGGAGTGGGAAAAGCGGTGGTGTTGCTTTTCGGCTGCGACTGAGGCTGTCTGGCTGGCTGCCCGTCCAATTGGCTACGATCGAGCAAATGTTTCCCTGAGAAAAAGGAATATTTCCAAGTTCATGTTCAAGGGTAAGTCAGTCAGGATTCACACGCACATTCTCTCCCAGCAAGGGCTTCTTCTTTCTTGTCCCATATATTACATACGATCGAGTGACCTCTGGACTGGGAACTAGGTTCGGAAGTATGTATGGGATGCACACACACACGCATACTTACATGTAATGTATGTGTACTATTGTAGGCAAGTCCCGTCTGCTATGTACGGTACATATCCTGCGAGGACAGGTGGTGTTTTAGACCAGCGATGCTTGCTAGCTAGCTAGCTACTTCGTTAGCTTTCCTAGCTTAGCTCGGTCGATGCAATGAATGAATGGGGGATGGATATGGATATGGAGATGGATATGGAAATAGGTCTGGGATGGGATGGCAGGCGGGCAAAGGGGCTAATTGGTCATGATTGGTTCGATTGTTCAGGAATCCGAATTAAAGCAATCAACGAACCTCAAAAGCACATGGCCAGGCATGGGGATCCGACTCCATACGAGACCATACAGGCCCCCATACCTAGGTATTTACTGACTGACTGACTGACTTCCTTTCTTACTGATTCTCTTACTAACTTACTACATGCTTACTTACATACATGTCCAGGACATACGGACAGAAAATATATCTCACACGTGCATGTTCTTCAGGCAGAATTCGACACTGTCGGATCCAATCGCCACCGGTTTCAGGTCCTCGGCATCCTCCTTGGACGAGGCCCACAGCTTACCCTATTAATTGCCACGTTTTCTAGCTGTTTGAGCATACCCTGGTCCAAATAGCGCAGCTTATACCCTCGACGGATGTTGCTCTACTGACCATTCATAACTAGGAAAATCGCTGACTACTACTAGGCATTGCATTGTCGTAGGTAAACTAAGCACTAACAATCAACTAACAGAAGGAACGAAAAGAAAAAACCTTCGGGTTAAAATACAAGCAAAAAAAATTTTCTGCGTGAATTTACATTCCGAGCTTTTAGGTACGCTTATGCCATAGGGAACCCCGGTTTCTTTTACGAGTCCGTCTGGCCGAGTTCGGAGAGGAAACACTTTTTTGGTTCTTATCATCAGAATTAACCCCTATAGTATAGCGAAGTCCTTGTCCGTCGGGAGGGTCCAGCTGGATGGAACGCTGCTGTATCATCCTCTCCCCGTTGCATCCACGGATATAATATATATCCAATATATGCCAATGACAGTATGGCTTCGGCACTTCATGCGGACCATGGGCACATGTCACGGCCCCCATACGTAGCACAGACGTTAACCCCCCCGTTGCCAGTTTTAGCCCTCATTCGCCTTCTGATTCTCAGAGTGACACAGAATTCGAGGTCTTAGCGCTTTAAAATGATAATAACCGTTTAGAAATCCGAGCTCGTGGATTCGGGTTCCAACTTGACCTAAAAATTTTAAAAAATAATAAAGAAAAGAAGTCTAACGAGCTGATAAAATGTTCGATGTCCGAGCCCGCAAAGCGGGGATAACAAACAAACATTTCGATATGCACGCCAGAAAGTAGCAGCCGGAAAGGCGAGCTGCACAATCATCGGAATATCCGTCTTCTAAATTTGAACATTTAGGGTCCCCGAGAAAAGGAAATGTTTCAACGGATATATCCACCTTTCGACTAATTACCAAAGATACACAGCATTGCTTGCCTTGGTCCCAGAACCCTGGCAAAGGACAAACGGTCGACAGGAATATTCCCATCGGGGTTAGCTTTACCTTATGCGGTGACCGCCTCTTTCGCCAAACCCGCCACACAATGGCCATTCATCGATCACGTATTTGTTACCACGTTATCTCGACGGTATCGCACTATCACAGTCAGAAGAGAGAAGAAGAAAAAGATCAATCATCGGGGTCCAAAGTTCGGATCTAACTATAACTCGAATACTAAACCAAGGATCTTTCCGCAAAAAAATCTCCGAACGGTAATTACTCCATTCAAAACTCTAAATCCTTATAAAATTAATGATTATCTCATTTTGTTCAAGAAGTGGGAGTTCTTCAATAACAGAAATCATGCATTATGCTTGTGCGAGCGCTTCGCTCGATCATGCCGTACACATGAGGAGGGGTCATACCCACCAAGAAAGAAAAAATGCAAAGCCTCTGACTACAGTATCTCAAATTCCACGTACATATATTACATTTATTCACGAAGATTCCGTTAACAAGTGGCCATTTCTGTACATTCTTCACTCGTTAGTATACTCAAGCCGACCAAACACACAATCTTCCTAAGCGGATATAGATAGGCTTAACCCGTTATCGGCTACAAAGTATTTGCTGTATAACGCACATATGTACATGCTTGAATACATACATACGTAGCCAAATCAGAACAAAACAAAAAAGGCTCTTCTTCAAAGCCAAGTTTACCGTCCATAACCGAAAGGAGTTAAAAACCTGGGTCTGGTTAAGTTTGAGATCTAGAGCGGGGCACTCAAGCTCGAGTCGAAGGTCTTATTCATAAAATTCGCCTATCTAGGCGAGTGGTTGGACTCCGCAAGCCGTCACTTTGCGGAGAGTTTTTAGAACGGTGATTGGTGGTTATACATCGCAGATCGGAACAGCAGTAATTTAGATCGTCGACATAGATTAAAGATCTCGAGATCCTCAGAGGTGTTCCAAAGTTACCTTCTTTTGAGGCTTGATAGTGGCGATAGGTACTACTCGCCTTTTGTTGTCAAGGGTCTATGGATTGTTGAAGAGAATTTAGTAGTGGATAGCAATATTTGGTTAGAATCGATATGCAGGTTGCGCCAGGCTAGCCGGCTGCAGCGTGGAAAATGTCGGTTTACACCTAGACTCCGAGACTAGGGCACACCGTGGCTTGTTCCACCGGCTTACGCCCTACAAGGGCATAAAATCGATAGTAAAATTAATACAACGGATCGCCCATACTACTCCGTATTGTACGATCATATGATGATTACTGGATCCGAAGACGTGACGAGTCGGATGAGTTTATTTTAGTGACGATTGCTTAGTTACTGTCATTTATGGGTGTGTACGCCATCAATACATTACTATTAGTGACATATTAGGAATCCATAATGTGCCTTTGTACAATTTGGTTCAATGCATGTCAACCAAAAGGTATTGTACAATGACTAGGGGAAAGGGGTGGCTACATGCTATACCAGTAGATGATAGACAGGTTGAGTTGATATACATACCTAAGGTCAGTTCCCTCGTATTGATACAATCTAACGGTCCGGTCTTCAGAAGTACTTAGGATAAGTGGTTACGAGACTACCTCGAGCCGGCCGGCCTCACTGGTACCGTCCATCTTCATAAGTTCGGCCAGCACTGATGCCAGCTCGCAACACGGAAATTTGTTGGATTTTGGGATAGGTATATTGTATAGCATTCGCAATGGCATAGCTGCACTTGACGTGCGCGTGTCAGAAGGTACCTAGGTAGATACCTACTTACTACGAAGAAAAACGATACGAGATTATATGCACTTAATTATGTAGATCATAGAAGGGTGTATGTTTAGCTTAGCAATCAATTCTTCAAATAGTAATTACTGGCATCTGAGCTCCAATACTCTGTATCTATCTAGATAGCTAGGTATATAAGAACATCTATAGCTAGATCTAGCACTCTCTCATATATATATGATCATATATGCTATATATAAAAACCGAATTCAGGAATCGAAGTAAAAGTCAAAATAACCACAGATCCCCATTAAATAAATCTTAAATTTCAAACTCGCGAAATAACAGCAAGCGCATCCGGCAAGCGTCAGCCTGGATACCATATCATGTCATGCTCATCAAACAGAGACACCCTTTTGGTCTGGAGATGAAGCTCCCTTCTCATCGATATCGCTAGATTGCTCTTGCGGGATACCATGAGTAACTGGAGGGGATTTTCCGGTGATTGCCTGAATGAAACCTTTCCCAACGCGGGCCATGCTTTCTCTGCCTTCCCAGAGTGGGTAGACACCAGTAATTCCAAGAGCACTGTATTCCCATGCGGTTAGTAAACAGCCGAAGACGAAAGTAGGGTTGAGGATTGTGAACATACACAAAAGCCCAGATAATACCAACAATAACCCAACCAGTGAAAAACTTCTCGCTGAAGACGTATTTGCTGCCGTACATTGGAATTGGCCAGAGGAGCAACAAGCAGACGGTGAGAGTCAAGGCGACGACCTTGGCAATGAGCGACTTGCGCTTAAGTAGTTTCTGTTGTGCTTCGTATTCCTCACCAACTGCTTCGTGCTGGATGGTTCGAATGTTGGCGTCCTCCTTAAGGAATTCAGAGTCATCGACGAGTTTGATCTCAGTCCTCATGGTAGTCCAGTCGTAATTCTGGGGGCCGAAGATGATGGTGAAGAGTGGGATAAAGAGAATTGGTGAGAGGAGAGCGACAAGCTAGAGGAATATAGAGTCAGTATATCAATAAAAACGTAATATATATCGGGCACATGAAGGTGTCACTTACGTTACCGACAAGCATAGGGTCGTTAGAGCCGGTAGAAGCGACGTTAATAACACCGAACTTCTTGTAGGCTGTGACGAACCAACCGATGAAACTGCAGATAGTTCCGAGGATTGGGCTAGCAATAACTGCAACCTTGTTTTGCTTGGTTGACAACATGGTGCAAGCGGCGGGCAAAACGGCAGAGCTGATCACGACACCCATCATCAAGTAGAGGTATCCCAAACTGATACCAATGTACCAGAGGCCGACGGAGAATCCAGCAATGAAGAAGGAAAATCCAACGACAGCGATGTGGGAGAGATTTCTTAGACGACGACCGGATGCATTTGGGTTGATGTAGGTGCGGTAGACATCATAGGTGAAAATGGACGAAACGGCGACCAATTCGGATGAGAAAGCGCTGGATACAGCCAAGAACAAAAGAACCAATGCAATCAAACCACCTTGTTGGCCCATCAAAGCAACAGCGACGTTGGGAAGAACGAGACCAGCCGAAACATCGGCTTCCGGGAGACGGTTTGGATAACTTGGCCAGGCTGGGTTGTTCTGGAGTGCGACACCAGCAAGACCCATGGTAGTAGCGCAGAGGAATGGAATGGAGAACCAACTGATACCACCAAGGACGTATCCGTTCAAAGCGGCACCAATATCGGAGGAGATGGCCTTTTGCCAGTAGCCCTGGTCCAAGAACACAGTTCCGAAGTTACCAACAATGTTGATGACGAAAAAGACGCCACCATCCCTGGACTTCATGGTCAAGTAGCTACCTTGTTCGTTTCCAGGAACTGGCTCGTTTTTGGAAGCCTCAACCAAAAGCTCCCAGACTTTGCCGAAAGACCCAAGTTCCGGACTTGTAACATAGATCTTGAAGGTAAAGATCAAGATAAAGATGATAACCAAGGCGGAGTGAGTGTAGTCGCTCATGATCGTAGCCTTTAAACCTCCAAAGACGGTGAACAGGATGACCGGAATCGGAATCAAGAAACAGGCTGCAGCTGTCGGAATTCCGGTAAGGTAGTGAACCACAGCCGAACCACCAGTCAACAACATCAAGGTGACCAAGATGTTGGTGAAAGTAGCAAATACTAGGTAGGTAATGTGGGCGCCGGTTCCATATCGTGCACGGATGAGTTCGAGATAACTACCAAGGGTTATACCATATTAGCTACATCCTAGAGACGCAATGCCGAATTGGCGGTTGTAGGAACTTACGTATGTGCTGATGGTGCGCGGCGCTTGAGTTCAATTGCCAAAGATGCGAATAGGATGATTTGAACAGTCTACATCGAACTTTAGTAACTTGAATCCCTTCTTTCGGACTAATCGATTAACTACTTACCGCACCAGAAGCATACCAGAATGGACCAGAAACGCCATATCGATAACCTGTTGAGGTGGACTGAAGAAGCGTGGCCGCCCATGTCCAGGATGAGCACACAGCTGCTGCAATCAAACCGGTCCTATCATTCCCAATTAGTACTCTTATATACATATATCATTGTCGGTATGTATCGAAGGTGGCCCTACTTGACTGAACGACCAGCAGTATTAAACTCCTCGGATGTCTGAACCTCGTGGGCATATTTCTTCAAGATCCATGAGATTAACATGATCAAGAAGGCGAACCCTATTCATTCTGAAGATTAGCAAAACTTCACCACTTAGTCCTTTTTCTAGGGCATATCAAGCATATCGGCATACCCAGACCGAGTCCCACCACAATTCCATAGCCTTGTGCTTCACTTAATACCGCCATTTTGTCCACGGTATATCCTGTTGCAATTTGGATTTTATGCAACGAGTCGAACTGAATGCTGTGTCACCGTAGCTCTGGTGTTTAAGTATTGAGCAAGATAAATGTCAATCGCCAGGGAACAGGAGCGGACTATATACTACGTTCCTCAACCTTGAGCGAAGCTCTCAAAGCGCACAGGCTCCCCGATCGGCCATGGTAGGAGCTTGAACAAGAGGGACCTTGCTGGGAATGTTCGCAATTGTTCTACATTGCAATATTTTGCTTATTGCACCCGATATCTCGCTCAGTTCGAGACGAGTGGGAAAAACGTGGGGGAAGTTTTTGGATGCAGATCCTTGGAGTAACCTGGGCCGTTGAAGTTAGGGAAGTCACAAATTGTCACTACATCCCATATTTGACCTTGTCGCACGCATCGGGCTGCTGCTGGAACCAAATGCATACATGCAAGGGTAACTTCGTTAACTTTCTATCGAATGAGCGGTCGAAGGAAGTCAATCGGGAGGGGTAGGAAGTACCTCTGTATTGGGCTCTTTCCTGCGGATCTTGCCTCCTCGGGTAACGAAGATGCGTCCATTAACCCAAGACTTGGTGTTTTTAACATGTTGTAGCTAAATTTCCTTGTGCCGAATGAATCTGAGATATGTCGTTGGATGAGGGATCCCTGTACTATACCCCCCGTCTGATTGGCCGAGCGGACATCAAGATAACGTCGTGCGGCGACGGGACGCAAAATGTTTTGCTGCTTATCTTTGCCAACCGGTTTACGTTCGTGAAAAACGAACTCTGAATTGATCGGGACAAGGATCCTGCACCTTAGCACGGCTCCCACGCCGGAAAATCTTAATGAGTAAGCAATTCTGCGCTTGCTAGCTGCCAGATATACAAGGTTTCTCGCTCTTATAAAAACTCCGCTGTCATGCAGACAGGGTCTGGACGGCGAGCAGAACCATATCGCTTCCGGGTACTCGAAACCAATTAAATTTCGGATCATGAAACGACACACACGATTGTAATTCGAATTCGTGATTCAATTAATGGTAGTATCACAGCCAGCACGAGGAAATCTACCAATTTAGGTTTGTTCAATGCAACGTCTTGTACAGCTGCTGCCAGAGTCTAAGGGCTCCGAGATTCGCTGAACCGCGTCAAAAATTCCCCCATGTCCCGCGAATATCGAATGATTTGATATTCACATGCGAGCAATATTCTCTCTCTCTCTCTCTTTTGCCTCTTTCAATGCACACTTTGCAGAGTTCACAGGCAGAAAGAAACGACGGCACAGATACCAATGTGCATGCAACCAACGTGCGGATAAGGATATGTATGTACGCGGGCTTTATAATTAATGATATCGACAGCCTCTCAACCAGGTTCCGTGGCTAGTCGAAGACTATATTGAACAAAATTATAGGCTCAATCAGCCATATTCATTACATTCACAAATTACAGCTATGTTATAGACGGTTGTCATCGAAATATGTAAGTATCAAAAAGATCGCGAATATTCCCGATCAGCCTTTTCCCATTCCATGGTGACGCCACAGTTGGTGTCGCGGTTTAACCCGCCTAGCTATCACTTTCGCAGCCAGAATATATAATGGGCAGACGTAACGCGAAAGTTGATGACCAAAAAGATCGAGTAAGTGGGAGGGGTTTAAATTGAGGCTTCAATTTTCCCGGCGCCCTCGCATTTTCGATTACAGCCAAGTGCATAAATTGTTCCTGAAAATCCCCACTTGAAGCCCAAGTTCTCCATCCTCCGATTTCAATCCCGTAGGTCGGACAAATCCGTTGAGCTAACAGCTGGCCACGGTTGAGTTGATTTAGCCTAGCCCCTTGGTGCCGCCACGATTTTAAACATTCGGATCCAAGCGAAAGAATGTAGGTGGTTAGACGAGTAAAATCCTATGTACATACATATATATTTGTGCGTACTGTTTTTGTATTGTAATGGTGTTCTCGAAAAAAAAAGTTGGGCAGAGATAAGGACATAGGCCCTTTATCAGAATGTCAGCCCTCCAGCCTTGAGCTGGACGCTTGGCTAGCCGAAATCATCCTAGTCGTGTGATCTCATTCGGCGTGTTCCCCCCACCTTGCTCCACCTGCGCATCCACATTTAGGTTCTGCATCTCCAGTTTTCCGTTAACCGCCTGTAATTGGTTATTGAGACGAAGCATTGACGGTCTTCTGTGTTACCAAGTTAATATTCGAGTTGAGACGACCTTTAATCTTGCATGCCAAGCTGGGTCGGTGCATCCTTCAGAACAGAAAAACGGGCCAGAGACGGTTTCAATAAAAAGAAAAATAAGTACCTGTGCTTCAAGCTCAAGCTCAAGTTTGAGCAAGGAATCGCAGGTGCTGCCTGTGACAAAGGATCAGTTGTTCCGAACTCATAATTTTATAAATTTAGATATTCATCAGACAGCACATGATCGATACTGAAGACTCATGTACTTAAGTTGTTAAAAACACATTCTTTCTATAACTCTGGCTACAAATACCGACTCTGCCAATTACGACACCAGTTTGAAGGCAATTTTCAGAGTCCAACTTAAGTGAGGCAAAGTATATACAAAGCTAATGGGTACATGCATCACGAGCGAATTTAAAGCGATCCCCCAATACTTCAAACAATACTTTTTAGGGACATGCATTGGGAAACAGATTCACTTTGCAGCTCTGTGGGATATATATATTTTAGACCATACTAGTGGCCAACCAGTGTCTAGGAAAGGTACTATTTTGGATACATGTGCACAAATGTATTGCAGGTGTTCTACTAGACCTGATACACTCGAGGCTAAGGAATGTGGGAATTTTGACCTATCACAAAATGTGGATTGACTGGATGAGATCTCTACAGAAAGGCCATCCATATTGGCAACCCTTGCCTTAATTGTGCATGTGCATATGCATGAATGTTCGAATTCGAGGTACAGCTGGTAGCCTCAAAACCACCACGGCGGAAACTAAGCATAAGCGGACACACTATCTTGGTCTTTCACCATATATGTACTTAACCATTGTCTTATCAGTCGATTCTATACGGAGGTCAGGGGCTCTGATAAGAGGTCGATACGATCACCAGGGCACCGGCTACAACCTAGTTCTCTGCAGATCAGAGGCTCTCTCAGTCGCGCAATCTCTAGAAACTCACAATTCTCGAATAAACGTATTCTATACATGTATTTACGACTAGGATAGTCGAGCCATATGTACCTGCATGATTGCCGGGTACAACCTAGATATTCATGGTTCGTACGATCGTTTAGTTGGACCGCACTAGAATTGATCCCGAGGACAACTAAGTAGTTGACTTTGTACAGTTCACCAATACAAATAAGTAAGCCTTGGAGATGCCTTAAATTACTCTGGCGCTCAGACACTGGTGCTTTTAAAATAGTTGGTCGGATGTCCGACACGCTTACATGGCTATCCAAAATAAATTTGTGGGGGAACTTGCAGGTCTTTTGCTTCAGCTATAGCAGGGTAGATTCCCCGTAGCCGTTATAGATATTTCTAAAGCGTACAATTACCAGTGTCTCATAAGCTCAACTATTCGGACCCGCGGTTTTGGGCATTGGGATTTAACGGTTGGTAACAGACCAGTCGTACCCACGTCGATCCAGCCTTAGGTACCTGGTTCCGGTATTGTAGAACCATACCCTTTGGAACTGTTTGGTTTTGGCTCCATCAAGCCCTAAACCACAAATAGTATGTGTAATTAAATATTAAATGTAAAGTAATAATTCGTTCCTAATATTATGCGAGCAAGTGATATCCCGTAATTACCGTACGGGGTTTTGATGGGGTTTTGGGGTCGCTTTTGAATTTTAAGACGCTTTATCCAGCAGTTAAGACGTCTTAATTGCCCAAAAGCAGACTTAAGGCGGAATTTCTGCCCTAGAAAACCCTCAGTTTCCCCTACGGTATAATTGCATTATAATTAGTCGCGCAAATATTAAATTAGAAAATATCGACAATTGATCTTTGGAAATATCGTTTCTTCAGTTAAAATGAACTAAATCTAGCTAAACATACAAAATAGGGCTATCCTAGAAGCCAAGTTCATAGATTATCATATCCAGCTGCATTAGATCTCGAACTCTAGGTGATTAATTATTAATCTCGATTAGCTCGACGAACTCTGTAGCACAAAGCCCTTCAAGAATACAACAAAATCAACACAACTAAATTACAATAGTCATGAATGTCCACATTGAAGCTTTATACATTTCGCAAGTCGACATGACTTTGTGGCACTTGGCTATCGTAAAGCTCCTTCAACAAGCATACGTGTATACGGCGCAAGGAGTGTTCTTCGTAATCTTTTTTTTGAATAATATATGTATATATAATTGGCGAGGCTGATTTCATTAATGTTATTCTAACACAATCGAATCTAGACCGGACACCAAGAACCTAGATACCGAGGCTTCACCAGGACTTCATAACATCGACGGCAATGCCCCACCAGTCATCAAAAGTTCGCGATATATATAATCCCGTAACATAAATGCTTGCGGAGACAGAGGTAAATACCGGTAACGATATCTCCTGTTTAGTCTTGAAGAATGGAAAACAATATCGTTGGTGTTCGTTTTCATCTTTTCGTTATCAACCTTCTTCTTCTTCTCGCTCCACCCCCGCTTCGAATTCGTTGATACCATCTTGACATCATCGGATCAGTTCACCATTGCCTCTATTCATCTCGTTTTGAGCAATATTAGACCTCCTTCGCTATACATAACTTCCTAGGAACGTAGCCGTCATGCGAGTTCCGTGGTTGAGTTTAATGGGCCCCGGGCTCCTCTTCGGATCGATCGTTGAGGGAGCTCCAGGAAATCATCAAAAGCGTAAACCGTGAGTATCCCCATTTATTTATTAGCCTCAAACCTCACTCGACCTTCAGCCAATACTGGGAATAATGGCCAGGTATAAGTGTTATGCATTACATGTGTCACCATTTTTGCCTCCACCGTCTCTGTTGCGTCTCTCTACATGCATGTTCTCTCAGAACCTTTCCCGCTGGGCTCCACTAGCCTCGAGACCAGGCGCAGAGGCTCTACTTGACCTAGACATTGTTAATATTATTTTCGTTCTTGATTCTTATTTGACTTTTGATCTCTATTTCTTAATATATACCCTTTTTCTATATTGCCCACAAAGCGCTTGAGCCACCCGTGCCCCGAGAGGCATACTAATCAAGTTTTACAACTAACGGGTCCACATTGCTTCGCTTTTTTTATAAGCTGATATGAGAACTTTGGTTCCGGTAACTAACGTGTCTTTCAAGCTATGATCCTAACGACCTGGGAACATCCTCTTCCCAGGCCCCAGTTACACCGATCGGGTATAACTATGGGTATATCCCAAATACGAACCCTGCCTCTCCATCCACCAGCAGAGCCTCGAACCCATCAGCACCCAGCTATGTTCCTACTTGCTCCGACTGGGCTTACTGCCCTAGCTGCCCTAAGGGCTATTATTGCCCAATTACCACGGCTACGGCATCCCCGACTCAGTCTTTGGTCATTGTCCCTACCTGTCCTTCGTGGAAAGCATGCCCTGAATGCCGTGGAGGCTACAAGTGCTGGAAACCGAGGCCGACCCCCACCGCAGCACCAGTTGAAACCACTTCCGCCAGTTTGACAATTACTCCAACATGCTATCCATGGAATTATTGTTACACTTGTGTGGGAGGTTATGCTTGCTCCAGCGACCCAGGTCTCACGGCATCTAGCATCACGAGTCAGTGTTAACCCAAGACTCTACATATTATACCAAACCACTGACTTTTAAAAGCCCCAGTGCCAGTCATATACGCAACCAAAAGTCCTAGTTCCAGTATTACCAAAGACCCGGGGGCCTCTAGGAATATGAAATATCTTCCAACATGTCCCGATTTCGAGCCGTGTCCAACTTGCTCGTGGGGATGGAGCTGTCCCGTCTCAGACCCGGCAGATCAAACCTATACCGTTATCATAACTCGGGGGACTGATTATACGACAGTTACAGAAACCATCCCGGGAAGCTATGATGGTTACGTTTACGGAACCTACGGTGCATCAAAGACTTCCGAGACGACATCTACTTACGACTGGGCTTCTTACGATCAACCAGCTTGCCCCGATTATATAGTTTGCCCATCTTGCGCACTAGGATACTACTGCCCAAGTGCATCAGTCTCGATCTCAACAGCCCCCATCTACTACCAGCCGCCAAATCAAGACCCAGATTCAACCTCGACCGTCTCCCCTACGCCATCTTTCTACCCTCCCCCACCGTGTGATAACTATATTGTGTGCCAGGATTGTTTTCTCGGGTACTACTGCCCTGGACCTTCGCTAGGGACACCTACCACAGCTGTTGCCAGCTACAGTACGCCATCATGCAGTGACTACATCGTGTGCCCAAGCTGCGCTCTCGGGTACTATTGCCCAACGCCTACAAAGCCGTATAGAACAGATCCCACGTCGACTTACAACTGGGCCTCCTACGAGCAACCCTCATGCCCGGACTATGTGGTTTGCCCCAGTTGCTCATTGGGCTACTATTGCCCAACGCCTACTACTACGACTGGGCGAATTCCCAAAAATTATGCAGCACCAACATGCCCAGATTATATCGTCTGTCCCGGTTGCGCTCTCGGTTATTATTGTCCTTCTCCGCTAGCGACTTCAACCCGCCCAGTATATAATAGCGGGCCAAATACAAAGGGGTACAGCTCAAAGTCACAGAACCCATATATCCCTTCTACCACGTACTACATCGGATTACCAACAACGACTCTCGTGGTTGCCCCAACTTGTCCAGAATATGTCTTGTGCCCAGTTTGCCCTGGAGGCTATTTCTGCCCATCTAATTCACCTCGTCCAACACCGAGCAAGAATGTTCCATATTATTACACCGACCCCAATACATCCAATGCACCGCCAGCGACTATCCCTCCTTGCGATGCATATGTCTTCTGCCCAGAGTGTGAACTTGGTTATTCATGCCTAGTTCGGTCAACCCCCAGCCCATCGAAAAATCCTAGGCCTTACAAAGCGGGAGGAACCGCAAATCCACCAATGTCAAATCCTTACCCTATCTACACTTCTCAGTTAGGAGTCCCTACTGTCGATGGCGCTTATGTGACAGCACCTGGAAATTCCGGGTATGGATCTGCCTCAGTCCCTGCACCGGGACTGCCAACCTGCGCAAGCTATGTTCTTTGCCCAACCTGTCCCCTGGGATACTACTGCGCTTCCATAGTTTCCCCGACTATCGCTCCTTCAACATATTATGGTGTCGCTCCTACAGGGGCTATCGAGCCAGTTTATTCGACTACCATTGTTTCGCCCCCCTATACACCTTCGCCTAGTTGCCCGAACACGGTAAGAACGGTTACTGTGACTAAAACCCGCGATATCTATCGAATCTATAATATATGTGCTCCCGATCCATATGCGATTTTGACGTCATTCGTTATCCCAACTGCTACTATCAGCCAATGTGATCCCGAAACCCAATCCTATACCCAATCAACCTCGCCAAATAGCTCCGAGTATGCCTTCCTTCACTGCTGTTAATTATGCCAAGCTACCTCCCACTAACCTGATATATAGTTGTTCTGCTTGCGATCCAGATTACAGCTTCTACTCGGTTGCACGCCCCACTGACTTCAGCACGCTGTCACTTACGAACTGGGGGCAAGGCCGCCCACACTCACAAAACACAGCAGGTTAGTTTCAAAGCCTAAGAGAGCCGTAATTCTCGTGAGGCTTTGTCATTTTACAATACTAACGCCTCACAGGCTCGACGTCTCCAACTAGGCCCTACGATCTGAATTCTCCGCAAACAAGTAGTAGTTGCTCGTTTAAGCCTTGCGATGGCGGATACTATTGTGAGACTTGTCCGCACAAATGGTATTGCCCGACCCCCACCGACGGGGCTTCAAATAATACACCATATACCCCAGTCCTATAGATGCGCTGAACAGGAACTTTCTTTATACTGAAATTTTCTAATGTTCGTCATTTTTCATTTCTTTTTCATCGAGTTTTGGTTTTTGGGTTTCTTTTTTTTGTCTCTATAACGTTAGCACCGATATCCTTTACTGCGTTTTTTGTTATGTTTTCCTTTAAAGCGTTTACTGCTGGAGCCTTAGTTGGAAGGCTCTTTAACTAATAATTTCGTTTGAGGGCACAGACGATGCCTCTCTATTTTCCAACTCGCGTATTTGTATCCTGCTTGCTGCAGAATCATAGCTGCCACTCGCACTAGGCTTCCTCATGCCAGCACGATACTAGCAAAATTAGCAGCGAGACTATAGCCAAATATAGGCCTGGTTCTCAAACGCAATGAGAGACTTTGCATGTATACTCTAGCTGATAAAAAAACATCGGGATCAAAGAGGGAAAAAAAAAAAAGAAAAAAAAGGGGGAGTGTCCTATCTAGAAGCCCCACCAGGAATAAATCAGTAAATAATTGCGGCAAGTAGCTAGCCAGATGGATTGCCAGATAATAATATTTACAAGCCGGCATGCCGTTGCAAGGCTCCGAAGAATAACAAGACAAGGCCCTATGCTAGAGAATTCTCGAAAGGTATCTATCAATACAGCATCAATACGGGGTTTAACCATACTACGTACTACGGTATTACGGCGTTTAATCCGTATTAGAACAGTATTAGATATGGACCTTTACCGCTAATTACGATTAAAACAGCATTAAGAAAAGACATTTCCCGGCACTGTGTGTACTCGCCCCATAGCTAACGGCCAGGTGAAGGCTTCTCTGCGAAGCTCAAAAAGATATCCCGCTTCAAGGGTGTGTTGGGGACGCAAAATCCAACAAATGGGTGCCTCAAATAACGGATCTGGATTCCGTAGAACATCGTTCCGAAGTGAGGGGCAATCCTTTGGGCCTAGCAAAGCTTGCAAAGGATGCACTTTGGGGATTTTACCAGGCGGCAGAATAAGGGCAGTAGAAGGTCTGGTTGTGGGATATATTAATCTCGCACCCAAAACAGGCTTCGATTTGTTATAGCATTATAATTAAGTAATTAACGTCAACGGAAACTTCCAACGATCCCCTATAGCCAGCCATCATAGATATGGTATATTTGGCTAAAACGCAGAACTAGTCATCTATCTAAATGACATGACCGAAGGAAGGTGACGATGGCCGCATGTTTGCATAATATACAGGAATATAAGTAGTTCTTGATAGAAATGTTCGACATTCGAAGCAGATATGCATCTCGAGGCCTGTGGGCCGACTTGTGCAGGATCGATCAACTGATATATTAGACATGCTATTCCTCCAGTCTCTGCGCGTGCGTTTGCATTTCATTTGCATAAAGTGTCCCTTGTATTATGGGCACGGGATATCAAGGCATCTCGATTAGAAGAAAAAGAGAGAAAAACAATGCCCACAATCATTCCTGCCAGTCAGTCCAATGACTTTCCCTGCGTTTTGAGAGACACTACGATATTCGACAGGCTTTCCCCATTGTTGACTAGCGGGATGCTAGTGAGCAGCAATCAGACCGATCGATTGCATCGATGTTATGTTCGAATCTGGGGAAACCGATGCAGATGGGACAAAACAGTCGCAGTCGACACCGACCTTGTTGGAGTATTTATCGCCAACGCAATAGTACCTGTTACTACGAACCCACTCGATTCTCAGGGCTGGATTGGCACCAAGTCGACACTTTCCAATGTCACGGTGTGGCACTTCAATCGACAAGTTTGCCAGTCTATGCGAGGTTTGTCGGCCTTGGCGGCTTGGTGGAGGTCAAGGCCGCCTGGGGATTGGCCATTTCCAACAGGCATTCAGGTCTCTCGCAGGGGCGCTGTGGTTTTTTTGGTCCTCACGCCTCGTTTCGTGGAGAATCAAGGCGCAAGGCGTCGCCGCTGGATTTGATTAGCACCCCGCCTTGAAAACCCGACGACGGGCAGCAGCAGGAAACCAACAAGCAGAGCTGGGGAAATTCTAATTCCAAGGCGGCCATGGCCATGGCCAGGCGGGCTCGAACTGGTGTTTGGGGAATATCCCTGATCTGCTGGACGGTGGATGTGTGTGTGTGTGAAGTGAGGTCTAGGTGTGACCTCAGAGCCTTCAGGCGGGCTCGTTAGCAGTCATCAAAACCTAGCCTCGATCCGCATCCCGCTGTTCACTTGTCCCTCTCCTCCTCCTTCTTCCCATCCTATCACAGTTTTCCTTCAGACCCGGTCTCACAGTACGGCTCTAGTATCGTGCCATCTTGCCCGCTTCATCCCCCAGATTACTGTTGCGGTATATATAAAATATCTCACCGCCGGAGGTCTTTCTCAAAGTGTACCAAGCTTTTTCACAGGTTTTGCTATCTCGATATTCTTTGGCATCTCTACGGCGTTTTCTAGCTCCCATTGGTTTAACTAAAAACAATCATCTCTCTATCTCTCCTCTCTTTCGTCTCTCCTCTCCTCTCTCCCTGCTATATACCATACCATACCCCCCTTTCATATAGCGACAGATACCCCGGGCATTCAAAGCCCTTAAAAAGTAACACTCTGAAAACAACAGAGATTCCTGGCGTTGACAATATCCGCCTCCTAGCTTCGTCCGCAGCGACATTCGAGTCTAAACTCAAAAGTTTTTCCCTATCGTGCGTTTACAATATCGATTCCCTTCGAGCTTCGGAAACAGATTGAAGTCCTCTAAGTATATGTTTCCCGCCTCCGATACGCGTAACTAACCCATAGTATTTCCCTTGGTATTGTATAGACCTGGCTCTTAAATTCCATAACCGAACCACCCAATTTTCTGGCTTTCCCTCAGTATCCTGGTCACCTAAGGCTTTCTTTACTGGATTCGTGGATATTTCCTCTTTCACTACCTCTACTGCTTCTACCTGGACTATAAGCAAATTATATACACATATACATACATTTTATATATCTTTATATATCTATATCTAAATTCGCCAATCAACATGCCTGCTGAACGCAATACCCGAGGGGTTTCCGCTACTGGATCCGTTAGGAACACCAGATCTCGTCGAGACTCTTGTGCATCCAACGCCTCGATACCTGATACTGGAAGTCGCCCAATGTCGCCTTTTCGCCCCACATCTCCCTTTGGATACTCGCCTTATGGAAACATGGCTCCTCTCACTCCTGGAAACTCTCGACCTGGAACTCCATCCAACAAGCGCAACGGGGCTCAGAATACCCGGAAAGTCAACTCCTCCACTCATTCATTCACTTCTCTCCTGGCTCCACCACCCTCGCCTCCTCTCTCTGCGGATGTATCGGAAAGCAATAGCATGGATATGGATCCCCCGACGATAACTTGGGAATGCGCCAACGCTCTGGTCGAGAATCAAAAGGTTCAAAATTTCTTCGAGAAGCCTGTTTACTCTAAAACTGGACAAATTATCTCTCATGGAAAGATGGTGACAAAGACTGTGACAATGACTATCACTACCACCATTGCTAGCACCGAAATCCTTCGTCCTGGTGAGGAAGGGTATGAGGCCAGCATGGAAAAGTATAGGCAGCAGCAAATCGAACAACATCAAAAGCACATTGACCCGAAGACCAATGCCGAAGATTCCAAATTCGACAAGACGTTCGTAGAAGCCTTCTCACCAGAGGACACTATGATTGAACAACGTCGCCACATCTTCCACCAAAACGTGCAGAATGCTCGATTGCAGGAACAACTTCGTCTTGCTAAATATAACTCTCCGTCGCCGAGTCCGCCGCCGGTTCGACCGACAAGGCAGGAGTGAGTCTCTCGCCAAGTTCTGTCCCCACCCCCCATCGCCTTTGTCAACAGCTCGCTTTTCCTGAAATCTGGCCTCTCCTGTTCTCGTCTCCCTCTGCTATTGCTTTCTCCGCGTGATCGGAGGTGAGTACAACCCCCCTTCTATTACAGCGTATCAATTAGGTCTCCTTTCCACTGGTTCTCCGGATCATGGATCTCCTACAAATTGTACTCGCCAAAATACTATTCGCAATTTCTTCACCGTATGGTTCTCGTCGTACCTGGATAAAGGATTATTCTATCTGGAGCTCTCACCGACACCTTGATTTTATTGGATAATCGAACAGCAGTTCCTGGTCTCTTGTTTCCGGGCCCTTAATACCATGGATCCGACAATATCGTTCAGCTCATGTGTTTCATAGCATTTCTCGGAAATGGAACCTGGATAGAATTGGACTGGTTTCGATCGAAAACTTGAACAATAAATGAGGACCTTTTGTTAACTGGCCGCTGGCTCTTACCTGGATCCACTAAAGTCGCCAAATTTATCTATAAGTGCTTCTCCAGGATCTTTAACGCCCTCGGACTCTCCAGGACTATGATTGGACCAGGGCTCTTCACTCCCATATGGACTCCCTCAAACGGGTGGTATGGCCGACCCCATGTCGGTATACTGAAGAACATGCTGTGATGGAAAAGAAACCCCATGGAAACCCCTATCAGGACTTAAAGCTGATTTTGATTGCTCTTCGATGTCATTTAGCGAGCCCGAACGTCTCTCTCTTTTTTTTTATATATCATTGTATCCCCTTGTCTTACTCTCCACTATCACACAAAAGAGCCACAAACATGTGTCCAACTTTATACCCAATATGTTTCTTAGCGTTTGTCTTGTCATCTTTACAGCCTACCAGTCTTCACTGACGCCTCTAATCACATCTTCATCACTATCGACAGAACCCTTTTTTTTCTATTTTCTAATACCCATCTGCTTACAAGAGACATGTCTTACAATATGTATGTTACAATGTCTTCCGCTCTTCGCTTTCGCATGTATGTTAGCATTGCATAGCTAGTTTCTGCGTCGTATCCTGCAGGCTTGATTGGCACCGGCCCCGGATCTTGGTGTTCTGACGAGCTATTTGACATTATCGTCCTTGTTTATGTGATTTTGGTTTCCTTAGGATGCATGTTGCTCGCGCTGTTGGTGTTCAATTCGTTCGTTCGGGCTTGCTTTCGGTCATTGTATACGTTCGTGTTTTTGTTTGGAGTTTTAAGGTTCTAGGTTTTCCTGCATTAACTTATCTTTTCGGATATTATTTGAAGTAAAAGAATATAATTAAACTAAATTTACACGTTAAACTTGTTTTAAGGACGTCTCAAGTGGGCCTGTGCTCTTAATATCACAATATAGCCCGTCTAGTGGCATCACTATCACAACAAGGTTCCCCGCGGGCCATGGCGCCAGCAAGATATTCCGGATTTTTGCTACGTGTTGGTCTGGCCTGGTGGCAATTAAGTTAAAGCGTTTCTTCAGCGCTAGCTGCTGCTAAAATAATAATCTTACGAACCTCGTAAACCAACCTCGCGAATTGATGGTCATATTTTCGGATGTGAAGTTACCTTAGAGCTCGGGAAGAAATCCAAGAGTTCGGGTACCCGACTACGAACCCGTCGGATACTCACAAGTTCAGAGCCGCAGAAGCCAGATTGGGGTTTTGAAATTTTAATGCAATGTCCGTCAGCTTTTCGAAATTTCAAGGCGTGAGAGTTTCAGCTTTAAAAAGAAAAATGCAACAATCCAAAGTACTCTACGGAGTACTCTACTTATCTCTTCACTCCCGAAATTCTTCTGCGTGAGAATCTGCAAGTATCGCATTAGGACTGCTTGGCTACAGACGGGCTGCATGCTAGTGAAGGATTTCCAAGCCCTGTCCTAATTCGACAATTCCTGAGCCTCTCACATCCTGCATATGCGGTGGAGATGCAAATTTGGCATAGACCTTCTCTTAATGGGTTTGACAGCTAGCAGCACAGCTACTACATGCCCCATGTGCTCTGACGTGGTCGCCTCTCGATCCATATTGACCTTTGACAGAAAGGTCTTGTATTCCGAACACATATGCACCGTTGACCGAGGACTAGGGAGAGTAATACCAATCGCCATAGCACAATTACACCAAAGGCAACATCCTTGCGTGATGAAAAAAAAGAAAAGATGAACGATCCTCTGGGACGGTGATGAATCTTGGGTGTCTAGATCCCGGACTATTAAGCAGTCGATACCCCTGATGTTTACATCTCCTCTTCGAATTCCAAGGAGAGAGATTTTTTTGAGTGCTAGAACATCAACATGCAAGGTCAAGCTAGGTGCATCCTAGCTTCCACTGTGCAACATGAAGCTGCTGTTATCCTTGTGAAGCCAGTACTTGCATACCCTCCTCTGCAGCAATATGGATGTTGTATCGGACGAATGAAATCATGTCGGACTTGTGACGGCTTTTTTTGGTTTGCCCTTAAGGATTTGTACAATCGTGCGCTGTGAGTCTTGTATTTCATGCCACAGTCGAGAAACTGGGAAAAGGCTTACAAGAGGAGAAGTTGAAGAAGAAGCAATAACACGACGCCTGATATTTTTTTTCAGGAAAGAGTATATCTACGGTCGATTTGATCCAGAAGAGGTGGATATATTTTACACTCTCTTCCATTTTGAACCAATTGAACAACCATCAAACTATCATCAAATCGCTTTTCAATCTCTTAATTAACACTATTTAATTTAATTTAACTTTATCCGTGGACTTCCTTCGCCTAGAGAGCAAATATGTCAGAAACAGTTGCAATGACACAGCCTTCTCCACTGGTTCGGGGTCGGCCACGAAGCAATTCGATGCCGGCATTCTCTCCAGACACTACTCCAGTCGTAAAACAATACCAAAGACGGAGATCCGTCTACCAATCACTCGCCGCACTAAACCCGCTCGACTTCCTTCACCTCCATCGAGAAAAATTCAGGCCTGCCCCCACGCAGCCAAGTAGGGCTGAGAAGAAAGAGAGTCTAGGTGCCCCCAAGGGACTTGCATCCCGAGGTTTTAAGTTTAGCCTACGACGAAGAAGAGGCCCTGCAAGCCGTGTAGTCATCCACCAAACCAAGTTGCCTGTTGTCATCCGCGAGGCAGAGGTAGAGGATGAATTACCAACATACGAAGAATCTGTCTCTCAAGACAGCTGTATGAATTGCGATGCTGTGGACTCAGCCGCAACCACTACAGAAGATACCATAACAGTATGTCAACCACCAAGCTCACAACCAGAAACAATCATCGACACGGTACCCGTTGTCGTATCATCCCAAAAAGCGAATCTTATAGAAGCTGAGACAACTACAATTATCACAGAGACTACCAAGCTATCGCATATACAACCATTAGAGTTACCACGTTATGGTCCAACAACAACTTTTTATCCGGGAGGATACGTCCCACCACCACATCCTCCTCATGGTATAGCTTGGCATAACACTTTAACTCGTCCGTATAATGCTTTGAATGCTTACTTTGGTAGTCCTCATTGCCCACGTCTAACCGGCCAATGCTGCAAATGCGGTGCAATGAGGGGTGTCTGTCGCCACTTCAACGCAGAGTGGCAGGTCCCTCACAGTTTTGTAAGCCGTTTAATCACCGGGTCAGGTAATAATGGGATGTTCTCGTCTTACAATGGGGTTAACTACGGCTTCTACCCTGGTGATGGCCAAGACTGGGATTGGACTGCCCTTGAAGGGTGTACATTTTGTCCTTGTGGAAGGGGTTGCAGATGTGAATGTGTAGTGAAAATTCTTGAGCCCGCTCTTGCGGCAGGAAGGGAGAGGGAGAGGGAGAGGAGCACGAGACGGGTAGTGGAGGTACATAATATTCATACTGATGTGGGGATTCAGTGTCATCAACCTAATGGGTGTCACAATGGGCATACATGTTGTAGGCACGTTGGTAGGGGACACTGGTGGAGTGGCCATGGAAGAAAACGGGATTACTACGGAGGAACAGGATGTTGCGAAGGGTGTGGACACAGTTCTGGTAGAGAGGAATGTGTAGAAATTAGAAGGAGGAATGGGGAAACGCTACAAATTTGTCAGCGGGGAGGAGGAGGAGGAGGAGGAGGAGGTAGGTACGGAAGGAGGAGGACATATGGGCAGGAGATTTCTTGTGTTATCTGTTAAATCATTTATCGTTCATGGGATTATAAAAAAGGATACGGGAAGGGGGGTCTTGGGGAGTTATCGGATATAGTGTATTTGGCTCAGATTGGGTTGGTGTTTCGGTTGGTTTTGTTGCATTTTTCGCGTTGTAGATAGACAGCTTGTTGGAGCTTGCTGGGCAGGGACTGAAGCTCTGATTCATGATATGATACTCGTAATTCAATAATACAATTATGTCAACATGTTTTGCGAAAACTCTGTGACCCAACTTTCTTTCACTCTTTTTTTTCGATATGTATCCCATTTGCCGTTGCTTACAATTTGTCATGCCGTCTGACATCAAGTTATGGCCTATCCGCGAGATTCCACTGGTTGTGGTTTACGATTGTGATACTCCAGACAACGCCGACATGCATATGCATAAATCACGCTGAACTCTCCGTTGGCCCAGGAATTCAACATTCTGTCCCCTCGCATTACATATGGAGCACCCGCCCGTGATGGAACGGGAGGTACGATCTGTGCCTGACATTTCAGTGAGATCCCGAACTCGGATCCAAGAAGGCGGCGTTCTGGTGTAACTTCATGGAGTTTAGTCTCCGTGAGAACCGTGGCCGCGTGGATTGATCAACATCCAGGCGGCTTGGATTCCGCGGTGAGTGCTCCACCCTTGTTGAGAGGGTGAAAATCACATTTTCATTTGAGCTTGCAAGGTGATTGAGAGGCTAAGCCTTAACCTCACGGAAACAATTAAAGAGTAATTTTTTAGTTAAGCAAGGGCTATTTGGCCTAAGCTGTTGTGATCTAATATTATAATCGAGGACTGGACTAACGAGGACAGTCGTCAACGTTGGATGTTGCCTGTGAAGAACCCTCGAGGGTAGGAAATCGATCGAAAATATCCCCTTAAGCCGTGTAGCCGTGTGTACATATCTTTTGCAATGTGTCTAGGACTTTCGGACAGGCTGGCATTGCACTAGGGAGCCCACTACCTCACCTATTCGCCCTACGAGTGACGTTTGATTCGTGAGCCCAAGAGATTTTAGTTCGGGGATCAATGGTACTTGTAATATTGCATTTCTTCTCGAATCGGGATGTCGATATATCAAGGCAAAACTTGGCGGGCACGGCCATGCGAAATTTCCTGTACACGCGGCCGCCAGTCTAGACGGGTTTCTGGAATGGAATGGTGACACCCAAAACTGAGTCGGGAAACCAGGCTAACATTTTGCAATTGCGATCTTTTCCCTCCCTGCGCTCCTTCTAATTTAACTACCTAGGTTTCCTCATAATTATGTTCGGGTGTCGGAAAGGGATTTGATGAAAGTCTTGCTAGCATAACCATATGTCGTGGAGAACAAAGTGCTAAGCTTTTCGAGGTGGAGACGACTTTCCTCCTCGAAGAGAGTTAAGCAGACAGCTGGAAGGCCACTATCGTGCGACCTGAAGCTCTGGAAGGTGGGATGGAAGTATTTTTTTTTGCTGTTTGCGCCCCAACCCCTTTTCCTACCCTAGTGCTACAAAGGTGGCTGTGATTGGCCAGCCCTCATGCCGGATGACGATTATCACTGGCAGGAAGCGCCCCTGAAACCAGCAACATGCCAGGCACAAGCTTTTTTAGTGCTGAGTTTCTTTTTTTAACAAGTAAAAATTTGTTCGGGTGTTCGCTGGTTGGTTTCAGTTCTGGGGCAGGTTCATATTTTGTCGACATCAACCGTTTCGCAGATTCGACCAAAATGAATCGAAGGGGCAGTTAAGCAAGATGCTCGAGCGAACGGTGTTCGCAAGAATCGGCAGTCAATGTCGACACAGACGCTGTCGCAGAATAGAAACAAAGTTTTTGCCGACGAGATGATCGATGAGGAAGACTGTGCACCGAAAAAAGGTTTTTCTTTCCCATCTGACTTGCATCTTTGGTGTACAATACAGCAAGTGAGCTGGCTATGCATTAATCTATATGCGACCCCACTAAGCCAAGGCTTGAACAGTCCTGCGATTTCATGATATATGGTCAGACCGGAAAAGCGAAAAAGCAGGAACGAAGTGGTTCCTGGCAGAATGCATGCGCTCCGCTGCTACGGAATGGAAGCAGCTGGGAGGCGAAGAGGCTAGTGACTAATACCCTGGCATGCCATGGCCTTTGCCCAGGCAGACTGATTGTCATTTGGTACCTGAACCCATATAACGGTTTCATTCCCCTCCTGACTGACCTTTTTGAGCCTGTTAGACTTTCTTCTTTTGTTTCTTCTCGTCTTGGGAACTTCACCGTCCGATCCCGTTCGCTGGCGGAAGACAGATTGAAAAGCCTCCTGTGGAGCATTGCAATTTTTGATTCTCTCTCTTCTGTCCCTGCGCCGTTCATTTATATACTCGCTGCTTCCTAAGAAGCACTCACCTTCTTTTGTCCCATTCTCATCCATTATTGTCCATCCGTCTACCGTCTGTGCCGGTATTTTCTTCCCCAAAGTTCGCCCTTTGCATAAGAAAAAAAATTGCTCAGTCCGCTCTTTACACAAAAATAATTCAACCATATCAACTACTTACATTCTAGCCGCTTGCTTCGGTCCAATCCCTTGAGGAACTTTTCGATCTCGCCTTCTTCTGTCGGAATATTTGGAAGCTGTAATCCGTAGGCATTGAGCACAGTGGGTCTTTTTTTGGGTTGTTCCTGCACGTCCTTTCACACACCACCAAAAAAAAGGAACACACCTCAACGCAAGAAGTGGCTGTCGACGTCTCAGCTCCATCCTTCTTTCATCAACCTTTATCTACTTAACCACCTACCCTAACGCGCTTCAACCAACGCTCCCTTTTGCTTTAACCATCGCAGACACCTGCTACCACCCGTTCAAAGCTTCGACCTTCATCGACATCCATTCACAATGAAGACTGTTCTGTCCCTCGCAGCATTCTTGCTGCTCAACCCTGGTGTTGATGCATTTTGGCGTATGCAATGTGGTTCCCCATTGGTCACCGACATGATTGACCCACTTGTCCAGCCAGGTATTTCGCCAGCTAAACACGTCCATAACATCATGGGTGGAGATGCTTTTGACAAGACCACCAGCTGGGCGCGTCTTCAAGAATCCACCTGTACATCTTGTGAGGTTAAGGGAGACAAGTCTATCTATTGGGTCCCCACGCTTTACTTCCAGAAGGCAGGTGGTGAACTTGTTCAAGTAAGACAGAAGGATGGTATGCTCGTCTACTACATCCCAGAGCGTGGAGGTGACGCTGTTGAGACCTACCCAAAGAACTTCGGTATGATGGCTGGAGATCCTAAGCTCCGTTCTTTCGACGAATCAAACGAACCCGGTTCCGAAGCCTACATGAGACAGATGGCTATTGGGTTCAATTGCTTGAACTACGGTGGCACCCCTGAGGCTTTTGCTGCTCGCCGTGAGATGCCAACCAAGCAGGAGATGAAGAACTGTGTAAACGGTCTCCGTGCTGATATCACTTTCCCTTCATGCTGGAACGGTGAACTCGATTCTGAGGATCACCGCAGTCACATGGCCTACCCTTCCTTCATGGAAGATGGTACCTGCCCGGATTCCCACCCTCGCCGTCTCATTACAATGAAGTTCGAGACACTTTTCGACGTTGCCGAGTTCAGCGATGTTGATGGTGAATTCGTTTGGGCCACGGGCGACAAAGGAGGTAAGCATCAAAGTTTTGGATCCATTCCCATATATAACCATCCAATACTAACAATTAATAGGATATGGCTACCATGGTGATTTCTACAACGGGTGGGATCCTGAACTCCTTGAGGCAGCTTACAAAGACCCAACCTGCGTCCCACCAGTCATCACTTCCACTGGTGGAGATATTACACAATGCAACACTTTTACATCTCGCAATGAACTCCAAGGCCCCAATGAGATGAATGCTTGCAAGATCAAGCCCATCACGGGCAAAGAGTACGAGGGTCCATTCGAGAGTTTGCCTGGTTGCAACCCAGTCGGGGGTGCTCCTGGTGACTGTGGAAAGGCTGTCGTTGTTGAAAACGCCGTTGCTGCACCATCCTCATCTGCCATCCAGGTCGTCGCACACGCTGTCCAGAAAACATCATCGACCACATCTTCAACGACGCCTACGCCTACTCCCACTCCCACCACAATCTCCACAACTACGAGAAAGAAGGAAACGAGCAAAAAGGTTGAAGTTGCTTCTGTTCCGGTCCCTAAGCCTGTGGTAACCGCCAATCCAGTCCTCGATGTCGGTAGCGTACCGGAAAAGAAGATCAAGGAGGTCATAGTTACAGTTGTTGAGACTGTGTACCAGACCGTTTACAACCAGGCGGTTGAAACAGCCACTGAATATGTTCCCCACCATGCTCGTCACCGTCGATTCTTCCGTCGTGGCGCACGACACTTTTAAACTAGTTTTGCATACTTTCTAGCTTGGATATGTGATCAAGGTGTCATAGCTGGTCTGGGATCTTGGATTTCATATTTTACAAACGGGTCGCTGCCTTTGACTTTTCTTCATTTCTTGTACTGATTCTTTCATTTCTTCCGACTACCTTTTTTTGTACACTTTCTACCATTGAGGGAGCATCGTTGCAATCGGAGTTTCTTGGGTACATGTATGTAACGAGAACAGTACGGTTGTATCGATTCATCTTCTAGAAAAGCATCTTTCCTGGTGGTCGGCCTTTTTACATTCGGCGTTCCTCTGTTGCTTTTTCTTTATTTTACCTGCTTTTCCTTTGTTCCAAATAAATTTGTTCCTTGCATTTCTCCTTTGTTACACATCATACTGTACAGCGTGATTATACTTTTTTTGTAAAATGGATACCCAGATACGTTTCTCTCTTTTTTATTTCTTCTGATGCCCTTTTCTTTTCAGCAAGCGAGCGATCCAAAACCCGAAAATCCCCACTGTGGGCTGCCTACCGTCGATTCAAATTCAATTGGTAGGCAGCCAACCCGTCAAGCGTCGACCGCTGTCACCTTTCCTCCCTACACCCAACTGTTACATATCAATCCTGTCGTACCGAAAGGTTAGAATCCATTACATCAGAGCTGGAAGAATTACAAACAAACACAAGAAAAACGGAATAGAATTGAGAAGTCCTCTATCTGAGTGGTATACCCACAAAACAACTTTTTTCCACCCCCTAATTGCAAAACTTTTTTTAAGCGCCTGAATCCCTTCTATATAAGTTATATCATGTTGGAAAAAAGAACAGTTTCGACACCGACGCATGCGTGATTACTACATATGTATGTACAATACCTGTGCCACCAAAGGTCACTAAGTTTTTGACTGAAATTGGTTTTTCGTCCAACACCTTTTCGAACGATGTTGGAAGTTTCGAAATTTCTGTTGTTACACAAGTTCGCTCTTTTGACTTTGATAGCGATCGACATGTCGATTCGATTCGATTGGTGATCTGCGGCTCAGCTCAGCCAGCGTATTTTAAATTCTTTGATATCTAATAGATAGAACGACCAAGTCTTCGGAATCGACTTCTGATTCTCTCGATATAAATTTTTTTTTTCACGTGAGTCCGAAGGGGTAGTACAAGTCAAGGTACCGACCGGCTAACGGATGCCGTTACAATGCACCAGACATTTTTGAGGATACTTTCAATTCAGACAGCCTACGTTTGAAGCCGCGAAAACCACGAAGTTTGTCTGGCTAAGTAGGTAAACTCCTCGACATACAAAGAGGGGGCAAGTTACCGCTCGTACTCATGTTCCAGATCAATTAACATTTTTTTCATAAACCACTACTGGCCAATCTGGACTCGAATCAAACGAGAGATCGCTCTGTGGACTGCCTTCTTGGAAGCTAGATTTCGCGACAATACGCATGCATATCCCAGTCGGTTGAAATTTAGGCGGACCCCGTAATATATATGATAGGTATGCAGGGTCCTGTGGTTATCAAAGGTAATATATCTAGAACTCGAACTGCGGGGTATGTTATATTAATTGTGCATGTAAAATACGTTTACATAATTTGACAGGCCTTTCCACTTAGCTTTTATTAATTGTGGAGGAAACTCAAGCGACGGATTGCGTGGTCTTTCGTGTCGGTTGACGAAGACGGGCGGGTAAAGCAAGTACCTACACAAGAATGTCATTAACACCTATTGGGGTTTCTACAGACGCTACTGACCGGCTCCATCTGCGTCTCCTTCTTTCTTCTTTCTTCTTTCTTTCTTCTTTTGTATGAAAAATAAAGAATAAGAGAACAAATAACAATAGATTGAGAGCATCCCTTAACCTTATTTATTCCAGTCCATAGTCTAAGAATTCTTAGAAGTCAAAAAATTCCAACCTTCGTCATACAGTCCCTATTGGTAGTCCTGTCGAAATTTTGAAATTTGAAGAAATCCAACCTCAAAATAAAAATCTATCAAACGATAAGTAAATATCCAGTCTTTGGATACTATTTGGATACTATCCGGATACTCAATACGTAGAAAAAGCGGCCTGGACACCACCAATCGTTAAGGCCGATTTACTCCTTGGTAGATAATAGCAATTTGGGAATAAGTTCTTATCCAGGCTCGTATAGCTTAGTGGTAGAGCGTTGCACTTGTAATGCAAAGGTCACCTGTTCGATCCAGGTTATGAGCAAAGTTAAAAGCTTTTTTGCATCTTTTTTGTCCTTTTTTTGATTCGGTGATGACCCGCAAAACTTTCCGGTTTGGCGATGTTGCGGTTTGTTAGTTTGCCGGAACCATGGACTTGCAGCTTCAAAACTTAGTACCTTTTTGAACCTCTTTTTTTTTTTTGTTAAATGGCCATTACGCAACGCCGGGTTGAAGGCTTATTGGTATTAAGCCCCAAGATGTTTCTTCTTTAATCCTCACCTTACAATGAAGCCAGGATAGCTCGGTCGTAGCTTTGATACATAAATTGATTATGCGTGATTAGATATTCACAATTGGTTCATTTGCGTTATAAGGCACACAGAGGGCATCGATAGTCTGACGAATTCGGATTCTAGGGTTATCGAATGCCTTTACCATGTAGAATAGCCTTAAGCAATTAGGTCCAGTCCTGCTTAGTTCGGGCCGGTTCCAAATTTAGTCTTATTATTCATTCCCATGTTAAAGTTAGATTGCAAATAGTCTAGTTAGAAATATAAATGCAACAATGTCTTTACTTATATTACTTTGGAATGATATGGAAGATGGTATATGATATGTAAGATTAAGGGCTAAGATTGCAATCTTAAGCATTCCTTATATGTAATATCCGTTAAAGATCTCCTAAGCATGCGGTTCATAGGGCCAGGGTTTTACCGCCCGATCTCACCGCCAGAGCTTGAAGAACCTCATTAACTAGAGCAACACATTGGGAAACATATGGTATCTAGCCCTCGTGGGCACACTTTAGTAGTGGAAACTAAAAATTGGAGTTCAATTGCTTAAGTATATATACTTCTTAAATACTTCATTTGCCTATTTGTGGCCGGGGAGTCGCTACTTATAACGCAATTGACGACTCTAATAGAAAGTGTACTTATCTGCAAGGTGTTCCCAAACTGAGCTGCTGCATGTAGTTTCGCTATTCTTCGAAACCACGGCATTTTTCTTCAAGAAAAAGTCAGTGAAAGGAAAATAGCCTGGGAGAGGGCGCAAGTCCTATCTCATGAATTCACAGCCCACAGGATCATTGATATTATGAAAATACAAATGATGGCTTTTCAGACTGGTGTTGAAGTAACTTAGCATGACCATATAAGTTAGGCAAATACCCTGCATACGAGCGAGTGATACCATTCGCTACAACTTCAGAATGCCCCGCTTTGCCCTTGGTATCGATATATACCTGCAGCTCGACTCGAATCAAACATTCCTTACTGGGTCAGATCTCAAGACCCTGAGTCTTTAATCTGTGGGGTTTGAACACCGGTATTATATATTATTAGATACTTACTTAGCTAGCTAACTAGATAGCTGTAGTCACACCGACGAGGCTACTACTTATGCTCGTTTTCGCGAGCATTCAGCCCTCTCTGCCATTTCTATTTTTGAAAGTTTGCTTCCAATGCTGTCGCTTCCCGAAACTACCCATGCCTCCATTGTCCACTCGGTGTTAAGTTGCTGGTCAAGAGCACTCGAGTCACCAGACTTATCTATACGTAATACTGCACAGCTGCCTCGGCGCCTATTTTTCCCCTTTCCTTTCTTTCTCTTGAGCAACGAGAATGGACGAATGAATAAAGAATGGCTCCCGCACGCGCGGGGCACGGGAGCGGGAACGGAAATACTAGTGGGGTCACAAAATGCTGAGGGGGAACTAAACTTCTTCACAGCCTTAAGCCTTCCCTGTGAGGACAATCCGAACATCTGCTCGATTCTGTGATCTCTAGTTTAAATAGAGGTGACCCTTCTATATTTCAAGACACCTGAAAAGCATTTTAATTTTCTGTTTCCTTTATTATATATACTCCAAGTGCTACCTACAAACTTTATAAATCAAATTTGCGAAGGACCGAAAGACGCCTCGAGTCTACGTTAGAGACTATAACGCATATAACTCCCCCAAGGCAGTTTTTTTTTTTTTTTTACCATATTTTCTCCATTTTTACTACTCTAAAATGACCTCTCGGGACGATTTCGAAATCTGTATCATTTGTGCTTTACCTCTAGAAGCGAACGCTGTTCAGGCTCTATTCGAAGAGGTCAAGGAAGAGAATCCACTCGGGAAGGCGCCAGATGATACAAATACATACTCGACAGGTAAAATTGGTAACCACAATGTGGTTTTGGTATACATGCCTAGTATGGGAAAAGTCCCAGCAGCTGGTGTGTCAGTGAACCTGAAGCAGAGCTTCAAAAATATCAGATTGGCCTTGCTCGTTGGGATCTGTGGAGGCGTTCCGGGAACGACGGCCGAGGGTGTAATGCTAGGGGATATCATCGTTGGTAAAAAGATTGTCCATTATGATTTCGGACGACAGTATGAAAACGGTTTTGTTATGAAGGATGGACCAGAGGATAGTTTGGGTCGACAGGGCCCTGAGATCAGAAGTTTTGTAAAGAAGCTGGAGGCTGGAAAGGAAGCACTTGGGAAGAAGCTATCAGACTACCTTGGCTCCGCGCTCAAGCACTGGGGTCCTGAGAAGATCAATAGCCTCGAAGACATTCTTTTCCCCTCAGACTATTGGCATGTTCACCAAACCCCAGGCTCATGTTCCGATGGGAGATGTCGAAACCAGTCCGACCTCTGCGAAGCCGCCTTGAAGGCCTCGTGTGAAGATTTAGGGTGTGACACGGCCGAATCAGAAAGGCCCCCAGAGCTGTTACGTCGACAGAGCCCTAGTATCTATTTCGGTTCAGTCGCCTCTGGTGATAAAGTCATGAGGTCTGCTACCCTGCGCGATAGTATTGCGCGAAGAGAAGGTGTCATTGCATTTGACATGGAAGCTGCAGGAGTATGGGATTATCTTCCATGTATCTTGATCAAAGGAGTCTGTGATTATTCAGACAGTCATAAGAACAAGGATTGGCAGGAGTATGCTGCGGTTGCCGCCGCGGCTTTTACAAAGGCAGTTTTGGAACAATGGACTTCGAGCCGTTCGGGCGAATCGTCTAAAGCTGCTAAACCTCGAGGGGTATGTATACCATTGAAGTCTTTAATTTCTCAAAATTCTCTAGAAAAAAATCTAATCAGTGAAACTTATATTACAATATAGGGTCCTGTTTTCAATAACAACAACTCGAAGATCGGAAATCAAGCAGAGACTATGACCTTTAGCGGTAATACCACGTTCTCATTTTAAGGGTCTCGGAAACATACTTGGGTGTATTGGAGGGTCAGGGCATTGCGATAGGGACCGTTCATTTTGTAGGTTTCGAACATTTAACTTTAATTACTAGTTAAGTATATGTTGCGTGTGCATACATGTACTTGGAAAACTTTTGATATCTCGAGAGTGGAGGCGTTGGGTTTGTTGTATTTAAAATGTGGTATATTAGAATATAATGTTCATCCAATCCAGCTGGCCAGTTGAACGGCTGTAGTTGAAGATTTGAACACACCTATGGGTTTCTCCAGATCGCTCGAGCATTTCTACTTTGATCCGTAGGGTGCGATGCTAAGCTAGCTCTGCTTTATATTATACATGCCCCCATCCTTTAATATATTTATCAAGCGCTGATACAAAGCGTTTTCTGCCCAAACCCAAACCCAAATGCTACTCCGCGTATAGCTGATTAATTAATTAAGTATCTATTAATTTTATATACACGTAAGTAGGGAGCTTGAGGGTCAACCCTTGAAAGTTCAATCCCCAAAGCTAGAAAATATCATGTGATAATACAACCCTTCTGGTAGAAAACAGTTTTCTTGCAATTGGCTACGGTTTTAGCAGCTGTGATAGTTACCGGATGGTCCTTACCTAGCGTCTTCTCGCGGGTTTCTAAAGACCTAGTGCACCATTTTAGAGCCTCTTTATATTTTCCTTGGTTGACAAAGACCAAAGCTATTCGTTCCATAACATCCGCTGCCCCTATTGATGTCGCCGAGTGGTTTTGACCTAAAGCCTCGAAGCCAGCTAGAGCTCTGTAGAATAACGGGATGGACTCGTCATATTTCTTCTGATCGAGTAAAACCAGCCCAGTCCAGTAGATCGAGACAAGTGTGTCCGGGTGGTCTCCACCAAGGAGCTCCTCTCTACCCTTTAAGGCTATTTGATACTGCTCAAGAGCTTCATCATACTTCTGTTGGCATCTGAGCACTGACCCAATATCATGGATAGTTTTAAGAGTTGATGGATGCTCCAGTCCTAAAAATTGTTCCTGGGTTATCAGTGTCCTTTTATATAGCTTAAGGGCTTCGCCGTATAGGCCCTGGCCTTGAAAGACCGTCGCTATTTGACCCGTCACAGTAAGAGTCTTTGGGTGGGTTGGCCCTAAGACTCTTTCGAACCCGTTCAAGGCTTTATAGTACCATTCCAAAGCTTCGGTATCTTTGCCTAGGTTACTTAGCACCGATGCTATGTCGCGGGTTGTGGAAAAGATGGACGTGTGGTTCGGATCCAAAACCTTCTCCATACCAGCCAAGGCCTTTTGGTGATACTCGAGAGCCTCCTCGAACCTGCCTTGTTTGTTTAACAACGCCGCTATACTATTGGTCGTACCGAGGATAGATCGTTCATCTCTATGCGGACTATTCTCTTGGTAAACAAGAATCTTTTGATATTGATCCATAGCTTCATCGATCCGGCCCTGCTCACTCAGGATGGCTGCCATGTTGTTTAAAGTTCTAAGAGTCGATGAATGATATTTGCCCAAAACCTTTTGCTTTCCAACCAAAGCCTCTTGGTAGTACTTGAGGGCTTCGCTGTATCTTCCAAGGTTGTAAAGGGATGTTGCCATGTCGTGGATCAAATCGAGTGCCGCCGGGTCTTCATCACTAACTATATCATAACCGAATTGTTGCCCGTTCAACGCCTTTCTAGCCGCCAACATCCTTTGATATTGTTCAAGTGCCTCATTATGTTTACCTTGATGGTCAAGGATTGATGCCATAACACGGGCGGTAGCAAGTGTTTCCGGACTATTTTCGCCCAAAACTCGTTTTTGCCAGTTGAATACTTTTTGGAATTGCAAAAGCGCCTCCTCATACCTACTTTGATTATAGAAGACGGACGCAACGCTGTTGATGGCACCAATTGTGTCTGGTTGTTGGTTCTTTAGCTCGTGCTGGATGAACCCGGTATCTAAGTATCCACAGAGGACCATCGCGTGTGACATGATCCTTCTCTCTTCTCCTGGGTCCCATCTGCCCTGTGACTGCAATGTCTGTTTTTGAAGAATAGGTCTTCTCAAAAGTCTTAAGGCACCTCGTATATACTGGAAACGTTCTTCACCATTCACTCGTTCACGTGCCCACTCGTGCACAACGGGGTGAATTGAAAAAGTGCCTGGGTAGTTTCTGTCGATCAAAGAGTAGGAAGCAAGGAGCGAAAATTTTTTCTTCTCTAAAAGATAATTTATGATTAGCGCCGCTTTATATAAGCGAATGGTTTTGTGTGGATGTTCCAAGTAGATGGTACACACTTACGTTCGAGTTGAGCCGCCACATCTGTCGATTCCCCATCCTCCCAAAGACGCTCGAAGATTTCGTTTCGGTCTAAATAAGAGCAACTAAGTAACAGTGATGCTGCTTCCGCATCCTGCTGTTGAACAGCTAGAAAAGACACTTCCCATGCTGTCACAGCTGTCTCGTTTCCATAAGCCCATCCGAGATCTGGTACTTGAGACTGGGCTATTTTGAAAGCTCTTTCGTAGTATCTTGGGTACTCATCGACAGCAATATTCATTATATGAATGAAACAACCCGCATGGCTTATTGCAAGAGGCATATAGCCCAATTTTTCGACTACCGCTGCGGCTTGCCTTTTGTCATCTACGATAGTAGAAATGGGTTAGAAACCTTGTCTCGTCATCAACCTCCTCAACCTGCTTAGAAATTTATCGCAAGTTAAACTCGAAGAGGGCCACCTTACTTTCTGTAGGTTGTTTCAACCGCGCTAGTTGTAGTAAGAGATTTGTCGAACTCTCCTTATCCAACCCATTCAAGACAATCTGTTCGGCAAATTGCGAGAATTCTCGTCGACGACTAGTCACAAGAACTCCACCACCACCGTGAGTTGGGAAATAATCCCTAATCCCAACGGTCAGATCATCTACGTTGTCGAATATTAGTAACCACTTGCTATTTCCTGGAAGGTTGAGCCAGTTGAATAAAGCGAATCGGATACTATCGATGATTTCTGGATCGAAGCTGACCCTGCCGCTTTTATCCACAAGCCCAGGAATACCAAGACTATGGGCTATAGCTTTGTAATCAGGAGGGGATTCGGGCCAGGATACACGGGCTTGCTCCTCAACGATACGCTGCATAATATTTACGAACGATGTTTGAATATTTTCCACAGTCGCAGCTGATATCCAGAAAACGGAGGTGAGGTGGTGTCTCTCTCGACTAGCGTAGGCGTACTCGAGAGCGGTTTGAGTCTTCCCCATTCCGCCAGTACCAGTAATTGCACAAATCGCAGGAGCACTACTTGAGTTTGACTCTAGAAAGCACCTGCTGAAACTCTTGTTAATAGTCATCATCTCTTCCGTTCGACCAGCGAAATTGGGATTCCGTGCAAATGGCAAGTTAAGCGGAATATCGTAGTTTATTTTTTTGATCTTCACCAATCCACAGATATCAGTACCGATATTTCAAGTATGTAATATAGCCTTGATAAGGACAGGATAGGTGCTCATCAAGGGGTTTACCTTTGGCCCTGTCTAGTACAGTGCAAATCTCTGTTAGCAGCCTTCCTTCACCACCACTCTGAAAACAACTTTCGCGGTTACCTTCGGGGGGATAAAATTAAAAGTGTGACTAAGCAGGGACTCAGTAGACGTTAATTGCGTAATAGTTATCAGGATTCCTCAGTTTAACTAGGCTTACCCATAGTTGACTGCCGCTTGCATCCTCCCCTCATTTTTCGTATGGATATTTCTGTCCGAAAGATAAAGTTACCGACTGTCTTGCCGAATTATGCTGGGGTCGAGCTTACCCATAGTTTACGGCTGCCTGCAGGAGTATATTACTACTTTCGTTGTTTATTGTGTTATGATGGATTACCTCTCCACCACCTCCAGAAGCCATTTTGAGACCTGAACTGAACGGCAAATTCGGTATATATATCGGCTTCCCGGTAACGTTATAACTTGTAGAATTAAATATATGTATATATGCAGAAAGAAATAGAGTGCTTCGTTTGGTATGAACCGCTTTTGATCGCGAATTTGCAAACTCCTTTAAATCCAATGAACTTCCGCAGACCCCAAACAATCGAGAAAACAGACTAGCTAGGGAGATAGCACGGGGATCACACCCTATTTATTGTTACATAGCCAAGGCTCCCCAAGTTGAGGATCCTTCTACATCTAAATATTTGCCAGGCGCTCAGCCTTGGGCAGGTTACCGCCAAATCAAAATCCCTATAGGATGGTTGACCTATCACAAGAGCGATCAGGCGCCTATATTATTGATGCAGAGTGATAAATATAGCACTCCCCTGTAGCCGAGAGGCACAGCAGAATGCGACAGGCACAACACGATTGTGTTGAAAATGTTGTAAAGTACTGCTGCGACTGCTTCAAGTCTACCACATTGTTAATTGTGCTCAGTACAGTGCAAGGTGCAAAGACACCTCTTGCAAGCGAAACTTTCCCTCGGAATTAATCTCGGGCAGCCAGTCCATACTTATATCACGACCGAGTCAACCGAGTCCCTGCTGTCATAGAGACTAACACGACGGCCGCTCACTGTTTCGAACCTGTAATCTAACTGACACAATATATCTTGAGGAGTCGATCATATAATCATGTTCCGCTGGTAAGTTCGCGTCTCGACAGAAGAGACCACCCGTTTAACCCACACTGATGAATACAATGGCCTTGTATTCATATATGGATCCATGCGTGACTAAATTAAAGACCTGGTTCTAACACTTGAGTATATGGAATTCAATTTAAAGGTACCAAGCAAAACTAAATCAGCGACCTGTTCTCACACAGGTCATCACGACCGCTGTATGTATATATCGAAATTGATACTCAAAATGCTACTGCAGGATCAATTCAACTAAATAAAAACTTAGTTCCTGTTCGGCGCCGGCGACATCACTGCCCAACAAGCCGTCGACCGTCGGGGAGTTGCAGATCATGACTTCCCACGTACTCTTAGGATGACAGCCTGGGGTGGGTGCTTCTTTGGACCAGTGGCAGTACAGTGGTATAAACTCTTGGGCAGGATCAGCTTCCCGGGCCACCCGAATAGAGAACTCCTCGCGAGAGTGGCAGCAGACCAAATTATATTTACACCAGTCAATCTACTATGCTTTTTCACAGGAATGACGGTATTAGAAGGTGGCAATCCGAAAGAAAAACTAGAAAGAAGTTACTTGACGACATTAAGAAACAATTGGATGTTATGGCCAAGTAAGTCCCGTTTTTGCTGCATAGTCTGGGGATTTCAATTAACGATACTGGGATTTAGCTGTTCAACTGGTCAACTTCAAGTTCGTCCCTCTCGAACATAGGCTGCTGGTTGTAAATGTTATTAGTTTAGGTATGCTCCATTTATTGTGGCCCTAACAGGAGGCAACTAACATGGGTTTTATGGAATAGGCTGGAACTCATACCTGAGTTATGCCAATACACGAAAATTATAGAGCCAATTCTTAAGATTTGGAGCAATAGATCTAATTGTCAACTCTGGTTAAAGACCAGATCTGAGTCGATTTTCGTTGCGGGAATTTCATGAGGTTTTGTTAGATTTGTAAATACGAGGAAGGGGTGCTAGAACCGGGACTTAAAAAAGCACCAAATGATAAAAAGAGACTATGATTCTTTTGGGGAGACAGGAGGAAGTCGTAAGAAAAGGACAGGTCAAAGTCTCCCATAACGCCAGCTGAATACACCCATTGTGATTTCGTGCTTCCTCCAAATACAGGCAAGAGGACACTAGAGTCTTCCAGGAATGAATAGGAGATACATATGTTTCTTGTTTCCACCATTCATCATTATAACCTTGGAATAGAGGAAAGCGACAGAGAAAGGTTCGAAGTAAATAAAAGCCACCCAAGCCTCGAAAGGAGCAATTCCAGAGCAGGACACAAAGCTAGATCCATGTATGCCTAGGTAAGCAGAAAGAGTATGTCGCAGGCCAAATATAACCATGACTCTGGTTTCATAGACACCTTATACGACAAACTTTGGCTTCGCGCGAGAGCTACCAGCATGAGCGCTCTCACTATGACCAGAGAACTCAACTTGCTCGCGTTCGCCAAGTCGCAACACTTCCTTGAACCTTCGGCCGATCTCCAAGAGCGATTCACGGACTTCCTTGCCGGTTCTTCCTTCGGTGGCTGTGCCCATAGACCTAGTCCACAAGCCTATTCGATAAAGGCCCTTACGGACATTGACGACAACGCCCATAACCTCGCGGTCGTTTTCTTTCTCAAGGGTTTCGCCGATGGCAGCCAACATGGTATGAAGCCAGAGCTCGTCAATTGGGACGGTCTTCTTGTCTTTGAACTGGTAGGCCCATTTCCCGCCATTCTTATTGGAGGGGTCTTCCCATTCAGGTCGGATGCCAGCTTTGAAGAGATGGTAGTCCGACTTTAGAGCAAGTTCCGAGGTTTTTGTGATATTGTTCTAAGGTCGGGAGGAGTTAGTAAGCCCTTGAAGAAGCTAGAATAGGAGTCAAGACGCACATATATCCCCCAGAACTCTTCAACAGAGTCGAAGGAAACGACTTCCTTGAGAGAATCGGCCCACTGGTTATCACTCTGTATCCGTCGTCGTTAGCAGCTGAAACAACACCCAGGATAGTAGCAGAGTACGTCATTCACACCTTTACACCACCACTTGGAGGCTTGGTGAACCACAAAGTCCACTTGTTCATCAAAGGATGCTTAACGGTAAAGTTCTCCGGTGAATGGAAGACTGTAAGCTGATCTCTCAAGTCATCTGGTGGGCCCGCAGCGGATCCATCTTGGGGGAGAGCTGGAGTGAGAGGAACATTGGAGAGATCCTGAGGTTCTGGTGCGAGTTCCGTCATCGTGGATGATACGCCTAATTACTGACAGGAGATATATTAGATGTTAGAGGAGAGATGTCTCGCGATGGAACTGCAATAGAACGTCAGACGGAATCGCGGATAAGGTTGGAGGGGCGCTGCTGATCGTGGAGAGGCGAAGGTCCAAGAATCCAAAGGCTCGTTCTGTCAAAGACCGAGCGGTTGAGCAGAAGATATAGAAGTCCTGACTTCTGATACGATGCTAACTCGGAGGTGAAAGAGGAAGGTCGAGAGGAGGAGTAGAGTAGTGTCGGTCGAACTTTTTTGTGGCGGTTTATTTATGGAAAGTGGAGGAGTTTCTTCATGAAACCATCTGGAGACAAACAAAACTCAGCTTGCCTCACATCGCGGCTGCCACTCCCAAAAATACCACACCAACACTATTAGACGGGATAAGCGCTGATGTGTTGATATTAATACTGCCTCGAAAGGCCCCAGCGCTCCAGTCTCGTAACCAAACTGTGGCATTGAGACCGATAATGTATTATAGACTACAGATGCAAGGTAAATGATTGCATAGCTGAGATTACAGCAAGTATACCTATAAGTCCCAATTTAAGTTTCCGGCCAAAGTAATCAAAAAGTAACGAGAACTGGTATTGTTCTCGTTGTATCCAGGCGTCTGACTGTGCATGTGGTCGTGACGAGGTTTAGGCCTACTACAAGGCGATATTAATATTCCACAGTACTAAATGCAAATTCCATTTCAATTTAAGTACGTGGTCGGGATTTATGCAGGTGGCGAGCCTAATATTCGTTTATAATAGAATGTCATTCATTCCTAGTGTCGGTCCCAACTATAATACTAAGTATTACCGCCCACCAGATTCCGACAATTCGAATGGTACCTAGCGCAACGGATTCTAGATGACATGTCCTAAATATTGTATATGCAAATACGTACTAGGTCGTAAATACACTGGATTCGGGCGTGAGGCTACTTTACTTGCTACATTTTCTAGGAAAGCCTGGTCTCGTAGGAAAGCCTAATATCGACCTAGCAATGCGCACTTCAGATTTGCTGCCGTGGCGTCACCACCGCATAGTGCATAAAAATACTATACTGTTAGCCGTAAGGCAATATGTCATGCGAGCCGAGACTCTAGCCGTATCTACCCCTTTGAAGAGAATATATCAGTAATTCAACCTGTTAACATATTTTTTGGTCGTAGCATAGTGCCTTGTATTATCTTAGGGGAACAGGATTATGCCAAATATTTCTCTCGTCCTCCCACATCTCTAAGAAGAGAGACCTCGCATTAATCATTTCTTCACGAAAATATCTCAGGGGTACTAGCAATATATACATACAACTTCGAACATGAAGAAGAAGACCAGGAATGCCCCAGAATGGTGATATGATAACACGGGGACAATAATAGGCGTAGGTCTGCATCTAGATCTGATACATTTTTGTCTCAACCCAAGCAGGCCTACCCCATTTACATTAATATACTATAGCACCAGCACCGAGACTAGTAGAACATTGACTTTTGAGCGATACCCACGTTGCAATTGCGGACACACCATAAGTATTTTCCATTTTCCCAATTTGCTAAAAGTTTACAATAGAGCCATATCACATACGAACTGCGGACGACCAAACCTGCGGTCCAAAAGCAGCAGCAACAGGTTTCTAAACTATTATAATAGGTAGGTGGCCACAATCAATCAATACTAAATCGATAAGTTCAACAGCACCGCCATTCAACTGGCTCCAAACTCTTCCCAAAAAAAAAAATCATCCTTGCAACCTTGTTTGATTCGCACATGAGGTCCTTTGCTTCTTTATTTTAAATTTTGTCCTTTCTATTAGAGAGAAACTTGGAGAATAAGTACTTAATTATGTTTTTATTCAGAATGCCTACCGGATCATATGATCGTAGCTGCATACACAGTATTCATATAAACAGACATGCCATATGCGCATGTGCATGCGTCTGGAATCAATGAAACGTAGTGCTTATCATATACAAGGGTCTGTGAAAGAGCGGGGTATTACTCCACCCTCCTATCATCCTTTCTTTTCTTTTGTGAACCTACCGAAAATTTAAAACTAACAAAATTGCATTAGAGCAAGTGGATCTAAGAAACCAGAAGCTCATCTAGACGTCATTCCCAAGAATGGCCTCGATCAACGGAATATTAGTCGTTAAGTGATTTCCCGCGTCTTTCGGCATTTACTTGCCGCTAGTCGTTTATTAAGAGACCAGGGTAGCCAGATTACGTATGCAACTGTATTGAGAAGAGTACGTATACCTGTAATTGAATCATGGTAAGCTGGGGTGTGACGCCTGTAGATACTTTTCGGAACAGGTTACATTTAGCCCTAAGTTATGACCAAAAGGACGCCCCAGAACATGCCTCTAAAGGGTTTTAGATAACGTGGGGCCCGCGGTGGTCAGTCCCTAACATGTCAACCAAAGCGGAGATTTTATCCATGGCTAATATACAAGTTCGAACGATCGTGCTCATGGGTGCTCACATGTTACTCATATACATACATGATGGATTATATCGACCCGGTGGATTATATCGACCCGGCTAAATCCTGAATCAATTGCTTTAGGGGTTCCTAGAATATCAATCCGCAGCAGCGATGCAATGGTGGCTACGGATTATTTGAGTTTTCATTCATACCGCGAGGCTTAATGCCATTCGTAGATTCAGTAGCAGCGCCATAGTTGCCGGCTCCTACTGCATCGCACATACGCAAAATCAAACTTCGAAGTAACGATGACTGCATAATCGAATAGACACATTCTAGATATAGATACCAGACCGTCTTGGAAAACCAAACTTTCGTACCCTGCCCGGAAATCAGACCCCGATCTAGCACTTCGGAATATCTAGATTCACCTCTGTCGAGCCCCTAGTATCCATGTGTCGATGCAGTGTAACGGGTGAGATCCTAAAGTTTGTGTCACCATCCTCGTGTCGTAATATTTCGTATCAATCCTTTGGTTTGACAAAACCACAAATTCGAATATTCCCAGAGCCGTGGAGGCAAACTTTAGGCTAAGGAAAGAGTCCCGGGCTCCACCTAGAAACCTACCGTTCGCTATTCCCGAGGATGCGGGCATGCTAGCACAACGTCACGGCTTCCGGGGTTGGTACATCCAGGAACAATGTCTTAGATTCACTCACAAAGGACCAAGACCCTAAGTTTTAGTTGCATGTTCTACTTCCTACAATATTATGCCTTGGTATACAGCCCGCTCCGATATGGAGGTCTCAGCGTACGGATACAACAATACAGCGCTCCCGCGGCCAGATACCTGTTAATTTCATAAACTGTCTCTCAAGTTCAAAGGCCTGAACTCCCACCTCGCATTCCGCTCGGGTTGATTCAACTGAAAGATGAATAATCCTAGAGGCATAGATGTTGCCGGTACTCTGAATTGCAAGCTTCCGTTCTTTGGGTGCCGCGGCCTGGGCCCAGGATACTATGCGAAAATTACGGAGAGTTCAACCACACCTCCGTACTCTCAGATATGCATGCACACATGCTGTAACCATATTTTCTTTTCTTTTCTAGACCTTTGTAAAATATGTAATAATTGATAATTTATGTGTAGGTATATCGGATGCAAGCCTTGAGCTACTGAATTAGGCAGCTAGACGGAGCAGAACCTTCAACGGCCCGCACATTCTCCCCACCTGAGAAACAAAAACTGATGTAGTTTGCGGCGAAAAAATGCGTACAAAAAAGGATAATGCAAAGAAGAATGACTTTCGAACCTTTCGCTTGTTCCATTTTTCTTCCCGGGTAATCGGCGAATAAGTTACGCTGATGCATCGCCTTGTGGAGCTCCAGAAGAGCTCTAGGAGGCGTATGTTGTTCTGATTGGACTTCCCGTTTCTGAAACTTCTGGCCAAAAAAAAACCTGATGCAAGGCACACCTTTGCCTTATCTTTGATCGACGAGAGGGGCCAGTTGCGTTCCTGGATTGCGTTCGGAATGCCGCTCTTAAGGGTCAGGTGAGAACTTGCGAAAGAAGCGTTGGGTCTTTCGTGTTTCAAACATTTTCCAACAGTGCTCATCATCTCTAGCTTCCTTAGCCCCGGCACTTAAGTCCTTAACATCTGATGCTCGGAGTCCGCTCGGTACGATAATCCTCGAGTCAATCATTGATTGAAATCCCCACTTATCGTCATGGCCTTCGCACCAAAACTCTCGATCCAATCAATCAGCTGATGAATGCAGATATTACGTCTGCCAAGAACTCTAAACCTACTTGTCACGCCATGTTCCGGTATGTACTTCGATCAACAGTGGGTACGAAATTCACACAAGTCTGTGCCCGGAATACAGACACTACACCGAGCTCTGGGGCAACGGGTCAGATAAGGTTAAACGGTCGTTTCGCGCTGGAGCACGGCGTTAAGGAAGCCATGGAAGATTTCCCGAGGTCCGAGAAAGAGGGGGAAGTGGAGATAAATGTTCTAGAAAAAAGTTTCGAAGACTAAGCGGCTTCCAGCTTTAGTTCAGCAAGCATTTGAATTCGAGGTTAGCGCTCGAATAGAATCCGAGGCCTTCCCTAATTAACTATTTGACATCAAAGGGATGTTCAGATACCAGGATGTTTCGGACGAAGTTACGAATAAGATTGAAGCTTGAAAGGGTTTCCCCGTAACGCCTTCTGCGCCATGTGTCCAAGCAGATGGAGCTTTGCCAAATACTGAGAATTGAAGCGAATATTCTAGGGTCGTGTCGATGGGGAGCTTTGGTGCCTGGAAAGACCCGTCGTCATGTGTTGCAATACCAAGAATTTAACGAAGCGAGCTCTTCGGTTCTGAGAAAGGCAATCGTCCAGGATAGTCTAGCTACGATCCACGGTTACATTCGAACCACTAGAGATGCCGGATGGTCAAGATCCATTCTCCGAGGTTCGTTTTTTTTTTTGCGGGCTAAGCCAAAAAGGTTCACAAGTTAAAATTTATGAATCGAAATATAGATAGATTATAATCATGATATTTTA